GATGCCACTCACGATGAAGTGCGACGCATATGTTAAAGTTATGAGTTCGAAGGGCGAAGCTGAGACGATATCCACGGCGCACCACGCGCGCATGCAAGCGTTCAGGGCGAAACTCCTGGCGGAGCATCCGGAGAAGGGCATGTTCGGCGCTATCAACGTCGGTGCGGGCTCCTACTGGTGGGATTACGGATTATTGGCGTTATACATGAAGAACAATCTTCTCGCCCTCGGCGATAGCGAAGAAGCGCAATCTTTGCGCCTGTATCTCGGCATCCCAGAGGACACTCGCCGCGTCGACTCAGCGCTCGCAGACGACGTCAAGACGGATCTTTCCTCCGTCGTCTTAGCTTCGAAGATTGCGTCTGGACACTTGGCTTCTTCCGTCGTATCTCACGTGCGCACAAAGAACGCCGATATCTCCAATTCTCTCCTCGTCAACGTCACGGCGAAGAACATTCGAGCGCACAACTGCGTCGTGTACAACGTCGTCGACGAATCCGAGGAAGGACTCATCTTACCCGACGGCGCCGTGTTCACGAACGTGTTCATTCCTGCGTCCACCGCGGATGGCGAGCACACCAAGCTCGTGATGACGTCCACGACGACGACTTGCGGCGGCAAGGTATTCAAGAACAAGCTGACGCAAAATCCGTACTCATTCAACGACGTCTACAAGCTCAACGCCGACACAGACGTTGTCCGCGCGTACGCCACCGCCAAGGCGGCGCATGACGCCGCCGCCGCCAGTATGTGAGCGCACCGAAGCGTGCGTCGCCATTAATCATCACTTTCCCGCGATGAGCGCTGTAATAACTTTTTCAGTGTTGTCTTTAACCAGCGTCTCTTCGCACCGCCGCCAGTCCTCGCCTCGGCATGTCCACCGCTCGCGTTGACGTCCGGGCGACGACATCGCGACGTTCGTCGTGCCCTCCGCGCGCGCGACGTCCCTCGCTCCGCGCGCGCGCGACGCAGAGCGACGGTTTCAACGCCGTCGTTCAAGAGCGCGTCGACGCGTTGATTCGAGCGCGCGACGACGCACCAGCGACGCAGCGCTTCGTCGCCATCGCTGGGCCACCGGGCGGAGGAAAGTCGACGTTCGCTGAGGCCGTGCGCGTGGGTTATAACGAACGAAGGAACGGGGAGGACGCGTGCGTCGTCGTGCCGATGGATGGTTTTCACTGGTCACTCGCAGAGCTGGCTGCGGGACGCGCGGGCGACGCGGACGAAGCGCGCCGGCGACGCGGCGCGCCCTGGACGTTCGACGCGATTTCGTTCGTGGAGTGCGTCAAGATATTGCGGTCGAGAGGCTACGGAGAGATTCCTACATTTGATCACGCGACGCACGATCCCGTCGAAGGCGGCTGCCGTGTGGAGCGTCGGCACGAGACGGTGTTGATTGAAGGGAACTATGTGTTACTTCCGGAACGACCGTGGAGAGATTTAGTGGATGAAAACGTGTTCGATGAGACGTGGTTCGTTGATACGGACGTTGAGGAGGCGATGCGGAGGATTATTCAGCGACACGTCGCGGTCGGGAGGTCAGAGGAAGAAGCGCGGATGCGAGCCGAGTCGAACGACGCGCTCAACGCGCGGCTCGTCGTGCAACAGTGTCGAACTTTAGCGGATGTTTTGATCCCGTGCGTGAGTTTTGAACGGTAGCTTAGTTTTACTTTAGTTCGCGAATTCCGTCTATCAGAATCTAGCGATCGAGATACTTCACGAACAGCACGCTGCCTCGCCCGCTTTGCACGCTCTTCCCAGGCGGAAGCTCTGGGTTGTTCTCAGCGAGACCTTTGTTTTCGAATCCTCGCTGAACAAACCAGTCTGCGGTGCGGGTCGTGAGCAGGAAAAGACGCGACGTTGCAAGCGTTTCGCAGGCGTAGTTTTCGGCGTACTCCAGCAACGCATCGCCTCTCCCGCCTCGGCGATACTCTGGAGACACCGCAAACGCCGCGACTTCGTGCGCGTCCGGGGCGTTGCCGCACGGTTTCAGCGCACAGCACGCGATTACCTTACCATCGCGCTCGGTGACGTGAAAATAGTTCTTGCACACTTCGTCAATCAACTGTTCGTCCGAGCGTGCAATGACTGCACCGTTCGCGACGAGAGGTTCAAGGATGCGCTTGATTGATTCCCAATCAGCCATCGTCGCGATCCGCGTGCCTTCGTAGCGATCTCGCGCCACCATGCATCCAATACCATCACGAGTGTAGAGCTCGACTAGAAGTGATCCAGACACCGTCGGATCGACTAAGTGTGTACGCCGCACGCCCGCCTTACACGCAAAAGCGGCCAGACAGAGCTCTTGCGGGCAGTGCGGCACGCGCCAACTTAACCCGCGCTCCATCAATTCTTCAAAGCGCGAGATACGTTCGTTGACGCCTCGTATGCTATCGAATAGATGCTCGCGCTCGTCATTCGAATACGCGCTCACGATTTGCTCGTCACCTTTGTTCGTCCCGGAGCCGTCGATAGAGTATTCCATTTGTAACCACCTCCAATTCGCGACGCCGTTGGCACCATTGACACCGCCGCCGCCGTTCAAGTCTTTTGTGCCGTATATTTTCGCTAAATACGCCTCTGCCGAGCGTAGGGGTAAATAGCGTGGCACACGCTCGGCGCTATCGTTTCCTTCGTACGGCATGTGCGAAGGATCCGTCATCACGATTAACTTGTCTGCTTTGAGATCAATCGCCGTCGCCAACGCCACGTCGAAAGACTGACAGTTCAAAACCTCTCCAGCGGCATTAAATCCGAGCGAACTCAGCAACACGATATCGCCTTGAGACAGTTTTTTCTTTATCCCTTTCGCATCGACTCTGGTGACCTCACCCGTACGCTGAAAATCTGTTCCGTTCACCGTCCCCATGCGTTTGGCAAATATGTAATTGCCGCTTGTCGCCACCACGTTCGCCCCGTTCGAAGCCATTCCACGTTCACCCGCGCCGTCTTCATCGCCGTCTCTATGTCTTCTCGTTATACTTATCGTCGGCGCTCGACTCAAGAGCGCTTGCACGAGCACTTGATTCTTCCCGTTCGCCTCCATCGCCGCCTCCATCGCCGCCTCATCCGTCACTCGATAGTCGTCCACGAAATTCACCTCCCCACCCCGCATCTTCGTCAGTTCGCTCACCTGATCGCTCGCCCCGACCACCAACACGATACGCACGCCGAGGTCGTGCAGCAGGCTCACATCACGCACGACGGAATTCATCTTCGCCGTCGACGCCGAGACGTCGCCGGGAATCAAAACCACAAACGTCGAGCCTCGATGCAGCGCGATGTACGGCGACGCTTGTCTGAAGAACTCCACGAATCCGTTCGATGACGACGAAGACGAAGACGAAGACGACGTCACCTGGACGCCGTTCGATTGCGCGCGATCGCTGGAGAGCGCACCGTCGCCACGAAACACCGCGCGCATCGCGACGTCCCGCGCGAGAATTCTCATCCTCATTCGGTACGCTCCGCCGAGCGGCGCGCGCACGCGCGACGACGCTCGCTCGGGCGTAGCGCGACGTTCGTGCGACGCGCCGGACGCGCTCAAGCGCGACGTCGCACCGGCGACGCGCGACATGGCGCGAAGACGAAATCGGGTCGCGCAGTGCAGTGCAGTGTCGACACTGCGCGACGTTTGGTGGTGATGGCGACGCGCTTCAGCGCGTGCACGCGACGCGAACGCGCCGAGGGGTAGGGTGCGACGCTCGAGATGCCCGCGCGCGGTAAGGGGTCGAAGCGCGCGCGCGAGAACGCGGTAGAGGATGATGAAGCGGCGGTTGGAGATTTCGTGCGCTTGACGAACGTCGACGAAAATTTGGCGAGGCGACGCATGCGCGCGGCGAACGGGGATCTCGCGCGAGCGCTAGACGCGCATTATGCGATTGAGTCCGTCGTGAGCGCGAGGGCGCGCGGGATATCGACGACGACGACGAAGGCAAAGGGTGTCGACGACGACGCAAAGGGCGTGGACGACGCGTTCGATGACGCGATAAGACGCGCGAGAGCGATGAATTATTTCGATATCGATGGTGAAGGGTTTTACCGATCGATTCCTCTGAGTGAGGAGGCGGAGGCGTTTTGTGGCGATGCGTTCGCGGCGTTTGGTGACGTCGTCGCTCGAAATACAACATGGATGGATAGTGGATTTCGAGCGGCGCCGGCGAGCGTGGATGGGCGCGATGGCGCGCGTGGAACGAAGGAGAACGTACCGAAATGTCGATGCGGGATGCAGGCAAAGGTGAAGCAGGTATCTAAGGACGGCGTGAACCAAGGACGGTTGTTTTACGGATGTGCGAAGCCGGCGGCGGAGAACACGCGATGCGACTTTTTTGCGTGGGCCAAAGGCGATAATTTGATGCACACAGACGCGGCGAAATCGCTCGTTTGGAAGAGATTTTCGTCACCTCGATTTAAGTTTGCCAGACGGACGAGTGCGGCTGATATCCGACAGGGGAGCGTTGGCGATTGTTGGTTTTTGAGCTCGCTAGCTGTCGTCGCCGAACGTGAGGATTTACTCGAGTCCGTCATCGGCGTTTCCCGGCGGTTCGCACCCATCATGGAGCGAGTAGGAGCCTATTTCATACGACTATTTCTCGGAGGCCGATGGCGAGCGATCGTTGTCGATGACTTTATTCCAGTCAAGCCGAAGAAGGATGACGAATTCGCGCCCGCGTTCGGCAAAGCGTCTAAAAATCAAACGTGGGTATCGATTGTCGAGAAGGCGTACGCCAAAGCTCACGGAAGCTACGCGGCGATAAGTGGTGGGTACGTCGCCGAAGGTTTGCACGATCTCACCGGAAGTGCGACGGAGATGATTAGTTTTTCATCCACATATTTTGATTCTGAAGAATTTTGGGTTCGGCTCGTGAGCTTTTCGTCGGCGGGCTTTCCGCTTGGATGCGCGACGTCGTTCAGCGCCGAAGGTATTGTCGGTCATCACGCGTATAGCATACTAGAGGTGCGTGAAATGCACGGTGTCAAGAAGGGCGTACAAACAAAGCTACCTGAGGTTTTGCACGGCAAGAAGCCCGCGGTAGAAACGGAAATGCTGCGTCTGCTGAAGATTCGGAATCCGTGGGGCAAGAAGGAATGGAGAGGCGAATTTTCCTCGACGTCCGCGTCGTGGACGAAGCGCTTAGGAGATGAACTATCGCGTACCCGCGCCAATGATGGCGAATTTTGGATATCTTACAATGACTTTCTCGTACACTTTTCATCCGTGGACGTGTGTAAATCGCCAAAAGGTTGGCACGCGTTGAATTTGGAGACGACCCTGCATCCAGACGTACATCGTTCGTACATCGTTCGGTCGGCCGGTGACGGCGGATGCTGGTGTCACGTCCTGTTATTACAGCATACCAAACGCGGTCGTCCGCAAGGTAGCTGGTACACGGACCTGTCGGTGTTGGTTTGGCGGCGCAGCCTCGGATCGAGCGAATGGATGCCGTGCGGCGGCATCTTCGGCGCTCGCGAACGCGAGAGTTGCCAGGGTGAAATAGTCTTGGATGCGGGTACCGAGTACGCATTTCGCGTGCTATCCATCGTCGGTGGTCGCGACGTACCGGTCACTTTGCGACTATGCACCGCCAAGCCCGTTCGTGCTCGTCAGATGTACGAGAGCGCGATGCTCAACGTCGCACAAAATATGCAACTCGCCGTCCACGGCGAGACGTCTCTGACTGGTGGATCCAAGTTCAAACGTTCGAACATCGCTCTGTGTGGTGGTGTCGTCACTGTGGCTTCGTCATCTGGGCTCAACTTTGTCTTCATCCAAGCCGAAGCGGTTCGTAAGAGTCCGCTTTGCGTCGACTTTGCGTACCGATTTCGCGACGACGGCACGTGTTTCCAAAATCAGAACGTCGTCACCGCGCGCGCCGGGACGTCTCGTCTCGCCGTCGTCGCCTCCGGTGTCAGCGCGCACTCGAAACATGAGTTTGAGTTCGACTACTGCGTGCGTGACTGCGACTGCCACGATAACGACGACAGCGACTGCGTCATTGTCGAAGAACGCCGTAGCGATGTCCCGAACAAGGCACCCGAGAAGGCGCCTCGACGGTGCGAAGAGCTCTTCGTCGAGGTCGACGCCTCGTTATGGCCACCGCCGCTTCCACGCGATGCGGCGCACGTCAAGCGTGGGTCATTCAATTCCTCTAAAGCCGTAGTCGTAGTCATTCATTTGTAACTTCCAACTCGCGTTTCGATTGATACTACACAACACTCGCGCCTAAACGTTCCTATACTTTTCTAACACTCCCTTTGCTCTTTCAAACGCCGCGAGCGTCTCGATTCGAACCTCTTTCCTCGCCGTCTCCGCCCACGCCGCCTCCACTCCGCACGCATCCACCGCGATCGCCGCGGCGACGTCCTCTGGAACGCGCTCGCCCGCCGCCTCCGTAGCCGCGAGCGTCGCGTCCACCGCCTCGACCACATCGTCCTCCCCCAACCGCAGCGCGCAGTGCGCTCGACGCAGCGCAAACCTCGGATCGCGCGCGTACCCTCCGTCTAACGTCGCGCACCGTCGCAGCGCGTACGAACACGTCTCGAAATCACCGTCATCGAACGCTTCGCACGCGAGCGCGTGCCAGTCTCCCGGTTCGCGCCCGTCGTTATCCTCGATCGCGCGCACGCACAGCGCGCGCCGCAGCGCGCGCGTCGATCCCACCGTCCCCGCCGCCGCGCGCATTCGACTCGGGGTGAAATCACCGTCGACGAAATCGACCGCCGGCACCGCGCGCGGCGTCGCCATCGCGGCGCCGTGTGCGGGCTGGACAAAACGGTTTTCGCGATTTCGGTACTCATAGACCTAAATCACGGTAAATGCGTAGAAAACTCGACGAGAACTTAAGTTATGTGCGATGCTCTTAGTCGCCCTGCACTAAGTTTGTGCGTAAGTGTGCAGGCTGGACAAAACGCGATCGCGATTTCGGCACTAATAGATCTAAATCACGGTAAATGCGTAGAAAACTCGACGAGAACTTAAGTTGTGTGCGATGCTCTTAGTCGCCCTGCTGCACCAAGGTCGTGCGCGGCGTCGGCGATCGGCATCGGCGCGCGCGCCATGGGCGAGGACGACGTCGACGCGACGCGCGTCGCGGAGTGGGACCTGCTCGAGAAGTCCATGCGCGCGAGCGACGCGACGCGAGGTGCGGCGGCGGCGGCGCCGCGCGCGTCGAACGCGAAGGCGAACGCGAAGGCGGACGTCGAGGCGAGTCGGCGGCGACGCCGCGACGGGGAGGATGACTACGGCGAGCGGTCGGGAGGGGAGGAGGAGGAGAACGCGGATCGGGCGCGACGCGGACGAGACGATCGACGCGCGGGCGAACGCAGGCGACGGTCGCGGTCGAGGGAGGGCGAAGGCGAAGACCGAGGGCGAAGGCGGGCGCGGAGACGGTCGAGATCGCGGTCGCGAGACCGCGCGAGGTTGTCGACGCCCGAACGCGAAGAGGAACGGGAGAGGAAGCGACAAGAGCGAGAGGCGGATCGTCAGCGCAGAGAGCTGGAGAAGCTCGATCGAGATACGAGGACGGTGTTCGTGACGAATTTAAGCACGAAGCTCGACGAGCGAGGCATCTTCAAGTTTTTCAGTAAAGTTGGAAAGGTGACGGACGTGCGGATCATTTACGATAGGAACACGCCGAAGAGTAAGGGGATGGCGTACGTTGAGTTCGCCGATAAGAAGTTCATACACCCCGCGTTGGAGCTCACCGGACAAGAGTTAAACGGGCAAGCCATCGCGGTGAAGACTAGCGAGGCGGAGAAGAACATCGCGTGGGAGGCGGAGCAGGCGCAAAAGAAGAAGCTCGGGGCGAGTTATGGACAGGGAGTGCCCTACATTGCGTCGGCGGGGCCGTGTAAGTTGCGAGTCGGTGGACTTCACCTCGGCTTGAGCGAGGACGACGTCAAAGCCGTGTTCGAGCCGTTCGGCGAGCTTGACTTCATATCTATGATCAAAGACGACGATCCGGGCGCCGCGGGCAAGTTTGCGAGCGCGTTCGTGCAGTTCAAGCTGACACAGCACGCCATGCTCGCGCTATCGCAACTGAATGGGTTAGAACTCGTCGGTATTCCCATTCGCGTTTCCATTGCGAGCCAAGGTGTGCAAGCAGCGGCGAGCACGATGGCGGCGCCGGTCGAGTCGCTCGGTGAGCTCGACGAGGGTAGCGGTGGTTTACGAATGGACAGTCGTGGTCGTGCGGCACTCATGGCGCGTCTCGCCGGTCAAGACAAAGAGATAGAGAAGGGATTCACCATCGATCCGAGCACTGGCTTGCCGACGACGGCGGATGCGGTGAAGCCGATTGATGTACCCGGCGAGGCGTTACCGCTCGCAGCGCAACCAATCACGCAAGGGGTACTCGGCCCGGGTTCGCCGATCCCAACGCCGTGCATATTGCTCAAAAACCTGTTCAACGCCGCGGAAGAAACCGATCCGGAGTGGTGGTTGGACATCGCCGAGGACGTCAAGGGAGAGTGCGAAAAGTTTGGCGAAATCACGCACGCCTTCGTGGATAAGGATAGTCAGGGATTCGTGTATCTCAAGTTTGTCGATACCGCTTCAAGCACGCGCGCGCAGCAAGCACTTCACGCGAGATGGTTTGCAGGTAGAAAGATTGCGGCCGAGTTTCAGTTCGCGGAAGTGTACGACGGACACTTCGGACTGAAAAAATAAAACAAAACACACATATTTTCTTTAGCTCGTTGAAATCAATCATCACTCAATGAAAGCGCGTTACCATCGCTGTTGACGTCGCCGCGAGTTGACGCGTAAGTGTAACTAAATCATCGTGAGGTTGTTTTTACACTATTTCTACTGTCTAACGAAGCGTTACGGTTCGTCGTCGTCTTCATCTAAGAGCCATCGAGACATCTTCGTCGGACTTTTCAATCGAGTCTGCGTCGAAGGTTTCCTTCGCTTTTTCGGAAAAGTTGACGAGTGCACCTCTTTACTGTGCTTTGTGCGTTCCCTTTTGGTGCGGAACGTCTCATCACAATCTGGGTGCTCGCACTGGTACATTCGTCTTTCGCTATCATCGCCGTGAAACTGCATCACGTGCGCGCGCATACTGTCAGCGTGTTTGAACATCTTGCCGCATCCGGCGACCGGACACGCCACGCTTTTCCCCTCCGCGTGCCCAAACGCTTCGTGTTTCTCCTTCGCTTGCTTTGTCGAAAACGGCAACCCACACAACTTACACGTGTGCTTATGCTCGTGTACCAGTGCCACGTGTCGATCCAAATCTTTCGTCGTCACGAAACATTCACTGCATCCTTTGAAGTGACACTCCACGGGCTTAATCCCAGTGTGCTTGGTCGCAATGTGCGCCGCCAGGTAGTGCGCCACGAACGCCTTCTTACAAAACGGGCACTCCTCTCGCCTCACCTTCGTCTTGGCGAACCATTTCGACGTCGACACATTCGATGGTACCTCTCCACCTCCGTGCGCGCTGATGTATCGCGTCAACTCCACGACCGTCAACAACCGTCGCATCTCTGTCGCCGCCTCGACGACGGCGCTCGGCGTCAACTCCAGAAACCGTTCGCGCCAATCGCGTTCGCCGTCACCCATCGTCGTCGCACCGTTCGCACCATACTTCATATTCACCGCCTTACGCACCCGCTCGACGCCGTACGCCAACGCGCACGCGTCACCAACCGTCAACGCCTCCGTCTCGCGCGCGCTCGCGTCTTTTAAAAATCTCTGCTCAAACATCGCCAACTCCAGCGCCAGCGCATCCATCGCCGGCGTCCACGCGTCGCGCGAACCCGCGCGTCGCGCATCGTCCCGTTCGTCCTCGCTCGCATCGCCGCCGTCGGCCCGTCGCGTCGTCGTCGTCGTCTCGTTCGCGCGCGTCGACGCCGCGTCGCGCCAGGCGCGCAATCTTTTACACCCATCGACGACGCGCGCGCGCCACCGCTCGAGCGTCGCGTCGGCGTCGACGACGGCGTGCGTCATCGCGATCGATCTCGCGCCGCGCCGTCGCGCGCGCGCCGGTGCGTCGCCGCGCGCGCGCGCGCGTCTCGATGCGCCGTTTGTTCCGTGTTTATTCCTCGTACTCGACCAGTCTCGCCGCCGGCGCCCGTCTCGCGGCACCGCGCGGCTCGAGCGCGATGGCGGGCGAGGTGCGCGACGGCTCGCGATCGAGCGATGCGAACGCGCGCGTCGCGCGCGTCGACGACGCTCGGCGCGCGAGCGCGAGCGCGATGCGAACGCGAACGCGCGCGAACGCCGCGGCTCTTATCCAACTATCCAACTCGCGACGGGACGACTGACGCGACGCGACGCTCGACGAACGCGAACAGCACTCGAGCGCGGACGTGGGATTGGCGTTCGGCCTGGTCATCATGGCCGGGCTGTCCACCGCGATCGGGAGCGCGTTCGTGTTTTGCTCGGCGCGGGCGGACACGGGCGTGCTCGCGCGCGCGCTCGGGGCAAGCGCCGGGGTGATGATTTACGTGTCGTTCGCGGAGATTTATTGCGTGAAATCGGTGGAGGCGTTCACGGAAGTTTGTGGTAGTGATGGGAATTGCGGATGGCGGTACGCGTCGCTGTGTTTTTTCGGTGGGCTGATATTCATGTACGGGTTGGATTTCGTGGTGCACAAGGCGAACGACGGCGGGTGTTTTGGGGGCGGGAAAGCCGCGTTCGACGTCGCGAAAAGTAAAGACAGACATGGTGCACGGGTGAAACACACGCACGATCACTCGTTTTTGAGCATCCACGGCGAGTTGGACGGATGCGTGCGGGATATCGCTGAGATGGAGAGTGGGGTGACTCGGGTGCACGTATGCGCGGCGTCGAAGGCCACGGACGAGTCGACGTCGTCGAGTTCGAGCGTCTCAGACACCACCACGACGCCGCCGGACGACGTGACTATCAGTAACGTCGACTTGACTGACGTCCATCACAAGGCGATCGAGGCGAAGACACTGAAGAATATGGGAGTGATGACCGCCATCGCCATCGGCTTGCACAACTTTCCCGAAGGCTTGGCGACGTTTGTCGCCGCCTTGGCCGATCCCAAGCTTGGCGCCGCACTCGCGATCGCGATCGCGATTCACAACGTTCCCGAAGGTATCTGCGTCGCCATGCCCATTTATTACGCCACCGGAAGCAAATGGAAAGGATTTTGGTGGTCTTTTCTCTCCGGTTTGAGCGAACCCGTCGGCGCCATCTTCGGCTACGCCATCTTAAACGGCAACGACATGTCCCCCGCCGCGTTCGGTTCCCTCTTCGGCCTCGTCGCGGGGATGATGGTTTTCATCTCCGTCAAGGAACTCATCCCTACCGCGCTCAAGTACGACCCACACGACGAGTACGTCACCACGTACGTCTTCGTCGGCATGGCCATCATGGCCGCCTCGTTGATCCTCTTCTACTTGTGACGCCTCGACGAGACGCCTCGACGAGACGCCTCGGCGTTGGCGAAATTGATTTCGCCACCGTCGTCGCCTCGATGTTTGATTTCGCCACCGCCGTCGCCTCGACGTTTGATTTCGCCACCGCCGTCGCCTCGACGTTTGATTTGTAAAAGCAGTCATCGAAATGTCTCACGTTCGAACAATCGAACATTCGAATCATCGAATCGAAATATCGATCGATCGATCGCGTTCGATCGATCGATTTCGATCGATCGATCGTTCGATCGATCGATTTCGAAATCGATCGCGACCCGACCGACCGCGCGTCGACGCCACGCGTCACAAAAAGAATCGTTCGACGATCGCGATGATGCTCACGACCACGGCCACGATGGTTCGCGCGAACGTCCGCGCGACGAACGCGCGACGCGCGACGAACGCGCGACGCGCGTCCGCGATGACGGTCAAGGTGCGTCGCGACGAACGCGCGCGTCGTCGAACGTTCGCGGTGGATGGATTATTCATGAGTGAACAAAACAAACCGCGCGCATCTTGATGACGTTTGAATGAATCGAGCGCGCGACGACGACGAAGCCGAGGCGCGGAGACTGACGACAAGTGTGCGTGCGCTCGCAGCCGGCCGTCGCGCTTCGATCGACGACGATCGCGCGCGCGGAAAAGTTTAACGCGGACGACGTGTTGGCGACGATCGCGGACAAGTGGGAAGAAACCGAAAATAAGTCGACGGTGATCACGTACGTGGCGGGCGCGACGGCGGCGGTGTGGTTGTCCTCCACGCTTGTTGGTGCGATCAACGTGGTGCCGTTGTTGCCGAAGATCATGGAACTCGTCGGTTTGGGCTACTCCACCTGGTTCGCGTACCGATACGTGTTGTTCAAGGAGAGCCGCCAAGAGCTCGTGGAACAAGTGGATGCGCTCGTGTCCAGAGTGTCGGGCGAAGAATAAGCGCGAGGAAGACGAACAGCACGCAAGCAAGCCGCGCGCGCGATTCCGGTGCGCCGCGACGATGAGAAGAGAGTTTTCGATTCAGGTGTAACGTTTCTTTCCGTCGGCGGTGCGGGCTCGCGTGTAATGAAGACCACACATGACACTTTCCTAACTATATAAACTATACAACGCAATACTGTCACTGGCTAAGATCGGCGAGCTCGCGACGGATCTCTTGTAAAGCCGCGCGTCGAGTGCTGGAAGACTGCGGCGTCTGCTCGTCAACGTTTGATTTCGCCACCGCCGTCGCCTCGACGTTTGATTTCGCCACCGCCGTCGCCTCGACGCGAGCAACCGGTGCGCCGAATTCATGCTGTCGAATGCCGTCAAACTTGACCTTTCTATCCTTCTTCGCGTGAAGCTTCAGCTCCATACGCGCCTCGCTCTCGCGTGCTTCTAAAGATTCTATACGTCGGCGCAGCGTCGCGATGAGCTGCCCGCGCGTCTCGAGCGCCGACGTCGCGTCGAGCAACGCCATGCGATCACGCGCCAGCCTCTCGTCCAGCGCGTCACATCGACGTCTTAAGGACGCTGCTTCGCTTTCGGCGTCATCTTTTGCCGTCGCCGCGTTTGCCAGCTTCGATCGCAACTCGTCGAGGTTGGATTCGTACCGCGCGCGCTCGGCTTCGAGTTCCGCTCGAAACCGCGCTTCCGCCGCGCGCTCAAAAGCGAGTCGCGCCTCGGCCTCGATCTCAGCCTTTTGCGCCGTCTTTTCTGCCACCGCGACGACTTTGCTCGGCGCGTCGCGCGCGCTTCGCGCTCGCGCCAACTCCCGCGCCAAATTATCTTTGACGACGGCGGCCGCGCGCTCGATCTCCCGCTCCAGCGCTCGCAATTCCCGCCTCTTCTCCTCGCACTCGCGCGCCAACCGTTCGGTCTCGATCGTCGCACCGCGCGCCGCCTCTCGCGCGTCGTCCAACGCCGCGCGCGCGTCCGCCAGCTCCCCCTCCGTCGCGCGCCCCTCTCTCGCCGCCTCGAGCTCGCGCCGCAGCGTCTCCCTCGCCGCCGTCGTCGCCGCCGCGTCCGTCGCTCTCGCCGCCGACGCCTCGGCGAGTTCCCGACGCGTCAGCGCCAGCGCCTCGACGAGCGTCGCGGCGTCCGCGCGCGCCGCGTTCGCGCTCGCGCGCGCGCCCATCGTCGCGCGCGTCACACTGCGGCGAATCGGCGAATGTCCCCGCGTCGCCGCGCCGACGACCCGATGGCGCTCGTCGGCGCGCGCATGAAGATATCGTTCGGTGACTACGCGCGCGACGTGTCGGCGTGCGTCGTGTTCCACGACGCGCGCGAGCGACACGCGCATCACGTGCTGTGCGACGACGGGCATCACATGTGGGCGTCGTTCGAGCTGGAGGCGACGAGCGACGGCGCGCGACGGCGAGGGACGCTCGTGGCGAGGAACGATCGCATGGAGGACGTGCGCGCGGACGTGGTGGTGCTGGACGGCGAGGCGCGGGACCGAGAAAGGGAGCGGGGACAGAGCGAAGACGAGGCGACGGAGGAGGACGACGAGGACGACGAGGGAGACGACGACGACGAAGACGCGGAGGAGAAGGAACGACGACGACAAAGACGACGCGCGAGCGAGCGCGGGCTAGGGAACGGGGCGACGACGACGACGGGGCGACGCGCGAGCGATGGAGACGTGGTTGAGGATTCAGGCGCGGCGCGCGGCGCCGTCAAGCCGAAAAAGGCGGCGAGAGAGTCGCGAGAGCGACGGCGGCAGGAGGGGCGGAATAAGGCCAGGGCGGCGATGCGAGTCAACGCCGTCGCGATGAATGTCTCGACCGTCGATCCCGAGTACGGCGTCGACGCGGACGCGACGGCGAAAGAGGGCGCGCGCTCGACGCGCGTGCGCGTGCCGAGCAAGCGGTTACTCGAGAGCGACGAGCTCGCCGCCCTTCGCGCCAAGCGACTCGCCTCCGATCGGCTCGCCAATCGCGCCAACACCGCCAATCCTCGCGCCGCCAACACCGTCGGCATCGGCACCAATCGCACCAATCATAACGACGCCTCGCGTCGAGCGGCGGAGCGGCGTCCCGCGGATTCGCAGAGCGACCCGACGTTCGACCCGACGTCGACGTCGCTCTGACGCCCGACCCATCGCCGCGCGCGCGCCTCGCGCCAGTTGTACATCAATCATCCTTCGTATTTCTCGCGAACCCGTTCGCGATCGATCGTTCGCCGCGTCGATGCGCCGCGTCGCTCTCGAGTCTCTCGCGCCAGGCGCTTCGCGCGTCCATCAATAATCGGTGAGGCGTTCCGGAAACGCGTCCAACGCAGCCAGCGACACTTTTCGTCGCGGTACGTCGTCGCCCTCGCCCGTTCGCGCGCTCGAGCGCGCGCGCGCGACGCGCAAAAACAATCTCGTCGCGATCCGCCGCGCGCGCGCGCGTCGCCGACGTCGCGCGCGCGTCGCGCGGCGCGTTTCCGTCGACGACGGGACGCGCGCGCGACGGAACCGCGCGCGCGAGCGACGCGCGCGAGCGACGCGCGCGCGATGCGCGGCTCGGATCGCGCGACGCGCGTCGAGGGGATATTCGCGCGTCGCATCGCGCGCGCGGGGCGGGACGCGCGCGTCGCGCGACGCGGCGACGTCGCGGAAAGGATCGATCCTTTCAGGGCTTTTGGGCGTCGCGACGGGTCGTGATTCGAAGAAGAGACTGACGACGACGCGTTCGCGACGACGCAGCTCGCTCGCGGAGCGACGGGATAACGAACGCCGCGCTCGGGCGCGCGATCGAGACCGACTCGTAAGTAAATTCCTCTGAAGCGCGCGCGTGGAGCGCGCGCGCGAGGGAGGGACAGGGAAGGGATGGCGGCGACGACGACGGCGACGGCGGCGACGGCGAGCGGAGGCGCGGCGGCGGCGGCGGCGAGTCGAGGCTCGCCGCCGGCGATGGTGTATCATCCGTCGGCGATGGTTGCGCCGGGAGTTGTGCCGTATATGGCGCCGCGTGCGCCGACGCCCGCGGCGGAAGTCGTTGGGAATTCGTTTGTGAACCAGTTTTACACGATTTTGCACACGTCGCCGGCGGTGCTGTATCGGTTTTACACGAATGATTCGACGCTCATCGTGAGTGGAGAGCACGGTGCGGCGAGTGATGCGCCAACGACGTATCGTACGCAACGGGACATTCACAACAAGGTTGTGAGCATGCGGTACGACGAGACCCAGGCGGATGTGAAATCGATCGACGCCTCGCACACGCTGGGCGGCGGCGTGCTGGTGCAAGTGACTGGCGCGTTGCGACGAAAAGGTGATGATTTTGCGCGCAATTTTGTGCAGTCTTTCTTGCTTGCGCCTCAGGAAAACGGTTTCTTCGTGTTGAACGACATTGTTCGATACTTGGACAAGGTCGACACTTCGGGGGAGAAGGCGCCCAAGGAGGCGAAGACGAGCGCCAAGCAGCAAGACGTCAAGGGGGAGTCGAAGACTAAGGCGGCGGAGGTCAAGTCGACGAAGAAGGAGAGTGGTGATAACAAGGCGAAGGGTGACTCCAAGTCAACCGAGGACGAGGACGCGGGTGAAGTGGATCCGAGCAAGCCGAGAACGTACGCGATGATGGCGGCTTCGGCGGCGGCGGCGGCGGCGGCGGCCAAGCCCACGGCAGCGACAGCCAAGCCCACGGCGGCGACGGCGGCGACGATCTCACCGATGACCTCGCCGAGCGCTACCTCGCCGAGTTCCAAGTCACCGGATAAGGCGGAGCAAACGGTCGCGGCGACCAAGCCCGGATGCGGTATCTTCATCAAGAACATCTTCATCGAATCGACGGTGGAGGATCTTGAGCGCGAGTTCAGCAAGTTTGGTGTCGTCCTCGGTGGTGCCAAGGGCATCAATCTGAAGGCACCGAAATTGTCGCATGAAACCAAGTTTGCTTTCATCGACTTCGATGAGCCAGCATCGGCGCAGGCGGCTTTAGAGGCGACAATCGAGCTTCACGGCAAGATTTTAGTGGTTGAGATGAAAAAGGCTTCAGTCGTCAATGCCAAGGGCGTTGGCGCGAACGGGAAGAAGGAGTCGAAGGGACGAGAGGGGGGGGTCGAGCGCAAGGGTAGCGCTAAGAATGGACGGCAACCGAAGAAGACTGAAGGTGCCGGTTCCAACAAATGAGTGGGGGCAGAGAAAATAGTAGTAGACCGACGATGACAACGTTCGACATCGCATCCAAGAACACAATTCTGCGAACACAGTAGACAAGAAGACTCTGCGAACACAGTAGACAAGAGACTTAATACGAACGAAGAATTGACGACACGCCGTCTAATTATGCCTCGCTCACGCCTTGTAGAGAATACGCGTGGCAACTCTCGAGGACTCGTCGGCGTCGGCGACAGCGAGAGAACGAGAGACTTCACTTCTCGACGCACCACGCGCCGTCGTTGAATGCACGCCCCGATAAACTTCATCATGCACTGGATCAGAATTGGTACGGGATCCTTCGCCGCGCGAATGAATCGAATCGGAACTGAGCACAGAAAACGCGCGATGAGCTCGTCGACGAAGAAGTGGCTTGCCTTGGACGCCGTCTCCGGTGAAACCGCGGTGATCATGGCGATCGGTGCTGGGGGGTTACTCGGATGCGCGTACGCGATAGGTCAGGGAAAGCCGCATTTCGAGGCGTCAAAGAAGCGTCGAGAGGAAGAAGTCATGAGAACGAAGAAGACGGATGAAAACGAAAAAGAGTAGGCTGTCGCGCTCGCGTGTTGCTTACAACTTTGTTTTCAACTTTACAATTCAAGTCATTCTCGCACATTTTGCTGCTGCGTGTTGCCATTTTGCCAAGCATTCATTGAATTTTCGTACAGTCGCATCATATCGTGCATTTGATTATTCTGGTAGGACATACCCGACATGCCCCACGCTGGCATTATGGTGCTAAAAGGTGGCAACGTCGGCGGCGACAAATCGCCGCCGGCTCCTTCTAACGTTGGCAGCTTGGACGTTTCATACTGTGGCGGTTGCGCGGGAGATGAGCTCATCAAGTGGTGTGCTGCTTGTGCTTGCGCCATCGACGCTTGCGCGAGACGATGAAGGAAATTGGTGTTGCCTATCGTTCTCTGCGCGATGACACTGTTCAAGTCGGCGTTCACATCCAAGGGATATCGCGCCGCGAGCTGGGCGGTGGTGAACGCGAATAAATGATTGAGCTGTGCCACGTTGTCTGGAGTTAGCGACATTTGTGCGTTGCCACCGGGCAATCTAGGTCGTCCGCGCGGGCGCTTGGCCTCGGCACTGTTCGAATCCTTGTTCGCCGCTCGCTTGCGCTGATTCGTCGTCGGATTCTTCGTCGTCGAGGTTGTTTGCGGACGCATGGCCGGCCCAAACTTCGACGAAGCCATCGGGAGCGGCTTGCCATCTTCATCGAGTTTACTAAACCATTGCAAGCCTTTACCTTGCGCGATGAGGTCCGCGGTAGAGTTTTCTCGGCTCAGCCAAAGAAACGCCGGCTTCCTCGAATCAGCAAGGTGCACTTTTCGAATCAAATGCAAAGAGCACAAGATGTTGGCGATGTCGTACAGGCGACGAATCTTAGTCTTCAACTTTGCGTCGTCGTGTGCGTCATCTAGAAGAAGTCGCGCCGCTGTGTCCAAACTCACGACGTTCAGCGACGACGCCAGGAATAGCTGAACAAACTTTTGCGACAACAATACCAGACTCTTCTCGCGGCGGCCGTCGTCGCCTTGCGCGCACGGCCCCGCGAATCTTTCCTGCCCCGCGAACGGGGCCTTGTTACGCACAGAATCGTTACGTGAATCAAAGTGTAGCACCGCGGTCGTCGTCGTCGCCGTCGTCGTCGTCGTAGGCGAGCTTCGATCGGAATCAATATTTTGTTGGTTATGTTCGTCGCCGCCGACGTCCTTTTCTTCTTCACCTTCGCGCGACGCCGCGCTGTCGTCGTTACTATTCTCCTCGCTTCCATTCGCGCCGCTAATTTCAAAGTTCGCCCCGAATTCTTTCAACCCCGCCTGTTTCAAGCGCTTCAAACTCTCCGGCAACCGTCGCACGCCGTGCCACGAATATTGATTCTTCGCCTTGCGCGCCATCACGTCGATGCTCTCCAACACGTTCACGATGTCGTAAATCCTCCGTCGCGCCACCCCGAGCTTCTCCGTCGCCTCGTCCAGACTCACGCTCTCCACCTCCCCGTTCCCATACAGCGCCAAAAAGTTCTCGCACAGCACGCCGAGCGATTTATCCTTCCGACTGTACGCCGCGCTCGCGCTCGCGCCCGCGCCGTCCCGCCCATCCGCCTTCGCCGCCGTCCGCGCCTCGCTCGCGCCGCCATCGCGCCCTCCCGCGCCCACCGCCGCCGCCGCCTCGCTCGCCCGCCCACCGCCGCGCGTCTCCGAGTCCTCGCACGCGCGCGTCGTCCCGTCCATCGCGAAAGATGTCCGTCGCCGCCGTCGCCCGCGTGACGTCGATCGATGCTCGCCTCGCGCGTTCGAACCGTCGCCTCGCGCGTCGTCGTCGCGCGTCGTCGCGCCCTCGCCGCGCCGCGATCGGTCGACGCGTTTTCGATTCGCGTCGCGCGTCGCGCGCGTCCGTCGCGCGTCGCGCGTCGTCGTCTCGCGTCGCGTCGCGCCGTCGCGCGCGCGGTGCCAGCTCTGGCTGCGAACCGTCGCGATCGATCGATCGATCGACGCTCGAGCGCGCGAACCTCGACGCGAGCGTCGACGCGCGCGCGCGATCGACGCGGTGAGGTTCGAGCGTCGACGACGCGATCGATCGATCGACGCGCGCGCCGTTCGCGCGACCGCGACCGCGACCGCCGACCGCGCGCGCGAGCGTCGCGGCGTCGCACGCGCGCGCGCGCGAACGTCGACGCCACGCGCGCGGTCGCGCGAACGGCGCTCGCGGCGCACCGCGCGCGCGCGCTCGCGCGCGCGACGCGCGAAGACATGCGCGGGACGGCGCGCGACGGCGGCGGCGGCGGCGCGGGCCTGCGCGTCGCGGGAGGCGCGGTGCGGAAGAAGAGCCACGGCGGCGCGGAGGATCGGTCGGCGTACCAGGGAATACAGTTCCTGAAGTCGTTCGGGCAGCACATCCTGAAGAATCCAGCCATCGTGAACGCGATCGTGGACAAGGCGGGGGTGAAGAGCACGGACGTGGTGCTGGAGATTGGGCCGGGGACGGGGAACCTGACGACGAAGCTGTTGGACGCGTGCAAGAAGGTGATCGCGGTGGAGTTCGATCCGCGCATGGTGTTGGAGCTGCGACGACGCGTGCAGAGCGATCCGGCGCAGAACTCGAGGCTGGAGATCATTCAGGGAGATTTCTTAAAGGTGGATTTGCCGTACTTCGACGTGTGCGTGGCGAACGTGCCGTATCAAATTTCTTCGCCTTTGATTTTTAAACTCTTGGCGCACAGACCGATGTTTCGAAGCGCGACGCTGATGTTTCAGAGGGAGTTCGCGATGCGCTTGGTCGCGCCCCCGGGAGACGCGCTGTATTGTCGGTTGAGCGTCAACACGCAGCTCTTGGCGCGGACGCAGCACATTTTAAAAGTCGGCAAGAATAACTTCCGGCCGCCGCCAAAGGTGGACTCGTCCGTCGTGAGAATCGAACCGAGGCATCCGCAGATTCCGGTGAATTTTAAGGAGTGGGACGGCCTGGTGCGGTTCTGTTTCGGGCGTAAAAACAAAACTCTTGGAGGCATTTTCAGGACGAAAAACGTGCTGGAACTGCTGACGAATAACTTTCGCACGTACAAGGCGTTGCAAGTCGTGCCGGACAAGAAAGTGAACAAAGCGAAAGCGAAAGCGAAGGCTGATTCGATGATGGACGTCGATGATGAAGATGAAGAAGCCACGGGGACGTCGTCGGAAGTCGTCAAGCAGCTCATCGAGGACGTGCTCGCCACGGATGGATTCGGGGAGATGCGCTCGAGCAAGATGAGTCAAGACGATTTTTTGCGTCTGCTCGCCGTATTCAACTCCAAGGGTATTCACTTCGCGTAGTTACGTAGCAGTCATAGAATTTAAAGCGACATTTGTGTACTTTTTATTACGTAAATATTCGCAGGGCGGCTAGGTTGATGGAGGAGAGGTGACGTGCGCGGCGCTTGTTCGCGTCGCTCTTTTTAGTCGAGGCGACGTAACAGGTACTTCACTTGAACATCCTTCGTCATGGGCATGATCCAGCGGTAGTATAACTCGCCCACTTTTTCCGGGGCCAATTTTAACGATTCAGAACCGACGGGTAAGGCCAAAGTATCGGGAATGTCTTCGCTGATATCCGAACCGTACACCGCCGCCTTGTTTGCCACCCGTCGAACGACCCGGTCCTCCACGGCTTGGTTCGTGAGAAGTGCCATCAAACCGTCGGCGTCTTGCGCTTTGATCAACTCCGTGTATTCTTCCGGCTGCGCCAAAAACTTGGACTCAGCGACGTACTTGCCGTAATGAATTCGCCTGGAAATCGTTTGCAAGCACGACAAGTCGCACAGACTCGCGCTCCCGTAATTGTTATCATCCCCGCCCTCGCACATCTCCGGCAAAAGATTATCGACGTACATTTCCATGATGCGATCATTAATGTTAATCGACTCCGCGCACGGGTGCAAAACGTCCTTAAACGCGATCGGCGGAATCACCAACGGCGGCTGCGCCTCTGGATAAAACGCGTGCTCATCCGGCGACGTATACCTTCGAATCTTCCCGTGACTCTGCTCCACCTCTCGAAGCATGAACTCCAGCATCGACGCTCGATCACCGTTCGGCGCGAAGCACGGCACTGGCACCGCATTTTTCGCATATATCGCGGAATTCAGCTTATACTGCGCGCGTTCGATGAGCGCGAAGATGATGGAATCCTCCTGCCGAATCAAGCTCTGCCGCACGTTATCCAGCTTCAAGCGATCGCTCAGGTCTTCGTAATCCACGGACTCGTTCACGCCGCCTCCGTTCACGCGATCCCTCGCCGCCGTCGCGCGCGCGTCGCGGCCGAGCGCGCGTCGGCGGCGTCGCGCGTCGGCGGCGTCCCGCGCGCCGTCACCACCGCGACGCGTCGCGCGGCGCAGGCTCGCCGCGCGCGCGATCGAGCTCGAGCTCGCGAGCGAGGCGGGCGGCGTCATCGCCGCGTCGCCGCCGTCGCGCGTCGAGGTCGCGCGTCGCTCTGTCGCGCGCGCGGACGCGCGAGCGCGCGCGTTCGCGACATCGAACCCGGCGCGACGCCGGCGCGACAGAGCGACGCGCGCGCGCGACGCGCGCGCGCGACGACGACGCGCGCGGCGAGCGGCGAGCGGTGAGCGGTGATGCGCGCGAGCGCGCGCGCGCGCGCGCGCGAGGACGAAAAGGCGACGACGGCGACGTTCGGTGGGTCGGACGTGCTGCGCGCCGCGGCGACGACGCCGCTGACGCCGCCGCCCGCGCGCGAGAGCGCGACGGACGACGACGCGGGACGCGCGCGGTGCGATGGAACGTTCGCCGAGCTCGGGCCGAGCGAGAAGAAGCGATTGGCGGCGCTGATTCAAAAGTGCGTGGACGCGCACGAGGGGGCGGGACGCGCGGAGCGGGAGCGAGACGCGGCGGTGACGGCGCTCGAGCGCGAGCGAGAACTCAGAAGCACGATGGAGATCGAACGTGATGTGGCGGTGGAGACGGCGAGGGCGCTGAAGGAGGAGTTGGCGGCGGCAAAGGAACGCGCGGCGGCGCTCGCGGCGACGGTGGCTCGGTTGCGAGAGCGGCTTCAGTCGACGCGCGGGGACGAGGAGAGGATGGGAATGGGGAGAATTGCGACGGGTGCTTCTTGGTCGAAGAGTGATGATTTCGACGTGCCGACGCCGAGAGGGACGTTGACGTTGTCGCCAGTCGCGTCCGAGGCGCCACGACGAGAATACTCGGTGGACTTACTGGAACTCATCGAGAGCGTCGAACGAGAAAGCTTTTAGCGATGTCATTCGTAGTATTTGTAGTCATGATCTGTATAACGTTTGCGATGTTCGCTCAGTTTTTTCAGAGAGTGAGTGATATTGATTACAAGGCGATTGTTTTGTTTACTCCCAAGCTTTGCGTCTCGTCTTGGGAGCGCGCTCGTTTTGCGCAAAAGGATTGGCGCGCTTGGCGCCGGCGGACGATCGCCTGTCGTACATAGAGTTATCTCTGCTCGCGAGTGCGTTCGCTGATACCCGCCGCGATCTAGTGTTCGCCCCAGCCGGCGCGGGAGCCTCCGCGCCTCCGTTGGTCAAGTGAGCAAAGTTATGCGCGATGTTGCGCTTGGCTTTTTTGCCGTTTCCTAATTCCACTTGGTTCACGGTGGACGCAAACCTGAGCGAGCACATCGACTCCTCGGCGCTGTCCAAGTCTGGAGCTATGTTCACTACCATCAATGTCTTGCCTTCGCCCCCTAAGCAGGGCGCAAGCAGGTACGTAAGCTTACTATTGCGGTAGGGAATGTGCTTGTCGCCCCTCCCGACGGCGGCGAACACGTCTCCCAAACAGGACAAGCTCTTGTTGATGGCGCAGGCTTCTGTCATTCGCTGCCCACGAGCTCCACTCCTCTTTGTTCGCTCAGAACCGGCTAAGTCAACAAGGTTGAGGCAACCCGTGAGGGTTTGACCCGTCGCTTGGTGCACGCCGGTGATGTACAACAGGAACAACGTGTGCGAGCGGGACGAGTTTGCGTTCATCTCCGTTTCCGCCACTTCCCGCGCCTTCATGGCACGGCGCACTAAGCTAGTCGCTTCGTACACAGATGTTACCTCTTCGCGCACGACACCGGTCACCGTAGGGCATCCACCCTCTGGAGCGTTGACCACGTTGTGACGTTCGCTGTGCGTGGAGCCCGGGCACAGCAAATCGCGAATCTGCTCGTTGTAAATCTCCACGTAACTCGCCTCCATGGTGTATTCGTAGCCCTTTGATCGAAGAGCCTCGGCTTGTTCAAGCACCTTGGCGACCGCTCTGGGAACGATACCGCGACGCTCGCCCTCACCTTGACCCAACATTGTGTACGTCTTACCGGCGCCAGTTTGACCGTACGAAAACAAGCACACCTTGTAACCATCGAGAGCGGATTGAACGAGCTCGGAAACTTCCTCGAACACTTCATCTTGGCTTGAATGACCGTTGAACACGCGATCAAAGTTGAACAATCTCGGGTCAAGCTCCGGAATGGACACGGCGAGAGTCTGCTTGTCGACATCCGGGACGTCGACGACGCTATCTTCACCTGGCAACAAGGGACGAACTCGAGCGATAACACGAACGTTTCCACGCAATTCCTGGATCATGTTGTGCATTTCGCGTCGCATTTCGTCCGCCTGCAGGAGTTGAGACTCGAGCTCTCTCACGCGATCGAAAGACGCGACGTGCTCGTCCTTGACTTGCTGCGCGCGTCGGGTCGCCAAGGTGGCCTCCTTGCGTAATTGCTCCATCTCCGCTTGCATCTTCGTGGCTTCGCCTTGCTTACCGCCATTGCGTTCGAGACTACGCACCTTGGCCTCCAAATTCGCGATCGTGACCTTCATACGATCGACAGAGACGCCATCGGCCTTGGCAGGCATCGGAGCCAAGTTCGTGCTTGTCGCCTGGCGACGCGCCTCCTCCTTCTCGAGTCTGAGCCTCGTGATTTCTGCGTGCAACTTTGACTCGCGTTCATTGGCTTCCATGAGCACACGTTGTGCTTTTTGTTCCAATTCAACTGTTTCCTTCGTTCGAGCAGATCCACCAAAGGTTTGAAGTTCTGTAATGAGCTCTTGCTTCTCGCGCGACGCTGCGGCTTGAAGCTGCGATCGGAGTTCAGTCATCGCGTGCTCTTTCTCCGCAGCGGCTGCGTTGCACAGTTTGGCGGCTTGCAGCGCCAATGCCTCTTGTTTTTCGTTTTCGAGCGTGTCTCGAAGGTTCTCAATCGCAGACTTGTAAGACTTGCTCGAGTCGATGCTACCCGCCGCCGCAGCTTCCGCCTTTGCTTGCGCAACGGCGACTTCCTTGACAGCATTAAGCTCAGCTTTGAGATTATCCAGCGCGACTTGCTTCTCGATCGTAAGCTTCTGACGTTGTTCTTCGAGAGCGCGGGCCTTGATGGCTTCGAATTGTTCTGACGCGTTGTTCTGCAGAGACGCCTTGAGCTCAGCGAGCATGGACGCCTTTTCAGCTTCGTGCTTTCTGATCAACTCGTACTTTTCGCGCTCCAGCGCGGAAACGGCGTTGTGTTTATCAGTCGCGAGCTTTTCCGTGAGCTCTTGAATCTTGCGCGACATCACCTCCGCGTGCTTCTCGCTCGCCATGACAAGTGCGCTTTGCTTCTCGGCTTCCATCTGCGCCTTGATCTCCGCGTCACTACGCGACGACTTGCCGCCAGTAAACGCAACCGAACGTGCTTGCTCGAGTTCAGCCTTCAAGTTATTTGAGAGTTCAGTCATTGTCTCCTCGTGAGCTTCCTTGAGAGCCTGGATCGCAGCTTCGCGCTCGCCAGCCGCTTGCTGCGTCAATTCTACTCGTTGCGCTTGAAGCGCCTCCTCCTTGCTCGCGAAGAGCTCGGACTTGGCTTGTTCGAGCTGCGCGATCGTGCGCTCCTTTTCGTGTTTGAGTTCATTCGAAAAGTTTTCAGCGCACTCTTGGCGAACTCGGATCTCGAGCTCGGACATCGCGGCTTCGTGTGCGTCGTGAGAGCCCGTGAGCGCGGAGTCGCGCTCGCTGAGAAGCTTGGACTGGAGTTCTTGCTGCTGCGCCTCGAGCGCTTTGGCCTTGTCCAACGCGTGTGCCTCTTGCATTTTCTTCGCTTGTTCGGCGAGCGCGCGTTGAGCCTCTTGCTTAACACGGGTCAACTCTTCTTGCGCAGACTGCTTGACTTGCTCGAGCGTCGAGTGAAGACTTTCAAGCGCGCTCGAAGCCTTTGCAGCGGCGAGCTCGGCTCTGTGCTCGGCATCCTTGAGGGCAGCTTGGAACTCAGCCTTCACGTGAGCTTCCTTGGCGCTCGCTTCTGACTTGAACGCGGCGAGAGTCATCTCGTTGTTGGTCTTTTGCTCAGCCAAGAGAGAGTTGAGGTGCACAATGCGTTGCTGCATATCCTCCTTGCTTTCAGACTTGAACGTGTTCATCTCTTGCTCGAGGCGCGCGCGGAAGTCACGTTCGAGGTTGTTGACTTCCTCACTTTTTTCGCGTGAGAGAGTGTCTTCGAGATCACTGAGAGCCTTCTCCTTTTCAGCAGTCATCGCGGTGACAATCTTTTCGATGTCCGCTTGAGCGCGTTCGTTCTGCGTCGCCGCCTCAGACGCGAGCTGGTTGTACTGCGCCGTGACGCCCTCGAGCTTGGATAATTGCGCCGAGAGTTCGTTCTTGAGAGAATCTTCAGAATGCTTCAACTTCGCGAGCTCGGCTTCCCACTGCGCCTTCTCCTCTTTGTACGAGCTCTGAAAGTCGGCGTGCTGCGCCGTGGCGTTTTCGAGCAACGCCTTGGCCGCCGCGAGCTCTTGCTGAGCAATCTGCGTCTGCTCCTTCGCTTGATCGGCTTCAACCTTTGCTTCCGCCGCCGCCGCACCGGCTTGAGCCGCACTGACGTTCTCCATTTGTCGAAGCTGCATCATCTTCTCTTGCTCACTCGCGAGCGAAGCCTCGGCGTCGTTGGCCGCTTGGACGCGCGCCTCGGCGTCGGCAATCTTCTTTGAGAGCGCAGTCATGACTCGTGCGTGCTCTTCTTCGCGAATCTTCGATCGTTCCTCGTTCAAAGCGTCGATTTTGCGCTGAAGTTCTTCCTCGGCCTCCTGAACCTTGTTCAAGTGCGCCATGTGATCCTCCTTTTGCTTGGCCAACCGTTCGCGTTCCGCTTTCAAGTCGGCCATCTCCGCCGCCGTCGCCGGCACGGTAACCGTTTGCCCGTTCCCGTTCACCGCAGCCTCTTCCACGGCCGCCTTATACGAACGCTCGATTTCTTGACACTCCGCCGTCATCTCATCCTTGTGCTGCAGCAACTGCTTGAGCGTCTCCTTTTGACTCTTAATGTGCATCGTGAGCTCCGCCACGAAGCCCTCCGGGTCCGCCTTCTTCTTCACCGTCGGTCGCCACGATAGGCACCTCGTCGCGTTTTCCATCGCCGGAGACTCATCGTAAATCTTCCTCGCCACCGCTTGCACCTGCGACTTCATCCCATCGTTGAACAGAATCGTATCATCGTTCCCGCCTGCGTTCGTTCGCGCGTTTAAAACCGCCGTCGTCAGTGTCCCGCCTCTCGCGCGCGCGCATTCGTCGATCCCTCCCACCACCGCCCCACGGTCGCCCGTCCCGCGCGCGCGTCCTGGACGATCGAACCATTTCATCGTCGTCGTCGCCCGACGTCTCGACGCGTCCACTCGCGACGCGCGCGCGCGCGGCGCTCGAATCCGAATCCTTTCCCATCGTTCCCCCAACGGCCGTTTATCGCCTCGGTCGCGTCGCCTCGCATCGCATCGCATCGCGCACCGATCGACGGTCGCCCGCTCCGCGACGCGCGCCTGACGCTCGACGGATTCGTCGCCTTCCGCGCGCTCAGCGGTCCGTCGCTCAGGCTCTGTCGACGCAAGTTTTCCATCCTGCGCGCGCGACGAATCGAATCGCGAAGGCAAACCGTCGTCAGTCGGCGTTCGCGTCGCGTCGCGTCGTCGCGTCGTCGCGGCGCGTCGCGTCGGCGCGGCGCGATGTCGGTCGCGTCGCGCACCTCGCGCGCAGGTGATTCATCTTCACCGCGCTCGTCGGCGCGGACGCGGCGTTCGTCGCGTCCGTGAGCGCCATCGCGCGACGCAGTGACGCGCGCGCGCGGGCGCGCGGGGGCGTTCGGTCCCCTGGCGCAAAGTATGACTGTTTGTACATACCCGTGTGTCCGAATATTCGAACGCGATCCATCGCTCGTATTCCGCGCCCATCGCGCGCTGTGTGGTGATTTATGATACGAGCGCGCGTGGAATCACACACGGACACGAGGCGCCCCCGCGCGCGCGTCGACGTCGCGCGCGCGCACTCGGCGACGCGCCACCGTCGACGCGATGCGACGCGCGATCGAGCGCGCGATCGCGTCGGCGTCGACGGCGGCGCGCGCGCGCGGGACGCGCGGGATGTGCGCGGCGGACGCGGCGCGAACGGCGCGCGCGACGCGCGAGGGCACGTCGACGACGACGACGACGGCGACGGCGACGACGGCGACGACGGCGGTCGAGGCGAGGAAGGGGAAGCGACAGGCGATGGAGGTCACGCCCGAGGCGTCGCGAAGGATCAAGGCGCTGTTGGACGCGAGGCAGAAGGAGTACTTGAAGATTGGGGTGAAGACGCGGGGGTGCAACGGGATGACGTACACGATGAATTACGCGGACGAGAGCGAACGGAAGAAGTTTGATGAACTCGTGACGACGGAGGATGGGGTGAAAATAATCGTCGAGCCGAACGCGCTGATGAGCATCATCGGGACGAAGATGGATTACGTGAGCGATCGATTGAGGAGCGAATTCGTGTTTGAGAATCCAAACAGCAAGGCGCAGTGCGGGTGTGGGGAATCGTTCACGGTGTGAGCGAGAGAGATGATAGGGTAGGGCGAATAGGCCTAAAACAGCGTTCGCGCGCGCGGACGAGCTGTGCGATGTACAAGACTATTATTTACATTACTTTTAACCGCGGCGCGCCGGCGCCGAGACCCGGCGCGCTTCGCTCTCACTCGGCGCCGAGACCGGCGCGCTTCGCTCTCGACTCCGCGCGCGGTGCCTCGGCGATGCCTTGATTATCTCGACCTAAACCCGAACCTCGCGTGAACCCCATCGCGGTGAGCAAGCGACTGCCGATGCCGCGCGTGTGCGCCTCGAACGCGGCGAACGCTCCCGATAAAGGCGACGGCGCGCGCCTCGCGGCGTCCTCATCGAACGTCGCCTCGTCCTCCGTCGCGCGAGTAAATTCTACGATATCGCGCGTTGTGTCTTCCTCGTCACTTTTACGGTTCCATCGTCGCCCGCGATCTTTCTTCTTTTTGCCTTTGTTCGCTCTGCGCGACGCTTCCGCGCGCTTCTCTAAACGCGCTCTGCGTTCGTCGCTCATCAAATACTCGTCTCGCGTCATCGGCTCCGCACATAGCGATTTCAAAAGCTCCTCGCTCACCACCGGCGGAACATCGCTCGTCCCATCGACGCGTTCGATGACAAAAGCCGCGCGTTTGCCCGCTCGCGTCGGTCGGAACGTCGTCCCGAGCGCCGCCGCCAACGCGCGTATCACTCTCCCTTGACCTCTCGCCACGCACGCGCGTTTACTACACACGATCGTCAATGATTTACCCTCGCGAACGACGCGCTCCATCTCTCGCCTCGCATCGTTGGCGTCGAACCCGTCCCGTCGCGCTCGCGTCGCGCGCGTCGCCGCCACGTGCAATTTCTTCAACATCTTCTTCTCCCCCGGCATCAGCGCGCGCGCGCGCGCGCTCGCGCTTCGCGTCGACGACGAATGATTTGTTCGCCATCTTCCGTCGTCGTCATCTGCGCGTCCGGTGCTCCAGCGCCACGTGAGCGTCGCCGATGGTTCTCCGTCTTGGTCCGCGCCTGACGAAGAGGAAGACGTAGACGCGTCGTCGTCGTCGTCGCTCGAGGCCCGGGAAGGGTGACCGCGATCGACGCGTATCGCGTCGTCGTCCTCGGCGTCGTCCTCGGCGTCGCTCGGGGCGAGGACGGCGAACATGCGCGCGACTTGTGAAGTCGGTTGGAAGGAAAAATGTCACTCTTGTTACAACGTCGTCGCGAATCAATCAAATATACAGCGGCAGGCGCGTCTACGCGAAACCCCACGCGGCGTCGGGATCGTTTTCGACGCTTTCGCTCGCGTCGTCACCGCTGGCCCAGAGATCGGGATCGCCCGCGCCGCGGCGCAACACGCGCGGCTCGCCCGCGGACAAATCCACCACCGTAGACGCCGCCGCCATTTGACGCTCACCGATGTCCACGATAAACCCCAGACCTCGCGGTAAGTACGTGTCATGAATCACCGCCGGTTCGTCGTCGCACTCGGGCACGGTCGAGCACATCAACGGCGCGTCGAGGAGATCGAGCAGCGCTCGCGTGACCTCGCACGCGGGAATGCGCACGCCCACCGTCTTCCTACTCTTGCACTGCCTCGCCTTATCCTTCGTCGATTTATCCACCAGACACACCTTCGGCAACTCCTTCGACGCGGGTAAGATAAACGTATACGGCCCCGGCAGGCACTGTTTCGCCAACTTGAACGGCAACGTCGCGCCAGGTTTCGGGTTGTTAGGAAACCCGGTGGTGTACGCGTCTATATCTGCGAATCCTCGGCACAGTATGCTCAGCGGTTTGTTCAGCCCGGCGTCTTTGATATCATACAACTTCTGCACCGCATCCGCGTTCGTGAGATCGGCGACGAAGGCGTACTTCGTGTCCGTCGGGATCGCGCCGACCTCGCCTCGGCGAATCGCCTCCGCGACTTGGTCCAGCTTCCACATCTCCCCCTCCAGGCCGACGTTCACGAGATCGATGTCGACGTACATCGCCTCCGCCGTCGGCGCTCCACCGCCGCGGCCTCGCTTCGCCGCGCGCGCGCGCACGCCTCCGCGCGCGACGTCCGCGCGACGCGTCGGCGGCGGCGTCGTTATCCGAATTCGCGCATTCGCGCGTCGCGCGGCGGCGCGCGACGCGACGACGGCGCGCGCGCGCGTCGAAGCGATAGAATGAGACATCGCGCGCGTCGTCCGAGCGCGCGGTCGTCGCGCGCGATCGCGCGCGTGCGTGTGACGTCACACCGGGAGGCGAAAAGCGATGGGACGACGACGCGACGACGACGACGACGACGACGACGACGCGCGCGACGCGCGACGCGACGGCGCGCGACGACGACGACGAAGTCGCGACGGACGGTCGCGAAGTCGAAGCGCGTCGCGAAGTCGAAGCGGCGCGAGACGGCGACGGCGAAGTCGAAGTCGGAGCTCGAGCTCGAGCTCGAGCTCGCGCGAGCGACGACGACGGCGAAAAGAGCGACGGCGAAAAAAGGAGAAGAAGGAAAAGAGAGATAAACGACGTCGACGACGGTCGAGGTCGAGGTCGAGGTCGAGCATGAGCGAGCGCGAGCGCGAGGATGGGCGAGCGCGGCGACGGGACGACGAGGCGGCGGCCGGGACGGCGACGCGCGCGAACGCGCCGATGGAAGCGGCGTCGACCGCGATGGCACCGCACGACACAGAGGCACAAATCACCACGCCGAAGGAACCGCTGCCACCGCCGCCGACGTCGGCGGCGATGACGCTCGAACAGTATCGCGCGTACGTCGCCTCGCAGAGTCACACCAAGGGCACGGTGCACGCGACGCCGCCGGAGGAGAAGGCCGAGCAAGAAGACAAGAAAAAGCACGGTTGGTGGCCGTGTCAGAGCTATAAGTGCGCTGGGAAGCAGCTCAATCCGAAGGCGGTGGAGAAGTGCGAGGCGTGCGGGGCGCTTCGGCGCTTAGACTCGGGCGGCCAGGCGTTCACCGCGTCCACCTCCGCCGCGCAGCACAGATGGAACACCGAGGTCAGGCGCAGGTAGCGCGCGCGTCCACGTAGCTTCGTTCGATAGCGTGCGAACGAAACCAAACTCCTAGATCGTTCGCGTCGTCGTCTCGTTCCGTCGCCGAGTCGCGCGCTCCGCTGACGAGGCGACTCAACCGCCCCGAGCGCTCACCGCGCGCCGCACAACTCGACGCGTCTCGCGCGCGACGCGGCGCGCGCGAGCTCGAAGAGACGATCGTCGCGCGCGGGCGCGCCGCGCGATCGCGCATCTCTCGCGTCGGCGCGGAATTATTGCGTGAATCGCGATGATAGCGTTATCGCAACGAGCCCTCGCCGCGGTGAACGGACGCGCGCGCGCCGACGCGTCGACGCGAAGGCGCGCGGTGCGAACGAACGCGTGGGGCACGCGCTCGCGCGCGGCGGAGCGATCGAGCGGGCTGGATGAGCAGTATTACGAAGACATGGCCTGGGGGGACGGGGCGACGCGCTTCGCGCGGGGCTCCACCGACGAGGCGGAGTCGTGTCCGTTGGAATTGCACGCAGAACGCGCGAGCGACTTCGAAGCCATCATGCTAGTCGTCGGAACGACCGTCGGGGGTGGATTCTTGGCGATGCCGTACTTTGCCGCGCCCGCGGGGTTCGTGCCGGCGGTTTTGATATCGTGCGGCGCGTGGGCGGTGCTCGCGGCGAGCGGACTGTTGGTGTCCGAGACGCTCATGCACACGTGGGCGCGGTCGAACGGTCGAGCGGTAAGTTTGTTGAGCGTAACATCGGATTATCTCGGAAAGAGTTGGGGTAGCATCGTCGCGGTGTCGTTCTTTGTGATGATGAACTGCACCCTGGTGAGTCAGCTCGCAAAGTGCGGGTCGTTGGCGAGTTTTTTTAGCGGTGGCGCGGTGTCGCACGTTTTCGGTGCGGCCGTGACCGCGGCGATTGTTGGATACGTGTCGTTTTCAAACAAAGCGGCCAAGGTGAACGCGTATGCGACCGTTGGTATTTTTATGTCGTTTGCGGCGATTTGCGTCTTTGGAGTGACGAATTTGACGCCTAGCAAGCTCACTTTCATGAACTTCGCCGCGGCAGTGCCGGCACTCCCCGGTTTGGTACAACTATACACGTATGGAGAGTGCTTGCCGACGTTAGTTGACATGCTCAGAGGTGACAGAGAACGTATCAGGCGCGTGATTTTGCTCGGCACCTCGGTCCCCCTCGCAATGTACACTTGTTGGCTCGTCGTTTCGCTCGCTCAGAGTGGCGCTTGGGCTGGAACCGCGGACTTAGCGCAAGCAATGTTGGAAAGTGGCGGTATTTTGGGTGGAGCGACCGCTTCTGTCGCGATCGCGGCGTCGATCTCAACGCTCATCGGGGGCTACTTGGCGTTGAGTCGGTTTTGCGCCGACGCCTTGAAGAAAAAGACGGTGAGTCATTCAAAGTCCGTGATTGCGCTTACCCTGCTTCCCTCGCTACTTTTCGCCTGTAAAGGCCCCGACGTGTACTTTTCCGCGCTCAAATTCTCTGGAGCTGTGGTCGTCATCATTTTGTGGGGTATTTTGCCTCCGCTGTTGGCAAAATCTTTATGGAAGCGAGAAGGAGCTTTCACCGAAATCCGAAAGTTCTTCGTTTACGTCTGGACTACTCTCGCGAGCGTCGCTCTGTGCTTTGGCGTTCGGTCTCTTGTCGTCGCGTGAAACGTTTGAACACTCTTACGCGCATGTTGTATACTATTTAGATGCGCCGTGTTGATCCTACATAGGAACGTGTTGATCCTGCTACTGTGCATAGAACGTGTTGGTCCACTAAAAAAACGTCCAATCTTTAATACAAGGTTCTACCGGTATCATCGTAAACAAAACTATAGCTTCGTCGCGACTATCTTAATTGCTAAGTTGAATTTCGCTAAGGGCGAGCTGGACACGGGCGGGTGAGCTGAGTGACTTGTACTTCGACAGCCATGAGACGTCTCGGAAAAATTCATCTTGAGCGTCGTCGAGACTCTTGAACCCAGATTCCTCGCTCGCATCTCGAACTGCCATTCGAATTTTAGATTTGTTTGACGATACGTTTTCATACTGTTGTCTCAATTTGTTGGGAATCTGGATTTCGATCGGTGGTGCGGCGGCGGCGGCGGCGACGACTCGTTTAATGACGACTTCAATCTCGTCGTCGTCACTACGATGCGAGTCCTCCTCAACCGCTCGTCGTAAAGGAGTTATTGAAGTCGTACTAAGCGTAGGTGAAACGATCAACACGGCACCACGCCGTGACGCACGAGCGCCACCGAGCGCTTCGATCACGTCATCGATGGGTAAATTCACCTTCGCCGTTCTTCTCAATCGCGGCCCTGCGCGCGCGAGATTCACCACGTGCAAACGTATGATCCCTCGCTCTTCTTCCCCAACTGGCTCGCATCCAAAGAATCTAAAATACAATCCCAACGTCGTCCATCCTCTCGATCGCGCGTACGTCATCGCCGCCTCGCGCATCCTCAACAAAAACTTTACCGCTTCGCGTTTTTCCTCCTCCGATCCACTCAACGCGAGCGCGCCGACGTTAGACTTCCCCCAAACCGCATCTCTCGTCGTCACCACCACGTGTCCCGGAAGTCCACCGACTTGTCGATCTGGTCCAGCCAACGCGCCGGTGTTCCCACTCGTTAAATCGTTCCATCGCCGATCAAACTCGACGTCGTTGTGACAAACCGCAAACTCTTCCGCCCAGTCCCCGAGCGCGTCTTGGTTCACCAAGTTCGGCGCCGCCCCGGTCGCCGCGCGGAGCACGGCGTCGAACGGCGTGGCGTCGGCATCCATGCGATCGCTCGATGGCGACAGCAGCGCGCTCGCTCGCAAGTATTCGACGTAGTTGTGATTTCGAAGCCATTCCTGAGCGACCGTGAAAACGTCCGCGGTGGCGACGCCGCGCGCGCGAAAGCCGCTCGTGGACGCGAACGCGTCGCGTAAACTTCGTGCGTCGCGCATTCGCGGCGCGGCGGGCGCAGACGGTCGCGGCATCGCGCGCGCGAGTGACGTCGGGCGCGACAGTTGGATTCGGTTTGAATCTCCTTCAGCCGGCCGCGAGTCGGAACGAAACGTTGGATTGGAATGGAATGGAATTCGATGGCTATTCTTCTATGCGCGCGTCGTCCGACGGTCGGCTTGTTCGTGAAATCAGTGCGCGAGCGTGTAGCACGGCACGTCCGCCGGCGCGATTTCGCCGGCTTCGCAAATGATCGACCGCACGCACTTTGCGGGGACGACGTCGTAGGTGAGGTTGATGATGGAGAGGTTCGGCAAATTTGCCGCAGAGGCGAGGACTCCGTCGACGGCGTCGACGCGCGAGATGCTCTCCGCGGCACCGATCTCGTTGAAGGCGAACGCGTCGAATTGCACGCGCTCGTGGAACTTGCACGTCTCGGCGGCGACGAAGACTGGCACGCCTTGCTCTAACGCGGCGTGCGCCACGGCGCTGGAACCTATGCGAGACACCACCACACCGTTGCTAAGGCACGCCGCGGCGCCGATGAGCACCTTGGTCGCGTGTTGCATCGCGTAACTCAAGCCGTTGAGCGCGGTGAACACGCAATCGATACCCTGAGCGCACAAGTCGCTTAAAATACCCGCGCCTTCGCTCGACGGACGGCTATCGACGACGGTGACGGTGAACTTGACGCCAGCTTCGTGCGCGCGCAACAGAATCTCGCGCACCGCGTGCGACGCACCGTGCGTCACGATGACGTCTCCGTCTTCAATATTCTTCACTCCCGCGCGCACGATCGATTCCAACGCGCCGTCCAGTTTTTCTTTGATGAAGTAGTCGATGTGCATCAACGTCTTCTGCTTGCAACCGTCGTTGCACAAGCCTTGGTTTTCGTCTCGAGACAAGCGCGCCAAGTGCGTCTTCAACGACCGAACGGCGTTCCCCATCGCGATCCCCATCGGACGAGCCTTATCCAACGTGTGCACGACTTGATTCAGATGGTGCGTCAGCGACAGCGCGTACGTGGCGTCGACCGGGGCCTCGAAATTCTCAACCACGACGCGCAACACGCGCAACAACGCGCTCACGCGCTCGCGAGCGCCCTTTGTCTTTCCGCGCGCGTAGTTCAGCGCCAATCGCTCCACCGCGGGATGCGCGACGACGCTCGGGACGTAATCCTTCGCCGTTCCGCGCAAGTGCGAGACCCCGTTCCTGAGAAGACCGACGGAGGCGCTCGTCGAAGCCGCCTTCTTCTTCTTCTCCTCATTCGCGCCGACCGCACCGCTCGCTTCACCGCTCGCACCGCCCCCCGCGCTTCCGCTCACCGCACCACCCTCGGCGTTCGCGCCGCCGCCGCTCGATTTCTTCGCTCCCGCGCCGCCCTGCGCGCCGCCTTCGCCCGCTTTCGCCGCCGCCTTCGCCGCGCGCTGCGACTCTTGCAGCGCCCGTCGCTCCGCCTTACTCATCTTCGGTTTCGGCGGCGGTATCTCTCGCCCCGCTCCCGCGGACTCGCTCTTCTTCTTCTTCTTCTCCTCCGCCTCTTCCCCCGTCGCCGCCGCCGCCGCCGCGTCGCGCGCGTCCGACCCCGTCCCGACCTCTACCCTCGCCTTGCTCGCGAACTCCCCCTCGAGTCCTCCCTGCGTCCCTCCTCGTCCCCTCATCGGCAGAATCATCACCGGCGATCGACTCGCGCGTCCCGCGTCGTCGTCGCCCTCGCCCCGCGCGCCGCCGCCTCGCGGAATCGCCATCCCCGTCCCCACGCCGTCCTCTCGCGCCGCCGCGCCCGTTTTCTCGCCGCTCCGCATCGCGCGCAGTTCCATGGCGACCCCTCCGTCCCATCGTCCGCTCGCGTCTTCCGTCCCGTCGCGCGCGCCGGCGTTGATCGCGAATCCCACCGTGCGCGTGAGCGGGGTTTTCATCGTCGCCTGCGCGCCGTCCGCGCCGTCGCGCGCCGTCGCGCGTCCCGCGTCGTCGTCCGCGTCGTTCGATCGTCGCTCGCGCCGCGCGTCGCGGTCGGGCGTCGCCGTCATCGATCGCGCGCGTCGAGGTGTGTCGGCGCCGCGCTCGAATCGCGCGTCGCGTCGCACACCGCCGCGCGCGATCGCGCGCGAGCCGACGCGCGCGGACGACGACGTCGCCGCATCGCGTCCGCGCCGGGATCGCGCGCGCTCGGCGACGCGCGCGCGACGCATCGCGCGCGATCGCCCGACGGACGCGCGCGAAAGATGCGACGACGGATCGCGTCGCGACGCGCGCGGAAGACGGCGCCGACGACGCTCGCGCTGGCGCTGACGACGATCGTCGTCCTCGCGACGCGAACGGACGCGCTCAAAGCGAACGATTTCAAGACGTGCGCGACGAGCTCGTTTTGCGCGCGAGGGCGAGACGCGCGAGACGCGCGAGGCGCGAGGATCGAAGACGCGCGCGCGCGCGAGCGCGACGCGAGGGCGGTCGAGTTCGACGTCGTGCGCGGCGATGAGGGAAGTGCGTCGCTGGTGGGTTCGGTGGAGGGGATGAAAACGGGCGCGGTGCGCGTGCGGGTGGACGAAAGAGGCGAGCGGGCGCGATTCGCGGCGCGGGAGGTGCTGACGAGGGAGACGGAATTCGAGGACGACGCGAGGGCGCGGGCGCGCGTGGTGGGAAGGAGCGAGACGAGCGTGGAGGTGGAGTTCGAAGAGACGGGGGCGCGGGCGAAGATTTACGCGGATCCGTTCAAAGTGGAGGTGTACGCGCGGGAGGCGACGACGCCGGCGGCGATTTTTAACGCGCGAGGCGAGTTCGCGTTCGAGACGGGAGGCGACGGGTCGTCGGAGGATTGGGCGGAGACGTTTAACGGGCACACGGATACGCGCAAGAATGGACCCACGGCGGTGGCGTTCGACCTGACGTTTCCGAGCGCGAGCGACGCGTACGGGCTTCCCGAACGCGCGACGTCGCTCAGCCTGAAATCGACGCGAAAGTACGAGAGCGGTAAGAGTTGGTTCGGTCGATCTTCGGTCGATTCGTCGGTGAATGAAACCACGCTCGGGGAACCTTACAGATTGTACAACCTCGACGTGTTCGAGTACCTCGATGATAGCGCGTTCGGGCTTTACGGATCGATTCCGATGCTCACCGCGCACGGGGTCCGCGACGGCAAATCGACTACGGCTGGCGCTTACTTTCACAACCCGAGCGAGATGTACGTGGATGTCAACGTCGACGGCGCTAACGGCGTGCACACGAAGTGGATGGCCGAGAGCGGCGCGATGGATGTTTTCATTCTCCCCGGCGATACCCCCGCGGATGTGTTGAAGCAATACACGGCGCTGACGGGCACGACGTCGATGCCACCGTTATTTTCGCTCGGCTATCATCAGTGCCGATGGAACTATCGCGACGAGAACGACGTCAAGGAAGTCGACGCCGGTTTCGACGCAAATGACATACCGTATGACGTGCTTTGGCTCGACATCGAACACACCGATGGGAAGCGGTACATGACGTGGGACAACGGTCCGTTCCCCACGCCCGAACGCATGATCAACGACATCGCCAGTCGCGGACGAAAGATGGTCACCATCGTGGATCCGCACGTAAAAATCGACAATAATTATCCCGTCTATAAAGAGGCAAAGGATAAAGGGTTTTACGTCAAGAAGAACGACGGCACGACGGATTTTGACGGGTGGTGCTGGCCGGGAAGTTCGACGTACTTGGACGTCACGAATCCAGACGTTCGCGAGTGGTGGGCGAGCAAGTTTTCTTTGGACTCCTACAAAGGATCGACGAAAGACTTGTACATTTGGAACGATATGAACGAGCCGTCCGTGTTCAACGGTCCCGAAATTACGATGCAAAAAGACTTGATTCATCACGGCGGCGTCGAGCATCGCGAAGTGCACAACGCTTTCGGCATGTACTACCACATGGCCACCGCGGAGGGCATCAAGCGAAGAAACGACGGCGATCGTCCTTTTGTCCTCTCGCGCGCCTTTTTCGCCGGGACGCAACGCATCGGACCGATTTGGACCGGTGATAACACCGCTGATTGGCGACACCTCGCCGTGAGCTTACCGATGGTGCTCACGCTCGGCGTGAGCGGGTTGACGTTTAGCGGCGCCGACGTCGGAGGATTTTTTGGCAATCCCGACGCTGAGCTCATGACGCGGTGGTACCAAGTCGGCACTTACTATCCTTTCTTTCGTGGACACGCGCATTTGGAGACGAAGCGCCGCGAGCCTTGGTTGTTCGGTGACGAGAGCACGGCAATCATTCGTCAAGCGATTCGCGAGCGATACGCGCTCCTGCCTTACATTTACACCTTGTTTGAAGAGTCGCACCGAACGGGCGCGCCCGTGTTGCGTCCGCTTTGGTACGAATTCCCAACGGATGAGAACGTGTTCAAGATTCAAGATTCATTCATGCTCGGTTCGGCAATTTTAGTGCAGCCAGTGTTGAAGCAAGGCGCGAAATCCGTCTCGGTGTACCTTCCGGCTGGCGTTTGGTACGAAAAACGATCGGGCGCGCGACACGTCGGACCGAAGACGTTCGACGTCTCCGTCGAGCTCAGCGACGTTCCGGTGTTCCTTAGAGGTGGTGCTATTTTCGTGCGAAAGGACAGAGCTCGGCGAAGCTCGACAGCGATGAAGGGTGACCCATTGACCATCGTCGTCGCGCTCGACGCGAACGGCGAGGCGAGAGGCTCGTACTACGCCGACGACGGTAAGAGCTACGAGTACGAGGCGTCGAAGAGCTCGGCGTTTGCGCGTCGCTCGCTGTCCTTCAAAAACGGGCACTTCGTCGTATCGGCGGCCTCTGACGCCGATGGCGGCGCAGGAAACGTCAAATCTTTCGTCGATGAAACGCTCATCGAGCGCGTTTCGGTGTACGGATCGTCCGCCGCGGCGAAATCGGCGACGTGCTCGACGACTGGCGACACGTTCGACGTCGTCGCGCGACACGGCGAGGCGATGGACATCAGGCGCCCGAATCTTTCCATCTCTCAGGATTTTACCTTAGCCGTGCGATAGCCGCGCGATCGAACTATTAACACTACACCATCTACACACTCAACGACGCTCGCCGAGCTACGCGAACGTTACGCCAGAAATCGCGCACGACGCCGCGAACGTCGCCCACATCAAACGCCACCTCGATCGCAACGCGAACCACGCCGCGAGATACCGCACGCACGGTTTAGCCAACCTCCGCCCTATTTCGAGCACCACGGCGATCTTCGCCTCGGCGTCCGCCGCGCTCGGGTTGATCGCGAACGTCGTCGGATTCGCGAACGCGAACGCCACCGTCGGCCAGTGCGTCAGCGAGCTCGCGCTCAGCGTCATCAGCACCGCCAGCACCAACCCCCCGATCGTGCACCGTCCCCAAAACGACGTCGACGTCGACGTCGACGAAACCATCGCCTCGTCCGTCGTCGCCTCCCCTCTCGTCGTCTCCGTCGTCTCCGTCGTCGTCGTCTCGCCGCCGCTCGCCGGCGCCGCCTCCCCGCCGCGTCGTCCCGGCGCCGTCCGCGCCTTCATGAACGGCGCCTTCCCTCGCTGCGCGTCCAGCGTCTCCCAAAACGTCTCCCAAAACGCGTCTCGTCGCGCGCGCGCCGTCGCGTCCGCGTCGTCGTCGCGCGTCGTCGCGCGCGCGCGTCCCGAAGCCGCGCCCCGTCCGCGTCGCGCGTCCACCGTCGCGCGCGCGCGCGCGCGCGCGCCGTGACGCGCGGCGCGCGCGACGCGTGGCGTCATCGTCGACGTCCGCGCGTCGTCTCGCGACGCGCGCGACGCGACGCGCGGCGCGGCGCGCTATCCCGCCCGACGTCGAAGTGGATAACGCCACAGACGGACGCGCCATGGCGCTCGGCGCGCGCGCGGGCGCGACGGCGCGGCGCGGGACGTCGTCGACGACGCGCCGCGCGTCGTCGCGCGCCTCCGCGGCGACGCGCGGCGCGCGCGCGACGACGACGCGCGCGGTGCGTCGCGAATTCGACGTGGACGCGGCGACGCGCGAGGCGCGCGACGACGACGCGATGGGCGACGACGCGACGACGACGAGCCGAGCGACGATGCGCGCGAGAGAGATACACGCGCTGACGCGCGCGGGACGACGCGACGCGGCGGCGCGGGAAGGGACGGCGAGCGCGAGGGCGAAGCCGGCGGACGCGGCGGTCGCGAGCGCGGCGACGACGGCGTGCTTTAAAGCCGGTGACGTCGATGAGGGACGGGCGATCATGCGAAGACATCGCGAGAGCGTGGGTGACGGTAAGGTTGGGTGCGTCGTGCTGTGCGCGTGGGCGACGGCGGAATCGGGAACGGGGACGCGGGACGGGGACGCGAACGCGAGGGCGTTGCTGCGAGAGGCGACGACGACGGCGAACGGAGACGCGAGGGCGGTTTGCGACGCGTGGGTGGCGCTCGGGAATCACGAACTGAAGCATGGTCGCGTTGATAAGGCGAGAAAGTGCTATAAGAGCGCGTTGAGCGCGGGAGAGGGAGCGCCGGCGAGCGCCGCCGTGGCGGCGCACTCGTGGGCTCGGTTGGAGGCAAAGGAAAGGAATCCCAAGCTCGCGCGAGAGCTCTTCGCCAAGTCGGTGGACTTGTGCGAAACGCACGTTGCGAATTATACCGCGTGGGCGTCGTTTGAAATGAGTCGCGGGCAGAGCGATGCGGCGAGGAAATTGCTCGAGCGCGGGGCGGCGTTTTGCAAGTCGGCGGAAGAGTTGCGCCAGACGAACGACTCGAAGACAAGGCGAGCTCGCTCGATGGCTTCGGCGTTGTTCACGTCCTGGGGGGACATAGAGGGGCAAATCGCGTTGCGTGAGAGCGAAGACTCCGCCGATGCGCTCGATATCGCCGTATCCAAGTCGAGAGGAATGTTTGAGCGCGCGTGCGCGTACGACAAGAAGAACGTCGCGGCGTGGTTGAAGTGGAGCGAACTCGAGAAGGATATCGCGCGCGGTAATTCGCATCGCGGTGGGGTGGTGATGAGCGCAAGACGGAACAGCGTGTCGAACCGTCGGCAACTCGATGTCTTGACTGCGGGTTTAAAGGCGAATCCGGGCGAAATGCGACTCGAGCACGCCTACGCCATGGCGCTGAAACTCAACGGCGACGTCGAGGAGGCAACGAGACGACTCCATCGTTTAAGCGAGCGGTTTCAAAACAACGCGCACGTGTGGCACGCACTCGGAACTACACTTCAGGAATCTGGTGATTTTCAAGGCGCCATAGCGGCTTTTGAACGTGGATCTTTTGCTTCAGGTCGCGCCAACTTGCCGTGCATCACCGCGGCCGCGGCGGCGGAATTGCACGGCGGCAAGCACGGTCGTGCTCGCCAGCTGTTTGTCCAAGGCGATTCCGTTCCGCGGCATCTGAGTACTCGTCGTGAGCGCGCCGCACACCTCCGACTGTGGGCTTTGCTAGAAAAGCGTGCCGGGGGCGAGGAGGCGACGCGTAAACTGTTCATCGCCGCCACCGCTGAAGATCGCACCGACGCCGCGACTTGGTTGCAGTGGGGGCAATGGGAGAAGCGTGTGAACAGTGTCGGCGCCGCGCGCAAGGTATTCAAAGATGGAATTCGCTACGGCGTGAATAATGGACAATATTTCATCTATCAGGCTCTAGCCACTTTGGAGGCGGAGACAAACAATCACGAATCGGCGCGAGAGTTATTCAAGCAAGGATGTTCCGCGCATCCACGCAGCGCCTCTCTGTGGCTGCAGTGGGCTCTGTTCGAGCTTTCGTGCGGCGAAGACGACAAAGCTGCGTCGCGGAATTCGATTGCAGTCATCGAAAAAGGGGCATCGCGCGCGCCGCCGCACATCCCGCTCCTCGAACTGTGGCTCAATCTCGAACGAAAGGCTGGCGACGAGCACAAGGCGCGCGCGGTGGAGGACAGGTTGAAAAAGCTTCTCTCCGAGCAGCGATACGCTCCGGTCGGTCACGAAGTGAATTAGTCTAAACAATAGTGAATTTGTAGCACAGCTATAGCTAGCAGCGTCTAATCTTCGTCCTCGTTGGCGTGCATTTCACTTATGCGCGATTTAATCGCGTCGTTCACCGCGAAAGAAACCGCGACGCTCAATGGTCCTTTCACCCAATTCATCGTGAGGCCTTTATACAGCCCGCGCACACCTTCCGTTCGTGCGATATTGATGATCGCCTCTCTCGTACTCATGCCAGTTTTTCCGAGCACTTGCACTCGACGTCGTACGACGTCGAGCGGGTACGTGATGCTTTGCGCGAGCAACCCCGCTGTGCCGCCGTAAAACAGACGTACAGAAACCGGTAGTGTGGCCGTACTCGATATTTCTTCACCTATCGATTCGGCACGCTTGATCGCTTGCTTAATGTGCATCGCTTTCAACGTCTCAAACGTGGCAAACGATATCCCGCCGTACGGGATAATGCCGATGAGCGTAGGCGATAAGCCGCTGTACAGGCTCAGCACGCCGCGCGAACGTACGAGCGAGGCAAGGTCCGCAAGTGGCCCCTTAGCCGCCGGTCCAGTAGCGGCGAATCGTGCGCGCAACATGTCTAATGGGTACGTCATCGTGGTCGCCGTCGCACCGGCGGCGGCGCCGGCGCAGAATCTTGAGAATATTCGAAGTTGATCCTCGTTTTCGACTGGATCAATGCCGAGAAGCGACGGCAGCTGAAGATTTGTAAATTTGTTCATGTACGCGTCGTACTTGGGAAACGCCAAAAAGCTCACGCCCGCGTACGGCATGACACGAATCATCTGCACGCCGTTGCCGCGCCACAAAGCTGGGACGCCTTCGGTTTGTATGATTTGCCTCGCCGTGCGCAACGCCGCGTTGAGCGTAAATTGCTTCTGTGCGTCCACTTGGTAAATAATCTTCACTCGATCAGCTGGCGCCACCACGGATTTCGCCACCGCCCCGGCGATCGCGCCGCTGAACAAAGTCTCCAGCGCGGTGATGGATTTGCGCTCGTGCCAAATCACCGGCACGTGCGTCTCTGGCGGATCTTCGTCCAGCACCGCATGCCGAAACGTTGGTCCTACTCTTTGAAAGAGTATATCGTTAGCGGTGAATCCAATCGCCGCCGCGAACGGGCCTTTCACCCAAGTCAACGTGACTCCTTTGAACAGTCCATTTCTAAATCCCTCCGTCGCGTAAATCGTACGCAGTCCGGCCCATACGCTCGTGTACAGCGGCGCCGACGCACCCTCGCTAATGTGAACCTGCATCCGGCGTCGAACGATGTGCAACGGATACGTCGCAGTCTGCGCCGCCACCCCTGCGAATCCACCAGCCATGAGCTTCAAATGCACGGGCATCTCGAACTCGTCCTCGCGCACGACGCTCATGTCCTTCGTCGCGTGGTTGACGTACATCGATTTCAACGTTTCAAACGTCGCAAAACTAATCCCCCCGTACGGAACTATCCCCACCAACGTCGGCGTGAGCCCGTTATACAAACTCCTTGCCCCCCCTTTGGTCATCACGTCGTACAAATACCCCGCGCTCCCGAACATACCCGAGATGTTCGGCGCCGGGTGCCTCGACGAGTGCGCCGCCAGTCTCGCGTGCAACAAATCCAACGGATACGTCAGCACCGTCGCCGTCGCCCCCGCGAGCGCCCCCGCGACGAATCTCGTCCGCACATCTCCCACCGGCGGCGACCGCTCGTCCTCTCCCTTGTGTTTCCCCACCGCGTCGTTATCCGCCCGCACGTCGAACGCCGCCGCCAGCGCCGCGTTGTACGCGTTAAACGTCCCGAACGTCGTCGCGCTGTACGGCAGTATCCGCACCACCGCCGCGTGGCATCCCCGCCAGAGCGCAAAAAATCCCTCGTTTCGCGCGATGTCTCGCGCCATCGCCGTCCCGCTCCGCAGCGTGAATCCCGCGCTCGCGCTGTCCACCTGAAACAGCAGCTTCACCCGGTCGATCGGCGCCGTCGCGACGCGCGACATCCCGCCCGCGAGCGCGCCGCTGACGACGCGCTCGAGCGTGACGAACTTCTGCTTCACGTCCGGGTCCTCGTCGCGCGCACCGCGCGACGCCGACGTCGACGCTTCGTTTTCCTTTTCGCGTTCGCCTTCGCGTTCGCCTTCGTTCCTCGCGCGCGTCGCGCCGGCGTCGCCGTCGCGCGCCATCGCGTCGACGCCTCGCGCGGATTCGCTCCGCGACGCGTCGCGCCGTCGTTCGTCGCGCGCGTCGGCGCGCGCGCGCGACTGCGGCGCGCGATTCGCGACGTCGGCGCGCTCGGGCGGCACTGACGCGCGCGCGGATGCGCCTCGCGACGTCGCTCGCGCGCGCGGTCGCGAATCAGCGCGCGCGCGAGCGACGCGCGATGCCGTCGCTCGCGGACGACCGCGGACTGGGACTCGCGCGCGTCGCGCGGCGCGCGACGACGACGGACGACGGCGCGGCGTCGGACGACGGCGCGAGCGACGGCGCGAGCGACGGCGCGAGCGACGGCGCGCGAGGGATGAATCGAACGCGGCGACGACGCGCGGCGCGCTTCGCGTCGGTGCGGTTGACGTGCCCGGCGTGCGGGACGGCGGTGCGGTCGAACGCGCTGCGGACGCACCTGGGGAAGTGCGCGAGGGACGCGCTCGCGGCGGTGCCGGCGAAGACGTGGACGGCGACGGATGGACGAGACGCGAACGCGTGCGCGATCGAAGCGTTGGAGATAGCGACGAGAGCGAACGATGCGTTCGCGGCGGAGGTGAAGCGGATGTGCTATCGACGACGGGAAGCGGGAGATGGGGAGCGAATGACGGCGGAGGCGTGCGCGGAGGCGCTGGGGGTGCCGACGGCGCGAGTGAAGACGACGCTGCGGAGGGCGAGTTTAGCGATTGAATTGGTGCGAGACGAGACGCCGTTGGACGTGGTGTTTGAGAATGATGAGTTTTTGGTGGTGAATAAACCGCCGAATCTGAGGTTTCATCCGAATCATAGATTTGAGGGGAATTCGTTGTTGTCGCGGGCGTTGCACCATATGGACGGGGCGACGCCGTACATCGTGCATAGACTCGATATGGACACCTCGGGCGTGGCCGTGTTCGTGAAGAAGCAGCACTTGGTGGCGAATGTAGCGGGACAGTTTCAAGAGAAGACGGCGAAGAAGACGTACCTGGCCGTGTCTGTGGGTGTCGTGCCGCCTGATTGCGGCGACAGCTTCATCGTAGACGCGCCCATCGGTGACCACGGAATCGTGCAGGAAGCGCGCACGGTTGATTTCAGCGGAGAAGGAAAAGACGCGAGAACGACGTGCGAAATCATCGCTCGTGCGAGTACTTCGCTGTTCGATATCAAGGACGAAAGCGTGGCCGCGATGACGACGCCAAAAGGGGTGTCGCCTATGACAGCGTCGCCGCGAGCTCCGCCGGCCGCCGTCGCCGCGCTCGTTCGCGTGACGCCGCTGACAGGTCGAACGCATCAGATTCGCGTGCACTTGGCGCATGCAGGCTTGCCTATTGTATCCGATGCGCTGTATGGGCCGCACTTGCGATGGAGTGCGCAAAGCGATGAAGAAAAACCGAAAATGGTTTGGAGTGCGGCGCAACTCGCCGCGTGCAACTCTGAAAATCCGACGCAGATGCACCAACTGACGCCTCCGGACAGTCGAGACGCGCGAGAACCGTACGACGATTGGGGTGGGGCTTTGAGTATTCGAAGACAAGCTCTTCACGCGTTCAATCTCGAGCTCAAGCATCCAGAAACAGGTGAATCGCTTACGTTTCAGGCAAAGATGCCGAGCGACATGCGAAGCGTGTGCGACGCGCTTGGGCTTTCCACGTCGGATTATTAGTTATTAGTTATGTGTAAGTCTTGAATCAATCAATAGGATTGTATTAATCAGAATCACTAGTGGGAGCTAAGCCACCGACCATGTAATCGGCCGGCTTCGTACCGTTCCAATCTTTAAGAAGCTTGCGGTCCGTCGCAAACGCGCTCGGAAATTCTTCGTCGTCGTAAGGCATGATAGCGTGCTTGTCGATGATCGCCTTAACCTCTTCCGCCTGCACAGTCTTCTTCTCCATAACTACCTTCGCTAGAGCATCGATGGCGTCTTTTTGTTTTTCGACGAAACGCCTCGCCGCGGCGTATTGTCTCTCCATCAAACGGCGCACCTCTTCATCTGCTCGGGCGTAACGATCATCCGTTGTCGATGGAAGTCGGTATTCTTCGCGTTCAGCACGCAAGAAGTCAGTCACTTCAATGACGTTGCCAGTAGGATAGTACATAAACTCGCTATTTTCATCACTCATCGCTGCATTGTGAACGAAGAAGTTCGCGATTTCTCGCGCACGACCGGTGTAAGGCGCAGTAACCTTCGTGCAGTTGTCGAAACCGTAGAAGACCTCCTCAGCGATGGATGGGACGAAACACGCGCGCAAGTGACGTCTCATGAAACCCTTGGTAAACGCTCCAGGACGCAGTGCTACGGGGTTTTCAGCGAGAGCCAATTGACCTTCGGCGTTGCTTTCTCGAGCCACGATCGTGACAAAAGAAATGTCACCCATGTCATTGCACAAACAACGATACGCAACCGCCGCCGCGGAATGGATGAGCGCCAAACGCTTCTCGTTTTCCTCACCGAGACCTTGTGGTAAAACCTTGCCTAACGTCTCCATCTCAAGCGCAGTTTGAAAATCGTCCATTGTCACCAACTCCCGCGAACTTTTCGCCGCCTGAAGAGCGGCGAGATTCACGACCGATGCGAGGGCTGCTCCGCTGAAGCCCTCCGTTTCTCCAGAGAGCGCATTCCAATCAATATTCGAATCGACCGGTTTACCTTTGCAGTGAACTTGTAAAATTTCTTTACGGCCGGTGTAATCGGGCTTCGGGATGACGATTTTGCGGTCGAAACGTCCCGGGCGAATGAGCGCCTTGTCGAGAACGTCAACTCTGTTCGTCGCTGCAATGCACACAATTTGCGTGTCACTACCAAAACCATCCAGCTCCACGAGCAGCTGGTTTAACGTCTGGTCGCGTTCATCGTTACCCGAGCCACCGCCGCCTCTAGGTCGACCGACTGCATCTAGCTCATCGATGAAAATGATCGAGGGCGATTGCTTTTTGGCTTGTTGGAACAAATCGCGCACGCGAGCCGCACCAACACCGACAAACATCTCCACGAATTCAGAAGCCGCCAAGGAGAAGAAAGTAGCACCTGCTTCGCCTGCGACGGCTCGCGCAAGAAGCGTTTTACCACAGCCCGGCGGACCCGTCAATAAGACACCCTTCGGAACCTTGCTACCGCTCTCTTTGAATTTTTCCGGCTGCAAGAAGAAATCGACAACTTCTTGAAGTTCAACCTTCGCCGTGCCGATACCCGCGACGTCGTCAAACTTCACGACTTCGCTTTCGTCGCGAAGTTTCATCTTGGTGTTCACACGACCTTTCTTCGGGCCTTTGTTCTTAGCCTTAGCTTTGGCTGGGTCTATCAAAGCCTCAACTTCGTCTTCTTCGTCCGAACTCAACTCTTCCTCCTCAACTTCCTTCTTCTTAACTACCTTGACGCCAACTCGCATGAACGCATTCGCGGCACCCATTTGGTCTCCATCGGCCGCCTTCGCCGCCGCATCCTTCTTATCGCCGTTCGCACGCGCGATAGCAGACTTGCGGTTGCGAATCTCGCGCTTGACTTGGTCGCGTCGCGGATCATTCTCATCCATCTTCTGTAACATTTCCACCAAAGCGTTGATACGCGGATCGCCCTTTTCGGCTTGCCTCTGCGCCTCTTCAGCGCGCTCGAGCTCGAGAATCTTTTGACGATCTTCCCAGTCACCTCTGAAACGTTGCATGTAAAAGACGATGGCCCATATGAAGAAAACGCCTAACGAAGGAACACCGTAACCAGCAATAAACGTCCGAATCTGCGCCCCGCGATCGCCAACGGCTGCCAACGTATGGCTCGATGCTTCTGCCATCGTTGGGTTGATTTCTAATCCGACGCTTTGCGTCAGATTGTAAACCTCAGTGTTGTGCGGCGCCACTTGACAATACGCTATTCGCCCATCCTTGTACACGATAGCGTACCTCGCCACTGCATCCACGCTCACGTAAAGCTCCTTGATTTCTTCATTCAAGATGCTGTGGACAAAACGGTTGTACGCAATATGCTGGCGTGCCGATTGTATCTTCGCCCGCCCCAGCGCTGTGTACTTGAGCTCGTCGATGCTCAAGGGTTTGCCCGCCGCTTGCCCGGGTTTCGCATAATCCTCCACCGGTTTCCGCGCCGTCTTTCGCAACTCTCTGCTAGCTTTATTTTGAATGTCAATCTTTCTCTGTCTCTTCCACTCCTTGTACCACGCTTGTGTCCCCGGCGTGAGCAAAGGCTTCGAGCTCGCTCCCAATCCGTCCGGGCGCGCATCCTGCGTCGTGGCGTTCCCCTTACGAAACCACACCCCGCGCCCCGGAAGCTTTCTCTCCAGCTCCCCGATCGGGCTCACATACGTGTCTTTCACCGCTATCCTCTTCTTTTCGACGAACGGCGTTCCCTTGGGCGTTCGAGCCTTCGATGACTTCTTCTTCGTCCCGCTCGAACCTTCCCTCTTCCCCGTCGTCGACTTCGTCTTCGTCTTCGTCTTCGTCTTCTTCCCTTTCTCATCTCCGGTCTTCGCGCGTCGATCACCATCCGATGCTTTCGCGCGCACGGTGACGCGCACGCGTCCCGCGGTCGCGCGCGCGGGGCGCGGCGTCGCGCCGATTGGCATCGGCGACGCGAAGGCGCTCGACGACGAACCCAGCGCGGGGTGCGCGCGCGCGATGCGGGCGCACGACGACGCGGAAGACGACGCAGGGAGCGCGCTTCGCATCGCGGCGACCGCGGTGACGTTCGCGGCGGCGAACATGTCGCGGGCGTCGGCGAATGCGGCGGACCACTTGAGGGTTTCAACGTCGACTCGGTTGAAATATCGACGCGACGGTTTGCAGCACGAATGAATGAACGCTAGGCTAAAAGCTAAAATTCGTCCCCGTCGTCGTCGTCGGAGAAATGATCCGGGTCGTTTGGTCCGCGCGCAGCCAAGGGATCGTCCTCGGGAAGGGCGCGCTTGACGACGTCGGTGAAATCGTCGTCTACGAGATGGGTGAAATCATTTTCTTCACTCGCGGGCCAGTTTTGAAGGGAAATCGTCACGAATTCGGCAGCCGTCAGTCCGTCAATCATGTCTGAGGGCTTCATGGAATCCACGAGCTGGATAGCGCTGCGAGCGACGCGCTTGGCCCAATGTAAGATGGGATCTGGACGCCAAAGTAGATGGTGGCGGGTGGCGAAAATGTCGCTCACGTGTTCGAGACTTCTGGAGTCGAGCGCGCAGTTGGAAAAATCGAAATGCTCATGCGCGAGGATTTCTTTCCAATCTTTGTCGCTCGAGACGGCGGCTTCGAGACGCATGAGTGTCGCGGTGAGGGCATACGGATATGTAAGCATCGCCTTCAACAGCTCGGCATCAGCGACTTTGATGTCGTCGGCGATGGTGTACAGAGCCATGGCTTTGCTGTATGCAAAGTCTGGGAAGTTGAGCAAGCTACCATGCAATTCCCATTTCCCACCGACCCAACGCTTGTGCCCGAAATCTTCGACAAATCTGAGCAACCACTCTTCTTCCCCGCTTCGGAGTGCAAAGTACGAAATCATGTGTAGCATGCCTTTCGGGTCAGTGTGGTCCAATCCGAGGCATAGTTTCGCGCATTCCAACGCAGTTTTGTGACATCCACGACGAGTGAGCGCGATGACGTGCCGAAACAGTGCCTCGAACATCGGTTTGTTTTCAGGTTGCGACGCATCCAAGTGCGCAAGCCCACTCGAAGCCGCGGCGGTGAAATTCGGATGCCAAGCTCTTTCGCACGCGTACAAACATCTTTCGAGAATTTCCGAGCTTTCTTGCGCTTGTCCGCTGTAATGATAGAGCTCGGATATCCGCAACAGCGTTTCTAAGTGCCACGGATAGTGGTTCAACAAACTAAATAACCGGTTGGGGTCGTGCGAACCGACGGCGATTTCAAAGTCAAAGTTTGCCTGCGCGTAGTCATCTTTCCAAGCGAAAGAGAAGTCAGACATCCCAGATTCGGCATCGACGACGCCAGAAGTCACCATATACAACCCCCCACTTCGATACGTCGACCACTGGTCGCGATACGCGCTAAACGTGCACCGCCGCTGCAGCTTTGCTCGAAACGCCGCCGTCCTCCCTCCTAGCCTACCGACCTCCTCCGCCTCCACGGCGCTGATGACTTTACCACCGAATATGCGTTTAAGCTCATCCTCCGCCTTCATATTGCGCATATCGACGCACAGCAAACTCGACGCCGCCTTCGCGCCGCTCTTCCCTCGACTCACCGTCGCGTTCTCCGCCGCCGCCGACGACACGTCCAGCCCCGTCACCTCTCGCACGAGCGCGTCAAATTCATCATCGCTCCCCCCGCCGTCCCTCTTGCCCGCCCGTTTCTTCCCTCCGCGCCTCCGCGCCTTCTTCGTCGGTTCCCGCGTCGGTTCCCGCGTCGGTTCCGCCGCCGCCCGCGTCTCGTCGTCCTCGTCCTCGTCCTCGTCCTCGTCCTCGTCGCCCAACAGCGCGGCGAACGGATTCCCCGCCCGCGTCGCCGCGCCCGCGCCCGCGTCCTCGCTCTCCGCCCCCGACGCGTCGTCGTCGACGCCCGCGATCGCGTCCTCGCGACGCCGCGCCGCGCGAAGCTGTCGCGCGCTCATCGCCGCGCGCGCCGCGCTGTGCCGTCGTCCGCGCCCGCACTCCGCCGCGCGCGAATCCGAGCGCGACGCACCGCGCGCACGCGACGGCGCGCATCGCATCGCATCGCATCGCATCGCGCCATGTCGCTCGCGCGCGCCGCGCCGCGCGCGTCCGCGCTGACGGCGTCGTCGTTTCGAGACGGCGCGTCGACGCTTCGTCGTCGAGATCGTGCGATCTCGTGCGCCGCGCGCGCGCCGCGTCGCGCGCGAGGCGCCGTGGTGACGCGCGCGAACCTGTTCAGCCGGTTCACGCGCGTGATCTCGTCGTACGCCAACTCGCTGATCACGGCGGCGGAAGACCCGGAGAAGATTCTCGATCAGACGGTGAATGAGATGCAGGGGGATTTGATCAAGATGCGGCAGGCGACGGCGCAGGTGATGGCGTCGCAGAAACAGCTTGAGACGAAGTATAACGCGGCGACGAAGGCGGCTGATGATTGGTATAAGCGCGCGCAGTTGGCGATGGAGAAAGGCGACGAGGACCTGGCGAGAGAAGCGCTGACGAGACGAAAGTCGTACGCGGAGAACGCCGAATCGATGAAGGCGAACCTGGACGCGCAGAGCGAAGCGGTGGATAAATTGATCGCGAATACGCGCTTGCTCGAGGGCAAGATGGCGGAGGCGAAGAGTAAGAAGGATACGTTGAAGGCGCGCGCGGCGAGCGCGAAGACGAACAAAGCGGTGAGCGATATGGTGAGCGGAGTGTCGACGTCGTCCGCGCTCGGCGCGTTCGAGCGCATGGAAGAAAAGGTGCTCGGCATGGAGGCTGAGGCCGAAGCCATGGGCGTGTTCGCCGCTCCCGACAACCTCGAGGCCCAGTTCAAGGCTTTGGAGGCTGGCGGCGTCGACGACGAACTCGCAGCTTTGAAGAAATCCCTCCCCGGCGCCAGCTCCAAGGGTGCCCTCCCCGAGGGCCGTCCCGTGAGCGAGGCCATCGAGAGCGAGCTCGAGGCTCTTCGCAAGTCTCGCGACGACGCCTGAGCCGAGCCCGGTAGCATTTAATCGCGGCATCGCGCGTGTGCCTTCGCGCGCTCCCCACCAATTCATGAATACAACACAAGCGACCAAACGCGACCCGTCCCGTCGTCCCGTCCCGCGCGCGCCGAGCTTTATCCAAAGGCGCCGCCCGCGTACGTCACTTTATCGCGCACGCGCGCGACTTCAGAGCGCACGCGCGTCCGCCGCGCGCGACGACGACGTCCGTCAACTAACGCGCGCGCATCGCCATGTTCGCCACCTCGCGCGCGTCGCTGAGCGCCGTCGTGCGCGCGTCGACGACGCAAAAGACGCAAAAGATCCAAACGACGACGACGACGGCGACGGCGAGAGACGACGCGAACGTCGACGAAACTCGACGCGGACGACGGATGGCGCTCCTGAGCGCGTCGGTGACGCTCGGGGCGATGACGCTCGGCGCGGACGCGGCGCGCGCGGTGAAAGGACCAGGGGAGGAACTCTTGGCCAAACGCCTGGAGGAGGAGGCGAAGTCGCGCGAACGCATCGACGCGTTGTATCGTGAATTGCGAGCGGAGGAGGCGAAGGCGTTGGAATTGAGACGGGAGAAGGAAGGTGAAGCGCAAGAAGAGTTGAACAAGTTCCGGGAGGAGAGTGAGGCGCAGTCGAGACAACAAGTGCTGGCGGGGAAGACGCTGTGCGTGACGCCGTTTGGCATCGACATCGTCGGCATCACAGAGTTTGTTGCTTTAGCGGGTGCGGTGGCGAGCGGGATTTCCGCGAATCAGAAGAAGGAGGAGATTACGATGTTGAACGATAAGCTGCGTAAGATTAACGCGAGTTTGATGTCGACGTCGAGAGCTTCCATGGGCACCGACGCGTCGGTTTTGGAAGCTGCCAGGGGGGGCGCGGCAAAAGCCGCCGCGGCCACGATGTCCAGCGTAGACGACTGGGACACGCTGTCGGAAGACATGAAAGAGCTCAAGCTTGCTCTTCGTGAGGGACGTAAGCTTTTGCGGGCCGACGAATTCGCGGCCGCATTGAATGCATTTAAGAAGTCTTTGATGTTGGCGCGCGTCACCGGTGACTTGGTCTCTGTGCGCCGCGCTACGCGAGGTCTCGGTGCCGCCAAGCGTCAGCTCGGCGACCGCGTCGGCGCCATCGCCGACTTAAAGGAAGTGTTAAACATTTCGCAGCAGTTAGACGACAACACTGGGGACATGGATGCCCTCGGCGCCATCGCGGATCTCTACACCGAGCTCGGCGACTTAGAAAACGCCGGTCGCTACTACGATTTGTACCTCAACCAAATCAACGACGAAACCGTCGAAATCGAGGACTAGTCATCGTAACCGTGACGATTTTAATCATCCACCATCACTCGCATCCTTTACCGTCCGTCGCTCGCGCGCATCGCGCGAGATCTCTTCGTCGGACCGCGCGCGCCGCCTCCTCTCTAAATCTGACGTCACTCCCGACGTCACGACGCGACCGGCGCGTCACTCGACGACTTTCGCCGAATCTCGCGCTCGACACCGCGAGCGACGACGCGCGCGATGGCGAGCGATGGATGTCAACCGCTGGAGCGGTTCATGAAGAAGGAATTCGCCGGCCACGGCGCGGGAAGCGCGCAAAAGTCGTGGGCTTTTTGTCCATCGTCCCGAAACGCAAACTCGGGACACGACGCGAACGCGAACGCGCGAGCGCCCGCGTACGGTGGGTACAGCGTGAGCGGATACGTGAATGGATATAATCCCACGCTGCCGGCGTATCCGCCGACGCGAGCGCAGATGGAAGCGATGGGACGAGGCGGAGGGGCGTCGGCGCCGCCGGGGCAAAACTGGGGCGCGCAGCGACGCCCGACGGCGGTGTGGGATGGACCGGCGCCGAGAGGTGATCCGAATAAGCCTGCGCCTGGAACGCCGTATTACGTCAAGGAACCCGAGGAGGATGTGTTCGATGCGGCGAAAGAGGCGAAGGATGTGCCGGTAGTCGGCGGCGGACGACTGCCGACGGTGGGGTGCGATTCGAGCGCGGCGAAATTTGGATTGGAGAATGGGGTCAAGCACGTTCGATGCGGATCTTCGAACGATGCGGCGCTCACTGAAGCTGGTAAGGCGATTGCTGCGCACGGCGCGCGCGAGAGCGTGTTCGTCAGTGCCAAGTTGCGCCCCGACGAGCACGCTAACGTTGAAGGCGCGCTCGCGACGATTCTCGCCGCGTTGGGAACGGATTATTTGGATTTGTTCTCCATCGAGTGGCCGGTGCAGCACAAGGCTGGAACCACCGAAGTGGACTCCGAAGGAAGTTTGGAAGCGACGTGGACCGCGATGGAGAATTGCGTGGCGGCTGGCAAAGTGAAAGCGCTCGGCGTCGCCAACTTTTCGGTGCCCGCGGTGGAGCGTTTGATGAAGCACTGTACCGTAAAACCTGCGGTCAATGAGGTCGAGTTACACCCACTTTTGGCGCAGCGCAAGCTTGTCGGCGTCTGTCGACGATATGGTCTCACGGTCGTCGCCCATACTTCGCTCGCAAACGGTGACGAGCAACTCACCAAGCACGCCAAGCTCGTCGAAGCGTGCGCCGACGCCAAGAACCCTCAGAGCGCCGAAGCTCTGCTCACGCGTTGGTCCATTCAGCGCGGTGTGCCGTGCATCATTAATGCCACTTCACCGGTCGCACTCGCGGAATGTTTGAAGGCTCGCACGTTCAGATTAACGAACAAGCAAAAAGTACTTCTCGACGACATCGAACCGAGCCCGAAACTCGGTGGCGTTCGATTCCACCACCCGGCGTTCGACTTTACGTTCGACGATCCGTTCCTCGGCGGGTGCGCTAGACCTGGTCTCGACTTGGTGCCGAATTAAATCACGAATTAGTAGTTTTTGTTACACATTCTAAGGTCATATCCCACTCTATAAAACTCTACAACGCTCGACGTCCCAGGCGTCTCACTCGTCATCTGCGACATCACCTTCAAGCGAGCCCCGAACAGATCAGTGCTCGATCCCGCGCTGTTTCAACACGCATCTATGAAGCTCTAACTCACTGTTCAAAAAGAACCCGAGGAAGAACGGGCTGACGATGAGCGCCGTCTTCGCCGAAACCGTCAAGCGACGGATGGTGAGAAACTGATGGTTCAACGCGAATACGGTCGGAACAGACGCGGCGAGACCGTACGTCGCACCGCGCACGCCACCCCAGAAGGCGGCGTCGAGACACTCGGCTTTCGCAGCCTCGCGCACGGCTTCGTCATTTGGCGCCATGGTCTGGTGTCGGCCGAGGCGAACGGCGCGAATCGAACCACACGCAAACTCGCGGACAGGAAGCGAAGTAGATGCACGTTACTGCGCTTCGAATCCAACGCGTTTCGAATCGTTTCAAAAGTTTACTACAACTCTATTGCTAAGAATCGCGCTCGCTCGCGCGGAGTGCGTCGAGAAGCGCTGGCACATTGTTGACAGAGTACGGCGCACGCTCGGCTGAACTGAGAAGTATGCGCTCGTGATTCCAGCCTTGTTTGCTCAAATCAGCGGTGAATCCGTCAATGTCGCGCCTGGCTAAGGTTTCGGATTCCTGTAGAGCCCACACGTAAGCCTCATCGGCGGTCAAGTCTGGTCGATAAGGCAACGAACGCATGTGCGCGACCTGAAGAATTGCACACAAGACATCCTTACTTGAAGCTTTGTCACTCAAAGCGAGTAAAGCACGACCTTTCAGACCCGTTCGCTTGCGGTGCCAAGGGAATCTGAACTTCCTTCCATTCTTTTGCCTTCCGTTCGCTCGCTGCTTCGGAGCGCTGATCCTTCGCCCGTTCAGGATGACGCGCTTTTTTGACGCACCAGGTTCATACGCTAAGATGTATGGTCGCGCCGCGCCGCGTCCTTTTTTACTCGACAGAGCGTTGATGAGCGACTTTGGCGTGGGGCACGCCTCGCCAATAGAAGTTACGGATAATGGCAGGTTGGATTTATCCAAGCGAGCCGGTATAAATAACCTTTCGGCGTCAGCGACGTGTGCTCTGCTCGGAATTTCGCGTTCCTTCACGAAAGCCTCGGCGATGATCTCAGCGCGCTCCTTATTGATGGTTCGCAGCTGGACCGCTTTGAGTTCCTTGTAGATGCAAATCAAGTCGAGCGCGGCAAGAGGCCCGAACGCGAAGACGGGCAACGCGCGTCGAATCTCGGGTCTCACTGTGGCGACTTTGGAAACCGCCTTGGCGGCGCCGACAGCAAGAGCCAAGCCGATGTTATCCGCCAATACTTGCTGTGCGCTCGTCTTCGCCGCGACTTCGGCCAAGTTTTCCTCCAGAATGAATGTTCTCTGTATGGGCGCGCGAACGACGTTCGCCGTGGTGATACCGACTGACTTTCCAATGTTTGCCACCGTCGCCAAGGGTAAGAAGTGCTGCGGAAAGTACGGAGTGATAATCTCTATGAACGAGCTCGCGTCGTATACGACGCTCGATGTGAATCGGAACCGTTTCACGTCACTATCGAACGTTCTCCCAAAGTTTGCCGCCACCGAGAGTTTCCCCAAACGTCCTAAACCATCCTTCAATACCCAGTTCACCGCCGCCGCCGCCGGCAGCGTGCGACTCGCCCCCAATCCGACCGCCGTGAGCATTTGCTGCGTCGCGAACACCGAAATACAGCTTGACGCGATGCGTTGCGCGAACCTAAACTTGGCGTACTCCCAGTAATCGTTCGTCACGCTCGACGGTTCCGGAAGCAACGCGTGCTGCGCGCGTTCGACGCACCGTCGCGCGGCGTCCCGCAGCGCCTTGTCCATCCTTTGCCCTCCGTTCCCGCGTTCGGCGTCGTCGTACTCGTTCAATCGCATCACGCGCAGCTTGCCGTCCACGCATGCGTACCGCAGCGTCGCTCTGGAAGCGCCCGGACGTCGTTCGAGCAGTGGCAGCGGGATGAGCGAGCCGCCGCGCGAAGCGCCACGTTTAGACGACGACGCGTCGCCGACGTCGCTCGCGGACGCGATTTGGCATCGCTCGTTGTAGAAAGTGATCGTCGCCCGCGGCCTAGGCGCCATCGCGCGCGCGAACGCGATCGCGACGCGTAATGGTGCGGTCGCGAGCGGCTCGGACGCGTGCAGTGCGAGAGCGACGAGCTCAAAAATCGTTTCGGCTTTGGATTAAAAACTGTCACGAGCGAGTCGTGAACGAACGATGCTACCTACGTCGTGTATTCGGCGTTGATTTTGACGTAATCGTACGATAAGTCGCAGCCCCAGGCTTGGCCTCGGCCAGATCCGTTGCCGACGGAGATGTCGACGACGCACGTGCCGTGAACGCCGGTGACTTCCTTGAGGTATCGGCTGGCGGCGACGGCGTCGAAATCGAGCGGTTGACCTTTATCCATGAGCTGGTGCGGGCCGAGTGAGAGCTTGAGATCATTTTGATCGAATCTGTTCTTCACCGGCGCGGCGTACCCCGCAGCGCAAGCCAATCGCCCCCAGTTTGGATCGTGTCCGAAGATGGCTGCCTTAGCGAGCGAGGAACAGACGACGGAACGCGCAATGACGCGCGCGTCTTCGTCGTCTGCGGCTCCAGAGACGTTGCACTCGATCAAACACGTCGCACCTTCACCGTCCCAAGCGATGGCTTTGGCGAGACCGCGGCAGACCGCGGTGAGTGCTTGTTCGAGAAGCTTGCCTTCGGCAGAATCGACGCTCGTGATTTTGGCGTTGCCGGCTTTGCCACTGGCGAAACACACCAAAGAATCGTTCGTGCTCGTATCGCCATCGACGGAGATTTGATTGAAAGACGCCGCCCCGGCGCGGGAGGTGATGTTACGCCAAACTTCGGGCGTCACGTCCGCATCGCACGTCACTACGCCGAGCATGGTCGCCATATTTGGATGAATCATCCCGCTCCCCTTGGCCATGCCGCCCATGCAAACGGTTTTACCGCCAATTTGCACTTCAATCGCGACCGTCTTTCGCACGAGATCGGTGGTGCATATCGCGGTCGCCGCCGCGTTTGCCGCCGCAGTACTACTTTCCACGTTCGCGGACAAAATCGGAATCGCTGGCATGAGTTTGTCCAGCTTAATTCGCTTGCCAATGACGCCCGTGGACATGAGTAAAATGTCCTCCTCGGCGACGCCGAGGGATTTCGACAACTCCTCCGCGGTCGCTTGCGCGTCCGCAGCGCCCTGATCACCTGTTGCGGCGTTCGCTTGTGCAGCGTTGATCAACAGCGCTCGCGCCGTCGGTTTCCCCGCCAACTGTTTCTTACAGTACGTCACCGGCGCGGCGCACATGATGTTTGTCGTAAAAATCCCCGCGCACGTCGCGTCTTCGTCCGCGACGATGAGCGCGCAGTCGGCGCGCGTGCCCTTGGCGCGCAATCCCGCCTTATATCCCGCGACTTTAAATCCCTTCGCCGCGCACACGCCGCCTTCGACAACCTTCCACGGCCCCTCCGGAAGCAACGCCTCCGCCACCGGCGCGTACGGCAGCTCGAAACACCCAGCGTCCGTGAAATCAATCTTCCCCGAAGCCACCACCGCGCCCCGCGCGCGACGATCGCTCGCGCGCGCGCGTCCGCGACTCGTCATCGTCCGCTCGTTCGTCCACCGCGTCGCGCCGATCGTCGCGCGCGCCGCGAGCGCCATCGTCCGAAAACGCGTCCCTCACAACTTTCGCTCGCTCAGCGCTCTCACGCCCGCCCCGAACGCGCCGTCGATCGCCGCGTTCCACGCGCGCCCGATCTCCCTTCGCGCCGCCCGGCCGAGGATCGCCTCCCCGCGCTCGCCCGGCGTCTCGCTCGACGTCGAGGCGTCTCGCGCCGTCCCGAACACGTCCCGCGCCGTCCGCGCGTCGACGACTCGCACGTGCGACGCCGCGCACAGCGCGCAGGCGACGCCGACGACCGCGCTCGACGTTCGCGCTCGAAACGCGATGGACATGCGCGCGCGCCGTCGACCGGCGCGGTGTGCCGTCGGCGGACGCGCGGGCGCGCCTTTTCCGAACGCCCGCGCGGGCGCGGCGCGGCACTCGACGACGCGTCGCGATGCCGCCGAAGGAGACGGTGCTGGACCTCGCGCGGTTCATCGATCGCGGCGTGCGCGTCAAGCTCAGCGGCGGTCGCGAGGTCACGGGGACGCTCAAAGGGTACGATCAGCTGCTGAATCTCGTCCTCGACGAGGCGATCGAACATCTCAGGGACGCGGAGGACGCGCTGAAGATCTCGGACGAGACCAGGGCGCTCGGGCTGTTGGTGTGCAGAGGGACGAGCGTGATGGTGGTGTCGGCGCTGGACTCGATGGAGGAGATCGCGAACCCGTTCTTGGCGGAGGACGGGGGGGCGATTTGATTGCGCGCGGGACAAACGCGGGACGGGATTATTGGGTTCAGAGCTAGAGAGAGACGGAGAGTCGCGGGCGCGAGTGTTTTAATGCGAATAATAAATAGAATGAAATCGTGCGCGCGCGCGCGTGAGCGATGATTTTTACAAGGGTGTCACGGGCGCGGGATATTATTTCGCCCGGCGCGGCGCTTGGCTCGAAGTTGCTTCTCTTCTTCCTCCTTGGTCGGCGGAAGCGGCGCCCACGTGGAAAACGACCAAGGTTTGCGCGTCAGTTTGCGTTCTAATTCAGCGGCCGTTGTCTCGTCCTCGCGGATCTTGCGAAGGTAGGTCGCGACGCCGGCGGCGCCGGTGTCTTTGAGTAACTGCAACGCCTCGCGCACGGCGGTGTCGAGCTGCGGGTCCTCGCGGCGAGAATATTCAGCGGGAGATATGTCAACTGTGACGTCCGGAATGACGCCGCGGTTTTCCACCGCGTTCGTGTACGCTTGTGTCGCGTCGGATCTCGCGTCTACGCCCTTCGCCTCGTCGACAAGGAGCACATTTTGTGAAGGCAAACTCAACTCGGACCCATCGATGAGTTCGGCGACGCCGTTGATGGCGAGCAAACCACCCCAAGTGCGCATCCCAACGACTCGTCCTAAACCTAGTTTTCTGAAAGATTCCGCCATGAGCTCAGCATCAGAGCCTGTGCGTTGATCGACCAGCATCACGAGCGGGCCAGGCGTGTTGGATGGATAAACTTGCACCTCGCCGCGTCGCGGGATGTCCCAAGCCAATGCGCGCTGCGAGAGCTTAGCGAGCAACAATTCACTAATGTGTCCGCCTGTGTTACCTCGCAAGTCGAGAATCAAGCTTCCCTTGCGAACTTCAGACGCATAGTGACGCCAAAATTCGGAGTACCCTGTGCTTTCCATGTCTGGAATGTGCAAGTAGCCGACGACGCCATCGCTCAGGCTGTGGACTCGCTCCGTGCGCTTCTGAATCATATCGCGATACCTCGCATCGATTTCAGAGTGCATGGCTCGGACACGCACCGGGATGACATCACCTTTCTTCGGTGCGTTGTCATCTCTCTTGTCCTTTTTCTTGTTCTTTTGTTTTTTCAGCATGAGTCTGTCGAGCGCTTCGTCAATACCACCTTTGCCGTCGCTATCAATTTTGACCGTCAACAGAACTTCAACGCCACCCTTCTCAATCAACAACGCAGCCGGCGGAACATCTTCGGTGAGCGGTACTCTATCGATCGAGAGAAGTATGTCACCCTCGTGGATATTGACGCCCGGTTTGCTGAGCACACCACCTCGCATGTCGTCCCATATGTCACCCTTCACGATGTTCAAGATGCGATAACCGCCGACTTTGCCGTCCCAAGTGAAGTCAGCGCCGAGATACCCAGCAGAGTGTCTGCGATGGGAGCGTCCAGGATCACCAGACGTGATAGCCACGTGCGAGTAACAAACGCCAGCGGCAATTTCACGCAATAAATCCCCAAACTCGGTCCGCGTACTCACTTTTGGAAGCACTTTCACATACTCCTCAAACATGACTTCCCAGTCATCGCCAATCGTTTCATTCCAAATTTTCTCAGTCCAGAGGTCGTCGCGAAGACGACGATACACTTCCCCGAGCATCTGTGCCCACTCTCTCGCAGGATCAACTAGTACACGAATGCGACCATCTAGATTCACCAAGCCAGTCCTACGATCGCACCGCATTTGATCCAATTCTTCGCTGTCGCTCCCTTCTTCCTCCGGCCGCACGCCAGCTTTGTAAACGCGAAGCTCTAGGAATCCATCCGACTCTTTTTCCACAACCATGCATTTGCGATCCATCGACAGTGACACTTCGCTCACGCCACCGTGTATTAAGATACTTCGACGCAAATCTCGGATACTGTAAGAAATAAGGGAACCCAAACCGTCATCATCTTCATCGGACGAGTAGTCCAAACCAACGCTTCCGGGAGAGCCGCGACTCGGAGGGTATTCAACAACCATAAATCGTCCGTCTTCAAGACCGCAAAGGCAATCATAACGTGATATCGGCATTGGGAGCGCAACTACCCTTTCTGTCAAGCCATCGATGTGAATCTCAATCGCAGGGGGCGCGTCTTCATGGTAATATGACGCGTCTGATTCGTAATCGTCATCCTCGTCGCCGCTCGACAAGATTTGGTCATCACTGTCTCCATCCACAGTTGACCAGTCGCTGCCATCATCATCCTTATCCACAACTGGCTTCTTGCGAGGCATGTAGTCCCTTCCATTGCCTCGTTTATCCATCTTTCTTCCCACATCACTATCTGTTTCAGAGTCATAGTCAGAGCCAGACGACGATTCCGTATCGTACGGCGGTCTGAGCTCCTTGAGAAGTGGATTACGTAAATCCTTTTGCAGTATGATCAAATGAGGGCGTTCAACAGTTGGAAAATTTAAGCCAAACGTGGCGGCATCGTACACCGGTTCGAGTTCTCGAGATCCTAAAAAGTACAGATATTTGCCGTCGGGATCCCACGCAGGTGAGTGATCTCCGAGCACAGGGTTTGTGGCATCGAACACCTTTCCGTTCCGAACATCGAGAATGCGAATACAGGATCTTTCGTTGTTTAAGTAGTACGTGTAAGCGAGCCAATTCCCGCAAGGACTCCACGTCAAATCGTCGATTCCGTCCACTTCACTCGACGTGTCAGCCGTTCGCATTTCCCCAGTTTCAACGTTGACTATCAACAGTGAGTTTCTGTGGTTCACGATCGCCACCAATGGCGCCTCTGGACTAGGTATCAGGCGTTCTACTCTTCCAAGCAACTCGTGATGCAATCCTAATCGTTTTGCCGGTCGCTCAGCTTCTTCCCAATGCACTTCAATGTCCTCCTCACCACTGGCGTCCGATACAAAAACGAGACGTTCACCGTCGTACAAGTAAGCCCCATGCCGGACACGCGCTTGACTCTTTTGTGCAAGAGACGCCAGTGGTGCTATCACTGAGCTTTGGGGTGATCGCAGTTTCGTCGCTGGCGGATAACTCAACACCGGTCCATCCCAGATGCCCATCGTGAACGGTTGGCCGCGAACAAGAACCATCATCGTCAAGCCTTCTGGGTGTAAATCCCAGTCTTCGATCCAATCATCCGCGTGAACAAATCGTTTTGCAAGCTGTGTACGAGGTCCACGCCACTCAATAGGCAACCTTATAGGTGACTTATGTTCGCCACCTACAACTTCTGCCACGAATACATCCCCGCCTCTGGTGTACACGATTCTTTGCCTACTGACATCAATGCTCAGATGACGCACGGGAAAGTACTTAATGTCTTCGTTGTCTGCTGTGGAGTCACTGAATCCTTGACAATCTACGATGCGAGTGTTGAATTCATTGGTATCAATTTTAGCCTTGAACGCTGTCGAACGCCCGCCCGCTTCCGTGAACGCGACGTGCTCGTCGTCAAACCACGACACGTTGCCAACATTTCGCAACAAACGCTCGTTTGGAAGACGCAAGTCAAGTCGCAGCAAATTATCTAAGGTCCCATACCAAATCTCTCCACCGGCGCCGCCCGCGTATCCGTCCCAGTGTTTCGTCGCCGTGTCTTCAGTATTACGACCGAGGACAACCAATTCTTTCCCGTTCACGTTGCGCACGTCGAAATCATGCACTGGACCGAGGTTCATTCTCATTGGCGCTCCACCATCGCAGTCCACCACCCAAAGCTCGTCTCCATTCGGTTCCGCCGTCGCCCCGCTCGACGTAAAGTACACCCGTCGACCATCCTCTGAAAAGCAGCACGCCCGCGCGTACGAAGCCCCCATGTGTGTCAACTGTTTCATAGGACCTCCACGCGCGTCCACGACGTATATTTCGGTGTATCCATCCTCTGCGCACGCGAACGCGACGCGTGATCCATCGGGAGAGACGACTAACCGCTGCACCGCGCCGTGCGCCTGCGTCAGCCGTCGCGGCGGCGTCGTCTCCGCGCCGCTCTCGCGTTTATCGAGCCCCGAGATCGTGGTCGCGTACACGTCGTCTTCGCACACGAAGAACAACTCGTTACCACGGATCACCGGGAACCTGTAGTAACCCTCCTGCGACGCCGCGTGCGCGTCGCCGTCTTGATAATGCGCTCGAGCCGCCGACCGGACCGTCGTGCGCGTTCGCGCGCGATTCGTCGTCGTTGAGCGCGTCGAGCGTCCGGATCGCGCGCGATGACGGTTGTGATGCATCGTTTGAGACGTACGAGCGAACGCGAGATCGGTTACTAACATCGACGCGCGATGCTGTGGCGTTCGCGCCGCAGGGCAATTGGGACATCTACAAAGGAGCGTTGGCGTCAACTTTCAAGCTAGCGATGCAACTCAAATTTACCACAAAACCTATTAACATCTAGAAGAATCGCGTATGGTCTCAAATGCAGCGCGGATGCGTTCGATGGCCTGACGCAAGGTGTGTTCGGGGACGGCGGCGAAGCACATTCGGAACCATCCCGGCTCATCGCTCGCGCAGTCTTTGCCAGGAGTGAGCACCACTTTGGCCTCGGTATATATATGATTCCAGAGCCTGTGCTCGTCCTCGTACGTGGGCTGTATCTCTGGTAAGTATTTTCGAAGGTTAAAGTACACGAACATGCCGCTAGTAGGGACGATTTCGATGACTGAGGCATCGATCCTCTCCGCCACCGTGGCGTATTGCTTGCGCAGCCTCTTACGATTCTCCTCAAAGAAACCGTCGAGAAATTCGTCGTCATTGAGCACGATCGCAAGAGCGTGCTGCATTGGTCCAGGAATTGCGCAAAAATAAGATACATTATCCAAAGCTCTGTGGATGCCGGCGTTTTGAGTCCAAAGCGCGCCGACTCGGTAACCACTTGCGCAGAAATCTTTGGACATTCCGTATACAACATGCACGTAATCCCTGCAATTTTGCGCGAATTCTGCGTCACCGCGATCGAGTGCGTCCTTGATCAGTTTTTCCACGATGCTGATCGCGCTCACAAAGGCGTGCCCTCCTTCGCCAAAGATTGAACACGCATAAATTTCATCGGAAATGACGTGGAGTTTCTGCGACACCGCCCACACAATGGTCTCTTCCATGTCCTCTCTCGAGTAAATAATCCCCTGCGGATTGCTCGGATTCGACAACAAAATCATCTTCATATGTAGATCCTTTCGCTCCTCGATATTTCGCCGGCGCGCGGCCTGGTCATAATCCGCGCCAACCTGTGGCAAGCAAACTTGTCCGCGCGCGGCCTGGTCATAATCCGCGCCAACCTGTGGCAAGCAAACTTGTCCGCGCGACGCACTCGACCGAGTCGAGCTCACAGGCACCGTTTGCACCCCTAATCGTGCCCGCAAATCGTTCGGAAACGCGGGGTAGTACGGTGACGGAATGAACACGCCATCGCCCTCATTGCACACGCAAAACACCAAATTTTCAATGACCGCCCCCGCACCGCTCGACAGCACCAAATCTTCCGCGCGCACTGCTTCCACGGAGTCGTCCGCGACGACCCTGCGGGTCATGTGTCTCGCCATCGCGCATCGCATCGCGTGGCTACCTTTCATGTCGTCGTACTGCGCCGTCGTCGACGGTGAAAGCTCTTTGAGGGCGTCATTAAATCTGTCGTGCAACAAATCAACCGTCAAGTTGTTTTGTGCCACGGCAAGGTTTATGTAACCGTCTGGGTTACTTTCGCGGTCGTACGCGTCGCTGAACGTCTTCACGAACGCGTCGAAGTACGAGAACGGCCGAGCTTGCGCGCAAACGCCGCGGGCACTTAGCTCTTCCGTCCCAAAGTCGGACATGTTTGACGCCAGCGCACCGGCGTCTGAGGCTGTGCGCGCGACGCTCAACGAGACGACGTGTGGTGAAGGTTTTGAATCAATTACAGCGTACTGTACAAAAGCAACGCGAATCCCTCCTCATCCACGCACGAAAGGCTGAAGGATACGTGCTTTGTTGAACTTGAAATTCGTCAACGCCTCGAACGCCTTGTGCGGCTTGGCGGGCTCGTCGTCCTCGGGTTCGTCGTCGTATCCAGACATGAGCTCGTTTTCGAGATCTTCTAGAGACATCGGCGCCGCGCGTCCCGCGGCGGGCGATTGCGGCGCCGCTACTTGATTCGTTCGCGGCTTCGGGTGCTTTTTCTTGTTCTGCTTCACCCACGCCATGATGTCCCGTAAAGCCGGGTAGATTTGCCCATACTTGTTTTTGAACTTTTTCAACGCTTCTTCGGGCTGATCAAAGATCCAGAGAGGGTTCCACACGATGTCCGATATTTCTTTTCGCGTGTGCGTCAAGAATTTTGTCTCTTCGGAGATCCCCTGAATCAAGTACAGCGTGTTCTTTTGACCCAACTTGTCGGATGGTTTCCGCTTTCGCATAAACACCACCTTGTCCTCCTCCACTATGAACTGTCGAATGTCCACCCCGATCTCCTCCTCAACCTCTCTCGCCGCGCACTCTGCCTCGGTCTCATTAGCATCCATCTTCCCTTTGGGAAATCCTAACGACTTATTCTGACTGCCCCACCCTCTAACCATCAAACATTTATCCATAGTCGGATTCAACAGCACCGCGCCGCACGTCGGGATTGCAAACTTATACGACTTAAACTTCTCGAAATTATTCTTAAATCCAGGGATTCGCGACTTCAGCGTCTCCACGCTGCTGATCATCCCCTTGGCGAACTCGTTTAAACCCATGCTCGCGCTCAAAGACGCGTCTTGTTCGCACGTAAAGTCGATGTAATACCAGTGCGCCTGCTCTATGAGAAACATCAATCGATTGAAATCCTCGATTTCGCTCGGCGGCGCGTTCAACACGAACCGCGCGGCGAGCTCCAGGTAAATCTCCGTCATTTTATCATCGCTCTTCTTCCCTCCGCTCGCGTTCGGCGTCGGCGCGACTGTCGTTTTCGTCTTCGGATTCGGCTGCAGCGAATTCATCATCATCGCCACCACCGCCTCCTCTTCCTCGTTCGCCCCCGTCGCGTCGTCGTCGATCGCGGACGACGACGCGTCGTCGTCGTCGTCGATCGCGCGCTTCTTCTTCGCGCGCGTCGGCATGCCGCGCTCGATGGACGCGCGCTGAACGTCGTCGTCGCGTTCTGCGGGAAACCTCGCCGCGATCGTCACTGCGCGTCGCGCGACGCGCACGACGCGCGTCATGCCACGCGACGCCCCGGCGACGCCTTCGTTAACGCGCGACGGCGCGTCGTCGTGCTTTCACGTCACGTACGACGTCGACGCGACGTCGAACGCGGAGGCGCGACAGATCGTCGACGCGCTGTGTCTCGAGCAAACCGTCGAGTTACCCGAAGCGCTCGTCCCGCCGGGGACGTGGATCAACGAGCACGTCGTGGGAAAATGCGTGTCGATCGAGCGGTGCGCTTCGGGGGTGGACGCGCGCGGGAAAGGCGCGAGTGGGGACGTGTACAGGGCCAAGGTGCGGTACGCCGACGACTGCGCGGGCGGCGAGTTGCCGCAGCTGGTGAACGTCATCTTCGGGAACACGAGCATAAAGGAACGGGTGATGGTGCGAGACGTGGAACTTTCGGATGCGATGCTAGGGAAGTTCGCGGGAGCGAGGTTCGGGGCGAAGGGGCTGAGGAAATTGCTCGGGGTCGAACGCGGACCCATTGTGATGACGGCGCTCAAGCCGATGGGGACGCCGAGCGAGAAACTTGCGGAAATGGCGTACGCGTTCGCGAAGGGGGGAATTGACATCATAAAGGATGATCATGGATTGGCGAATCAACGGTACGCCCCGTATGAGGAGCGCGTGCGGGCGTGTGCGGCGGCGGTGAAACGGGCGAACGCGGAGACGGGACGGCGGTGCATCTACGCGCCGTGCATCAACGCTCCGGCGCACTTGGTCGTACAGCGCGCCAAGTTCGCCAAGGCCGCGGGTGCTGGGGCGGTGTTGATGATTCCAGGAATCACGGGTTTGGATAGCATGCGAGCGCTGGCAGAAGATCCCGATTTTGGGCTTCCCATCATCGCGCACCCCGCTATTCTCGGCGCCATGCTCGGCGGCGGAAGCCAAAACACCATTCGCGGATTTGCTCATGGCGTCCTGCTCGGGTTGCTACCGCGATTGGCTGGTGCAGATGCGACTATTTTCCCAAACTTTGGCGGGCGGTTTGGCTTCAGTGTTGAAGAGTGCAAAGACATTGTTCACGGTGCCAGGCGAGTCTTGGCGCACCACCCGTCAATCTTACCGAGTCCGGGCGGCGGCATGACGCTCGACAAGGTTAAAGTGATGATGGAGACGTACGGTCAAGATGTTTTACTCCTCGTCGGTGGATCACTATACAGCCATAGCTCGGACTTGACGGCGAATGCGAGGCACATCCTGACTATGGCGGGTCGCACCGACATCTACGGGCCTCGAGAATCACAACCTGGCAGCTATCACGTGCCAACGCACTACAGCAACGGACTTTTCACCCCGGGAAGCGGCATGCGACCCAGATTGAAACTCGTAGACGAGAGTTCGAGTGCACATAGCCCATACCCTCTGACTCCGCACGGCACGTATCCGGCTGCGCCGCCGTCGACGCCGTGGACGGTGGGCCTTGACCCTGAAGCCGTTGCTCAAATGAGCGCGCTTAAAGAGAAGAATTATGCGCTCGAGTCTAAGGTTGACGAGCTGACGACGCTCGTGAAGAGCCTGATGGACGCCGAGGCGAAGAGAAATGGAACTAAACACGCGTCTGAGGGGCCGCTAGACGGAAATCATAGCAAGGTACTCAATAGAAAGAAGGGAGAGTTTCAGTGGGAGCGCGTACCGCAGGAAATGTACAAGATGGATGGGGCGAGTTTCAAGGAGTGTTCACGCATCGAACTCATCGGAAAGCGAGGAGAGAGTCCAGTTTTCCACGTGCGTTACTTTGAAGTTGCCCCGGGTGGATGGACGACGCTCGAGCACCACCAACACGAACACGTCGTCGTAGTGCTTCGAGGGGAAGGCGAAATCCAGCTCGGTCTGGAGTCTTACCATCTTGGGGTGGGTGACGTCGGGTATACCGCACCGGGTGATACGCACCAGCTTCGGTGCAAGGCAGGCACGACGGAGCCTTTTGGTTTCATATGCGTGGTTGCGGCGGACCGCGATCGACCGATTGAAGATGAACCGTACGAGCTCCTGAAGATGTGCAAAATGGCTCATGTTTTGGATGAAAACGTCCGTGTGGCACTCGAGACGCAGATCAAGCACCGTGCCGAGCATAAGGCGGCGCATGGAGCCGTCGCACAGGGATCCGCGTGCGAGTGGAAGCCCGGTGGAAAGAAGAAGGCGCACGCGGCAGAGCCGAGCGCATGCGAGTGGACGCCGAAGAGCAAACAAGCGCCGGCCAAACCCAAACCCACGCCGACGCGATACTTCCCATAGAAAATTCTTTGCAGATTCGTAATACAGATCTCTAACTATTCATTACATACCGTCAGACATCATAATTTCGTTCAGCTTTGGGTCGCGAGCGAGTTCGAGCACGCTTTCACGAAAGCCACTGACCAGACGTTCAACGCCCGCATCCGTGATTTGATGGTGAAAAGCGACGCGAATGGTGTCTTGATTCGTTGGTAAAACCAACACACCGTGGCTCATCTCCAATTCCCGCATCAACATCTCGGAAGTGATGCCGGGAATGGTGCTTCGCACGAGAACGAGGTTCGACTCCGGCGTTGCGCATTCGAGACCAGTCGCGCCTTGTAGCGCGTTCGCGAAAGCCCTCGCGCGCTCGTGATCTTCTGCTATCTTCGGGAATACTTCATCGATCGCCTCTAAAGCCGCAGCGGCTAAGACGCCGACTTGTCGCATCGAACCGCCCAACGCTTTGCGCAACCGCTTCGCCTTTCGAACAAACGCCTCATCGCCGAGTAACACGCTCCCAACGGGGGCGCCGATGGCTTTGCTCAAGCAGATACTCGCCGAATCACACCCTTGTAAGATGTGATCGATGCGAACGTGATCGATGCTCGCCGCCAACGCGTTCCAAATTCTCGCCCCGTCCATGTGCAACTTCACCCCGTGCGCCGCGCACAACGCCCCAACCTCCCGAACGTACTCCACCGGCAGTACCTTCCCCCCACACTTATTCTGCGTGTTCTCCAGCGTCACAACCTTCGTCACTGGGAAGTGATCGTCGCTCACGGTGCGTATCGCGGCTCGTATATCCTCCAGCGCGAGCGTCCCGTCTTCGCGATTCTTGAGCGTTCTCGAATGCACCCCCATCAGCGACGACATCCCGCCCTGTTCGTACAGGTGCACGTGCGACTTATCTCCGATGATCGCTTCGCTCCCTCGCTCGTCGCACCACGTGGCGATGGCGAGCAAATTCGCCATGGTTCCGCTCGGCGTGAACACCGCCGCCTCGAATCCAAACATCTCCGCCATTTTACGTTCGAGCGCCTTCACCGTGCGATCGTCGCCGAGGACGTCGTCCCCGACCTCGGCGCGCGCCATCGCTTCCCTCATGCGCGCCGTCGGTTTCGTCACCGTGTCGCTCCGCGCGTCGACGACGCCGTCGGAGAGTCGCATGGCGAACGCGCGACGGGACGGACGCGCCGCAGAGTGACGACACTCTGTCGCGTCGCGCGGCGCGATGACGACCGCGCACGGCGACGAACGGGCGAAGGTGATCGATGCGCGCGTGCTCGCCGCGATCGCGCCGTCGATGACGCCGCGCGAGCGCGTGCAGGCGCTCGCAGAGTTGCGCGCGTTGCTCGTGGGAAATCGTCACCGGCGCACGACGACGACGACGACGCGAGGGGTGAAGCGCACGCCGTGGAAACCGAGTGGAAAAGCGCTCGAGAGCGCGCTCGCGGCGGTGAGGCGCGCGGTGGCGATGGTCGAGGACGCGCTCGCGGTGGCGGAGCGGAGCGTGCTCGCGTCCTCGTTGTGCGTGAAGCTGGTGAGGGATATTCTGGAGCAGTTGTCGCCGTTGTGCGCGCGGGCGTCGGTTGGGACGAAGTACAAACAATTGAGGAGCGATTGGAAGCGGTGCGAAATCGAGTGGACGCGCGCGCAGCGGAAGCGACGGGAGCCGAGCGACGGGAACGGGAGTTTGGACGTGTTCCACGAAGACTTGCTCATTGAAATTTTGGGGAAGTGCGATGATCATAGAACTCGATGCGCGCTCGCGTGCGTGTCGAAGAGTTTCAACGCCGCGTATCGCACGTTCATGGCGTCGGATGCGACGAAAACACAACGCGCATTGCGCTCGTTTTGTCGAAGCACGTGCAAAAATTGCGGCGACTACGCGTGGACGCGCGAACTCCCGAGCGATCGACCAGTCGATACTGACGGTAGATGTGATGACCGTTCATCGACTCGGAGACGGCTTCCTCGGAAGCGGTGTCGTTCCGATAAGCACTCGTGGTATTCGAGCGCGTACACTTGGCGTGATGATTTACACGAACTGTTGTGTTTGTACGAGTCCGAAGACGAAGAAGAACAGGAGCAGCCAGGAGAATTGCGTTTTTGGAACCTAGGAATCACATGTAGCTAGTAGAAGAGTAGAATTAGCGAGGTATAGTCTAGAGTCTCATCTTTGCGTTGAGCGAATCTAACAGATCCACCGCCGGCGCAACTTTTTGCTCGACAGATCGTCTGTCGTACGTCGACTTTTGCATCTGAAGTGAGTGACCCATATAGATTGCTAGCGCCTCTAACTGTCGCTCGGACGCGTCCGTCCCTCGTAAGTGCGTCACCACCATGTCTCGAATCAAGTGCGGGTTCGTCCGCTTGCCGGTGAGACGCATCGCCGTCGTCGTAAAGAGCCGATAAATCCCCTGTCCGTCAAACTGCTCACCATTCTTGCGAGTGAAAAGGAAATCGTGGTTCGGATTGAGCTCTTTGCGGTGCGTTTCGATGAATGTCTCGAGCGTCGGATATAGATGCGGAGCGATTACGAGCGGTGGTCGCACCCCGTAGTCCTTGCCCGTTTTATAATCGGTTTCTTTGTGGCGAATGACCCACTTATCGCCCTCTTTGAACAGCGTCTTCCCGACTCGTAGCTCGCGTAGAGTTCGCTGACGATCGGGCACACACGACAGAACGCCAAAAATTAAATACTTCTGCACACTCCACGCCACGGCGCTCGCCGAGCGAGATTGTCCCAGACAATTCTTCGCCGTGCACTCGCTCTTCAATCGTTGCACGAGCGTCAAGTACTCATCCCATTCGAGCCATTTCAGACGCTCATCGCTCACGCTAGGCGCCTTGGCTGATCGAGCTTTAGCGTCTTTCGCCATACGACGTAATTCTTTCATCACCGGCAAGTCATGGTACGGTTTCGCTTCGCCCTCGCCCGGTTGCGCCTTGCTCAAATTGCCGTACAAGAATTTCACCGCCGCGATGCACGAGCGAGTGACGAGAAGCTCGTAATTTGCCGACGTCTGTCGCTCATCGTTCAGCCAAGTGACGTATTCAAAAGCTCCATTGGCACTCTCCGCGTCAATACTCGGGAATAAGTCGAGGAGCGTGACTTTCGAAGGTTTCATGTTTTTCTCCGCGCACAACCATCCCAAGGCGCCTCGCAAAACGTCTTCGTACTTTTCCGCCGTCACCCCAGCGAGAATGCATTCTTGAGGCCCAAGCCTACGGACGGTAAGGAATTTGCGCAAAGCCTTGAACTGTTTCTTCAAATCGCTTCCGCATTCCTCCAACGGTATGCGATAATTCGGTAATCCGACAGGTCGACTCGTCACTCGCGTCGACTCGGCGGATAAACCGGTGCGCATCTTCAACGCCATGCGTCCGCTCGACGACACCATCGTCTTCATCGTAGTCGCCGCCGTCTCCGACGCCAACGGCTCGAGTCCTAAATCGAGCGCCGTTTCTCCCTCGTCGTTTTTCTCCGTCGTCGTCGTCGTCGCGCTCGCGCCGCTCGCCGCGAACCCGCGCGCGCCGTCCAGCGCGCGCTTAAACTCATCCACCAGTTTCATCGGCACCGCCATCGCTCGCGCCTCCTCCACGCTCAATCTCGCCAAATCCATCGGCGTCGTGAACCAATTCGCCTCCAGCGTCGCCGCGATCCTCGCCCCCACGTCCTCGTCCCTTCGCCCCAGCGCGTTCGCGCACGCCGCCACGAACGCCCGCAGCTCCGTCCCCCCCCCTCCCTCCCCCCCCATCGTCGCCGCCACCGCCATCGCCCGCGCCGCGCTCCTCGGTCGTCTCGCCGCCTTCATCGCCGTCGTTTTCGCGCGCTTCGCCGCCTCCTTCATGATTTTCTCCCCTTGCGCGCCCCCCTCGCGCGTCCCGGGGGAACAAGAATCGTCAAATGCGTCGCGACGCGAATCGTTCGCTCGATCGCTTCGTTCGCGTCGCGTCGCGTCGCGTCTTCCGACGTCGACGTCCGCGCTCGACGCGTCGACGATCTCGCTCGCCTTTACGCGCTCGCCGGTCGTCCCGTCGCGCCCGGTCGCGTCCCGTCGCGTCGTTCGATGTCGCGCCCGCGGGCGACGCGTCGGCGCGTCGCGCGCGCGGCCGTCGCGCGCGCGCGACGACGCCCGCGGGGGGCGTCGTATTTCGGGCCACGATCGAGCCTATGAATGAATGCGGCTCGATCGTCTCACCTAAATAACCTAAACCCTAAACCCTAGTACGAATAGAGCGGCGACTCGCCGGTCGGGTCAACCCGCGCGCGGTCGTCGACGCGGTCGCTTTGCGCGATTGATTCGATTGACGACGCGCCCCGCGCGCGACGCGGCAGACGACGACGGACGGGACGCGCGCGAGACCGAGACGGCGACGAAGACGAAGACGCGATGGCGACCGCGGCGGGAAACGCCGACGCGTCGGTCCTGCGCGAGGGCGCGAGCGAGGAAAAGGGCGAACACGCGCGCCTGGCATCCTTCGTCGGCGCGATGGCGATCGGGGACTTGGTGAAGTCAACGCTCGGGCCGAAGGGGATGGATAAGATCCTGCAGAGCGTGCAGAGAGGACGGAACGTGACGGTGACGAACGATGGAGCGACGATCTTGAAGTCGATATACGTCGATAACCCGGCGGCGAAGGTGCTGGTGGACATCTCAAAGGCGCAAGACGACGAGGTCGGGGACGGGACGACGTCGGTGGTGGTGTTCGCGAGCGAACTTTTGAGACAGGCGGAACAGTTGGTGAATCAACACGTGCACCCGATGACGATTATTCAAGGGTTTAGAGAGGCGTGCGAGGCGGCGAAGGCGGCGCTGGAGCGCGCGGCGAGCGATAACGCCGGGGACGAGGCGAGATTCAGGCAAGACTTGACCAACATCGCGAAGACTACGCTGAGTTCGAAAATCTTGACGAACGACAAGGAACACTTCGCCAAGCTCGCTGTGGATGCGGTGCTGCGATTGAAAGGGTCAGGAGACCTAGAGATGATTCAAATCATTCAGAAACCGGGTGGAAGCTTGAAGGATTCGTTTTTAGACGAAGGATTCATCTTGGACAAGCGTTTTGGCGTCGGACAACCGAAGAGAATCGAAAACGCGAAGATTTTGATCGCCAACACGCCCATGGATACGGATAAAATTAAAATTTACGGTGCGCGCGTGCGAGTGGACTCCATGACCAAGGTTGCGGAGATTGAACAGGCGGAGCGCGAGAAGATGAAGCGCAAGTGCGAAAAAATCATCGGCTACGGCATCAACTGCTTCATCAACCGTCAATTGATTTACAACTACCCCGAACAAATCTTCACCGAAGCGGGCGTGGCTGCGATCGAACACGCCGACTTTGACGGCATCGAACGCCTGGCCTTGGTCACGGGTGGCGATATTTGCTCGACGTTTGACAACCCAGAGGACGTTCAGCTCGGCTCCTGCGACTTGATTGAGGAGGTAATGATCGGTGAGGATCGCTTGATTCGATTCAGCGGCGTTGCCAAGGGTGAGGCGTGTACGATCGTTCTTCGAGGGGCGTCAGAGCATATCTTAGGTGAGGCTGAACGCTCGTTGCACGACGCCCTGTGCGTCTTGACGTCGACGGTGAAGGACAGCAGAGTCATTTACGGCGGCGGTTGCTCGGAGATGATCATGTCCAAAGCCGTGGAAGAGCTCGCAGCGAAAACGCCAGGGAAGAGATCGTTAGCGATGGAGTGCTTTGCCAAGGCTTTGCGCGCTATCCCGACCATCATCTGCGACAACGGCGGCTTGGATAGTTCTGAGCTCGTATCGCAAATGCGCGCCGCGCACGCTGCGGGGAAGAAGAACACCGGTATCAACATCTTGACGGGCGAAGTCGGTGACATGCAACAGTGTGGCGTGGTCGAGTGCTTCCGTGTCAAGCAGCAAGTCCTTCTTTCGGCCACCGAAGCGGCTGAAATGATCATTCGCGTCGACGACATCATAAAATGCACGCCGCGTCAGCGAGAATAGACAATTTAGATGAGACAAAGAGAGCGGTGTGCGCCGAGGAACGGGCGTGTTGCTTGTAATGAATAGTTCTACGATACAGTCTAATTCTCGTCTACGCGCGAGCTATACCAATCTTGTCACCTGGGTTGGGTATCCCGCGGCGGCTTTGTTTCGTTCAATGAGTGCCAAAAGCGACTTACAATACTGCGCATGCACCGCAGCCACTTCCTCGCGCGACGGTCTATCGTTCTGCTTAACTTCAATAGGTGGTCCCACCACTGTCGTGAGCTTGCCTCGCGGAAAGCAGAATCCCCAACGATGGACGATGCCGAGCGAGCGGAACGGAAATACAAATTTATAGCTCAGGCGTTTTCGTATCTCACGAAACGGCACCCAATCCGGACCAGTAGCCAGAGACTCGCCAAACGTGTATACTGGCACTAAGGGCGTTCCGACTTGGATGGCTACCTTGACGAATCCGAAACAATTCTTCAAGTATAGCTCTTCGACGTCGACGTTGCCCGTCAGCACCACCTCTTGAACGCCGCCAACAACAATCATCCCAGTCTCCCCACGCCCTAAAACCCGTCGCATCATTTTTGCTGTGCATGGTAAGAACCCAAGCGACGACAGCACATCTTTGATGATCGGAAACACGCTTATGAGCAAGTTGTTGATGAAGAATCTAACGTGCCGCGCTCGGAATCGCCTCAACGCCGCGTCGCTCAATACGATATTCCCCACGCAACCAGACGCGAATAACCCGTGCGGGTGCGCGGCGAACAAATACGCGCGCTTAGAGCAATCAATCTCTTTCTCGCCCGCCGTCGCGTCCTCGACGACGAGTTCCCATCCATTTTCTTCTCCGCACTCGAGCCCGCAAAAGAATTTATAAAGCCCATTCATGGGCACACGCACCCCGAGCGCGTACGACGCGAAGAGATAACACCCGACGTACGCTCGCAACGACGGTATCAAAATCACCGCCACCGCGGACACGACCGGGGACAGGATCCACGACGTGTAAATCGCGCTGACGCACAGCACCGCGAGCATGCGCTTCGCGGAGCTCCACGGCACGTCGCGCACGCCGCGCGCGCGCATCGCCGCGATCGTCGCCGCCTCCACGGCGCGGTGTTCGCGCCAGAGCGCACCGCGCTGCGCGTTCGAGCCCATGCGTCGAGCGCGTCGAGCGCGTCGAGCACTGCGGACGGGCGCGGCGTGCCGTGCGCACTTCGCGACGCGCGAGCGATGTCCGCCGCGCCCGCGCCGTCCGCCCTCGGGCAAGCGCTGGAGAAAGCGATATGGGAACTGCACCAACTCGAGAAAATCATCGAACTCGGCGCGCCGAGCGACGAGCGAGTGATCGAGAAGATTGAAGACTTTGCGCAGACGCTCCCGGCGCTGCGCGAGGCGGCAGAAAAATGCGACGACGTGGAGATCCCCGTCGAGCTCTTGCGCGACGTGGATCAGGGAAAGAAACCGATGGGGTTCATGATCAATCAGATACTCGCCGCGGGGACGGTGAACGAGGTGCGCGCGAACGCGAGCGCGATCGTAGGACGATTTTGTGAGCTTTTGATTGTCGAGCGCGAACGACTGACGGCATCGGCGACGGTTCGAACGTCACGCGTAGACGGTGAAAGGAAAAGCGAACGTGTATAGGGAATTCGCAGAGGCGTTGAAGGGAAAGCTCGACGGCGGAGAAAAGAAGGCAGGGGCGAAGAGAGGGAAAAAGTAGAACGTTCGGGCTCGAACGATAGCGATAGAAGATGAATTTGTACACAACGTTCTTACAAAGTTGGCGACTCGTTGTCGTCGTCGTCGCGCGCGCGGAGACGAACGAGCGCTAAAGAATTTCTGTCGCTTTCTTTTTCAACAGCACTGGCTCTTCTGCGGCGTACGATTCTGATTCGTCAACACCACCCCCGGCCCATTCGTCGGCGTGGGCGCCTTTGGCAACTTCACCGCGATTTCATGGAACAATTCAGTGACGTTCAACGCCTCCTTCGCGGACGTTTCCATGAAGAATAACCCATTCTCCGACGCGTACGCCTCCGCTTCCTCTCGCTCGACCTCTCGTTTCTCCTCCATGTCACACTTATTCCCCGCCAGCGCCATGACGAGCGCGGCGTTTCCTTGCTTTTGCAATTCCCGCACCCAACTCTTCGCTCGCGCGAAGCTCGACTGGCTTTGAATGTCGTACACGATGATCGCCGCCGCCGCACCGCGGTAATACATCGGCGCGAGCGAGTGATATCGCTCTTGTCCGGCGGTATCCCAGATTTCAAACTTGATCGTTCGATCGTCCGCGCACACCGTCTGAGTCAAGAACGCCGCCCCGATCGTGCTCTCTTGGTACTCGTGAAACTGACCTTTGACGAATCTCAGCACTAGCGATGACTTCCCAGCCCCCATGTCCCCCAGGAGCACCTGTGCGCGTCGTCGCGAGCCGCAAGCAGTCGTCAGTCGAGGTCGTTGGCGGAATCTCACGTCGAGAAAAACGCGTCGCGCCGACGACGCGCGCGCGTCGTCGCGTCAGCGCGCCCGCGCGTCGCTCGCGCACCAGTTTCGCTTGCGTGATCGCCGCCCCACGGCCGTCGCTCGCCATGTTCCGCTCCGTCGTGTTCGTTCGCGCTCGCGACGCGGACGACGCGACGCGACGGATTGTGCCGACGAGCGTCGTCACCGCGCGACGCGGTGACGCGCGACGCGCGACGCGCGACGACGCGATGCCCCGCGACGCGATCGATGGCGTCGCGCGCGTCCTGCGCGCGCGATTGGGCGTGAAGACGACGCGCGAGTTGAGGATGGTGCTCGGCGTCGCGCTCGCGATGACGACGCTGGTCGCGCACGCGCTGGCGAAAACGTCGCGATCGACGCTGGGAAACGCGCCCGTGGCGAGCGTCGTGACGGCGGTGTGCGTCGTGGTCGCGAGCGCGCTCGCGAGGGGTGGCGAACGACGGTCATCCAGGAGGGAGAGGCGCTGGGGCGCGGCGACGCGCGGCGACGAGACGCGCGAGGCGGCGGCGACGAGGAATATTAAGGCGTCGGTGGAGGAACTCTTGAGCGATTATCCGGAGGTTTTTGCGGCGTGGGGGGAAGTGAGAGAAAAGATTATAACGGAGTACGTGGTTTCGTTGTGGTACGAGTCGATGACGGATGACTTGGACGTCCCGAATGCGATTCGAATAATACTCGATGGTGCGTTCGCAGAGCTAGCTCGACGAGCGCGAGAGATGGACCTGGTGTCTTTTGCGTTGAGAGAAATTCCAGACGTGCTGTCGCAGAGTTTAGAATCGTATCGTAGTGCTCGCGAGGAGGTGGGTGAGTCCGAATTCCGGAAGCTTTGCGCGGAAGACGCGGAGGACGTATTGGCGTGCGTCTTGCGAAAGCAAGGAGAGCTTCACCCGGCGGTGAGTGGCGAAATCGAGACCACACGCGCGCTTCGAGCCCTATCTTTGGTGATGTCGGATGCTTTGATGGATGGTGAATTCGCTTCGGGTCTCACGACCGCACTCGTGCGCGAACTCATCGTCGTTTCATTGCTCAGGCCTCTTCTTCGATTCGCCGAGCCGAGATGGGCGAATCGAGGTGTTCTGTACTTGACAGGTACAAACGTCGATTACGACGAAGAGGAAGTCAAGGATATGTTGTCGATAGAATCTGAAGGCACGACGGTTGTTGATGACTCGGCAAATGTCTCTGAACGACGTTCTGAGACAAATGCGTTGGCGACTCACAGTCGAACGGCGAGCGATAGCATCGACGCAGCGTTGACAGGGTTGTACTCAGACTTCAAACTCTCCGCTCGCATCACGGGTGCGGAGATCGTGGGTTCTGGAAGTTCGTCATATGCCGTGTATCTGGTGACTGTGAACACGAACGAAGATCAAACTTGGGTTGTCCCTCGGCGGTTTCGTAATTTTGAAACGCTTCATCGACGCCTTCGCGACGTCGACAGAGAAGCCACGAACGGTTTAGAGTTCCCGAGTAAATCGTGGATAAGGACATCTCTGAGCGGTGTTTTCATGGAAACTCGTAGAAAGGCACTCGATACGTACATGAAATCGATCCTGGCGAGCAAAAGTCTCGCGGAGAGTAGCGAGCTGTTTACGTTTTTAGACGCGCGGCCAGGAATTTACGATCCCGACCGTGGGAGCATCGCCCCCGAGCTCATGAAAACCATGACAGAAGCAATGGAGGGCATGGCAACGATGGTTTCGAACTCAACGAGTGATTTAATGGGCGGTGGGGAGACTGTTGACGAAGATAGAGCGCCAGGTGAAGCGCCGACGCTTGGCTCAAAAAAGCCTCCGCGACACACTCGGATGTCGTCCATGTACAAAGAACCCACACCCACGGTACCGAGTGTGAACTCATCATCCATTGAGCCGACGTCGAAGACGACGCGAAGCGAGAGCGCTTCCGAGACGAACGGCGATGGCGAGGACGAAGACGCCTTCGTGGCTGAGGTTGAGAGTTGCATGAACGGACCCGTGCTCGACCTCTTTGAGTGCGTCTTCACGTTGCGCTCGAAACCGATGATGCGACGCGCACTCGTTTCTTTGGTGCGTCAGACAATTGAGTTTTTTTTCTCCATCGAGCGATCGATTAGCAAGCGTTTCCGTGACTTTCGCAGCGCCGGTTCCATGGCGCGCGCGCTCTCGTGGATTCGTCGCGTCGTTTGGCCCGAGTCGCCGTATCCCCCAGACACCCCAGCTCGCTTGGCACGTGAAGCAGAAACCGCTCGACAAGCTTTGCTCGGCGTCTTCACGAACGAAACCGTGCAAACCATCATGGGAACGCGCGCGAGCGCGAGAGCGGCGCTCGACGTCTACTCCTTGCTCCAAAGCCCGACGTGCTGTCGTCACATCGGTTTCGTCGCCTTGGAGGCCTTCATCGTGAGCTTATTCCCCGAAGTTATCGCCCACGCCGCGAGCAAAGACCTCGAGCGCGCGCTCGAGGCGTAGATAGAACCTTGTCTCTGCAACGACGGCCGCCCTCCCAACCGACCGACCGACCGCGCCGTCGCGCTTCGCTTTTCCAACAGTCCAACGTCTTTTTCCCGCGTATTTAACGACCTCGCGCCGCCTTTTTTGGAAAAAGTTTTTTCCCGCGCGTCGTTCGGCCGATCGTGACTCAACGCGTGTCCCCCCTGTATATTCTTATCCATCAACGCTAACGCGCGGGAACGCGTCGGCCGCTCGTTTGGGATCGGATTCAGTGTGGGTTTTCGAGTGGGTCGATCGACCGATCATGACTCGACGAAGCGCGCGCGGGACGCGACGCGACGCCGCGCGACCGCGCGCGGCACTTCGGCACACGCAAAGCCGTCCGCGGACGACTTCGAACGATCTTTCGCGCGTCATGCCGGACGTGATGTGCGGAACGTGCGCGGAAGCCCCTGCGGCGGTCGTGCGCGTGGAATCCCAAACCGGCGTCGCGCTGTGCGCGTGCGCGCGGTGCGATACGAGGTGCGCACGCGCGCGATGCGTCGCGGATTCGAACGCCGCGGTCGCGAGGCACCCATGGGTTGGGTGAGGGTTGGCGCGCGCGTCGCGGCGCGCGCGCGCGCGGGCGTGGACGCGCGCGCGGGGCGATCGATGCGCGTAAATTCTCTCCACCGTCCGCGCGCGAATCCGACGCGAACGGCGATGCGCGGCGATGGAAAAGCGCGGATAATCAGCGCGGCGCGTGGCGCTGGATTACCGCCGCACAACGAGCCTTGGACTGACCGCGGTGATTATTTCGAGCGAACAGGCAAACGGCGAAGCGCGGCAGTGGACGATCGACGACGCAACGCGTCGGATTGAGACAAGCGAGTGGGAATGGCTCGGACGAACTTTCGTGCGATGTGTGCCAAATGAATCCGGCGTACGTGATTTGTCACGAGGACCGGGCGTTTTTGTGCCGCGTGTGCGACGTGAGCATTCACGAGGCGAACGCGACGTCCAGGAAGCATCAGAGATTTTTGTTCGCGAACACCAGAGTCGAGCTCGAGGCGATGGGCGCGGGTGAAGAAGCTGGGACAAGAATGTCTCCGAGTGATAGCGCCGCCGAGCACACGGTGCCGCAGTTTGAGCAAGAGGAGGTTGGGAGAAAGGTGCGTCGTTTATCTTCACTTGTCCATATGAGGCGGCGAATGAGAACTCAGAGACTGACTATTTTTTACGGTTTTTTACCATCACAGAGAAAGTACAACAGACAACAGAAGGCATCTGTGCCTTCTGAAGACGCAACCGTGCCGTCAATCGATGATTTGGCGCCGGGAGTGTTCGAGAACTTCATGACAGGCTTGCTCGGCGAGGAGGAGGGTCGCAAGCACATGGAGAAATCCACGGCGGATGAGAACAATTTCTGGGGAGACATATTCTCGGAGAATTGGGCTGCCATGGACGGCATGATGGACGATGAGCTGGCCGTTCCGAATTTCGATCAACAAGTTCCGACGAACGCCATGTACTAAAATTTTTTCTCTGATTCTTCCCTCGGAGTTTCGCATGCCTGAGACATCGAACGTGTACAATGATTGCTGCTTGGAAATCGAACGTCTCATTCACAAGACCTACCGTAGATCAATAACATAGAACGAGTTAGGGTGCATTTTTCAGCGGACCGCACCACGCAACTCTCAATAACAACCTAAAATCCCATGAAAATTACAAGTGCTCCTCGCTCGCTAACGCACTAACGTCTTGACGACGGCTCGCCATACACGGATGAACGCGCTTTCGCGATGAACGCAGGCGCATCTGAATGGTGTCTATCGGGTCCTCGCGCCGCTTCCTCCACGAAACTCATCTCTTCACCTAATTCTCCGACGTTCTTGCGCAGTTTTGAAATCCTCGCCTCGTCGTGCGCTGAAGCATCCGCCGACATTGCGGCTAGTCGCGCGGCTTTTTCTTCAGCGGTCAATCTTCCCGTTCTATGACCAGCGTTGTTTCCACCTCGCCATTCCGGCTCTGGTGCGCGCTCTGCCGCGCGTTTTGCCTCTTCTTCGCGCCATTTTGATCGTTTGCCTCGCCGAATAGCCGCCGCATCCTCGGCTGTTTCATGGGCATACGTCAACCCGAATCCTTTTGACGCATCTTGTGCGTGCGCATCGTCGCGAGCAATTCCATCACGGTGCCTCTTACGATCGTACTTGTCGTCATAGCCACGGCTGTCTCGTAAATCGCGTCGATCACGTCGGTCGCGATCGTCTCTACTTCGCCTGTCTGACCGCCTCGGGCTTCTGCTGCGAGACCGAGAACGGGATCGCGAGCGCCTACTACGGTGACGTGGCGAGCGCGAACGATGTCTACGACGCTCTCTCTTCGGACTTCTACTGCGAGATCTCGACTCCGAGCTTGAGTCGCATTTTCTACTGCGTTTATCGCGTTTGCTCGAACGCTTTTTGTCTCGTCTTGCCTCCTTTTTTGCTCGCCTCCGCTCCTTCTCAGCCCGGCTTTCATCCTTCAATTGTGCCATTTTCACCGGATTATTCGTGATGTACTGCTTTGACTGCAACTCGCGCTGCTTCATCACTAACAACGGATCGGCATTCAGTCTGTTCCAGGCTTCGTTCTTCGAGTGCGCCTCTTCCTGCCTCTCCTCTGCCTGCGCCGCCAAGTTGGCCCCTTCCTCCACCGCGAGCTCGAACCGCTTCTTACCAATCACGCGCTCGTCTACAGATACTGGAGCCGGAGCAGCTTCCCCAACGCGTCCTTTATACATGAATTCCAAGCGTTCTTGCGTTGGTTTCATCACGTGACCCGACGCAACCGCCTCCGCTTTCATTTCCGCCTGCTTGCGCTCGTCTTCAATTTCCTTCTTCATCTCCTCCAGCCGTCGTTTTTCGTGCTCCGCCTGCTGCTCCCGCTTCCACACGTCTTCCTGCACCGCCATACCCGCGGTATGCCATGATTTCTTGTGCAAAAAAGCTGTCGCAAACGAACGAAAATGCGCGGTCAGTCGCCGCAAAAGTTGAGACGATTCTCACGTCTTCGAGCGGCACCCACGCGGCCGCACGCGAACGAACGAACGAAACGACGACGGACGAACGACGTACCTAAACCCCCACCCATGATTACCGCGCTCTGTCCGTGCGCGTCGCGCGAATTCCCGACGGCGCGCGCGCGGAGCGGCGTCGAATGACGGCGGCGGTGCGTCGCTTCGTGCTTCGCTTCGCTCTGGCTTGGGTGGGCTCGGGGGCTTGGGCTTTGTTGTTACATCATTGCGTCGCTTTCGGGCGTCCAGAGCTCGCCCTTGGATTTTAAAAATTTGGGCAAACCATCCCCCGCGCATTCCACGATTCTCTGTCCGTAGTACATGTGATGCGTCGGCTTCAAGTCGTCGCTCGCGCGCGTATTGAGCACGGAGAGCGGTACGGCGATCATTTTTCCCTGTTTTTCAAGCGACGACGCGCGTCAGTCGGCTTCGTCGCGATGACGGTGGCGAATTCTAATTTTCAATCTACGGTCGTACCTTCATCAACGATGCGTATATCGGGCTTCCACACTTTGCGCACCGGCATCGATCAACGTTTGCGCTCGAAGCCGTCGCCGTCGGTTCGCCCTCGTGCTCGATCTTCACTTGCTCCGCCTTACACAGCGCTTGTGCGGAGAACGGCGCCCCACAGAGCTTGCGGCAGATCGTGCAGTGACATATGCTCACCGCCACTGGGGATCCAGTGACCGTGACTTTGGCGTGTTCGCAAAAACACGTCCCCGAGCGAACGATTTCGTGTTCGCCAGAACTCATGACGACGGACCCGAAGGACGAGCGTGCGAGGATACGAGACGCGGTGCGCGTGCGACGAACGCGGTATGGCGTTACTGATGTCCCCGTCTGACTCGCGCGCTGCGATGCGAGGACGCAGCGCATGCGCGCGACCGGCTCGCCGCCGCGTCGCGCTGTGCGGCGACGGCGCCGACCCGATCGACCGATGATTAATCGAGCGTGCTGATTTGCGCGAAAAATTACATCTCATACAACGCTAATGGTACGACTAGATCCTCATCGTCGACGCTCGGCGTCCATCTATTGCACCAACGAGTGCACGGAGACGCCGCCCTCCATTTCGTGCACGCTCGACGCGCCGACGCCGCTATCGATCGGATCGCCATCCAACGCGAGCCAATACCCAGCGAACGACAAGTAAACGACCATGAAGAGCGAAAAATCTCTGACGATGACGTCCCCCAAGCGCGCGATCGCCACCTTGCTCCCGACCGCGAACTCCGCGACGATGGCTGGCAGTTTTAACAACCGCAGCGTGTCGCTCTCCTCCACTCCCTCTCGCTCGTCGATCGCCGCCTGCGCGTACGTCACCGGAAACAACACCACGAACGCGGTGATGAGAACGTTAAGTTCGCACGCCACGAACACGCTCAACGGGTTCAGAGCCCATCGAATCTTTCTCAAAAACGCCCCCGCCCCGTCGTCGCTCCAATCCATCAACGTCAGCGCCACCGCCAGCGCCACCGCCGCGCACGCGACGACCACCCCTCGCACCACCGTCGTCTTCTCGATCGCGATCGCCATGCACATCGGCCATCGCGCCGCCTTCTCCGCGCGCAGCTCCGCCCGTCGCGGTTCCCGCGTCGACGCCGCGCCCTTCCCCCGGCGCGCGTCCGCCGCGTCCGCCGCGGCGTCCTTCGCGCGCGGCTGTCGCGTCGTCGCTCGCGCGCGTCGCGTCGCCATCGTCGTCCGTCGCGCGTCGCCGGCGACGCGTCCGACGTTCGCCCCTCGCGCGTCGCGCGTCGCGCCGTCGCGTCGTCGTCCGCGAACGAATCGCGCGCGCGTCGCGCGCGCGCGACGCCCCGCGCGCGACGGGCCGACGGCGCGACGGGCGTCCGCGGGGACGACGCGCCGACTCGCCGACGGTTCGTGACTCGCCGACGGTTCGTGACTCGTCGACGGTTCGTGACTCGTCGACGGTTCGTGACTCGTCGACGGTTCGTGACTCGCCGACGGTGTGCCCCATCGTCGCGCACGCCACCAGGCGTCCCGCGATCGCCCCGCCGCGATCGCCGCGCCGCACTGCGCGCCGCCGCGTCGATGGCGACGATGGCGCTCGCCCCCGCGCGCGTCGCGCTCCGACGCGAGTTCGCGCGGAAAAACTCGATCACGCGCGAGAAGAAACGCGCGAGTCGCGGAAACGCGCGCCCGAACGCGCTCAAACGCGGCGTCGCGAACGCGGCGCGCGCGATGGGTGGCGAGAGCGAGGTTTTTCGAGCGTGGGATCAGGCGACGAAGAGCCAAAAGAGAACCGACTTGAAGAAGATCATGATCCTGGGCGCGGGACCGATCGTGATCGGACAGGTGCGCGCGCGCGATGACGCGCTCGGGGAGGGAGGAGAGGCGAACGGCGCGGGATGGGAGGGGGTGATCGCGAACGCGAGCGCGGGCGCGTTTTTAAATATTCAAACCGCGGCGGGGGCGATCGCGAGGGAGCGACGCGCGGGGTAGCGACGCTTCGGGGGATTGGCGCGAACGGTTTAGTGAGAATTAATTGTGTTTCGTTCGTCGTCTCGACACGGGCGCGGAAAGACTGACGGTGGTGCGAGTTTGAACTTTGGTAGGCGTGCGAGTTTGATTACTCTGGGACCCAGGCGTGCAAGGCGTTGCGCGCCGAAGGATACGAAGTCGTGCTCGTGAACTCGAACCCGGCGACGATTATGACGGATCCAGAGACGGCGAGTCGCACGTATGTGACGCCGATGTCGCCGGAGAGCGTTGAGCAAATCATCGCGCGCGAAAAGCCGGACGCCTTGTTGCCGACGATGGGCGGGCAAACCGCGCTCAACTTGACCAAGGCGCTCGCGGAGTCCGGGATTTTGGCCAAGTACAACGTCGAGTTGATCGGTGCTAAGCTTGATGCTATCAACAAGGCTGAAGATCGTCAGCTTTTTAAGGATGCGATGGACAAGATTGGCTTGAACACGCCCAAGTCTGGCACAGCCGAGACGTGGGCGCAGGCGCAAACCATCGCGGCGGACATCGGCACCATGCCGCTCATCATCCGTCCTGCTTTCACTCTCGGCGGTTCTGGGGGTGGTATCGCGTATAACATGGCTGAGTTTGAAAACATCGTCAAGGGTGGTCTCGATGCGTCTGCGACGAGCCAAGTTTTGATTGAGCAATCTTTGCTCGGCTGGAAGGAGTACGAGCTCGAGGTGATGCGTGATCTTGCCGACAACGTCGTCATCGTGTGCTCGATCGAAAACTTCGATCCCATGGGCGTGCACACCGGTGATTCCATCACTGTTGCCCCGGCTGAGACGCTCACGGATAAGGAATACCAGCGTCTTCGCGATGCCTCGGTTGCTATTATTCGTGAGATCGGCGTAGAGTGCGGTGGTTCGAACGTGCAGATGGCTGTCAACCCAGTCGATGGTCAAGTCATGATTATCGAGATGAACCCGCGCGTGTCTAGATCTTCTGCTTTGGCTTCCAAGGCGACTGGTTTTCCGATCGCTAAGATGGCTGCAAAGCTTGCGGTCGGTTGCACCCTCGACGGCATCCCGAACGATATTACGCTCAAGACGCCGGCGTCGTTTGAGCCGTCGATCGATTACGTCATCACTAAGATTCCTCGATTCGCTTTCGAGAAGTTTCCGGGTGCTAAGGCGGTGCTCACGACTCAAATGAAGTCCGTCGGTGAAGCGATGGCCATGGGTCGCACCTGGCAAGAGTCCTTCCAAAAGGCGTTCCGCTCTCTCGAGACGGGCTTCTCTGGTTGGGGTCTCAGCAAGAAGGATGGCTTCATGCAAGGTGATGTCTCCGCCATTCGCGATGGTCTTACTATTCCGAACCCTGAAAGAATTGTGACCATCCACGAAGCGTTCCTGGCTGGATTTACGGAGAAGGAGATCATCAACCTCACGACGATGGACCCATGGTTTGTTCGCCAACTCGGTGAACTTTACGAAACCGAGTGTTGGTTAAAGTCGCTCAAGTCGATCGATGAACTTAGCGAAAACGATTGGCTTGAAGTCAAGAGACGTGGTTTCAGCGACGCTCAAATCTCTGTCGCTTTCCCTGGCACGGATGAGATGACTATCCGCAAGGCCCGCACCGGCAAGGGCTGCGTCCCGTCGATGAAGCGCGTCGATACTTGCGCGGCGGAGTTCCAAGCGGACACGCCTTATATGTACTCTTCCTACGATGGAAATGATGAAGCCGAACCGACGAACAACCGTAAGATTCTCATTTTGGGTGGTGGCCCGAACCGTATTGGCCAAGGTATCGAGTTCGATTACTGCTGCTGCCACGCCGCGTTCGCGCTTGCCGATGCAGGCTTTGAGACTATTATGCTCAACAGTAACCCAGAAACTGTGTCGACGGACTACGACACTTCTGATCGCTTGTACTTTGAACCTTTGACGGTGGAAGATGTCTTGAACGTGTGCGAGACTGAGCGTCCGGAAGGCATTATCGTGCAGTTCGGCGGCCAAACTCCGTTGAGCCTTGCCACGAAGCTTGAGGCCGCGCTAAACGCGAACCCGATTCCGGCGGCGTCCGGTAACGGCTTCACGAAGATTTTGGGTACGCCTCCGGACTCCATCGATGCGGCTGAAGATCGTGAGCGTTGGATCGATATTTTGGATGAACTTGAAATCCTTCAACCCCCGGGCGGCGTCGCTCGCTCCGAGGAAGAGGCGCTGAAGGTGGCTGAAAAACTCGGTTACCCGGTCATGGTTCGCCCGTCTTATGTTCTTGGTGGTCGTGCGATGGAAATCGTTGGTTCTACTGCCGATTTGAAGCGATACATCAACACTGCGGTGGAAGTTGATCCGGAACGACCCGTCCTCGTTGACAAGTACCTCCAAAACGCGACGGAAATTGATTGCGATGCTCTGTGCGACATGGAAGGCAACGTTGTCATTGGTGGGATCATGGAACATATCGAACAGGCAGGTGTGCACTCCGGTGACTCTGCGTGCTCTTTGCCGACCCAAACCATCCCTGAATCTGCCTTGGCGACTATCCGCGAATGGACTCCTAAGCTTGCTCGTCGACTTGGAGTTGTTGGTCTCATAAACATTCAGTACGCCGTGACTCCGGACGGCACTCCTTATATTATTGAGGCAAACCCTCGTGCGTCTCGTACGGTGCCGTTTGTTGCTAAGGCGATCGGTCACCCATTGGCGAAGTATGCCTCTTTGGTGATGGCGGGAAAAACGTTGAAGGAAATCGGCTTCACGGAAGAAGTGAAGCTCAACCACGTCGCCGTCAAGGAAGCGGTTCTTCCGTTCGATAAGTTCCCGGGCGCCGACACGTTGCTCGGTCCGGAGATGAGAAGTACCGGTGAAGTGATGGGCATCGACAAGGACTTCAGCCGTGCCTACTGCAAGGCGCAGCTCGCTGCTGGACAACGTTTGCCAACTTCTGGCAATGTGTTCATCTCCGTCCGTGATGGTGATAAGGATGCCATAGTTGACATAGCGCGTGACCTCGTCGCCATGAAATATACGGTCCTCTCGACCGGCGGTACGGCGAGCCACTTAGAAAACGCGGGCGTTCCCGTTACCAAGGTGAAGAAGGTCCACGAGGGCCGCCCTCATATTGGTGACATGATCCGCAACGGTGAGATTGGTTTGATGGTTGTCACCTCGTCTGGTGACGCTCAAGATTTGGTGGATGGTCGCGAGATCCGTCGCACCGCGGTTGGCCTCAAGGTTCCTATGGTGACGACGATCGCTGGCGCGAAGGCGACTGTTGGCGCCGTCAGAGTCTTGCAACAGAATGACTTGGTGATGGATGCCTTGCAAGATTTCTTCTAGAGCTTCACTAAATTGCGACTAAATTTACGGTTTGTCATGCTAATCTTATTACTACATACCACTAAACTGGCTCATCGACGATCCTTGCGAAGTTGCGCGGCGCTGATACCCCCGACGCCTTGCAGAGACCCGGCGCCAGACTGGAAAAGTTTCGTCGGGTTACTCGCGAGCTTGACGTTGCGCCCGTTATTCATGGGGCGACCCTTCATCGAACGATAATCTGAGATCACTTGCGCCCGCAACGCCGCTAAATCCGCCGTACGTTTGAGCCCTTGTGTCTCAGACTTTTTCTTACTCTTCGCCGAAGATCCTTTTGCAGCGCTCAAGAGGTCGGCAAATATTTTCGACTGCCTATTAGACTTCCCTCCGGTTTGATTTTCGGCAATTTCGACTATTTTATGCCCACTCTGCGCGATCGGAACCTCCTTTTCCCCCTTTCCTCCGCTTTTTCGCTTGAGCGTAATTGTCGGTGGCGCCTCGGCGACTTCGCCAAACCGCACCGTGTTTCCACCCCCTCGCAAGAACTCTGCCTCTTCTTCTTTCTGCGCCCGCAACGCCACTCGATCCCGTTTTTTCCGCTCTCTTAGAGAAAGATGTTTCTTCTTTTTCTTCTTTGCCTCGGCCTCAGCCTCCCGCGCCGCCGTCGCCGCTTTTTCATCCATCGCCCTCAGCGTGGCGTTCCCTTTATCGGGTTGTGCTCGCACCAGTGGCGCTACTGAGGTCAGTGCTCCTTCTCCGCTGATATTTCTATTCGTGGCCTCTCCCCTGTCGTCCTCCGACGACTCCTCGCCGACGTCATCGACCTTTTCTTCGCCTCTCTCTTTGGCCGCCGCCGGTTCTTCTTCTTCGCTATCGTCGTCTTCGACGCGGTCTCGTCGCTTCGATCGCGACTCTGCCGCGGCTTTGGCGGCGAGAAATCGCTTGAACGACTTCGGCGCGCTCAGCATCACATCTTCGCTCACCTTTCCCGAAGGCATGGCCACTTTCTCGTCGTAAAACCGTCCCGAGATGCGGTCGAAAGTTTTCGAGTTTTGCGCCATCTTGGCGCGCTTACGCGCGCTCTTGCCTCGTATGCCCCCCATGATGCGGGCGACGCGCGTGCACGGGTCTGTGCGATTGCGCGCGCGTCGCTCGGCCGCGCGAGCTCGATCGGACAGACCCGCGACGCGTCGGAGTGTCCCGCGCGCGCTGTACCCTAGACTTTTGCTGAAATCCGAATCCGCGTCCTCGTCGACGCGTGGTGTCGTGACTTCGACGCGCGCGTCGTCGACCGAGGCGCGTCGACGACGATGAATGCGTCGACGACGCCCAAAACCCTCACTCGAGGCAAGCGTGACGTCGCGCTGAGCGCCTACGCGCTGTTATTTTCCGAACTCGTCCAGTACCACAAGAGTCGCGCCAAGGATACGAGCGAACTCGAACGCGCGCTCGAGGACGCGGGCGCGGACGTGGGACGGCGAATGTACGAGGCGCAGAGTTTCCGTGAGCGCGGGCCGGGGAAGCGGGAGAATCGGTTGTTACCGCTATTGCAATTCATTCAGAGCTCGTTTTGGAAAAACGCGTTCGGGCGCGCGGCGGATTCGTTGGAGGTGTACGACGACGACGAGTACCTGCTGTCCGATCGGGACTTGCTCGTGAATCGATTCGTGAGCGTGCCAAAAGATTACGGCGATCTGAATTGCGGAGCATTCGCGGCGGGGATGGTGGGGGGAATCTTGCGAAGCGCGGGATTTCCATCCAAGGTGAGCTGCTATTACTCGGAACAGGCCCCCGGGGACGCGTCGGGGCGACGAACGACGAATATATTGATGAAGTTCGAGCGAGAAACTATCGAGCGAGAGAAGCGATTAGATGGTAGATGAATTAGCGCATAGAAAAATCTCTGTATCAATACTAAGCAAGCGATCTAAAGCGAGTCGGCGCACCAGTTTAAGTGCGCTCTGAGTTGCATCGCCGCGGGATAGCTCATATCTCGCGGGACCCCGACGCGATCGCGCAGGTATGCTAGACATTTACGAACGGATTTCGCCTCCGAGCTTGTATTCGAACTTGGTTCCGATGGCTCGGCGGTACCCTCGATCAGAGCCTGCGCCACCTTTCGCAAGCATTCATCGACGCGACTTTCGTAGTTTAAATTCGGGACCGCATAAGGATCCGCGAGCGGAGCACCGAACTGCTTGCGACCTGGCTCGCCCATACCTCTGCAAGCAAACTTGACGATATTTGCAGAGTTTGCAATCAGTTTATACGCTGCTTCATGCTTTGCGTCCTCTTCACCTCGGTTCATAGATTCCGGAAGCGGCTCCAAGCCGTCAGCAGATAGAGAAACCGGTAATCGCCAACTCTTTTCGCCGCCGATGACCGCCACAGCTTCGTCCACCGCGGCGTTTTTATCGGCGTATCCCGGTCCATATTGAGGTGGGATATCCATGATGTGCGTGTAGTAGTCGCTCTTTGTCGCCTGATACGTCGGTCTCGCCTCAAACGCGAGGAGCCACCTTTCTATGTTGGCCCAACGCTTTGTGCCGCGCATTTGCAGTCCCTTCCAATACAGAACGCTCGCGTTCATGCGCTCGACGTGCGAGACGTACTGAAAGTCCACAATGCTTGGACTTTCTCCCCCGAGAAACCATGGTCCTTCCGTAGAGCCGAGCGCTTCGTCGACCTTGTCCAACGTCTTTTCGAATCCCGCTCTCGCTCCCAGCGGTCCCGGCATCGAGGGCCGAAACACGAGGCCGCACCAATCCGAAAACAACTGACGTTCGAGCTTCAAAAGCACGTTCGCCGCCTCAAACTTATCCTCGGGAAGCGTCGGTCGCTCCGGGAACTCGCGTTCGAGGATTTGCATGATGACCAAACTCTCCGTGATCATATTCCCGTCGATCTCCACCACCGGCAACAGCCCGCTCGGAATCTTGTCCAGAAACGCCTTTGGTTTATCGCCGTACGATCGCATGTTGATCTTCTCCACTCGGTACGGGATTTGTTTTTCTTCGAGCATGATCCAAAGCTTTTGACAGTACGGGCACCACTGCGCGAGTGAGAGCGTTCGTGCGTCAGTCTTTCGTTCTCCGTTCGCCGCGAATCGCCAAATCCAAACCGCGCGCTCGGGCGGCGCGCTGGGGCGCCGACGCGACGGCGCGTCGCTTCAGCACGCACCCCCGCGTGGTCGCGATAAAACGTCACCCGCACGTCCTCCTCGCGCGCGCCGAACAATCGCAGCGCGTTGTCCTGATGCGCCGGTCCACCGCCGCGCGCGCGCGCCTGCGCGTCTTCCGTCAGCCGTTTCACGCAGCTCGACGTCGACGCGGTGTGGGACGCGCGAAGTTCGTCCCAAGACTTGACGGTGGTGGACATGGCGACGACGCGCGCGCGATGTGAACGAGCGCGGTGCCTTGTCGAACGAGCGGTGCTCGCACGCGCGACGCGAGGGACGGACGCACGCGCGAGGGACGCCGAGGAAGCGCCGTCGACGCGCATCGCAGAGTGCGGACAGACGCGTCGCCGGGACGGTGCGTCTAAAGAAAAAATCTGATGTTGACATGAGGACTGATTAATGGTGATTCGAGATTAAGCACCTTGAGTGCGCGTGGAGACGCGTCGCAAAGAGCTCCGCGGGTCGCGATCACGCGATGAGACTGGGCTCCATCTCAGCCGGCGCCTCGTATCCCATGAGGTTGATGTACGTCGCCGTGACGTTGGCGAGACCAGCCTTTGGGAGATCGTCGCGAAACTTGACACCCGTGGGCAACGCCGGACCACCGATTGCGACCGGAACTGGAGCGAGAGTGTGCGAAGTGAGAGCCAAGAGTGCGCCGCTGTCGTCCTTCAACGCGCCACCCTTTTTGTCGCGCTGCACCATGTCGTCGGCGTTGCCGTGATCGGCGGTGACCAGGAACATACCACCCAACTCTTCCACGAGGTCGAGAAGTTCCTTCACGCACGCATCGCACTCTTCGCAAGCCGCAACGGTGGCCGCCATGTCACCGGTGTGACCAACCATATCAGGGTTAGCGTAGTTGATCCGAACGACGTCGTACTTCCCAGAGAGCAACGCCTCCTTCCCGGCTGCGGTGATTTCGCGAGCCTTCATCAACGGCGCTTGGTTAAAAGGCACATTGTCGCTCGGAATCTCGACATATGTTTCAAGATTTTCGTTGAAGTACCCAGAGCGGTTACCGTTCCAAAAGAAGGTGACATGACCAAACTTTTGAGTTTCGGAGCACGCGAAGGTTTTCAATCCATTCTTCGCGAGCCATTCGCCAGAAGTCCGCTCGATGAGCGGGGGTGGAACGAGATAGTTCGCCGGTAGCTTCAAGTCGCCATCGTACTGCATCAGTCCCACAAACTTTGTCTTGGGAAATCGCACGCGATCGAACGAGTCAAAGTCTGCATACTCGAAAGCCTTGGAAATTTCGACAACGCGATCTGCGCGGAAGTTGCAGATGACGACGGCATCGTCGTCTTGGATCGTACCGACCGCTTCGCCATCATCGCCAACGATGACAAACGGTGCAACGTACTGGTCGGTGGCTCCATCCTTCTTAAGCTCCGTCAAAGCTTCTTTCGGGCACTTGAACTTATGCGGGGCGTCACCCAAAACGTGCGCGCGCCAGCCCCGCTCAACCATACCCCAGTCGGCTTCGTAACGATCCATGGTCACCGCCATGCGTCCACCACCGGAAGCAACCTTCGCATCACATCCCTGCGCGGTGTACGAGTCGAGTTCAGCGACGAGTTTTGCCATGTACTCGTGCGATGTACCATCCGGAACGTCTCGTCCGTCGGTGAGCACGTGCAGGCGCAACTTTTTGCACCCATCCGCGAGCGCGCCTCGCATCAAGCCAAATATTTGATCCGTGCGCGAGTGCACACCGCCATCACTCAATAATCCAATCACGTGAAGCGTATTGTTCGCGAACGCGGGCTTGATGTACCCCCACCCGGCGTCGCTAAACATGTTCTTTGTCTCAAGCGCAATGTCAACCAGGGACGCTCCCTGCGCGATCACCTTCCCCGCGCCCAGGGCGTTGTGCCCGACTTCGGAGTTCCCCATGTCCGCATCGGTGGGCAGGCCAACGGCCGTACCGTGCGCCTGGACGGTGCGATAGAACGATTGACCTTTCGCCTTGAGCGCGTCCATCGTCGGCGTCTTGGCCACATGCACGGCGTTGTGCTCGTCCTCGTATTCATTCTCTCCCCAACCGTCGAGGATGCACACCAAGACGGGCTTCTTTTGCGGGATTGTCGGGTGCGGATGAAGCTCCATGATCGTTCCCCGTCGTCTTCGAGCGCGCGCGATGAAGTGCGACGCCACGCGCCCCGCGCGTGAGAGAGGGCGGCGCGTTCGGTACTTTTCGGAGGGCTAGGGCAAACACCCGATTTCCTTTGTCCGGATCGCGAGGTCGATCGATCGACGCTCTGAGGTTGGACGGCCGCGCTTTCGCGAACGTCGCGAGGGGAACGGTGCGCCGTCGATCGATCGAGTTCGGTCGATCCCGTCGATCGCATCCGATCGTTCGATCGCGTTCGATCGTTCGATCGCATCGATCGCGTCGATCGACGTCGATCCCGTCGAAGCATTCGATCGATCGATCACGTCGTTCGACGTCGATCGTATCCGATCGATCGATCGCATCGATCGACGTCGATCGCGTCAAACATTCGATCGATCGATCACGTCGATCGACGTCGATCGTATCCGATCGATCGATCGCGTCGATCGCGTCGAAGCATTCGGTCGATCGTATCGATCGACCCCGTCGATCGACCCCGTCGAGGGCGTCGAGGGACAGGGGGACTTGCCGTCGCGTCGGGCGCGGCATTACGCGGCAGTGCGCACGAAGGCCGTCCACCGTCCACCCACCGCGGGGCGGGAAACGACGCGTAGGGAGTGTTATCGCCGACCGCGCGTGCGTTCGACGATTGACGACGCCGTCGTAGACGGCGCGCGAGGGATTCGTACGCGACTCGAAGAGCCGCGGGACATCCAACGAACCGGCGCGAACGCTCGCGTGCCCCCGCACGCGAGCGTCACGCGATGGAACCCTCGGGCGCAAACAATGGGGATGATGTCAATATCAACGCTTGGGGTATTCCAGTCCTTCGTTACACCGAAGAGGACCGAGTAAAGCAAAAGTTTGTAGAGACGATTCATCGCGTCGAGTGGCGCGAGCGCGAGACGGGGGCGTTCCGCAACCCGGATGATGTGGATGAGCTAAGATGGAGCGAGTCCGATGACGAAGAAGATGTAGAAATATTACGATCCGATCGCGAAGTGGAGAAAGAAGAACTTGCGGTTGCGATGCTCGCGGAGAAAGGCGCCTCGCGTTTGGACGAACCAGCGACGTCTTTAACGTTGACAACAACCGACGCAGCCGACGACGATGTAGACGCGGACGGTGAACCTGCGGTCGGTGGATATATGAATATTTTATTTCGTAATCGCGGGAGTAAGGCCAATGCGACGTCCGAAGAGAGAGTGGCTTACATGGAGACTCGATTGAAGAACTTACGTGGAGTGCCGTCTCATTTGCACCGGTTCGTCAAGCCAGTTGTGTTCAGTCTACCATTGGGGTCGCGGGTGAAGAAAATATCTGGTGGGGACGATCATGCGCTTATTCTTCTTGAATCCAACCCAGAGGCGCTGGAACATATCGCTCCTACGTATACTGATCACGACGGACGGATACTTGTTATGGGATCCGATGAGTCATCGCAACTCGGTCTTCGAACGACGACGTCTCAGGACGTTCCGGTGGCGCTCGACGTCATTGACGGAGCGAAGGCTGTAGATGTCGCCGCAGGCGGCCGATACTCGGTAGCGGTGACATCAGGACAGGAGTGCTTGACGTGGGGGGAAGATGTAGGCGGTTGCACTGGCCACGGTGAGAGCGGTTTGAATCGGATTCACAACACACCAAAGTGGATGTACTGGATGACCAACGCCACGACGAAGGTGGTGTCTTGTGCCGCGGGCTCAGCACACACGGTCATAACAACGGGCTCAGGGCAAGTTTACACTTTCGGCGTTGGAGATTGCGGTCAACTCGGTCACGGAGATGGGGTTAACTACGCCAAGCCAAAGCTCGTGGAATCTGTCACTCTTATGAACGTGTCTTCAGTGGCTTGCGGTAGCAATCACACACTCGTAGTGACCGATTCGGGTTACGTTTATGGATTTGGCTCAAATAGTTGTGGTCAGCTCGGATGCGGTGACTTTTCGAATATTTTCATTCCCAGACGCATGGGGCACGACGAGTTCGTCGGCGGTGTTCCGGAACGAGTCGACGTGGAAGAAATCCATCTCGACTCGGTCCAGCTTGAACAGAGGTTCATCAACGAGATGACGGCTCTCAAAGACGTAAGCGAAAGCTGTGTGGCGTTGGAAAAGGTTCGTCACAAGGTCGTGCAGGTCGTCGGGGGAGAGGAGCACACAGTAATGCTAACAGAGAAGGGTCGAGTATACGTCTGCGGACGCGGTTCCGATGGACAGTTGGGATTGAGCGACACGGTAGATCGAAGTTTGGTGACACTGGTGTCTACTATGGTGAACGTTTTCATCGTTCAAATCGGAGCTGGTGATAATCACACCGTCATGTTGACAACGCTTGGCGACGTTTTTGTCTGTGGATCAAACGACTTTGGTCAACTCGGCGACGGGTCAATCGCCACGGCGACTACGCCGAAAAAGTTACAGCCAGCGTTATCAGTCACCGATCGTCTCGCCTTGAAGAAGTCGGAAATAGAAGAGATCGAGCGACATCCGATGTATGAAGTTAAAGCTGAGCAGGTTTACGCATCCAAATCATCCACGTTTGTCGTTGCTCGAGGGAGCGAGAATTTGTACGTATGTGGAAGTGGAGCATTTGGTCATCCGGTGAACAAACACCGCACCAACGTTGATGAACTCATGAAAGAGTCTTTGTCAAAGTGGAATGAGAACCAGGTGGTAATGATGGGTTCAACTTTTGCAAACTTGAAGGTGGACGAACACATCTTTCAAAATCTGGTGAAACAGATGGTCATGTACGGCGTGTACCATGAAAACGTACTGGCTCACATTTTCTGTTCTGGATTTGAAGAGATGCTATTGAATCCGCAGCTTTGTAGCGTGTACGTAAATATGATCAAAAGCATGGGCAAGTACAGTATTGGCTGTAGCCCACTGAGCTTTCGACGAGTTATCATGTTCGCCATCGAGGATTTGGGAGTGCGCATGCTCGCTGCTCGAAACGAAGCCCAGCGTCGAAGGCTGCTCAGAAACCTCGGACCAGTGAGGTTCCAAAAGTTGCAAAAGAAAACTGGTCAACTCGATCTTCAGCAGAAGTTTAACACATTCATCACTAACCGTGCGGGACTTCTGGAATACGAGCGCTTCAAGGAGCACTGCGTCGTACTGAAACGGTTTGTCAGACAACTCTTCGAAGCTGGGGTGCTCGTTGAGGAAGATCTCCGCGATATGCGAGTCGGGTTCCCCGGTTCGATGCATAGTATCTCACTCATCAGCAGCGTTGATGCGGAGCAAAAGTTTCTCTTTTTTCAGGGGATCGCCACGCTGAAGCGCGAGAGTAAAGGCCCGATAGAGTTGGATCACCGCAGCGGCAAAGCGCAAGTGAAGACACGCGTGGCTGAGCTTCTATCTACGGCTACGGAAGACGCTGCGTGGGGAGGCACGCTACTAGACAGTAATGGAACGTCATGGCAAAACTATCGAGCGAATACGAGCACGGAAAAGAAGATGCGAGCTGTTTCGCACGGGATTCCAGAAACTGGGAATACAAACGGGCGGTGCGAGTCGATGCTATCGCCAAGCACTCGTAACGTTATCAGCTTGCGAGGATTGTTATAGAACGCTAGCAACATAGAGTTTGGAGCAATCTAAAGCTACAACAGATTTTTTACGCGCCGAGATACAACGTGAGCATCATCAGAGCGGCGCCAAAGATGACCCCACGGTACATATTGTCACTATTTCCACATTTTCTCGCCTCGGGCCACAATTCAAGCGCACACACAGCAACCATAATCCCACCAGTGCCGGCGAGGAGATGTTCCAAACGCGTTGGAGTGAGGTACGGTTTCATGAATTTCAAAGCGATGAGCGCCCCGACTGGTTCCGACAACCCGCTCGCGGTGGCGAGAAGAATGGCTCGACTTCGGCTTCCAGTCGCTGCATACACCGGGGCAGCGATGATGATACCCTCTGGGACGTTATGCATTCCGATCGCGAACGCCATCGTCGGTCCAATCGTCGTATACGACGCGCACGCCACCGCGAACCCCTCTGGCAAGTTGTGCAGCGTCATCGCGAACGCCATCAAAATCCCCAATCGCAACAACCGCGCCCTGCTCACTCTTCCAGCGGCGATGGCATCCTTTTCATCGTCGCTCTTCGACGTCGCGTTCATCGTCGTTCGTTCGTTCGGTGGTGTCCCCGCGTTCGCCTCGTGGTGCGTCTCTGGATTCGGCAACAGCGGCGCCGCGCACGCGTACGTCCCCGCCCCCCCCAGCGTCGCCGCGGTGACGCTCCAGAACCCGTGCTCGATGACATTCTTCGCGTACAGTTCCACGAACGACAGCGACGTCATCACTCCGATCGCGACGCCGAGCAAGAACGCCATCGCGCGCGCGTCCGGTTTCTTCCACACCGCCACCACCGCGCCGAGCGTCGTCGCGAGTCCGGCGAGCGTGCTGAGCGTCATCGCGCGTCGTTCGCCGTCATCGAGCATCGCCCGTCGTCGTCGCGTCGTCTCGGCGACGACGACCGAGGGTGCGACGCGGCGTGCGGCGTGGACGACGACGCGAGGGCGAGGGAAACCCCGTCGCGCGCCACTCGTTCGCGCGCGAACCGTCGAGCAGCCGACGCGCGGGCGCACCGAGGATGTCCGCGATCACGATCTCGATCGCGTCGGCGCCCGCGCGCGCGCGCGCCCGCGCGACGACGACGACGACGACGATGCGCGCGAAGATGAATCTTCGAGCGTGTTCGACACCTTCGGGGGCGACGCGCGAGGCGCGAGCGATGAAGATCATCGCGCGCGCGGGGGAAGAAGAGGTGCGATAGAACGACGCGTGGCGAGACTCGAGGGCGACGCGCGAGGCCGACGGCGCGCGAGGGATCGAGGATTAGACGGGCGAGCGACGAGGGAGCGGGGCGACGAGGGTATCGGTCGACGAGGACGAACGAACGACTGACGAAACAACGCGTGTTCTCGCACCGCGCAGGGTGAAACTGTTGAGACTGAAGAAGAAGTGCCCGAAGTTGAAGTCGTCGAGGACGACGAAGAAGTCGCAGGAGGTGCGGAAGAAGAGGAGACCGCGTTGAGCGCGCTCGTCGGTCGACTCGAGGTCGTCGTCGGCGATAACGCCGACGCAGCGGAGCTTGTGGCCTCCCTCAAGGGAGAAATCGGTGATGCAAACGCAAAGATGGTCGGTATGGAAGACCAAGTGGCCGCGATGAAGGATCAATACTTGCGTTTGAACGCAGACTTCGACAACTTCCGCAAGCGAACGCTCAAGGAAAAGGAGAACCTCGCGAGCAGCGCCAAGGGGGACTTTGTCAAGGCTCTCTTGCCCGTGCTCGATAACTTTGACCTCGCAGAGAAGAATATCAAGGGTTCGACCGAAGGTGAGGAGAAGATATTGACGGGATATCAAAACATGCACAAGCAGTTGATGGAAATTCTTTCATCGCAAGGCCTCCAAGTCGTCGCGGGCGTCGGTGAACCGTTCGACCCGAACGACCATGAGGCTATCATGCGGGAAGAGAACGACGAGATGGATGAAGATACCATCATTGAAGAATTCAGAAAGGGCTATAAGATCGGTAGTAGCCTCATCCGTGCTTCGATGGTGAAGGTTTCGACCAAGCCGTAAAAGCTCACCGACGCCCGTCGCGACGCTTTTATATATACTAGGACTCATTTCAATTCATTCATCCATTAATCCACCACTCCAGCGATCTCATCATCTGAACCGCATCCACGTTAGATCGCATAAGCCCTTTCGCGAAATCGCGCGCGACGGTCGGCGTCGTAGAAGTCGAGAAAGTCGAGAAAGTCGATATGGGTCCGTGTGAGGCGTCACAACGACTGATTGCGCAGGGCTCAGCGCCGAAACTTGGCGATCTAGGGCTAGGTCGATATGTCCGCGGGAGGCTCTGCATCTCCCCCGATGTCAATTTTACCGTATTCAAAGCCATGATAGATCTTTCACCTTTGACGCGGATGATCGATAAAAAACGTGCGACGCGATCGAATCACGACTCGTCGCGAGTCCCCCGACGACGTCTGGCCTTTCGTCGCGCCCGCGGCGGGTTCGGATTCGCAGCGGCGGCGCTCGTATCCGCGAAGACGTCACGAGGCGTTCCGAAAGATTACCGCCGCCGCACACGACGACTTCGATTCGTTCGAACGTCCGTCCTCGAGGGAGTCCATAGCCACCCTTCGCACGTCCGCACGCCCTCCACGCGCCGTCCGCGCTCGTAAAGCTTCGGAGTTCGGCGCGAGATCGCATCTTGCGCGCTCGACTTTTCGCGCCAAAGGTCTCTCGAGATGGCTACCGCGCGCGTCATGGACGCGCTCGAGGACAAGAAAGTCCAGATGATCGTCGGTGGGGTGACGCTGACTGGTGGTATCTACGTCGCGGTGAAGTTGTCTTGGTTCCGCAAGAACCCGCTGCGCTCGTTCGGCGGGAAGACCGGGGCGATGGCGAAGACGATGGTGGACAAAGGGATAAAATCTTACAACGAGTTCTTCGACCAAGAAGACGGTAAGGGGGTCGGATCGCGCATCTTGTCCACCCCGGACTTCGTGAACAAGTTTTACTCCCTCATCACCGACTTTTACGAGTACGGTTGGGGCGAAAGCTTCCACTTCGCCGCACGCGAAAAGGGGGAGAGCTTTGAAGACTCCATCATTCGCCAGGAAGTCGGTACGTCATGCTCGTCTCGCGCGCATCACTCGTCTCGAATCCGTGAACGCGTTCTACACGCATATCCGTGAAAAGCAGGCATTCGACTGACGCGACTTTACCCGTTTTACACGCACAGCGATCGCGGAGAACATTGGTTTGAAGGCGGGGATGAACGTGTTGGACCTTGGCTGCGGCGTTGGGGGTCCGATGCGCAACATCGTCAAGGCCACGGGCGGTAAGGTGACTGGTATCACTATCAATGAGTACCAAGTTGGCCGCTGCAACACTTTGAACCAGCAGGCTGGCCTGGAAGATTTGACGGAGATCGTTCAAGGTAACTTCATGGACCTCGCGAAGGTGTTCAAGGGTCGATCCTTTGACGGCGCGTATGCCATTGAAGCCGCGTGCCACGCGTCGAACACCACTGCTTTGTACAAGCAAGTGTTCCAAGTCCTCAAACCGGGTGCCCTCTTTGCGTCCTACGAGTGGTTGCGCACCGATCAATACGACCCGAATAATAAGGTTCACGTCGACGTCGTCGATGGCATCGCTGAAGGTAACGCACTGCCGGAAGTGCGCACCATCGAAGATTGCGTTGAAGCCGCGAAGGCGGCGGGCTTCGACGTGCAGTTTACTTTTGATCGCGCCACCCTTGGAGCCGTTCCGTGGCAACAAGCCATGAAATCTGCTCGCCGGGCGGCGTACTTGACGCACGTCCTCACCGGCGTGCTCGAGTTCATCGGCTTCGCGCCCAAGGGGACGCAAGCCGTGCACACCATGTTGTTGAAGGCTGCGGTCAACCTCGAGAAAGGCGGTGATCTCGGCATCTTCTCTCCGATGTATCTCATCGTCATGAAGAAGCCGCTGGCTGCGTAGGTTCATGGTGTGGCTATAATGTATTGAGAAATATTGTTCGTTGAGGAAGAAGTGCCTGCGAACCTGTCTCAGTGTCTTGGTTGCTATGTAGTTCTTTTCAATTCAAGTGTGCATACAGACATTAATCACCCATCACTCGTAAGCGCGCGCACAACCACGACTGCGATCTCGCGGGATGCTCGTTAAGGGATATTGAACTGATCGTTTCTGGCTTCGCGATGCAACAGATTACAAAAGTAATTAATTATCGAATAATCGCGAATGACGGCAAAACACGCCCTCGTGAGACGACGAAGTCGATGTAAACGCAGCGTAAGCGCACGAGACGTCCGAAAGGTCATTTTCATTGTTCTTACGTGGTAATTACTCGAGCGCGTTCGTTATTTTCGTACAAAGTGAAATGTGCGTCTTTGTAATAAATAAATTTAATACAAACGTTCGCCAACGTAACGCGTGGCAACGAATCAAAGCTTCCGGGACGCAAAACTCCGAAACGTACGGCACCAACGAGCATCCAAGAGGCATGGAGCTCGCGCACGGCCGGCCAGAGCGTCCATAGACAACGACGTTGTCGGTGTTTTATCGAGAAGGAGAAAATAATTGAAATTAATTCACCCGTAACCCGTTTTGCACATCCATGTGTCGCAAACAGGCAGTCCAGATCGCTCGATGTAGTGGACGGCCAAGCGAGCAATTTTATTGAGTAATCAAGACAAACACGCCGACAACGACGTCACGATCAAAATTAATTAATTTATTAAATAAATACTCTCCAGGAGTGCGCTCTTAGATAGGCGCTAGATGCATGCAAAACAACACACGAACGTCACACAATCGATATTCGCGACACCACGTTTAAATGAGCACGCGATCCGCACGCGTCCACTTCATTGTGAGCTTTGACAAGCCGTCATCTTTGATGCAGTTGATTTAATTATTTACATCGCAACGTACGAAACGGGGCGCGCACAATACTGTCACTAACCCACGCGAGCTTCAACGAATACGATATGATTTTAATACACTATTATCTGCGCGGAATTCTCGCTTTAAAATTGCGAACGACGCGAGCGAACGATTTACTCAATTGACAAATCAATCCACGCCACTAATAAATCCACCACCACCAACGCCTGGTCCCATCATGACCACGGCTTCGTCATCGTCAATCACTTCGACGGCTTGCGGCTGATTCAAGCCTTCTTGAAGGTCTTCGGGCACCATGCCGTGCTTCAGGAACAAATCTCCGGCGGCAACCAATGCAGCACAAGTTTCTGCGTGTTCCTCAAGTTCGTATCCGTCTCGCAGAGTCCGAGGAGCGTCCAACTTGCCAAGCCACATCCGGCCTTCTTCGTCTTTCGCCAACGCGTAGATCGCTTCCGCACAGGCCTGACGAACATGATCAGATAATTCTGCTCCGACCTGCTTCCCGCTGATCGGCCGAAGGAGCGCGCGTAGGACATCCCCTGCTGCCTCCTGTGCACCTGGGCTGACAAAGTCCAAAAGCGCTTTACGCTGAATGTCATCCATGCAGCAATTCCGCAACGCCGCTGCGACACGCTCACGTCTGAGGTCGTTCGATTCACTCATAATTGAAACAACTGATGCTAACAATCCTCGCTTCGGATCTAAGAAGACTCGTCGACCGATCGGGTCGCGCGAGATGTTTGTCAAGACTGACGCGGCATGGTCGTAGTCTTCCTCCGGCTTTCCGGTGGACAAGAGTTGGATCAACTTTGACACGTAAAATCCTTCTAGTGGCTTACCCTCTTGACTTATCACGTGTACACCGCTCTCCGCCGTCGTCACGTTCGCTAAAATAGACAGCAAGAGGTCTACCGGTGCACCGTCGCCATCGCGAAGCCCGTCCATGGCTCGCTCCACGACACCCTTGTTCACAGCCTTGACGATCACCTCCGGGTCGTGCGTCAAGTTTACCAGCGCTGTCGCGGCATACTTTGATTCTGCGCCTTCTTTGCCGAGCGCGTGCAACAGTTTTGGCACCAGTGAGTCGGCTTTAGCGCACAGTAACTTTGCGCCGTCATCCGTTCCAGTCAAGCCTTGGATGATGTGCGCCGCCTGCTCTCGCACGGCCGGGTTCTTATCGGACAAAAACCCGATCACCTCGTCGAGTTCGTCGGCCATGAATTCTAGCGCGGATGTCGTCCTCGACGGGACGCAGCGCGCACGTCTGACTGTGCCGCCTTCGCCCGCGAGCGCGTGCGCGCCTACAGCGCGCACTCGCGTCCGTCGATACTTCGAGGCGCGCCGTCGGACGCGTGGGATGTCACGCGCGTCACGCGTCGCGCCAGCGACGGTGACGTACATCTCCTATCTGCCCGGCGACGACGATCCTTTGGACGAGCGCGCTACGGAGGCGTGTCAAGCGCTAGTGGACGCCCTCGATAGTGCGCTGCGAAAGACGAGTGAAGCGTTTTGGGCGCACGTGCAGAGAAACGGACGAGGGCTCGGGAGGAGTCTGGACACGTACTTGCAGTTTAAAACGCGGCCATTCGAAACTCGAGGTCGGGGGGCCGAACCGTCGACTTCAGTTACGGAGGACGAGTTGGGAAGGAAGGTCTTCCTCACGATGCTCAGACTGGTGAATGACGGCGCTCGAGAGCGAAGCTGCTTAACTCTCGAAGAGCGGAGGCAGGCGGTTTTAAAGCATAACCTGATCGACGTACCGAAATTGATTGACTTGACGGTGATTTATGGAAGCGATAACAGGGATCTAGTGCACGAAGTGCTAGAAAATGCTGTGAAACTGTTGCCGACTCTCGAAGACGATTTTGGGCGCACTGGATTGATGATCGAAAAGAACTTGAAAGATATGGCAGCGCGAGTGACTCCTGCGGCTGAAGCTAACGAGCTCCCACCAGACGGGTTGAGTGAATCGCTGTCATACTTTCACGACGTTGCTATTTCACTTGTTTCACTCGTCACCGTGTATCCAGAAGCCGCAGAATGGTTGCGTCGTGATGGGAATCTGACAGGTGCGCTCGAAAAGATCCGAAGTATGGTACTTTCTAGCTTCCAGTCCATGGCAACTTGCGATAGTGATAGTTTAGATACGGTGAGAGGTTCTTTAGGCGCGGCAATTTCCTTTCTGAGAAGTGCAGATGGAGGAGGAGGAGGAGGAGGAGGAGGAGGAGGAGATGGAGAACCCGTGGATGCAGAGCGCGATAAGTACGTAGGACTGGCTCCAGTGGTCGTGAACACGATTGAATCTGTTAGAATCATCCTACCCGATGTCGGCATTGGGTTTCTTAAGGCATGCGTAGACCATTTTGGTCCCAACGCTGAGTCAATTGTGCAGCATTTGTTTGAGGAGTCGCTTCCGCCTGATTTGCGGTCGCTTGATAGACAGCTGGGATGGCCGCCACCCGCGTCAAAGTTGACCTGGCGGAGTCGTCCTCAGCCCAGTATACCCGTTGGCAAGAGATTGAACAAGGAAGCTGACCTCGAACTTTCAGTGGAAGATAAGAAGCGAGTGCTGAAGGCAGCGCGCAATTTGGAATACGAGGATGAATACGATGATTCATTCGACGATCTCCCAGTGCAAGTAGCGAACGTCACGCTCGGTACGGACGAATTAGAAGATGGAGACGGTCGCAAAGAACGTGCAAACGCATCGAAGCGTGTCTTCTATGTGGCCGACGGCAAAGTCTATCACTCCCACAAAGCCGGCGCCGAGAAAATCTTCGCGCATAGCGCAGAGGAAGCGTCAACGATCGCCCTGGCCCAAGAAAAAACGAAAAGAAACGAGATAGAAGGACTCGGTGCGGGTGGAAATAAGTCACGGTTCGATTCAGCATTCACCCCGAGCACAAGCGCGGTACCTTTCACGCCAAGGGGATTGTCGACAAGTGCTTCGGCCAAAGAACAACCCAGGGCAAACGGGGGTGCCGGTCGCGGAGGAAGAGGGTCTGGCGGACGACAAACGAGAGGACTGACTGCAAAAGATTTTACACACAAGCATCACAATCAAAAAGCAAAAGCAGCTAAGAAGGCGGCGTTGTAATTTAATTAGAACGGTCAGGGCGTTCACTTTACACGGTAACCGACCTCCCCAAGAAGCCACAAACTCGCACGCGCACATCGAGTGTGCGCTCGCACAAGCGCAAGAGAAGAAGGCACATGTACGATGATGATATTATCATCTACGCCTTAAAGCCAGTCGATTTCGTATTGCTATCGCTGTGCTGCATTCTCGTGTTCTACATTTTGCCACTCAAGTTGTTGAAGCGTCTCAATCGCGGCACTGGATGATGATCTCGGGAGTGCACGCGTCCACAACTATAGTAGCGCTACAATCGTTGCGTTCGTTATCCTATGATGACGAAGGAGTGGCGATCGAGGCGGCGATGGGCCCACTGTTTGACGCCATCGAGCAACGTGAGGGACTCGGGGACGCCGTCTCTGCGCTGGACACCGTGGTCGTTCCAGGCTTACGTCGAGTGCTCAGACGCCCGAGTAAAGGGGAAAAAGACTCTCGAGAGCATGTGTTTGCGGTGTTGTTCAGTGTGTGGTGCGCCAAGCTCATAGGCGGTGATGGGGAGCCAATTCAAGAAACAATTGACCCGTTCTGCCGAAGAGCCAAGTGGTCGCTACCCACGCCGATGTTCGCAGAGTTGATCACAGTGCTAGAAATGAAGGATTTGTTCTACAATGCGATGCTACATGCTTCTGATCGAGCGAAAGAGACGATGACGAAGGCTTTGTTTACGAGTGAAACCAGAACAGAGGTAATTGAGCAACTGACGGTAATTTTCTCTACGTCCGGATACACTCCAACCGCGAGGAAAACTCAATCACGAACGACGGATGATGAACCAACCGTCAGCGTAGACGTGATATGTTCATCGCCACTGGTTGCAGAACCATCTCAGGTGGAAAAGTTTCTCCGAGACCTGTTGGCGTGCACAGAACCAAAGACAGCCAAAGAAAAATTGGTATCTCGCTTTCCAAAAGATGACGTCTTAGAAATCATATCCACAGTGCTATGCTCCGACGAGTTTCATCTCTTCAGAAATATGCTCATCACGCAACAAGATTTTGATTCAAAAGTCATAGAGCGCGATGTCATTGTCGCATTGAACCGCATCACAGCGAGTGCAAGCACAAGCGTCACCAATCGCATGAAGTTGAATCTAGCGAATGATTTGCTGTGGCCCATACTCATCGCACCAGACCTCGTTTATCGTCGTTTGATTCATACAGCAGTTGCACACTCGTCCCAGGGTGCAATCATTATCGAAACTTTCCGCTTGGTACCAAGTTTTGTCAAGGTGAAGCGTTGCGGCAACTCGCCGGCGTGCTTGCTTGTTGCATTCGTCGACTTGCTCCGGGATTTTCCGAATGACTTTGCGAATATTAAAGCCATGGATTCCATCGAATATATCTGTGAAGCCTTCTTTGGGAGCAATTCTGGCAAAATGCATCTCTTAGAGTTGCAAGACGGTTTACTCTTCATCGTGCTTCCAATGTTGACTGCGGTACAACTTAGTTCCCCTGCTACTGGTCCGTTTCATGGAGCCCACTTTGCTCTGAGAATTTTGAAACTAATAACCATGAACGAAGGACAGGTAGATGTGAGGGTCATTGAGCGCACGTTCCCCGAGGGTGTACTCCTTGCATTGGCACGTGTCATTGAATGGTCACGGAAGCAACGAATGACATCAACTCAGATTTTAGCCACATCGCTGGCTCGTGAAATCAGCAAAGGGCTGTTGGAATCTATTGCAAAAATTTCGCCTAGCAAAGAAATGGCAATTGCTCTCAGACTTGCGGACGAAGTAGCCGCTAGCGTTATAGAATGGGACTCGCGCTTGGCGATAGAGCCCGTCATGCGTCTTGGTCGCATGGAGAGAATCTCGTCGCCGCGCCCCCCTTCGCTCGATTCAAAGGACATGACGTCGATCACTGTAGATATTTTGAAGCTTTATCGCTCGAATGCGAATGCAAACGATAGGATGCTGCTCGAGTTGCTGCGGACGTTTCAAGACTTTCAAGACTGTGAAAGCGATTTGAGTAAATTTCGTCAAAGTCTCTTAGTTGCATGCGTAGCGGTCTTGCCGAACACATCTGGACCAGAGTTTGACCGCATATCACGCATTGGTTTGCCAAAACTGCTCGAAATGCGACGCATAACCGCAGCTGGCATACCAGTCTCGGCTGTGGTACTGGATGTTTTATCACACGCTACAGTGTTTGCCATTCGTGAGTCTCCACAACGGGCGTTTACAATTTGCCGTCACTTTACTCAACTCACCTCGACGCTCACATCCGATGCGAAAGAAACGTTCATCTCTGATACGGACTCCGAGGTGATTGTACGAAGCGCTTTTATGTGCGTGTGCAATATCCTTGATGCGTTGAGTTGCGCGTCAAGATTTCCGGAGAGTCACTCTTGCGAGGTGCTCCTCATGTCAAGCGCGTTAGTCGGCTTAAAAATCCTCAGTTCATCAAAAATTTTGAAAAGCTGGGCATTAGTCCAAGTCAAGTCATTGTCGAAGAGTTGCAAATCGAGGGTTCAGCTTTTAAGTGCGCTGGTGTAGCGACGTGTGGTACAAAAAGCAAGTGATTACAATTCAACATAGCCAAAAGTAAGAACGATTCATCATTGTAATATGTTAGCCAAGTTAGTCTAGCTCTTCATAATCTGGTAAAGCAGTAGCGATGCGGACACCATCACGAATGACGACTCGATCATGTTGCGATCTAGAAAACAGCTCGCTGTAATTCCTAGCGCGAAACAAGACAAAGTTTGCCTTCGCTCCTGGAGCAATCATTCCCGACTTTTCGCCAAGTCGCATCGCGCGCGATGGGTTCGCAGCTAAAGCCAACGGCCACGATCCAAAAGGTCGATCGAGATGCGCGATGCAAACGCTCGATCGAAATACCTCGAGCATATCACAGTCACCGTATTGAAAAAATTGATCTCGCGTATTATCACTCGAAAGGCACACCGGCACGCCAGCTCGGGCAAGCTCCTTCACCCGAGTAACGCCTCGCCGCGTTGGCGTCGCTTCGTTCGTTGGATCACGATTTTGAAGCCATTGGTTAACGATTGGAAGCGAAACAACGGTGACGCCCGCTTCGCGGGCGGCGTCGATGATGCGCTTTGCCTGTTCGTTTGGCTGAACTGCGAGACTGCAGCAGTGACCGCACACCACAGATCCTTTGAAATTGTTTCGAATGACGGCCTCAGAAATGTGGAGCAAGCCTTTGGAGGATTCATTGCCGTTCTCGTCGCAATGAAAGTCGACATCCAAATTGTATTCCTTCGCCAGAGAGAAAATGACGTCCAATAACTTGGGCATATCGGCACCGCACGTCGTGTGGACATCCAGTGGTGTACCACCTGCATCGCTACACGACACGGCGGCGCCAAGTATACCTCCATAAGATTTCACCATGCGAGCCAGCGCGCGCGCCTTGGTCTCGTCGCGGAAAAAGCTCAACACCGAGAGTGACACGCCTTGCAACTCAACTTTCCCTCTCCATTCCTCGCGTAACTTCCCGAACGCTTCCCAGGCGATTTTGCTCTGTCTCTCCTCACCCGACATCAAGTGCGTGCGCATGGCGGAGGTCCCGTACGCGTACGCGCACTGAATCGCAAAGCCCATGCGCCGCTTGGCGTCTTCGAGCGTCCAGTGTTGGAAATCGTTCGCGCACGCGGCGTCCGCGCCAGCGAGGGTGCCGTTTAAATTTCGGCTCCTCTCACACGTGTGTGCCTTATCTATATGTGTGTGTATGTCCACGAACGTCGGTAAGCACATCCTCCCGCCCATCGCCACTCGAAGCCCGCGACGGCCGTCCTCGTCCTCGTCGCTCTCCGCGTAATCCGCCGTCTCCTCCTCCCCCACCGTCCTCGTCCTCGTGCTCGTCGACTCGCGCACGCCTTCGATCATCCCCCGATCGACGTCGATCGTCACGTCCACCTCGATCAACCCATCCTCGTCCGCTTCGCCCCCATCCGTCGCGTCCTCGTCGAACTCGCAGCACGCGCTCGGCACCTTGACTCGCGTCATCGCGACTCTCGACGCCCTCGACGCGGCGTTCCCGTCGTCCTCGCCGCGCGGCAGATCGAGCGTGCTCGCGGGATCGCGTTTCGCTTCGCTCGGGTACGCGCACCACCCTCGGTCGTCCGCCGTCATCGCGCGACGTCGCGTCGCGCTCTCGCGGCCCACCGCGCGCGTCGGTCGGTCAACCGCGCGCGGCGACCGACCGCGCGATCGATCGATCGATCGATCGCCGCGCGCGATCGATCGGCCCTCGTATAGCGCGTCCCGCGAAGCCATCGAGACGAGATCACGGAGACGCCCGCGCGCGAAAAAGACGACGCGCCGACGCGCGCGCCGACCGCCCGGCCCGGCCCGGGGTTCGGCGCGCCCGCGCGTTCGTTACGCGACGCCCGCGCGCGGTGACGGACGCGCCGTCGCTCGACGGTCGCGTCGCTCGACGTCCCCGCGGCGCGCCCGGCGACGCGATGAACACCGTCGTGCGCGCGCTGACGCTCGGACAAGTCGCCGTCGTCGTCGCGGCGTGCGTCGCGGGCGCGCTGCTCGTCGGCGCGGTCGGTCTGGGAGGCGTCGTCATCTTGCCCGCGCTCCTGCTCGCGAGGGCGTGCACGCCCGAGGTCGGGATCGTGTCCCTGTTCGTCGCGTTCACGCCGACGATGGCGCTCAGGGTGTGGATGCTGAGAAAAATAGTGCCGCGCGATCGGTTTCCGACGCGGCTGGGAGGCGTCGCCGCGGCGGGAGGGGCGTGCGGCGCGAGCGTCGCCGGGGGCGCGCTCCTGGACGTCGTCCCGAGAGAGGCGCTGACGTACGTCATAGGTCTCGTCGCGCTGGTGGCGGGAGGGAAAGACGTCGCAGACAGCGCGCGGCGATTGCGCTCGCGCGCGGCGCGGTCACGCGCGGGAGAGGGGGAGACGGTGGTGACGGTGGAAGACGGCGGAGACGACGGAGACGACGGAGACGCGGCGCTCGAGATGGACGGCGCGGACGCGGTCGACGCGAACGAGAGCGAGAGCAAAAGCGATGAGTACTGGTTAGAACCTACGACTCGCGAGATGTGGTTGTTGTTCAGCATCGGTGTCGTCGTGGGGATGCTCAGCGTGCTCACCGGAACCGGCGGCCCGATAAGCTTCCTGCCGATTGTAGTACTGTGGAAAGGCAAGGTGAACCGCAAGGTGATGTTATCGATGAGTGCGATTCAGAGCGTATTCTTAGGTATCGCAGCGATCGTCAGCACCACTGCTCGTGGAAAAAAGCCCGACCCCGGGCTCGTGCTTTTGATTTTGCCGTGCGGATTGGTCGGAGTCGCTCTCGGCGTGCGCGTGTTGAAATATTTCTCGCGCGAGTGGCTGACTCTCTTCATAGGCACCATCTTGCTCGCCGTCGGTTCGTTCACCGTGCATCAAGCGACTGAACTGTGAGATTTTATGTGTAGCGCGTATTAGTTTGTGATTGTCATTCATATCAACCTTTGGCTCGACACCGAGTCAAACTCGAACGAAACCAAACTCAATCAGCCATTAGCCGCCACTGCTTCGCGCGATGTCCGGGAACGACGGCCCAGAAACGAGCGCGTCGGCGCTGAATCCGTCGGCGTCGGCGTTCGTGTTCAAGCCGCGCGGACGTCCAGCGACGCCTCCAGTTCGTTTGGAAAAAGTCGTCGACGAGTTCGGTGCGCTCGGCCTGGTGAGCGAGGACGAGGAGGACGACGAGAACGCCGTCGATGCCGCGGACGAGAGTGCTTTCGCTTCGAGCGGTGGAGAAAGGCCGATCGAGCCTTACGCCGCTCTCGCAGGCGAAGAGCCGTCGCCGAGCGATTTCGATGACTCTCTCACCTTTTTGGGAGACATGTTCCCAAACATGGACTGGGCGTGTTTGGAGGAGGCGTTGATGAATACTGGGGGCGATGTCGAGCTCGCCATGGAGCTGTTGATGGACGATGAGATACCCGATATACCCGCTCCGGACGTGGACGACGCAGAGGCGTTTCCATCGCTTGGAGGCGGTGGCGGCGGGACGTCCACGTCCGCGCCTCGAGCGCCAGAACCACTGCCAAAGAAAATATTCCTTTCGGGTGGAATGTCGAACGTCAATAAAGCGTCTGCGTCGGTGAATTGGAACACACGAGCGACAAAAACGGAGACGGCATCGGTTTCGGCGAGTGGTAAGATTGAGCGAGGCGTACGGGATGGTACAAAGACGAAGATTGAGTGGGTAGAAACGGGAGCCGCGGTGTCGCAGCTTTACGCCGCAAATCGAGACGAGGCGCGCGACTACGCCAGAGTGCGAAATGTATGCTACGAGCAAGCTACGAATGCGTACTTGAGCGGTAACAAAGCTTTGGCTAAAGAGTTATCTCGTCAAGGCCGCGAGGCTGCGGCAAAGATGTCTCAGGCCCATGCGCAGGCCGCACACAACATTTATCATAGCAGAGGTGGCGGTAGCGACGGCGTGATCGATTTGCACGGTCTACACGTTGCAGAAGCATTGTCCCTTCTACGCCGCGAATTGTCTAGGCTCCGCGGTAGTGGATGTTCGCATGCGCAAATTTTAGTGGGGACTGGGCATCACACCGTCGGGTCGAGAACGCCTTCTCGGCTTCCCGTTGCAGTTGAAACCTTCTTACAGGAACACCACTGGCGATTCAGCGAACGTCAGGCAGGCCTTCTAGAAGTCAGCTTAGACTAGCCATTGCTCGACATCTTTGTAAAATGTCAACACTCGTTGAAACTGAAGTGCGCGGCGCTTGAAGGAACCGCCACTCCCCAGCTCGTCGTGTGCGGGCGAGTGCGGACGATAATGATTCACACATCGACTGCGGTCGATAACTTCTACGTCGTCGACGTTAAGAACACGCCATCGAGGTCGAAGGACGTCGATGAGGAAACCGAGTTTGTGCAAAGAATTTACGGCGCCTCACTCATTCGTTCGGCGTGTTTGCTCTTGCGCTCGCCTCTGAGCGTGGTCATCACGGCTCAGACGCTGTTACATCGATTCTACACGAAAAAATCTCTCACTGATTACGATGTCAAGCTCGTCGCGACGGCTTCCATCGCCTTAGCGTGCAAGCTGGAGGAAAAAGATCGCAAGCTGCGAGACGTGCTGAATGCCACGCGTAGGGCGGCGCAGAGACACGAGAACAAACCGCGAGTTGTGATGGCGATCAATACACCAGAGTATGAAGAGTACAAATCAGACGCTAAGAACATGGAGATGGTGATGCTGCGAGAGTTTGGGTTCTTTGCGCACGTAACGCCGCCGCACCCGTTCGCGTACACACTGGGTACACACTTAGAATTGGACGACGATTTGGTGAAACGGGCGTGGGTGCTGTGCAACGACAGCGCAATGACGGCGCTTTGCGTGCAATACAAGCCGGATGTCATCGCGTGTGGATGCATATATTTAGCTGCGAAGGAATTGGGCAAGGCTTTACCGTCGTCGCCGCCGTGGTTTTGCCTAGTCGACGGCGTGACAAAGGAGAATTTAGAAGCCATCGCTGAGACAATCACGGCATTTCACGCGGTGGAAAAAGTAGACTATAAGTGTTTAAGTGGGCGAGGGAGCGAACGTGAGACGAAACAACGTGAAAGGTCTGCGCATAATTCGAGCTCGGACCGTGGCCGTCGCCGTAGCCGCAGCCGTAGCCCGAGCGAGAGACGCGTGCGACGACGAGACAGTAGAGATTACGACAGAGCACGATAGAGAAGAACACTTAGAAAACAATTCATTGTCATTAGATCATAAAACGTAGCAAGGACCGGTAGAGGTATATAACAACGCGTTTAAGCTGCGACCTTGCCGACGCACAATAAATCAGCCAATTTATCGGTGTAGTAAGTCGGCGCAATGGTGTTGTCGTCGCTGCAAAGCATGTCTTTCGTGGTCACGCCGGATAACACGAGCATAGTATTCAAGCCACCGTCGTTACCGAAGAGGATATCGGTGTCGAGGCGATCGCCGACCATGGTGATTTGATCCTTGCGAATCTGGAACTTGTTGGCAATGTAATCCAACATGAACGCCGCGGGCTTGCCGACGACGATCGGTTCTCTCTTCGTGCTACCCTTGATGGCACCGACCATGGAACCGTTACCAGCCCACTCTTGGGCGTCGGTCAAGTGCGTCACAGCGTCGGTGTTTGTCGCGATGAACATGCAACCCGGGTTCTCGCGGATGCAAAGCGTCGCGTACTGGATCTTGTAGTAGTTGATGTTGCGATCAAAACCAACGATAACCGCCCCGACATCCTCGTCGTGGTGCATCAACTCACCACTCGCCAGCGTGACTTGCTTGCCAGCGTCCGATTCACCACCAATGTGCTTGATGCCGACGCCGTCGAGTTCCTCCAAGATGCCCGTCTCTCCGACGACATACGCCTTCTTCTTGAAATCGATCGATTCCAAATACGCCGCCGCGGCGAAGGACGAAGAAAAGATTTCCTCGGCGTTCACTTTCAATCCCAGCGACTCGAACTTCTTCGTGTACCCGGCTCTAGACTTGGTGGAGTTGTTCGTCACGAAGATCAATCGCTTGCCCATTGAGCGCAGCAGTTCGAGCGTCTCCGGGACGCCTTCGATCAGCGAGTCACCCTTCCAGATGACACCGTCGCAGTCAAAGATGAACGTTTCCGTGGCGTCGACCAACTCCTGCGCGCTCTTCTCTTGCAAGCGGTTCGCCTTCGCGCGCGGGACGACGGCGGAGCGGGACATCGTCGATTTCCCACTCGTCGTGTGTCGACGCGCGTGCGCGGCGACGCGCGCGTGCGGCGCGATCGTTCGAGCGCAAGACATGCGCGAGGACGGCTCTGTTAGGAAATCAAACGTTCGCGCACGAAGACGCGCGCGACGGTCGAAAAGTGCGGGTCGACGCGAGTGGATAACGTGGATAATCAAATCACCGACACAGCCCCCCTCGAGTGGACCTCGGGCGCGCCGGGGACGCGAGACCGACTACGAGCTCCTCTCGCGGACGCGATCGAGGACGTCGCGAAGGGCGAAAGCGATGCGATCGACGCAAAATATGCTATCATCGCTGGGAGGACAATCGACGCGCGCGGACGCACGAACGTCCGACGGTTGACGGTGCGCGGCGACGAAGACGGCATAGTCATCGTCGAGAACGCGACCGCCGGAGAAGAAAAAGTCTTCGAACGCGCGCACGCCTCGCGTGCCGTGCGTGGAGTTGACGATCGCGAACGCAAACTTCGTCGTGAGCGCGTTTGCGCTCACCGCGGTCATCTCGCGCTCGACGCGCTCGACGGCGCGACTCGCCCACTCGCGGCGCTCGTCGCGACGCGACGCGACGTACGACAACACGTCCACCATCGCGACGTCGTCCCGCCACCGCACGCGCGATGCGACATCACTCAAATCTAATGCGTGAACTCTGCTTTCGCTCCTTTCGCTCTCCCCGCCTTTGATCGCGATGAACCACAGCACGCTCAGCGCGCTCGCGTTCGCGCGGCCGCGGCGCCTCGCCTCGAGCGCGCCGCGCTTCCACCGCATCGTCAACGACGCGTAGCGACGCGCGGTGGGGGGATCGCGTCAGGGTTGGGTAAAAAATCGTCCGATCAATCGTCGCGTCGACGTCCGTCGCCCGATCGCCCACCGCGCGTCGACGCGTTCTGAAACGCCGCTGAAAATATCTCGACTTTTTCGTGGGCGATGTTCGGACATTCGGCGCCAAATCGTATGGAAAGCAGTCCGATGCCCAACAAACACGCGTGCCCAGCCCAGTCATCGACGCGCGCGGCCTCGTCGCGCGCCGCCGCCGCCGACGATCGCGCGCGGTCGCGATCGCGCGTCGTCGTCGAACGCGCGCGCGAACGAACCCAGCGTTGGACGTCGAGACGAGCGATAGAGGGCGTCATCGCGCGAATTCTGTCGACGCGGGAGGATCGGCGTCGGCGAGTTAGTTTACTCGCGCGCGCGTCGTGGACTCGGTGAACGCGTCCAAGGAGGGGCGCGATGGTGAGAGATGCGCGTGTGCCATCGACGAGCGGTGCGCGAAGGCGCGGGATGCGTTGGACGTCGAGCGCGGGCGGCGGGGACTCTGCCTCGCTGGCGGTCAAAGGCGAGGGGGCGTGCGAGAGAGCGACGACGAACGGTGAAGTGTCGACGAGTCGAGATGGGGGTAAGAACGCGGAGAAAAGGGAGGTGAAAACTTTAAAAACAGAGAAGACGACGAGCACAAAGGCCGGTGGAGCGGCGTTGGCGAAAGGGGCTCAGACGAAGAGCGCTGAGGCGACGAAGAAGCAATTCATGGCAAGCGAGAAGGCGAGCGATTCTCGGCGCCGGGCGGCAACGTCTTCACCATCTTCACCGAATAAGCGAGCGAAACTGTCGAACCACACGAGCGTCTCGAGTGCGATTGAATCCAAGATGGAACTCGACGCCTTTTTAGGCGTGCACACTCAAACCATCATGGTGGAACTTGCCACACCAAGTTCTGAGGGCATTCTCGATCCTGATTTGAGCGTGTTGAATCCATTCGCACCTCCAAAAATGTCGTCATTTTCGTTTCAATCGCTCGCACATGCTGGAGATCTGCTTGGCGGGGCGACGGCGAGGACAGTGGAACACGAATTGTTTGACGGCTTTGACGGCGCAAGTTTGTACGCCCGCGGATTAGATCCGTTTACGAATACGTCTGTACCGGGGGAATCGCAAGGCTTAGGATATGCGTCAGTAGGTGCAACTGATGCGCTGAAGCAGCAAGAGCATGGAGCACTATTGAAATCTGTGCCAACGCAGAATGCGATGACAGTCGGTAGAAAAGCTTCGGCACGTCAAGAGGAAGAATTAGCGAGGGGCGTTCTACCATCCGCCGCGAGGTCTTATCGTACCCAACATTATAGCCAAGTCTCCAAGGGTACATCTGGATCGCACTCTGGTTCAATGTCGGGCTCTACCGGGACATTGCTGCGCGTACCGGGCGGTGCATCGAACTCGCAAATGCCATCCACGACGAGCGATTTGATTGCGACTGAAGACAGAGCAGTGCTCGCGCAGCTTGAGATGATTGTCCGCAATCTTCCGGACGCCACTCGTACGAATTTCAGAGAAAGTTTGCTCCGGCTCATGCGGTCTTCCGAAGTCGCTGAAAATGAACTCGCGTCCTCCGGGAGCGTCGACAAAGACTCCAATTACATCGATCGTGCGGTGGCAAACGTGCTGTATCATCGTTACAACGACGCAATCATTCCACCAATTGCGTCACAGAACAAGTCTCAAACCTCCAACGACGCGTCCACTTCGAGTAGACAAGACGAAGAACGCCGCGGCGCCTTTCCCGCCGCGTGACGGCGTCCAAGAGAAAAGCTCAGTTTCCATCCGCGCCGTCGCAAGGCGAATGCGTCATGGACCAGTGAGCCACTTTGACGTCGTTTTAGTATCATATTATCACCTTAAGTGTTACCAGCGGCAACCTCGCCTTTCGTTTCTCGCACTAGCGTCCGCACTTGGTAAACGCGTTATCTATCAAGAGACCCAAGAGACCGACCGCCCGATCGCCACACTGCGGCGTAAGTCGACGGCGTGTTCGTGCGAGTGGCGTTTGTTCCCACTACCGCGCGCACGCGGAGTCGCATAGCGATGACTTCCGCGTCTTACGCTCGTCCCGCGCGCTCCCCCGCGTGCCATCGCGCGTCGACGAGCGGTTCTCGTCGCGCGCGAGGTGGAGCGATTGCGCACGGACGAGGACGAAGAAGCGTCGCGCGCGCGGTCGTGGACGGCGGATCGGCGGCAAACGCTGAAGAGACGAACGACGATGATGTCGACGCAGACGCGGGCGAAAAAGCGCCCGCGGTCGCGCGACGAAACGGCACGTCGAACGAATCGTCGTCTGAAGTGTTAATCGAGCTCCGAGGGGTGAAGAAGGCGTTCGGCGAGAAAGTAGTCCTGGACGGAGCGAGCTTTAAGGTTCGACGAGGCGAGGCGGTCGGGATCATCGGACCGAGTGGGACTGGGAAATCCACCGTGCTGCGCATCATGGCTGGGCTATTGATACCGGACGAGGGCGAAGTGTACATCCGAGGCAAACGCAGGAAAGGGTTGGCGAGCGACGAGGCGCATCCAGAGTTGCACGTCGGAATGGTGTTTCAGTCCTCGGCGCTGTTCGATTCTTTGACGGTGGGTGAAAATGTTGGATTTAAGTTATACGAGCACAGCGACTTGCCCAAGGCGAAGGTTGAGCGAGCAGTGAAAAAGAGTCTAGCGGCGGTTGGATTGCCGGGGTGCGAGGACAAGTACCCGGCGCAGCTTTCGGGAGGGATGAAGAAGCGCGCGGCGTTGGCCCGCGCGATTATCAAAGAAGAGCGTGAGAGCGATGATGACCCAATCGAGGAGGTGGTGATGTACGACGAACCGACCGCTGGATTGGACCCGGTGGCGAGCACGGTAGTGGAGGACTTGATGCGATCATTGCACTGCAAACCGGATGAGCATTGTGAAGTGAACGGTGGGGTGTCGAGCTACATCGTCGTCACGCACCAGCATAGTACGATTCGTCGATCGGTCGACAGAATCGTTTTCTTACACCAAGGCAAGGTTGCGTGGGAAGGAACGGTGGAGGAATTTGATACGACGGACGAGCCCATCGTGCGACAGTTCGCCACCGGTAGCCTTCAAGGGCCCATCACGTATTGATAGACAATGCGAAAGCGCACACTTTGGCGGGCGCGCGAGCGAGCGAAATGACTTGCATTAGTTTGCGATTGCTGTAACTATATTCCAATCCTTGTATTAAAACTCTAAGCCAGCGGCGTCAATATAAATTCATAAAACTATTCGGACAAGCCCTGAACGCTCGGCGAGAATTCAGTATCCGAGTCAAAGCGGGCTACCGCGTCACCATTCGCGTCTGATTCGCCATCGATAGTCTCGATCGCTCGTTCGAGCGTCTCGTCCACCGCCGCAGCGACGAGAGCGTCTGCGGCTCTGTCGACATCTCGCGTCCCGAGTACTTTCCCGTATCCAGTCTTCTCTCTCTCTAAGGGCTCATCGAACCCACCTCGATCCTGCGGCAATCGTGGGAGCATTGGCCTACACTCATAACCAAATTCTGGATCCCGGGGATCGCACGGCTCCTTCAGAACTTCGCCACCGACGATTCGGTTTATCCGATACTCTCGTCTGTAAAAGTTATCGAGTCGCGCTTGATCGTTCTTCGCCTTGTCCTTCTCGCTCTTATCGACCAATCCTTGGATGAAGGAGCTCTTGCTCGGGTCCACACCGCTATATGACGGCGCAGCTGGTGCCGCGAACGCTACGTTTGCTTGGGTGAAATTCACGAGCAAGGCGAGAGAAGATGCACACACGTTGCGGCTGAACGACGACGCGTGTGCGACAGTAACGCGTGATGCGGCGCCACGCGCGCGCGGCGTAGACGTGGACACGTGCTCAGATGTCACGACGGCGCGGGTATTCACTAGCGTCGGCATGGCGAGTTGTGGAGGTCGCGTCCAAAGCGTGTTTGAAGTGGTGTGACATGACAACATACAGTGTTCTATTCGATAGCTATCAGTTCTTCGATCGTCTGAAGCCACTGACGCCTTTAGACTTTTTGTTCGCGAGACCAGCCTTGCCGTTTTTACCCTTCTTTTCTTCAACCTTGCGCTTGCCGATGGTACTGGAGATTATGGTCGGCGGGCCGAAGAAGCTCTCGAGGCGGTTTTGCGACGCTTTACCTTGGCGCGCCTTCTTGACTTTGGCGCACACGGCGCGCACGCGTTCCTCGTTAAATTGCTTTTCCTTGACCAAAAAGTCAATCAATCCTTCCTCGTTTGGCGCCTTCCAACTCAATGCGATGCCCGTCGTGTCCATGACTTCGGGATTTTTGAACAACTCACGAGCGCCGGCAAAATCCCAATCCTGAGGCGGAGGATACTTCTCAGTGTCGATCTCTTCGAGAATCTTTTCGATGGAACCGTGTTCTTTGATAAGCTTCAACGCCGTCTTCGGACCGATCCCGCGAATGGTGTCGCAATAGTCGCACCCGCACAAGATGCACATGTCGATGAATTGCTCGGGCGTGAGCCCGAGACCGGCTAGAACTTTGTCGTAGTCAAACTCCAGCACCGGCTTGTCCTGAGACTTGGGTGCCATCAAATTTCTTGCCAACCGCGGCGCGGCGAACGTGAGTGTATCCATATCCTCCGTCGCCACCGCCCACACCAGTCCCGCCTTGCACATCGCCGCGCACGACGCCTCGGCTTCGCACGGCGCCTCGAACACGGGCACTCCGAGCAACGACGCGAGTTTCATCACCTCTTGACTGTGTTGCTTGCTCACTCGCACCGTTCTTTTGGACAGTTTCTCCACCTCTTCTTGATTTCCCGCCTCTCTCGCCGCCTTCAACGCCGCCTCCGCCTCTTCTCGCTTGTCCTTGCGCTTCGCCAGCTCTCCTCCCTTCATCACCGGCGGCTTCCCATCGAACACGTAAATCGGCTTTATTCCCGCCTCGAGCATTCGGCACGTTCGATTCAACATCCCCTGCAAGTGCGACGTCACCTCTCCCGCCTCATTCGTCAGCTGTTGTTCGCCCTGTCTCCCCACCACCATCATGAATTGATAAATGTGCATCGACGCGTCGATCGCGACGCGCCGGTCGAGGTAGGACTCGAACTTTTGCTCCTTGATCGCCCCGGGGGCGTTGTCTCGCATCAGCGCCGTCAGGCCCTTGATTCCCATGTTCGCCCGTCGTCGTCGCCGTCGTCGTCGCTCGCGTGTGACGCGCGTTTTTGAAAATCGCGCGTCTGTCCCGCCGGCTCGACGGCCCGACGTCCGTCCGGTCGGGACCGCGCGCGTCACATCGCCTCGCGCGTGGACGCCGCGCGCGATGTCGGGCGTCCTGAACGCCGATCGCGGGCGCGGGATGATGAAGATCTATCACGCGAGCTCGATCGCGCTCGCCGCGCTCGCGCCAGCGGCGGCGGCGATGCCCGAGGGACAGCTCGCGATCGACGTCGCGCTCGGCGCGGCGATGCCGGTGCACTCGCACATTGCGATGAATTTCGTGCGTGATCGATGCGAAATCGGACGCCATCGCGCGGACGGGATCGCACGCGGGCACCGCGCGCGCGGGACGCGCGCGGGACTCGGCGCATCGACGACGCGCGCGATGCGATGGGGAACGATTGACTGACGAGCGGCGCGCGGGCGACGGGACGCAGATCATCAGCGATTACGTGCCGAAGGGGGCGCGAGGACCGACGAGAGCGGCGACGCTCGCGCTGACGGCGGCGACGGCGGTGGGATTGTTTAAATTGAACACGCAGGGCGACGGGATCACGCGAACGGTGAAATCACTGTGGAAGGCGTGACGGACGCGCGCTCGAGACGCCGTAGAGACTTGTATCAACACACTTTTGGCCTGACGCGCTTTCGCACGCCACTCGCGCGCGCGTCGCGAGATGAAAGAGAACGGTGACGAGGCGAACGATGACGCGTTCGACGCTTTTTTGCGATGGTGTCGAGCGAACGCGATCGAAGTGCGCGAGGATGACGTTGAATTCACTTTTGCCGTGCAAAAGGCGAACAAGGACCGCGGCGTGACGGCCAAGCGCGCGCTCGAGCGCGGCGCTATTTTGGCGGTGATCCCATTCGAAGCGTGCTTGACGCTGAAGACGTGTTCGCGCGCGGACGTGGCGGCGAGCGTGGAGGAGGCTTTAGTGAAGACGAAGACAGAGGCGAGTTGGTTGTGCGGGTTGACGGCGGCGCTTTGCGTGGAGCGTTCTCTCGGGTTGAAGTCGCGGTACTTCGCGTACGATAGAGTGTTACCGAGGTGTGAAGCTAACGTCGTGTGCGCGTGGAACGATGGCGAGCGGAGCTATCTCGCGGGCACGGAAGTCGAAACTTCTCTCAGGGACGAGGCGGCGGCTGCAAAGAACGAGTGGGAACGCGTCGTCGCGCCAGTATTTAAGGAGCACGGCGTAGAGTGTTCGTTCGAGCAATTTATCGAAGCGCGTACTGTAGTGAGTAGTCGCGCGTTCACTTTAAGCCCGAACGCGGGCGTTGGGTTGGTGCCGATTGCCGATGCGTTTAACCATCTCACCGGCAACCATCACGTCAACGTGGGCGATGGCGATGCCGTCGTGCGTTCAGAGACTGGTGGTGAGGCATTGTGCGTGAAGGTGACGAACGAGCAAGGCGTCCGCCGTGGAGATGAGATTTTTAACACGTATGGATTTCATGGGAACGCGAAGCTACTCAATAGTTATGGATTCACTCAAAACGACAATCCAGCGGACGAAGTGCGACTGACGACTACGAACATTCGCACCGAAGCGGCGTTAGCAGGCGTGTGTTCTGGGACACAGCTGACAAAACGATTCGAATGGCTCGAACGGACGCAAGTGTGTGCCCCAGATGCGTCGTTTTCGATTTCAAAATCGCAAGCTATTAGTGAAGAGCTCTGTGCGGTGGTCTGGACCTTGGTCGCGAGCGAGGACGCGTTTCAGAAAATTAGGCACACAAATCGGCATGCGGACGCACTACACGCCATAGAAACAGTCTCTACGGCAATCAACACAATGAAAATACGTGGAAACAACCCGTCAACGCTCACGCCGGAGGTTGCGGATGTTATTTCGCTCGCGATTGAACGGCGCTTGAGCTTGTATCGTTCGCAAACAAACATAGATGGCGGCGTCTCGCCTCCGCGTGTTGAGTTGGCAATTCAGTTGATAAACTCCGAGCGCGCAATTCTAAATTCTGCGTTGCTCACGTTGACAGAGTTCGTGAACAAGCACAGCCACAACCGTGCGAAAGGGTCGAAGGACGACTCAGACGCGTTCGCTCTATTCGATTAGCGATGGAAAGAAGGGTGTCTGGCCATAGCACAAACGACCGAAGATTGTTAGTAATACATGGCAATCTAACTACTGAAGACCGGTGAGTACGGCCACCATCATCCAAAGTCTCGCACCTAGAAAGTTATTCCCCATTCGTACCGACACAGAGATTAGTTTGGCGACGTTCGTGGGTGCGACGTCGTACGCCAAACGTTCGACGCCGTTCACGAGCTGATATCTTGTATTAGAGCTGATCCCCATATGCAATGCTCCACACGCAAGAGAACGGAACAATACCTCTTGTGTGAATCCTGCGGCGTTGCCCGCCAACGCCAACGCCAGAAACATGGATAGGACGCAAGATAGTGAGCCTAGTATACCGTAAAATTTCCCCTTGTTCAAGTAGCACATCGCGCGCTGCGCAAGCGAGTAGTCACCCTTCGCGAACACGTTCGCAATCTCAGGTTTCTTCCCCACGCTCGCCTTAGTCGGCGCCAAAAAGTAAACAATCAACGTATCGTTGATCGCCGCCGTGATGAGTTGGCACAACACCATGAGAGTCGCCGACAGAGTCCAGTATGAAGGGTTTCCTCGAACCGCCAAGTTTACGAGCAACGTTATGACGAAATCGATCGAGATCTCCGCCCCGAGTTTGAAGAAAAAGTTCGAGTCCATCTCCAATCTATCTTTCAATCCACCGACGAATGTATCGATCGGATTCGTCGCCTTTGGCGGAGGCGGCGTCCCAGCGTTTGCGCTCCCAAAGTCGCTCGACGCTCGAGCGATGATCGATCGCGCACGTGTCGACATGTTCAGCGCGTTTTGACCGTCGCGAGCGCTCATGAACGAAGAAACACACGTTATTGCGCGAGTTGTATCGTCGGTCGAGCGCGCACATCGCGCGATCGTCGGCTTCGCGCGCACTCGACCTCGCGTCCGACCGTGGCACGAATAACGGTCCCCCGCGACGCGTTTCGCGCTGACGCCGCGCGCGTGCGCGGACGAACGCGCCGCGAGCGCTCGAGGAGATGAAATTGTTACGTTCGAGCTCATTTTGATCGAGCTTTGCGTCGCGTCGCGCGCGCCGCGTCTCGCACGCGCGGTGTTTGACGAGTGTGGCGCTAGAGAAAAGAGTTGTCGACCGTCACTTGGCCTTTCTGGCCTTGGCTAGTGAAAGAGTTTGAAACAACGCGATTTACATTAGATACTCGCGACAGAATAGCCGTCGAGCGCTAAAAACTATGTGTGGAAGAATAGACTTAAGGGACTTGTTTAACGACTGTGTGTCCGCCTCGCACATCACATGGGTTTGGACCAAGTCGTCGAGGGTGGGACGACGTGCGACCACGGGTGATCGATGTCTCCGTACTGCACACCGATGAGGAAATTCGTGAGCCGAACCTGAAGCATCGAATCATCAAATGGAACGACCGGTTTGTACTCCTTGCCTTCGTACACGATACCATTGATTGGTTGGATCACCGCGGCGGTGCCGGTGCCAAAGATTTCCAACACGTCGCCTCTCTCAAACGCCGCCTTGATCTCGGCGAAAGGAATCATCTTTTCTACAGTCTCACATTCGTTCCATTGTTGGCTAAGCTCAATCACGCTTTGCCTCGTGACTCCAGGCAAGATTGTACCATCTTTTAACGAAGGCGTGATGAGTTGTTTCACCCCTTGCTCGTTGCGAATGAGGAAGAAAATGTTCATCGTCCCTGCCTCGGTCACGTATTCGTGCTTATCATACACGAACAGCGACTGAGAAGCCCCATTCGCGGTCGCGGCGGCCTGAGAAATTACCGTAGGACCGTAATTACCGCCTGATTTGACGTTACCGGTGCCCCCAGGCCACGCTCGAATGTACTTTGAGTCGACGCTCAACTTAATCGGCACGAATCCAGACTTGAAATACGGCCCCACGGGACAGCACAACACGAGAATCATCGCCTCCGCGCACTGCGTCAAGCCCAACCAAGGCGTAGTGGAGAAAATCACCGGTCGCAGGTACATAGAGTACCCTCTCTGCTTCGGAATCCAGTCCTTGTCTATGTCAACCAACGTTTCGATACATTTTAGCAGTTGCTCTCCGTCGAAATCCGGGAGAGACATTCGCTTCGCGGAGACGCGAAATCTCTGCATGTTCATCTCTGGCCTAAACAATCGCACCGATCCATTATTGTCTACGTACGCCTTCATGCCCTCGTAGCACTCCACGGCGTAATGAAACACGTGCGCGAACGGGTGCAACCCCACCGGTCCGCTCGGGAGAATCATCGGATGGTTCCAACCGCGCTCGACGTTCCACTCAATCTTCAACATGTGATCGGTGATGACCTGTTCGTTCACATCGTCCCCGCGCGCGTCGTCAGTCATCGGTCATCGCGTCCCCTTTTGCCTCCTCGCGTCGCCCCGACCAAAGCACAAACCAAAGCCGCGTCCCGAATCAAAGCCCAACGCGCGCGCGCGTCGCCTCGCATCGCGCGCGCACCGTCCCGAACCCGAGTTCTTCGTCCGCGCATCTCGGCAGCGGTCGTCCCGTCATCTTCACTCGCAATTGCGAGCTCTGCGCGCGTTCCCGTTCCCGTTCCCGTCAGTCTCCCGCCCCCGTCGTCGTCGCGGCGTCGCGCTCGCGCTCGCGCTCCTCGCGCGCGCGCGCGGTCGCCCGCGCGTTCGTTCGTTCACGCACGTCCACGTCGCTCGTCCCGCTCGCGTGCACCATCGCGCTCGCTCGCGCGCGCCGCGGTGTCGCCGCGGTGTCGCCCCGCCCCGGTCCGCGGGTTCCCGCCAAAATCATTGTTTCGTTCGAAATCGCGCTGGGACGACGATCCGTCGCGCGCGACTCGCGCCCGCGCCGTCACACGCGCGCGCACGACCGGTCGAGCATCCGATATCGACGCTCGCGATGGCGGCGATGACGCGCGCGCACGGCGCGCTCGGCGCGCGCGCGCGCGCGAAGACGAACGAGCTCGCGGCGTTCGGGCGAACGCCGATGGCGACGCGGACGCGACGCGTGGGAGGAACGACGCGCGCGCGACGACGCGCGGTGGACGCGAGGGCGAGCGCGGCGGTGATCAAGGTGATCGGATGCGGCGGGGGGGGCGGGAACGCGGTGAATCGCATGATCAGCAGCGGATTACAGGTGGGACGCGCGAGCTGGCGCCGCGTCTGGCGCGCGCGATTCAAACGCGACGACGAAGCCGCGGGTCGAGGACGCGCGCGCGACGACGCGCTCGACGAACGGCGCGCGGACGCGAATGACTGACGGCGGTGTGATGTTTCGACGCGGTAGGGCGTGGAATTCTGGGCGGTCAACACGGATTCTCAGGCGCTGGTGAACTCGCTCGCGCCGAACAAGTGCCAAATCGGCGAGCAGGTGACGCGAGGCTTGGGCGCGGGCGGTAACCCTGAGCTCGGGGAGATCGCGGCGACTGAAAGCCGACAGGAGCTCGAACGGGCAGTATTGGGCGCCGATCTCGTGTTCATTACCGCGGGCATGGGCGGCGGAACCGGGAGTGGGTCCGCGCCGGTGGTTGCGAAGATGTCGCGCGAGAAGGGCATCTTGACCGTCGGCGTCGTGACGTACCCCTTCTCGTTCGAAGGAAGACGACGAATTCAACAAGCCACCGAAGCCATCGAAGCGCTTAGAGCGAATGTTGACACTTTGATCGTTATTCCGAACGATCGCTTGCTCGATGTCGTGGAGGAAGGCACTGCTCTTCAGGAGGCGTTTTTGCTCGCCGACGACGTCTTGCGTCAAGGTGTGCAAGGTATTTCTGACATTATCACGATTCCAGGTCTCGTCAACGTCGATTTCGCCGATGTTCGCGCGGTAATGAAGGACAGCGGTACCGCCATGCTCGGTGTCGGCGTGGCGAGCGGTAAGGGCCGCGCCGAGGAGGCCGCGAGAGCCGCCATGAGCGCTCCTCTCGTTGAGCACTCCATTGACCGAGCGACTGGTATCGTGTTTAACATCACCGGTGGTCCGGACATGACGCTCATGGAGGTCAACACCGTTTCCGAAGTCGTCACCTCGCTTGCGGACCCGTCAGCGAACGTCATCTTCGGTTCTGTCGTCGACGAGAAGCACACGGGTGAAATCGCGGTGACCATCGTCGCGACGGGTTTCCAACCAGCTGGACCGGGTGGTAAATTCCGCGAACAAGCTGCAGTTGGAGGCCGCTCGCGACAACAAGACGATGCACCCGCGCCGCCGAGAGAGTCGAGACTCCCGTGGAACCGAGGCAGCGAACGCAGAGGCGGCGGCGGTTTCATGCGCCGCTAAGCGGCGCACAGGTTGTAGTCACTTAAACAAGAATTCTTCATATATGCACAACAAACTACGGTTTACATCATCGCCAACCCAAACACGCTAAAATACTAACTTCGCTTTTGGACCGAGGGATCTTCCTCTTCGCTGTCGCTGATCGGCTCTTCGCACGCGTCGCGCTGCTTCAACGTCTTTCGGCGAAAGTGCTTGACCATCCCGTAAATCTTGTACGTCCAGACGGCGTTGAGTACAAATCCACAGCACGTGAGTGCGTACAGCGTCGCCCGCACGGGGTACGGGATGTAATTATCCTCCACTGACTTCAAATCAAACGTCAACGCGATCAAGGCGCCACCGTAACCCACCACGCGTACGGCAACAAAGACCCACAAAAACGCCACGCTCACGTAATACTCGAGCCAGTTGCCAGCCACCACGCCTCGTGTCTTCATCCCGAAAAATTTCGCCAAGGCATCGATATTCGGTAGCGTGTACTCCATCTCTCGCCACGACTTGATGAAAAACCGCGTGTTGAGTATGGGCGTCGACGTCTCGCACGTGCACAACCACCCCAACATGAAAGGATACGCCCCGTACGCGTACGCCAACAGCGACGCGGTGAAAAACCCCAAGTGATGCGCCAAGATATCCACGCCTCCCAAATCTGGGTACTGTTCAATCACGTGTAACAAATCATACACCACGTAACTAAAAAACGCGATCGTCACGACCTCGACGAATCCCACGAAGGACGCGTCCGCGTTGGCGTACAGCGACAGTCGTTCCGCCACGCTCCCCAGTCGCAGTTTAAACACGATCCTCCACCCCGCCCACGTCAAGAAAAACGCGTGCACGAACGACACGATGTACGAGCTCACCGCGCGTTTATACGTCCGTTCCTTCTCGCTCGTCTCCGGCAATCTCTTCGCAAAGCATTGTTTCGAGATCTGAAATTGTCCCTCCCAAAACAGCACGCCCAGCGCCACGCGCGCGGCGCTCCACGCCACGCTCGGGTGGTTCGACATCGGCGTCCGCGCGCGAGCGGTCTTTCGTTCGCGTTTTCCTCGTTCACCGCGTCGTCCGCGCGCGTCTGGGTGTCCCGCGGACACCCAGATCTCGCAACAGGTGTTGCGCCGTCAGGCCGTCGTCGCGTCGCGTCGCGTCGCCGTCGCGTCGCTCCGACGACGCAGAGCGCGGCGCGAGCGACGCGGGGGGGCGATCGAGCGCGAGACGCGCGCGCGGACGACGACGACGACGATGTCGGGCTGGGACGTGCGTGCGAGACGAGACGACGACGGCGACGGCGCGAACGAACGAACGAACGAACGAACGAACGAACGAACGAACGAACGAAACGTCTCGTCGGCGTGGGAAGAGACTCGATGATGACGACGCGGACGGACGCGAAGACGCGCGCGGGGACTGACGATGACGGGCGCGATGATCATATCGTCGATCGCAGGCCATGATCGAGTCGCTGAGCGTGATCGCCGTCCCCGACGGCGACGCCGCGGCGCTGAGCGCGTGCTGCATCGCGGACCACGCGGGAAACGTCTGGGGACAAAGCGCGCAATTCCCAGGTTTCAACGCCGATGAAGCGCGGGCGTTGATGGCGTTATTCGCTGATCCCATCGAGCGCGCGAGCGAGGGCATCACCATCGGTGGCTCGCGCTACGTCTTTCTCAACGGCGGCGACGACTACGGCGTCGTGCGCGGCAAGCGCGGCGCGCAGCACGGCGTCGTGATCAAAAAGACCAAAACGGCGTTCGTGATCGGCATTCACGGCGATAACTTGGAGACGAGACAAGTCAGCGCGCACGTCGAGCAGTTCGGCGACTACTTGGCGTCTCAGGGCATGTAATTTCGACTTTACGATTGTTGTTCGCGCGACGTCGCGCGGCTCTAAAAAATCACGCTCGATCGACGTCACGCGTTTCGCGAGTGGGACTCGCGCGCGCGCGTCGCCGTCGCCGCACTCCTCGACGCTCGGTGGCGATGATCGCGTCATCGCAGTGCGCGCGCGGTGCGTGCGCCGCACCGCGACGCGCGACGACGACGGCGACGCGCGACGCGCGACGCGTTTCGGCGCGCGCGACGCGGCGCGAGCGTCATCTTCATCGCGCGCTCGACGCGGTGGTGGGCGCGCGCGCGCGGCGCGACGCGGTGATGCGCGCGTCTGGAGACGAAGACGAGACGATCAGTAACCTGGATAAATTGCTCGGGGACTTCGGGGCGGTGCCGGAGAGGGAGGAACCGGCGGCGGCGCCGCCGAGGGCGCTGGACGCGGAGGCCAAGGCGGACGGCGCGAGAGTGGCGGCGGATTTGGCGAAAGCCCAGGCGAGGATCGCGCGAGAGAAGGCGGGAATGATGGGACAAGGACGAGGACAGAATAAGAACGCACCGGAGGAGGAGTATGATTACAGCGAACGCGCGATCGCGGCGTTGGTTTACATGTTGCCGCTGTTGGATAGCTTGAAGTATAGCAAGTTTTTGTTGCTTCAGTTTCCCGCGTTCAGTCTCGCGCTGCTGCCGCTCAGTCCCCTGATTTCGCTTTGGTTCAACCTCGGGTTTTTGCAGATTGCGGTGTTTTTCGCCACTTACTTGGGCGTCGTGCAAAATCAAAACATGAAGCGTTTTGTGCGATTCAATGCGCAACAAGCGGTGCTGTTGGATATTTTGTTAATCGTGCCGGACCTCTTGACGCGAACGTTTCAAGGGATCGATGGCTCGGGACCGACCGGAGGAGCTGGACTACAAGCGGAAATCATCTTTTTCAACAGTGTGTTTTTGTTCACGTACATCTGCTGCACCGTCGGCGCCGTCGGTTCAACCGCTGGGAAGGAAATCAAGCTTCCACTCATCGGCGACGCCGCGGAGATGCAACAGCCTCGCTAGGTGATTCGCCATTAGAATGTTGTTGGTATTATTTTAGACACTTACGCGCTTTATGTTTACTCTACAAATCTACTTCCAATTTCTCGCGCGCCTGCTCGTTCATCGATGGCGACGATCTCGGCCGTTCTTCCGGTGCCTTGCTGACTGCCGTTTCGCGCAGGCGCGCGCGAAGAGCTTTGCACTCTAACTGAGCGCGCAAAAAATTGACTTTCGCCTCGAGTGCTTGCGCACGAGCTCGTTCGGCCTTCAAGCTCGCATCTCTGATGGTAAGTTGGGTGCGGAGCTTCTCGACTTCGACTTGCGATGAAACCATCACGCGCACTGGCTTCAGCACCGTCTTGTTGCCGTTTTCAGTTTGCACGCGAGCGAACAACCGGATGTTTCTAACGCCTTCCGGTACAGTCAACGGCTTTGGTGCGGGTATCAATGGCTTTGTCGCGACTGTGGCGCTCGTCCGCGGCGCGCGTGGAATCAAAACGTGCTGAAACAGCGAATTTCCCTCCGGCGCTCGACTGAGCTCCACGACCCGCTTGGCGGCTGATAAAAGCTCTTTGGGCACTGACTTTTTCGACCTTCCTCTCTTTATACGCGCAACCTGTCCATTACTGGTAACAACATTCGCTCTCTTCTCACCAACGTCGTTATTCGCAGGATCCGTGACCATAGGGCGCTTCTTAACCGGACCTTGTGCGTTCATTTCGTCTGTCTCGTCACGCACCGCTTGCGTCTTCCTGTAACGCACCCCACACGCGTTACAAAGCACCGGTTTCGCGCAAGTCCCGCGGCGCCACTGCGGTGACTCTTTCGTACCGCACTGCGAACACGGTCCGCGCATCACTTGCCCGCACGTGTGCTCGAATTCATACCACACGCGCGTGTGTCCTGTCTCTGGACACCACCCGACGCGCTTTCGCGCTGGGCATCCTTCGAACGAGCATCGGTAATACGATCGCTCGCTGAGGTCGTTCGACGTTTTATCTCGCTTTCCGATCTTCTTGTGTCCATACTTTCTCCAGCGGTGAGCGTCGTCGTCGCAGCGTTTCGCCGCGTCGTCAAGATCTTTTCTCGCAGTGTCCTCGGCGGTCGCCCACGCGGTCGTCGTCGCCATCGCCGTCGTTGCGAGCGCGGCGAGTGCTGTGGACATGAGGCGGTAAGTGTTCGACGGGCGTGGCACTATTAACGCGTCCCGAGACGCGCTCGCTCGCTCACGGCGTCGACCGCGCGTCCTTATTGTGACGCAGCCGTTTTGGCGTTTTCGGTGGGAGACGGGAAGACAAAACGAGCGTTATCGGCCAAATTTAGCCTGGACGACGCGTGGTGCAGGAACGAATCCTTTTGGAGCTCGCGTTCGTGAGCTAAAAAAGGCGGTTGAATAAGTCTACAGTTGAATGAGTTTACAACAAAGTGTGCACTACTTCCGAACGGGTTTGCGAGCGGCAGACTTTTTCTTCGAGGGGACGAAACTCACCGTGCGCTCTTCTTTGCCCGAGGATGAGGCGCCAAAGGCGTCGGCGCTCTTGCGCTTGTTATCGCGCGATTTCTTCGCCGTGGATTTACCACTGACACCAGATGGCTTCTCTTTGACCTCACCTTTCATTTCAGCGAGTACCTGATCGAATGATAAACCTCCCGGGCCGTAACCGTCGCTGTCGCTATCGCTGTCGTTCCCCTTGTCGTCTTCGTCGTCTTCGTCTTCGTCTTCGTCGGACGCAAACTTCTTGAGAGTTTCCGCGTCAACACCATCGCCGACGCGTTCATCGTTAAGATCGACGTCTTCGCTTTCAGATAGTTCGCCATGTTCGTCTTCATCCTGTCGTTCGTCCTCGTCGGATACTTCTTCGCGCTTGCGCTTAGACTTGTTCGCCTTGCCGTCGTCCTCGTCGTCGTCGTCTCCTTCACCGTCGTCCTCAGATTCTGGTTCATCTTCATCCTCCGTCGCGTACTCTTGATCGTGTCTATCTTCTTCGTCAAATAAACCATGCGCCTGTGGCATCCGCCGATGGACTTGCTTCATCGTCACTTCTGCCGCCGCCGAAGCAAAGCCTTGCGCGGCGTCTTTTTCCGCAGAGGACGCAGTTTCTAACACGTTTACGGTCGTTTGAGACGGTCCATCAGGAAGAGAAGGTGGCGGCGTGAACCACGGAATGCGACCACGTTGCCAATCGTGCAAAATAGATTTTGCGACGGCGTTTACGTCCTCTTCGCCACCCTTGAGTAATTTACCACTCATACGAGCAACTTGACGCAGAAAGTCGTCAGGATCGGTCCAACTTGGCGTCTTGTATGCTCGTCGCAAATACTCAGCTTTGACTCGAGCGATCACATCAGGAATATGCTCTTGCGCATCTTCGAGATTGGATATACGAACTACACCCTTGAGTACGGCATCCGTGTCGGTGTCTTCAGTGTCCTGGTACACGACGCCTGGGCAATCAATCAAGAAAATTCTCTTCGTGAGGTTGACATACTGCCAAACCTTGGTTTCACCCGGAATAGGCGCAGTCAGGCACACGCGTTTAGAACGCAGTGCGTTAATCACTGACGACTTCCCGACGTTGGGATACCCCACAAAACCCACAGAGATGTTTTGCTTGTCCATTCGAAGACGGCTAAACTGACGAAGGAGAGACAACACGGCTCCTTTACCAAACGGATTACTCACTGACGCATGAAACGCAATCGTGGGGAACTCACGCGACAACGTGTGTAACCAACGCTTTGTGACCCACGCGGGGACCAAATCAACTTTGTTCAACAGCAGAATCATGTGCTTATGTCGCTTCATCGCGTCCTTTTTTAAGTGTTGCTCGAGATGGTAGCACCTCGTCCCCATGGGATCGCGAACATCCAAAACTTGAATGATGACGTCCGAAGAATCGACAACCTTATACAACTCACCCCAAATACGCTTGGATTGTCCCTTTTCAAACATGCTCTGCTTAGCTTCCACTCGCACACCGTCATCAGCGCGCATCAAGTCCCTATCCATAATCGCGCCAGTTTCCACGCCTTCTTGATAAACTTCCCCCATCTTTGACGCCGTGCTAAGCATGGCTTCGAGATTATCCATCGCCAGTTTAGGCTTTTTCCGTCTCTTATTCGCCCCGAACGTTTCCGCAAACGTGCTCTGACTCAATAAATTCACTCGACGGGCTCGTCCTCGCTCCTCATCCTTGAGCAACGACAGCGGCAGCTTCTTTTGTTTAATGAGCACCGTGTATCCGTCTCGGCTCTTCGTCGCCATCTCCTCTCGAAACTCCTCCAACTGTTTCTGCCCAATCACCCGCGTGTTCCCGAACCATCGTCGATCGGGCACGATTCGCGTCGACGGCAAAGCCTTACTCTGCAAGTCTTGCTTTAAAATTTTCCCCTTTTTATCTCGCACCGCCTTTTGCTTGTACATGGCCAAACGCCGCACCGTCGCCGCGCTGCGCTCGTGCGGGTTCATGTTGTTCGTGCGATTCGTGACGCTCATGGAGTGTTTAGGTTTCTCCTTCTGCGCGCTTCCGGAGGCGTTCGAGCCTCCACCGGCGCGACCGCCGCCGCCGCGCTGTTTCTTCGCCATGACGGCGTGTCGTCGCGCGTCCGCCTGCCGTCTCGCGTGTCACGCGTCGTCGCGTCGTCGCGTCGTCGCGTTTCGTTCGCGTTTCGTTCGCCTTCGCCTTCGCGCGCGCGATGCGCCCCGTCGTCGCGATGTGCGGCGTCGAAAGACGTCTCTCGAGCGCGTCCATCGCTCGCGGCGGCGGCGGCGGGGATTTGGCGACACTTCGCGTCGCGCCGAGCGCGATCGAGGCGAGCGAGCGCCAGCGAAGCGCGAGATGAGTGATACCGGGGCTGGGTTGACGTGTCACACCGCGCCGGTGCGTCGAAACGAGGCGGCGATGACGAGGGAAAGACGAAACGCGTGCCCTCGCGCGATGGTCGCGCGACGACGACGGGTCGAACGACGAGAGACGCGCGGTGGTCGCCGTCGACGCGCGCGGTGACTGACGACTGTGATGCACGTTTGTTCGCGCGACGTTAGGGCGTGGTGTTCGATACCATGGATGCGCTGAAGCTGCATTACAAATCGGATTGGCATCGGTACAACTTGAAGCGCGGCGTCGCCGGTTTGCCGGTGGTCGGGAAGGACTTGTTCGACCGCGTGATGACGCAAGCGGCGGCGCAGGAGGCGGCGAGTAAGAAGAGGTCAGAAGGAGGGACGGCTAAGGCGGGAAAATCGCATCTGAAGCGCAAGGATGAGCTTCCGAGAAGCGTGTTGCGGGCGCAGCGATTCGAGAAGTGGGCCGAGGCGCACAAGGAGACGCTGGCCAAGGTGGACGCGTACATCGCGCGGGGAGAAGAGGTTCCGGAGGCGTTGTTGGATGAAATCTCGCGACGACGAGGCGAAGAGGATGACGACGACGACGACGTGGACGAGTACGATGGTGAATGGGAAGAAATGGACGAAGATGAAACGCAAGAGGCGCTGGCGAACATCGAACGCGCCGCGCAAGAGGCGGAGAGTAGCGATGAAGATATGGACGATGACGCCCCGGCATTTTCCATGGAAGAACTCACGAATGGTCCAGTGCGTCTGGCCGACAACGGCTACGAACTCATCATTATCGGCGCCGATGGAAAGGCAAAGCGCATCGGTCCGCGAGAGTTTCGACGATACTACAAGCAAAATCACCGTCCGAGCGACAGTCGCGATTCTGTTCGCGCCAACGCTCGACACGCCGGCATGCAAGTTTCAAGCGACGGCGTTTGTCGTGGTAGTGGCGGTGGAATCACTCGCAGAGACTACCCGACGTTGCCAACCCAAATTTCCTTGGTGCACCGTCGAGCGCAGCGCGCCTTGCGCAAGTACCAAGGCGACCTCATGGTCATGGGTGGAAGCGCGAACAAGAAGTTTGACATGAGCGGCCGCAATGCCAAGACCAAGCTTCCGAAGGCGTGCCCGTATTAAATCTAACTAGTCGATACGTTCGCTGTATTCTTGTAACGAGCGTCCCTGTTCTTTCAGCCTCTTCGTCGCGTCGTTTGCAGTTTCAAAAGTGAACAGTTGGAGTTGGCGCAATCGGCCCACTCACCGTCGCGCCACGCTCTCGCGATGTCCTCCGGCGGCGCGCGCGCCACGGATGATGTCGTTCCAATGAACCCATTCCAGCGCTCCGACGCCCCGAGCGCGCCGAGCCAGAGCGCAGAACCGTTTCCCGCGATCGGCAATCCCGTCTTCACCCCGCGTGCCGACGATGCGGAAACGAACGAGCCGTGGTACTCGCGCTCACCCAAGCTGTTCACCATCATGGGCATCGACGTGCACGTGAGTCCGCTTTTATACACCTACATCGTGTTCACGCTGGTGCTCGCCGCGTTTTCGGCGAGTTTCTTCCTTTTCGCGCTGCAGGCGTTCGCTAGCGTGTTGCTCTTCTTCACGGTGCTGGTGCACGAGCTCGGACATTGCGCGGCGGCGCGCGCGGTAGGAGGACAGGTGAGTCATATTTTGCTCTGGCCGCTCGGGGGACTAGCATACGTGAACGTCGACGCGACGGACGCCAAGGGAGACTTTTTTGTCTCGTTCGCGGGTCCATTGACGCACGCGCCGATGCTCGCCGGATGGGTGGCGAGTTTTGCGTTGGCCACTGGGAGCACGGACATCAGCGAGTGGCCTCGAGATAATTTTGTGGGAGCACTCGCGTACGAAGGATGTTGGCTGAACATTTTCTTGTTCTTATTCAACGTGTGCATCCCGGCGTATCCATTAGATGGCTGCCGCATGCTGATGGCGCTCTTGGCCATGTGCTCTGTGTCTTTGACTACGACGGCGACGACCATCATTTGCCTCTCCACCGTGATGAGTTTGGGAGTGATAGCTTATGGATTCTGGCTCGTTCGGGTTATGCCAGTTTTTGTGGGTGCGTTTACGCTGGCAGAGACGTATAAGCTGTACACGCTTCTCAAGAGCGGCGCGTTAGAGGAACATCCGAGCTTTGCGAAGTACAATGCTATGAGTGGGAGGCGCAACACGAACACGTCGTGGAACGTGCAGGCCGTATAAAGTCGACTAAACAGAATTTGTATGATGTATCGCGAGCGTTTTACAAACTTTTGCATCTATTCTAAGTATTGTCCGTTTCGTGTTCTTCGTCTTGTTCTTCGTCAATGGACAGCTTGACTTTTTCGAGCGCTTCCAAGCGTGCCTTGCGTGCGGCGACGCGCGCCTCAAACTCGGCAAACTCTCTCGCACGCTCTTCGCGCGCGCTGCGTACTGCGTTTGACGCGAAGCCAGCGATGTTGTCGATCGCGGCTACGTGGCGCAGACGATTGACCTGCGCCTGCGTGAGTGAGCCATCGTTGCGCCTCATGAGGTCGAGCTGTTCGCGTTGCCAAGCTTTCACTCTCATGATGTCCACGCCGAGGGAATTCGAGCGCCTCGCACGCATGTCCGCGTAAACGTTTAACATCGCAACCCAACTTTCCGGGATGTAGACCATATCGAGGTTGAGTTGCTCTAAAGCCTGCATGTCTTCGTCGCGAATCGTGCCGTCTCGCACTTTGGCGCGCGTCTTGATGACCCACACGCCGAGCGGTGAATTGACGTTGGGCTCCGCGTATTCCCCATTCTCGTTGAGGAAAGCTCGGAGTTCTAAAGCAAGCTGCGTGAACTGCGTGTTTGCAAGTATGTTCTCGACAGGTTCGATGGTCGTATCGCGAACGAACGAGTTCAACCTCTTGACTTCCTCGAGCGCTTCGAGCGAGTCAAAAGCGATGCCCTGCGCGCGCAAGCGCTCCTCTCGCTTATCGACTAATTCGCCGATGCGGTACAACTCCCGCTGCTCTTCCAGCCAAGCGCCGAGACCTGTGGTCACACCCTCTTCGTAAGGTGGATTCGTCAGCCCGGTGCGCTGCTGAAAAGTGATGAGCTCTTCGAACCACTTCTCCCAAACCTTTCTACCTTTTCGTTTCAACAACATGTCTTGCGTGACGTATCTATCAGCGTCGAATCCGATAGCGTCGAGTAAGTACAACTGCTCTTGATTGAGTAAACCTTCGTCACGATCGCTACGCTGCTGACTGATCCACTCAGTCATGTGATCGGAAACTCTTTCGGGTCTGTAGATGGATTTGACAGTAGGGCGACGTCCTGTGTACGCCTTCGTTCGAATGCGACCCTTCGTGCCCCCGCTTTCGGTTTTCTGCCGAACGACGTACTCCACAAAATCCATATTCCATGCCGTTGAAGTGTCGAGGGATAAGACGATGGGATAATCTCGCACAATCTGCGCCATATCCTCTTTCGACGCGCCGAAATTGAACATCGTCTGCGCGCACGGGAGGACGTTTTGCTGAACGAGGCGCATGCGTCGCTTATCTACCAACGCTCGGCCCTTCTTCGTCGTGCGCCACGCCGCGGCCGCACTCAAAGCCGCCACGACTTCGTCCGAACTCAAGCCGATCTCGCGTATCAAAAACTCCTCGCTAGAGCTCAGCGCCCTTCTCGGCGCCGGGCGCTCCACCGCGCGGCGCTCCGCTTTGATGGTTGGCAAAATCTGCTCTCCCCAGCCCTCACCCGGACGTTCGAGCACCCAGACTAACTCTGTGTCCTCTCGACGAGCTCTACCACCGACGCTATCGCCCTCGATTCGCTTCTCATTCGATCTCACCGCCGACGGATCCTCCGCCGCCGACGCGACTCGCCGCCGACGCGACGGCGACTCGTCTCGTCTTCGCCCAGACGTCGTCGCCTCCCGCTCGTCCTCCCGTCGCGTCTCCTCCCGATCGATCGTCGAATCCACTCCGTCTTCATCGCGCCCAGCGTTCGTCGCCCTCGTCCGTTCGCTCCTTCGAAACATCGCCTCTCGTCTCGCCTCAATCTTCGCCAAGAGTTCATCCTCGGGCGTCAGCCGTTCCTCTCGAATCGCTTCGTCGTCTTCCCTCGCCTCCGCGCGCGCGCTCGCGTCTCCGCTCACGTCCACGTCCGCGTCCTCGCGCGACGTCCCTCTCGCGCGCGTCCCGCGTCGCGCGTCCGCGCGCCTCCGCGCGCGTCCCCTCGCGTGCCATCGCGTGCCATCGCGCGTCCTTATCGCCCGCGCCGTCGCCCGCGCCGTCGCCACCATGTCCTCACGTTCGCGCGCGTTCGTTCGTCATCGCTCGCGCCGTGCTCGGCGCCGAGGCCGCGGCGCCGTGTGCGCGCGCGCGCGCGACGACCGTCCGACCTTATCCCGTCGTCCGTGTGTGATACGCAGTCTCGTTTCATTCTCAGTCCGTGTGTGACGCACAGTCTCGATCTCGGGCGCGCGGCGCCACCGCGGCGCGCGCGCGCGACGGCGCGAGACGGCGACGCGACGGCCATGGGCGCGTCGAAGAGCGCGGCGCGGGCGAACGACGCTCGATCGGGCGCGCAGGCGCGGATACGGGTGCGCGAGACGACGCGACGACGCGCGATGCGAAGGACGACGACGACGACGACGACGACGACGACGACGACGACGACGACGGCGACGACGACGCGTCCGACGACGCGAACGGTGCCGTCGTCGTCGTCCGCGCGCGGCCGAACGGACGGCGACGCGCGAGCGGAGGCTCGAACGCGATGGAGGTTCGAACGCGGCGCGACGACTGACGACGCGCGGCGGCGAGGCGAATAGATTACGGCGCGCTTGGTTCGCGAGCTCGAGAGGGCGCGAAGACGGGCGAGCGGGGAAGACGTCGGTGAAAATGAGCGGGACGCGCGAGCGGCGAGCGGAGGCGAACGGGGAGGCGCGTCGACGAGCGGGATCGGGGCGAAACCGGGGACGGCGGCGCGCGGGCTCTTCGCGCCGGCGGACCTGTTGTCGACGGCGCGCGTCGCGCCGGGGAATCATCGCGAGGCGATCGCGGACGAGGCGGTGAGACGCAGACACCCAGATGTAGACGGCGCGCTTCGCGCGAGCGAGCGCGTGGGAGATTTATTGCTCAAGCGAGAGGAGGGAGAAATCGCTCGAACGCGTCGATTCGTCGAGGAGCTCGACGCGCTCGAGCGCGATCCATTCAACGGCGCGCGCGAGCCGCCGTGCGCCGTCGAGGCCGCGAGCGTTCGCGCGTGTTACGGCGCCAACGCCGCGAACGTCACCGCGTGCCACGATCTCGTGGACGAATATAAAAAGTGCGGTCGCGTGGCGCTGCGAAAGTTTGTCTCTCGCGAGCCCGCCGCGGCGTAGTCGCCTTCGCGGCTCTCGCCGCGTCTCCGCGCCCTCGCCGCGGCGCGATTCTTCCCATCACTCGTTCGCGCGCGCGTTCGTCGTCACGCGGTAAACTCACCGCGACGCGCACCGCACGCACGCGTTAGCTCAGATTGTAACGGCGTCTCGTTCGCGCCTTCCTTCGTCGAGCCAAAAAAAAAAAAGACAACTGAACACCCAGCGATCGCGTGTCGGCACGTCGCGTCGCCTCGTTCGCGACCCTTCGCGCGCGCGCCGCGAATCCTCGATCGCTCGGATCGCGAGGAAAATCGCGAACCGCGACCGATGCCGCGCCGCGAGTCGTCGCGCGACGCGCGCCTTCGTCGCGCGCGCGTCGCGTTCGCGCCATCGCGCGTCGTCGTCATCGTCGTCATCGCCGCGCTGACGCTGCTGCGTCACGCGCGACGGGTCGATGCGGGCGGATTCGGACGAAGCTCGCTGTACAGTGAACTGCAACGCACGTACGGACTCGGCGGTCGCGAAGCCGACGCCGAACACGACGTCGTCCCGGACCCGAACGCGCGCGAAGCCGAACCGGAACCCGAGGAAGAGAAGCCGGCGAACCTGCTGCACGTGGGCCATCGCATGGATCACGAGGAGCTGCGAAATCAATTTGAAAAATTTCCGGATCATCACGACATAAACGCGCCGTTGCACCGAAGTGGGTTGACGGCGCTGAAACACGCGATATTGGTCGGGAACGATACGTACGTGCGGACGGTGATCGAACTCGGGGCGGATACCAACGCGAAACTGTACGGAGGCAAGGCGATTCACTTCAACGCGGGGTCGTGCGGACAGCGAGGAAGCGTGCCGATTTTGCACGCGCTGTTGGAACACGGGGCGGATCCGATCGAGGAAACGGATCAAGGGTACCAACCGATTCACATCGCGGCGCGAGGGTGGAAGAAGTATTGCATTCCTTACATGCAGACGTTACTCGAGGCGGAAGCCGTAGATCCAAACGCGCGCCGGAGCACGGGCAACTTGACAACGCCGCTGCACGAGGCGGCGCATAAATCCTCCTTCGAAATGGTGAAGGTGTTGATCGATGCCGGTGCGGACGTGAACGCGCAAGACGCGGACGGTGAAACGCCGCTCCACAAGGCGATTCGCGGCGATCACATCCACGCGGCGTGGGGACTGATGTCGAACGGCGCGGACATCTTCATCAAGAACAAGCGGGGTATCGACGTGGAAGCCTTGGCAAATCTGATGCGCGCCGACTACGACACGAAGCAAATGTTCAAGCAGCACAAAGAAAGCCTGGAGAAGAAGAAGGCGGTGAAAGACGAACTTTGAGAACGACTTGTATTAATATCGCTACTACTAATCAACTTCGCCGAATATTCTTGGGTGGGGCAAAGGGAAGAATCGGCGCACTCTCAGGCGTAGCCTCGGTGTCCTCCTTCCACATCTTGATCGTTTTGTCGGCCTCGCACGTGATCAAGCGCGAACCGGTGACGTCAAAAGTGGAGGCGTAGATCCCGCATTCGGCTTCCAACGAACCGGGTTGCACCAACGCCTTTTCTTGTTGGAAGCAATGCCCAGACTTGTAGTCCCAAAAACACATGCTACCGTTATCACCACCGCTAAAGACAACATCATCGTCGTTCATAGACAGCGTGTTCACGATGGAATTCTGTTTGCTCAACATGTTGTGCATGAAGTCACCGTGGCACGAAAATTTTTTAATGTTGTCAGCTGAAGCGGAAACGAATGCGAATTCCTTCTTGTGCATCGCCATAGCACGCACGCCCTTCTTGTGATGAGTCAGTGTATGTATCGTTTTACCAGTCGCCAAGTCCCACAAGCGAACCGTGCTGTCGTACGAACCGGTGACGAGCTGCGGATTCTCGTCTTGCGCTAATATGGATCCAACGGTGTTCTCGTGTCCAGTGAGGCAGTACACTTGTCTCTTTGTGCGCATGTCCCAAACTCTGCACACACTGTCTCGACCGCCCGTCATCAACAGATCTAAAGTCGGGTGCATCGCGATCGAATACACTCCCGAAAGGTGCCCGTGATAGTTACGAATCACCTTGTTGTACTCCAAGTCCCAGCACTTGACTTTTTTATCCAAACCGCACGAGAACATGTACGGATGCCTCTGGCTCACCACGATACCGGTGACTTGTTCGATGTGACCGGTCAAAGTGAGCTTCAAGCTGCCACTCGCCAAGTCCCAAACCTTGATGGTGCGATCTGCGCTGCCCGTGACGAACCACTCGTTCCCCGGGTCGACGGCGCACGATCTCACCCACCCTTGGTGTCCCGAAATCACACGATAAAGCTTCCACGGCGCTCGCCACTCCGGCTCCGGCCATTCGCTCGCCAATCTCTTCGCGATATTCGCCCCAGTCGCCGCGTTTGCGTGTCTACCGAAGATGGACACCGGCAGGTTGGCTTTAGCGTCTTCGCCCCGGAACGCCGCCAACGCCTTCGACGGTCCGGCCTGCGACCCACCATCGCGCTCATCCTCATCGTCCAGCGCGTCAATCATCGACGCTATATCGCTCGGCGCCTTTTTCCGCTTCTTCTCCTCCTTCACTCGCTCGCGCGCGTCATCCTCGCCGTCGAAGCGTTCCCTCGCCCCCGAAGAATTGTCCCTCGCCCCGCTCTCGCCGCCCGTCGCGCCCTTCTGTCCGCCTCCTCGCTCGTTCTCCCGCGACCACGCGCGCACGGACGCGTATTCATCCGCAATCTTCACCCCTAATCGCACGCGCGCGGCGTGCGCGCCACCGGCGTCGCCATCTTTCGCACCGCCGCCGGGACGATCGAGCGCGCGGTCGGCGCCGAATAACGCGTCCGCGCGCGCGATGGAGGCGCGCGCGAGCGCGCGCGCGCGGTCCTCGATCGCGGTCGTTCCTTTCGCGCCTCTCGCCATGGCCGGGCGTCGCGAAGTGCGTCGCGGTCGTCGCGTCGCTCGCTCTTCGGTCCGCGGCGCTGAGGGGTGTGCGTCTCATTGAAGTCGCGAGTCGGCGCGTCTAGAGCTCGCGAGTCACGCGCACTCTGTGGGCGTTCTTCGCGAGCCAGGTCGCAAACTCGGGCGAGCGGGCTAATTGTTCTAACGCGTCGTCGGTTTTAATGCGTCCGGCGTGCTCGTGCTCGTCGGCGGAGAGGAAGCGGCCGAAGGCGGCGGCGGCGGAGCCGACGGGAGGACGCCGATCGTCCTCGCCGGTTTCGGTGACAAATTCGTTCGAGGACGCGCTCTTGTTGCTCCATGAAAACATCCCGGGGAAGAACGAACGACGTTGGACGGTCGGCGAACGCAAAGTGCGCGCGTCCAAGCGTCTCGGCGGCGTTCGAGGATCGGGATCGAGCGTCGGAGGAAGCGGGCGCCGAGAGCGGCGGCGAAGACCGAGCGAGAAAAGCTGGTCTTCGCGCTCTTCCGAGTCTGAATCGCTCAGTTGATGCTCATGATCTTCGTGCAAAGCACTTGCGCCTCCGCGGCGCACTAAACGACCGGCAGCATCGACGATGCGATCGGAAGCGCGCACGACGGGCGCGTACAAGCCATACGTCGCGGCGCACGCGACCATGGCTGTCGCGCACGGTACATCACGCGAGCTAAACTGAATCAAACCACAACCGACGATGCGAATGACCATCGTCACAGTTGAGCGCACTGATCCCGCGACACCGCCGGTGACGGCGTCCAAGACGAAGGATTGCACGAGCCAACGACCGACGCCGGCGCCGAGGACGAGCAATCCGAAACCGGTCAGTGCGCTGTACAGCGCCCAGGGATCTTCAACGATGATACTTTCTAAGCTAGCGTTGGCGTAACGTCTTTTGATCAAATTTAGCACCAACATGATCGGTTTTGTTGACATTTTCCAGTACATATCCATGATGTTTTGCCATTGTTCGTCAGGCACAAAGTGATACGTCGCAAACGCCGCAAACGCGGTGGTGCGCTTCACCATCCGACCCCCGGGTATCGCTCGCGAAAATCTATGTATTACGATCAGCACTAAAGCCAACGTCGACAGTGTCATGGCAACTGTGTAAAAGCACGTCACTGAACTCGCCACGACCGGGGCAACGAGCAACAATGCGACGCCCGCCACGAGACGCGCCGCGAGTTTCGGCTGAAATGAACTCGTCGCCGACACCGCGTACTTGATCGTCCCTCCTTTCCCCACGCCCCGACACTTTGGCGTGATCAGATACCCTTTTTCATACGGTCCGACGATGACCACCGTCGTCGCTCTCTTCGTCGCTCTCGCGTCGCTCTCTTCGTCTCGCTCGCGTCTCGTCGTCGCCGGCGCGCTCTTCCACTCAATCGTCGTCACATTCGTCGTCGTGTTGAACACCGGCACCGTCCACGCGTGAAACAACTCGCACCGCGACGCGCTCAATCCCCCGTTCACGTCTCGCACGCTCACCGCGACTTCATGAAACAACCGCCTCGCGTCCCACCTCGCGTGTCCCCGCACCGCCGCTCCGCTCGGCGCGTTCGCCGTCCCTTCGATCGCCATCGTCGGTCCGTCGACGTACACCGACGTCGGCACCGTTCCATCTACACCGCGCGCGAAACCTCATCGTCAGTCCGCGCTCGACCGCGCGCGCGTTCGATCCGTCCCTCCTCGCGTTCGCGCCTCCGTCGTCGCCTCGCCCGCGTCCGCGCCCATCGTCCGCCTCGCCTCGCCTCGCGTCGATCCTCCGCACCTCGCAGCCCGCTCGCGCGCGCCTCGGCATCATCGCGTCTCTTCCCCTCCGCGCGCGTCGCGAGCGCGACGCCCAGCGCGACGCCCAGCGCCGCGCGCGCGCGCGTTCGTCCCAAAAAGCCGTTCGCGTCGCCGCGCCTCGCCCTTTTTCTTTCCCTTCGTCTCGTCGCGCGCGCGCGCGTCGCGCCGTCGCCGCGCATTCGCGAGCGCGCGCCGCGCGGCGCGCGCCGCGGTCTCGCGCCGTCGCGCGCCTTCGCGTCGCGTCGCGGTGCGTCGGCGGTGCGTCGGCGGTCTCGCGCGCGTCGGTCGTGCCGTCTAACACGGACCTTACATAGTTACGTAGGGTTTAGGGTTTAGGAACGGTCCATCCGTCCGCCGGTCGACGTCGACCGATCGCACACGCGCGCGCGACGAACGCGCGCGAGTCGCGGGCGCGACGACGGCGACGGCGACAATGCGCGCGATGGCGTCCGCGGCGACCGCGCGAACGGGACGCGCGACGCGGTGTGGACGCGCGAGCGCGGACCGCGGACGCGCGATCGGACGCGCGCGCGCGACGACGACGGCGCGCGGCGCGCGGACGACGCGAACGCGGGCGACGGGCGACGCGGGCGAGACGATCGCGGACGTCGTGGACGTCGCGGACGGGACGAACGCGGCGGCGACGCGCGCGATGGACGTCGTGGGGGACGCGGCGGAGGACCTCGGGGACGTCGTGGCGGGCGGGATGGATAAGCTCAAGAGCGGGGACTTCGCGAGCGCGTTCAAGGCGCCGGAGGGGATGGAAAACGTTGAGATTCCGGACTTTAAGGCGAAGATGGGTGAATTTAAACTTCCCGAAGCGCCGAAGTTCGAAGCGCCGAGCGTGGACGTGGGGGCGTTTAAGACGCCAGAGCTGCCGAAATTCGACGCGCAGGTTGAGGTGCCGGAGATTGATTTCAGTGGCGCCACGAACGCGATGAACGCGGGTAAAGCCTCGCTCGACGGGCAGCTCAAGGGTGCGACGAGCGCGATGAATGCGGGTAAAGCCTCGCTCGATGTGCAGCTCAAGGGCGCGACCGACGCGCTGAGCGCGGGTAAAGCCTCGCTCGATGTGCAGCTCAAGGGCGCGACGGACGCGGCAAACGCGCTTCAGTCTGGCGTGACGACGAGCGTGAACGATAGCATTCAGGGTGCGTTTAGTGCCTTCAAGGGCGTGCTGCCCGACGAGTTTGCCAAGCTTGTAGACTTGGCCAAGGAAGACACCGATGTCGCCATTGCGCTCGGCGTCTTTGCGCTCTTCGTGCCGACGCTCGCCGGCGGGGCGGTGAACAAGGCTCGCGGCTACGCCGGCACGAGACGGCCGGCGTTTATCAACGACGAGCTCGAAAAGAACAAACGAGCATTCCTCATCGATACTCGCTCGTTCGAAGATCGCAAAGTGGACGGGGTTCCGGATTTAAGAAAGGGTGCGCGCGACAAGGGTGCCGCGGTTCCCGTGGAGGAATTGGACGCTCTCACTCGACGAGTCACTGCGAACCCGCGTGAGGTTGAGTTGCAAATCGCCGGCGAGCGCGTGCTGAAGCTCACCAAACGTGGTGCACAAATCTACTTTATGGGTCCGGATGCGGCGGCGCTCGCAAAGGTTGTGACCGCGATGGGTGGACGCAAGTGCTTCACGGTGGAAGGTAACTTTGACGCGTGGAGATCGACTGGCTTAAAAATTCGTCGTAACCCGTCGTATGACAAGAACATCCTCGATAAGGCGAGCGAAGAGACGGCCGAGTTGGCGCGATCGGGCTCGCAGTTTGTTCAAACGCGAGTGGGTACCGTGAGGGCTACCGTCTCGTCCGGTTACAAGACGTCGACTCCGGTGCAGAAAGGCGCCGTCGCGGTTGGTTTCGTCGCATTGGCGTACGCAGCGGTCGAATGGGAAAAGACTTTGGCCTTCATTGGTTTCTTAGGTCTCTTTTGGTCGCTCTACAACAAGCTGACGAGCTATGAATCTCCCGGGGAGTTGTTTGCGGATGCTTCAAAGGTTTTCACTCCTGCAGTTGCCACAGTTGGTCGAGCGGCTTCGTCCGCTGTGATGGACGTCGAAGAGGAAGAGGACGAATCTCCGATGACCATCGAACTCCCGACGCTCGCCGAGATGTCTGTTCCGGAGGCAGAAGGCGACCAAGAAGTGGAAGAAGCTGAAGAGCAGGAAGACGAAGTCGAGGCTACGGCGGAGCCCGAGATCGAGCAACCGGAAGCGGATGTCGAAGCCGAGGAAGAAAAACGCGAGGAAGAAGAATAAGCGCGCCGTCTCGCAGACGCGAACGACGTCAACGCAAGCAAACAAAAGCAAAACGGTATAGCCCGCAACCACGCGCTCGTTGTAATTACGCACATTGCACGAATAAACAAAGCAAGTTGCTTCAAGCGACACGCCACGATATCCCGCGCGAACATCCACGGGCGAGCCGCAAAGCGACACGCGCACACGTGCGCGATGCGGCGAGCGATCGCGCGCGCGCGCGTGCGCAAGAAAACGCCGTGGCACCACGTCGTCGTGATCGTCGCCGCACTCGTCGCGAGCGCGCGTGCCGGCGACGATGACGAAGTGCAGCACTCGGAATCTTCGGCGATTTTAGACGACCACGCGCGCGCGCTCGAGCAACTCATCGCGCAACCGACGCACACCGCACCGTTGGTTAAAGATGCTTTCGTGAAACTCGCGAATCAGGCTCGACACGCGCCGACGTTGCGTGAGTTGCGCGAGAAAGCGTTGACTGTGGGATCGGGCACCGTCGAGCAGGCGCTCGCGGAGGATGATATCGAAGGCGCAGACGAACGAGATCGATGGATTGCCGCGCGCGAGGCGCTTTACGCGCTCAGCGCGCTCGGTAAAGTGGGACTGGTCGACGAGGACGCGTTCGTGGGGGAGACAGCGAGCGGTGAGGATGACTACGGCGCGTTTGAGAGGTTGACGGAGACTGGAAGCGAGACGTGGTACCAGTCGGCTCTGCAGCGAGCTGCGCTCATGGGGGACGATTGGGCGCGCACTGCGCTTGGATTTAGGTTATGGAAAGGATTCGATGGCGTGGAAAAAGACGAGGAGCGAGCGTTGTCGATGTTGCGCGATGTGGCGACGACTGGTTTAGGGAGAGGCCCGACGACGTACGAGCTCGAAGCACCGAGCGGCGCCGAGTGGTTGCGCGATCGGGATCGAGACGCCGGCTGGTATTCCGAGAGTATCGCGGCGAAAGCAGCAGATCAAGTGGCCATGGAAATCGATGCAGCAGCGCGAGGAGATGATGGGGCGCATGCGCAGTTGGGATACCGAGCGCTCGTTGGTGGGCGAGGCGTCGAACAGAACGAGAGAGCCGCGTTTGAACACTTCGTGGAAGCTGCGCGTCGACGCGGTGGGGGACTGCCTGAAGCACACTACAACCTGGGATTCATGTACATGAACGGTATGGGTACAGAGAAAAATTACACCGCCGCGCGCGAAGAATTCTTGCGCGCAATATCCAAGGGCCAAATCGCGCCGGCGTACAACGGTTTGGGCGTTCTCGCATTCAACGGTTTGGCGAGTGAGCAAAACTACACTGAAGCGATGCTTTATTTCACAGCAGCATCAAAATTGGAAGATCCCGATGGTTATTTCAATCTCGCACAAATGTACACCGCCGGTCACGGCGTTGAGGCAAATGCGACGTACGGTTTGGAAATCATGGAAAAGGCGAGCGAACTCGGACATTGGCGAGCGCCCTACGAGCTCGGAATGGTTTACGCTCTCGGCGAAGTCGTGGAAAAGAATGTGACGAAAGCCGCGAGATACTTTCACATTTTCATCGAGGAACGCTTCAACTGGGCTGAGCATCGAAATGAGGCCATCGAAGAAGTTTTGCTTCACCAGAATCCTTGGGGCGCTCTCGTTCGATACGCACTCGTGTCGTCACTCGGAAGTGAATCCGCCGCGAATAACGTGGCGTGGTTATTGCGCAAAACTGACGCGTACACGAGTGAGAACAAGTTTGAACTCGCCGCGCGCATGCTTCGCGAGATTATTTACTGCTACGCGTCCCCCGAGGCTCGAGTGGATTTAGCGGGCTTGCTGTCGGAGCGCAAAGTGCGACCAGACTTGACGTTTGATCTGAAAGATCACTACGATCAACTCGTCCCAAACGCCTCGACTTATGAAATTGCCGCCACAGGGCATTTGTCGGTCGCCGCATTCGGCGAAAAGCCGTACGCAGAGGCGTTGGTAAATCTTGGTTGGGCGCATTTGTTCGGTCGCGGCGTCGCAATCAACGCGAGTCGAAGCCTTGAACTGTTTGCTGCGGGTGCAGCAGCCTCGGAGACCTCGTACGAAGCTACACCATGCGTTTTTGCGATCGTAATGACCAAATTCTGGCTCTTCGCCGCCGCGGCTAGCCGATCGTTGAGCTTTGGTTCGCTCGGCTTACCCGCCGAGCATTTCAGCGCTCTGCCGACGCCGAAGCTTAACTTCTCCACCGTGCGCGGCTTTATGGCCGTGCGAATCCTTCGATTGATCGAAGTCATCGAGCGCTACGTATTGTTTGGACTCAGCTTAGCTTTAGCCGGCGTTCTCGCGTACCGCGCGATGCTTCCGAGTCGATGAACGCCGCACTTGTGTTAAACATCTATCTTAGCGACACCCCGCCACACTCCGACGCGCGAGCGGACGCAGTGATGCTTTCCACGACGTGCGCACGAAGTTTTACGCCGGCGTCGACGACGTCTAGCGCGCGGCGCGGCGCCAGGGCGACGCGACGCCCGTCGAGATGCGCTGACGTCGTCGTCATCGCGCGCGCTGGTGCGTCGAGCGGTGACGCCACGCGTGTCAACGACGAGGACGACGACGACGACGACGCGTTCTTGCGCGCGCTAGAGGATCAGATGGACGGGAAGTCGTCGCGATCGAGCGCCGGGGACGGGCTGAACTGGGGCGGGGATATGTCTGGGGAAGAGTTGCGGAATATGGTACTCAAGCGCTACGGCCGCCTGTACGACGCGCGAATTTGTCAGCGAAGAGATCGTTTCAATAAGCTCCAGATTTATTTACAGATTATGTGGAAGTTTTTGGGCCAAAAGAGCTTCCCGTTGAGCGAGGAGGAGTACATCGAACAGACGGATGCGGTGGCAGAGTTGTTGAGCGAATGGAACGTTGGCGACGTCGTTCGGGAGAATTTGCCGAAGAATCCCAAGACGCCAAAAATGGATACAACTGGCGCAAACGCGGTGATGATACCGCTCGGGTTGGAGGATCTCGAGAATGGAGTGCCGGGAATGCGCAACGACGAATGATTACGCACGCTCTTGTTATCGCTAAAATATATTACTTCATCGTCCCTCTACTTTGCGCTATCCTCCCGCCTCGCGAATGGCGATCAGGTCTTTGATCTTCGCCAATCGCACGTACAACGGACGCAAATGCTTCTTGTCATCCCTCGTCGTCTTTCTCCCAGTCGTGCGCAAGATGCGAACGTCGAATCGCCTCAACCGACGCTTCAACGCGCTCTTGTCTACTCGCAACTTCTCCAGCGCCTCATCTCCTCGTAAAGACGCGTACAGCGTTTGCAGCGACAACCCACTCACGCGATCGACCTCCGCGGTGACGCTATCGAGATCACCCAACCAGTCATCGACGACGTCCGCGACGCACGCGTCAAGCGCCGCCTCCGCGCTCGCGCTCGACGTTTCCTCTCCTTCCGCGCCTCCCCGCGCGCGTCTCGCGTCGTCCGCGTCGTCGTTCACGCGCAACGCGTTCAGACCCACCTCGAGCGCGATCGCGCCTCCCGCGTCGTCGTCCTCGCGCGCCGCATCGTCGTTTTCCTTCCCGCGGTCGCGCGCCGCCTTGCCCAACGTCTCGTTCGTGCGTTCGAGCACCGCGCGCGCGTTCTCCAGGCTCTGCAGCGCGCGCGACCGCATCGCGCCCGCGCCCGCGCCCGCGCCCGCGCCCGCGCGACTCGACGCTTCGTCGTCGACGAGTGCGGTCGCGCGACGCGTCCGCGCGGTTCGACTCGACGCGACGCGCGACGCATTCGCACGCGCGCATTCAAACGACTCTCTGACGCATTTTTGAAACGGTTTTTTGAAAAAAAAACGGTCAATCGCGCGTGCGTTTTCGTTTTCTTTTCGCGCGACCGCGCGGGCGGCGACGCGCCAGAGACCGACGCGACGCGGACCGACGCGTCGGTTTTTTCGACGGGAGAGGCGCCGATTCGACGCGCGCGACGCGATGGTGGTGGACGCCGCGCGCGCGTGGGCGTCGGTGGATGACTTGATGGGCGATGCGCATTATCGCGCGCTAGGGGTGGAGGCGTCGGCGAGCGCGGCGGAGATCAAGCGAGCGTTCGCGAAACGGGCGCGGGAGTGTCATCCGGATAAAGGCGGGAGCGCGGAGAGTTTTGCGGCGGTTCGAAAGGCGTACGAGTGCTTGAGCGATGTCAAGGCGCGGTCGACGTACGACGCGCTGATGAAGGAGCACAAGTATAGGTTCATCAGAGGAGTGACGCCGCGAGCGCCGGGGGGGGAGGACGCGCTGCTGGACGACATAGAACGGCTGGGGTTGGAAAATGTGTGCGCGGCGACGCAGTTGGTGACGCTGTGTGAGGTGTGTGGACGACCGAGCACGCGCGAGTGCTTCGTGTGCACGGCGCTGTTTTGCGACTTTTGCGAACGAAAGATGCACTGGAAGGGCGCGGTGGGATTGCATTGGCCCGTGCAGCGCGTGGATGGAAAGATGGCGAAAGAACTCGGAGAGAAGGAACTTGAAAAGAAACGAATCGACGATGCCGAACGAGCGATGCGCGAAGATCCCAATTATAGGACGGATCACGAATTGCAAGCGACGCGCACGTTCAAGGAAGTCGCGGCAGAGTTGTATCACCCAGATGGACGTCACAAGAAAAAGTACGACATTCGTCTGGCGCAGCATTACATGTGGGCACAAACGATGCGTTCTGTGTACGTGGCGGTGAACATACCCACAGGTTACGCCGATAAAGAATTACACTTCGAATTCAATGCGGGCTCGATTTTGATTCAACCCGAGGATTCGCTCGCCGTCGTCGACAGAGTTTTGGCCAATCCCGTGGATACGAGGTACCCGATCGAGGTCATGCAAACGGAAGACAAACGATTCGTCATGTTTGAAATACGCAAGGCAAAGATTGGTGAAGAGTGGAAAAAAGTCTTCGAGGGTGACCCTGATTATGCGCGTTGTTTGACGCAGGTGTATGAAATAAAGGAATCAAACGACGAAGTCACCATAGAATTCGAGTTACCTTTCTGGATTGAATCGGATGACATTGGGGTAAACATCACCTCCAAAGGTATTCAAGTCAAGGTCGCCGGGGAATTCGATATCGCTCGCGAGTTTTGGCGAAAGCGGCCAAAGAGCGAGGGCGACGAGCCGTGGCAGGCAATCGACATCTCAGAGAGCACTTGGAGTCTCGATGACGCAACCGAGCGCGAGAGTGGTGATCCATGCAAGGCACTTATGATCGTTCTAGCCAAGCCGAAGCCCGATGAGCAAGAGATGCAGTACAAACGCGGAGTGCGTACAGACAATCGAAATGTGCACAGCGACGACGAGCGCCAGGGCGTTCGATTCTTCGTCGACGACAACGACACATATGCATTGGAGCCGATGCTGGAAGCATGTCTTTTCATCGACACTGGGTCGACTTGGTACCAACCAACGCCTCGTGAAGCGTACAGACATCCTCACATGACAGCGAAAAACATCAAAGTGTTCAATGACCTTCCGAAATCTGTGAAAGACATGGTCGGTTTGGTGCTCAAGTACAGACAACCGACGAGCGAAGAAGGATTTGACAATGACGATCTCGTCGACGCCCACGATTTGGTGGACTATTACTAGACTAAAAGTGAGTAATAACAGGTTTCTAATGCTAAGCCGCTTCGCGTTCACGTTAGTAGCGTGTTTTCACCTTCACCTAGCCAGAAAGGCTCAGTCGAGTCAGGGGGCAAAGCCCAAAATGTATCGTCGTCTTCAGCAAATTCATCGCTCGAATCTTCATCAACCATCGTGTTTGAGTCAATCTTGACTTCTTGATCAAGTCCGATGTATGAGTCAGACATCAAAAACACCACCAAATCGGGGCGTGCGCGTGAAGACGAGCCGGATGGACATTTCAGCTTGACGTTAGCAGCATCACCAAACGATATTCGTCTCAGCGCCAACAGTTCATCATTCGCGGTGTCTCCAACGACTATCCACCAACCTTCTTCTTTTATTTTCGGAAAGCGCGGTGTATACGACGTCGGTGCCTTCGAACCGCATTTCTTGCCGATACGTCGAAGCTTTACGTGTACCGTCTTCTCACCATTGATGCCTTTGGTCGTCTCCGTCGTCGCCTTGGCGTCAATCACCGGAAGTCTCAGACATAAATCGACGACTTGATCAATTTTACGACCGTTGATACCACATTCTGAGAGAACTCGACGCGCCTGTTGCTTGTTGGAAGAGCATAGATCCATCAACTGAGGTAAAATAGACAAGCCGTGTTTCTCAAGGTTTCTCAAGTGTCTGCGTTCGATGTGCGGAAGCGTCAACAACGAAGAATCGGTAATCATTCTACCCTGCATAATCATCTGCATCAAATTCATCGTGCTCAGTGCGGTGTGTAGCCAACCAGCATCGGAAGTGACGTCAATCATCGCTTGTAAAATACGAATCGCCTGATCGAGGACGCTCTTTGTGTCCGTGTAATAATCACTCAGAGGTAGCGGTAGCCGCAAGAAGTGGCATTGGAAAAGCAAAGATGTCTTCACGTGCGGGTCCTCAGCCAGACGAATGTCGACTTGGAAACCACCGGCATCAGCCACAACTTCTGCCAACTCCGTGTTGAGCTTGTCTTCGTTGTGACGAACGGGTAGTTCATCGTATTCTGCCACACCGCACAACGTTTCCAGCAATGATTCAAGTGAACTATTCGCCTTGATATTCGACGCGAAAAGTGCGACGGACGGGTACTGTAGGTAGTAATACGATGCGACACGTCCTAACATCAAAGGCTCCAACCCATCGTCTTCTTCATCGATTGCAATGCAACGAGCGTCCTCCAATAACTCCAAAGCGTTCTCGACCAAATCGCTGAGGTATTCATTCAAGTTATCTGTTTGAATGGTATCCAAGTTGTAGTAAGTGGGATTTTTGAGCAAGCGACGGAAAAAGTAAGTCCACGTCAAGTAATCGACTGCGTCCTGCTTAGTCTTTATTGTGCCACTCACGATTTCGGCGTTGAAATGGTCGCATAAGTTTTCTGCCAAGCTCGATTCAACTGGAAAAGGCTCGTAGAGAAATTTCTTGTAAAACGTCTTTTTAGGCTCGTGTACTAGAATGACGCAGCACCCAGACTTATCGAACTGCGGTCGCCCCGCTCGACCCATCATTTGAAGAACATCTGTAATGGGAAAGTCTTGGTAACGCTTCGTTTTGCCGTCAAAATATTCAGTGCCCTTGATTACGACCAAGTGCGCAGGCAAGTTGACGCCCCACGCGAGCGTTGACGTCGTCACCAACACTTGTATCTTGCATTGTGCGAAAAGCTCTTCGCATAACTCTCGGTCTTCTGGCGTTAAACCGGCGTGGTGTAGACCAATGCCAAATTGTAAGGTGTGCTTCAACGCTGGATCTTTGACTTTACTCAAGTGCATCGTTAACTCGTCGTCGCTCATGTGCACGAAGCCATCCGGGCGCTCGTCCGCGGCAGCGTACGCGATCAAATCCAACGCTGTCAGGCGCGTTTGTCGTCGACTCGACACGAAAACAAGCGTCGGCTTTTCAGGACTATGCGTGCGAATAGCCGCGTACGTTGGCTTATTCATCGTCATCATGCGCGGGCAGTAAAATTTACCCGGAAAGCCTTGAATATGACATTCGAGCGGTACCGGGCGCACCGACGGTCGAAAGTTGAACAAACCTTCCTTGTCAATGCCGAGCCAATCTCCGAGATCACGCGCGTTCGCCAACGCTGTTGACAAACCAACGATACGAACATTTGAACCCGTTCGCGCAGAGATGTATCGCATACGAGACACGATGACTTCCAAAATAGGACCTCTGTCGCTCGCCAACAAGTGAATCTCATCAATAACGACGAGCGCAACCTTGGTGACGTACGCGCGACTTTGCCAGTTACGACTGATGCCATCCCACTTTTCCGGAGTACTAACGATGATATCGGCCTGAAGAAGCGCTCGAAGATCTGGCGTGTAATCACCTGTGAGCTCGACCATGCGCAAGCCGAGCGTCGGGCACAAATTCTTTCTCCAGTCCTTGATGCGTTCTCGAACCAAAGCCTTGAGCGGTGCAATGTAGACGACTTTTGAACCAGGAGAATCACGGAAAACTTTCATCATCGATAGCTCGGCCGAAATCGTCTTACCGGAGCCTGTCGGCGCACCAAGGAGAACGTTCGTATCGGTATGATAGAGCGTGTGAAACGCTTGCGTTTGAATGGCATTGAAGTGCGTAAACTTCCCCTCGTACATCGACTCATACACTGGATTGTTCAAAGCTGATCGCGGGAGAGGATCAAGATCGAGTAATTCTGTGTGCGGTGGATGTTCTTCAGGTAAGATGAGGTGCTGGAAGTTTAGTTCGACGAAAGATTCACATCCGAGCCAGGTTTCCGACATGGCACGCAAGAAATATTGCGGCGGCACTGGCTCAAAAATGGGAATGGTGAATGCCAAGTATTGCGCCCCGTCGCGGCTTTGTTTTTTACTCAAGTTGAAAGTTTCCGAGTGATATATGTGCTCGTTTACCGGATCTTCGACCCAGATCAGCCATCGTTGAAGAGCACCATGCACTGCATCTCTCCATTCGAATTCAGGAGTAAGTGTCACAGAGACTCGTAACACGGAGCGCGTGATGGGCTGCACGACAGCCGTCATGTTCAAATGCGGCATCGCGCGCATGCACGACTTGACTTGTCCACCAATTTGAGTGTTCAGTCGCAACATACTGCCAATCTCACTCGCACTCATATCCCATAAACGATCCAAAGTGGCTTTCTTCTCTTCGAGCTTAAACAAAACTTCGGGCTTGAGCGACTTTTCAAATTGTCGAAGCTCGTGTTGATGCGGCCATATTCTCAAATCACACGATTTACTCACCGTGAGCAATTGTTCCGCGAGCGACGGCCAGCCACGTCGTAAGCATAACTCAAACAGTGCGCGACAAATTCTGCTCGCATTCTGCGAAATGTACATGCTATCGGCAATAAGAGAAAAAGATTGCATGCTCGCACGAGAGATGTAGACTTGCAAGAGTAAATTGACTTTGCCTACTTTGTCTGTGAGCGAGGCTTTGATGTCAATCGGCACCACGCGGCGGTTGCGTCGCAATGTCTCCAACTCAGGAATTTCATCTTCTCTGGGAACTATGTTTTCGAACTCGCTCGAATGGGAAATCATGTGAAAGATGTCCGGCAGCGTCATGTGTCTGTGCATCAAACCATCGAAAACTTCCATAGAATTGACTCGTATGTAAAAGTGACTCGCCGTACGGCCAGCTTCGGTTTGATAAAGCTGTCCACTCCGCTCGTCGAATCGAATCATTTTCGCACGATCTAAAACCCTTGCAGCTTCTTTGATGAGTTTTCTGCGGTGGTCTAGTAAGCCTGGATCAAGACGAATGTCGTCCCACGTCAGACCATAGGCGAGTGGGTTCTTCTCCATACGCGTGTGTAGGTAAGAGTATCCCAACCACTGCGCGCCTTCGCGCACGTTCGTAACTGTACCGAGAGTCACTTCGGCGTTCAAATTATCAGCCAAGTTGCTCACAAATTGTGATTCAATCGGTGTCGAATGCGTGAGCATGGACACGTAATGCGCCAAATTTTTGTGCTCGGTGACGATGACACCCTCGCCCGAAGTGTCAAAACCTGGTCGCCCTGCACGACCGAAAATTTGTTGCACATCTAAAACACCGAGATTCCTGAAGCCACCGCGTTGAGGGTCGTAAAGCTGCGTGCCTTTGATGACGACGATGTGCGCGGGCAAGTTCACACCCCACGCCAATGTTGCCGTACACACTAGAACTTTAATGAGTCCGGCGGCGAAAAGTTTTTCCGTCAATGAACGGTCCGCTCTAAGCATACCTGCGTTGTGACAGCCTAGTCCTTTGAGAAACAGATCTTTCAACTCGTTATTCCGACTTCGTGACACTTGTTGCGCGAACTCAGCCTTGCGCTCGTGTTGGTTGTTGGAGAAGAGTTCCATACCATCCTGCGCAGCGGCAAACTCAGCGAGTTGCTTCGCCGTCTTGACTGTATCCTTCCGGCTATGTACAAAGACCATGGCTTGTTTGCCATTTCTCAACGCTTCACACGCTTTGTTGTACGCAATCTGCGCCATGAGTGTTTGCCGTTTCATCGAGTTTTTCTCTGTGACCCCGATAAACTTTTGCGTCAATGGGATCGGCCGGTACGACTGATCAAAAACGAACAAACCGGCGTCATTGTTGACGCCTAAGAATCGAGCCACATCTACGGGATTCGGCAGCGTCGCAGAAAGACCGACAATCCGTATCATACTCTGAGTTTGTTCGACTTGACGAAGAGTACGGGCGACGAGCGTTTCAATCACCGGCCCCCGCTCGTCATTCAACAAGTGCACCTCATCAATGATGAGTAAACGTAAAGTACTCGCCACAGAAACTTCTCCGCCTTTTCGTGTGATGACATCCCATTTCTCGGGTGTCGTCACGATCATTTGTGTCTCCTCGAGCTCGCGTTTACTCATTTGCGTATCGCCCGTGAGCTCGGCAACGACTATGTCAAGAGGTGCAAGTCTTCTGCTAAATGCATCCGTAACTTCAGCCGCGAGCGCTTTCATGGGTGCCACGTAGACAATCTTGAAATCCTCTGGAAGGTAGTCGCCGTTCTCATCTATGTGAAGACCGATTTCGTGTAAGACGGTTAGCATGGCGATGTTCGTCTTCCCGGCTCCCGTCGGCGCGCACACGAGTAAGTTTTCGTTGGTGTGGTACGCCTGCGGGAAAATCTTGCTTTGGATCCTATTGAGCATTCTGATGCCTTGAAACGCGGGCTGCGCCCACTCATCGAGCTCTTCAATCGCTACAGAACGCTCACCAGCGGCCACGGGATCTGGCTCTCGCGCCGGTACAGAGATCTCTTCGTACCCTTCTGGATGAACGATGCGCGTGGTCCCTGGCGGCAACGCTTTGCGCCCACCATCCATACCTCGTCCAAGACCTCGCAAACCGGCAAGAATATCGTCTGGATTACTTGATGACGAAGGTGCTTGCTGGTTTTCCCAATCACCTTCACATAAAGCGTCGAAACCTACACCCACGGCTTGAAGCCATTCCATAATGCTGGCGCCCGATCCAGAGGCAAGCTTGCGATTAGCTTTGCGTTCTTCTTTTCTCCGAGCCTTTTCAAGTTGTTTATCCAAGGTGCTCGTAATCGTAACAACACGAGTGATAGATGGTCCAGCTCTATCGGCGCCACTTTGAGCGTTTAGCGCATCTCGAAGTAACTGCGCCCGGTTTTTGATGGCGCTCGTGAGCACCGTGCGGCGTTCAACCACTCCCGCGATGAGCTCGAACCCGTAGTCACCCAGATATTCGTAAAGTTCAGCGGCGCACTCGTCATCCGAGCTCGACGCATTCATAATTGCCCGCCCCACCGTACCCGCGACGGCTTCCCACGTCTGATCGAGCGCGTGCGCGCTGTTTGCAACAAAACCTTCGCACTGTCTCTTCAACCACGTGAGCTGGGTCGTCGCATCGCTCTCTACGTGCTCTGGCTCACCGAACCCACTCATACGCTCATCGGGGTGCGCCATTCTCTCCGATTCGATTCGCAGGCGCTCCGCTTCGCTCGCCTCGCTCAAATTCGTTTTCATCGCGCGTTTCAAATCTCGAATTCGATCGCTCGGTTGCGCGTCTCCGGCGCGCTTGAATTTAATGTTCTGTCCAAAGATCCTCCCAGACGTTGTCGGCTCTGCATCGAGCGTACTTTGCAGCGTGTGAAACTCATCGAATTCGCCCCGCATGCGCAAAAGATCCTCGACGAGACTCTCGAATTCGCGAACCGTAGGCGCGTTTGCTTCCACCGGCCCGAGCGCGCCTCGCAGCGCCTCCATCATGTCCTTCCGCACCTCCCGCTCGCGCACTTCAAAAATCTTTCTCGCGGTCTCGTGATCCGCGACGTACCCTCGCTCGGATTCCACAGCTCGTCGTTCGTTCGCGATGACTTCCACGAATCCGCTCGCCGCGTCCCACGCGCTCGCCGCCGCGTCCCCCGACTCCGTCTCCGTCATCGTGTCGCTCCCGAGCATGCGCACGACCACGCTCACGAACGCTCGACACGTCTTGACGACATCCTTCGCCTCGCGACCGTCCTCGCATCGCAGCACGCGTCGCGCCAGCCGCACGCTCGGCGTGTCGTCCGTCGTCGCGTCGCGCCTCGTCGTTGTACGCAGCGTTTCGTTCCGTCTCGCGCGCTCGGCGTCGACATCCACGACGTCGTCCAACCCGCGCGCGGCGCGCAGGAACGTCGTTAATCGAGGTGCGACCGCGTGAGTCGTCGCCATCGCCGCGTCGCCGTTTAACGCGCCGTTCGATAATCACCGCGCTAAAGCGCGCGCGCCGACGTCCGTCGTTACAACTAATTCTAATCCCTACGCCTCTGGATCGTAAGGCGTCAACGCCTCGACGTCCACGAACCCAGCCTCAATCAACTTTTGCCTCACCCTATTCACGATCGCTCTCGTTTCCATCGCGATCGCGACGATCCTCTTCGTCAGCGCCGCCGCCTCGAGCGCGTCTCGCCGCTCCTCCGCGCCTTCGCTCGACTCTTCATCATCGCGCGCGTTCGTCAAGAACGCCCGCATGGCGTCCACGGCGAGCGTGATATCGACGCACGCGCGCTCTTGCGCTCGTATCGTCGCGTCGATGTTGCGTCGGCGCGGTTCGAGCGCTTTCAGGCTCGTCTCGAAATCATCGGAATCCAAGCACCCATCGTCCACCACCGCGCGCGCTCTCGGCGACGTCTCGCTCTCGCTCTCGCTCTCGCTCGACGTCGACGCGTTCGCGCGTCTTCCCGCGCGCGCGTCGTCGTCCGAGACGCTTGCGGACGCTTCCCGCGCCATCATCGCGTCCGCCAATGACGAGCACCGCCGCACATCGCCGCGCCGCGCACGTCGCGATGGCCGTCTCCGACGTCGTCGATTTCATCAAGCGCGAGCTCAACGCGACCAACCCCGCGGTTCGCGAGGCTAACGCCATCTTGCTCCGCTCCGCCGCGATGTTCGTCGCGAGCGTCGTCTTCATGCGAAACTTTGGCGAACTTCTCGCGGTGTGAGCGTCGACGCGCGCGACTTAGACGGTTGTAACGACGCCACGCGCGTGGGATTAAACGCACTGAATCGCGCGCGCGCCCCTCGCGCGCGCGACGCGCGACGCGCGACGCGCGAGGAGTCGAGAACGCGATCGTTTCTCTCGCGCGCGAAAAAAAGAAAACCTCGACGCGGCACACGCGAACGCGCGCGCGACGACGCGCGATGTTGGACGTCAACATGCTCAGGCCGGACAAGGGCGGCGACCCGGTGCGCGCGATGCGCGCGTCGCGCGCGCGCGTCGCGGAGGACGCCGGAGGACGTCGACGACGACGCGATCGAGCGATGGGTGACGGCGCGCGCGCAAAGTTGGACGCGAAGCGCGCGCACGGTGGCGCGGATGGGCGATGACGCGCGCGCGCGAACGGTGACTGACGACGACGCGCGCGACGCGCGACGATGACGCAGGAGGCGGTGCGAGAGAGCGAACGGCGGAGGTTCGGACGCGTGGAGGACGTGGACGACGTCTTGGCGCTCGATCTCGCGTGGCGCGAGGCGAGACACGCGCTGGATGAAGTCGGAGGGGAATTTAATAAGGCGAATAAGGAAGTGGCGATGTTGATGAAGGCTGGGAAGAAGGATGAGGCGGCGCCGTTGATGGCCAAGGTGAAGGAGATTGACGAGAGGAAAAAGGCGGCGGCGGAGAAGGAAAAGGAGCTGGAGGAGAAGACGACGACGGCGTTGTTGAAGATTGGGAACATCGTGCACGACAGCGTGCCGGTATCGAACGATGAAGAAAATAACGTCATCGTGCGCACGTGGGGGGAGAAACGCATGGAAGAAAAGCTTCCGAATCACGTGGATTTGATTTCTATGTTGGATATTGCCGACGTAGAGCAAGGGACCGAAGTCGCGGGCGGGCGAGGGTACTATCTCAAGGGCGCAGGGGCGCTCTTGAATCAGGCTGTGATCAACTATGCGCTCGCATTCTTGGCGAGCAGAGGGCACACGCCGCTGGCGACGCCATTCTTCATGCGAAAGGACCGTATGGCGGAGTGCGCGCAACTCGCAGATTTTGATGAGCAACTCTACAAAGTGACGGGTGAGGGCGACGACAAGTACCTGATCGCCACGAGCGAGCAAACGTGCTGTTCGTACTTGCGTAAGCGTTGGTTGAATACGAACCAATTACCGATTCGGTTCGCCGGATACTCGACGTGCTTCCGTAAGGAGGTTGGTTCTCACGGTCGCGACACACTCGGTATTTTCCGCGTTCATCAATTCGAAAAGGTTGAGCAGTTCGTCGCCGTCTCGGGCGAAGGCAACGCGAGTTGGGACGAAATGGAACGTCTCATAGGAAACTCGGAGGCGTTCTACCAGTCGTTGAACATTCCGTACCAAGTCGTGAACATTGTGAGCGGGGAGTTGAACGACGCCGCGGCGAAAAAGTATGATCTCGAAGCGTGGTTTCCGTCGTCTCGCACCTTCCGCGAGTTGGTTTCGTGCTCAAACTGCACCGATTACCAATCTCGGCGACTGGAAATACGCGAAGGCGCACCAAAGAAGGGTCCGGAGAACAAGAAGGCGTACGTGCACTTGCTCAACTCGACGCTCACCGCGACTGAGCGCACTTTGTGCTGCTTGATTGAAAACTGGCAAACCCCCGAAGGTCTCGTCGTGCCGCCGGCGTTGCGACCGTGGATGAACGGCATCGAGTTCATCCCGTTCGTTCGCACGCTCGACAAGAAGGGTCGTCTCGTGGATGTCTCTCCGCCGCCGGCGGACTTGTTTGCGTCCAACGATGCCGCCACCGCGGCTGGCGTCGAAGCGACGGCATACGTCAACGCCGGTCCGTGCGCGGCTTCGAAGGCTATTCAACAAATCTTGAAGCGATGCGGTGCCGTGGTGAAGGTTGAATCTGCCGCGATGTGTCCGGAGGAAATCAAGACGGAGACTGACAACGCCACGCCGGTGTTCGTCCAAGGCAACCTCGTGTTGGCGTCGCCTATTTCCATCATTCGTCACCTCGTCAAGACCAACCGCGTCGGTGCGGGTTTGTATCCGGCTGGCGTCGCGGAACAAGCGCGCGTCGAAGCGTTGCTTGAATCAACTAGCGCGGGTGCAGAAGCCGCAGCCGCTAAGGTGGAAAAGGCTCTCGTGGCGTCGACTTCTGGCTACCTCGTCGGTAGGACCGCATCTGTGGCTGATATTTATTTGGCTGCTGTGTGCGAAGCCGTCACATCGGGTTCCGACGCCTTCAACGCCTGGCGCGCAAAGGCTGCGGCGCTCTAGTCGACGGCAATGTTTCCTCTGGTAAACGCGACATCTATTCTTCGAAACGATGATCTATGATTCTAATGCGATGGTATTATCATTCTAAGTAATAATCTATCACTTCCCCGCGTTGGTCGTCGCTTTTGCAGGTCCACGCACGTCTTGGTGCTCCAACAACTCGTTTGCAAACTCCTGAAACTCGTTTGCGTTCTTCACCATGCACGCGTGTAGCGACACAAACTCCTCCACGCACTTCTTCCCCTTCTCCTCGTCTTTCGCCAGCATAAAGCACGTCAACGCCTCATCAAAACTCGTTCCACACGAAGATTGACGGAGATCAGCCACGCACGGGCACGCGAGTGCGGCTTTAACTTTTGCCATGGGATCCTTCGGACCGTCACCATCGCCGCTCGACGACGCCGCTTCGGCCTCAGAGTTCGCGCGCGAGAGGGCGTCGGCGAGCGAGAAGCTTTGTTCGTCTTCGATGGAAGCGCCCGCGTCGTCGTCCTCGACTTTGACGCTCGGGGAGGACATGGCGCGACGAGCCACGCTATGAAGACGAGACGGCGGCGAGCTCTCGGGTGGAGTCGCTGAGCGTAACAGCTATCGCTATAGTGTACTAATAACCTAATGGCTATCGATAATCTAAGTTTTGTACAACACCTGGTTCCTGCCTTTGAACGGTAGGAACGTCGAACGGATGGATGGATGTTTGCCGCGCAGGTATTCGATGAAGTCGGCGTAAGACGCCACCGGACCACCCAGCGCGGTGCGTCGGTGAGGAAACAGCTCCGGAAACGTGCAACATGGTACGACAGCGAATGGGACATCGAGCTCGAGCGCGGCGTCGATGATTGCTTCCGTGGCCTGGTCAGAGTGCATGCCGACGAGGAGCGAAGGACGCATCTCGCGCAAGCGCGCTCCAACAGAAGAATCTGTCGTCCAAAACTCCGAGCGTATGTGCGTGAAAGGCGCAATTTCAGCTCCAAAAGGTGACTTTACGACCGTGCGGGGAAGTTCTGTGGGGAACTCGTCGAATGGTGCCTCGTGCAAAGTTACGACGTCGGTCGGGGGAGCGCTAGCGCTCACATTAATGTCTTTGCTGCTCGCAATTTCCGTGTACGCCACAAGTCGCTGCACGTGTTCATGCATCCGCTTCTCGTTTTGCTCATCTGCGCATTTGACCCAGATTTCTGATCGAAGCCACGCATCTGCGACGTCTGGATTGGCGTCATTTCGCGCTCCGCGTCGACGCAAATTCTTCGCCGTAGCGCGTTGCCGAGGTGTCAAAGCGACACATCGCGGCTCTATGAGCACGACCCCTACGCCGTGGTTCACATGGAATTCGAACGATAACGCCCCTGCACCACCTGCAATATCAGCGACGACCACTTCCCGTCGTTCCTTCAGCTTGAACGTCTCGACGCACCATTCGGCGAATAACCGATCGCTGACGCACTTTGCCTCCTTATTCGCATCTCCGTGCGGGTCATTATCCGATCTTTCTCGCTCGATCGCCATCTTAGATCGCTCTCGCGCTCTTTTCCGACTTTCTCGCGCCTGGCTCAACTCTTCTTCGTTCACGTCATGCCGTTTATCGCAGTTTGGATCTGAACAGACGTCGCCGCCGAGAAGCACCTTGCAAATCCCAAATCCTTTACTCCTTCGCGCCGTCGTATCGATCAACCCTACTCCCGCAAACTTTTCCAACATTTCACTCGTCGCATTCGCCACGCTCGTCACCGGCGCGAGCTCCACCACGCGCATTTCTGTCGTCGACACGTACGCGCCGCTCCGCGTCCCGCTCTTCGCCCGTCGCGTCTCCCACTCGTATTCAAACTCCACCACCGCGCCCGGTCGGATCACCGGCGGCACCTGCGCCGCGCACTTGACGAACACCGTCGACGTCTCCTCGCCGTCTCGCGTGCGCAGCTGTTCGCGCGCGCGCACGTCCACGAACGTCAAGCGTTTCCCCATGCGCGCCACGCGCGTGACGACGCCCTCGACGACGCTCGTCGACGCCGCGCCCGCGCTCGCCCGCGCCCGCGCTCGACGCACCGCTCCAGGTCCGCGCCGCCCGCACCGCGCCGGCGCGCGCGCGCGCGCGGCTGCCGCGTGCGGCATCGTGTGCGGCCGCGCGTCGCCATTCCTGAGCGCGTGCATGGTGCGTGACGCTCGCCTCGTTCTCGCGCTCGATCGCGCCGCCGCGAACGGCGCGCGCGTCGAGTCCTCGCGCGCGTCGCGCGGCGCTCGAGCGCGCGCGCATCGCGCCCGCGGGCGATCGAAAACTTGACTCGAAATCTGGGGTTTGATTGAAAACTCGACGACTGACGCCGCGCGAACGCGCCGCGCGCTCCTCGAACGCAGCCTCGCAAAGGAATTCACCCGCTGCTGCACAGACTCACGGTCGTGGCGACGAACGGGTCGACGCGCCGCGTGCCGACGACGGTGAAACAACTCGGGGACTACCTGTTTTTGACGCTCGACGCGAACAACCACCCGGCGTACACGGGCAAGGTGATCAAAGGACCGGCCACGGGACAGGCGGCGAAGTTTAAGAGAAAGTTTGATTTCTTGACGAACGCGACGCTGGGGAAGGCGAAGAAGTGAGATGATCGCGCGAGGGGTGCTCGGAGCGGGAGGGGCGACGAGGACGGACCGCGGGGTCAAGCGAACCGGAGGGGCTCGAGAGGGGTCAGCGCGACGCGCGGGGACGAGAACGCGCGCGGGTGGAGATGATCCAGATTACAATGACTGGATGGAAAAGGCTCGTGCGACGGCGAACAAGCGGGCGGCTGAATTTCGGAAAGAACGCGGCGCACAGCCCGGGGCGAACCAGACGGCTCGAAGGTACACGCGCGCTGGGAGGGATGAAGACCGCGCGCGCACGGCGGCGATTCGTGGATACGAAATGGACGAAGAGGGAAATTATATTAAGCCGGAACCTAGCGTAGAGGAGCTTCTCCGCGGCACGGCGTGGGAGATGGATCCGAGGCAAGACGCGACGCAGTTTTCCATGACCAAGGAGGAGTGGAAAGCCGTCAAGGCGCAAGCGCGCACGGCAACGTATCCGCACGATGCGGTGCACATTTTTGAGAACGCTGGTTTGAGACGTATTTCACCGGAAATGGCGGCATCGATGCTGAAGCTCATCGCTCAGAAGGCGCAGCACAGTAGGTGCGACCGAGAGGAGCTCGCCGGGTTGCGACGAGATCCGCGAGTAGCGCACATGATTGGAACGTGCGTCGCCGCCGCGCGCGCAAAGAGCGATACGCTTCCCGCGGAAGAAGTCGCCAAGTGCTGCTGGGCGCTCGGTGTCATTGCCGGTGAGCGGGCGAACAGCGCCGAGCTCGAAGTATTGGCCAATCGTGCGTCGGAGTTGATGAAGAAACTGTCTCCGGATGAGATCGCCGATATTTCCTGGTCGCTCGCCATTTCTCGGCATTCATCTGAGCGCTTCTTCCACGAACTCGACGTTCACGCCGCCATGACAGGCTTCAAGGGCTTCCAAGCGTACCAAATCACGACTGTGGCTTGGGCGTTCGCGCACCTTGGACACTCGCACGCTGGGTTTCTCGATGGCATCGATGTCTGGGTCGCCCGAGCGCCCGCGAGAAACAAAGATTTGACACCGCAACAAGCCGCAGAAGCTCAGGTTCATCGCTTCAACGCAACAATTCTGGCCTCGCTTGCATGGTCCTTCTGTGTCATGGAAGACGCGCTCGATAGTCTATTCTTTCGCACGCTCTGGGCGGAAATTATTACACGAGGGGAGCACGACGCGCAAATGGTCCACGAAAAAGAAAATACTGCGGCATCAATGGATGAACATCACAACACTAACGTCTTTGGTCCATGGAAGGGGCGTCAGCTCAACCAGTTACATCAAGCGGCCATCACCGCCGTTCGCGCCGGCTTCGACCCCTTGCCCACTGAACTTGGTGCTGCTGCCGATACAGCGTGGAACACGCAGAACCGGCCACCCGTTGTGTCGTGGTTCCAGCGCGATGTTGGAGCTATTTTGTCGTACATGGGTGAAAAGCACGAGGAAGAGGCTCTCGTGAGTGGGTACAGATGCGATTTACTACTCCCGGACGCAAAGCCTACTGGAGTAGTAATTGAAGTCGACGGTCCGTCGCACTTTGCGCGTAACGATCGTAAATTAGCGCTCGGACAAACTCGCTTGAAACAGCGGCAGCTCGAAGGTGAAGGTTTCGCCGTGTTCCCGATTCCCATTTTCGAATGGGACTATTTGGAAGATGCACAACAAAAGAGCGATTACTTGCGAGCGGGCTTGGATGCCATTGAACGTGGCGAGCGTCCGCAACGTCTCGAACGAGACGTCGATCTCGAGGGCGAAGGCGCAGGTGGTGACGCGTGGAACCGCAGACCCATGTCTACCATGGGCGATTTTGGAGCTTGAACAAACAGTAGCGAATTGTCAGATTTATTTACGACGAAATAAACTTACACGCACTACTCGAGTCTTTTGCGGATATCGTTCAACCAGGCGCGGTCTTTCGGGTAAGCCTCGAGCATATCGACGTGCGCTACGATGCGTTCTATCTTGGCGTAGTTTATCCTGCACGAAAACAACAATCTCTCGGGGAGCTCATATTCGGTCTCCCCTTGAACCGTCGCACCGACGTCGAGGATCAGTTTACCGAGCGACGTGTGCACGGTCCTCAAGCCGTTCAGCGCAACGTTACTGAAGTTGTGAGCGTCGACGTTGATTTCCAAAGCGCCGGATCGCTCGATGTAAGAAGAAGTTCGGTTCACCATGAAAGGTTTACCGTTACCGTGGTTCACCGCTTGTCGAACAATCCACGGTAAAGCTGCGTTTCCTGCGACAACCATGACGACCATCTTCGTTTGCTGACGAACAGCCAGTTCGTGTGGGTGCGTGTCCACATTTCCGGTTCCATCGCCCTTGACGTATCTAATCAACAATTTAAAATCAGCCGGCAGCGTTTCCCAATCTTCTGTCTCTTCCAACGTTTTCCGCGCGAAGTCGCTGATTTTACACAAAAGCACGACGTTGTGACCCGGACCATCGTTTTCCTTCTTCGCGAACATCCCCCCCGTCGGTTTATAGTCCGGAACCATGATATTCACGATGATCACCGACGGCACTTGGCCCTTGATCTTCTTCCCTAGATCATCCGCGAACAAGTTTTTAATCCAATCGCCCACCTTTTCGTCGCTCTTAAACGACAACACCCCCTTTACGTTATAAAACGGTTCACCGCTCGGCGTCTTCTTCTTATCCTGCTTGTACGTCTTCCCTCGAAGTTTAAATCCCTCCCCGCTAAGATTTTCGCTCCACGACGCGTCTCCAGCCTCGTCCGCCAGCGTCTCCATCCCCGCCTCGAACACCGGCACGACGCACTTCGCCATGTCCCCAGTCGTCTGCGTCTCCACCGGTCCCAACGCGCTCTTCCATCGCGCGAGCGATCCTCCGCGCGCGAGCTTCTCATCGTTCGCGCTCTTCAATCGAGTCAGGCTCTTGGCGCGCATGAAGCTCGGCATCGCGAGCAACGTGTCCTGGGCGTCAAAGAATTCGTGCGCATCGCCGTCGCCGTCGCCGTCGGGCGTCGGCGACGCGGCGTGTTTCGAGTGTTTGCACCCCATTTAGGCTCGAGCGCGCGCGATGTCGAGGACGCGCGTCGCGTCGCGTCGGCTCGCGGGCGCGCGCGAGGTCGTCGACGACGTGTGCGGTCGCGCGATCGGTCGTTCGATAGATCGGTCGATCGCGTCGGTGCGGAGACGAAATGGCGAGGCGCGGCGACGAGTCGCTTTGTTCCGGCTTTCTTTCTAACAACAATTGCTATGAAATGGTTGGTGTGCCACCTCGCGGTGGAACGCTAATTTTTGTTCGCGTCGTCGTCGTCGTCGTCGTCGTCGCGAAACGGAGAGCGGAGAGGTTCGGCGGGGACGAGGAGAACGCCGTCGGGGAGACGGAATTCGACGTCGTCTCGAAGCCTCTCGACCTCTTCGGCGGTGAGGAAGATTAATTTTCGATCCTTCGCGATGTCAGGGATTTTGATGTGGGCCTGGGTGTCGTCGTTGATGCCGTAGACCGGGCCGCTGGCTTGACCGAGAATTTGCGCGACCCAAAGCTTGTGATGTTGCTCGAGTTCCAATCGCTTGAGCTTTTCGCGCTTGACGACGCGATCGCACAACAGGCGTAAGGTTTCCAAGCCCACACGCGCACGTTGGAGCATTTCCATCTCGTCTGCGGTCGGTGTACGTTTCTTCTTGCTCGAGACACGTTGACCGAATCGAGCACCGCTAGTGTTGGCGCTGTACCTCGATCGCATCGTTGATCCCGGATTTCGGCGCTCGTCGATGCTGTGACGAGCGCAAAACGCGAGCGGCTCTGGAGATTGTAAAGGAAGCATGTGCCAGCCGCATCGACGCGCGCACAACGGGTGGAAGACCACGTGACATCCCGTCGCGCAGCAAGGAATGCACGCACCGTCGTCGAGTCGACAAGCCGAGCACCTGGCATTCTTGAACTGCGTGCGCACGTCTTCCAAGCCACTCACTGCCGCGGGTCCATCGAGGTACAAATCAGTTTCCATACCCTGCTGCCAATGCGCGCACACGACGTGACACCAACGGTTACGTCCACGAGTTGGTGTCTTTGTCAACGGAGTGATAGGATCGCTCGGCTCAGGATTTGCGGCTGCATCGTCATCTGTTGTCGCGTTAGCTTTGCCCTCCGGCACCGTCTTCGTGGATGTCGGCGAGCGCACAGGTGGCGGTGACGCCGGGGCGGTATCCCCAGTCTTTGGAGTTTGCAAACGAGGATCGATCACGGTTCTTAAAGCGCCGCGCTTCACTGGACAAAGCAAACATTGCACACGAGGGTCATACATGGCTCCATCGCCAGCTTCCCGCATGTATCGAGGCGGACGAGTGCCCGGTAAACCGTTTTCGCGCTCCAGGCGTTCAGTTTCATGGCAAGGCCAGCATAACCACTCACCTTCGGGAATATTTGTGACACCATAGCACTGCTGATGAACGCACATCTCGCATCTTTCGCAGAATACGATTTCGTTCGGGTATTCGCTCTCACCTCCGGCGCAAACGCAGCAGAGCGCGTCCTCCATAGCGCCAGACTCGACGAGCGGGTCGCACATGTCGGCGCCCGCGAGCTCGCCTCCATCAAATTGCGCTTCGTCTTCTTTGCCTTCCGCTCGAAGGCGTTCCATACGCCATCGCCCTCCGCGCCAGCGTTCTTCGTATTGCGCTGTCTCTTCGAGCGCCTTTTGTTGCTCCTCTCGAATCTTCTCCTCTCCTGGCAATGCCTCCTCCACCTTGGTCAAGAGTTTTTGGATGAGCTCTCGGTTGATGTAAGACGTCCTCGCCAGTACAGTCTGCGCTCGAAATATTTCAGCAACGACTTCATCATCGGGTGCAAGTTTGAGCAGCTCTGTATGAGTTGAAATGCGAGCGATCTCTTTCTTGACAACCTCCACGGGATCGGGAAGAGACTGGCCCGGACCAAGTTGCGCTTGCAGCTCAGCCATTTGCGCCGCGCGCAGCTTCTCCATATTTTCTCTCCTTCTATGACATCTCGGCGGTGCTGATGACGTGCCACAAACACCTTGTTTACGAATGAGGCAAACTTGACACTTGGGCGGTCGCATGCTCGTTGGAACGCCGTTCGAACCGGTTTGCTCGGGGATGATGTCTTCCACGGTCTGCGGCAGTGCCGGCACTTTCACGGTATCAAGAATCAATTTTGTGTAGTCAGCGAGCGTTTCTATGGGATATGGAACGCTCGGAGGATACAAAAATGTGTCCTCGTTGATCTCGTCTTTCCCATCGGGCGAGTCCGTCGCCGTATCCATGGCGCTATCACTGATGTTTTGCTTTGTTTCGCAATCAAGATTCACCGGCGCCAAAACCTCTATCTTCGCTCTGCGCACCAGCCATTCGCGAGCCGCAACTTCGCACGGATTGATCGAAACCTTGATCTTGACGGGAGTCCCCAGCGAGTCATCTTTTTCGCGCGTCACGACGGTGTCTTCTTTCAGCCACGACATGAAATCGTCCTCTTTCACACCGTCAACGTCCGCGGCGGTGAAATCTGACATGTCGAACAAGTTCAGCACGAGTTTTCGAATCTCATTGGCATTCAACTCCTTCATAGGATGGTCGATGGTTGTCGCTTGATCGCGTCCAATAATGGGTGACGCTCCCGACTCTTTTTGAGCCGACGCTGGCGCGGTATCTTCCTCTATTTTTGGTGTTGGTGGCGGCGTGTCCTCCTTGGACGCCTCTTCAACCTTCGCAGGTGTCTTTGCGGGCGTCGTCGCCGTCGAACTCTCCCCGTTCGCTATTCTCTGTGCCTTTCTCTCCATTTCCTTGACGTGCCTATCGCAATAGCACAAGTAATCACAGTCTTGCGATTTTTCCATCGATCGAACCTCCATGCGAACGCCGGCTTTCAGAGCGCACATTGGATGAAATGGTACCGAACAATTACCGTAAGCGCACTGAATGCAAGCACCAGCCCCATGCTCTCTACAAATGACACACGTCAAGTTCGTTCGGTCAGGGAGCAGATGCGCCGCATTAATCGGCTCCATCGAGTCGACGTTTTGAATGAAGAGCTCTGGAATCCACTGCGCGCAAAAAAGATGCGCCCAACGACCGTCCACCGTCGGTTTGAGCGCACCTCCTCTTTCGGTGCACAAGAAGCACGTTTTCGCGGCCCCGCGGCTGCTACACGAGCGGCAAATCCAATCACCTTGAGGAATCTTTCGAATTCCGTAGCAAAGCTGGTGCACAGCGATGTCGCACTTGTCGCAAAACAAAATTTGATTGTCGTCGTATGAGTCTCCATCGAAACAAACACCGCAGCACTCAGCAATTTCATCCGGGCGTTCGAGTGGCGACACACGAGTGATTTGATACTTTGTAGGGTCCAATCTCGGTTTTGGCGTCTTCTTCGGCGTCTTTTTCTTCTTCAACGGCGTCTCTGATCGGTTGAGCACCGCCAAGCGTTTGCGCTCCATCAACTTTTTCTCTTCTTCCTTATCCTCTTCGTCCCATCCGTGTATGTAATGCCTTCCTAGACCAGGAACGAGGTAGTCGCCATCCCTTTCCATCAAATGCACGTCCATGGGCGCCAAAGCCTCTATATCTCGCCGATTCACGTTTCTAAAATGTTCCTCGCACCACTTTAAAAAAGGTGCCGCCGTCGCGTTCACCGTGCTCTGTCCCGGTGCCAGCGCCCATACCTTGCTCGCGTCGTTTGTCTCCTCTAGCTTTTTCTGACGCTTCAATTCAGGGTGTTCCTCCATCAGAATCGTCTCCTCTCGCGTCGCCAACAACCGGTCACTTAGCGTCGCCGTGCGCGCGTCTTCGCTTTCGTCCCCATCCGGCGCGCGTTCGGCCACTTTACGCACCAACGCCCGCCACGAACTCGCGCTCGAGTGCGACGCCCGACGTAAGGAATCCTCATCGTTCGTCATCGTCCGTCACGAACGCGCTCGCGCGAGACTTTAAGCGCGCGATTGCAGATCGACCGTCCCGCACCCGTCGCTTTCAAACCACCCCCACGCCGCGCACGCGGGCTCTCCCGCGCCCGTTCGACGTCCGTTCGATCGAGCGCGTTTTCTTCCACCCGACGACCGCACCGTCGCGTCTGTCGCGCCGTCGCGTCGCGCTCTGCGGTCCGCGCGCGCGGGCGCTCGTTTAAAACGCCTCGATCGACGGTGCGCGAGTGCGCGACGATCGGCGGCCGCACACGCCCGCGCCCGCGCGCGTCGAACGCGCCCGCGCGCTCGAGCGATCGGAAGAAATCTTTTCGAGCGCACGGCGCGCAGGAGATCGCGCGGACGCGCTCGCGGGTGGCGTGCGAGCGCGTTGAATTAGCTCGTCGGGACATCGCGCGGAACGGCGATCGGCGAGCGCGATGCAGCGCGGCACGCGCGCGCGTGAGGACGCGAGCGATCAGGATGATGTCTCGGGAAGCGCGCGCGGCGTGAAGCACGCGCGCGCGGATGAGAGCGGCGCGAACGGGTCGAGGGACGGCGCGGGGGCGGCGGACGGAACGCCGAATAAACAAACGACGACGACGGGCGCGACTGCGGGCGCGACGGGGGCGACGTCGCCGGTGTCGCCGTCGAGAGGGGCGTACGCCACGCGAGAATCGCACCTGCGTAAGCAAGAGCGTGATGGGGAGCTGAAGTGGGAGGTGATTAAAAACGACGGGAGCGAGGCGAATTCGCGCTTGCTCGTGGCGCTGAAGAACATTTTTAGCAAACAGCTGCCGAATATGCCCAAGGAGTACATCGTGCGGTTGGTTTTTGACTCCAGACATTACTCGATGCTGTGCATGAAGAATGGGAACGTCATCGGGGGGATCACGTACAGGCCGTTTCCGAAGCAACGCATGGGTGAGATTGCTTTTTGCGCGGTGAGCGCAAATGAACAGGTGAAGGGATACGGTACGCGGTTGATGAATCACATCAAGGAGTACGCTAAGGAAAAGGAAAATATGACGCACCTGATCACGTTCGCGGATAACAATGCGGTGGGGTACTTTCAAAAGCAAGGATTCACAAAGGAAATCATGATGGAGCGCGAAAAGTGGTACGGGTACATCAAAGAGTACGACGGTGGGACGATTATGGAGTGTCAATTAGATGGGCACGTCTCCTACGTGGACTTTGTGAATCAGATCCGAGAACAGCGCAAGGCGGTGGAGGCCAAGGTACGAGAGATGAGCACGGCGCACAAAGTCTACCCGGGATTGAAGGACCACTTCAAGCCGAGCGCCGAGGGCAAGTATATCCCCATCGACGTCAAACACATCAAAGGCTTGAAAGAGGCGAAGTGGGAGGACCCAGGACTACCAAAGTACCGTTTAGTCCACCCAGGATGCGGCGATGGCATACCCACGAAGGCAAACTTGCATAAATTCATGAGAGCCATCGTAAACGTGATTCAGGCGCACTCCGATGCGTGGCCGTTTGCCGCACCCGTGAACCCGCTCGAAGTCACAGACTACTACGACGTCGTCAAGGATCCCGTCGATATGGAACTCATCCAAGAACGCGTCTCGGCGGGGAATTACTACGTCTCTTTGGAGATGTTTTGCGCCGACTTCCGTTTGATGTTCAACAACTGTCGCATATACAACTCACGCGACACTCCGTATTTCAAAGCGGCCAATCGTCTCGAGGCGTTCTTCGAATCGAAAATCGCCGCCGGGGTGAATTGGAAAATTCGCGAGGCACCTTCTCGAGGTCGATGATCAACTTGTAGCACCCAGATTAGAAAATTAGCATGCGCCCCACTCCTCGCCTCGATGCGCGCGCTCTAATCCACAAGAGTCAACGCCCTCATCCGCGCGTCATGCGCCCGTTTGCCGACGAAAACGCATCGCCGGCGGTCATGGATGATAAACCGCGCTCTTCGTCCAAGCGCGCGACGCCGGCGGTGGTGCGTTGGACCACCACCGCGCTCCCTCGCGACGCCGAGCTCAAGCGCGAGTTGCACATCCCGTTGGGAATCGTCGTCAACCCGCTCGATCGCCGCGCCGTGTGTCGAAGAATCGCGCGCCTGAAGTCGCCCGAACGCATCGCGAGGTGCTCGAGCTGTTACGGATACGTCAGCGCGCACTGTCGAGTGAATGCGAATGGGTTTCGGTGCTGCGCGTGCGGGACGTACACGTTGTGGCGAGACGCGGCGAAAGGATCGAGGTATTCCAAAGGGTTAGCGGCGATTCAGGCGCTGCCGGAGATATCGGGGGAAACGTACGAGTTTGATGTCGCGGTCGAGACTATTTCGGACGGTAAGAGCGAGGTCGAGACCGAGGAGGCTTCGGAGACGCTGGAGGCGAACGACTGGCGTCGTCGAGCGGTGCGAAACGACGCCTCGACCGCGGGTACGTCGCGGAGGAACGCGCGCGCGATCGTGGCGATCGTGGATTTAAATGGAGCCGGGGAAGAATATTGTGAACTAGTAAAGTTGGCGCTCGGAAGCGCGATGGAGGCGTTGGATGGCGAGGATGCACGGTTTGGCGTATTTACGTTTCGCGGCGACACGCTCGAGGCGATTGATTTTAGCGACGTCGGCGCGAAAGATGTCCAAGATGTGGATGGCGTGCGCTTGAAATATTTTGATTCACACGCCAATCCAAGGAAGCACGGTTTCATTCGACGCGTACAAGACGTGGTATCTTCGATTGGCGACGTTTTGACGTCTTTGTTGACGCCGACGCCCGGGTGGAAAGACGTCATATCGGACGCCATCGACGATCGTATCGTCGGAGATATGTCCACAACGGATGGGCGCAGCGAAGGAAGGATATTTGGTCCGGTACTTGATGAAGTACTATCCTTTATCGAGCAAGCGGTAGACGATGGATTCATTTCGAGTGCGCGAGTGTTAGCGTTTCTTCGCGGTGGTCCGAGCCGAGGTGTCGGGAGTTGCGACGTCGGTCGACTCTCTAAGTCTGTCGCCGACGTTTTATTGCATGAAAACGCTCGACCGACAATGGAGGATTTTGAATTCGCCTCTCGCGAGGCCGACTCTTTGATGATACCCGCACACGACCACTACGAAAGTGTCGGTGAGCGATGCCTGATACGAGGTGTGGAGGTCGATGTCGTCGTGACGAGCGATGATTTCAACGATTTGACCACTCTGGCGCCGCTCGCAGAGCGCAGTGGGGGTACCTTCTTGCTCTACCCAAATGCACAAAACATCCCAATAGTCGGTGATATCTATCGATTGCTTCGAAACGAGAAGGCAATCAACGCTACTTTGCGCATCCGTTCGACGGCGGATTTGGAAATTGCCAACGCTTACGGATCGTTACACGCGGACAAAGCTTATCCTGGGCTTTATCACATCGCTTCGTGTGCGACAAAAGATACTTTTGCGTTCGACTTCGACTACGCCACGAGCGCGGGGTTAGAGGAAGACCTGAACGGTGGTTACCCCAAAATACAACTCGCATTCGAGTATACGTGCATCACACGCGACGTCGATCGAGCCACCGGTGAGGTTGTCGTGCATCGTCGTCGACGCCGACGCATACACTCATGCAGAGCAAACATCGCAAGAAGTGCGCGAGACGTCTACAAGCACGTAGACGCGAACGCGGTGATGTGTGTGCTCGCTCGGCAAGCGTTAATGACGGCGGATGAAGAAGGCTCCACCGAGGCACGCCGAGCGCTCGTGGATTGGTTCATCGCGTTCTCCAGCGCTGCGCGAAAGACGTCAAATACATTTGAATTCGTCACCGATGTCGTTCCAAGACTCGTCTACGGGTTGCTGCGCTCGAAAATTCTCCATCCGATGGGTTCGCACCCGGACGCTCGCGTTGCAGCGCGCTCGCGTTTGCTTCGGTTCGACGCCGACGACTCCGCAACGTACGCGTATCCAGAATTACGCGCATTCGAGGAATGCAATGAAGGTGAGGAAAATGCAATCGACGGTACCAACGGGTCGTCATCATTATTCTCGAAAGGCCGCATGCCTCTTCGCCGGCAGGAGGTGGAAGCAGCCAACGGCGTCCTCCTCATTCGAGGCGACGACGAAGTTGTCGTCGCTTACATCGGCCCCGAAGCCGTTGCGTCGTGTCCGCCCGCTCATGGCTCGGCGCTCGATCGCGAGATTCGTCGTATCCGCGAGCAATCGTTCGAGGGCACGTTTTTGCCTCGCGTGACGCACGTGCGCTTGGGAGGCGCGGACGACCCATCCCCTGTGGACGCGCGCTTGGTGGAAGAACTCGAGAGCGAGTTCGCCCCGGGCGCCTACGACGGGTTCGTAGACTTTTGCGCGCGCGCAGGGGAGGAAATCGATCGCGTGGCGCGACGTTAGACAACGTAGAAGACATGTAACACTTACATAGGGCAGTGCGCGCGACTCGGGGCGGATATTTTGAATTCAAACGCGTCGCCAAATTGTTTACTTTGGCGCGGTGAAGCGGTTTAGTTTTATGTAGGCACGGATCTTTCGCTCAGAGGTGGTGTTAATGAACACCAAATGTTTAAAGACAGACTCTCGGTCGAGAAGCGGTCTATGATTTTGGTTTTTTTTGATTTCTAAGTGTGACAGACGTCCCAGTTCAAAACGCTTACGCGGAGGTGAACTTGGTGACGGCCTTGGTGCCTTCGGAGACGGCGTGCTTGGCGAGTTCACCCGGCAAGATCAATCGGACCGCGGTTTGGATTTCGCGGGACGTGACCGTCGGCTTCTTGTTGTATCGCGCGAGCTTGGCGGCTTCCGTGGCGATCTTCTCGAAGATGTCGTTGATGAACGAGTTCATGATGGACATCGCCTTGGAGGAGATACCGGTGTCCGGGTGCACTTGCTTCAAGACCTTGTAGATGTAGATCTTGTAGGTTTCGGACTTGGACTTGCGTCCAACCTTCTTGGCGCCCGAGGGCTTCTTTTGCGCGGGCTTCTTGGCCATTTTGAATGTATTCGTGTCGTGGAATGACGCCGGCCGCCGTCGTCGCGCGCGCACGAGCGCCGATTTCGCGAAATCGACTCACGCATTTTTCGTGCACAATCTAGGGGTCATGACTCGTCAAATGGAGTGACTCTCGCGTTTTTAGCCAATCAAATCGCGAGATTACGTGTAAATGAAGAAATTGCGCGCACGATTTTGAATCATGATCGGTCGTTTTAGAAATGTACCCCGGGTACACTCGCGTTTTGATTGGCTCGCGACGGCGACATCGCGTGAGGCGATGAGTCGATTTTCGCGAAATTTTCGTCGTCGCGACGGTTGGCGTCTGCCCCGGCGTCATTCCATCACGCGAATACAAACAACTCACGATGTCCGGACGAGGTAAAGGAAAGACTGGCAAGAAGGCGACGAGCCGATCCGCCAAGGCGGGCTTGCAATTCCCGGTTGGCCGTGTTGCCCGCTACTTGAAGGCTGGCAAGTACGCCACGCGCGTCGGTGCCGGTGCGCCGGTCTACTTGGCCGCCGTGCTCGAATACTTGGCCGCGGAAGTGCTTGAACTCGCCGGCAACGCGTCCCGCGACAACAAGAAGTCGCGCATCGTGCCGCGCCACATCCAACTCGCGATCCGCAACGACGAAGAGCTTTCCAAGCTCCTCGGCACCGTCACGATCGCGGCCGGTGGTGTTCTCCCGAACATCCACTCGGTCTTGTTGCCGAAGAAGTCCAAGAAGTAAACGGTTTAAATCGTTACTTTAGGCTTTCAAAAATAGATCATAGCGAAAAAAGCCCGGCACGATTATCGGGCTCTCGCCGTGTTTCACAAAAAAACATGGTGTTCATTTAACACCACCTCTTTGCGAAAGATGTACACCGGACGACTAAACCGGCGGTGAGTAGTTCGACCTCGATTTTTGTCATCAGTCCATCTAGCCGCGCGCGAACTCGAAGTTTCAGCAAGATACCAATCAAATAATCATCGCTCGTAGTCATTACAAATTAATCATCAATTTCTATCGCGCTTCACTCGACTCGGTGTCGATTCGCGCCGTCGGCGAGCGGGACGCCCGAGTCGCGCTTCACCCTTTTCGCTGATCCTTGCTCAGATACGTGGCCGTTCGACGCGGCGATGTCCTCGAACTCCTTGATCTTCGCTAAGAGTGCTTGTTTCTCGATCTGCCGCTTTCTTTCGAGCGCCTGGAGATCGTACTTCAGCTCGGTCGCGTCCTTGACTTTGTCGAATGCGTCACCACCCGCGGCAAACTTCTCGCGCAGTCGGGCGTAGACTTCAGTGAGCTTGTGCATTTGACGCTTTAGCTCCTTGTTTTCGCGCTTGAGTTTATCGCTGGCGTTGTCATTTTCCTTTGTCTTTTCACTCGAGAGCTTGGCAAATGCAGCCTTGGCGACGGAATATTTCTTCTCCAGCGTTGCGCACCGCTTGGTCAAGTCATCGTTCGCGCGTCGCTCCGCCTCTAAAGCTTCGAGGGCGGCGTCCGTATCGACATCAGCGTTAAGATCGGCTAGAATTTCATCACCTTGCGTCGCAACACCTGCCTCGATCAGCCGCTTGTTCTTCGCCACCTCCTCCTCGTACACCTTGATGGCTTCGTCAAGCATTTGGTCGGATTCCTTGACGCGCGCCTCAAGCAAAGAGATGGTTTCGTTTTGCTTGACGACTTGCTTGCGCAGGGCCAAATGAGCCAACGATTTGGAATCAACATCACTGCTGTGCGCTGCATTCCCACCGTCCTTTTGTGATTCGAGTAAAGACGTAAGTTTGTCGTCGAGACGCTTGGCCTCCGCCTCGGCGACGGCGCGCCGGGACTTTTCCTCGAAAAACTCCGCCTTGATACTCGAAAGCTCGTCTTCCGCGCGCGCACGAGCGCGTTTAGCTTGTGCAAGAAGTATTTGAACATCCCCGGCGCCGTTCGTGCCATCGCTATCCACCATCGCGGCGGTTATTTCGGCGATTTCCTCCTTGAGTGAGGCGATGTCCCGCACTGCATCCAGGCGTTGACGCTCGAGCTCCTCTCGACGCTTCTCTGAGCGCTCGAGATCGCTCGCCTTGGACTTTAGCTCATCGCGATCCTTTTCAAGTGCCGCAATCTTCGCTTCGAACGCCCGCACGGCTTGAAGGGTGTCAGGCGTCATCGCGGAGAGTGACTGCTGTTCCGGCGAAAGGCGTTTTGAATTCAAACGCACCTCAACCGTGTGTGGGTCTTCTTCTTCGTCTCGCGCCTTTGCTTCGTTCAACGCGTCGTTGAGCTCCTTTACTTTTGCCTCGAGCTCGGAAATCTTCGCCTCGCGCTCCTTGGCCTTCTCTTCCCCGTCCTCCAGGGCGAGCGCCATGAGATTCTTCTCACGGTCGGCTTCGGCTAGACGCCTTCGCAAAGCCTCGATGGCTTTGTCGTCCACTTTGGCGCACCCTTCCTCTTCCAAACGCGCTTTAAGCGCGGCTATTTCCTTCTGTTGACGTTTCAGCATCGCATTCGTGGCACCATTCGCGGCGACCTCGTTCTTAGTCGCCTTGTTGACGACGCGTTTGGCGCGCTGGGCGAATTTCAGCGTCGAGTGCGTCTCTTCGCAGTGCGACGCCGCCGGGGTCATCGCGCACACGATGGCGGTCTTGGAGTTCCCACCAAGCGCAGGCTGTAAAATACGAGTCAACTTTGAATCACGATAGGGAATATGACCTCCCTTGGACTCGACGCCTTCGGAAAGTTTGTTGATGACGACTCCGAGCGTCATCAAACTCTTGTTGATGTGCGCGCCCTCCTTGGCACGCTGCCCTTCGGCACCCGTTTTTGACATGCGCTCGGACCCGGCGAGATCGACCAAGTTTAAAGTGGACACTAAAACCGCAGCGCCGTCGTCGGCACCGCCCTGCATCCCCCCACTGATCGCCCTTGACTCGACGATCATTCGGAAAATCGTGTGCGAACGAGACGAGTGCGCGTTCATATTCGTCGCCCCGACGTGCCTGCGCGTCGTCCCGAGCTCTAGAAGCGCTAGCACTTGCGATGGTGTCGTCACGACCTCTTCTCGCAGACCCATCACGTACGTCCCTCGCTCTTTATCCTCACGAATTGACAACTTTGACGTCTCTTCATCTTCTCCGGCGCCGTCGAACAAGTCCATCATCTTCTCGTTGTAAATCTCCAAATAACTCACTCGAATCAAAAACTCTCGATCGCTCCCGTGTCTTCGTACCGCATCAAACACATCGCGCACTGCGAGCGGTATCACCCCTAACTCCTCCTTCGTCCCGTGCATCGTGTGCGTCTTCCCGCTGGACGTCTGCCCGTACGCGAACACCGTTCCGTTAAATCCCCCGATTACGTTCTGCACTATCTTCGACGTCGTCGCCTCGTACACCGCTCTATTATCGCTCGTTTCATCAAACACGCGATCGAACGCGTACGTCGTCGACGCGCCATCCTGCCGTGCGTAAAAATCATCCGCGCGCGCCTTTGTCAGATTCTGATTGGTTCCCCCGAGCGCGCGTTCATCATCGCGCGTCTTCATCGCGCGCCTTCGCGCTCGCGCGTCGCCGTAGCTCACGCTCGAGACCCATCATACGAGTGCGCGAGCGTCATCGGCGCAACGTCGGCGGAAGCAGCGGTTCACGACGTTAGATTCGTTTCTTTTCTTTCGACGCACCTGCGGCGCAATCGCGTTCGTCGACACGACGTTCCATGCGCTGGCGCTCGCGTTGCGCTCGCTCGCGTTCAGCGGACGCACGCGCACGGCGACGAAGACTTTATTGTCTTCCGCGTCACCTTCGGTGGCGGTCATGGCGGCGCGCCGCGGGTGTCAAAGTGCGGGACGGGACACGAAAGGGCGTTTCGTTACGATGTTGAATAAAAAAGAATGAATGAACAAATTGTGAGCGAGCGCGAGGATTAAAATCTCAAAGAACCGCACGCTGGGCCGCTAGGTTCGATCGTTAGGGTTCCAGCGACCGGAGACGCTGAAAGCGTGGACTTTACTCTCGCGGGCAATGAAATCGATGGCGACGCGCTCGCGGGCGCTCACGATTTCGGGAACGTCGGCGCGGTCGATGGAGAGTCGGCCGTAAGATACCTTCACGGAGACCGTTCGCGGGGACACGGCGGTGTCAGTAGAAACTGGATCGACGTACACGCGCGCGGAGTACGCGCCGTCGCTCGGGGGCTGATTTTCCGCGGATTCGAGCGAGAGGTTAATCTCGTCCAAGTTGCGATCGACGGCGGCTCGAAGCGCGTTCGCCGCGCGCTCTCCCGTCATATCGCACACCACTCTGTGCTCACGGCCTAACATTTCGTTCACTTCGTCGATATCACCGGCGCTCAGCGCGCTTCTGATGCGCGAACTGCTCACTTGGTCACCTAGGCCCGCCGACGAGGGTCGCCGCGCCGGCACCAAATCCACGACGTCCACCGTCAGCCCGTTCGCCTCGCCAAACCTCTTCAAAGCCTCGACGTCTCCCGCCGCTTTGTAACCAAACCTATAATTTTTCCCAGTCACCACCGCACCGACGCCCATTCGCGCCAACATCTCCACGAACGCCTCCGGCGACAGCTCTCGCACGTCGCCGAACGCCAACGCGTGCTCGCTCACCGCCGCGCCCGTCGTCCCGCTCCACATCGCCAACACGCGCGATCGATCGCTCGGCGCCGTGATCGGCAACCGCGTTTCCCACCCCAACGTCTCCGCCATCCCCGAAAACGACACCACGACGACGTCGCCCCTCGTCGCCGCCCGCTCGGCGAGCGCGAGGTGTCCCCGGTGCATCGCGTCAAACTTCCCCAGGCACACCGCGAGCGTCCGCTCTCCCGTCGCTCCCGCTGCGCGCGATTCGCGCGCGCGCGTCGCATCGTCAGTCCCCTTTTTTCCCGCGCTCGCATCGCGTCTCGCGTTCGCATCGCGTCGCGCGCGCGTCTTCGCGCGTCGCACCTCCTCTCGGAATCTTTTCGACGCTCGCCGTCGCCGTCGCGTCGCGTCGTCGTCCTCGTCCCGTCGCCGCGCGCGTCGCGAGCGCGCGCGCGTCGAGCGCGGTCCTCGACGCGGCGCGCATCGCGCGCGTCGCGGTCGCGCGCGCGGTCGCCGCGCGGCGTCGCGGGCGTCGCGAAATAACAAAACCCCATCCTGGATTGTGCGCACGTGGCTGGGGCTCGACGACGGGTCCCGACTCGAGCGCGAGTCCCCCTCGACGGGCCGCCACGTTATCGATTCCGCGCGCGCGCGACGGCGCCGACGCCGCACTCGACGACGCGCCGACCGCGCCGATCGCCGATCGCGACGCACGATGTTCGCGCTCACGACGCAGTACTCCGCCCTCGCGACGACCGCGCGAGGGACGGCGACGAAGAGGACGACGACGAGGACGCGAGGTGCGACCGCGACGCGACGCGACGACGGGGCGACGACGAGGGGCGCGACGCGCGATGCGTCGACGCGATGGCGACGGCGCGAGGGAGGGGTGGTGGTGGTGAATTTTACGGCGCGAACGGCGCGCGCGCGAGGGGGCGGGGAGGGCGCGCGAGCGCGCGCGAGGGGTGGGACGGGCGACGATGGGTCGGTGGAGACCCTAAACCTGGACTGGGTGAAAACCCAGACGCGCGCGACGGGGCGAGCGCGGAGGGGGGGGGGATCGAGGGGCGCGCGTCGAGTGATGACGATGAGAGACTGACCTTAAACGGCATGTTTTGCTTTTTTCGAACGAATAGTCGTGCGCGCCGCGGGTTTGGACTTTTCTGAGCTCGAACAAGAGGCGGCGGCGCCGACGCGCGCGGTTCGCAAGGATGGCTTGAGCTCCAAGGAGGCCAAGCAGTCTAAGCGATTCCGCGCCGCGCAAAAGTCCGTGCCGCCGCGCCTGGAGACGCAGGGCGCGAGCGCGGCGATTGAACTCATGAAGAGCTCGGCCACGGCCAAGTTTGACGAATCGGCCGAGCTGCACATTCGATTGAACATCGACCCGAAGTACAACGACCAGCAGTTGCGCGCGACTGTGGCGTTGCCGAAGGGCACGGGCAAGAACGTTCGCGTCGCTGTTTTGTGCGCGGGCGACAACATCGCCGCGGCGAAAGCGGCGGGTGCCGACTTTGCGGGTGATGATGACTTGGTTGACGAGATTGCGGGCGGTATGATGGATTTTGACTTGCTCGTCGCCACTCCGGATATGATGCCGAAGGTGGCCAAGCTCGGTCGTCAGCTCGGCCCGAAGGGTCTCATGCCGAACCCAAAGGCGGGTACGGTGACTACTGACGTCACGACGACTGTCAATGAGTTCAAGGGGGGTAAGGTTGAGTTCCGCGCGGATAAGCAAGGTATCGTGCACGTTCCGTTTGGTAAGCTCAGCTTCAGCGCCGCCGACTTGAAGGAGAACCTTCTCTCCGTCGTCGGCGCGATTGACGCGAACCGTCCGGTCGGTGCTAAGGGTGTCTACTGGCGCTCCATGTACATTGCGTCTAGCATGGGCCCGTCCGTGCAAGTGGATGTGCCGCAAGCGCGCGATGAAGTCGCCGCCTTGTCTGCTTAAAGAGGAAGGTTTGTTTGCTTGAATCAACTTTCTGCGCGATAGATTAGCCACAATTCGGAAATAACCAAACACATTTATTCAACACGTCGCCTTTATGCATCGATCGCGCGCCGCGTTTTGGAGCAAAACTGTACAAAATTGTATTGACACCACTAACGAGCTACGCGTGATAGTGGGGCTATGAAACTAATCTTTAAGGGAAATGAGCTGAGCGACGGGCCAGCGAAGCGGGCGGTTCGAGCGAACCATGGGACGACGTACTGACTCGGACAATGGATGTAATCCAGTGCCGTGTATCAGTACCAGTCCGGTTTCTCTTAAATATACACAAAAATTCATCGTATCAAGGTCATCGAGGCTCTCAAAAAGTGCACGCACAAACAAAACGTTAGTGCCTCGACCACGGAGAAAAATAAATCCAACAGCGCGCGGCAGCTGCGAGCTGTGTCATTGGAGGTTCCCCAAAGCAGATCCAGGAACAAACGCGGCGGCTGCGTTTGACATTTCCGAGTTGACAAATCCAAAGAGATCATTGTCGACTAATGAATCCGGAAGCGCGGCGATGGAGTCGACTGGCTTAAATTGATTTTGTTGGTGGACTCCGTTTGTGGCGTATTCGATCCCAGTCCAAGAAAATTGCTCACCGGGGGCAGATGGATTGTTCATCGCTGCGCTCGCTGCTGCAACTGCTTGTTGGTACGCACCGCCAACACCGGCATCTTTCGACAATTTCTCTCCGTTGTTGAGAGGGGCGAAGCCGCCGTTTGTCAATTGACCATTCGCCGCAGCCATTTGCTGTGCGAGTGCCGCTTGCTGCTGCGCAACCACCGTCGCCATTTGCTGCGCGTACATCGAGCTCATATCGTAATTACCGTTCGGTGCTTGCTGTCCAGCGGCGTTTCTTCGGAGAATCTCGTTTGCCATGGCCACGGCGGTGAGCGCGGCGTTATTATCGTACGCCGTCCCGTTTGCCATCGCCGTTTGCAAAAACAGCGCTTGTTCCAAGCTCAAATTGCCTCCGAGTAAAGCCGCAGTACTCGCGTCGGCGCCAAGCAAAGCCGCGGGATCGGGGTTGCCCACCATGTTCATGGGAAGATTCATCGTCCTGTTCATCATGTGCAACTGCGGATTCTTGTTGTGCAACAAGTCGCCAGTGGCGGCGCCGTACATCCCTTGCGCGCCGTTGATGGATCCAGGGAACATTCGATTACCCGCGCCAAGCTGCACCGCTACTTGCTCAGCGTTGGAACCGTGATAAAACCTGCACGAAGCTCGGAAGCATCGACCGTTTTGATAGTCTCTGCAAACCGGTTGCGTCGTCTGCGTCGGCACCGCCGCGCCCTCCGCCGCGTCGTGCGCGTATCGACAATTCTCCCGGAAACACGCTCCCTGCGTCGCGAAGCGAAGCGCGCACACCATCGTCAGTATCTTCACGACCACATCGCTCGATTCGCGTCGATCGATCGCCAGATCGACCGTTTTCTCGCTCGAGCTCGAAAGGGTCTTTTCGCGAAAACGACGAGTCACGACTCAAGACGACCCACCTTTAAAAAATCGCGGCAAACCTCTCGCGGCGCGCCGAGTTGCGGCGGCGACGTCGCGCCGTCCATCGCGTTCGCGGACTCTCCTCCGTGCGCGCCCGGCACGAGAATCGGCGAAGTCATATTCCCGCGTCCGATTCACCCGCGCGCACCGTCCGCGCGCGGTCGCCACACCCGCCGCGCGACGAAAAACTCGCGCGAAAAGTGCACGTTCGTCCCGCGCGGATGTGCGTTCGAATTCTCAGCGAATTCGCGTCGACGCGCGATCGTCAGCGCTTCAAAAGCGCGCGCGCGCGCGTGGACAATATGTTTCGTCCGGCAGCACCGCACCGCGCGAGTCGGGATGTTCGCACGCGACGCACGCGCGAGATGCAGTGCGGGGTCTCCGGCGCGGGTTTTTCCGGTTTAATCCGGGTGTCTGAAAAAGCGTCCGGGGTCGCGATTTTTGTGTTCACTTTTCGTCGTAAAACAGATTCGTCGCGCGGATATATGGGAAAAAGTGCCGCGCGCGGCGAGATAAAGATCCCGGCGTGGGCACGCTGACGTGGCGGCGATCTCGGTCGGTCGGTCGGTCGGTCGTCAGAAGAGTCGTCGGTCGGAAGAGACGTCGCGCGTGAGACTCACGCGTCGGCGTCGGACGGCGAGGCGTCGCTCGCGAGCTCGTCGAGAATGTGCGGGGCGTGGCGCCAGGCGAAGGCGTCGACGGAGGCGAGGAGCCGCGGGACGGCGATTTGCGCGCGGTAGAGCGCGCTGCGCGCGAAATCGACGCCGGGCTTCGCGAGCGGAGCCAAGATTGCGTCGATCGTCGCCTTACGCTCGGCGCGCTTTTGGTCGTCCGTGAGCGCGCGCGCGCGCGTCTTGGCGGACTTGGCCTTCGCGCGGGCGGTTTCATGCGCGGCGGGCGCGGCCTTTGGACGACGGAGCTCGTCGACGAGATTCGCCACGCTCGCGCGCCAGAGCCTTTTCATGTAGTACTCTTCCTTGTAGTACGCAGACCATCCCTTGACGACATCGTGCGGTAATCGTGCGAAGATTTCGTTCAAGTAAGCCCAGAGCGAATACTCATTTTCTAACTCGCGATCGATGACCGTGCGTTTCCGTAAGCATTCCTTGCACATGCGAACGCCAAATGTAAAATTTGGCTTTCGCATGGTCCGGTGCTTGTCGCACTTCTGGCATCCAGTCGTGTGCGCGAAATAACACATATGTCGCTCAAGCATACTCGCAGGGCGAAGATCGCGGCTATCGAGCACATCCGTGTAATGTCGCGCTCTCTCGTTGCACGTCGCGTACAGCGTCTCGCCAAAGTCGCTTCCGAGAAGCGCGCGCAACTGTTTATTCACGCATCGAAGCGCGAGCAGCGCCTTGGCTCGAGCTTTAAACACAGTCGCGCTTCGATCGACTTCACGCGCCACGGGGACGTCCGCGGGACCCTCGAAAACCGTGCGCTTGATCGGGCCAAACGCCTGGTGCACGAGTTTGTCCAAGATGATGCTCCATACATCGTTCGGCAAGTAAGAACCCCGGTTTTCGTCTGCGCGCGGTGGCTTCTTCGTCGTGCGACGACGCTTGCGCGCGGACGCGTCGATGTTGTCCTCTTTCGCGGGTTTCGTGGGTTTCGCGCGTGGCGCGGTGCGCTTACGTTTCGTGGCGCGAGGCATGGTTTGAAGTTCCCACGTCGCGCGCGCGACAACGACGTCGAGAGCGACCATGAAATTTTTATCACAACTCGGTGTGGGCTAGGGTACGCCGTCATGCGACGTTCAGAGTGAACGTCATAAGTTAACCCACGTCGTCTATCGCGCGGTGAAGCTCGGAGAAGGCGCGCACGGCTCGACACGTCGATTCGGCGAGTTGGATTTGCTCGCCAGCTGGATCGGCTTCGCCGCCGACGCTCGCGGCAATGCGCTCAGCGGCGGCACGACGCGCCAGAGATGCGCGCTTCGCAGCGACTCGAATCCGCTTACGGTGAGATTCGTCAGTCAAGGCGTCGTGAACCAATCTAGCACGGTCTAACTGAGCCATCAAGGACGCGTCGAGATCCGCTCCGGCGAGATCAAACGTCGCGCTGGGCGTTACCGCTGGAGGTGATACGACCGCGTCGGCGACGCCCGAGGTGGGCGCGAGTGTCAGTGTGCATCCGCACAAAACGCCGATCAGCGCAGAGATGATGACTACCGCGATCCCGATGCTCGACTTGTTCTTTGCTCTCTCACTCTCGTTCGGCGTCGGCGTCGGCGCCGGCGCAATCGTCGCTCCGCCCGCCGCCGCTGTCGCCGTCATCATCGCCGTCCCTTCGTTCCCACTACTTCTACTACTACGAGCGCGTTCATCTCTGGTCTCTTCCACCACATCGCGCAATATTTTCAATACTTCCTCCTCCACGTCATTCGTCTCGCGTTTCTTGAGCTTGAAGACCTCCTCCGTCGCCGCCCGCGCTTTCGTCGATTCGACGTCCCCATCGAGACGTCCGCGCCGCATGGCGAGACTTCGCTGCAGTATGATCTCCCGCGGCGTTCGTTTCGCCGCCGTCGTCGTCGTCGCCGTCGTCGTCGTCGCTTCCGCTTTGGCCGCGTCCTCCGGCGAAACGGTTACGCCTCGCCTCGCCTCTCGACCCGCCGCCGCCGCCTCCACCACGTCCGCGAATCCCCGCATCGCGCGCGCGCGCGACACCACCGACCGCATTCCTCCCTCGCGCCCTCCGTCTCCCTCATCTCTCTCCGCCGTCGCGTCCCGCGTCCGCCGCGCCGCGTCTCGCCACCGCCGTCCCGCCGTCGCTCTCGCGCTGTCGTTCGGCGCTCGACTCCCCGTCACCCGCGTCGACGCGTTCCACGTCCCGCTCGCGGGCGTCCGCGGCGATCCACTCCGTTCGCGTCGCGCCTTGGCCGTCGTCGTCGCCGTCGTCGTCGCCTCGGACGTCGTCGCGTCATTTTCAAACGACTCGAGCGCGCGCAGCTTCGCGCGCAGCGACGCCATCGCGCGCGCGCGCGTCGTCTCGCCCGCGCGCGGCCTCGTCGAGCGCGCCGTCGACTCGCGCGCGTCGGCTCTCGTCGGACGCGCGCGCGTCGCGCCCTGCCGCCGCACTCGTCGTCGTTTCGTCGCATCGATTCGATTCGCGTCGATTCATTCGTTCGCGCGTCGACGTCCCGACGACGACGCGCGCGCGCGATCGCGTCGACGCGCGCGTCCGCGACGCATGCTCCGTCCGCTCGCCGCGCGCGACGCCGCGGCGATCGGCGCGAACCGCGCCGGTGGGCACGTCCCGACGCTGATCGCCGCGCTCGTCGCGAACGCCGTCGACGCGCGCGCGCGCTCGATCCGCGTCGACGTCGCGATGGGACGATGCGAGGGCGCGAAGGCGAACGTGCGCGTCGTCGTCGCGGACGACGGCGACGGGATGACGCGCGAGGACGCGCGCGAGCTGTGTCTCGCGCTCCGAGAAGGCCGAGAAGAAAGTGCCGGTTCTGCTTCCGGAATCGGCGGCGCGACGCGCGGGGGACGAAACCGGAGCGGAAGGGCGCTGGTCGCGATCGCGGGAGCGGTGAGAGTGTTGAAAATAATATCCAGAGCGCGAGGGTCGAGCGAGCCGGCGATGGAGTTGACGCACGCGTGGGATGAAGACGGGAACGGGGACGGGGGCGCGCGATTGGAGACGAGTCTGCGCGCGTTTGACGAGGACGCGACGACCGTGAGGTTGGAGGGCGTGTTTTGGAACAACAGCGTCGCGATGAAGCGATTGAGTGAAAGAAAGACTGAGTTCGTGATGGAGATGCGGTCTATCGTGTTCCACGCGTGCCTTTTGAGGCCTAATCTGGGCATAACGCTTCGCGTGGACGATGCCGTCGTCGAGCGCGTGGAAGGGAACCGATCGAGCGTACTGGATGGGTTGGGTCGAGCGTTCGGTGACGACGTCGTGAGATATTTACGTCCGGTGGAGTACGATTCCGATGACTTGCGCGTTCGTGGATATGTCAGCGCGCCCGATCGTCGGCTTGGGTCGGCTGAGTTGCAGTACGTGTACGTCAACGGAGACTTCATCCGCGGCAAATCAAACGCGCTGCATCGAGAGATGATTCGCATCGAGGCCGATGCCTTTTTAGGCCACGGCGCAAGAAACATAGGGAAAGGATTTCCAGCATATCTGATATCGATCGAGTGCCCGGAAGACGCATTCGAAGTGACGTTTGATCCGAAGACGACGTTGATTGAGTTTGAAAATTGGAACACGGTTCTTTCTGTTCTTCGCAAAGCGTGCGTGAACGAGCACGCATGGCCGATTCGCGACGATTCCCCAAACGACGACCCACCACCAAATATGAATTCAGTTGTTGATCCACCGAGAAATCGGCGCAAGATGAGTGAACGGGGACGATGCGAGTGCTGCCCGAACGACGGAGAAGGACCATTTGCGAAATCAATGCTGCGACGTCTGTCGCGAGACACCGAGCCACCTCGTTCGCCGTCAAACGCGGCGGCGGCCTTGAAGACATGGTCGAACCCGGTCTTTGATTCTGAGGTCCCGATTCTTTCAATCGAAAAGACAGCCGCGAGTTCTGCGCTTCGTCCCCCACCGGAGCTTTCGCGAGAATGCCTGCTTTCAATGAGCGACGGAGAAGAGAGAGTTCGAGTCATCGACCAGGTGGGAAAGAAGTTTATCTTGACGGTTCTGGACGACGATATCATAGTTGCATTCGATCAACACGCAGCTGACGAGAGGATATCACTCGAAGAGCTTTGGGCACGCGTGCTCAGCGACGACGTGCACGTACCGACGCAAGAAACTCAATCCTCCGTGCTCTGGGCGACGCCGGTGAGCGTGGAAGAGTTCAATACTTTGAATTCAAACGCCGCACTCGTGCGTCGCTGGGGCTGGGATTGGCGGAACGACAACGACGACAACAATGAGACGGTCGTCTACCTCACTCGAGTCCCGACGATTCGCGGCACGTCGTTGGGTGGCGACGCACTTCGACAGTATTTGTTTCAGCTACAAACGACGTCGACGTCGACGAAGCAGGCTCCGAGACCGCTTCACAGATTACTCGCGAGTAAAGCGTGCAGAGGCGCCATCATGTTCGGAGACACCTTGAATCGCGACGAGTGCGAAGCGATTGTTCGCGCTTTGCGTCTGACCCAAATGCCGTTCGCCTGCGCGCACGGCCGACCGACCTGCGCGCCCTTGGCGCGCGTGCCCAATCGAGCAACCCTCGAGCGCGGAGAAAAGTCAAACTTACCAAACATTCGCGCCTGGATTCGCGCGCGCGCGGCGAATAAATCTTAGATTCGAAACATCATATCATATGCGTCGCAGCCGCCGCGAGCCGAGCCGTCGTCGCCTCTCGTCCCGCCGCCGCCTCACTCTCGAGCGCGTCATCGACCGCGTGAGTCCATCGCGAGCGTCATGAGCACCGAGAAATCGCTCATGCGATTGAAGGCTGTCGATCTCAAGAAGCGCTGCGCCGACGCTGGGCTCGACGATAGCGGCACGAAAGCCGATCTCGTGGGAAGATTACTCAATCAAGCGTCAAACGAAGATTCTTCGCCCCCGGACGCCGGCGATGCGCCCGAACGCGTCGTCGCGACGGACGCCGACGACGCAAAGTTAGAAGATGCGGACGTGGATGCGGTCGAAACCGACGGGAGCGGCGATCACGATGATTTGCTGACGCATTTAAGAGAGAATCCGTCAGACGCCGCCGGGTGGGAACGGTGCGCGAGACTGGCGTTGGCGACGACGATTCCGAGCGCTCGACCGCTGTTCGACGCCATCACCGAACAGTTCCCTCGATCATCGTTGGCGTGGTGCTGGTACGTCGACGCGGAGCTTTCGAAGAACGATGCGGGGACGCCGGACGACGAAGCGATCCGCGCCATTTTCGGGAAGTGCTTGATACCGTGCCCGAGCGCGTTGCTCTGGCGAAGATACGCGTCGTACATGGCGAGCACGAACGATGTGACGACAGAAGAGGGGGTGAACACAATGAAATCGGTGTACGAGTACTCCGTGGACGTCGTCGGCGAGGACGCGGACGCTGGTGATCTTTGGATGGACTATTGTCAGTTCTTGCGCAGCACCGAGGCGACGCTGATTGTCACCGACGTCGCTGTGGAGCAAGCGCCGAGTGCGAGAGATATGATCGTTCGCAGGACGTACCAGAAGGCGATTTCAGTGCCGATGCACAAATTAGATGCAGTTTACAAGGTTTACGAAGCGTTTGAGCTTGAGAAGAACAAGGCGCTCGCGAGGGCGTTGTTGCAGGAAATAGCGCCAAAGTTGTTGCTCACACGCACGGCGCTCGGTAAGAGGAAGAAGGTGCTCGCCGACGTCGTCGTGGGCGCGGTGTGTGTTGATCCAGTGCAGCGCGGTGCGGATGGGTTGACTTCGATTATTTGTCCCGCGTTCAATGCCGCTGGGTGTAGAGGTTGTGCGCGCGCGCACGAATGTAAATTTTGCGGCTCGCCAGCGCACGGGGCGAAGGCCTGCAAGAGTGGACGATACGCGCTTCTTGCGGCATCACCCACGGCGTGCGCAGCTCAATGGGCAGAGATTATCGATTTTGAGAAGTCAAACGTGCAAAAGCTTGAAGGTGCAACGCCGAATGAACCGTCCCCACAACTCTATGCGCGCGTGAAGCACGCCTACGAATTAGCAGGTCTGTCTCTCGGTGAGACACCTGAGTTTTGGCTAGAGTACGCGCACTGGCACGAGAGCGAGAATCGTTCAGACGAGGCGGTGGAAGTTTTACAGCGAGCGCGGGAGGCGTTACCGTATTGCACGCTTATCACTTTTGCGTCGGCGGATATCGAAGAGACTCGCGGCGACGCCGACGCGTGTAGAGCCATCTACGAGTCCGTGCTTGACGCCTATGAAGAGAGCGCTGACGAAGCCATCGAGCGAGGTGAGGAGATAATGATGCCCTCGGATATAATTCTAACGTACTGCGAATACGTTCGCGCGTCGCGTCGTGTTGGAGATCAAGATTCGAGTCGAAAAGCTTTCATGCGAGCCCGTAAGGCGCCCGGGGCGACGTGGGAAATTTACGCAAACTCCGCGATGATTGAATGGCAGTACGATAAGAGCGATAAACCGGCGAGAAACATCTTTGAGCTCGGGCTTAAGAAATTTTTGACGTCGCCAGACTACGTCGAGCGTTATGCCGAGTTCTTGATTGGCGTGAACGATGTTGCCAATGCCCGAGTTTTGTTTGAACGTTCCCTGAGTGAATCGCCGTCGATGAAGATTTGGGATATGTTTGTCGATTTTGAGCGTTCGCATGGCACAGTGGATACGATTTTAGATGCGGAGGCACGGCGTAATGCCGCGTGCGGGGCGACGGTCATTAAAACGAATCTCTTGAACTCGTTGTTAGGGAGACACACGTGCATGGACATTCGACCCGCGAGCGAAGAATACTGCGATTACTTCGCGTCGCTTGGCGCCGTCGTGCCCATGCGAAGAATCGAAGCTTCGAGCATTTCCTTCGCAACGCTGCGCCAAGAACGACTCGCGCGAGTGGCGGCCATGGCCGCCGTGCCACCACCCGCCGCGCCCACGGGCGCACCGACGCGTTCCGCGAAACCTCCTCCTCCTCCGCCGATCGAGAAGAAAAAGCTTCCCGGCGCGCTCGGCAAGTTCTTCACCAGCCTTCCAGGACCTGTTGCCTTCGCAAAGTTCCCTCCGCCTCGCGTCGATGCCGTCTTAGACGCGTTGAAGAGCACCGATCTGAGCGAGGCGGCCATCGAGGGATATCTCGACGAAATGGGTTACCAAGGCGGCGAGAAGCGAAAAGCCATCGAACTCATCGACGATCCCGCGTTGACGGCTTCTCGCGCCTCGGCGTCGAGCAAGCCACCAGTCAAAGACGTGTTCAGAAGTCGACAAGGCAAGATGCAACGCGCGCAAGCGGAGTACCAGTGAGCGAAGCACCAGTAATAGACGTAGCAGAATGAAATCAAGAGTCGATGCGCATCGTTATCACATTATGGCGTTTGATCCTAAATCGCGTCTCGTCCGCGTCCGCGTCGTCCCCGCGTTCCCCGCTCAGCCCCCGCCCACCTGCTCCATCATCGCATCGATGCAATCGCCATCCTCCATGTCCATCTCCTCCGGCGTTTGATCCGGCCGCAACCGCTCACCGTCCATCAAAAATCGAACCGCGTTCGGCTGCAACGCCTTGCGTTGGCAGTACGCGTCGAACACCTTTGAAAACTTCGTCGACGGTCGCACCTTGAAGTGCACCTCGTTGTTATCCTGCCCATCGCCGCGCCGCGCGTTCGATCGTCAGTCCTCTCTCGCCTCGCTCGCCTCTCGCGCGCGCCTCGCGCGTCGTTCCCTCGACGTCGACGCGATGACGTTTAAAATCCATCCATCCATCCCGCGCGCGTCTTCGCCGCCCTCGCGCCGTCTTCGCGCCGTCTTACCATGTCCCGAACTTTGATGTTGATGTGATCCTCCTTCACCTCCTTCTTCACGTCCTCGTCGTCGCTCATCGTCGTCGCGGTTCGTCGTTCGCGTCGCCGTCGTGTGTCGTCAGACGACGCCGCGATGCCGGGCGTCGCGAAGACCGCGACCGAGATCGCGCGCGTCGCCGCGCGCGTCTTCGGCGCGCACCTCGGCGACGGTCGACCGAGCGGGAGAAAAATCCTGCGCGCGCCGCTGATCGGCGAACGGCTCGCGGCGTACTACCCGAAGACCATGGCGGCGCTCGATCCGCTGTTCACGGCGCCGGACGAGACGCGACGCAAGGTGAAACTCGAGCGATTGAAGCGACGAGGGAAAGGGCCGCCGAAGAAGGGCGAGGGGAAGCGCGCGGGGAGTAAGTGAGCGCGCGCGTCGGCGAGCGCGCGGCGACGCGCGACGCGCGCGGGACGAGAGGGACGCGGGGCGAGAGGGACGCGAGGTCGAGCGAGCGACGCGCGCGAGGACGACGCGAGGTCGAGCGACGCGCGAGGGCGACGCGACGACGCGCGAACGGACGGTGCGTTGAATTCTAAAGAGCGTCATCGCTCGATGCGTTGTATTATAATCGAAGGTTGTGGTAGCGAACGCGTCGGTCGAGTCGGGGCGTCGGCGCGGCCGCCGCCTCGCGCGCCGCACTTCGCGAGGCGATGCCGACGAGCGCCGAGGTGCGGCGCGCGCGCGCGTCGCGTCGTTCGTCGCGCGTGGAAGATGGCGCGCGTCGTCGCGAGGCGCGCTGTGGACTGACGCGGTCACGTCTCGAACAGGAATTCGCCGCGCTCGTGCGCGTGGTCAAGGATGCGCAGCGTCGATTCACCGCCGCGCCGAGCGAACACCCGGGGTGCGACTTCAAGGCGTGGCTCAAGGCGAACGTGAAGCGACCGGAGAACCAACGAGGCGATCCGAGCCGGCACACGGCGGAGACGCTGAGAAAGTTTGTGGAGACGCTCGGGACGGCGCTCGGGACGGCGCGCGTGACGGCGCTGACGAAACACGATCAATGGCGGAAGAAACGCGCGGAGTGGGACGAGTGGGGCGACGACGAGGTCGTCGATGCGAAGGGTGATCGAGCGTGGGCGCTGGTGCGACGAACGCGAAAGCATGAGGGGTTCGCGGAGGCGTATTATCGGTTGCCGTCGCACGAACCGCCGTGGCGACGGACAAAGTATCGACCCGTGCGTTGGTGCGTGGAGAAAGAGATGAAGCCGAGGTTGTTGGGGGTGGATTGTGAGATGTGTGAGACGGATGACGACACGCGAGCGCTCGTCGGGGTGTCCGTGGTGGATGATGAGGGAAATATTTTGTTGAAGACGCTCGTGAAGCCGCCGGGGAACATCGTCGACATGAGAACGGAGATTACTGGGTTGAAGGCGGAGAACGTCCTCGCGGCGCCGACGACGTTGAGCGACGTGCAGGATAGACTCGTGGAGTTGTGTAAACCGGGAACTGTGCTCGTGGGTCATTCGTTGATGCATGATTTGAAGTCTTTAAAGATTGACCATCAACCCGTCATCGACACTGGAATGTTGTTTCGTTACAAGAATCTCCCTCGGTCGACGCCGAGCTTGGCGATTTTGTGCGAAACTTTGCTCAAACGAAAGATGAGACAAACTGAGGCGGGCTATCACGATTCCGTCGAGGACGCCAAAGCGGCATTAGACTTAGTGTTATGGGCGGTTCGCGAGGCGAAACCCATCTTTGAGGTGGACGCGCCGCCGCACAAAGTGGACGCCGAGGACCTGTGCAAGCTTTTTATCCATCGCATTCCGCGTGGGACGAGCGCGGAGGCGTTGAAGATGGTGTTCGAAGAAACCGATCGAGCGCACATCGAGAGCGTGCAGGGAAGCTTTCTCGATGCGACGACGACGGACTCCGCGGCTCTCGGCGGCAAAAAAACCACCTCCTGCCTCGTCACGTTTACCGACACCAAACGCGCCAACGACGCGTTCGAACGTCTCGACGGTGCGGTAACGAAAGATGCAATCGGTCGCGCGCAGAAGTCTCGCGCCTTACCGCTCGATTCCACCGATCGATCCGTCAGCGTCGTCGTCCGTCGGATGACGTCGAGCGGTAGCGTCGTCTCCGCCGGCGCCGCCGCAGGCGCCAAGCGCCCGGCGAACAGCGTCCCGGCGACGGTTCCAAAGTCGAAAAAAGTTCGTCAGCGCAAGCCTAAATCGATCGCTCTTCCCGGCGATAAATCGTAGCCCGGATTCGCGCGCGCGCGTCGTCGCGACGCCGTTGTAAAATCAGAGCTTGAAATATTTACCGACTTCGACGTCACTGCATCGCGCGACTCATGCCCGCCCTCGCGCGCGCCGTCCTCCCTAACCTCGCGCACGCGCGACGCGCGCGACGCTCGCGCACCGCGCAGCGCTCGAGCTCCGAACGGCGCGCGGACGACGCGATAATCGCCTCCAAACCCGTCGTCGTGAGCAGCAATCCAGCAAACAACGCGTCGAAAGCGCTGCTGCAGGAGGTCCGGCGCGCGCTCATTCCCACCGGTGCCGACGCGGCGAAGGTGCTGAAGGCGACGCAGAGGTTTCAAGAAGCGTTCGAGGCGGGCGAAGACTTCGAGACGACGGTCGCGAAGGCGCTGGGGTACTCGAGCTTGGCCGAAGCGCCCGAGGCGCAGCGAAAGTACGCGGAGAAAATCGCGGAGAAGTTGGAGTCAAACGCGAGAACGCTGCGAGGCGAGATCGAGAGCGCGACGAAAATGTATGATTCTGGGGTGTATGCGTACGGTCGTGGTATGTACGACGACGCGGTGAAGTGGTTTAAGGCGGCCGAAGACGAGACTAGCGAGACGAGTCTACTCGGCGGACGGATTCAGATTTACAAGGCGCTCGCGCTGGATGCGTACGGCCAAGGGGATAAGGCGTTGGAGATTTACAAGTACCTGGAGAGCGTACATCCGGAGAAGTCTATTCGGAAGCAGGCGGAGGAGTTGCGGTTCATTCTTGAAGCGCCGAAAATGGAGATTGCGGCGAACGAACGCGTGGAGGTGCCGTTGCTGCGCGATCCAGATTCGTTCGCTCCGTACAGCGATAAATGGTCGACCGGTGCCAAGGCGAGCGCATCCGGTGGGCGAAAGAAGCGAGAAAAAACGTTGGAAGAGCAGTACGGTCAAGAGGCGCGCGAAAAGTTCGACTACGAAAAACTGAGGCTGGGCTTACAAATCTGCGGCGGCGTCGCCATAGCGTGCGGTGTTGCGTGGTACTCGACGACGCTGCGCTGAGACGTAGTGGAACGAAAGTTGTAAAATTATGAAATACATGGAAACGTCTTCGCTCGCTTTAATCCTTGGCGTCTTCGATACCAAACTCGCTGATGGAAAATTGCGCCTCCGATTCCGGCAGCACGGGAGAACACACGACTTTCATCACTCTGTTCTCTCCGCGCCCCTTGCGAAGGGCTAATCGCGTCGTGCTCGCGTGCGCCATGATGTTCCCGCCGATGGGTTTGAGCGCATTCGCTCCCGCGAATGGTCCGCCTTCAGGGTTAGCGACGACTTGGTTCGATACGATGACGGCGACGCCGAACTCATCCGCGAGACGGGCGAGTTGGCGCAAAAATTTCCCGAGGTGCATCTGACGCGCGCTCAGTTCACCGCGACCTTCGTATTCGGTGCGGTAGAGATTGGTGACGGAGTCGATAATCATGAGCGAGAATCGCGTCTCCGCCATCATTCCTGCGGCGGCGAGCAAAAGTTCGCTCTGATGTTCGACGTTGTGCGCCTTGGCGTACGCCACGTTATCCAGCACCGCCGAGGGATCCATGTTGAATCTCTCGGCGATCTGAATCAACCGCTGCGGACGGAACGTGCCTTCGGTATCGATGTACAGACACTTACCCTCGCCACCACCGTGCTCGATCGGCATCTGGCTCGTCACCGCGAGCGTGTGCATCAACTGCGTCTTCCCCGTCCTGAACTCGCCGTAAATCTCCGTCACGCTCCCGCTTTCGATCCCCCCCTGCAACAATTCGTCCACCTTGGCCGAACCCGTCGTGATATATATCGTATCCTGACGCTGCTGATCGATCATCTTCGCCGTCGTGAATCCCGCGGGCACGATCGCGTTCGCTGCGTCGCTCGCGCGTCGTCGCGTCTCTCGTCAGTCTCCTCGGGTGCTCGCTTTCAATCCATCAAACGAGGCACCTCTCGCGTCGCCCTCGCGCGTCGCGCCCCCCCCGCGTCCTCGCGCGTTCGCTCGCGTCGCCTCGCCTCGCGCCTCGCTCGCACCCGCTTGCTTCAGCTTCTCCACCTTCTGTTCCGACAGCCCCTTGATCGATTGCAGGTGCTTCCTCGACGCCGCCGCGAGTCCCTCCACCGTGTGCACGCCCGCGTCGCGCAGCTTGCTCACGTCGGACGCCGCGATCCCAGATTCCTGCGTCGTCCGAGTCCGTTCGGCGTCGCCGTTCGTTCGTCGTCAGTCGTCATCCGCGCGAACGCGCCGTCGCGCGTCGTCCGTCGCGTCCCTCGTCGCGCGTCGCGCGTCGTCGTCGTCGTCGTCGTCGTCGTCGTCGTCGTCGTCAAACGACTCGTTCGAATCGCATCGCGTCGTCGTTCGCGTCGTCGTTCGCGCGCGTCGTCGCGCGTCGTCGCACCTCGAGCGCGGCGATCGGCGTCGTCGTCGCGATCGGTTCGTCGCGCGCGACGTCGTCGTCTCGCGCGAGCGCGCGGTCGTCGACGGCGCACGCCGACATCGCGATCGCGTCGCGAGGTGACGCCGCGACGGCGCGCGTCACCGGGTGGACGCGGATCGGTGTGTGGGTAAACAGTGCGGTGTGTGCGGTCGGTCGGACGCGATGGCGGTCTGTGTGTGGGTAAACAGTGCGGTGTGTGCGGTCGGTCGGACGCGATGGCGGTCTGTGTGTGGGTAAACAGTCGTGTAATGTGCGGTCGGTCGGACGCGCGCGCGACGGTCGCGCGCGCGGCGCATCGCGACGCGATGCGCGTCGCGCGCGTCGCGCGCGCGCGCGGCGTCCTCGACCGCGTCGCGCGCGCGTCGCGATGCGCGCGCGCGCGCGACGCGTCGGCGTCGGCGCGTTCGAGCGCGTCGACCGACGCGCGTCTCGAGCGGGCGCCGGCGGCGTCGCCGGCGTCGCCGCGCTTCCGGTTCGAGGTCCTGCGCGCGTCGACGCGCTCGAACGCGCGGGCGGGGATGATTCACACGCCGCGCGGGACGATCGCGACGCCGGGGTACGTCGCGGTCGGGACGAACGCGGCGATGAAGGCGGTGCGGGGCGACGCGCTGCGGCGCGCCGGGATCGATTTGATGTTCGCGAACACGTATCACCTGATGCTGCAGCCGGGCGCGGCGACGGTGGAGGCGATGGGAGGGATACACGCGTTCATGGGACGCCGAGGGCCGGTGATCACGGACAGCGGTGGGTTTCAGGTGTTTTCGCTCGGGACGCCGGACCGCTCGGCGAACGCGAAGGGGAAGACGAAGGAGTTGAAGAGCAGAAAGGCGACGAAGCATCGACGGGAGAATTTATTGATCGACGTGAGCGAAGAGGGGGCGACGTTTCGGTCGTACAGGGACGGGACGAAGATGACGCTCACGCCGGAGTCGAGCGTGTTGAGTCAGAAACAAATCGGGGCGGACATCATCATTCCGCTCGACGAGTTGCCGCCGTACGACATCGATCGCGAGACGTTGGAGGAGAGCGTGCATCGGTCGCATCGATGGATGACGAGGAGTTTGGAGACGCACTTGAAGGACGTGCGTCAACAGGCGATGTACGGCGTCGTGCACGGAGGCGTGGATCGCGAGCTACGACGGATGTCGGTCGAGTACCTGAGCGCCCTGCCGTTCGACGGGCTCGCGATTGGCGGTTCTCTCGGCCGCGACGCCGCCGAACTCGGCGCTTTGCTCGAGTTTTTGATGCCTCTCCTTCCGAAACACTTGCCGAATCACCTCCTGGGGATCGCTGACATGGAAAACATCGAGCACGCGGTGGCGAACGGCGTCGACACGTTCGACAGTTGCTACCCGACTCAAGTGGCGAGACACGGCACGCTATTCACGCGCTCTCGCGGACGCATAAACTTCCGTCGCGCCGAATTCCGAACCAGCACCGAACCCGCGTGCGAAGAGTGCGAGTGCACGCTCTGCACCAAGCACACCTTGGGCTATCTTCATCACCTCGATCGCGCCAACGAACCGCTCGCTTGGTCCTTGGCGAGCGAGCACAACCTGTATCACATGGGCGATAAGATGCGTCGCGTTCGCGAGGGCATCCTGAACGGCGAGATTTGATACGGCGAGATTCGATTCGTAAATCCAACTCGGTTCAACGCGTCGCGCGCGATGTATTCATATGTATTCGTACCTCTCCTCCGCGTTCGTCGCGTCGCCTCGTCGACGGATGTGTAACCGCCAGAAAACGCTCGCACTCGACATCGACGCGCGCGCGCCGCACATCGCGCCCCGTCGCGCTTCCCGCGCCTTCGGGCGCCATGCTCGACACCGCCGATCACCTGCGCCTGCGCTGGATCGTCAACTCCACGACGTGGCGCCCCGGCGTCGACGAGTTCGCCTTCGTCTTGACGATCCTCCCGACGCACGAACGCGAAGAAGTGACGCGATTTCATCGCTTTGAAGACCGTAAGCGCGCGTTGCTGTCGCGATTGATGCAACGCGCGGCGATTAAACGCGCGTGTGCGAGCGCGGAGGACGCGCGGTGGCGAGACGCGCGCGTGGAGGCGCTGGACGTGCGGAGAACCAAAGGGTCGAAGCCGTTTCACGGGGCGCGCGCGAGCGTCGCGGGGGCGCCGAATTTTAATTATAACGTCTCGCACGAGGGTGATTACGTCGTGCTGGCGAGTGAAACGCACGCGGTGGTGGGAGTGGACGTGGCGGCGCCGGGACAGGTGCGACGAGTGACGGGAGGGGGGGGCGCGGAGCGAGACGTGGGAAAGTTGTTGGAGACGTTTTCGTCGGTCCTGACGGATCGCGAGCGGGCGTCGATCGCGGGTGTAGCGGCGAGGGACGGAGAACGCGCGGGAGAGGAGTTGTTTAGAAAGCACTGGAGCCTGAAGGAGGCGCACGTGAAGGCGATCGGGGTGGGACTCGGGATGGATTTGAGGCGGTGCGAGTTTGACATCGACGCGGCGAGGTCAACGGCGAGCGTGTCGGTGGATGGGAAGTCAAGAAACGATTGGTCTTTTCACATGCAAGCGTTCCCACCGATCGTTGATGATGCCGTGAATGAAGATAGACACTGGATCACGGTATCTAGAGGACCAGTAGAGGATATAGTGGACGCCGACGGCGAGTTTACGGAGACCACGTTTTCTCGCCGGGACTTTTCAAAGGATGAATGGAGCGCAATTCTAGCCGCGCCCGCGCCATCGTTCGAGCTTTTGACCGTGGGTGACTTAATCCCGATAGATTCGAAAGACGCCTTCGAAGCCGCGGGCGGCGTGATTTTCTGACGTCGTCGTCGCGCTGACTGTAATCTGCGCGTTTGCCTTTGCCGCTGAAGTACATGTTACATTAAAAAATTGATGGCTATATGATTTCTCACTTAGGCAGTAGCCCGACTCGCTCCGCTTCGATTGCTCCCTCATTCGCGTTGTCCTTGTAAAGACCGAGCGGATTCATCCCGGCTTCGCGCATGAGGACGAATAGAGATACACTCGCAAGCATGACCGCCGCGCACGTAACGATGAGACCTCCGAAAGAAATCTCTGGCTCGTCGTACCACGCCTCCGCCCACGGAAATTTTGGGCATCCTTCCGGAAGCGAAGTCCGCAGGTTGCAAATTCGTCGACGCACCGTCGCTTGCAAGTTGCACTTCCTGCGACACGCGACTTCACCGTCGATCGTGACCCAAGGAAGCCATTTATGCCGAGGATGAATTGATCCAAGTTCAGCTTCGTTGCTTTTCAACAAATCGTACCCGGCGCCGTGGAACGCGCACTTCTTTTGAGCGGCGCAAATCTGTGAGTTTGCGCTCGACATTCCCAACCGTTGCAGCGTATTTTTGTCCGTCTCTTTGTCGGATTCGGATTCGGACGATTCTTCGTGCTCAACCGCATCAGCGACAGCTCGACAGCATCGTTCATCGATCTTGCTAAGCGCTTCCTCGTGACGACCGTACTTGAACGCGTCTTGTGATTCAAGCTTGAGAAGCTGCATTCCGTAACATGACGTAAACGCTCGCATGCCACCACTCAAAGTTCCGATGTTCTCAACCGCGCATGCGGCGATAGCGTTTGTCGTACAACTCAAGTGCCGAGCGTGTCCACTGTATAAGCAGTTGGCGGACTTGTTCCTTTCCTGGCCTACGTTGACGAAGGGCACGATGTTCCAGTCGACCGGTCCTAGCGGCATCGACGCGAGCCTTTGGTACGACCCGAGCATGAGTTCGAGCGAGTATGGATCGGCGAAATCAACGTACATGCGGACATCGATTCGTTTCATCAGTAACTCCTCCTCAGCGCGCACCGCTTGCCTAGAGATGGTGGCGATCGTTTGACGCGCCTTTTTGTTCGCTTCTTGGAAGCCCTTCATCGCTCGCTTCGTCCACGTGTCAACCTGTTGAGAAAAGAGCTCGTCGATACCGACCGTCGCGTTGGATGGTTCGTCGCTTATCGTTGTCGATCGAACGATTTCGACGTCGCTTTCGTCTTCGCCACTGGAGCCGAGCGCCGCGGTTTTGCGTGCCTTGATCGGCATGTCCGTGATTTCAAAGTCGAAATCATCCGCGTCCGATCGCTTGGCGTCCATCGATTCCCGCGCGCCTTGAATCTTTTCTAAATCAACGTCCCAGTAAACGTCCGGCTGCTTTCGCTTGAACCACGGCGCGGCTGGCGCGAGACGTTCTCTCGCCGCCGGACGCCGCTCCGCGGGCGCCGCGGCGCCCGTTCGCCGCGTGGCTAAAAATCTCTTCACCGCATCAGCGTCATCGTTCGACGATTTCGTCGTCAAAGGCCCAAAACGACGCGTGCCCGCAGTCCCCGGAACGACGCCCCCGTGAAGCGGAATCGAGTCCATCAATCCGCCCGAGCCTTCCCAAACGTCCTCCTCCGCCGTCGCCGCCGCGCCCAACGCCGCGAACGCCCGTCCACTCTCCTCCATCCCTCGCGGCGCCCTCGCGCGCGCGGACTCCATCGCGAGCCGCACTATCTCTAATTGTTCCAGGCACGCCTCGCGCTCTTCCTCGCTCGCCGCGTTCGCCGCCGCCCGCTCGTGTCTCCGCGCGAGCGACGCCAACACCCCCAGCGCCCGCGCGCTCCGCTCCGGTCCTCGCACCTTATCTCCCACCGCCGTCGTCCGCGCGTGTTCCGTCTCCTCGAGGCTCACCTTTCTTTTCATCGCGCGCTCTCCCGCGCGTTCGAACGGCATCACCAGCGCCGCGTCGCTCGCTTGGTAATCGCTCGCCAGCGCCATCATCGCCCCGCGCGTCGCCGTCGCCGCCATCGTCGCCGCGATCGCGATCCAGCGCGCGCCTCGCCGCCGCGTCGCGTTCGCGCGCGTTCGTCCGCGCGCGCGCGCCGTCGTCGCCCGCGCCATGTCGACGCGAGTTCGCGCGCGCGTCGCGCTCTGTCGTCAGTGCGCGCATGCGCGCGTCGACCGTCGGCCTCGCGCGCGTCGTCGCGAGATCGCGCGCGCTCGCGATCGACGCGCGATCGAGCGCACGCGCGGTCGGCGCGGCGCCGTCGCGCGCGCGCGCGCGCGTCGAGGGCGCGGCGCGCGGACGCGCGACGGCGACAAAGGGAAGGATGACGACGACGACGACGCGAGCGAGCGAGGACGGCGCGCGCGACGCGCGCGTGGTGACGTATAACGTCCTGAGCTCGCACCTCGCGGAGCCGACGTACTTCACGCACTGCGACGCGAACGACCTGAGGGCGGAGACGCGACTGCGAAGGGTGATTGAAAAGTTGGAACCCGAAGTCGAGCGACGCGCCGTCGTGGGATTGCAAGAGGTGAGCATGACGTGGGCGGGACCGCTGCACGCGTACTTTGCGAAGAGGGGATACGCGTTCATCGTGTCGCTGTACGGGAAACCGTTTAATAATTACATGGGGGTTGGATTGGCGGTGCCGACGGACGCGTACGAGGTGGTGAAGAGCGACATCGCGAGGCTGAGCGATACGGCAAAGTTTCCGAGGGCGAAGAAGGAGGAGGTGAATCTCGGACCGCTGACGCCGGTTTATAATTTGTTGGTGCAAACACCGGTGAATTTGTGGCGGAAGTTGAGGGATTACAGACCGCCGAGCGATGAATGGCAGACGGCGAGAGGGCGGTTCAACTCGATTCTGTACGCCACGCTCAAGTGCAAAAAGACGAACGTGCAGTTCGGGGTATCGACGTATCACATGCCTTGCATGTTTCGCACGGCGGCTGATCGTCGAGTGATGGTGATCCACGCTGGCATCGCGGCGCAATACGCGCTGAATCAGTCAGAGGGATTGCCGACGGTGTTGATGGGCGACTTCAACTTGAAGCCGGGCGACGCCGGGCACACGTTGATCACTACGGGCGATCTCGACGAGTCGCACGAGGGGTATCCGATCATGCCCGCCGGATACACGGGAGAGCCATTCAATGTGAAGCCGCAAAAGAAGATGGAGAGCGCGTACGTGCGCGTCAATGGTGAGGAACCAAACTTTACGAACCACGCGCGCATCAAGGACGACGACCCTTTCATCGATACGCTCGATTACATCTTCGTTACCGACGACGTCGAGGTTGTGGATGTGCTCGATTTGCCCCATCGTGACCAAGTCAAGGGTCCGTTCCCGGCGGCGACAGAGCCGAGTGATCACATCATGCTCGCAGCGACTATTCGCGTCAAGTAGAGCTCCGTTAGCGACTGCATCATTTTATGAAGGATATCCCTGTCACATTACAACGACAACCCCATCTCCTTGCTAACTAGAATGTGTGTGTGTGTACGCGTTCTATCCGCCTCGCTCGACAACACGGTTACTTCAACTTTTTCTGAGCAGCGGAAAAATCGGGCGAGAAAATTGTCAGTCTCCTTTCATCGGCGGCGCCGTCGCGTTCGCGCGAGGAGTTTCCCAAGTCCAAAACAACGTACCTTAAGACGCAATTGGTTGGTGTGACCGCACTTCTTCTTGCGGCAGTTCGTCGCACGCGGCGGAAGGCGGGCGTAGCACCTGGTTTGAGAAAGAAACAAAAAGGTCAGTACGAGCTCAAAGTCAAATGTCTCACACGCGAATGACCGAGTACGAGTTAAAGTCTCGTCGCCGGCAAAGTGAATGGAGTGAAATAAATCTCGGGCAGCTTGCTCGACGCGCACACATCGCTAGACGAATCCAACGGACAGCGCGCGCGCAAGAGTGAGGTCGCCGCCCCTTCGAGCGGGCGAGCGCCGAGAAAAAATCAAAACCCCGTCGCTCGAATATACGTACTTGCGGCACACGGCCCGGTCCGCGTTCGTCTTCTTCGCCAACACAACGAGGGACGGCTCGATGATACCACCACGCAAGCGCAACACCAAGTGGAGCGTAGACTCCTTTTGGATGTTGTAATCCGCCAGCGTGCGACCGTCTTCGAGCTGCTTCCCCGCAAAGATCAAACGCTGCTGATCCGGCGGGATACCCTCCTTGTCTTGAATCTTCGCCTTCACGTTGTCGATGGTGTCCGAGGACTCCACCTCCAAGGTGATGGTCTTACCCGTCACTGCGTTCGCGAACATCATCATCCACCGTCAGTCTCTCGTCTTCGTCCTCGCGCGCCGCGCCGCGCCCCCGATCGCATGACCACGTCTCCCAAACCCCCGCCCGCGCCACCACCCTCTCCATCTCCACGATAGCGCGAGAACGGCAAAAAACATTATCCACAATCGTTTTCGCGTCCACGACACGCCGTAAGCGCGTCGCATCGACCGTCTCGTCGCCGTTTCGTCGTCCACCGCGACTTTAGGGCTTTCGTCGATCGCGTCGCGTCTCTCCGCGTCGTTCGCGACGACGCGCGCGCGACGCGGACGCGCGGTTCGCGATCGCATCGTTCGTTCGCTTCGCTTCGTCACGCACGAGTCTTCACGAAAATCTGCATCTTGCGCGTCGCTTAGAGGCGGTGCGAACGACGACGACGCGCGGGACGTCATGCGGAGGGTCAAATTACATCGTCAACCCTAGCGTCTACCGTTTAAGCAGAGGAAATCGAAGCGGCGAACGCGGGCGGCGAATGATCGATTGTGATTGATTGAATGACAACGAATGAGTAGGTGCGATGGAATCACATGCGCTCGAGTGGCTCGATCATGAGCAAACGCAAACCGTTGTCGATGACCTGCTTGAAGCACTTGCACGCGTGGATGCGAGCGTGCATCGAGGGTGTCTCGTTCCAGCCGGCGTCGAGTTGGCTTTGAACGGGCATCATGCGAACGCCCGCGGGGCCGTAGTAACCCGAGAGGGCGCGAACGAACATGTTGAGGAAATCGCACACCCTGTGCATGCCGTACGAGGGTAAAGCCGGGGGCTTGGGTAACGTCGGCATCGCCGCGTCGGTGATCATACTGGCGAAGGGCAGGACAAAGTCTAAGAGCAAGGCCCATTCGCGATCGTCGTCAAGCTTGGTGAAGTCTACTTCATCGAGAGGGCAGAGCTTTTCCAACACACCGGCGGCGGAACGTTCGTCAAACTTGCGAATGACAGAGGTGAGGCGGGTGGAGTTGTACAGGATGAACGGCGCCGAAGCGTCTTCGAAATCGGTAATCTTTGCGATGTCAAAGTTAATTTGCGTCATGCAACTCACTGATAAAAGCGCGTATTTCATCGCTGCCGTAGATACTTCGTGCGTCACCGTGTCGAACATCTCCGCGGAGATGACCTCGCCCTTCTCTTTGTACTTCTTGTCCATCTTTTCACGAATGACCGTCTTGAGGTCTTCGTACAAGTCATCGGCCAACAAGTAGCGACCGCGGCGACCACTCATCTTCCCCGTGGTGAGCTTTACGAGGTCGTATGATAAGTGGTATTGGCGACCCTCCATTGCCGGGTTCATCATCGCCATGGCCAACGACACTTTTTGCTGCGCCAAATCTTGCTCGCTGCAAATAATGTTCAAAATCAAATCGCTCATCGAAGCCTTCTTGAACGAGTACACGATGTCACGGTAGGTGTAAAGCGTCGATCCGTCGGGACGGAGGACGTAGAGAGGCGGGTACTCCTTTTGGTACCCCCCCTTACCAACCTTGAAACCCATATCCGTGATGAAGCCAGCCATGTCGAGGTACGCGCCTTGCGGCACGCCCTTTTCGTTGCTCTGCGTCTGCGGCACGTAATAGTCGCTATTTTGCATGATCTCCAATACTTTCGCATTCGAGCCCTCCCAGCCGAGTTCGGACTCGAAGTCGAATCGATCGTGCTGCACGCCGTACGTCGAGAGCGTTTCTTGCACGCCGGTGAGACAGTCGCACACCATTTTGCGGAAAATCTTAATAGCCCAAGGCTCTTGCTTCTCGTACGCCAAGTTAAGCTTACCGGCCTCAACCTTGATATCGTCGATCGTGCGAATGTCTTCGAGCATGACGACCATCATCTTTTCGAATCGTCCGCGAAGATCTTGGTAAATATCAAAGTATTCAGCGACGCCCTTCTCCTTCTTCTCGTCGCCCGCCACCGCCGCGAGCGACGTCTTCAAGAGCGCGTCCACCGCTTCTTGCCCGGCTTTGCACGCGTCCTGCGGTGATATCGAAAACGTATTCATCGTTAGTCAAAAACATTTTTCTCGTCAAGGCCCGACTCGTCCGCATAACGGTTCGCCTCGTCTCGCGACGCGTCGACGGCTCATATTGTCAGAGGTGAATATGGTTTTTCTCCACGGTTCAAGTAAGAAAGAGAGTTAAAAAACACATTAATCATAGCCGTACACGCGACGCGAACGCACATCACGCGCATCTCGATCGCGCACGCACCTCGAGCTCGCCCGGTTTCACGCCCACTTGTTGCAACTCTTGACACGTGTTCATCACCGCGTACATCGCCCCGATCCAGTGGTCAATCTTCATGAATGGCGTCATCTTGTCATAAATCCTCGAATACGCCAACGCCGTCAACCCGATTTGCGCGCCCAAATCATTGACGTAAAACGCCTCCTTCACGTCGTGTCCGCACGCCTTCATCATCCTCGACAAGTGCGCGCCGATCATGACGTTTCTCAGGTTGCCGATGTGCAGCGGCGCGTTCGGGTTCGAGCTCGTGTGTTCGATGATCACCCGCTTCCCCTTCGCCGCATCGGTGTGCCCAAACTTTCCTCCCCGTCTCGCCACCGCCTTCATCGTCGCCTCGAACACCATCGGTCGATTCATTTTCAAGTTCACGTACACCCCCGCCGCCTCGCACCCGACGATCGCGCCTCGCCGCGGCCGCTTCGCCACCTCCTCCCCGAACTCCCTCGCCACCTCCTCCGCCACCTCCTTCGGATTCATCTTCCGCTTCGACGCGAACTGCGCCCACTGCACGCACGCGTCCGCGCTCTTCGTCCGCGCGCATCTCGGAAACGCGTCGAGCGCTTCGCTCGCGTACTTTCGCGTCAGGAACGCGCGCAGTTCGCGATCGCACGCGTCGAGCACCGCGCGCAGCGGGTCGGCGCCGTCCGCGAGGTCCAGCGTTTCGATCGCATCGTCCGCGCGCGCCGTCATCGTCGCCGTCTCGCGCGCGTCGCGCGTCGCGCGTCGCCGTCTCGCGCGCGCCGCCGCGCGTCGATCGACGCGCGTCGCCACGCGTGGGTCTCGACGCGCGTCGCCACGCGTGGGTCTCCGCGCGTCGCCACGCGTGGGTCTCGACGCGGCCGCGATCGGATGAGATCGCACGGGCTCGGATGGCTCGGCGCGGATAAAGACTCGTATAAAGACACGCGCGAACGCCGTCGACGACAATCTCGCGCGCGCGCGATCGCGCGCGCTTTTTCGTGGTCGCGCGCGCGCGGCGCGCGCTTTTTCGCGCGCGTCACCGCGCACACGACGACGCGCGACGCGCGACGCGCGACGACGACGCGACGACGCGACGGTGCGCGGAGAAAAGATTCACGCGTCGGATTCAGGGATCGGCGCGGGCGCGACGGCGGTCGCGCGCGGGAAGGCGCGCGCATTCATTCGTCCGCGGCACCCGCGCGACGGGCGAAAAGCGTCGGGGATTCGATTCGATTCGACGGCGGCGCGCGACGCGCGACGGGGTGAGGGCGACGCGCGATCGGTGGAGACAGGGAGAAATGATTTCGCGGCGTCATGGCGCGCGCGAGCGATGTCGGAGAGGCGCCGAGCGAACGCGAGATCGCGGGGGCGTACGGCGCGGCGGCGACGCTGTTGGGGTCGAGCGCGGGGGCGCGCGGAGGCGCGCGCGCGCGGCGAGGGGAGATTCCGACGTCGCGCGTGGGAGCGCTCGTCAGAGCGCTCGGGGCGCACGTGGGGGCGCACGAAGACGATATGCTGCGACGGTGCGAAAAGATTGTCGATCCCGAGGGGCGAGGGAGCTTCGCGCTCGGGCGGCTGCGAGACGCGCTCGCGGCGCTCAGGGACGAGGGGCGATTGCCGACGCGCGAGGAGGAAGGAGGGAAAGGGACGGGAGAGGTGGCGATGACGACGCCCGTGGTTTCGACGGGGAGACGTGCGACGCGCGCGACGGCGACGGCGACGACGACTACGGATGATCGGAAGTCGGTGTTGATCGTGGACGACGTGGCGTCGGTGCGAAAGTTTCAGGCGGGGCAAATCGGAAAGATGGGTTATCAAAGCATAGAGGCGGGCGAGGGCGCGGAGGCGTTGCGATTGTACGGAGAAAATCACGCGGAGATTCAAGGGATTTTGATGGATTTGATGATGCCCACGATGGATGGATACGAAATCGCGACGGGGATTCGAGCGATGGAGGAGAAGCAGGCGCTCAGGCGTATGCCCATCATCGCCGTGACGTCGCTCACGGACCAAGAGCTCAAAGAACACGCCAGTTCTGTGGCATTTGACTGTCACGTCGATAAACCGACTTCAATGTCCAAGCTGGCCACGATTTTTGAATCCATGCGCATGGCGCCGAGCTTGAGTGCCGCCGAGTTGCAAGCCATCGGCGCGGCGAACGCCGCAAAGCTGGATCCTCACGGGACGAAGCGTTCGCACCTGCCGGTGTCGAGCAGCGACACGACTTCGGACGATGGCAAACACGGCGGCTCTAACGATGGGTCAAGCGACCAAAACGGTCGCAAGGGATCGAATAGCGACGCAGATCCAGACGCGCGATCGAGCGGGGATTCGGGTAACGAACAACGATACGTCTCGCAGCGCGCCGACGGGCCTTGCAATAGTTCGAAGCGACCGGGCGCTACCGCGTCTGGTGCGACAGCGGTCGCACCGAAAAAGACCGGTACGAGTGACAATGGTAGTGGTGGTAACAGCAACAACGGCTCGAGCGACGCCTCGAGACAAGGTGTCGCCGACGACGCAGAAGAAAAGAGCACAGTGGATAAGGCGGCTCCGGCGGACAGGAACACGACAAAACAGCTATCACCGGCGCGAGGCACGCAGACGGGGACGAAAGCGCACGAGTCAACAAAAACCGACACAGCAGTTGCTGCGGAAGCGATGGGGAAAACGACTACGACGCAGGATCGAACGACGACTGGCGTCAACGCCGTCGACGCGGGTTCCAAGCCGGTGGAAAGTTCGCATCGCCCGTGTGCAAGATGCGGTTCGGAAAAGACACGATTTTGTTACTACAACAATGGGTTACCGACACAACCTCGACATTACTGTCGATCGTGCCAAAGGTACTGGACCGAGGGCGGAACGCAGCGCAATTTACCAAAGGGAAGTGGTCGCAGAAGGGTAGAACGACCCGACGGTGCGGCAGCGCTCACCGCTCCCGTGAAAGATGCCGCGAAGAAAAACGCTTTGAGTACCGCCGCTGCTATCGCGCACGGTGCCAACGCACAAAACGAGATGCAACGCGCGATATTGGTACTCATGACTCAAGTTGTCGGCTTCGATGTGGACCATGCGGCGAATAACGCCGGGATGGTAGCGTCGCGCGCTGGAGAAGAAGTCGCGCAAATCGTGCTCCAAAATCTTGGTCATAGCTCAGAAGCGATAGAAATCGCTGTGACATTAGCCAAAACCACGGGATGGCGCATCGGAATATCCGTTTCAGCTGTCGCCACCGCTGCAGTAAGTCAAGGCTTGAATCAGGCCGAGATTGCGTCTTTGATTTCCACGCAGTTGCCATTTTTGGCCAACGCGCTTGTTCGCGAGGTTTCCGAACAGGTGAAAACTATGGAACTTTCGAGGAAATCGCCGACGAACGACTCTGACTCTGGAGGCTCTGGCGGAACGGGTGAAAATGGTGGAAAGAGCGCGACGAGTGCGAAGTCCAATTCCACCTTGACCGGAGTCAAGGCTGAACCAGCTACTGTTGCGAGCGTTCAGGCACTGCAGACGCAGGTGACGCAACGTTGGCTGAATGACTTGCAATACGTAGATGATGGGAACGCCCGTCAAGCTGCGAGTGCGAGAGTGGGCGCAGTGACCGTGCAAAGACCGTCGGCGAGCGGCTCGCAACCGCAGCCTCAAGGTTCTGGAGCAAGCAACGCATCCGCCATGCCTTGGACGCAAGGGCAAACCTCGCGCGTGACTCCAGTATCATCCGCGTCTGGATTTCAACCCGCCTTGACAAGTGCTTTTACACCATCCATGGCAGCACCGCGAATGGCTATGAACATGTTTGGTGCCCACCCGATGATGAATCAGCCCATGAACCCAGCTTGGCTATCGATGATGAATCGTTTTGGTTCTAGCGTTCAGCCGAGCGGCGCCCCGTCACGTGGACCGGGAACGCCTCAGGCCCACGAGGCGTTCATGAAGGCATTGGACACCTTGGGTGGTGGATCTTCCGAACCACCGAACTAAAACCGTCACAAATCAATAAATTCAATTTTCCGAATTCTCTTCCAGAAGAGTTGTATACCGCCTTTTACTTTTAACACCATCGAGCTTGGCGCGCATATATGTATTTCGATCTCTATTCTTTCGTTCTGGGAGCCGCCATGGCTCTCCGGCGTGTTATTAATAAAATGTCTTGATTATTTCATTCATTAGCAATCACTCGCAGGCCTTTGTGATGAAGTCTTCGGCGGCGTTGGATGACTTATCGTCGAATGCGGACTTTCTCGAACCGCCGGCGGTGTTGGTTGGTTTGGACGCACGCGTTTGAAATAAGTTGAACATGCTTTGTCTGTACTGGTACGCGACGGATGTGAACAACATTGCGGCCGCACCGGCAAATAGTCCGGCCACACGCGCTCCGGAAAAGTCAGGATCTTGTTCAGCAACCGTCAAAGTAGCGTTCGCAGAAATGTTTTGCGAGGCGGAACCAGAGATTGATGGCGCCGGAGGCGGTGATGGCGGCGGTGAAGGAAGCGCACGCACCGCGGTCGATACCGCCGTCACGGCAACCAATCCGCTAGATTGTAAAGATGTGAGCAGTGGTGCCGTGTTTAGCGTCGACGAGACTTCTACGAGTGTCGTATTGGTCAAGGAATCGACAAAGACGTAGTAATCTATATCCACAGCCATGGATTGGAGTAGGCGCCTTCTGCGTTTAGCGATGACATCCGTAATGCTCGTGATTCCAACATCATCCGAGTCGATTGCGGACAGAGCGCTAGCAATACCCACGCGAAAGAACGCGCGCCGACTCGCGTCAAAATCGCTTGATGAATAGCCCACGAGCGTGGATGTCGCGTTAACAATGCGGTCGATTGGCACTGGCGGGCTCGGTGGTGGGCTTGGTGGTGGGCTCGGCGGTGGGCTCGGTGGTGGGCTCGGCGGTGGGCTCGGCGGTGGGTTCGGCGGTGGGCTCGGCGGTGGGCTCGGCGGTGGGCTCGGCGGTGGGCTCGGCGGTGGGCTCGGCGGTGGGCTCGGCGGTGGGCTCGGCGGCGGACTCGGCGGCGGACTCGGCGGCGGACTCGGCGGTGGGCTCGGCGGCGGACTCGGCGGCGGGCTTGGACAAACGCTCACGCCGCATCCGCAACCGTACGAATCAGTTTCATTCCACGGGTAACTGTCCGGATTTCCGATGAGATGCCAATTCATACCCATCAGAAACTCCGTACAGTTATAGATCTCAGTGCACGTGTCGACTGTGCCCGTCAGCGAATCAGCACTGTCCGTCACCCCGTTCACGTCTGCGCACGTGGTCGGGCAGTGCGTGCAGATGCACTCCGTGGGATCGGTCGACGAGCCGACATCCACTCTGTGCGCGCACATTACGTCCCAATTAATGCCCAAAGTGCACGTGGACCTATAAGGCTTTTCCACGCACGACGTTTCTTCGCCGGGCGGCACGCCGAACTTGTTCATTAGCCACGTGCGCTCCTCGAGGAGGTGGCGTCGAAACGGCGATTGGTATGCCGTCGCGCGCGCGACGTGCGCGAGCGCGACGATGAGGACGATCGCGCTGCGCGCGCGTCTACGTAGATGCATGATGATTCTTCGGACTCGGTAGACGGCGCGCGACGCTGTGCGGCGACGGCGCGCGTGCGAGCGTTTCTGGGCGTCCCGCCGTCTCCCTTTTCGTTTTCTTCCTCAGGAATTCACAAATTCATAATTACAAAACTACGATTTTCAATATCGCCGCTTCTTCGAAGCCGACTTCTTCGAAGCCGACTTCGAAGCCGACTTCGAGGACTTACGCGGCGGCGCGTCGTCGTCATCTTCGTCGTCGTCCGACGAAAGCTGCAGGTCCTCGACTTTGTCCTCGTCGCCTTGGAGGTCGTCGTGGTCGCTTGTCTTGGATTTGCGCTTCTTGAATTCCGCGTACGCCTCGTCACCGTCGATCATGACATCGTCGGAATCGCTATCACTGCCGCCAAACTCCTCGCTTCCGTCTTCTTCGTCGTCGTTACCGTCCATCGGTTCGTCCGCCGGCTCGTCTTCGTCTTGGTTGTCTTCATCGCTATCGGATGCGCCAGTGGATGCTTTCTGACCGCGCGTGAGCTTCACTTCCGTCGCTTGCTGCGCAGCAATGCGTTGTGCAGCCTTCTCATGAAGCGTCTTAGCCAGACGAGACACTGGCGCTTTGCCTTCGGCTTTCTCAGCGCTCAAAAAGTTTTGCACCTTTGCTAAATCTTTCGGCGCAAAGTCGACGTTGTCGCGCTTGCGAATGACCCAGTCACTCGTCCGCTCAGCTGCATCGATAACCGCTCGAGCAGACTTTTTGAACCGAGTGACCGTGACAGATTTGCAAAACTTCTTAAGCTCTCGCGTCGGGATGTGCGCAAGCTCAGGAAACGCTGGAGAGTAGGCGTTTTGGTGTAAGTGCTCAGCGAGCGCCTCCATGGACGACTCAACGATGATGTCCTGGACTCCTGGTAGACGCAAATCTTGCTTCGCTAGGCGAAGCACTATCGTGAAATCCGGAGGGTGCGCTTTGGATGACACCGGCGGCTTTGTGAGCTCGCTAAAAGTAAGAAGTTCCATGAGCAAAGGCGCAATCGGGATGAAACGCCCGGTGCTCGCCGCCAAACGGTTGAGCAAAGCCACGAGTCGCAACCGAAGCGGAGCATAACGAGCCGAAGGCAACAAACGCGCGGCACCGAGGGCGACTTGAGCCAAAGGATACACTAAAGGTCTCAACGGGGCATCCTCGCTTCGCGCGTGTGCGCTTAACACGCGTTCCCAACACTCCAGGCAGTTCACGTATTGCCAGCAGTACACGTTTCGGAAAGCTTCCTTACTCTTCGCAGTCAGCGCACCGCGAAGAAGAGAAGCGAGCTGTCTTATGTACGTGAACGCTAACGGATAGGATTGTTGCTGATCGAGACCAAAGATTTCGACCACGCACGTCGACATGAACGCGATATGCTCCACAGACTCGGCGTTGACAAACTTGGCGTTTGATGCAAACGTTCTGTAAACACCCTTGGCGACTCGCTCCAGAGCCGGCGGTGGCAAGCCAACCGCTAGTGCTCGAAGGAGTAAAATAGCTTGAACTCGCACGGAAGGTTCACCACTACCGAAGCAGTGTAACGCAGTACGCGTGACTCGTTTGATTAAACGCTCAAACGTCGCCATGAATGGAGTTGAAGCTTTCAGTTGTCGGAGCACCATGCCCGTCATTTCGGCATCGGTGAGGTTGCCGAGCAAGTGCAAAGTATTTCCAACGAACGATTTCGCTAACGGTTGAACTTTCTTCCATCTGGCGTTGGTGTGAGGTTTGAAAGACCGGTTTCCGTCGTCGATTTCGTCGTCCTGTACCCCGAGCAATGCTCTGAGGATGCCGTCGCCATTCATCAGAGTGAATTGAACGAGTTCATGAAACGCGCTCGAAGATGCCAAACGCACGCTCGACTCATCACCATCGTTTTCATCGTCGCCAAAGTGACACGCCGCTCTATACGCCTGGAATAAAGCTTTCGCGCCGCCCAGAGATTTCCCTCCTTCGGCGTTGGCGCACAACTTCTTGACGATTTCCGTCGTGAGCGTTCGCAACTTTTTCTTCTTTCGCTCTGCACGTTCATCACCAGAATCTTCGTCTTCGTCCTCATCGTCCTCATCGTCCTCGTCTTCGTCTTCGTCAAATTCGAGCAGGTCCTGATCCTCCTCTTGCAAAAACTCATAAAATTCGGGATCCGTCTCCTTGAGCTTCTCCAACGATTTTTTGTGCGACTTCACGTCCTCCCGCATCTTACCGTTCTCACGCGTCACCCCTTTCAAATCATCGTCCTCCTCGTCCTCATCCGAAGATTCCTCCTCGTCCTCATCCGTCCCGGCGTCCTCGCTCTCGCTCTCGCTCTCGCTCTCAGCCGCCGCCTCGTCGTCCTCCTCCTCCTCCTCCTCCTCGTCCTCGTCCTCGAAATCGCTCTGATTCAAAAACTCATCGATCGACATATCCTCAACCCTCTTCTTCCCACCCCCCCCCGGCGCCTCGCCCTCGCTCGCGTCGCTCTCCTCGCTCTCCTCGTCGTCGTCGCTCTCTGTTCGCGCGTCGCCCCGAACCCGGTCCCTCGCGTCAGTCACCCATCCCTCGCCCCCCCCGCGTCCGGTCCCCGTCCGCGCCCGCGATTCGTTCGCCGCATCGCGCCGACGCACCTTCATCGCTCTTTCGCGCCTCCGCGCGTCGCGCGCGCGCGCCATCGCGCTGTTTTTTAATCTTCCTTGTCTTCCGGCGGCGGAGCTCGGCGTCGAGGTGTTTCCGCTGAAACTTCTTCGCGCGCTTCCCGAGCTTGGCCATCGCGCGCGGCGCGGCGCGTCGCGGTGCGCGTCGCGGCGCGCGTCGTCGCGGGCCGTCGCGCGCGGCGTCGGAATCTGCGGCGCGTCGCCGAATCCGAATCCGCACTCGACGACGCACGCCGCGACGCGATGCCGCCGTTCGAGGCGCGCGTCGACGGCGCGCGCGTCGTCGTCGACGCGACGCCGATGATGACGCTCGGCGACGCGGTCGCGGCGTGCGCGGCGAAGCTGCGCGCGACGCGCGGCGCGACGACGACGATGACGATCGAGACGACCGACGACGGCGCGGCGCCGACGCACGAGGTCACCGTCGACGGCGCACGCGCGTCGAGCGACGACCTGCGAACGGCGATTCGGTACCTCAATCACCCGCGAGGCGCGCGCGTGGAGGCGCGGCGGCGAGAGGAGGGCGCGCGGACGACGGCGAGACGCGCGACGACGGCGAGACGCGCGACGACGACGACGACGACGACGACGACGGAGAAGGCGGTCGAGGCGACGGGCGATGGGACGGGCGATGCGCGCGCGCTGGACGCGCTGGGACGGGCGTTCAGGGTGATACGTCGGGAGGTGGAGATCGAGGAGGGGCCGAACGACGCGGGGGAGGACCTGCCCGAGGCGTTTTACGAGCTCACGACGACGGACGCGGCGGCGCTGATGAAAAGGTCGAGGGAAGAGCCGGTGTTGATGACGAAGAAGATGCGAGAAGCGGCGGCGATGGGGAAGCCGAAACCGACGCGCGCGGCGATTCGGTTCACGCTGCCACCGCCGAGCGATTTGGTCGTCGAGGCGTCGTTCGCGGCGAGCGAGCGCGTGCGAGACTTGTACGAGTTCGTCGCGCGATGCGCGCGCGATCGAGCGGTGGCCGAGAGCGTGGAATTGTTCGTGACGCCACCAAAGCGCGTTTTCTCTCGAAACGACGATGCGACGCTGCTGAGCGCGGGGATGGCGCCCGCGGCGCGCGTGCGCGTGGGAGCGAAGGGCGCGACGTCCTTCGCGTCGGCGCGAGACGCCGAGGCGCTGTTGCGCGCCGACTTGATAGCGCTCGCGGCGGAACCCGCGAAACCAACCGTGCGGGTCGTAGAAAATGGATCGAATCTCGCGTTGGATGACGCCGAGCCCGAAAAGACGCAAGCGCAAAAGAAGGCTGCCGTCACGAACAAACTCATGGGCCATCTGATGGGTCGGCGCTGAGAAGCGATTCGAGTCGCTGTAGAAGAATGTGTAAATTACCACGCGCGCTAGGCCAAGCTAATCAATCGGATTCTCCTCGCGCTAATCAATCGGAATCTCCTTCTTTTTCTTCCTCGCGCCAGATTTCTTTCGGCTGCGTGTGCTCGTAAGCTTTTTTCGTAAACATCGGATTCGCGGCGGCTTTCTCGGCGTGCCGCAGGATGGACTCTCTCGCGTCCGTCTTCATCCAGTTCTTTTCGCCGAGCTCTTCGTTGTTGTGCATTATGTGCTGCGTGAGAAGCGATGCTCCCGTGCCCCCGGTCAACACACCGCTCTTGTCCATATTCGTCACCGCCTTGCTCGGGTTCTTTCGCAGAGCCTGGCGCGCGATGTCCGTCGAGTCGAGCTTGCGTTTGCCCGGCATTTGTTCCTTGAACGCTGGTAGCGCGTTCGGGGTGTAAGAAATTTCTTGCACATCGATGCGGACGAAATCATCCGCCTTTTTACGCACCGCTTTACCCACAGCCTGCGTGATGCCGCCCATGGACTTTTTGGGGTCGTAGAGCACGCGCAACTCCCCGCCTTTGGCGTCGCCGCAGCCGACGAAGATTTGGTTCAGACGCGGATGCCAAGTCGCCGCGATGCAATTCGTCGGCGTCGAAACGCGATGCACCATCTCGAGCTTTTCTCTGTCGAAGAAACAGAGACCGCCCTGCGTGTTACCGCCGCGCGAGTCGCGCTCGGCGTCGACGCCGGTGAAGAAGTACACGTCGTTTGGCGACCAACCCACCGTGGTTTCGCTGTGGCGCGTCGGTAAATCTTCGAACCGCTTCAAGGGCGCCTTGACGTTGCGCAGATCCCACACGTTTAGCGTACCGTCTTCGCAACGCGAAAGCAGCGTGCGACCGTCCCTACCGAACGAAAGCGACGTCACCTCCTCGCCCGCCGGATGCGCGCCTTTGAAGAGATGACTCGGTCGTCCGTTGAACGTCCAGTGGTTGTCGAGTTTGCACTGCTGCGAAGGCGGTAGGACCAAGCCGATGGTTGCGGATTTATACTGCGAGCCCTTGGACGAGAAGATTTGCACGCTACCGTCCGTGATTCCACCCGCGATCAAATCTCCGTCGTGCGAGTACGCGCACGACGTCACTTGCACGCGCCCCGGCTTGACTTGCTGCGGCTTGAGCACCGCCTTTTGCGACCCGCGCGCGTCGCCCAGGTACGTGACGTCCCACAAACGCAGCGCACCGTCCTCTCCCGCGGTGCAAATCGTCTCCTTATCCAGCGGGTTCCACTTCACGTCCGTCGTCGCCGCGACGTGTCCTTTGGTATTCCTCAAATCTCTGATGTACATGTCGCCCTTGTCGAATTCCCCCAATTCGACCCCATCTCTGTCGTGCACCGTCGGCTGCCAGCTCCCGCTCGCCGCGACGAACATGTCCCCCGTCGGCGACCAATCGACGGCGTGTATCGGGTACCCCTCGCGCGGCGCGATCGACCGAAACGGTTGTAAATCCCGCTTCATCCCGTTGAAATCGTACAACCGCACGACGCCGTCCGAAGATCCCGCCGCCATTCGCGCCCCCGATCGATCCACCGCGCAGCACGTCGCCGGTTTCTTAAATCCCTCCATCACCGCCTCCGCCGCGCGCGGAATCGCGTCCTCTTCCTCGTATTCCTCCTCGCCGCTTCCCCGGTCCGCCTCGCCGCCGCCGCCGCCGCCGCCGCCGCCGCCGTCGTCGTCGTCGTCGTCCCTCGCGCCCAGCGCCGCCGTCGCGCGCGCGCCGTCGTCCACGACGTCCCTCGCCGTCGCGCCCGCCCCCCCGCCTCGCCCGAACGCCGTCGGAAACGCCGCGCGCGCTCGATCCGCGTCGTCCTCGAGCGCGCGTTGCCTTCGCACGAGCGCCGCCATCGCGCCGCCGTCGCTCGCGCGCATCGCCACGCGCGCCATCGCGCGCCGTCGCGCGAGCGCGCGAAGCGCCTCGTCGTCGTCGTCGTCCCGCATCGTCCGTCCCACTGCGCGCCGCGATCCGCGCCGTCGAGTGCGGTCGACGACGCGTTCGTTCGCCACTCGACGACGCCGCGCACGCGCGCGATCGGCGCGCGCGGCAGGCATGCGCCGCGCGGCGTCGCGCGGCGTCGTCGCGACCGCGCGTCACGGCGCCGCGGACGGCGCGCGACGGCGCCGACGCGCGCGGTCGCGCGCGCAATGGGACGGGCTCGAGCGATGGCGCGAAAAAGCGCTCGACGCGCGACGCGCGTGGGGCGACGGCGACGAACCGACGACGACGGCGGACGCGCGCGCGCGCGACGACGGGGGCGACGCGCGCGCGCTCGCGAGCCGCGCGCGCGAGATCGTCGCGACGGCGTGCCCGAGAGAGAAGGCGCGACTGAGCCATGTGGCGTATGGGTTATTAGTGAGAGGGAAGATTGACATCGCGGACGCGACGACGCGCGCGAGCGACATGCCGACGCGACCGGCGCGACCGGCGAAACCGAGACTGGTGCCGCCGAAAGAGGTGCCGTCGCCGAAAAATTCGCCGCTGGGGGCGGCGGCGCACGCGATGCACACGGTGACGCACATCGAGCTGAACGCGATCGATTTGGCGTGGGACACGGTGGGACGGTTCGCGGATTTGCGAGGCGCGCTGCCGGATCAGTTCTTCGTGGACTTCGCGCACGTCGCGGACGACGAGTCGAGGCACTTGCTGTGGTGCCTGCAGCGGCTGGAGGAGCTCGGGGTGGCGTACGGGGACGTGGCGGCGCACGACGTGCTGTGGGAGGGGTGCGAGGCGACGCGCGACGACCCGCTGGCGCGGCTCGCGGTGGTGCCGTGCATGCAGGAGGCGCGCGGGTTGGACGCCGGTCCGCGCCTCGTGGAGCGGTTGGTCGGGCACGGCGACGCGCGCAGCGCGGCGATCGTCGCGAGGATCAGCGAGGAGGAAATTGCACACGTCGCCGTCGGCGCGACGTGGTTTCGCACCGTGTGCGCCGCGCTCGGCGACGACGACGACGACGCGCGCGCGGACGACGTCGCCGCCGCGACGTTCCGCGCGTACATTCAACGTCTCGCGCCGGACGCGCTGCGCGGTCCTTTCAATCACGACGACCGCGCGCGCGCGGGCATCGACCCGTCTTGGTACGCCGACGCCGCCGACGCGTCCGCCGACGTCGCCGTCCAGAGGCGTTTGTTCACATTCGACGACCCGCGCGCGGCGTCTGCGCTCCGCGCGCGTCTGCGCCACGTCGTCGCCCTCGAAACCGGCGCTCGCGACGCGTGACTCGGTCTGTGAATCAGCACGCATCCCCGCGCGTTCGCTTCGCCGCCGCGGCGCTTCGCCGCTTCGCCGCCGTCGCCGCGTCCGAGTCGCGCCGCACACGCCGCCGCCTCGGCGCGCCGCGACGCCGCGCCCGCGCGCCGCGCGCCATGCCATCGCTCGCCGCGCGTCCTCGCGCCGCGCCTCGCGCGCCTCGCGCCGCGCTCGGCCGTCGCGCGTCCGCGACGAAAACCTCAACCTCGACGCCGCCGCGCGCCGTCTCCGTCTCCGTCGCGCGCGCGCGCGGCGCGCTGCACGTCGCGCGCGCGGGCGGGACGACGAAGAGCACGATCGCCGCGCACCGATGGTCCACGGACGTCGACGCGTGGGTGATCGAGGGGTCGGACTGCGCGCTGGAGGCGGGCGAGCGACTGATCCTGAGCGTGCCGGCGACGAGCGCGAACATGGGACCGGGATTCGATTGCTTTGGATTCGCGGTGGACGTGCGAAACGAATTGATCGTCGAGCGAGGGACGTTCGCGATCGAGATCGAGGGCGAGGGAAGGGAGGAATTGCCGAGGGATGAGACGAACGCGATTTACGACGCGGTGCGGGCGGGGTTCGAGGCGGCGCGACCGGGGATGAAATTGCCGAAGGATTTGCGATTCACGAGCGTGAATCGAATCCCGCCGGCGAGAGGGCTCGGGAGTAGCAGCGCGGCGCTCGTGAGCGGGCTCGCGTGCGGGCTCGCGCTGGGGGGGATGGATGTGGATGCACCGCGCACGAAGCAAATTTTGTTAAATTTGGCGAGCGACATCGAGGGGCATCCGGACAACGTCGCGCCGGCCATCTACGGCGGATTCCAAATCAGCATCAACGACGATAATCAATGGATCACGCAACGCGTGTCGTGCCCGAAGGATGTGCAAACGGTGCTTTTTATTCCCAAGTTTCAATCGCTCACGGCGGAGACGCGCGCGCAACTGTCGCCGACGCTTCCCATCGCGGACGCGGTGCACAACATCGCGCGCGCGGGTTTACTCGTGAACGCGTTCGCGACGGGCAACCTCGAGTTGTTGCGATACGCCACGCAAGACGTGATTCACCAGCCCATTCGCGGGAAGCCATTCGGTTTGGACGGCTTGATCGACGCGGCGCTCAAGGCGGGCGCGCAGGGTTGCTTCATGAGCGGCGCGGGTCCGACGGTGTTAGCCGTCGTCGGCGGGCACGGTGGATCGGTCGAAAACGATACCGCAGGCACGTTTAAGGCGTCCATGGTCGCCGACGCCATGATGGCGGCTTCTAGAGCTAATAACGTCGACGGCGAAGTCGTCATCGCGAGTCCCACTGAAACTGGCGTCACGGCTTTCGTCGAATTCGCGTAGAACACCTCTACGGACGCGTGTGATACTATCGCTACACTATGTCTAAACTGCTATTCTAGTACTTCGGCCGCACGATCACTCGACGCGATTCGATGGGCGGCACGAATGTCGCGGAGAAGCGCTCGGCGCCGAGCGACAACTCGGGAAGGATGGCGCTTCCGGTGACAATCGGAACAAGTAAAAAGTAAAACGACGCCGTGGACAACGGAGGCACGTACATTGTACCGCGCTTTATTCCTGCGAACACAAACCCCGTGCTATCCGTAACGGATATCTTAATGTCATAGTTCGCCGTCGTGGCGTTCGAGACGCGTACTTCGTACGTGAATGGATCGCCAACGAAAAGTTTTGGCGGACACCTGAGCTCCACCACAAGGGGCGGTTGCGAACCAGTGACGTTTGGCAAGCAGTACTCGTTTAAAATTACCGTCGGAACGCCTTTCACACATCTGGAATCTCCGTGAGTGCGATGCCACATGACGCGAATAGCGTCTTCGCCGTGTTCGTGTGAACGGAGCGGGATCACGTGCAAGAATGCATCGCCATCGTAAAGCGTGGCGTCAGACCTCGTCTCCGTCGTTGCGAGCGCCATCGTGTTTGTGGGATCCTTGGTGTCGTGACTCTGTACGCCGTCGAGGGTTATCTCAGCTGGTCCGCCGACGTGAAGCGTGGCGAGCATGACACCCACCGGCGGCGACTTGGAGCACTTGTCTTCCTGAAGGACTAATGGCGATTGTCGGTACGCCGGAAGATACGCGCGCTTGACAGTGAAAGGTGCATCGCAAGATATTTGCGCCACATTCTCCACGGGCGCCGTGCGCGGCTTGTCCTTGAAGAGCTCCGTCATTCGCGCCCCTGTTCGTTTCGCCGTGAGCGACGCGTGTAGGGCGGCGGGCGGACATTCACCTGTCCATCGCAAACAAATCATCCCTGTCCATTTCTCGCGAAGTGCGATGTCGCCGACGATAATTTTACCATCCTTAATCACGTCGCCTGAGTCCGTAAGAATCTGAACATTCTTAGACGGTTTGTCGCCTTCTATGACGACCAACGCGAGTTCACCTTCCTCGATTTCATCCGCAACGCTTAAAACGGTGATGATTACACGCGACATCTCACCCACGAGCGCCGGACCATCAGGCGTTCTCATTGAAATCGACGCACGCGGAGGTGCGTCGCTCACGTCCAGGATGTGCGTCTTGATTTTCATCTTGAGCACTGACGCAGGCAGGGATTCGTAATCTGCATTCATCACTGAACAATCGCTCGTTTGCGTTGTGAACGGAAGAACTAGTTCGTACCCTGACACCGTCGTGATCGTCAAAGAATTCGCCTCGCACACGTACCCACACTTTGGGATGACTTCGAAATCGATTTTCAACCATTCATTCGAGCGCAACGTTCGAGGAGTTGCATCGCTCAATTCGTACGCGTCCAGTTCGGTGAAATCAACATCGATGTGAGTGACGTCCAGATCACCCGCAAAGTTTGATCTTAAGGCGACGTGGAACTTGACCGGCTCTCCCGGGACGCAATCGCTCGTCGAGAAGCCAGCCTTGAGTATGAATGTATGGCTGAGGTTGTCTTCGCAGGTAATCGTCGGCGCGTCTTCATCTTCCCCGCGCGGTTCGTTCATAGCCGCGAGCGCAGCCGCAAACGCAGAAGGCGCGTGCTCGTCGGTGGCTTCGTGCAAAGCAGCCATCTCGAGGCAAATGTTCAAGTACTCTTCGTTGTCTCGAAGCGCTTTGGCGCACGTCTTGAGATTCATGAGCACAGAGCACAGCAACTCGTTCCACTTTTCGCGTCTATACACCACGGCAACGGTTTTGAACAGCTTGAGTGCGCTTTCATAGTCTCCCGCGTGCAAATACTCGTTTGCGAGTTCGCGAATGAGCGTTGCGAACGTGCGTCCACCCGCGGTACCCGCCGAGTTTGTCTTGTAATGATCATGTGCTTTGGTCAAAAGTTCGATCGTCTCGCGAGAGATGTCGTCGCGCGTGTCCTTGACACGAAGGTACGTCATGTATTGCTCTGCAGTCAAAGGCTCATCGTCCGTGCCGGCGACTTTTAATTGCCCGACGAATGATGCATGTTCAACCTTCACTTCCATCTCGGGCACTTCGTTCGAGTCGACTACGTCGTCGAAAGCTTGTCGACGCTCAATGGAACAGTGCGCTGCGGCGTGAAAGTAAAACGCCGGCAAATGCGTGCGCGGTGTACCAACGGGAGCTGGTGCGGGTAAACGTCCATTAAGCAAATCACCGAACACGTCGTACTGGTGAGAGCGCCAGCGGTGAAACGTCGGCAAAGCTTCTCGCGGTAACGCCTTGAGAGGCGCCGTCGACCATCGGCGCATGTGCTCCTCGATTTGATGCACAGCCTCCACCGACGAACCACTGTGTAATAGTAGAACGCACAGTTTCACGTGTAGCACTTGGCTCACTTCAAGTGTTTCAATCACATCTTGCGGCGTCACGTCTGGAGTCACGTCTGGTATGGAATCATACGCCAAGCGATATCGCCGAACAGCCGTGGTCCAATCCTGTCTAAACTCCGCGTACACTCCTGCTTTGAACGCGTACCGCACTTTCAACCCCCGAGGACACGTCGACTCACTTGCAAGCAATGTCAGACGTTCGCACTCGCTCTCATAATTCTTCACCGCCAATTCTTGTGCCACCCTCGCCGCTTTGCTCCACGCCGCGTCGCGACCGTGCGCCGTATTCAGCGTCACGATGGCGCGATTTTCCACGCGTAGCACCCGTCGAATCACCGCCGCTTTATCCTCCGGTAACGTTTCCGGCAATCCAGGCCCACACGCTACTACGACGACGCAGCACGACGCCCCTGCGTTGTGCGCGTATCCGTACAGCTTCTCCAGCGAGCTCTCCAGCGCTCGTCTCGTCGTCGACGAATTTTCCAACGCCTCGTTATCGATCAGCGCCATCACCACAACCGGGCGTTCATCTTTATGTTTCTTCAACCACGACCGCTTTATCATTCCCGGAAGCGCGGGTGTTCGACGGAATCCGCCGCTCGCCGTCGTCGTCGCCGTCGCCGTCGCCGCGCCGCGATCGTCCCTACCAGACGACTGCAGCGCATCACCGGAGGCCCCGCCGCCCGGCCCGACGCGCTCGCGCAGCGACACCTTGACGGATCGCTTGCGCGCGCGCGCTTTCAACGCATCGGGGGCGTCCGCGATGTCGTCGCGCGTCGTTAATCCGAGCGGAGGCTTGAGATTTCTGAGAACGCGCGCGCACTCTTCGTGCAAATCTGGACGCCCCAAGGCGAGGACGAGGCCGAGAGGCGGGACGCGCAGTTCGTCTAGACGCATCGCGCGCGTCCGCCGTCGGCGCGGTCGGCGCGCAGCGGAATGAGGAGACGCGCGAATGCGAAGCGGTTGAAGAAATTTCTACGAGGCGTCGCGATACTATTCATGAAGTTCTACCTCCACACCGGCGCGCGCTGCGCGCATGACAATCGATCGCGACTATTTTTTCGCCGTTGTTGTAGTCGTCTCGCGAGCGCGCTTTCTCGACCCAGGGGCGACCACGATGGCGGCTAAGTCGTCGTCGTCTTCGTCGCTCGAATCGCTCGCGTCTTCGTAAAAGTCATCCTCTAAATCATTCTGCCCGTGCGTCTCGTCCTCGTCGTCCTCGTCGTCGTCTTCGCTCTCGTCGTCGTCTTCGCTGTCGATAACGTGACTCGGCGGCACCCAGCACCCCATCTCGTCGTCGAAGCCGCCGGCTTCGCGCTTGCGTCTGCGAGCCGCCTCCTTCTCCGATTTCTTCGCCTCCTTCTCCATCTGCATCTTCTCCGCGCGCGCCTCCTTCGCCGCCTTATTCACACTCGCCCGCGCGAGTTGCGCCTCTCGATCCGCCTCGCGCGCCGCTTCCTCGACGACCGGATCCTTCTCCTCCAACGGCGTCGTCCGTCCCGCCGCCGCCGCCGCGTGCGCTCGTTCGAACCGCCGTCCGCTCGCGTGTCTCACCACCGCCTCCTCGCTCGCCCGCACGCGCGCTCCCGTGAGTCTACAAAACACGTATCCACTCCTGTACGCGCTCGGCACGATGTGCGGTTCGTACTGCTTCAAATCCGCCTCGCGCGCCGCCCTCGCCGTCGCCTTCGCGAATTTTTTCCCGCCCAGGTGAGCGCGCATCGCTCGCTCCCCGACCTCGCGCGTCTCGCCCGTCCACGACACCGCGTGCGACGTCTCCTCGCACGTCACCGTCGTCCGCGCGTCGTCGTCGTCGCCGTCGCGTCGCATCGCGAGCGTCGCGCGCGGGAACTCGCGCCGAAGTCGCGCGACGGCGGCGTCGTCCTCGGCCTCGCGCATCGCGCGCGTCGCGTCGCGCGTCCCGCGTCGTCGTCGTCGTCGTCGTCGTCGTCGTCGTCGTCGTCGTCGTCGTCGTCGTCGTCGCCGTCGCCGTCCGTCGTCGCGCCGCGCCGCGTCGCGCTCTGCCGACGGTGCCGCGCCCGCACTCGCCGCCGCGCGCGCGATGTGCCGATGGATCTTCTACTACGGCGAGGAGGTGTGCATCTCCAAGCTCATCTACGGCGCCTCCCACGGGCTGGCGACGATGGCGGACAGCGCGGGATGGACGCCGGGATGCGCGCGCGACGCCGAGCGGAATCACGAGGTGAACGTGCACGGATGCGGTGCGTGACGCGACGACGAGGCGCGCGCGCGCGAAAACGACGGGGCGAACGCGAGGAGAGACTCCGCGTCGCGCGGCTCGAGCGCTCGGCGAGCGCGCGATGACGGCGGGACGACGGACGAGGATGGGACGCGGGACGCGGGACGGGGGCGGGACGCGCGCGCGAGCGAAGGACGGACGAAGGCGAGGGACGAAGGACTGACGAACGCGACGCGCGACGACGGTGAACAGGGATCGGATGGTACGCGGCGACGCGGTGTGGGATGGTGGATAAGAACGGATTGGACGCGTACTGCAGGCCGGCGGTGTACACGACGGTGTGCGCGCCGTCGCACGATAGAAATTTGAGGTCGCTGAGCAAGTCGCTCAACGCGTCGTTGTTGTTCGGACACGTGCGCGCGGCGGGGCCGGGGGCGAGCGTGCATCAGTATAATTGTCATCCTTTCGTCAGGGGACGGTACATGTTCATGCACAACGGCGATGTGGCGGAGTTTAAGTCGATTCGGCGGAAACTGTTAGGGCACCTGCGAGACGACTTGTTTGATCAAATCAGCGGCACGACGGATAGCGAGTTGGTGTTTTCTTTGATTTTGAACGAGCTGCCAAGCGTGTACGAAAAGTGTGAGCCGAAGACGTTGGAGAAAGCGGTGTTTAAGGCGATATGCATCATCATCAAGGCGAACAAAGGGCAGGCGAACTCGATAAATATCGCGTTGACGGATGGGGAAACCATCATCGCCACGCGTTATCGCAACTCGTCGCACGAGGAGCCGCCGAGTTTGTATTTTCACCTCGGTCCGATGCCGGGGGAGAAGGCTTGGGATTTAGATAACGCCGAAGGTTTAGCCGGGTTCGATCGTTTGGTCGATAGGGACATTCACAGAAATACGGGCGGTCCGCGTCAGCGCCGAAATCCGGCTTTCCAAACCATTCTGCAAAAGAAGATTTTTGCGACGCAGTCGCTGTTGGTTTCGAGCGAACCGCTGAGCATGACGGGACTGGCAAACTGGCAGCTGTGCCCACCGAATTGCATGATTGTCGCTCATCCGACGAGACCGACCAAAGGACGATGCACGCGAGAAGATTTATTGCGAAGTCTGAACGAAGGCAAACGCCCGGGCGATCCCATGCACGAGCCGTGCTCGCCGTCCAAGAGACCGAACTCGAGCGACTCGCCGGTGTTGGAGATCGAGTTCAGATGTCTCGAAGAACTTTGCGACACGATCTTAAGTTTCGATAAAAGCGCGAGAACGTCGTCCGAGGTGAATCTCGAAGGCATGCATCCAGCGCTTTCGCCGACGAAGAAAGCTGTTCGGCGCACGGGGAGCCTGTCCGAGCTCGGCTCGGAAAAGGACCCCAACGGAATTCCTACCCCACCGCGCTCGCCCACGCCGAAATCCGATGAAATATCGAAGGTGGTGAAAGCGGGTGGCGGAATGTTAGGATTTTCTTCGCTGTCCAAAGAGCTGCGTTCGCTCAACGCGTCCATTTCGCCCGCAAGTAGCGGAGGCGACAAGTCTCAGGTACACCCTAACTCGGCTTCGCGCGTGTCCGTAGATCGACACGAACACGAAGCCAGCAGCATACGTAGATCGCTGAGTATCAGCAACAATATGGTAGCGTCGTCTTGGCACGAAGGGTCGCGGTATTTGTCAAAATAAACGACCACGCTATCGCCTCAATTTTTCGCGACGCCGACATTCGAAACGTTTTTGTAATATAGTAACTTCCTTCACAAATCATCTACTAAAGTACGTTACGCAAGCCAGCAAGCGAGCAAGGAAGCAAGCAAGGAAGCGTTATTAAAAAATAATTTTGTGCTTTAAACTCTCTCCCCTCCTCATCGCGACGGCTTTTGTTCGGACTCCGCTTGCGACGGTTCGACGCCTTCGAGCATCTCGAACAAGTGACCCATCTTCATTCTCTTCGTGTCGATGTATCTCTTGTTTTCCATCGTGACTGGAGCGAAAAGCGGCACGCGACCGGTGACTTTCAAACCGTAACCGCTCAAACCGTTGTATTTGGCCGGATTATTGGTCATCAAGCGAAGAGACGTGACGCCGAGATCTTGTAAAATTTGCGCGCCGACGCCGTACTCGCGCGTGTCTGCGGGAAAGCCGAGATCCTCGTTCGCCTGAACCGTGTCGCGTCCTTCATCCTGTAAGTTGTACGCGCGCAATTTGTGACCGAGACCGATACCACGACCTTCTTGTCCGCGCAAGTACACGATGCACCCTTTGCCCTCGCCGGCGATGCGTCGCATCGCCATGTCGAGCTGGTTGCCGCAGTCGCATCTCGCGCTTTTGAAAATATCCCCAGTCAAACACTCGCTGTGCACGCGCACGAGCATGTCTTCACCCACAGCACCGGATACGTCGCCTTCGTGCTCGCCGTACAGAAAAGCCACGTGCTCGTGACCATCGAGAGTGTTCTTGTAAGACACGCACGTAAAGTTGCCGTACTCGGTGGGCAACCGCGCGACGGCGGTGCGCTCAACCATCTTTTCTCGCGCGCGACGATACCGAATCATATCAGAGATGAGAACCATCTTCAACCCATGCTTCTCCGCGAAAACTTTGAGCTGAGGCAACCGCGCCATGGACCCATCCTCGTCGTTGACGATTTCGCACAACACGCCCACGGGGGACGACCCCGCCATGCGCGCCAAGTCCACCGCCGCCTCGGTGTGTCCCGCCCGTTTCAGCACCCCACCCGCGCGATATCTCAACGGAAACACGTGTCCCGGTCTCACGAACGCCGCCGCCGTCGTCTCATCCGATCCCAGCGCGTTGATCGTCATCGCTCTTTCGCTCGCCGATATCCCCGTCGTGCTCGTCGCCAAATCCACGCTCACCGTAAACGCCGTCTTCATCGCATCCTTATTACTCTGCGAATCCACCATCAGCGGCAGATCCAGCGCGTCCGCCCTCGAATCCTCAAGACTCACGCACACCAACCCGCTCGTGTGTCGAATCATGAACGCCAGCGACTCCGCCGTCATCTTATCCGCCGCCCCAATCAAGTCCCCCTCGTTCTCCCTGTCCTCGTCGTCCAGCACGACGACGAATTTCCCCTTCGCCACGTCCTCGAGCGCGTCCGCGACGGCCGCGAACCCGGCCGTGGGCGCGTCGGGATCATCCCCGGTCGTCGCGCGCGCTCGAGTCGTCGCGCGGTGTCGCGTCGCGCGCGCGCCGTCGCGTCGTCGCGTCGTCGTCGCGAGGGTCCGCGCGCGACGCGTCCACGCGCGCGCGTCGCGTCGTCGCGCGTCGCGCGCGGGCGCGCGCGCCGACGCGCATCGCGACATTCGGTTCGTCCTCGTCGCGTCGCCCGCGTGTGCGCTCGCGTCACGCGCGCGCGCGGGTGACGCGGAATCGCGCGCGCGGCGTTCCGCGGTCGTCCGGCGGCGCCGCGCGCGCGCGCGCACATCGCCTCCGCGTCGGCCTGTATGCGCGCGACGCGTCGGGATGAGGCTCGATATATGTATACACTTCGGACATGCGGGTATGTATGTTTGAGTGTGTGTGTATATAGATTTGAGTGTGTATGTACAAACAGTGCGCGTGTAGATTGATGTGCGCGCGCGCGCGCGTCGCCGGGTCGCGCGCGCGCGCGAGACGGCGCCGCGGCGCGCGCGCGCGCGAGATGGACGACGATGAGAGCGTGCGCGACGTCGTTCGCGCGCTGACGAAAAATCGCGGCGCGCGCGCGACGACGACGCGCGCGCGCGCGAACGCGGCTCGAACCGTCGAATCGTTCGCGCGGTCGCGCGCGCGCGGCGCCGCGTCGACGCGCGACGACGACGACGACGACGACGACGCGACGCCGGGTAGACGTCTCGCGACGGACGCGACGGACGCGCGCGCGCTCGACGACGAAGAAGCGGCGCTGGACGCGGAGCTGGATGCGATGACGCGCGCGATGGACGCGCGCGACGGCGGCGCGAGCGCGACGACGCGCGCGATGGACGCGCGCGACGGCGACGCGCGCGATGGAGACGACGGCGACGCGGGCGCGGCGATGCGCGCGCGGGACGCGCCGAAGATGTGGCGCGCGCGGTACGTGGATGAGGTGGAGGCGCCGAGACGAGGGCGCGAGCGGTCGAGGGCGACGCCGACGCTCGCGGACGCGTTCGGGACGCGGCGGGGGGACGTAGAGCTCGCGATGGCGTCGATTCCCGCGGTGAGCGCGCGGGACGCGGTGCGAGGGAAGTCGCTGAGCGAGCGGTTGTCGCGCGTCGTGTCGCGCGTGGATGAAATTCAGTCGAGCGTCGACGAGGCGAAGCGACTTCTCGGGATGGACTAGAAAACGGTAGAAATTAAACAAACATCAGTAGGTACACGCGAACGGTGGCGAAGTCATAAACTCAATAATTCAACGCGCTCAACCCGTGGCGCGGTCGTCCTCGGGCGTCGATGGCTTGGCCCCCGGCGGAGCCGGCGGAGCTCGGCGTTTGTATCCCGCGGTAAAGCAATCGCACTACACTCCCAAGTCATCGGAGATTTCTGTACCGAGTTCGGGATCGATACGAAGATGAAGCAATCACTGATTCGACGAGCAAAAGCTAACGGTGGTAAGCTCGGGTTTCTTGCCTGAGATGACGTTCGCGCGACGTTCGGATTACACAATCTGCGTTTGACTGGCATCTTCCGAACCCGTGGCAGCGCCACGCGCCAATTTTTCATTTAAGCTACATATCGAGAAAAATAGTAATATTTCATACTCTCATCGTATTTACTATACGCGATAGTTTCGCTAAGGGTCGTTTTACTTTGCATTCAACGAGCGCGTGGCCGACAGGCGCGCGTCGTTTCACCTCGACATCCGTTTGCTAGTAACGTTAGACGACGGCGCCCCGATGTCGCAGGGGACGGCGAATCGAATGAAGTTGTGTCAAAATTGGAACAAGCAGCCGCGCGCACACATTGACACAATCGAGGTGACCCACAAAGTGTCCACCGTGCGGTATGCAAAATCGCACCAAGCCGTACACCTCGACGACAGACGTAGCTACAGTTTGAGCAACTGTGAGCATTATCAAACGGCACGTAGAAGCGCGCATCGAACGCGGGCCTTAAAGAAAGCAGGCAATTTACGTGCGTTTGAACATGAGGGAAAGAAGATGATAAGTCGCTTTGAAGAGGCATGTGCAGTGCACATAGATGAACCTGTGGTATGGATCTCCTATTCTCGAATGCTCGAGGAAAACTTAGGCGATACAAAAGCAAGCCGACGAGCATTGCAGCGTGGTGCAGCCGTAAGTGTGCACGACCACGAAAAATCGGGATTATTTATTCAACTGTTGGCACTACGAGAACTCAAGGCAGATCGTCTGCAGAGAGCGTATCGACTTGCATTAATTGCCGCTGAAATGAACGAGGACTGTGTGCCATTGCTACGCTGGAAAATCTTCCGAGATACTAAGGACGAACGCGCGGTGGCATTGGCTTCTCGCGTACCGAAGAAAATCCCGGCTCGCACAAAGTACGATTCGCAAAATGTTTCAGAGCTTTCGCCTCAAGAGACAACCAACGTGGCCCCAACAAATTCTTGCAACGTGAGCATCGATACTGAATGGATCCTAGCATACTGCTGCTCAATACCTTTCCTAGTTTTACTATTTGTTATTCCTTATCCATGAACATAACATACACGCACTTTTCAGGCATCATCCACTACTGTGCATTTTTCTTCCACGGGGCACGCATACGCCCAAGTTCAGCGAGTATTTGACAATCAAAAAGATGAAGGACCCTGAAACGTTCAACGCCGAGTATCTGCCATAGATGAAGGCTAACAAAACGAAGCGCAACGCAACGATAATCGCGAAAGCGTCCATTGCCGAACTCGCTGCGCAAGAAAACCGCGAACACTACTGTTTAGTCGTGTTCCTTGCTTATTTGCTTGACAAACCATAGCGAAGGACCAACTCCTGGCATGTAAGTTGTGCTAAATGTTTTCTCGCCTTCGTGTTTCAGAAGGACACGTGTTTCAGAAGGACACGTGTTTCAGAAAAGGTCCATTTTTTACACGCTTCTAGTGGAACCTGAGCGAAAATATGTAATTATAGGGTTTAGTAATTAGGGCTGGGTGATTGCTCTCGATGGGCGCGTGCCAAGCACACTCCGACACGCGTCTGTTATTTACGACTAATCGGCGAGTGAACATTCATTTGCGCACACACAACGGCGCCACAGCAATTCCCGCGGATATGTTCCAGACGAATAGCTTTCTTACGCGATCGAGCTTTTTCGGGGCGCGCCCAAAAGCGCGCACAAACGACCGGCGAACAGTGTACACCAAAGCACCACAGGCTAAAGTGGGGCTCTTCTTCAGTACGACTTCGGGTAAGTTACTCAACTTTGTTGAATTGTTCTAATTCCAACTTGCTCAACGACTGACGTGCAACTGACGCCTTAGGAAACTGCGAATACTGTGCGGAATGGATCCAAAGTTCATTCGAACCCTATGGAGAGATCACAGAACCAATGGACATTGCGGACGTTGCTGTGAGTGATCTGTCAAGTTACGATTCTCTCATTGTTGGAGCCCCGACCTGGCATACTGGTGCTGACGAAGGAAGAAGTGGAACCGCATGGGATGAAGCGTACGGTGATATCCGGTCGCTAGATTTGAGCGGCAAAAAAGTTGCTGTTTTTGGTGTTGGTGACAGTTCTGCTTACGGTGAATACTTTTGCGACGCCATCGAAGAACTTCACTCGGCTTTCCGAGATACTGGCGCAGAAATGTGCGGTGGAAACGTCTCTAAAGATGACTACGATTTCGCCGACAGTAAGGCTCTTGTTGATGGTGTGTTTATTGGTCTCCCTCTTGATGAAGACAATGAAAGTCACAAGAGTGAAGAACGTGCAAAGAACTGGTGCAAGCAGCTCTCCAACGCAGGCTTCAAATAGCGAAAGCCTCTTATTGTATGTACTGCAACAACCGCGTGCAACTTATTGCAGGCTCCGAAACTGATCTAACAACCGCTTCGAGCACTTGGTGTCCCACGGAAATCCAAAATTCAAGCAACTTATATTTAACCGAAACGCGTAATGAAATATGATTTACAAGTGTTGCTATTGCCCCAATTTTCATAAGAGCTCACTGACATTTCATCATCAATCATCCTGCAACCCGAATCATGCAATCCCGAGACCTTGTTTATTTGCAAACGAAGCTTGAAATTTTTCCCGAAGAGCTGTTCCGTTTTCAAAAAAAAGTTTCCGTGATTTCAGTCCGTGATGCCCGTGGCTGAAGTCATAAACTCAATAATTCAACGCGCTCAACCCGTGGCGCGGTCGTCCTCGGGCGTCGATGGCTTGGCCCCCGGCGGAGCCGGCGGAGCTCGGCGTTTGTATCCCGCGACGAATTGATCGTAAAGCGCCTCTTTGTACTCCAAACGCGGACCCGCGACGACGCGCAGCGCGGCGTGCAGCGCAGCGGCTTCGTACCCCTCCAATCCAGCCGCCGCGAGCGTGCCGATGAACCGCACGCCGCCGTTCTTCGCATCCGGCGCCACGCCGTCGAGCGACATGAGCGTCGACAACGAAATCGCCGCCACGTCGCTCCTTCCACGAACTTTCTCTCCAATCTCGCCCATGTACGCCAACACGGGCGTCACCACCGTTCGACCACGAACGTCTAACACGTCGTGCGTCGCCCCCAACATCTCCACCACCGTCTTATCGTCTTTCCCGAACAACGCCTCCTTCGCTCGCTTCGCCGCGCTCGTCGTCGCCACGCTCGCGCTCTCCAACAGCGTCCACTCCTCCACCGCCGCGCTCGGCAGCGCGCACGCCCTCCCCCGTCGCATCATATCCTCGCTCACCGTCACCACCACGCACGGATCTTCGTTATACGTGCCCAGCGGGACCAACGCGACGCGTCGTCCGTGCGCCGACGCGTCGCCGTCCAGCTTCCGCGTCGCCATCGCGCGCAAATCTCGCGCGATTCGCGCGCGTTCGTCCTCCCGCAGCAGGCGCGCCGTCGCGGAATCACCGTCGCGCGTCGCCATCGCGCGCGTCGTCGCCGTCGTCGCCGTCGTCGTCGTCAGCGCGCGCGCGGCGTTCGCGTCGCCGCCGCGCGCGCGTTCGAGCGCGCGCGCGCTCGAGCGCGCGACGCGCGCGAGGCGACGCGACATGGCGCGTCGACGACGACGACGGGCGCGTTTCGCGCGTCGCGCTCCGAGGCGAGGCGCGGTGCGCGGCGCGCGACGCCGCGAGATGGCGACGCGCGAACCGCGAGCGCCAGCGTGGATAAAACGCTGGCGGCGGGACGACGCGCGAGTCGCTGGGAATACAACGATGGATCATCGACGCTTGTACGAACACGCCTTCAAAGGAGGCCAACGAATGGGAGCAGACGCGCGAGGGGTGGCGAACGTCTTCAAGAGCTCGACGGTGAAGAACATGGTGTTGCGCTCGTCCGGGTCGCGCCCGAGCCTGAAGCCGAGCGCGCCGAGGGCGGCGACGAAGGAAGACACGGTGGCGGCGCCGTTTTTGCCGTCGAATCGGGAGCGAACCTCGGCGATCCATAATAAACCGCCCGGTTTTAACACGCGATGGGCCTCCTCGAGGAAGGAGCCGTAGTCGGTGCCCATGAGACTGAGCGAGAACACGGCGCAGTCGACGGAGGCGTCGCCGAGCGGGACGTCGGACATGTTGCACGCGATGACTTCGGGAGCGCATTCCGGGGTTTGTAAGTCGAAAGAGTGGCACTTTTGCTCGATCACGCGCCCGAGCTCGGCGTCGCCGCATCCGAAATCGGCCACGACCCAAGATTTCGGGGACTTTTTAAGCGCGCCGGCGATGACGTCCACGGGCTTCGTCGGCCACGATTCGACTTGCGAACGAAAGCCCGCGTGGTAGGCCTCGAAGAGTTCGGGCGAGTCCTTCACGAGCGCCAACCCCTCGTCCCCCGTGGTGGTATACAAGCGTTCGTTCAGCATCCTAAACTGCCCACCGCTCAGCTTGGCGCGCATCTTATTCATAAACGCGGACGACGCCGTCGCCGCCGGCGCGCGCGTCCTCGCGTCTCGCGACGCCGACGCCGACTCATCATCGCTCACCGGCTCATTCGGCGCCATCGCGGGTTCGGGCAGCAACTCCTCGTCGTAATCGCTCGACTCCGCGTCCTCGACCGCCGCCGGCGCGCGTTCGACGACGCGTTTCTCCTCGCGCTTCGCCCTCTTCGCTCTCGCGCCGTCGTCGCCGTCGTCCCGCGCCGCGCGTTTCGCCTCCGCCAACCTCCGCCGTTTCTCCGCCGCCCGTCGCCTGCGTCCGAGCGCTTTCCCGCTCACGCTCGCGCCTTTCCCTTCCCGCGCTCGTCCGCTCGTCGACGCCGCGCCCTCGTCGTCCCTCCCGCGCGCGTCTTCCCGCCCGCGCGCGTCCCGCGCGTCGTCCTCCCTCCCCTCCCCTCTCCTCGCGCCGCGCTTCCGCGTCGTTTTCCCGCGCGCCGCCGTCGACGCCGTCGCGACGCGCGCGTCTCTCGCGTCGCCGCGCCCGTCGCGACGCGCCACCGCCGTCGCGTCGTCGTCGTCGTCGCGCGTCGCCGCGCGTCCCGCCGCCGGCGGCGCCCACGCGACGTCGTCGCCGTCGCCGTCGAACGACGGCACGGCCATGAACGCCGACGCCGACGCCATCGCGCGCGCGCGTCGCTTTGCCCGCGCGTCGTCGACGGTGCGTCGTCGACGGCGCGTCGTCGACGATGCGTCGCGTCGCGTTATCCAAACGTTGCCATCCGCACTTCGACGCGCGTCCACCGATCGCGCGCGCGATGGACGACGTCCGCGTCCTCGTCACCGGCGGCGCCGGGTACATCGGCACGCACGCGTGCGTGCAGCTCCTGCTCGCCGGCGCGTCCGTCGTGGCGATCGATAACTTTGACAATTCGTGCGCCGAGGCGGTCGAGCGCGTGCGCGCGATCGTCGGCGAGCGGCGCGCCGCGCGGTTGACGTTTCGCGAGTGCGATTGCCGCGACGCCGAGGCGCTGGAGGACGTGTTCGCGACGTGCGGGACGGTGCGCGCGGTGATCCACTTCGCCGGGCTCAAGGCGGTGGGGGAGAGCGTGGCGAAGCCGCTGCTGTACTATGAGAATAACATTCGGAGCACGCTGACGCTGTGCGAGACGATGGCGAGGCACGGATGCAAGACGCTGTGCTTTAGCTCGAGCGCGACGGTGTACGGGGAACCGGCGTCGGTGCCGTGCACGGAGGATTTCCCGACGGCGGCGCTGAATCCGTACGGACGGACGAAATTGTTCATCGAGCACATTCTGAGCGATTTGCAAAAGAGCGACGGCGAGTGGCGAGTGGCGCTGTTGAGGTACTTTAATCCGGTCGGCGCGCACGAGAGCGGAACGCTGGGGGAGGATCCGAAGGGGATTCCGAATAATTTGATGCCGTTCGTGCAGCAGGTGGCGGTGGGGCGAAGAGCGGAGTTGAGCGTGTTCGGAAACGACTATCCGACGAAGGACGGCACGGGACGACGGGATTACATTCACGTCGTCGATTTGGCGGATGGGCACGTCGCGGCGGTGAAAAAGCTCACCACCGATCCTAACGCGGGGTTGATCACCGTGAATCTCGGGACGGGGACGAGCACGAGCGTGTTGGAGCTCGTCGCCGCGTTTGAAAAGGCGTCTGGGAAAAAGATTCCGTGCAAGATGGTCGCGCGTCGCGAGGGCGACGCCGCGGAGGTGTACGGCGCCACGCAAAAGGCGTTTGAAGTTCTCGGCTGGCGCGCCGAGCGCACTATCGAAGACTGCTGCAAAGATCAGTGGAAGTGGGCGAGCGCGAATCCATACGGGTACCTGGGCAAGCCCGACGACGAGTGAGTTAAATCTGGAAATCTGAGTTGCAATTAAAACACGCGCCATCTCATCTACTTTGCGTCTACTCCACGGTAAACCACATACCATCCGCGGGGGCGATGGGAATCGCTTTCGTGTGCTTAGCACCGTTCTTCGTGCTCGCGCTCTTGAACTTGAATCGTCTGATGAGCGTCGCGAGCACGACGCGCGCCTCGAGCAGCGCCAGATATTGTCCCAGACAGTTACGCGGTCCTTGGATGAATGGCAAGTACGCGTAGTTGCCGAGTTCGTCGTTCTTACCGTCTAAGAAGCGTTCAGGTTCGAAAGATAACGGGTTTGGCCATAAATCCTCGCGATGATGCACGCCTTGCAAGCTAATGATAACCGTCGTGCCCTTTGGAATGCGGCATCCGCCCAACACGTCGTCAGCGATGGCGCGTCTGGTGACCACTGGAACGACCGAGTACAGCCTGAGCGATTCCTTGAGCGCGGAAACGTTGTAATCAAGATGTGCGAGCTCGTCTCGCGTGGGAAGTCGACCGGGTTTCACCTTGCCGAGTACCTTGTTTGCCTCCGCGACGGCTTTCGCCATCTTTTCTTCGTTATTCACCAACTCCCACGTCGTCCATATCAGCATCGCCGCGCTCGTTTCGTGACCGGCGAGCAGAAAAGTTTTAATCTCATAGCACATTTGCTCCTCGATGTCCGCGCCGTAGTCCTCGACCTCCACGGACGCGAGCACGCGATCGAGAATGTCCGGGTTTTCATTCGCCTCACCCGACGTGCGCTTCTTCCATCGACCGCGAATGAGATTGACGATGTACTCATTCAGCATCGCCACGCGCTTGCGATGCGCGAACCACTCTGGCGTGGGCAAATACTTGCGCCACGGCTCCAAGCTACGTCGATTGCACTCCTCCATGATTGGCAAATATAAATTCGGCATGACTTCGTCGCTTTGCTCTGGGGTGAGGCTCAAAATCGCCTCCGCGATCACTTGCAACGTCAACAATCGGAACTCCTCCGCGAGCTCCACGGGTTCATTCTTCCCACGCACCCGTTCCAACTTTTCCGACAATCTGTCCACCGCGCGCGTCGCGATGGCTATGATGTCGTCTAAAATCTCCACCCGCAACGCGCTCGATATCCGTTGTCGCTGTTCCCGCCACGTCTCCCCCTCGCTCGTCACCAGCCCCGTGCCCAATATCTCCAGGAACGGTTCGTACGAAAACTCCGTGTCCTTTTTATAATTCTTCAAATTCACCTGCATCACGCGCTTGACGAGATCCGGATCCGCGACGACGACGCAGTGTCTCTGAAAGATTTGCACTCGCGCCGGTTTCGGCGCCGCGCTCGCCCCCCATCGCGCGAACAGGTCCCACGTGCACGGATACGACCCCACCGCCTTAAAAAGCGCCACCGTGTGTCCGAGTACCGGGACGTAGCGCGCCGCTTGCTTCGCGCCGCCCGTCGTGAGGATGATTTCTCGCCGCAACCAGCTCGCGCACGATCGCGCCGCGCGCACCGCGCGCTCGACGCACGCGACCCAGGCGCAGTGCGCGACGAGCGCGAGCGCGGCGACGATGGTCGCGACGCGCGCGACGTCGACGCTCGCGGTCGACATGGCGCGCCGCGCGCCCGCCGAGAGCGTCACACTTTGACGCTACCCCGCGTCACTCGCGACGCTCCTCGCGCGCACCGCGCCGCGACCGCGCCGCCGTCGACGCGCGCGATGGGGATCGACTCGCTGTTCGTCGTGAACAATCGCACGGAATCGCTGATCGCGGTGAAGCACTGGGGCGCGATCGCGGGGAGCGAGATTTGCGAAAGGGTGTTCGAAGCGCATCGACGGGGACAGCGCGAGGGCGTGGACGGCGACGCGGCGTGCGTCGATCAAGGGTCGTACGGGTTCTTCTTGACGCGAGGCGAGGTGACGTACGTGGCGACGTGCTCGAGGGAGACGGCGCCGTTGTTGGTGATCGAATTCTTGTCGCAATTGTACGACGTGCTGCGCGCGTACTTCGGAGAGAGCGTCACGGAGACGACGCTGCAAGAGCACCACGTGACGCTGTATCAGTTGTTGGATGAGATGCTGGATAGTGGGATACCGGTGAACACGCACGCGGGGGGGTTGAAGGTGCTGGTGCCGCCGCCGAACTTGTACAATCGCGTCACGGCGACGGTGATGGGGAATCAAGGCGTCATCGTGAGCGATCAAGATCCGCTCAAGTTGCTCCCGTTGCCGTGGCGCCCGAATAATATCAAGTACACGAGCAATGAGATTTATTTGGATCTCATCGAAACCATCGACGCGACGATTGACGCGGAGGGCAAGGTGCTGTCGTCGGCGGTGTACGGGAGGATTGAAGTCAACTCTCGATTGAGCGGGATGCCGGACATCAACCTGACCCTGAGCAACTCGCACTTGATCGAGGAGTACAGCTTTCACCCGAGCGTGCGTCTGTCGCGCTTCGCGAGCGATCGCGTGGTGTCCTTCGTTCCCGCCGACGGCTCGAGCGTGTTGATGTCGTACAAGGTTCGACCGCCGACGAGCAAGCAAGACGTCGATCAGTGGCAACCGCGATACATCAAAGCCAATCCGTGGTTGAAGACGGCGAATAGCGATAACCTGAGTTCGGTGCCGTTACCGCTGTACATTCGTCCGCAGTGCGCGTTCGGCGCGCAGCAAGGACGCGTGAGCGTCGTCGTCGGCTCCAAGCCCGCGTTCGAGAAACCCGTCGAGTCGGTCACCTTGGACGTGCGCTTACCATCGCGCGTCATCGGTGCCGATCCTACGTCCACGCACGGCGACGCGACGTTCGACGTCACGAGCAACACCGTGCACTGGGTCATCGAAAAGTTCCCCGCGGACAAGACGCCGTGCTTATCCGTCCAGGTCACCATGCGCGCCGACGACGACGACGAACCGACGACGACGGCGACGAACGCCTCCAACGCAATCGCCGCCAAGCCCGCCGTCGCCGTCGCACAGCGTCGCGTGCAACTGCAAGAAGTCGTCGACATCACCGCCTCCTTCCGCGTTCCCGGCGCCGGCGTCAGCGGCATCAAGGTCGAAACCTTACAAGTCCGCAACGAAAAGTACAAGCCGACGCAAGGCGTGCGTTACCACACGCGTTCGGGTTCCGTCATCGTCCGCGCGTGATCGTCAATCGGTTGAACAGCAACACGTGTAACATTATTCAGCGACTCGCTTCGTCCGCCGTCCCGGCGCCCCGCACTCGTCGACGCCATGCGCTCGACGTCCGCGCCCGCGCGCCGCGCGTTCGCGCGTCACTCGCGACTCGCGCGCGCGCCGCGCCCTCGACGCGCTTCCGATCGCCGCGCGCGGCGCGATCGACGCGCATTCGCGTCGCTCGACGTCGCGCTCTACGACGCCACGCAGTCCCTCGACGCGGCGATCGGCGCCGACGTCCTCGGCGGCGGCACCGTCGGCGCGACGACGTACGTCACCGTCCTCGCCGCGGGGGTGTTCACGTCGCTATCGCCGTGCACGCTGAGCGTGTTGCCGCTGACGATTGGATACATCGGCGGGTACGGCGGCGGCGGCGGCGCGGGCGAAGCGCCGAGCGCGGAAGAGCGCGCGAAAACGGTGCGCGTGGCGAGCGTCGCGTTCGCCGGAGGATTAGCGAGCACACTGGCGGCGTTAGGAGTGGTAGCGGCGAGCTTCGGAGCGGCGTACGGGCAAGGCTTGGGCGACGGATTGCCGACGGCGGCGGCGGCGCTCGCCGTCGCCATGGGATTGAACCTGTTAGACGTCGTCGAGGTGAGCTTTCCGTCGTTCGGGGCGAATTTCGATCCAAAGTCTGTGCGAGTGTCGCCGGTGCTGCAGGCGTACATCGCGGGGGCGGTGTTCGCGCTGGCGGCGTCGCCGTGCGCGACGCCGATTTTGGCGACGTTGTTGGCGTACGCGGCGTCGAGCGGTGATCCGTTGTCGGGGGGGACGTTGCTGTTGACGTACACGTCGGGGTATGTCGCACCGTTATTATTCGCCGCGACGGCGACGGATGGGTTGAAATCCGTGATGGCGCTGCGGGAGAAGAGCGCGTGGGTGAATCCGACGAGCGGCTTTTTGCTCGTCGCCGGAGGCACGTACGCGTTCCTTTCGCGGGTCGTCCCGCACGCGACTGGGATGACGATTTGAGGCACGTCGAACGAACGAAGCAACCGCCACTGTACTATTTCTGCGCTATATTTTATCACACACGCACGTAGCTAGTTTCTTCTAATTCATCGGGTCTTCGTAGTAGCCTGCATCAAATACATCAGAACGCCACCCGCGATGCCGACGTTTAAGCTTTCCATCTCCCCCGACATCGGAATCGCCACCGGCTTGCACGCGCGCAAGGCATCGTCGCTCAATCCTTGACCTTCGGTACCGAGCACCAGACACGCCTTCGCCACAGCCTTTGCCCGTTCGGGGTCGACGTCTTCTTTCGCGCTCGGCTCGGCGGCGTACAACTCCATGTTCAATTCTCTTCCAGCGCTCGCGAGATCGTCGAACGAATCGAAGGCGACGAAATCGACTCGAAACGTCGCCCCACGCGCCGCGCGCATCGCCTTGTCGTTGAACGGATCGCACGTTCCCGGAAGTAAAGCCACGGTGTCCCAACCGAACGCCACCGCCGTGCGCGTGAGCGTTCCCAAATTCCCGGGATCTTGCACCCCCTCCACCGCGAGCACGCGCACGACGTCCCTCTGTTTCGCACCATCGACGAACTCGCGCGCGTTCATGATCACCGGCGACGCGAACTCCCCCACGGCGTCCAACCCGTCCGCGTTGTTCACCCCCGCGCACTTTTTCAGCACGCTCGCCGGCGCCCGAATCACCCTCTTCGCCCGAATTCCCGCCGGCGCCTCCGCCCAATCCGCGACGAACAGCGTTTTCGCTTCGCGCCCCTCTCCCGCGCGCCCGAAGCACTCGCGCATGAGCACGCTCGACGACAGCACCACCGTCCCGCGCTCGTCCCGGTACGCCTTGCTCTTGCACAACTTTACAAAGTGCTTCACCGTCGCGTTCTCCGCGCTCGACACGCGCTCGACGCCGTCCGCATCGGCGGCGTGCGCGCGTCGACCGTCTCGCGCGCTCGCGCGCGCCGTTCGCGCGCGCGGCGCGCGGTGCGCGGCGTTTTCGTCGCCCGAAAAGTGCAATTCGCGGATTCGACGCGCGCGCGACTGGGACGCCGCGCGCCCCGGCGCGCGCGCGACGACCGCGGCGGCGCGACGCGACGCGCCGCGCATGTTCGCGGGACTCGCGACGCGCTTTAGCGCCGCGTCGCGTCGCGTTTTGCGTCGAATCCGCGCCGCACTTCGATGCGCGCGCTCGGATTCGCGCCGACGCGTTTTCCGCCGCCGCGCCGCGCGTCGCGCGTCGCGGCGTCGTCCTCGGACGACGCGGCGTCGGCGCTGCGACGCCTCGGGCTCGACGCGCGCGACGCCGCGACGCTCACCGAGCGAGACGTGCGCGACGCGTACCGCGCGACGATGCGCGACGCGCACCCGGACGCCGCGCGAGGGTCGACCGCGCGCGCGCTCGCGGTGCGCGCGGCGTACGAGCGCGCGATGGCGTCAGCGCGCGACGGGACGCTCGCGAGCGCGAGCGACGGCGACGGCGACGCGTTCGCGGCGAAGACGCTCGCAAGGACGTTCGACGGCGCGCGACACGGATTCGTCGCGGCGACGCGGTGTCGTGGCGCGGCGGCGTGCGCGTCGAGCTGCGTCGAGGCGGCGCCGAGGTCGTTCGTCGCGGACGCGACGACCGGGAAGGCGCGATGGATCGAGCGGGATGACTTCGGGGACGCGAGCGCGGACGAGACGTCGGCGCTGGCGTACGCCGAGTGGTGCGCGAGCGAGCGATGTCCCGAGAAGTGCATCGCGTTCGTCACGCGGCGTCAGCGGGAGTTCATGCTGGAGGTGTTGGAGAACGACGACGGGGCGTCGGGCGTCGACGCGTTTCTGCGCGAGCTCGTCGAAACCGCCGAGTACGTCAACGGTCGCGAGGCGGGTCGACGCCGCGCGCGCGCGAGAGAGAGAGACGAGTAGAAAACAAACGTCGGTAGATTAGATCAGGACGAATAGAAGACAAAACGTCGGTGGATGAGACGACGCGCGCGCTCAAAACGTGTCCGTGAGGTCGACGCAGTTCCCGCACATCGTCCGCGCGCCGTTTTTGCCCTCGCACAGCCAACACGCGTCGCCGGCTTTAAACTTGCCCCCGAACGCGTCGCTCGGGTTGATCCCCGTGCCCTCGCACTGCCCGCACGGCTTCCAGCCCGTGCCGCGGCACACCGGACACCGCGTCTCGGGCGCGGGATCGGCGCGACGCGACGCGTCGCCGCGCGCGTCGTCGCCGGTTGCGAAGAGTGTCGAGACGGTGTTCGCGCGCGCGGGGCGCGACGCGCGCGCGGACGACGACGACGCGGACGGCGCGAACGATGGCGATGGGCGCGTCGACGGCGCGCGCGTCGACGGGACGCCGACGCGCATGGTGCGGCGCGCGGGAGTGCGGCGCGAGCTGGGAAAGACTTCGTCGAGGCGACGATTGACAACGGGACAAAGCTAGAATGCGACGAACGACGACGCGCTATATCTTGTAGTTGAACGTCACCGGTGGCGCCGGTTTCGCGTCTGGGATCTTGCCCCAACCCTTGAGCTTGTACGAGAGGCGCTCCAAGTCGGCGATGCGCACGGCTTCGCGCTTGCGGAGGACGTGAAGCGTCGCGGAACGCGAACGGCTGTTTTGACGCATCTCTTGCTCGCTCGGGCGCTGAGCGTCGTCCATGTGCATGCCCCACTTGCGTTCAAGCTTCTTCGAGCACTTATCGGCGTGGTTCTTGAGCGCCCACTCGTAGAGGGGGAAGTCGTCGCGGATGACTTCGTAGTCGCGGAAAAAGTCGACGACGATGGCGCACTCGCTGTGCTTCCAGGTGAGGATGCCCAAACGTCCGTGTTCGGGCATGATATCGAATGCGGCGTGCATACCGCGTCGCATCTCGTCAAACTCTTGGTTCAGCGCGATGCGTAAAGCTTGGAACGTGAGCTTGGCGGGATGCATCATCTGGTATTCTTTGCCTTTGGCCTTGGCGACGAGGGCGGCGAATTCCTTCGTCGTGCTCGGGAGCGAACCGTTTTCACGCGCGAGCACGATGGCGTCCGTGATTCGACGGGCGGCGATTGGATCAGTGGTCTCACCGTATTCGTGAATCACCCGTCGAAGTTCTTCGCGCGAAACGAGTCTGAGATACTCGCTCGCGGGGACGCCGCGCTCGACGTCAAAGCGCAAGTCGAGCGGACCGTCTTGCTCGGGTCGGAACCCTCGCGACGAGTCGTCGAATTGGGGCGAAGAAATCCCTAAATCTAAGAATACTCCAGACGGTTTCACGCCGAGCGGTCTCAAAACGTCCGCCATGCATCCGAACGGGGCGTGGTGAATCTTAAACCTGGAGTCTTCTCTTTCGAGCTCCTTGCCCACCTTGATCGCCTCTGGATCCATGTCGAACGCGTGCAAGCGACCCTCGGCGGAAAGCGCGGCGAGAATTCCGCGCGTGTGACCTCCACGTCCGAAAGTTCCGTCCACGTACACGCCCGAGCGATCAGGGGCGACGAGAGCCGCGATGGTTTCCGCTAACATCGCCGGCGTGTGCGTTCCGTACGCCTGATCCGTGGCGCGCACGCCGAACGTGCTCTTTTTCGCCACCGTCACGGACACGTTGCGACCGCCGAATCGCGCACCGTCGCGCTTCAACGCCTCGTTTCTGCCCGCTTCGTCTACGAACGTGATGAATCCCGCTCCTTTGGGTTGACCCGACTGCGGGTCGCGCAACAGACGCGCCTGACTGACCATGGCGCCGCAGTCGGCGAAATACTTGGTCACCTCCTCTTCGTTCGCGCTGTGCGGCAAATACTTCAAAAACACCTCATACCCATCTTGTGCGTTTCCTTGCGCTGACGCGCGCGCCGCCGCGGTGTTCACCGCAGTCGCCGGCGCCCCGCTCGTCGTCGCGCTCTTCGGCGCCGCACACCTAAAGCACGACGTTCGCCGTGCAAAGTTACTACACCCACACGCCCCACACGACCAATCGTCCGCTCGTACATCATGCGGCGACATCGAAGGCGCGGTATCGGCGTTTGACACGGATACATTCGCCGCCGCGCCGCCGCCGCCGCCGAACAACGGCGGTCGCGGCACCTCCATGGTCTTTATCGTCGGCTTCGCGTCCTTCCCGGGCGTCACTCCCCCATTCGAGTGCACCGCGACGTCTCCATCATCCACTATCACCTTCAACTCGACTCCATCCAGCGTTTTTCCATCGAACGCCTCGACGAGCTTCTCCGCCGCGCTTCGGGACGCCGTCGTCGCGAACGCTTGCCCTCCCGGTGGCTTCGGGCCTTTCCCGTGCGTTCCCCACATCCCGACCACGACGCTCGCGGCGTCCAAACCCAGAAACGCGCCCACGCCGTCCGCGTTCGCGGTCTTCGTGAGTCCAACGACGCGCACGCGCGTGGGTTCGCCGCCGCCGCCATCGTCCTGCACTTTTTGCTTTTTCGACCGCTCATCGCCGCCGCCCGGCGATTTGTCCTCGCTCGAGCGCTTCTCTTTCTTCTCCTTCTTTTCTTTCTTCTCCTTCTTCGGCGTGGACGAACCCATGGGCGCGGCGAAGTGCGGCGACGCGCGCGGGAGAGGCGTTCGCGGGAGCGCGAGCGGGACGCGAGCGCGACGAGTTTTGCAGAAGGCGACGCGAGCGCGACGTTTCCCTAAGATGAACGCTAGCGATGACAAGCTAAAACTAGTACGACTGTGTCGGATCGTCGACGTGTTCAACGCGCGTGATCGGTCATGGGGGCGTCCGCGGCGGCGGCGGACAACAGAGCGTCGATGCCGAGCGGCGCCGTTCGCGCTCGAGCGTTGAAGAGGATCTTCGAAAGCGCGTCCGCGCGATCGACACCGCGTCGCTTCGGTGGTTTCGGACCGAGATAGTGCAAGTCAGCGCTTCGCACGTGCGCGGTTTCGACGTCGACGTCGAATCCCGACGGACCGACGAGAAAACGGCCCGAGCGGCCCGGCTCGAGCGTCGCGGGCGCGGCGACTTTCTCCGACGCCCGCGGTACCGCATCCACGGCGGCGATGACCATTGGCTCATCGTCACCGGTGACGAAGAATCTTCCGTCGCTCGACTTCGTCAAGGTGATGATTTGCGCCGCGGTGGGGTCTCCCGGGAGGACGACGCCCGCGCGCGAGAGCACCGTCGCCGCGCCTTCGTCGCGCGTGAAAAACGCCGACGTCTTCGCATCGCGCCACGCCAACACGAGCGGCGTCGCGCCATTTTCGTACGCCGCCTCTTTGTGGTAAAACAGCAACCCATCGATCTCGGTACCGATATCTCCCGCGTACGCTCTCGAGACGCCGTCGACGTCGCACTCGTACCACGGCGTCGGGACGAACGCGAAGTCTCTCCCCAGCGCCGCGTTCGGCGCCTCACACGCGTCGCACTCCTCCGTCAATCGCGTGTGCGCCCAGAAAAACCGAAACTCCGCGTCGCAATCGTACATCGCCGCCCCGTTCCAAGCCATGACGTCCAACACGTGATACGCGCCTCGCGCGTTCGCCGTCGCCGCCTCCTTCCCTCGCCCGCCCGTCTCATTCCTCGCCCGCTCATCCTCCGCGAACACGCAATCGAGTATGCAAAAGCACTCCCCGCTCCGCCCTCGACTCGTCCGCGCGCTCCCTCCCGGCAATCCCGATTGAAACGTCCGCAGCGTCGTCCCGTCCCGCGCGCTCCGCGCCGTCGTTCGTCCCCGCGTCGCCACCACCACGCACCGCGTCCCGCGCGGTCGCGCGCGCGCGTACCACCGCTCGCGAAAATCATCCGGCGCGTCGTCCCACATCCACTCCGGCTGCGCGACGACGTCCGCGTCGTCTCTCGCGTCGTCTCTCGCGTCTTCGTCGTCTCTCGCGTCTCTCGCGTCGTCGTCGCGCGCCGCGTCCGTCGCGCCGCGGCCATCGCGCGCGTCGTCGTCGTCGTCGTCGTCGTCGTCGTCGTCGCGCGCACCGCGCGCGTCGCGCGTCGCGCCGTCGCGTCGCGTCGCGACGCGCGCGACGGCGCGCGCGACGGCGAGCGCGTCGCGCTTCGCCGCGCGCTGTCGCTCGAGCGTCGCCGCGCGCCGGCGCGCGGTGTACGCGCCGCGCGATCGCGCGAATTTCCCGTCGCGCGTCGGCGCGCGCGCGGGCATCGCGCGCGGCGCGCTGTCGCGTCCGCTCGTCTCCCGACGCGCGCGCCGTAACGCCCGCGCCGTCGCGACGCGCGAACGACGCCGCGGCACATCGCGGCGACGGCGACGACGCGCGTCGCGACGGCGACGCGGGCGAAGCAAAATTCGACGCGTCGAACGCGCGCGCGAGGGCGCGCGGACGACGCGCGCGGACGCGCGCGCGGACGATCGCGCGCGTCGCGCGTGATTGTTCGTTCGCGGTAACGAACGTCGACGTCGCGCGACGACGCGCGGCGTCGAGACGACGCGAATCGCGATGGTGACGGGACGCGAGGGCGAGGCGCGCGACGCGGTGCGGGACGCGGCGCCGGCGACGACGACGACGCGGGACGGGGAGGCGACGACGCGATGGATTGGACGCGGCGAGACGCGCGAGGAAGGGGGCGAACGCGGGAAGGGCGCGACGGCGACGCGACGCGCGCGCGACGCGCGAGATCTCGAGCGGAGGCTCGGGTTTTTGGTGTCGCTCTGGATGGCGTGCGTGTCGAGGGTGACGCCGCAGATCGCGCTGGCGGGAGTGGTCGGCGCGGGCGCGCAGTGGTTGAAACTGTCGGCGTGCGACGAGACGCAGCGGTACTCGACGACGTGTCGGTACGCTTTTACGATCGAAGCGCACTACGCGGTGTCGGCGGTGCTGTCGTTCTTGCTGGTGTTTCGCGCGGTGCAGGCGTTTAGGCGGTTCGAGGATGGGAAATTCGCGATGATTGACGTGAAGGACGCGCTGCGAAATCTCGCCTCGGTGACGGACGTCGAGGCGCGGGAACCGGCGTCGGGGTCGATCGCGTCCATGTTTTCGAGCAAAGATCACCATACGCCGACGACGATAGAAGAGCTTCAGAGTGAAATTCGTCGATTGTGCAACTTGACGTTCGCGTTCATGCGACAAGCTTTGCGCGAATCGCGATTCGGCGTCGTCGACGCCGGCGTTCGCGGCGGCAAGCGCGACGTTTCGACCGAGTCTTTGCTCCACCGCGATGACGACGGCACTCCGAACGTTTCCAATCTCACTAAACGTGACGAACGTACAGAGTACGCGAAGTTGGCGGTCGAGAATCGTCCGGATGCGGTTATGATTGACGCGCTGACTCGCATCGAAACCATGCACCGCGCGGGCGTTTTGAGCGAACGCGCCGCGATGGAGGCATTTCGCGAGTCTCAACGCGCGCTCGACGCTTATCGACAGGCTATGCTGATAATCGAAACACCGACACCGAAACAGTACTCTCATACCGTGACGGTGTTGCTATTCGCGTTCATCTTCTCCGCGCCGTTTGCGCTCAGTTCGCTCATGGATTGGCGAACGCCGCTCGTGAGCGCGACACTTGCGTGGTTATTTTACGGCGTCAATGAGATTGCGAGCACACTGGAAGATCCATTCAAATGGGTGCTTCCGGCTCACCCCCTGAATGTCATAGCTCGAAGAATCGAACGGGAGATGGATGCGTTCAAGATGAGCAAAGACGTAGTCGGCATCGACGTGGACGACGAACCGCTATCGGTAGATTCAATGAATTACCGGAGATGGCGCAATCCGTTTTGGTTCGTGATCGATTGCTTTGCTTGGGAAAAGACTACGCTTCCTCACATCGGCCGTCAAATTGGCCTCGCGGCCGTCGTCGGTATCGGCGCGCAGTTGCTGAAGATACTCGTGTGCGGTTGGAACGTCACTGACTCGTCGCAGTGCCTTGTGACGTTTGATCTCTCTGCCCATCGTATACTGGCGATGCCTATTTCGCTCTTACTCGTCATTAACACTGATTGGGGGTACGAGCGTTTCATTTCTTCCAAAAAGTTGGTTGTCAGTATGCAGAACAGTCTGCGTTCGTTGACGGCGTGCTCGGCGATTTTCACGACGGCAAAAAATGACGACCTGAGTGCGGTCGAAGCGGACGCAAGAGAAGTGCAGCGTTTGTCGAACGTCATGTATGGCTTCGCGAGAATCGCCGTGCGAGAGCTTATAAGTCGTGATCCATCGGGAAATACAGTCAAGCTCGATGATATTTTAACGATGGACAAGTTTGGCGGCGCGTGTAAACTCTGCGATTTGGTTCGAGAATCGGAGCACCCTGAATTGAAATCTCTACCCGTGCATGCGTTCCCGACGTGGGTAGGGATGAGACTAAACGCAATTTTTGAAGAATACGGTCGATCAGGCGCTATGACTGAGCGCTTTAGCGCTGAGGCCTACCGAAAAGTATGCAACTCGCTGCAGGCGATGCAAGGCTTGATGCGAGTCGTGTCGACGCCGGTGCCGAACCGTTTTCGACACTTGCTGCAAGTTTTACTATTCTTCTATGTCTTCACTATGCCGTTTGTTTTGAGTGTGAGCTACCAGTGGATCACGAGCGTGCCAGTGATACTCGTCGCACTCGCGTTTTATGGTATCGCCGAGACTTCCACAAGTATGATGGAGCCGTTCAGTTGGACCGGTCCGCGCCACGATCTGAGCGGAATGGGTTCGCGCATGTTTACTCGTCATGAACGACTTGGTGCGTTCGCGATGAAGATGCGAGGCAGTGACGATACATGGGTGAAACTCATGGATGAAGCCAAGATTCTGGGCGATCATTTGAGCACAGCTGGCGGCCTCTACAGGGAGAGCCTCGGCGCAAACCGGAGTAAAAAGTCACTCCTGGCGGCACCTTCCATCCGCGTCAAGAATATCTCAAACTACGAGAAAGAATTTAAAACAGGTGCCATAAAGAACATGCAGGCGCTACGCACGGGTTGGTCTTTCGTCTCATGCGTGTTTCACGTGCGAAACACAGTCGTGCCGCAGATTGCGCTTCAAATTGCATTGACTGGCGCAGTATCCGTACTCGCAAACTTCTTGAAAATTCATTGGTGTGGGAGTTCGGTTTCGAATGTGACGCAATGCAGTTTCACGTTTGATGACAAAGCACACGTTATGAGCGGTTCTATAATCGGCTTCACCCTCGTTTTCAGGCTTATGTTCTCTTACTCGCGATATTACGACGGCAAAGGCTTGGTTGGCGTGATGGTGAACAGCTTGCGTTGTCTCAACCTTGGTGCGTGCACGATGATGCGATCTCTGAATCGGAGATCATCTCCTGAGCTGGAGCAAGAAATTAACGATGATGTCACGGAGATTCGTCGGTTATCATGCGTGCTTATGGCGTTCATGCGGCAAGCCGTTCGTGAGCGTCGCCACGGCGTCGAGCCTTTCACGTTGAAGAAGTTGTCGCCTACCGATGAAGAGATGATTGATGATCCTCGAGGCTGGCCGTCACTATCGGTTATGCTCACAGATGCTGAAAAAGCTCGCTATTTAAAATGTGATTATAGAGCGCGAGTTGGGTGCTGCGCGTCGAAGATGATCGCCATCATTGACGAACGCCGTCGCCTCGGACACATCTCCGAACGCAGCGCATTCGAGATGCTCGGTCGAATAGAGGCGTGCGTGAATGCGGTCGCTGATATTGAACGAATCGTCTCAAGCTCGATGCCTTTTGCTTTCATCCATTTGATGAACTTTGTCGTCTTCTTCTTCGCACTTTCTTCTCCGTTTGTGTTCATCACCTCGTACAAATGGCTCGCCGTCGTGCCGTCAATGTTGGTGACTCTATCGCTATTTGGAATCGCAGAGCTGGGGAGTTTGTTGGCTGATCCTTTCGGCTGGGAAGATCCTAAACACGACTTAACGAAAGTTGGCTGGGCACTGTACACTGAGACTATCGCCATTCATGAAAAATGTGCGCGCGCCGTCGGCGATGCTGAAGAAACAACACACTCGGGCGTGGATGCTCTCGTTCTGAGCGGCGCGGCCGCCCCCAAAGCCCTGAGAGATCTCACAGTTTGGGAGGCAGTACGACGTCAACGTGGCGTGGATTCGACTTCGTCGTACTTTTCGTACTTGTTTCGATTGAGAAACACCGTATTCCCACATATTTGGCCGATGATGTTCGTCATGATGTTCATAGGCGTTGGCGCGCAGTTTTACAAACTTGAGTTTTGTGGCGACGACGTTACGGACCACAGGATGTGCGACGTCGTGTTTGCGCCCGCAGCTGTTTCTATAATTGGACGTATGACAATGTTTGCGGTTGTCTATCGATTCTTCTTTGCGTTTCGAGTATTTTACGAGGCAAAGACGGGGATTTACGATCTCCTGTACTCGTTGTACACGCTCAACATCCAAGCCTGCGCGCACTTGCGCGAGCTTTCTAGGGCGGGGAAGCCAATCAAAGATAACTCCGCTAAAGCTGTTCGCAAAGCTCGATATGCAGTTCTTCGTTTGAGCTGTGCACTTTTTGCAAGCATGCGTCAGAGCTTGAATAAGGATCTCGCCCACGGCGAGACGAAAACGAAACTGAGCGACGCCCACACTCTCTTTTACGATGAAGACGCTGAATCACTACTGGGTGCGCTTCTCGATGAAGAAGGCAAAAATAGTTTCCTCAAACTGTTCGACGCGTCTTCAGAAGAACGCGTCGCTACGATCGCCGCTCGTCTTCTTGCGGAAGTAGAGACCGCCCGAAGCTCTGGATGCATAACTAATCGTGGGGCAGCGATGATGGCGAATAGCATGCAAACCGCTCTGCACGCGTTTTCTCGTTGTACCCGCGCAAGGAACACGAGAGCACCATACTCGTTGAAACATTTGATCAACATTGTACTCTTTTTGTGGATGTTTGCGACCGCAAGCGTCATCGTCGTGGCCTTCACGTACATGACGTGGCTACCGCTCGGCATTCTTGCCTTGACACTGTATGGAATGATCGACATAGCCGGTCTCCTTGAAGAGCCTTTCACGCGCGATGTCATGTGCTCAAACGATTTAATCGTAATGGGCCAATCTCTGTGGAAATCTTGTGCGCACACGCACGAAAGCTTGGCAGAAAGCGATGAGCTCAAAGCGGAAATCTCTCTCTTGGTGAAGCGAGTCGAGGAAAAACGCCTAGACGTTGGGAAGGAGTGCTACGAAGAAGTGAGACAAAAAGTCGATCAGACTGCGGTCGCTCCTGCTTGGACTTATGATCGCGAAATGCCGGCCGGGTGGACGTTCCCGAAGCAACGAAGCTTCAGGAGTGGCAAATTTGGTATTTTCACCGAGTTCGTGTCTCTACGTGGGACGCTCATCTTGCCGACGCTTCCTTTCATATTTGCCGCTTGCGCCGCCGCCATGGGCTTGTACTTCCTATCCGAAGCCGTCTGTGACAAAGATGAGCTTTACACCACCGGACAATGCAAGACATTGATCACGCCCGAAGGTCATACTATCGCCGTCCCAGTGTTGGGCTTTTGCATCGCCCATTTGCTGAATTTGACGTACACGCGCTACTACACCGCTCGTGAATATTTGGACAACTTGATCGATTACGGGAGAGACTTGGTCATTGAACTGAACACTGCATTTCAATCGTCTGAAACTGACGAAGATTGCGCGGCACACGCGAAGATGCTGAGCATGTTAAACTCGCTCATGGCTTTCGCTCGTCAATCGATTCGAGAGTCTCGAGTAGGATATCCCTCGACTTTCCGACCAAAGGAAGAGTTGACACCCAACACCGTACTCGATGACGATTTCTTTGGCGCTCCATCGACAAAAGATCTTATGAATGCAGAGCAGCGAAACGCCTACGCTGGTATCGCGCCTGCGTTTCGTGTCAGTAAGTGCAGCGGCGAATTGAAGCGCGCGATGCGTTCGCTCCCAAAGAGTCAAGTCAACAACGAACAGAGACTTTACCGCATCTACCACGATATCGACTGCATCCTCGATGCGTGGACAAACTGCGAAACGATCGTCAGCACTCCGATCCCGCCCTTCTACATGTACTCCGTGTACTTGCTCTGTTATGTCTTTGTGCTCACGTCGCCGCTCGCGTTTATTCATTCGTACGGCGTGGCGGTGGCGGTGCCCGTGGGCTTGCTCACGTTTGTCGTGTGCGGCATCGTGCGCGTTTCGACTGAGATGATGAACCCATTTAAATGGAGCGCTAGTTCGCACGAGATCAACGAGGTCTCGATGAAAGTCTACCGCCTGACGCGCGTATTCCCAGCGGCCGCGCCGTCGCGAGGTTAGACGCCGCGCGCGACTTTGATTTGATTGTTATTTTCGATCGACTTTAATGATTAAATCACGCAATCACGCCGACAATCGTTTTCTACCTTTCCTTCGCCGCCGCGCCAGCACCTTTCTCCCCCCCACCGTGCGTAATCGCGCCCTAAACCCGTGCCTTCGCTTTCGCACCAAGTTGCTCGGCTGATACGTGCGCTTCGTCGCGCACCGCCACGCCTCCGTCGTCTCCTCCTCTTCCTCCACCTCGACACCGACCGCTCCCGGCGCTTCGATCGCGACGTCTAATTCCAGCACGCGTTCGGCCAAGCGATACGCATCGAACGTCATCGCCGTTCCCGCCGTCTCCGTCGCCGTCGCCTTCGCCTTCGCCTTCGCGTTCGCGCGCGCCCTCGCCGCCGCCGCCTCGAGCTCCAGAAACATCCCTCGCGACGCCAGCGAGCCGTCCACGACGAACGCGCGCGCGCGCATCGCCGCCGCGGTCGCGCTTTCGAGCGCGCGTTCGCGCGCGTCGCGCGTCGTCGCGCTCCAGCGCGTCGCCGTCGCGCCGTCGTCGTCGTCCTTCGCCGTCGCCCCGTCCTCGCGCGCGCCCGTCGCGCGCGCGCCGCGCGACAGCGCGCCGCGCGTCGACGCGCGCGTCGACGCGCGCGTCGACGCGCGCGCGATCGCCCGCATCCCGCGCGCCGTCGCGCCGTCGAGTGGCGAAAACCTCCGCAGAGCGCGGCGATGGGACGCGACGCGCGACGACGCGAGCGATGAAGCGCGCGCGCGGCGACGACGACGGGCGCAACGCGCTGCGGCGCGCGGTCGGATCGGGCGCGCGCGATCGCGCGACGGCGATCGCGCACAGGAAGTTTTCGTGCGGGGAGACGCTGTTTCGAAGGTATTACGACGCGCAGGGCGTGACGCGCGACGCGGTGGACGCGGCGGCGCTGTGGGAGGCGCTGGCGACGCCGCTGCCGGCGACGTACCGCGTGCACGGCGCGCGGGAGGGCGACGCGGCGAAGAGGGCGCTCGTGAAGGCGCTGGAGGCGCTGCGGGACTGGGGCGACGCGGAGGAGACGCACGGCGTGTACGAAGCGGCGAATCCGACGGGAACGCACAGGCGAGGCCGACCGGTGGTGCCGGAACACGTGGGAGATGTGTTTGCGTTCGGCACGAGCAGAGGGCTCGGGTCGAGGCAGGAGGTGGTGAGCACGCTGCCGGTGCGCGCGCTCGGCGCGACGTCGGGGGCGAGATGTTTGGACGTGTGCGCCGCGCCGGGGCAAAAGACGATGCAGTTGCTCGAGTGCGCGCGATACGGCGCGAGTGGAGGCGAGGGCGTGGTTCACGCGAACGATGCGCATCCCGGAAGAGTAGGGACGCTGCTCGACGCGATCGATCGGCACGCGCGGGCGGGTTGCGAACGCGCCGGGCTCTTCGTGACGCGATCGTTTGGACAGGACTTACACTTTCCGTTGTTCGTGTCTGGAGGCGATCTAAAGCGCGCGCTGAAAAATATCTGTGGCATGGACGACGATGCGAAGCGACGCGCGGCTTTGCTCGCGATTGGTGGATACACGCACGTCTTGGCGGACGTGCCGTGCAGCGGCGACGGAACGATTCGTAAGGATGCGGATGCCTTGGTGCGTTGGCATCCGGGAATAGGCAACGCGCTTCATTCCACGCAGCTCGCCGTCGCGCGACGGTGCGCGCAACTACTCAAGCCCGGCGGTAGCATGGTGTACTCCACGTGCACGTTCAACCCGATCGAGGACGAGGCTGTCGTACAGACTCTTTTGATGGATCAAGATTTGTCGCTCGAGCTCGAAGAGCTCGATTTACCGCTGAAAGGTCGGCCTGGGATGTATTCGTGGAAAGTGGGCGAGCACATCAACGCTTCGAGCGAAGATGAGGACGTCTCGATTCAATGGTTCGCCAGTTTCGACGACGCCGTTCGTAAAAGCTCGAGCGAGTTTGTCAAGACGATGTGGCCGCTCGATGCGCCGGCTCACGCAGAGGCGCTCAGGCTCGAGCTATGCGCGCGATTTTTGCCACACGATGACAACACTGGTGGATTTTTCGTCGCAAAGTTGAAAAGGAAGAACGATGAGCGCACTCGTCGCGCGTTCGCAGCGCTCGTGGAAAGCGAACTCGTGGCGAGATGCGACGCATCCGCGGCCGCTGGCAAACCGCCGCCGAAACCTTTGACGGAGGACAAAGACGCCGCGCTCGATCGACTCGTTCCGGCGCATCGTGTGTCCAAATCTCTCGCGAAGACACTTCGCGAACGCTATTGCGGTGCAAAAGCGTTCTGTTCCATCGATCCCTCTCGTCGGCGAATTTACGTAGGGAGCGTCACGGCGAGCGCGATTTTGGATCGAACGTGCTCCGAAAGCGTCCGACTCGCGCGAGGCGGCGTCGTGCTCTTCGAACCCTCCGACGGTGATTTTTGGGACGATAACGCTGTCACGACGTGGGAAGACCAGACAGAAGACTTGAATCTCACCATTGATGGCGTCGACGCGCTTCGGAGCTTGCTCGACGAAAAGCTTCCCTCGCATTGGCTGACGTGCCTGCCGACGGAGCTGGATGCGCTTCTCACGATGTCCGGTTCGGCGATTAGTTTGGACGAACTATCGGAGCAAACGCGCAAACGAGCGATGCGCATCGCACCAGGACGCGTCATCTTGTGCTTGCGAAAGAAGTCAGGTGAAGTCGTGTTCGCGATGCCTGGCGTGTGCGACGGTTTGACGCTTCAATTTTCGGCCAAGTCTGAAGATGTGGCGAAGCTCGCCGCGTCTTTGCGTGTCGTTGCGAAGCTTAGGAAATAGTCATTCATAGCGGTATATGTTATAGCACTTAGTGAGAGTTAGCTAGGCAATCGCGTTTACTTTTTCTTCTTGATCATCGTACCTTCGCTCAAGTCGTCGTCTTGCGACGAGACTTTGCGCGTACCACCTGGAAGCGTCGTCGACTTGGATTCCGCGTCTTCGTCGACGCTCTTGATCGACGACTGCACCTTGTTAGCGGCTTCACTCGCCAGTTTCGCCGCCAGATCCAAGCTCTCTTTAGACGTCACGACCTTCGCGGTCTCCGTCACAACCTTCGTGACGTCCTCTGGTTTAATCGAGCTCACCTTGTCGACGAAACCCAGGAACGCCTCCTTGCTACCACCCTTTTTCACTTCCTTCGTGCCGCTCGCGCTCGCCGTCGACGTCGAAGTCGTCGAAGTCGTCGTCGTCGACGTCGAAGACGAGGAAGATGTCTTCACCGGCGTGACCGGCGTCGGCTTCACCTCAGCCTTCACTACCGCTTCGGTCTTCGTGTCCACCGCCTTGGCCGCCGCCGCGCTCGAGGTCGATTTCACTTCCTCCTTCGTCGCCGTGGCCACGCTGCTCGCCTGTTCCATGAACTTCGTTTCAGCCGTGTCATCGACCTTTTCAGTCACCGTCAAGGTCGGAAGCGGAATACCGGCATCCTTCGGCATCAACTCGGCGTAGAGACGCTCGACTTCCGCCTGATCGATGTTGTAGCCACCCATCAACGCCTCGCGATTGGCATACGATTCCTCGAAATCGTACACACCGGTGAAACCTGACAAGCTCGCGCTCGCGCTCGCGCTCGACGAGCTGCTAGAGTAAGAATCGTAGTTGACCGGTGTGGCCACGATGGGCGTGGACGAGGCGTCGTTCGCGTACGAGCTCGAGCTCGAATACGAAAAGTCGCTCGACGAATCGATGACAGTCACGTCAGACGAGCGCGTCGCCGATGCCGTGAACGATTCAAGGCTCGTCGTTCCCGCGGCGAGGCGCTCGGCCCACTTCGCACTCGCTCCCGTGGCGGAGCCAGTGGACACGATGGTCGCCGCTTTGGCTTTCGCCTTGGCCATCTTCCTGGTCGACTTCACCTTCTCGATCTCAACCTTTTCGATGGACCGCTTCTTGAAGTACAAGTACGCCAAAACCGCCGTCGGCGTGAAGACGTAAACCGGCATAGCGTACAAAAGCGCGCACGCGTACTCAGCCGCGGCAAACGTCCACGACGCGACGACTCGAGACAGCGTCAACAACACCGCCGCGATTGACATGAACGGCTTGGCGCACAACAAGCCAACCGCCTTGGACACGAACGTGCTCGGATCGGCCATGACGGCCGACGACGCCTTCGCACCGTTCTCGATCACTCCACCCGGCGTCAGCAGGAACGATTGAAACCAAGAGAACACGTTGATGCATCCCAAAATGGCGGCGTCGTACGCGTCGAGCGTAACGTCGACGAAATAATCAACCCCCGCCGCCACCATATCGACCAACGCTCTCGCCAGCGTCTGCGCCGGCGCTAAAAACGGAAAGCTCGCGCTGACATCGCTGTACGCAAACGCCGCGACGACCGCGGCGAACGCCGCCAAACCGAGCGCTCGCTTCCCCGCGCCCGCGCCCTCGTCCTCCTCCTCCTCCTCCGTCGCCGCGAACGTCATCGTCGCCTTCACCCCCCCCGTCGTCGTCTCCACGACCGTTTCCGTCTCCCTCGACGTCTCCTCGCTCCAATACGACGATCCCGCGCTCGCCGCGTCGCTCGCCGCTCGCCCTCGCGCCCCTCGCGCCGTCCCGCGCGCCGCCGTCCCGCCCACCCCCCCGATCGCCCCGATCGCGCCGTGCGCCCCGATCGCGCGCGCTGTCTCCCCTCGCGCCCCTCCCGCGACGCGCGCCGCCCGCATCGCCGCGCCGCCGTCGCGTCGCGCGCGAATCCCCGCGCGTGTTCGCGCGCCCGCGCGATCGCGCGTCGGCATCGCGCACCGCATCACCGCCGCCATCGCGCGCGTCCCGTCGCGTAAACCGTCGTTCGCGCGCGCGGGCGTTCGCACCGCGTGGTAGAGCGCACCGTGCGCTCGCGCGTCGCGCCGTGCGGCGCGCGTCGACGATCGAACGCCGAATCGTTCCCATTCGAATTAATTCAAAGAATTCTCTCGCGGATCGGCTCGCGACGACCGACCGACCGACCGCGTGCGCGACCGTGTGCGCAAACAGTCAGCGATCGATCGCGGGGACCCGTTCCAATCATGGTGATCACGAGACGTGGTGTACGATTCAAACGAGTGACACGCCACCAGTAAAACGCACGCGCGCGCGAACACGCGCGACCGACCGCGTACCGACCGCGTACCGACCGCGTGCGCAAACAGTAAGCGATCGATCGCGGGGTCCCGTTTCAATCATGGTGATCACGAGACGTGGTGTACGATAAAACGAGTGACACGCCACCAGTAAAACGCGAAAACGCGCGTGAAAACGCGAGAACGACCGCGCGTCCGACGCAGAGCGCGACGACGACGACGGCGACGGCGACGATGGCGACGACGTCTCGCGAGCGCCGAGCGCGCGCGCGGACGTCCGTCGCGGCGTCCTCGCGGTTGGGCGCGTTCTACGTCGGACGCGGCGCGCCGATGGCGATCGCGACGCCGGCGCGGGACGGCGGCGGCGACGGCGACGGGACGAACGACGGCGACGGCGACGGACGCGAGACGCGCGCGCCGAAGGCGCGCGCGGCGCGACGGGAGACGCGCGCGGATGAGGTGGTGTACGCGTGCGCGACGCGCGAGGGAGGGGTGTCGCTGACGCGGTCGACGACGCGGCGAGGCGACGCGGCGACGACGTCGACGACGACGGCGCTCGCGCGGGACGAGGGCGATGGGGAGGCGATGACGTCGATCGCGATGGATCGAAGCGGGACGAAGGTGTTTTGCGCGAGTCGGAGCGGACGCGTCGTGCGGTTGGACGCGATGGAGGATGGGAGGGGGGGGACGACGATGCGGAGGACGAAGGCGTGGTCGCCGCACAAGACGTCGCCGGTGTTGGACATGTGCGTGGACGTCACGGGGACGCTGTTGTGCACGGGGAGCGCCGATCGAACGGCGCGAGTGTGGGACATCGAACGAGGGTACTGCACGCACGCGTTTCGCGGGAAGCACGGAGGGGCGGTGACGGCGACGGCGTTTCATCCGAGCGTTAGAGAGGCGAGAGCGTTCACCGCGGCGGAGGATGGGTCGCTCGCGATGTGGTCGCTCACGGGCGAGGCGGGCGTCGGGAAGAAGGGTAAGAAGGCCTCATCCGATGGCTGCGTCGCGTTCGTGGCGAACGCGCACGTGAGTGCGGTGACGTCGATTCGAATCGACGTCGAATCGAACACGTTGCTCACCGCGGGGCGGGACAAAATAGTTCGAACGTTTGATTTAGACACGCTCAATCCGCGAACGACGACGGCGGTTCACGAAACGATCGAGGATTGCGTGATTTTACGTCCGGATTCAGCCATCGTTCGCGACTGCAAGGTGAAGCCGCCGCCGGGCGGGCGCGGAGTCATTTTCGCCGTCGTCGGCGACGGCGGACGCGTTCGAGTTTGGCGCGAGAACGCGGCGAAGCATTCGATCGAGTCCGCACCTCTCGTAGCGGTAAATACGCTCACCAAAGGAGGCGATGATAATGACGAAGATTTTGAAGCCGCCGCGGGAACGTTCACGAAGTGTGCGCTCACACACGATGGGAACCGTTTGATTGGCGTGAGCGGCGACGCGCGTTTGTTGACGTACCAGGCCAACGCAGAGACGACGTCGTTGGAGATTGAACGCGAAATTGTTGCGAATACGGATGAAGTGATCGGTTTGGCGTTCGTACCCGGTGCGAAAGAGCAAGCACTTCAAAAGAAGCGAAACATCGATGGCGATAGCGACGAGAACGAGAATGAAGACGAGCGAACGCTCGCGAGACCGCCGAGAGAAGTAGCCGTGGTCACCAACTCGCCCACGGTACGTATGTTTGATCCGACGACGATGTCATGTGTCGGATCTTTGAACGGTCACAGCGCCGTTGTGCTCTCGGTTGATGCCACGATGACGACGGACGGGACAGCGCTCATTTTGACGGGCGCAAAGGATCACACGGTACGACTGTGGGACGCCGCCACGCGAGAGTGCATCGCCGTCGGCGAAGGCCATGTCGGCGCAGTTGCCGCGGTAGCGTTTCCCCCGAACTCGAAAAATGGCGCACCGTTTGCCATTTCGGGTGGCGTCGACCGCGTGCTTCGCGTATGGGACATAGATGGAGTTCGGCGAAATGGCGACGGCGAATTGAACGCTACGGCGGCCACAGTGGCGCACGACAAGTCCCTCAACGGCGTTGCCGTTGCGCCGCACCTCCGCATGGTTGCCACGTGTTCGAGCGATAAGACGGCGAAGATTTGGAAAATGCCCGATTTAGTTCCGTTGGCCACGCTACGCGGCCATCGTCGTGGAGTTTGGGCGTGCGCGTTTTCTCCTTCGGATCGCGTACTCGCCACCGCGGGCGGCGACAAGATGGTGAAGATTTGGAGCGCCGATGACCGTGCTGGGAGCGACACCAACGGTGCTTGCTTGCGCACGCTCGAAGGTCATACCGCAGCGGTGTTGAGCATTAAATTTATGTCTCGAGGTACCCAGCTTGTCACCACGGGTGGCGACGGGCTGTTGAATTTATGGAACGTCACCTCTGGGTCTTGCGCCGCATCCATCGATGCGCACGAAGACAAAGCTTGGGCGCTGGCCGTGGCAAGCGATGGCGATTGGATCGCCACTGGGGGCACCGACGCGTCCATGGCGCTGTGGAAGGACTCCACGTCGAGCACCACCGCCGATGCGGCGAAGAAGCACGCCCTCGCCGTCGAACGCGAGCAAGCATTCTTCAACGCCGAGCGCTCGGGCGAAGTCACGAAGGCGATCGATTTAGCGCTCAGACTCGAGCGCCCTGGTGCACTTCTTCGTGTTTTGACGAAACTTCTGGAGAGTGACTACGAAAATGGCGACGCCAGACTCCGGAAATGCGTCGAGCCGTTGCACGAAGACAAGCTCGCGCGAGTGCTCAAGTGCGTGCGCGAGTGGAACACAAACGGACGCACGTGCCACGTCGCGCAACACGTTCTCGCCGCCATCTTCCGCACACACACCATGGAGGAACTGAGCAAGGTTCCGGAGATTTCTCAAATCACTAGAGCGTGTCGGGCGTACACCGAGCGTCATCGCTCGCGTCTCGAGCGTCTGTATCGCGGAACTTTTTTAGTCGACACGCTCCTCTCGCGCACGGGCGCCTTGGTAGACGACGAAGAGTCGATGGAAGAAGTCAGGCGCACCCACGAAACACTGGATAACTTCGGTTTCATGCGCGCGGATGATGACGCGCCGCCGCGACGTTTGCCTGCTCCGACGGCGAGCGAAGAAGACGAGCCCGCCGACGTCGCAGACGAAGAAATGGCGGAGCCGAGCGAGGACGACGAGCCCGCCGGCGAAGGGGAAGCCGCCGAAAAAGTGCGAGAAGACGATGTCGTCATGGGTCCGCCGAAAAAGCTCAAGCGATTAAACGCGATAAAAAGACTCGCGTCCGACGTAGAGGATCAACGCAAACTCTTGCGCGACCCGTCTCCCCGTCATACGCGTAGCGGCAAAAAATTGAGCGGCTGATAGGTAGGTTCGCACACTGTATTAAGTAACTGGTCGTATCGACATTCACAACACATACGATCCTCGTCTACTCTCCGCTAGCTAATCGGCGCGTCAACCCGCGCGCGTCGTCTTCACTTTGAACATTAGTTGTTCTTAACGAAACCGATGTCCTTCGCGTATTCCCGGAAGCACTGACGGCAGATGTTCAAGTCGTACTTGCGAATGATCGCCCACTGGTTTTCGCACACGCGGCTGCGTTCATCGTAAAACAATACCTCGGTCAGTCGCTCGCTCGCGCTCGCTCGGGCTCAAAGCCCTAGGGTCGGCAAGGGTTCTCTTCGCGCGCCGTCCCACGTCCCACGCATCGCCCTCCCGCGCATCATCGTCCTCGCGCGCGAAGCCACGAATACCCAGTCACCCTTCGCCGTCGTCTCGCGCCGTCGCATCGCGCGCGCGCGCGGCGACCGTCGTCGTCGTCTCGCCCCGCGATCGCGTCGTCGTCCCATCGCGCGCGTCGCGTTCGCGTCGTCGTCGCGCGTACCATCGTCGAGAACCCTTGCCGTAGTTGGCCGGGTGAGAGGCCCAGATATCGTTGTGTCCCATGGTTGCGTGCGTGCGTCGGTCGGCGCGTCGCGAAGAGGCGGACGCGGCGGTCGAGGCGCGCGAGCTCGCGCATCGAACTAAAAACCGACGCGGCGTCGAGTTTTAGTTCGGACAAACGAAGACTTCATGACAGATCAGCGGCGATCACAATATGAATCGTATGATTCATGAGTGAGACCATGGGCGCGACCGACCGCACCGCGCGCGCGCCAGAGCGCGGCGCCGCGGCGACGCGCGCGACGACGCGCGCGCGACCGGAGCGCGAACAGATGTCGCCCGCGTCGACGCGCGCGCCGAGCGGGGACGGACGCGCGTGGACGCGCGCCGATGCCGCCGATGGTGTCGACGGTGTCGAGCGCCCGAGGTCGGCCGAACGACGACGACGACGACGACCGACGCGCGCGCGACCGGGACTGGCGTCGACGTCCGCGCCGAGCGATGCGGGTTCGACGCCATCGAGCGAAGCGACGGCGATGGTGACGGAGCCGAGGACGGGGCTGAAGGTGCCGGCGGCGATGACGCCGGGCGATAAAGCGCTCGCGCTCGCGGGACGCGGCGCCCGCGTGAAACGCATCGCAGGGTTGAGCGTAAAAGTGTACGCGTGCGGATTTTATGTTGACGTCGATGGTGCGCGCGATGGTGATGCGGCGTCGTACGAACGCTTGGTGCGATTGGTTTTCGCGCGAAACGTCGGCGGCGATAAAATCGTCGAGGCACTCGCGGAACGCATACGACCGGCGATGGACGCCGATTCGCCGGCGTTGAGGGCGTTTGAGGCGATTTTCGATGGTGTGAGTTTTAAAAAGGGGACTTCGTTGGATTTTCACGCCACGTTCGAGGGTGAGCTCGCGACGTTCATCAAGGGTAAACGCGTGAGCGTCATCGCCGACGCCTCGCTCTGTCGCGCGCTCTTCGACTGTTACGTCGGTAAAGATCCGGTGATTCCCGAGCTGAAATCCACCGTCTGTGCATTCGTCGATGGCCTTAACTAAACCATACAATATTTTGTTTCAATATCATAGTAGCACTCTGTAACCGGACGCACCGATCGAGCGCGGCTCACTCCGCGCCTCGTTGGCGCCGGAGAACCGCGAGCGCGCGTCCTCACTCCAAAGCGGTTCGCATCGCGCGTCCGCGTTCACGCGCGCTCAAACGCGCTCCAGGCGCGTATTATATCTTGATCTTCGCGTAAACGCTCGCAGACATGCCTCGCGACGGCCCCACACGCGTCTCGTGGCCCGTTAAAGTTTTCACTCGAACCGTGGTCAAACAGCCTTGGGCGGCGCTCGCGTGCGCGTTGGGTCTCATCGCGCTCGCAGCGTACGCTATCGCGACGAAAGACGTCGCGCTGAGCATAGACACGTCATTGGAATCGTATCGTGCGCGAGGGACGCCGAGGACGACGAGGGCGCTGGCGGTGGGGCTCGCGAAGCGCTGGAGCGCGGCGACGCCGTTGGATTTGCAATCGAGGCGACTGGCGCGGCGGAGATTATTGGTGACGAATGCGTCGTCGAGCGATGGACTCGCACCACCACCGCTGCCGCCACCGCTGCCGCCACCGCTGCCACCATCGCCGCCGCCACCACCGCCGTTCCTTGGTTTGCCGCCAACGAGAAGGCTCGCGTCGAGTCTCGATCGGCGGATTTTGGGATTGAACGCGAAATCGGGCGTCGACGGCGGCACGGGGGCGAATGAATTTCACGTCATCGTCAGTCGAGTGGATCGCAAGGGTGACACACCGAGTGATATCGCGAACGCACTTCGCCAAGTGTGCGTTTTAAAGCATAACATCGAGCACGCGTGGGGCTACGAGGACACGTGCGAGGAGGATCGATACGGGGACGGATGCGCGGCGGCGTTTAGTATTTTTGACATCGAGAATATGTATCGATTGGTGGGTTTATGGGACGTCTTCGAAGGCGCACAGAAGCTTGGGCAAGGGACGTTTGCAGAAGTATCGGCGCGCTTGGATTTTATTCGCGATCAATGCGGATATCGAATGTTTACGCGCGAGATCGTCGAGGCGGCGCATCGATCGATGTGCGACGCCGTCGCCGCGTGTCACGAATATCCTTGCGACGTCACGAGTAGCGCGCGATGCATGATCGGAGAGTTTAAGATTGGTATTTGCGATTTTATAGAGCACGTGGATCCTACGGTCGGGGAGATAATCGCCGTCGCGAAGATGAATAAAAACCTCGACGCGGTGGCGTGCCGTGAAATCGATGCGGTTGCTGTGTGGGATACAATGCTCGGGATAGAAGTGATTTTACGCTGGTCCAGCTCGTGGGACGCAATCGAGGCTTTCGGGGCACCGTTCGGAATATTATTAAACGATGCTTTCTTGCCAAACATGGCGCAAGAGCGAGGCGAGCCGCGCAGGATGGCCATCGTGTTTCGGCTTTCATACAGTGATCAGTCGACGATTTGGGTTAAGAATGTGGCTCGGCACGTCATCGAACATTTCAACTCTGACGTCTCATCTGTTTCCACGGGAACCTTCGCTTCCTGGCGGCACATTAATGCGTACAACTCGATGCTGGATGATCGTCTCGCGAAGGATTGCGTATTCGCCGTGGGCTCGCTGTGTGTGACGGTGGCGTTCATCGCTTTGCACACCCGCTCGCTCTCACTCGCCATTTGCAGCATGATTAGTATAATCGGTGCGACTCTTCTCACGCATGCGACTTACTATGAAGTGTACAGACGAGAATGGTTCGGCATAATTCATATTGCGGGAATTTTCCTATCTATCGGCATCGGCGCCGACGACGTCTTCGTGATTTACGATCATTGGCAGGCGAGCGCGAACAACGTCGAGGAAAAAGAGAGCCTGGACGCAACTTTAGAAGAACGCATGCAATGGACCCTACGTCACTCGGCATTTAGTATAAGTATCACATCTTTCACTACGGCGGCGGCTTTTGCAAGCAGCATTCCGAGCTCCATTCCTCCCGTTCGGCTATTTGGCACATTTATGGCGACGCAGATTATTTTTCTCCTACTCGTCAGTATCGTCGTGACATCTTCGGTGTTGATTTTGAATGAAAAGTGGAAGCGCATCGCGGTCTCGAGAAACCGCGTGATGCCTTCTCAAGAGGAAGTAGTCGACGTAAATCCGACTGTGGTGGCTCGTCGTGGATCTGCGCAACGGAGAGCGACAATCGATTTTGGTGACTTTCCTGAAACTCTCAGTCGTGTCATCCATAGGCGCATGGCATCCGCACCATTAGATCCGGTTGCGTTAACACTACGTCCATCATTTGCCGTCGAAGGACGCCCTTTGATAGATGAAGCATCGTCCGCATCGACGTCTCCAGCGCTCTCACCTCGGAGGACGTCGCGTCGTCGCCGGGATTTACTTGCTGCGACGTTTACTCGCCTCGTGTATTGGAAGTGGACGCTTAATGTGGTATTTGTTGCCATGATTGTCGGCGCCGTGCTTCTTGGGCTCAACATCGTGAAGCAAACCGGCGACGAGTCACTGTCTCTGTGGCCAAAAGGCCACGTTATCCACGATTACACGCTCGCCGCGCAGAGTTTTAACTCGTCTCGCTACGAAGAAAGCGTCCTCGTCCAGTTCACATTCGGCCTCGATGCCGCGCGCTCGAGCGTGTCCGCTATATCTGATAAGTCTCTGTCGTACTCTGGCGTTCCAGTGTGGCTCGTTGAGCCGAATGCGTCGTATGATTTTTCCGACGAAGACTCTCAGATATGGTTGCTAGAATTCTGTGCCGAGCTTAGATCGATGCGCGATCGCATCGTGTCTCCAACGACGGTCAATTGTTGGATATATGATCTTGATGTATGGCTCAAAGACGGAGGATTACTCGGTGCACACATCGACGGTTTACCCATCGCTCGACAAGACTTTCGTTACGCCGTTCGAACGTTCGCCAATCACGTGAATACGTACGGCTTACTGCGCTTCATACGAAATAGAGACGACTGCGACAAATATCGCCTGGGCGATGATCTCTGTGTCGCATACTCAGCAATCACGGTACCGACGTCGGCGCGCAGGGTGTCTACGGCTGATGAAATCAGAAAAGCGCACGATTTCTGGGAAACGTGGTTTGCGGCAAAGATCTCGACTGGGCCTCCGGAGACGCGCGGCGCGTTTCAATCAAGCGATACGTGGGTTCTCGCAGATACGGTTGACGAACTTAAATCAGCCGCTTCGTTGACCGTCGTATATTCGTTAGTTTTGGCGTTTATGGTTCTATTTCTTTGCACCTTGAGCGTCAAAATCGCCGCCGCAGCGACGTTTTGCATCGCCTCCGTCGTAGTATACTTTGTCGCCTTCATGGCGCTTCGCGGATGGCGTCTGGGCATCATCGAATCCGTGTGCGTGCAGATTATTGTCGGTCTCAGCATCGATTATATCAGCCACATCGCTGTCGCGTACGTATCAACGCATAACCAACCCATGACAAAGGACGAGCGTTCACTCTCGGCGCTCCGCATCGTCGGAGGCGCCATCACCGCCGGCTGGTTCTCATCCATCGCCGCCGCGGCATGCTTGCTCGGATGTACCATCGTCTTCTTCACAAAGTTCGCAACCTTCATCGTCGTCACGCTCACCGCGAGCTTCATCCACGCCGTCGTCGTGTTGCCCGTCGTGTTGGCCGCGCTCGGCCCGGCGTACGTCCAGCCGCCGCCGCGATGACGAAGACGTCGACCGAGGCCGGCACACCCACATCGATCGACGCAAATCCCACCTTTTCATACGAAAACATCTCATCGCTCGCGATCGAGCGCCGTCGCCGTCTCTCGTTAGAGCGAAAACGCCGCCCGCCGACGGAGGAGTAACTGTCCCGCTCGACCGCTCGACCGCTCGACCGCTCGACCGACCGACCGACCGACCGACCAGAACCGACGCGTCGTCACGAACGATCCGTCCCGAGACGCAGTCGCGCCATCGCGACGTCGCGCGGCATGTCGCGCGCCGTGCCGCTCGGGCGCCCCGTCGCCCCGCGCCGCGCGCGTCGCGCGACGTCGAGCACCGGAACGCGACGGTTGACGGTTGGCGCCAGAGCGAAAAAATCCTTCTTCAACGCCGAGACCAACTCGTGGGAAAGCGCGGCCGAACACGAGGCGCACGCGCATTTCACGTCGCAGTCCACGGAAATCTTAATATTCCCCGACGCCGTCATGCCGTGTCGAAGCATGCTGGATGCGAATTATCGGTGCGCGAAGGCGCACTGCGACAAGGCGCACCACACGACGTCTCTGGTGAAATTCATACGAACGCTGGACAAGGCGACGTCGACGCTGGACGTGGTGTGCTTTACGATTACGTGCGATGATATTAAGCGAGCGATTCAACGCGCGGCGAAACGTGGGATTAGGGTGCGAATCGTCACGGACGCGAACAACGTGGACTCGCTCGGTTCGGATATTCGAGAGCTCAGCGAGGCGCGGAAAATAGACGTACGATGCGACGCGCACTCGAACGATCCGAATAAGCGCGGGATGATGCATCATAAATTTGCCATCATCGACGGTGAGACGAACGATCCCGTGGTCATCACGGGTTCGTTTAATTGGACGCGGGCGGGCGTGCTGGACAATCACGACAACGTGTTGATAGCTCGCAACCAACCCGATGTGGCGGCGCCGTACATCAAGCACATGGAGGCGCTCTGGAAAGAGTACGCCGCGTTTCAGATTCACGGCGCAGAGGGCTGAGCGTCGCCGCCCGATGTAATTTAACCGCCACGCGTTGTCGCCGTCGCCTCCGCCGCCGTCCCGACGCCAGACGCTTCGGCGCCGGCGTCACACTCGCGCGCGCACGTTCCCTCGCGCGCGCGCGCATCGCCGCTCGAATGACGTCATTACAGACTCAAATCGAAGCGCACGCCTTTCGCGCCCTGTTGGCGCACATGCGCGCGCGAAACGACGTGCAAAATATCGACCTCATGAATCTCGCTGGTTTTTGCCGAAACTGCTGCGCCAAGTGGACGCTCCTCGGCGCGCGAACGGTGGGGTATCCCATGACGTACGACGAAGCGTGTGAATACGTGTACGGCGAACCGTACGGGGATTGGAAAAAGAAGCATCAGGTAAAGGCGAGCGCGGAACAGTTGGCGGCGTTTGAGTCGGGACGGCGGTTGCACGCGAAGCACGACGCGTTGGAGGCGCTCGAGGCGACGCCGCGCGACGCGGTGGGCGCCACGCGCGCGCCGTTCGTGAGTGTGAGCGGTGCGTTGAGCGAGGTTTGCTGCACGCCCGCGGAAGAGCTGTCGAGTGGCGGCGGAGACGCCGTCGCGGCGGCGTGCGCGCTTCGGGACGGCGCAGCGGCGCGAAGCGTGCGCGTGGGCGTGTTGACGTGTTCGGACCGCGCCGCCGCGGGGACGTACGCGGACGAGAGCGGGCCGTTAGTTGAACGCGCGGTGTGTGAGTACGCCGCCGCGTCTGGGGCGTTGGTCATCGCGGAGACATCGCGCGTCGTCGTCGCCGACGACGTCGACGACATCGAAGCCGCGCTTCGAGACTTGACGTCTCGATGCGACCTCGTGCTCACCACCGGTGGTACCGGGTGCGCGCCGCGCGACGTCACCCCCGAAGCAACCGCGCGCGTGCTCGCGCGCGAGATCCCGGGCATTCCAGAAGCCATTCGCGCGGTGACTTCGATCGCCGAGCCGCGCGCGGCGCTCTCTCGCGCCGTCGCCGGCGTCGCCGTCGCCGGCGCGCTCGTCGTCAACCTCCCGGGCGCCCCGCACGCGGCCAAGCAGTGTTTGGGCGTGTGTTTACCCTTATTTCCTCGCGTTCTAGACACCTTAGCCGAGCGTCGTTAGCTTGTAATCCATCGCGCGTTCCGCGGCTTCGGCGCGCCGTCGAAGGCGAACACGAAAACTGACCCTCGCCAGAGGACGACGCGATGTGGTCCCGCGCGGCGCGCGCCGCCTCGCTCGCCCGCGAGTCCGCGAACGCGCGACGCGCGGCGAGCGAGCGCAGCAATCTCGTCGCCAGCACCTCGGACGGCGACGATCGCTCGGTCGCGTCGGCGCACGACCGTCGCGATCGACGGCCCGAAGACGATGGTGTTGGCGGACGTTTCGGCGCCGTAGTCGACGCCGTCGCGGCGCCGCGGCGCGAAAACGACGATGAACGACGTAGAAATGTGAGGCATTTGATTCCAGGCGCGCTCGCGCTCGTGGCGTGCGCGATGGTGCTGTACGCGGGGTCGTATTTCGTTGAACACCCAATTTGGAAGTTTGAGCACGTGAGCCGATGGGCGGCGCGACGCGCGGCGAGCGTCGGCGCGGCGGGACCGATGCGGTGTAGCAAAGATCCGGCGCTGACGGGCGAACAGACGTGTCTGCCGTCGTTCGCGGTGATCGGGAGCCACGTGGGAGGGATGCGGCGACTGAAGCGATTGATGTCGCAGCACGACATGTTGACGACTGGGCAAAAGACGATGCATTTTTTTAATCCAGTGTACGGCGCCACGCAAGGGGTGCAGATGTGCGAACCGCCGGAGTTATTGCTGAAGGCGTATTTTAGCGCGGTGCAAGCCGGACACGGGGAGACGTGGAGCCCGTATGATCCGAGCGAGACGATGAAAGCGAAGCGAGACGGCGAGGCGTTTGAACGCGAGCTCGGGGACGTCGTCACCGGGGACTGGAGTGATACGTATTTCAATTGCGCGTGCTGTGCGTCGACAATGAAGCGATTGATGCCAAATTTGCGGCCAATCGTAGTGCTGCGAGACCCGGTGGGACGGGCGATGGCGCGATACGTGGAGGAGAATCACCCTCACGGGACGCCCGTGGAGGCGTCGGGATTGAGCGCGTGCGCGTTGAAGGAAAACGGCTACACTTGGGGAGCGACGGCGAAGAAGACGAAAGAGTACTTGGAGCAATGCGTGAAAGAGGCAGACGGCGCCGATAGTGGTACTCTCACTCGAGAGTGCTTGGACTTTCATTCGGTTTTGGGCTGGAGCATGTACGCCGAGTATTTGGAAGTGTGGTTGAAGGAGTTCCCGAATTTGCTCGTAATTTACACTGACGACATCGAGGAAAACCCCACGGAAGTCGCCAAAGAGGTGGAAACGTATCTCGGATTACCCCCGAGCCTGACCCCGTACGAAATCGCGGGCCTGGGAGCACTGGAAGATACCGACCTAGCGTCCATCGCGTTTGATTTGCAACCGCAGTTGGCAAAGACTAGCGAAGACAAGGAAGCCACCGAGGAGTTGTTGGCGTTCTTCGAGCCGCATGTGAAGCGTTTGGACGTGATGGCGCAGAAGGGTAAGATCCCGCCCCTGCCGTACAAGTGGAAGCGTCGCTACAACATCCCGGTGCGCCACAGCGTCAAGTCGCGTAAATTGCTCGCCGACGATGAATCAGCCGCCTTCGACGGGAACGACATCGATGGGTTGATTTCGAGCTTGACGCAAGTGGACGACAGACTTGATGATGTTAAGCAAGAGCACACGGATGAGACGGGCGTCGAAGGCGGAGTAGACATCGAAGAGGTTTTGGGAGTCATGGGCCAGACGGAGACGAAAAGCACTGCCTCTGGACAGTACGAGGACGGCGACGCCAACCTCATGTCTGAGTATGATGATGATAGCGGCAAGGAATCGTCGTCCTCAAACTCGACGGCGGCGATTGGAAGTGGGAATTCCACTTCTACCAGCGATGTAGACGTCATCAATTCCAAATCTAAGCTTCTTCAGGAACGCGCGGAGAAGTCGGAGAAACACAACAAGCCGAGCTGGAAGGCGAGTTCCGTGCGAGGAAGATTTTACTCGGATTTGTATGTGCCGATGGACGACACCGTTCGGGACGAACTCAAAGGCCAATTGTTCGTGCCGATTGCCGTTCCCTATCTCTTTCAATTCGCCAACGAGTTCAAACACAACAAGGCGTGGATGGACATCGTTGGCATCAAGAAGGAGGAGCAGGAGCGCGTGTACAGTGAACTCTGGCGCGATGATTGCACGCACAGTCAGCAATGGTCAGCTCGATCGGGGTGCTGCGGGCTCAGCTGTTGTTTGATCGGCGGGCACAGAAAGGACACTGTAGGACTAAGAGGATAGACAGTATTGACAATCGCTAAAACGTAGAACACAAATTATCACGCGGACGCGTGAATGATGTCCCGCTCGAAACTAGGCGTCAGCTTTTCACAATCCTCGATGATGCGCTTCTTGTCCAGTTTTTTTAGGTTCGGCGTCGCGGCGTATTCACGCAAACGCCCGGTGCGAACGTTTGGCTCGAATTCCAAACTCTCGTGCGCGGCGCGAATACTCGTCTTGTTCGCCAGGTACTCCTCCTTCGTGAGCGCATGTTTCTCGAAAAATTCCCGATCCTTCGCGATATCGACGCCGCCTAAGCAAGCCGCTTGAATTGGATCATCCATTTGCCGGATGCGCAACATGTACGACTCCGAGACCAGCGGCCGTAATTCGCGCTCAAAGCGTTCCATAAAGTTTGGAAACTTTGAGCACCCCCCAGTGACAATGACGTCGAGGTAGGCGAGCGCTCGCATGGCTTCGTTAGACAAATCCTCGTTTTCCACTGCCTGTGTCACTAACTCCGCTACCCCACACTGCCGTCCGCCGATATCGCTCGGATGAAATAGCACCTCCGGCACCATGAAGCGCTCGTTGACGAGCGTCAAGAATTGGTGCTCTGGTTCATCCTTTTTGGGAATTTTAACTTTCTTTTCCTTCGGCACCTTCTTCTTCGGTCGTTTCTTTGTCCTCCCTGAAGCACCGAAATCGTCATCATCTTCGTCAGATTCCGATAATTCTTCGTCGTCGTCTGAACCATCCTTCTTGTCCACGTTTGCGCTGTCCTCGCGCACGAACCCTCGCAAGACGTGTATTCCGTCTGGCAATACGTACTCGCGCTTCACCGTTCCACCTCGCTTCGCCTTGCACTTCTCCAATTCCGCCAAAGCATCGTCGGCGACGTAGCACATCTTTTCCTTCACGTCCTCGATCACCGCGCTTTCGTCCATCATGTTCCATTGTCGAAAGCTAACGAGTTCTTTTAAATAATTCGTCAACGCCTTTCCCCCGAGGTTCAACCGCTTGATCCCGCGCGGCACCTCGGTCCCATCCACAAACGCCGTCGCGTGCGCGAAAGAAAACCCACAATCCAAAACCACCCCAGATCGCGCGACGACGCACAAATCCTTCGCGTCTCGTTTCTTCGCGTCCACGAAATCGGCGAATCGTTTCGTCAGTTTCGCCGGCGTCGTCACCAACGCCCGCCGAAACCCAAAATATTCAAACACCATCTCATCCAGCGCCTCTCGCGTGCGCGGCAGCGCGAACGGCGGTTCGGTGATGATCAAATCGCACCGCGTCGGATCCACGCCGAGCGTTCGCCGCAGCGCGTCGTCTAATATCTCCCGCTGTTGCTCCCAGTGCACGACGTACCCGCGGTCGCACGGCCGTCGCAGCGCCAATCCGTTCACGTCCACCACCCCATCGATCTCCTCGCCCCGCAGCGTCACGAACCCGGCGCCATCGCTCGCCTTGACGCGCGCGCTCGCGTTCGGCGCGCTTCGCGTCGCCGTCGCGCCGTCCTCGGCGACGCACAGTTTCAGGCTCGACCCTCCGAGGTCGACGACCACCGTGACGTCCCCGCGCAGGCTCGACGCCGCCGGTCGATCCGCCGCGGTCGAGGGCGCGCGCGCGCCGTCGCGCGCGCCGCGCTTCGGCGCCATCGCGCCGTCGTTCGCGCGCGTCGCCGTCTGTGGATTCGCGTTCGGATTCCAATCTCGTCACTCCGTCGCGCGCGCCGCGCCATGTCGCGCGCGGACGACGCGTCGACGAGCGCGCGCGATCTGTACGCCGCGCTCGGCGTCGCGCGCGACGCCGAGGCCGACGAGATCAAGCGCGCGTACCGAAAGCTCGCGGCGGCGTTGCATCCAGATAAACAGCCGCGACGACGCCGCGACCGCGACGACGACGACGACGACGACGACGACGACGACGCGGGCGCGACGGAGGCGGCGCAACGCGCGTTCGCGGCGCTGAGCGAGGCGTACGAGGTGCTGAGCGATGCGGACGCGCGACGGACGTACGACGCGTACGGGATGGATGGCGTGCGGGCGGGACGCGAGCTCGGCGCGAGAGGGAAAACGACGGAGGAGATGCGAATCGAATACGAGCGACGGCGCGCGAAAGAGACGAAGGAAGCGGCGGAGGCGCGGTTGAATCACAGCGGGACGTACGTGTTCGGGTTCAGTGCGGCGCATTTGATGGAGGAGAGCATAGCGCGTCGGCGAGCGGCGTTTACGAATAATCCCGGGTTGGATTTGACGAGCGTGTCGCTGCAGAATTCGATGGAGATACCGCTGAGCGAGGAGGATGCGGTGTACACGGTGACGCAGGGAACGACGCGAGGGGGACGTGGGGCGGGGAATTTTATATTAGGGTGGCGACGAGCGTTTTCGCCGTTGACGTCGCTCGACGTGAGCGCGCAGACGGGGCAGACGAGCGCGGTGACGGCGACGGTGACGAGGCAGCTCACGACGCACACCACGGGGGCGGTGTCACATAATTATATCGCGCAGCAAGGGTTCGGGTTGCAGCTCATGCTTCAGCGCCAGCTGTTTGCGCAAACGAGGGGGCATTTGACGTGGAACGTCGGACCGGTGTCGTCGATGTCCACCGGGGCGACGCACGCGTTCGGTAAGAATGCCGTCAAGTGCGATTTTAGCGTTGGGGTAGCGGCGAGTGGATTGAATGGGCATTTCATTCGACAAATGGACGAAAAAAGGGTGTACAGGGTGGGTTGGAAATTAGGCACCGCGGGCGCCGAGCTCGACGTCGGCGCGACGAAGCAAGTGGACGAGGACACCGCGCTCGGCGCTAGTATCGTCGTCAGCTTGCGAGGGCTTTCGCTTCGATTTAGAGTGAACAGACAAGGACAGCGATTCGTGGTGCCAATATTATTAACGCCGATGGTGACATGGCGCAAGTCGCTGTTGGCGTTTACGCTGCCGCCCATCGCCATCGCGCTGTTGCGCCACTTCGTGGCGCGACCGATCATGAATCGATACATCCGCAAGCGTCAGCTCGCGGCTAGGGAGAAGAACAAACGGACCATTCTCGTGGCGATGCGTGAAGCGCACTCTGCGACGAAAATGATCGCCGAGACGGCTGATAAAAAGGCGCGCGCCGCGCGAGAGCGCGGCGGTCTTGTCATCGAAAGCGCCGTCTTCGGCGCGTTCGATCCGCGACGAAACACCGTTAAAGACGCACCAATCATTCCGAACTTCCGGACGTGGTCGCCCTCGTCGCAGTCGCCGAACGCGAATTCAACGGAAGAAGGCAGCCCAGACGCCCCGAAGCCCGCGGCGTCGCCGCCGCCGTACGTCGACGTCACGCGCGCGCTTCAATTCATGGTCGACAACGACACCCTCGATCTGTACGAAAACGTTGCCATGTGCGATCTCCTCGGATTCTGCGATCCGTGTCCCGGCGAGGACAAGCATTTGCGCGTGCGTTATCGCTATCGTCGCGCCCTCCACGAGGTCACCGTCAAGGCGGACGCGATGGTGTCGCTCCCGAGCGCCGATCACCGCCTTCCCGAAAAGCTTCAAACCATCGATCCGAGAGTGTGATTTCATTCAAAAAAGATCGTCACGATGCGCCAGCCGCGCGCTCGTCCTTTCGACGCGCGTCTCGCCCTCGCATCCATCGCGGCTCGTCGCTCGTCGCGTCGCGCGTCCAACAGTTTCCCGAGCTCGACCGGCGGCGGCGGCGGCGCTTCACTCGGCGCCTCGTCCCGCCCGCGTCCGCGCCCGCGCCGCGCGCGATGGCGAAAGATAAAAACACAAAGGCGCGCGCGAAAACGACGAAGCGTCTGTCCGCGAGCGCGCGCGTCGATGCGGAAATCGCGGAAATCGAAGCCGTCATCGCCGACACCAAGCCCGCGAGCGGTGACAACCCGCTCGCCGTCGCGCCGCGTAAGAGCTCCGACGGCGACGCGGGGACGTCGCTGATGGGAATGCGGAAGTTTGCGCACCTGCCGATCAGCCAGGCGACGAAGGCGGCGCTGCGGGAGTGTAAATTTAAGGAGATGACGGCTATACAGCGAGCGACGCTGCCGCACGCGCTGTGCGGACGAGACGTCCTCGGTGCGGCGAAAACGGGAAGTGGGAAGACGCTGGCGTACGTCGTGCCTTTGATCGAATCGCTGTGGCGGAAGAAGTGGGGACGGCAGGATGGCGTCGGGGCGTTGGTGATATCGCCGACGCGAGAGTTGGCCATTCAGATTTTTCAATGCCTCACGAAGGTGGGCGCGAGGCACACGATGTCGGCTGGGCTGTTGATCGGGGGAAAGGACGTGCAGGAAGAAGCGAATAGGGTGAATAAGATGAATATTTTAGTGTGCACGCCCGGAAGGTTGTTGCAGCACATGGATGAGACGCCGATGTTCGACTGCGTGACGCTGCAAATGTTGGTACTCGATGAGGCGGATCGAATGTTGGATTTAGGATTCACGAAGACGCTCAACGCCATCATCGACAACTTGCCAAAGAATCGTCAAACACTGCTGTTCAGTGCGACGCAGACGAAGAGCGTAAAGGATTTGGCGCGACTTGGGTTGAAGGATCCCGAATACTTATCAGTGCATGCGGAGAGCGTACATTCGACACCGCCCAAGCTGCAACAAATGGTCACCACATGCGCGCTTGAGAAGAAAATTGAAGTGCTGTGGTCATTCATAAAGACTCACTTGAACGCGAAGACGCTCGTGTTTTTCTCGAGCTGTAAGCAGGTGAAGTTTGTGTACGAAATTTTCAAGCGCATGCGACCCGGGGTGCCGCTGCAGTGCATTCACGGACGATTGAAACAGGCGCGACGCCAGGGCGTGTTTTACAACTTCTGCAACGCCAAGGAAACAGTTTTGTTCGCGACAGACGTCGCAAGTCGTGGTTTAGATTTCCCATCCGTCGATTGGGTCGTTCAAGCGGATTGTCCAGAGGACGTCGCGACGTACATTCATCGCGTCGGACGAACGGCAAGGTACACGGCCGCTGGTAAAGGTCTATTGATGCTCACCCCGGGCGAATCTCACTTCATGAAAGAGCTCGAGGTGGCAAAAGTTCCTCTGAAGCCGATCAAACTCAACCCCAAAAAGCAGTCCTCGCGCATTCAAAGCTCGATGCAGGGATTACTTTCTAAGGACAGTGATTTAAAATACTTGTCGCAACGCGCAGTGATTTGCTATCTGAGATCGGTGTATCTCCAAAAGAACAAGAAGGTCTTCGACATCAAGTCTATCGATATGGATGCCTACGCATTCTCCATGGGATTACCGAACGCACCGCGCTTGAGATTCTTACAACAAGGAAAATCAGCCGGCGCGCGCGACGAGAGCGATTCCGACGACGACGACGAAGCGGAAGACGACGCCAGTGATCGAGAGGAGGATGAGGCGAGCGATGATGCTGGCGACGATGATGACGACGAGGACAACGACACTGATGAAAGTACAAGTGAAGAAACCGTTCCGCTCCCGAAGGAGGGTGTCATTCAACGCAAGGGTGGTGGTAGATTTGGTCTAGTCGTCGAAAAAGGCGAGGACGACGACGACGATTTTATGAATGTCAAACGCACAAATCACAAGCTCGTGGGTAGTGATTCCGAGTCCGACGACGCAGAAAAGTATAACGCCGACAAAAAGGCGGCAGAAATCGCGCGAAAGCGCGCGCTCAAGGGCAAGCTGAAAATCAAGGAGAGTGGTCACGGCGCGAACAAACGCGTCGTCTTCGACGAGGACGGGACGTCCATGGCGCCACTCCAGGCGCTCGGGGTAAAGAGTGGCATAGAAGAAGTGAGCGCACCAGGTGAAAGTCTGCGAGTGGCCGTGAAGGCGCGTTACGCAGAAGTCGCGGCCGAGCGCAAGGATGCCGACCGAGTGGACAAAGGGCGTGAAAAGGCGCGCCTTCGCGAGGGCCGCCAGCGCAAAAAGCAAAAGCTTCGCAACGCTGAAGACGAGGGCGGCGCCGATGTCACGTTAGGCGGTTCGGACTCAGAAGATAGTTTAGGTGACTTTAGCGAATCGGATGACGATCGCGACGTTCCGCGCAAGAAGAATGTTATCGACCCCGCCGTCGCAGGAATGATGACCGCAGACGAAAAGTTAGAATCACTCGAGGAGCGCGCGTTGCGCCTACTCGAAAGTTAGAATGTGATGATAAAAAATCATTCATAGTAAGTCGTGGTAATCTGTTACATGCGTCTACTCTTGCTATGAGCTTTGTGCCCACAATTAGGGGTACATGTGCGTATTGTAGTGTGGCTCCGGTAAGGAGTGTTCCAGGCCCGTGAGCATCACAGAACTCGGCATGTTTTGCATGAGATCCGCCTTGATTGCGTCCGCCTTTTGCTGGAAGATTCTCTTGGAGGCTTCGTCGATCTCCTTCCAGGCCGTAGACAGTTTTTGAGAGATTTCGTCGTGCTTCAAATGCGGTCGCTCCTGTCTGATTCTGGCGCGCAACTCTTCGGCAAAGATGAGGTACGCGGTGGGAGCGCGCTTGGGCTTGCCCGGCACGCTCTTGCCTTTGTTCCGCTTGGATGGCCCGTACACCGGCGGGCGGTATTCTGCTTTCAACTGCTTGTATCGCTCGAGCTCTTTCGCCGCCGCCGCCTTGCATTCGGCGAGCTCCTGCGGGGAGATGTTATTCCACAACGCAGCCAACTCCGTGGTGACTTGCTGCATCTCAGCGCGCGTAAACTTGGCCTCTGGTTCCGGATGAATCTTCCGCATCACCGCCGCGCGATGCTTACCACAGAAGATCAAATACGCCGTTTTGGCGCGCACGGGCTTTTCACCCTGCGCCTCCACGACGACCGTTCCCTTCGGTTTGCTCTTCAACCGATGCAACTTCTTCAGCAACGCCGGCGAAAACGCAGCCTTCTGCATCTCATACTCCGCCTTCGCCGCGGCCGCCTTCGCCTGCACCTCCTTCTTCTCCTTCTCCGAAATGTTATTCCACATCTCCGCCAACCGCGTCGTCACTAACTGCATTTCGTCTCGCGAAAACTTCCGCGCGCCGTCGTCTCCGTGCACCTCCCGCATCACTCGCTCGCGATGCTTGCTGCAAAAGATCAAATACGCCGTCATGGCCCGTTTCGGCGGCTCCGGCGAGCTCTCATCCGTCAACCGCAACGCATTCTATCGCGCGTTCGCCGCGTTTTCGTCAGTCTCGCGCCCGCGATCGCCCCCTCCCGCGTCCAATTCGTCCGATTCGCCGCGCGGTTTAAAAAGCCGTTGGCGCGCGCGCCCGAAATCGAAATCACCCGTTCGCGTCGTCGTCGTCGTCGCACCTTCGAGTCCACCATCTCGCGCGCGACCGAGCGCCTGCGTCGCGTCCGCGTCGCGTCCGCGTCGCCGTCAGTCCTCTCGTCGTCGTTCGCGTCGCGCGCGTTCGTTCGCGTCGCGCGCGTGCGTTCGCGTCCGCGTCGATCGTTCGTTCGCGCGTCGCGCTCGATCGCGCGTCCGAGCGCGGCCGGCGCGCGCGCGCGAACGATCGACGCGCGATCGATCGCGCGCGCACCTCGTCGAGCGTTCGCGGCGTCGCGCGGGCGTCGCGCGCGGTCGAGTGTGTCGCGCGCGCACAATTAGGGTTCGTGACTCGTGTGGCTGTGGGTTCTATGCGCAAACAGTGCGACGATGACGATGGCGCGCGACGCGACCGCGCGCCGACCCGTCGCGCGACCGCGCACGCGCGCGCGCGCGCCGGACGCGCGCCGGACGCGCGAGCGAACCCTCGACCCGTCGCGGCGACGCGCGGCGACGCGCGCCGCGCCGAGACGACGCCGCGACGATGACGATGACGATCGCGACGCATCGCGCGACGACGCCGACGACGCGCGCGCGCGCGACGCGGCGCGCGACGCGACCGCGCGAGCGAACGACGAGACGCGCGTCGTCGTCGTCGGAGACGAAGACGGCGGCGACGGCGGCGACGACGACGCGACGCGAGGAGGACGACGACGCGGGCGTCGAGTGCGTGGCGTCGACGATGGGCGCGGAGTGCGTGATCCCGGAACCGACGCGCGAGGCGCGCGGGGTGGAGTGCGTGGGGGTCGGGATGGAGGCGTCGTGCGACGCGGAGGCGCTCGCGGACGAGGCGGGGGCGAGCGCGGGGGCGAGCGCGGCGGCGAGCGCGAGCGGCGGCGCGGCGGCGAATTTGGCGCTCGTGTCGCCGTTTTTTCTGTGGGGGACGTCGATGGTGGCGATGAAAGGGGTTTTGCCGGTGACGTCGCCGATGTTCGTCGCGTCGGTGCGATTGATTCCGTCGGGGTTGATTTTAGTGGCGTGGGCGCTGAGTAAGGGTCGACCGATGCCGAAGACGGCGACGGCGTGGGGCGCCGTCGCGGCGTTCGCCGTCGTCGACGCCGCCATGTTTCAAGGGTTTCTCGCGGAAGGATTGCAGCGCACGTCGGCGGGGTTAGGTTCGGTGATCATCGATTCGCAACCGCTCACGGTGGCGATTTTGGCGTCGATTTTCTTCGGCGAGACGCTCGGCGTCGAGGGCGTCGCGGGATTGGCGCTCGGCGTTCTCGGTCTGTTATTGCTCGAACTTCCGGAAGATGCGTTGAAATCCGTTGTGAACAGCGACGGCGCCGACGCGCTCAGCGCGTTGCGCCTCGAAGGATCGTTGTGGGACAGCGGCGAGTGGTGGATGTTGCTCGCGGCGCAGTCCATGGCCGTCGGCACAGTCATGGTGCGATGGGTGTGCAAGTACGTCGACCCGGTGATGGCGACCGGGTGGCACATGGCGCTCGGCGGCGTGCCTTTGCTCGCGTACTCTCTCGCCACGGAACCGGAACTTTATTCGCATTTGTCTCTGAGCGGCGCCGACGTCGCGTCGCTGTTGTACGCGTCGGTCTTCGGCGGCGCCGTCGCCTACGGCGCCTTCTTCTACTTTGCCACCAAGGGGTCACTCACGAAACTCAGCTCGCTCACGTTCCTCACTCCGATGTTCGCCGCCGCGCTCGGGTATCTCACCCTGGACGAGACGCTCAGCGCCACCCAACTCGGCGGCGCGGCGGTGACGCTCGTCGGAATTTATTTCGTCAACACGCGCGCTAAAGAGGCCAGCGCAGAGTGATTTCACCGATTGTTTTCATCATCGTTTCGAATCGCGCGAGTTCGCTCCGCGGCGTTGTAATTTAGCGCCTGCATTGGTTTCTTCTTCTTCTTCGCGCCGTCGTCGCCTCGCGGTAACTGTCTCGGCGCGGAGCTTCCGCAGATGCAGACGCGACGCGCCTTCGCGCCTCGCGCGCGCCCGGCGCGCGCACCGAGTCAAACGCGCGCGTCCCCGCGCGCGCGTTCGCGACCGCGCGCGTCGATCGCTTCGCGCGCGTCGATCGAGTTTCACTTTGCAATCACCGCGCAGCTCGACTACGGCGATTCCCTCGCGCTCGTCGGCGACGCCGACGCCCTCGGCGCGTGGAACGTCGACCGAGCGTTGGAGTTACAGTGGACGGACGGTGACGCGTGGTGCGCGCGCGCGGACGTGGACGTCGGTGTCGATGGGGTGGCGTTTAAGTGCGTGCGCCGACGCGCGAGCGGCGACGTCGAGTGGGAGGGCGGAGAAAATAAGACGGTGCGCGTGGAGGACGTGCGCGACGCGAAAAAATGCGTCGTTCGTGGAGTGTACGGAGACGGAGCGTGCGCGGTGACGCGCGATGGTGGAGGAGGTGGAGGAGGAGGCGAGACGCGCGAGGACGCTCGAGCGGAGGCTCGCGACGACGACGGCGGCGGCGGCGAGCCGCCGTCGGTCTCGACGAGCGCGAAGGGATGGAGCGGCGGTGAGGTACGGATGATGCAGTCGAACGAGCACACGAGCGATCGGCCGGCGACGATGCGTTGGGATGTGGGCAATTTGGAAGAAGCGAGCGCGGCGCGAGCCGTCGTGCTCGCGGACGAAAGCGGCGGGTCGTGGTTCGAGAAGCTCGCGGCCGTGGCGAATCAAATCGGTATCGGAAAAGAGATCACGCGCGATAAGTTGGCTGTGAGCGCGACGTATTTGCGTTGGATAAGCACCGGGACGATCAAGTGCGTGGAGAGTGGAGGTCATCGTCGTCCAAACGGACCGGCGATGGTGGGTCGGGGGATATTTATAAGTATGGAGCAGGTGCAGGGCGCGATGTATCGTCACGGAACGGATTTGGGCGAAGTTGAGCGCGTTGTTATGCGTCAAGTCCACCCTTGGCTACCTTCGTTCAACGAAGAGTTCACGAACGCCGTGCCGCTGACGCGAATTCGGGACATAGCGCACAGAAACGACATTCCGGAGGATTTGAAGAAAACCATCAAACACACGATTCAGAACAAGCTGCATCGGAACGCTGGGCCAGAGGATTTAATCGCAACCGAAGTTGTGTTAGAACGAATCACCGCGCGTGAGGGCGAGTACTCTGAAGACTTCGTTCGCGAGTTTCGCGAGTTCCACAGAGAACTCAAACGTTTCTTCAACGCCACCGGCGTGTTTGAGCGTCTCGATAGCCTTAGGGGGACTTTAGACGAGGAAACGGAACCGCTCATCGGCGAACTTAGCGAACTGCAACACTCGCTCAACAATCTCAACGACGGCTGGCTCAATCATGAAGGTGCAACGCTGCGTCACACGCTAGACGTCTGCACACGGCTACGATCGTACTTTTGCGCCGGTCTCAGCACGGGGATGCGAAACGACGCTCCGGATGATTCCGTGCGACAACGGCACGCCTGGCGACAGGTAGAAATGTCGCTGGAGGAGTACGCGTTTGTGTTATTAGCGCGCTGCAATAATCTCATGGAGCGAGAGAAGTCAGACAACATGCAGCACGCGGCGAACGTTTCTGCGCTCGCTTTGAAACACATCGGTCTTTCGGGATGGAAGTCCCTCGAGACTGGAATCATCGCACGTGAGCTCATGTCTTGGACTACGAGCACACCCGCGATCGAGGACGGAAATGCGGCCCTTCGCTTGAAGGCAACGCTACAACGCGCAAGGCGACTCATCGAATCGCAAACGAGAGCCGTCATGAGTGGTTTCGGCGACGCTCCCGCACAACTTGCCGACGCATTTGGTCTGGAACACCACGTCGGCGCGACATTTGTCGAGTCTGTCATTCGTGCGAGCGTGGCTTTCCAACTCTCTAGAACGATCGAGATGATGTCGGAGGTGGTTGAACGCAATGTTGACGGGGACGGGTTCGATCCGATCGTCCCCGGAGACGCGCAAGGCGTGCTCGTACTTTTGGACCGTTTGAATCCAGAGAGCGTTCAAGTGCACGGAGACAAGGACATCATAGCGTTTGTCTCCGAGGTCGATGGAGATGAAGAGATTTCGTCGGCGGGAAGCAATGTGAAGGGAGTCATCTTGCGCGACGAGTTGGCACATTTGTCACACCTCGCAATTCGAGCGAGGCAAGAGCGCACGCCCCTCGTTAGCGCACTAAGTGGGGAAGCTCGATCTAAAGTGAGCACGCGCGTGGGAAAAGACACCGTTTTGAACGTGTCTTCATTACATACCGAGTTGCGCGATTTCGATGGAACGCGCGATTCGCGGGAATCCGGTCATGCGGTGTCGCACGCGGCCGTGTCGCCAACGGCGTGCGCTATGGTGAACGTGATGACGTGTCTGCCCTTGGCGGAAGCCACGATCTCAAACGCTGGCGCGAAATCGTCGACGTGCAGTCGCTTGGCGATCATCGCTCGCGATAGTGCGGCGTTTAAAGCGCCCTCGGGATTCGTCGTGCCTTTCGGATCCATGGAAGCGTCGATTCGCGACGAAGAGCGATTTGGTCAACTTTTGCTCGCTCTCGAAAGCGTCAGCGTGCACGACATCGACGACGCGTGCTCGGCGATCCAAAGTTTTATCGTCGAAAACCTACCAGAGCGCGAGATCGTCGAGAGGGCGTGCTCGGCATTAGACGCGAGCGCTCGCCTGGTCGTGCGATCGAGCGCAAACGTGGAAGATTTAAGCGGCATGTCCGCGGCCGGACTGTACGAAAGTGTCGTGGGCATCGATGCACAAAACGTCACCGAAGTACAACGTGCTATTGCTGACGTCTGGGCGTCGCTGTACTCGCGTCGCGCCGTGCTCGCGCGCCGCGCCGCAGGCGTAAAACAATCCGAAGCGCGCATGGCGGTGCTGGCGCAGGAACTGTCGCCGAACGCGCTCTCATTCGTCCTTCACACACAAAGCCCGATTCGAGGCGCAAAATCTGTACAAGCTGAGGTGTGTGTCGGTTTAGGTGAAACACTCGCGAGCGGTATCGACGGCACGCCTTGGCGTTTTGAGATCGACCGCGCCACCGGCGCCGTGGATGTGCTCGCGTACGCCAATCACGCGTCTTCGCTGCGATGCAGGTACGGCGCACCGACGTTTGGCAAAGTGACGATGGAATCAGTGGACTACTCACGACAAGAACTCAGCACGAACGCAGACGCGAGAGCGCGTCTCGGACGACGGCTTTTGAAGGCGGCGATTGAACTCGAAACCGCGCTCGGCGCGGCGCAAGACGTTGAAGGCGGCGTGCTCGGCGACGACGAAGCCGTAATAATCGTGCAGTCGCGCCCGCAACCAATTTAGTAACGCGATGCACATATCTATGTACTTTTAATGAGAACATAACATTACATCTCCTTCGGCGCGTCTCTTCGCGATCGAAACACGCCGCGCAGCAGTCAATCCGCGGCGTCGTCGCCGCTCCCCTCGTCCGCCGTCTCCACCAGCTCGAACCGCGCGAGAAACTCATCCCCAAAAATCACCTCCCCCCCCACCACCAACTGCGTCGGCACGCCCGGCAACAGCTCCTCCCCATCGATAAACGTCCCGTTCGTCGACGTCAAATCCGTCACCATCACCTTCCCGTCCACCAAATCGATCATCGCGTGCGCCCCGCTCACCGTCGGCACCTCGATCGGCAGGTTCACCGCCTCCGACCGCTGTCGTCCGATCACGCTCTTCGTCGCCTCGATCGTCAGATCTCCCGGCGCGCGCACCGGCGCGTCCAGGTGCGCCATCGATTTGTCCCCGCAGTTTCGCAGCTCGAACCGCGCGCGCGCGTTCGCGTCGCCCTCGCGCGCCGCGCGCGCGCGCGTCGTCGCGCGCGTCGCCGCCCGTCGCGTCGTCGCGCGCGTCGGTCGAACCACCGTCGCCGTCGCCGTCGCCGTCGCCATCGTCGTCGTCGTCGTCGTCGTCGTCGTCTGCCGCGCGCGATCGTCGATCGCGACGCCGCGCGCGACCGCGATCGACGCCGCGGTGTCCTCGCGAACCTCGCGTCGAGGTTCGACGCGCACATGTATCCCTCGACGCGAGGTTCGCGAAGACATCGCGCGATCGATCGATCGATCGAACCGTCGACCGTTGCGTCTCCGGGCGCCCGCGCGCGGGACGCGTTCGTCGGCGCAGAACGCCGCGCGCGCGGTGGGACGGACGCGCGCGCGCGCACGGGGTCCGCGATGGGCGTCTGCGCGTCGGCGTGCGTCACGGCGCGCAGGACGTCCGGGCAAGGGTGGGACGCGCGGCGAATCGCGTTCAACGCCGAATTCGATTGGCGCGTCCTGGATGCGCGCTTGCGCGAGGGAACGACGGGCGAAGGGAGGGACGCGCGCGTGTCGATAGAGAAGGCGATGGAGTTTATGATGACGACGCAGGGGATGACGCGGGAGGAGGCGGAGGCGGTGATCGAGCGTTGCGGGGAGGCGGAGGAGGGCGCGGTGAAGATGCGAAAGTTCGCGAAGCGGGCGCTGACGAGCGAGAAGAATTTTCCGTTCGCGCGCTCGGAGGTGGACGAGGCGTCGATGACGGATGAATTGTCGCACTATTTTGTGAATTCTTCGCATAATACGTACTTGGACGGCGGACAGTTGTTCTCGAGGTCGACGAGTTCGGCCATCGCGTGGGCGCTCGAACGCGGGTGCAGAGTCGTCGAGCTGGACTGTTACGACGGAGGGTCGAAGGGGCCGATCATCACGCACGGAGGGACGGCGGTGCGCCCGATGTTGTTTAAGGACGCGATCGCGGTTATCAACGACAGGGCACACGTAGCTAGCGAGTATCCGGTGATTGTGACTTTGGAGAATCACGCGAGTCGGGAGACGCGCGCGGTGATGGCGAAAATCATGCGACACACGTTCGGCGATAAACTCTGGACGCCGCCGTCGAAAGGCGAAGGCGAAGGCGAAGAAGAATCATACGTGTTGGACCGCTGGCCATCGCCGGCCGAGTTGAAGGGTAAAGTGATAATTCGGGACAAGGTGAAGCACAAGCAAGACGAAGTCAAGAACGCATCGTTCGGCGTCGGAAAAGTGTTCGAGGCGATATCCTCGAGGGGCAAGTCTAAGTCTACTCGGAAGCTTCTACAGGAGAGCACCAAAGCTACACTTTCAACTGGGAAAAACAAGCTCTCGGTGGCGAACTCCGTGGTCAACCTCTCCAAAAGTGCGCCTGCAGGCGTTCCTGAAGACTCCGATGGGACGAGCGAGGACGACGGCGGCGAGGACGACGAGGACATCAAGGCACTCGTCTCATTGCGAAATTTGAAGTTTCATGGTTTCAAGGAAGCGAAAGATCTCGGTACAAAGTTTTCTTGCAGTTGGAGCGAGAACAAGGCCAAGAAATTAGTCGAAAAGTCGAGCCAAAAGGATTTGCTCGAATTCACCAAGGCGCATTTGCTTCGCACGTACCCGGGCGGTCAACGCATCATGAGTAACAATTACGATCCCTCCGACGCGTGGTCCATAGGCGCATCGCTCGTCGCGCTCAACTTTCAGGCGCAAGACAGATATATGTGGGTGAACCAAGCCAAGTTTGCGGTCAACGGTGGGTGCGGTTACGTGAAAAAGCCCGACTATTTAATCAACCCGTCGGTTCAAAGACCGACCAAGCCTAGAATTCTGCGCATACACGTCTTCTGCGGACTAGGTTGGGAAAATTTCAAGGATGCCGATTTCATGTCGGCACCGGATACGTTCATGAAGATTTCCCTCTTCGGTTGCGTCGCCGATCGCTTGTCCGCGACTTCCAGAGGGAATTCAATGAGAACGTCGGTGTACTCCAAGGCACGAGTCGGTCCGTGCGCTCAACCCATTTGGAACGAGCACTTTGACTTGGAAATTCGCGAGCCCGAACTCACGGTGCTACAAATCCAAGCCATGGACAAAGATGGCGCGCGCGATGAGTTCCTCGCACACTACGACGTCGCCGTTAGCGCTTTGCGCGAAGGCGTCCGCATTGTACCGTTGCTCGCGCGCGACGACGAATACGTACACGACAGCAAGTCCTGCGCTGGCGTTTTGTGCAAGTTTGAGTGGCTCGATGAGAAAAGCTCGTCCAACGATGCTCTGCCAGCTCGAACGAACGAGTCAAAAGAGACGACCAACATCTCCGAAGATGCGTAACAGACTAATATGTGGCTGTGGACGTCGCCGACGTCTCAGCGTCTCACACTTCTTACTTTTCTATGTGTAGAACATTCGCGTTGTAAACTTAACAAGCCCCCATCTTAACGATGTTCGTCGTCTCAATCAGCACGATGGTACCGAGCTGTGTGACACTCGTCTGTACCAACGAACGACACCGCTAAAATTCCTGTGCGCTTATTTTCCCTCTAGAACCCTCGCGGCAATTCCGATCGCGAATTCGCCGGCTGAATCGTGCGCTAGATCGACGCGTGCGCGCCCACTCCTTCGATTGGCCGCGGTAAACGAAAGAAGAACCCTCTTCGATCGTATTGGCGCGATTGTAGATCGAAAACGCGCGCCTCGTCGCGGAGCATTCGTCGCAATTCGACCGATCGGACCTCTGCCCTAACAATTGGCATCAAATCCGTGCTCAAGTCGAGTTCGAGGGCGATCGAGGGCGGTGATCATGGCGCAGACGGCGTATGGAGCGCAGGCACAGCGATTGCTAAACGCAGCGTCGACTTCCGAGCAGATAGAGATCGCGACGAACGTGCGAGATGGTATTGAAGTCGTGCACACGAGCGAATACGTGCACTTTCTCAAGAGCTATTTCCCGATTTTCAAAGAGATCCTAACGAAGAAGACGGAACCGACGCTGGTAGATGACGAAGAGAATGCACTGCGTCATGTCATTTACGAGATTTTGAATAGATTGCCGTTTAACGAGGTCCTACGGCCGTATGAGCAGGAACTGTTGAATTTGGCTTTGGACCCGTTGGCGTCGGAGAACGAGAAGAACGCGCTGCTATGTTTGCGAATCATCTTTGACTTGCACCGAAACTTTAGACCTTCAATGGATGAGCGTCGCTCGCCGTTTTTAGCGTTCGTTTCCGACGTATACACCTCGGCAGAGGAGTGCGTTGAGAACATTCTGGGCGGGACGGTGAAGCAGCGCGGGCGGAAAGAGAAGCCGTCGAATCCATGTGAGATACCGGCGTTGGAGTCGTTTAAAGTGATGACAGAGTGTCCACTCATCGTCATGTTGCTTTATCAGCTCTACAATCGCAATATACAGACTGAAGTATCGGCGATGATACCGCTCATGGTGAAGTTTACAAGCTTGGAAGGCCACGATTCTGACTCAATGTCGCCGACGATGCGAACGATATTTTGCGACCTGAAAGCGGCTCAAGTGAAAACGATCAGCTTCATCGCGTATCTTCTTCGAGGTAGCGCGTCTCTAGTGGAGCCGTACCAAGAAGCGGTCTCTGACGCCATAGTCTCGTTGCTGAAGACTTGTCCAGATGTCGTAGCGACGCGCAAGGAGCTCTTGGTCGCCACGCGCCACGTGCTGAGCGTTCCTGCATTTTGCAAACGGTTCTTTGCGCATTTGGATTTGATGATGGATGATGATATCCTCGTCGGTACGGGGCGAATGTGCATTGAAAGTTTGCGACCGCTGGCTTACTCGTTCCTCGCTGAACTAGTGCATCATATGAAGGCGGAGCTTACGCTACCGCAGATTCGCCGAGCTGTGCACATCTTTAGTCGGAACATGCAAGATACTACTTTGCCAATGTCGACGCACATGACATGCGCGAGGCTGATGCACCATCTTGTAGAATCCATATTCCGCATGCGCAGTGAGAAGACCCAAGCGGAGCAGGCTCGGCATCTTTTAGTGCACATCATGTACGCCACTGTAGCAAAGTTTAGAACGCTGCGTTCGAATGTCCCCGAGCTCTTAGAGACTGCGAACGATTTAGAGAAAGCTATCAAGGCAAAGGTGGCGAAAACTGACAAAGCTGCAGGGCCACCTAAAGTAGACAGCGCTGAAGGAACGGCGAGCAAAAAAGTTGATGAAACGGCGAGCGGCGCAAAGAACGCCGCTGCTAACGATGAGAAGGATCCAGAGCTCCCTAGTCACGAGAAGCTCAGATCGCTTTCAGATAGCAAAGCCATCATCAAAACATTGACAATCGGTATGAAGACACTTCTGTGGAGTATTACGAACTTTAATGGTTCTGAACCCACCGACTTGGGACTGGATAGCATGGAGCTCAGGCGCTCGGCTGGATTTATTCGCAACGGAGTGAAGTGCATGCAGTTGTTCAAGGGCACGGAGTGCACAGAAATGTGCACGCACTTTTCCGAAGCTTTGGCGGTATTAGAACCGCGAAATTTCGTTGATATTATCTGCTTACACTTTGATCACTTTTTCACGGGAATGTTAGAACTGCCAACGATGGTACAAGTTCCCCATTTGTTGTTGCAGAACGCGAAATTGTGCCGGTATGCCGCCGATGCGTTTGTGACTTACTTATTGGAGAAAAAGTTGTCGTGCTTAAGCGATCAATCGTCACAAGAAGCGCAGCTAGTGTTAAAGCTTTTCTCATTGTTACTTCATGCGGTGAGTAAGCATAGCAACTGCGAAACTGTACTGAGCTCGCACGTCATCACGATGATGGAATCATGCTTGCAGGCGATACGGGAGCACGAGAATCCTACGGCGTACATCAGGTTACTTCGGTATTTGTTTCGAGCGATGGCGCAAGCCAAGTTTGACGTTCTTTACCGAGAAGTCGTACCAATTTTGCCTGCCAGTCTCGACTGCTTGCTCGAGATGTTGAACGGACCCGATCCGCACGAGTTACACGACACCGTAGTAGAGTTGTGCCTGATTCTGCCGGCGCGGCTGTCTTCAATTCTTCCACATTTACCGAAGCTCGCGACGCCGCTGTGTAAGGCGCTTCGTGCTCCAGTAAACGAACTGAACTTACTAGGCCTACGCACTTTAGAGTTCTGGGTCGATTCATTGAATCCGGAGTTTCTCGACCCGTGCATAGCCGAAGTGGAATCCGAGTTGATGCTCGCGTTGTGGGCGATGCTCAAGCCTCAACAGAGCGGGTCGCCGTTCGGCGCCAAGGCGATGCAACTGATCGGTAAACTTGGTGGACGCAACCGTGCGTTTCTTAGAAGTCCGTTGGAGTTGGATGCGAAAAGTAATCCCGAGCACGGTTTGAGAATGATTTTGATGTTCAAGCCAGAGACTTCGTTTCTGGTCCCCTTGGATCGTTGCATCGTGTTGATGCAGAACATTCTTTCAACGCCACTGATCCCGAACGTCAAGGCGTCCGAGGCACTCATTCGTCACAGACGCCAAGCGTTGACTTTTATTAGGACGTGCTTGATTTCCGCGTTGAACTTGAGCGCTGGCCACGCTTTATCTGGGTCTGTAGAACAAATAGAAAGTGCCATCGAAGCTGCAATTTCCAACGGGTGGGGGAAAAAGTTTGACTCTGCAACCGTCGCAGAGGGCTCGACGCAATTAGGTAACAAAACAAAGAGTCAGCTTGTGGCAGAGCAGAATGTTTTCAAACAGTTGGTCATCACTGTGATCGCTGCTGAATGCGACCCAACTTTGAAGGAAACCGATGAGACGTTCATGGATAGCGTTTGCGAGCACATGGCCATGTTGTTCGTTAGCAACGCTGTGCGGCCCGAGCAACCTGTGGCCGATAGAATGGATCACGATTCAATCGATCGCCCGCGTTCGATGAACCTCAAGATCTTGGAAACGACGCTCTTCTTAGACGCGCTAATGAAGTCGCTCGAATCTCCAAAGCAAGTGCACTTAAATGCAACTTTGAAGACGATAGGTACTTTTATCGACGCGGTGCTCATTTTAACTCGAGACGAAGTTGACGAGATTCAAGCCGCTGAAGACACGATGGAGAAAAAGCCGACGCCGAAAAAGTCGAAGAAGAAAACGATGGACGTGGATGAGAGTTCCTATCCTAAATTAGCAGCCTTTATTGAGGCGCTGCTGCCTCGATTGGTCCACTGTTGCTACAAACAGGAAGCGCACTGCATCATCGGCGGTGTTGCTGGTTTGGACAGATTGTGCAAGAGTTTGCCGACGTCTATCCTCAAGTCTCGTCTCCCCGACATACTTCCCGCGATAATGCGCGCGATTCAGCTACTTCCAGTGTACGCGATGACGCAGAAAAAGGAAGCTGAAGAAGTGTTTTTGCGAATCATTGAGAGAAGCATTCCGAGCGGAAGCGAGCCGCCGACGGTGATTGAAGGCGATAGCGGCGATGGCGTTGCAGCTAGTGTGTCAATTCTCCTTGAAGAACTGCGTAGCGTAGCGAGCACGTGTGCATGTCGTACTGCGGTCGAGAAAGCGCTTTTGGGGATCGCTGAGCGAACCTCGACTACCATGGAAAGCATTTTGTCGCAATCCAAGTCACATTTGACCGTGTTGCTTGAAAAGCCGTTGCAGACTCGACACGTGTTGGCCCAGATTCAACTGGTGAAGTTTGTCGACTTTTGCTTGATTCGTTCGCCATCGCTGATCCCATTGAAGGATATGTCGGTACAAACTAGCCCGGGCGCGTTCTTTAACGCTGTGCTCCTTGTCGCTGAGAGTGATGACAATACAGTTTTGAACGTCGAGACGCAAGAGAACGAGTCGCTGTCCACTCTTCGGCAGTCGTGCGTGAAAGTCTTGAGTACCGCCCTGAGCACACCTGAATTTTCAAAATCAGATAGCTCGGCCGACATTGTTGCTGTGCGCGAGCGGATTTCGACGGTGCTCTTCACGAGCTTGACGTCTCGTAATGGAGACATCGTGGCTATCGCAAAGCGTGGTTTGGTTGAAGTCAAGCCTCACATGAACAAGAACACGCTCAAGCAATCCGTGAGCCCGATTTTGATGAACTTGCAACATCTCTCAAAGCTGACAATTCCGCTGTTAGAAGCATTGGAGTACTTACTCGAACTTTTAGCTGAGTGGTTCAGCCCGACACTGGGTGAGAAGTTGCTGGAGCACATCAAGTATTGGCTGGAGCTCGACGCAAGCGCGCCGAGTGTACCAGGACAGATTCGAAAGTCTCCGAAAGATGCGAAGTTGATCGCGTCGATCGTCAACTTGTTTCACTTACTTCCGAAGCTTCGCGACGGTAAAAGTGATGCAAAAGCGAACGAGCCGAAGCTTACGCCGTTTGATTTCATCAAGCCTTTGGTGCGCGACGTGATGGCGATTGAGGCGACGATGCCCCCTGAAAGTGTGTACAGCGAGGCCAACTCCCTTTACACCGTGCCGCTTACGAAATTTCTGTGCAAGTATCCGAAAGAATCGATCGCGTACTTCTTGGCGCGTCTGGACCAGCCGGAACACTTCTCCCTCTTCGTAAAGATTCTCAAGTTATCTGAAGGCGCCGAACTTCTGAACGCGCTCACCGCGACTTCTTCCAAGCTGTTGCGTGTGATCTTTGGTGCCAATGGCGAACTAGATGAACACGACAAGATCGCGATGAAAGACTTGCAGAAGAACAAAGACCCACAGCTTGCCTACTACAATGGCTTGAAGCTCTTATCTACGATTGTTAAAATCATGCCAAAGTGGCTCTCCGAGGAGAGCGCCATATTGACGCAACTAGACGAATGTTGGGACAGCGAAGAACGGGCCGATCGTTTGCTCAACGGATATACAAACTCGCTTCCGGCAATGATGGAAAGCAAATATCTCGTGAAGTGCTTCCTTTCTGTCGTCAAAGGCGATCGTTCTCAGGTTCAAATACTGTTTAAGATCATGCCAGTGCTCTGCAAATGTAGCGTGGTGGATTACACCTTCGTCCGAGAATTCATAAAGTCTGAAGTCGTCGACGTGTACACACCGGCAGAGCGCAACGCAGTCTTGACACAATTTTTAACCGAGTTTCGCGAGCAAGCCGAAGCCGGCGGCGAAGCCGATCCGGATGTTCTCGTCACCGCGCTCAAGGTTTTGATAAATCCAATGCTTGAGAAAGTTCTCGTCGGCTGTGCCGACGAAGACGGAGAGGCGTCAAGTGAGGCTCTTGAAGTCGTCACTGACGAATTCGTGAACGAACTGGTCGATGATGTGCTCGAACCCTCCGATGGTGACAACACCACGTTGTACAACGAGTCCCTTCTTATTCAGTTGCTACAACTAAGCACGTTGCTTATTCGTCACGTTCCCAAAACTTTGGTTAATCATCGTAAGGAACTCATCAAGTTCGGATGGAATCACTTGAAGCGTGAAGATTCTTCGAGCAAGCAATGGGCCTTCGTCAACATCAGTTACTTTTTACAGGCGTATCAAGCGCCAGAAAAGATCATATTGCAAGTCTTCGTTGCGTTACTTCGGGCATATCAACCAGAGCAAAAATCATTAGTTACCGAGGCGCTTGACGCTCTCACTCCAGCGTTGCCTTTGCGTCTTCAACCAGGTGAGCACAAGCACCCGATTTGGATTCGATACACCAAGAAGAGCTTAATCGAAGACGGTCATTCGCTTCCGCAGCTCGTTCACATTTGGAACTTGATTGTGCGGCATTCCAAGTTGTTTTACTCATCACGAGCGCAGTTTGTTGGGCAGATGGTAAACTTGCTTTCGCGTTTGGGCTTGCCCACGAGCTCTTCGCATTCTAACCGAGTGCTTTCGGTCGATTTGGTCGAACTCATCATTAGCTGGGAGAATGATAGAATCACTGGAGTAGGATCGAACGAAGCTGAGCCGTCGACGACTGGAAAGCGCAAGGCGGCGGAGAGTCCAGAAAGAGACGAGGAAGTCACGACGCCGACTCGTCGCGGAAAGAAGGGTACCAAAAAGTCGAAGAAGGAAGAAGCCGAAAGCAAATCACCGGGACGTTCAAAGCGCGCTTCGCGCTCGGCGAAGCAGACCAAGGAAGAAGAGGAAGCTACCGAAGAAATGGTTAGTGACTTACCGGATACAGAAAAGCTCAAATCGATGCCCAAATCGGCCGACGATCAAGATGAAGAAAAGGAGTTTGAAACGTCGCCGGCGATGGCTGAAATCATCGTCAACTTCCTCGTTCGAATGACTTTCATCACTGGAGAAGGTAAGGACCAAGACGCACAAGTTCTCAATGTGCGAACTTTAGATCTCCTCTCAAAGGCGTTGGCGATGTGGCCGTCTGTGCGCATCAAGTTCACTTTCATCGACAAGCTCTTGACATTGGCAAATCAAGCCCAACGCGATCCCACGTCTACCCTCATCATGGGTCTTTCCGTTCTCAAGTGCGCATTGAAGACGCCCGATTACGAGTTCGTCACAGAAAGCATTCAACAAACTCTTCGCCTCATCGAACCTTCCTACTCGTCTGCGAGCCGTGAAGCGCATGGGCTTTTGGGTGAAGTCATCGGTGAGATACTCAAGTGTAACGGCGATTCGAACGGCAAGCACGACGCTGATATCGAAGAATTGAGGCAGCATATCGGGGTGTTTTACGTAAAATGCACGGAAGATGCCATCATTTCAAAGAGTTCGCCGAATAACGACCAAGCAAACACGTCATTGGCTGGCATTCTCACGGTGGTTGAATCCGAAGCCGTCTTTGCCGCTTCTAAGATTGACACGTATCTGCCAAACTTGATGAAGGTGCTCGCGCGCATGACGCACGAGTTGAATACTGCGTCCGCCGCGGGTGAGCTTCAGGCTGCGCATCCGAAGCGTGGTCAAGCGCCCCCTGAAGTGCTCGAACCAGAGTACGGTAGCGTTGCCTACTGCATGGCTAAGTGCATCAAGATCTTATCTCAGCGAGTCATTGCGGCTGGCTCAGATCAGAAGCAGATTTTCTTGCGTTTACTGCTACAACTCATTAATGACAAGTCAACGCACGGTAACGTTCTCATGGCTATTCTCGACGCTATGGTTACTTGGACGGACGACTTAGCCTTGGGCGAAGGCGGCGCTCCCGAAGACAACGATACACGTGTCGGTAGCTTGAACGCAAAGGAAACCGTCTTGTTCTTGTCCAAGCTTGCACAGTTGACGCGCATGGGCCTCGCCATCACGCAAACGCAAGCATGGGAAGAAAAGCTTTTGGGGGCGATTTACAAACTCTGTGCACCCGAGGGCAAACACGACCCAGCCGTGCGCACTGAAGTGTTCCTCAAAGTCGAACGTACTCACCTGCTTGGTCTCCGCACTCGAAGGCCGGAGCTCCGTAAGAAGTTCTTTGCACTTTATCACGACGCCATCGGCAAGTCGCTCTTTCAGCGCTTGCAGTATATCTTGACCATTCAAGATTGGGATGCTATGGCGGACACTTTCTGGTTGATGCAAGGCCTGGATTTGATTCTCAGCACGCTCGCCGAGGATGAAAGAATCATGCTTGCTCCGAACAGTGCGTTGATCACCCCGCTTCTGCCGATTGATTCAGAGACAAAGAAACCTCTACCCGTTCCGGCTAAATCAAAAAACGCGAAGGCAAATCCCGCCGAACTCGACGATTTGATCAAGCGCCACGCGAAGTTCCTCCACGAAAAGGCGCAGATTCGCGTAAATGACTTAATGTCGCCGCTTCGACAAGTGGCGACGAGGAACGCACACATTGCGTATTATCTCTGGGTCTTGATCTTCCCCATCGTTTGGGCGACATTGCAACGCGAAGAGCAGTTGCAACTTGCCAAACCGATGATTGGTTTGCTCAGTAAAGAATCGCACCTTCGTCAGGCCGCAGTGCGTCCAAACGTCATTCAAGCTCTACTGGAAGGAATATCTCTTTCTCAGCCGCAGCTGAAGATTCCAAGCGAGTTGAGCAAGTTCCTTGGTAAGACGTTCAACGCATGGCACACCGCCATCGCTTTGCTCGAGAATCACGTCGTGCGCTATCCGCAAGAGGCTAGATGCTTCGACGCTCTCAGCGAGCTTTACCGATTGTTGAACGAGCAAGACGTTTTGGTTGGCTTATGGATGCAGCGTTGCCAGTCCGATGTCACACGAGCAGGTCTCTCTCTCGTGCAGCACGGACACTGGCAAGATGCGCAAGATGTCTTCTTCAAAGGTATCCAGCTCGCCACCGCTGGGCAGGCTCCGGGAGTGTCGAAGACGGAGATGTGTCTGTGGGAAACGCAATGGCTGAATTCAGCGAAACAACTGAATCAATGGGACTTGATTTCTGACTTCAGTCGAACTGTTGAGCACAGCGAGTTGATGGTGCAGAGCATGTGGCGACTTTCAGATTGGGCGGGTGTGAAAGATCTGATGCCGAGCGGCACGCTGAATGAAATCGAGGAAACCCCCGAAATCACCACAGTTCGCGCGTTCGCCTCACTTGTCAGTGGACGCGTACGCGAAGCTGAACAGCACTGGGCGAACGCCGTTAAGTCATCGCTTGATCGATGGTGGCGTCTTCCAGAGACCGGTTCAACGTGCCACATTCCGTCGCTTCACATGTTCAACGCCATCGCGGAAGTACAAGAATCTACGCGCATCTTGCTCGAACTTTCCAATACCCAACGCCGAGGCGTGCAAGGGATCACGAACAATCGCACGTTGGTTCAGGACATCATGGAAACTTGGCGTCTGCGCACACCCAACGAATGGGATCCGGTGCCGTGGTGGAGCGAGATCCTCATGTGGCGCGGAAACATGCACAACATCATGACGCACGCAGCAAAGCAAATCGGCGAGCAAAATCCCGCGATGTTGCAAGTAACGCAACAGCTCGATCAGCTCGGTCAACGTGAGCGCGCGTGGAGTTTGAATAAGTTTGCACGAGCGGCGCGTAAACAGCGCTTGCCTGAGGTTGCGCTGAACATCTTGTCGCGTCATCAAGGTCAAGTTGAAGTTTCAGAGGCTTTCTCAAAGCTTCGAGAACAATGCGAAGCGTACCTCGCGTTTGAGAATGAAGCCATCACTGGAATCAATCTCCTTGAATCTGCGAGTCTGGAGTTCTTCTCACCACCGCAAAAGGCTGAGTTATTCCGCCTGAGAGCAAAGTTCCAAGAGCAGCTTGAAGATTACGACGCTGCGCACGCGTCGTATTCGACTTCTGTGTCGTTGTGCAAGCAACGCGCCGAGTCGTGGCTGTCGTGGGGCAAGTTTTGTCGAATGCGCGGTGATGACGGCTCTATTTCAAACATTGCGCAACAAACAGCGACCTGCTACTTGCAAGCCGTCAAGCACAACGTTCACGAGAATCGACACCAGTTGATTCATGTGATTCAAATGCTCGCGTTTGACGTAAATCCCGAGCCTATCAGCCTCGCCATCGTGCGTCATCTCGACGCTTTGCCCACTTGGGTTTGGATTCCTTGGATTCCACAGCTACTTCTGTCTCTCGCACATCAGGAACAAGCGTATGCTTTGGCAATTCTCAAAGACGTCGCCGCCGCGCACCCGCAAGCGGTTTACTACCAATTGCGCACGTGCTTACTCGAGCGAAGAGACTCGGCGGCGCGAGCGACTCAAACTGCGCGCACAATTGCCGAGAAGAGTGGCGCTACTCAGAAGTCATCCAGCGCCCCAGGCACACCTTTACCACCCGATGTTGCCGCGGCTGCATCGCGCGCGAAGGATGCCAACTGGGCTTTCGAAGCGGCGAAAGAAATCATGGAACACATTCGAACCAGACACGGCAACTTGGTCGGCGAGCTCGAAGTCTTACTTAGCGAACTCGGTACGAAATTTGCGTGTACGCCTGAAGAACGGTTATTAGTTGTCGTCTACACGTTGTTGCACCGATGCTACAAGTATCCAGCGGCGACGACCGGCGAAGTTCCGGAGAGCTTCAAGAAGGAACTCATAGGCGTGTGTAAGGCCTGCTTCAGCGCGGATACTTCGGCGAAGCACGCAGATTTCGTCGAAGAATACAAAGCGAGTTACGAACGCGAATTGAATCCGGAGGAAAGTACATTTCCGACGACGGTTGCGGAACTCATGGTGAAGCTTAAGGCTTGGAAACAACGCTTACTGAACGATGTTGAGGATCGATTGCCGGCGACGTTGCGTCTCGAGGCTGAATCCGACCAGCTCAGAAATGTCACGTTTCACGAGATTGAAATTCCTGGGCAGTATTCGGGCGACTTGACGTTTGGCGTCACCGATCGCTTTGTCAAGCTCGAGCGTATCGGTGCCGATGTGCACGTCGTGCGACGGAACGGAAACTGCTTACGACGCTTAGAGTTCCTTGGCACGGATGGTTCGTCCAAGCAATTCTTGGTCCAGACGTCGCTAACACCGGCGGCGCGCGGTGAGGAGCGCATGGTGCAACTTTTGTCCACATTGAATGGAGTTTTGGCCAAGCACACAGAGACGAGACGTCGAAACATGTGCTATTACACCCCAGCCATCGTTCCAGTATGGCCACAAGTGCGCTTGCTCGAAGACGACGATGCAAACGGCACGTATGCCGAGGTGTACGACGCCAACTGCGCGCGTTACGGCCGCGAAGCAGACTTACCGATTACGCTCTTCAAGGCCGCGCTCGACCCTGCGATTCTGGGAGAAGTTACGGGCACCGAAGAGGTACTGGAGCTTCGCCTGAAAGCCCTGATGGAGATTACGCAAAAGCACGTGACAGAAAATATCTTCTCGCAGTACATGTACAAGACACTTCCGAGCAGCTCGCACTTGTGGACGTTTAAGCGTCAACTTTCGCAGCAGCTCGCAATGTCAAGCTTCTTGTCCGCGCTCCTACGCATTGGCGGCCGAACACCGAACAAGATCATGTTCGCCAAGAATACTGGCAAGATATTCATGCTTGACTTCCACCCGGCGTTTGATCAAAAAGGTATTGTCGAGTACATCGAACCCGTGCCGTTCCGCCTAACGCGAAACTTGCACACGTTCTTCACACCGTTTGGCGTCAAGGGTGACTTTGTCGCCTCCATGGCGTCCGCCGCGCAAGCGTGCACAGCGCCCGAAGCTGACTTAGAGGCCCATCTTGAATTATTCTTTCGCGATCAACTCATGGTTTGGCCGTGGCGTCGCATGGGCGGCGACACCCCTCCCGTGAGCCCGTCGCCGTCGGAGATTAAAAACATGGCGCGCGCCAATGTACAGGAGGTGCTTCGGAGGTTACCGATCATCGCCCCGACCCCGGTACTCCCCGACACGTCGGACACGGTACCGAGCGTTCAAAAGGCTGTCTTACACCTGGTCGATGCCGCTCTTAACATTCGCAACGTCAGTCGTTCCGCAGCGATTTGGGCGCCTTGGTATTAATCCTTGCAGGAAATGTAACAAAAATCTAATATCTGTACTAAGTAGACTTCACCGCACACACCCGCGTCGCGCCCCATGGGGCGCGACGTCCGCAAAACCGCGAAACAAACGCCTGCGTCGACGTCCGCTGCCGCGTCGTGGCCGTCCGACGTCGTCTTCCTCGATTCGTTGCGCTACGACGCGGCGAGTGTGTCCCCAGACGTAATCGAAAAGTATGCCCCGAGCGCGCGCAGCGCGATCAAGCACACGCGCGCGAATGATAGGAAACGCGCGCGAGGGCGCATCATCGATGATGCGACGCATCCGGCGCGCGGAGAGTTCGGCTTGTTCGCGAACACGCGGTTGAGAGGTAGGGAACGAATCATCGACTACCACGGCGTGGTCACGACCGCGGTGGATTGTTCCAAGACGACGGATTATTCGCTCGCGTTCGGCGACGCGAACGAATTGGCTATCGACGCAGAAAAGGAAGGGAACGACGCGCGATTTTGCAACGACTTTAGAAACACGGGTCGATCGCAAAATGCGAAATTTGAGTCCTACGTCGACGAGGCGGGACACGCGAAGCTCGCGATTTTTGTGCTTCCTCAAGCGACGATTGCGAAGGGTGAGGAGATTTTGATCAGCTATGGAAAATCATTTTGGAAACATAGAGTAGGGGAGGACCTTGAGAGTTTTCGTAGCGACGTGTAGGTGTGCGGAACATGTGTATTTGTATTAGAATAGAACTCTGTAGCGCTTCGACTTAGTCATCTTCGCTAGACGATTCCTCCTCGCTCGAGGCCTCTTCGAGCCAATCGATGAACGGTTGCGCGAGCCTGAGAAACTTTTTATCCGCTTCGTCGGCCTCGGCCTTTTCTTCCGCCCAAGCTAACACGCTCTCTTCGCCGATGACGTCCATGTCGTAGAGCATGTGCAGAATTTTGGCGAAGGATGGCACGCAGACGGCGCCACCCATGCCTTTGAAGACCTCATCCTCGGAGCAAAACTCTTCGAGCGTTAACAAAGCCTCGACTTGGTCATCTTCACTCCGAAGGAACCTCGATAAGAGTGGCGCCCACTCCTTCAATCGCTCTCGCAATCGTTTCAACAATTCCGGCGTGCCCGACGGCGCCGTCGCCGGGTACAGCTTTACGTTTTCGCGAGACGTCTTACCGTGCGCCGGTAACGTCAATCCGACTATCGTCATCAAAACATATCGCGCAATATCGGCGAACGTTCTATTTTCCGCCATCTTCAAACCTTGCAGCTCGACCACTGCATTTTCCTGAGCGTACCCTTGCTTGACGCAGCGCAAAAACGTCTCCGCGACTTCGCGCTGAAACACGCCCTCGCGCTTGACGTCTTCTTGTTCGTCGCTATCAGACTCCGCCACCGCTGCCGCCCTTGAATCGGGGGCGCTCTCGCGTTTCGCTTCGTCGGTAGCGTATTCGTGTGAGCAATCATACGGCTCTCGCGCTTTCGGCTGGGCGATGTTGCGAAACCAGCTTTCCTCGCGCGGGGCCCACACGTACCCGGCTCCGCCTGCACCAACAGACGTGGGCGCCCAAATCGCGCTTGTGTCCGCGCCCGCTCGTGCTTTCGCCGCAGCGAGCGCTTCAGCGATCTGTTCCATCGTGTGTTCACCGAGAACTTCGTCGCGAACGAGTTCAAGCTCGCCGAGTCCGAGCGACGTGGACTGCTCCGAGTCGTCCGAATCGTAATCGTCGTCTTCGATAGCGGGCTGCGCCTTGAGCGAAATTCGCGTGTTTGGTTTCACGCTGAATCCACTTCCTATGACGACATCCGCGGCTAACACGCATCCGGCGGTGACATGTGCGTAGGCGTGCACGACGACGGCTTCTTGCAAGATGGCGCTCGTTACCGAAGATTCGTTTTCGATGCGCGCACCATCGAAGATATACGCGCCTGAGATGACGCAGTTCTGTCCTATGATAACGTTCTTTCCGATCACACTGTGCGATACCGACGTGCCGGCGCCAATCATCGTTCCTGCACCGATTGAGCATCCCTTAGTGAGCTTGGCCGATTCGTGCACTTCGCAGTCGGGGCTCAAATAATTGTTCCCCCACGTGTGCGTGAACGTCTGTGGATCTTGAACTGGTACGACGCGCGTGTCCGGTACGTACGGAAACGTCCATCTGTTCAAAATATCGCGTGAAACCGCGTCGTAAGAGCGCAAATTGTGCACGCGCGCGGCGTAATCGTATCGCGAAATCTCATACCCGTAAATCGTGTTCCCCAGCTCCCGCTCGTTAAGCGTCCCGACGATGAAGTCCCGACGAATGTGCTGATAATCGAAGTTGTCCGTGAATAGCATCAAGAACTCGGGTGCGCAAATATCGACGTGACAATCCATCAAATCCGTCCTCACTCGAATATTCTTGACCTCCCCGAACAACGACGCGTCCAGCGACGTCGGCGGCAACTTCGTCGCGCTGTGTCCACTCCCGTGCTCCTCGTAATGTACGATCTTATTCGTCTCCGCATCCATGGCGATGGTCAAATTCGAATCCCCATACCTCGATTCTCTCACGCTCGCCCCGACGTTTCGCAAGCACACCGTCATCACCGCCAACTTTTCCTTCTTCCTCCTCGCCCGGTGTCGCTCCAGCGCATCCTTCAGATCGATGTTCGTCACGACATCCCCACTCACCAGCACGAAATCGCTCCGTATGACGTGTTTATGATCGATCAACCGCAGCGCTTCGCCCGCGCTGACGCAGCTCGCACTCGGCACGCACTTCGTCGTCATCCTTCTTCGCTGTCCCGGTTTCGTCTCTTTATCCCCGGCGTCTCCTTCCCCCCATCCCGCGCTCTTCAGGTACTGATCGATCATCTCCGCGTGCGCGCACGCCAAGACGTACGTCTCCTCGACGCCCTGCGACGACAACCACTCGAGGGTGTACTCCAACATCGGGACGTGGCCGAGCGGGACGAGCGCCTTGGGCGTCTTCTCCGTCAGCGGTTTGAACGCGGTCGCGAACGAGTCCGCGAGGACGACCGCCTGGAGCGTCGGCTTGACGTGCACGTCCGCGGCCGCGGGCTTGGGCGCCATGGCGACGCGCGAAGCGACGCCGACGCGGCAAAAAGTGACGCGCGCGCCCGCGCGTCCCGCCGCGCGGTGGCGTCGACGATGGCGCACGAGCGCGCGCGAGACGACGGCGAGGACGAAGACGTGCTGTACGGCGATCTGGACGCGCGCGAGGGCGCGCGCGGGGCGGAAGCGGCGAGCGCGGGAGCGATCGGTCGATTGAACCTGAAACTGAGCGAGAGCGAGGCGCGACGTCGAGCGTTGATGGACGAGAACGCGAGCCTGCGCGAGCGATGCGAGAACTTGGAGAGGAACATTTCGTGCTTGTTTAACACGGCGAGGGGGGAGATCGAACGCAAGGATAAGGAGATTGCGCGTTTGCGCGAGGGCGACTCGCCGCTCGGCGACGCGCGCGCGCGCTTCAAAAGTTGAGTCGCGACGTCGCGGTAGCATAGCATAGCGCAGGACGGGAGCGCGCGAGCGCGGGACGCGTACTTCCATAGAAGAAAAACCTAGCGAAAACGCGCGTCGTCGCGCGCGAGCGACGCGCATTCAATAATTTACACCGTTTTCGACTCGCCGTCGCGACGCGCGAGACGACGCGTTCGACGCCGTCCACCGTTTTCGACTCGCCGTCGCTACGCGCGCGCCGCGCCTTTCGACCGCGCGTCGCGAAGCGTAATCCGCGGGCGCTCATCGATGAACCGCATCGTCCCCGTCCCGCCCGGCGTCGAGCTCGGCGCGTTCGCCACGCGCTCCAGCGTCGCCATCGACGTCTCGTCCGCCACCTCCGCGAACACCGTGTGTCGCCTCCCGAAGTGCGCCGCCGGCTTCGCGCCCACGTACACGAAAAAATCCGGTCCCGGTCCCTCGCCCGCCCACCCGACGTCGCCTCGTCGCATCAACCTCGGCCCCTCCTTCGTCTTCGTGTTGCTCGCCGCCGACGCGCTCTTTAAAGTTCCCTGCACCAAGAATCCCGGCTCCACGCGGTACACCTCGCACGCGTCCTCGCACGCGCGCGCGTCCGCCGCGAGCGCCGCGACGTACGCCGCGCTCTCCGCGTGCCAATCCGGGCGCAGTCGCAGCCGCACGTCGCCGTGCGCGCCGATCGTCATCGTCACGTCGCGAATCACCGAGTCGTCGTCGTCGTCGCGCGCGCGCTCGACGCGCGGCGCCGGCGCGGCGCGACGCGCGCGCGCGGCGAGCGCGAGGAGGAGCGCGACGCACGCGACGCGCGCGAGCGCGGCGCGCGCGCGCGAGAGGCGCGGGCGCGACTCGCGCGCGAGCATGCGTGTGCCGGCATCGCGCGACGCGGCGACGCGCGCGACGACGACGACGACGACGACGACGACGACGACGACGACGGCGACGGCGAGAGCGACGACGACGCGCGCGCGCGCGGTCGGCGCGTCGCGGACGCGCGCGCGCGCGCGGGACGTCGCGGGACGAGGCGGACGGCGAATGTCGACGGCGACGGCGGCGACGACGGCGACGCGCGACGCGGACGACGTGCGCGCGCTGGTGCGGTGGTGCGTCGAACGCGGCGCGCGCGGGAGCGGGCTCACGGTGGCGCTGGAGACGGGCGCGGGCGCGGGACGAGGGTTGGAGGCGACGCGCGCGCTGCGCGCGGGCGAAGGCGTGCTCGAGCTGAAACTGGCGAGCGGAATCGTCGACGATGCGAAGGGACATCCGGAGAGCGCGCGGGACGCGATGAAGGAAGCGCCCTGGGGGGTGCGATTGGCGTGCAGACTGCTGCAGGAGAAGAAGTTGGGCGAGGGGTCGGCGTACGCGGCGTACGCGAGGACGCTTCCGGAACGCGTGCCGACGTCGCCGATACACTACGATGAAAAGGCGATCGCGGACGTGCAGTACCCGCCGGCGATGTCGGAGATACGAGAGATGCAAGCGGCGTGTAGAAAATGGCACGAGACGCTCAGGGAGAAGGCGCCGGAGGCGCTCGGGGACGCGTATTTTGATTACGAGGCGTTCGCGAACGCCGTCGGCGTGGTGCACTCGCGGACGTACGGCGTGGCGAGCGCGGAGGATAACGCTGGGTACTTTCGCGTGCTGCTGCCGTTGGCGGATATGCTGAATCATGGAGGCGATATCGTGACGTCGTTGACGCGGGATGAGACCACGGGGGAGCTGACGGATATGACGACTGCGGCGACGGATAACATCGCGTGGTCCACGCTCGACGCCGAAGAGGGCGTCATTCAGTTTGCGGCGACGCGAGACATTGAAGAGGGCGAGGAGGCGTTGATGTCTTACGGTGAGCGCAGTAACGATCATTTTTTGATTTATTACGGCTTCGCGCCGGACAACAACCCGCACGACGATTGCGTGTTGTTTAGCAATCTCGAGCACGCGATGGTGTGGCACTCGGTGGCGCATCCAGAGTTGTGGGACGGGCCCGAGGGCGAAATTCGCGAGAAAGCTGCGAACGCAGCGTACGATGAAGTCACGAAAGCGCTCGAGGCCGAGGGCTCGGCGGACGCCAAGCTCGCCGCGGCGGAGCCTCGATTGAAGGCTCTCGGCGCCGGGAGAATCGACGCGCGACTTCTCAGTGCTTTTGCCGCCATGTATGCCGGTACCGAGGCCTCGGGAGATATCAACGGCCCAATTTGTGGCGATGAGCTCAAATTCGCTCGCGCCGACATCGCCGCGCGATGCGAACAACTCTTGGCCCAAATGCCGACATCGCTCGCCGAAGACGTCGACGCGCTCCGCTCCGGCGCGTGCGTCGACGACGCCGAGCGCGTGCGGTTCATCTACCGCGCGTGCAAGAAGAAGATTTTGCACGAAACGCTCGATTACTTTAAGATAGCGCAGTAGTCACCGCGATGTAGCGCGACATTTAATACATTCGCGCAGTCGCCCCATCCGAGCGCCACGAACAGTTGAGGGAGACCAACCAGATTCTCCTCACATTCGAGCGCGCGACGCGCGCGCGATGTCCCTCGTCCTCGCCGACGCGAGTCCGAGCGAAGCGGTCGTCGACGGGGCCGACCTTTTGCCGTTCCAGCGCGAGATCACCAAGGAACTGCTCGCGCGCGATGGTTTTTGCGTTCTCGCCGAAGGACTCGGTGCGAGCGCAGTCATCGCCGCGCTCGTCGCCGTCGACGACGCGCTGTCTAAGACGCACGTTCTAGGCGAACCACCCATGGTGACGCTCATCGTCGGTGCGAGTGAGCACGCGAAAGTGAGCGTGAAGGAGCGTATGACGGCGCTGTTTCCGCGCGCGGCGCCGCCGCTGGAGTTCACCGCCGACTACGCGGGCGACAAGAGGAAAAAGTTTTACGACGCGGGATGCGTGGCGTTCGTGACGACTCGAATCGCGAGCGTGGATTTGTTGAGTGGGAGGCTGGACGCGAAGCGAGTGCGAGGGATCATAGTGTGCTCGGCGCATAGGACGAACGAGACGTCGGGGGAGGGGTTCGTCGTGCGGTTGTTTAGAGAGGGGAATAGGAAAGGATACGTGCGGGCGATCAGCGATCGCCCTGGGGATTTGACGCGCGGCTTTAATAGCGTGGAACGATGTTTGAAGGCGCTGATGCTCACGCGCGTGCATCTGTGGCCGCGATTTCATTTGCGAGTGAAGGACGATTTAGACGCGCGTCCGCCAGAGGTGATCGAATTGAGACAGCCGATGAGCGAGAACGTGTTGAAGATTCAAGAAGCGATCGTCAGCGTCATGGATTCGTGCATGGCTGAGTTGAAGAAAAGTCGCTACATCGACACGAGCGATTTAACGCTCGAGAGTGGGTTGTTCAAGAGCTTCGATTTGATTTTGCAGCGACAACTCGACAAGGTGTGGCACATCGCGCCGAGACGAGTGAAACAGATCGTGTACGATTTAAAGACGCTCCGCTTACTCGCAGATGCGTTGCTGAAGTACGATTCAGTCACGTTTTTGAAGTACTTGCAGGCGTTGCGAGCGAGTGAGTCACGTGAGAGCATGTGGATGTTCACAGAGGCCTCGCACGCGATTTTCGAGTACGCGAAAAAGCGAGTTTACCTGCTCAAGCGTAAAGCCGCGGCGGCGCAACCGAAAGGCTTGGGCGCAAAGCGACCGCTTCCACCACAAATCACAGAGACGGACTTGATTCCGATTTTAGAACCCATGCCAAAATGGACGCTCATGGAAGAGATTTTAGATGAAATAGACGAAGAACGTCGGCAAGGCGGAGAGCTCCTCGCCGTGGCGGACTCCGAAACGGTCGTGGACCTGACGTTTTCTCAGCCGTATGAGTCCCAAGAGCACGGCACGCATAGAATGTTAAAATACAAGCAAGGAGCGACGTTGATTGTGTGTAAAGAAGAGCACGTGGCGCGGCAACTGGAGTACTGCATTCGTTACGGAACGCCGGCGCTGATGAATGCGCATTGGGTCGATTACTTGTTTAGCCGGGGCGGGAAGAACGTGGCGGCGCAAGTGACGAAGCGACAGACGGGATGGCGCGGTGCCGGGCGCGGTGGTGGCCGTGGTAGTGGCCGTGGTGGTGGGCGCGGTGCGGCGCAGAAGCCTCAGCGTGTGTATTCAAAACTCGAGCGCATTCAGGCGAGAATGGAGGGTCGAGAAATCGACGAAGATCCGGGGCCGGCGAAAGATGGGAAATCTGACGAGAACAAACTCTTAGCGGCGGCCGCAGCGGAGGCGAAGAAGACCCTAGTCGCTGCGAAGAAGGCCGAAGACGCGGATAAGAAGATGAAGGCTACGAAGGCGGCGAAAGAGTTAGATATCAAAATAGAAATGAAAGCGGAAGAGGACGCGGCGGCTAGCGACGACGAAGTCATCGTAGTCGGCGATACGCGCACGCGCTCGACCGTTAAGCGCGATACCGATAACATGTACGTGTACGCGCACGAGCGCAAATTGAACCTGCTGAACCGCATTCAGCCTTCGTTCGTGGTGATGTATGATCCAGACGCGTCATTCATCCGTGAACTCGAAGTCTATCAGGCGACGCGCCCGGACGTCCCGGTCAAGGTGTACTTTTTGGTGTACGACACGTCATTAGAGGAGCAAAAGTATCTCAGTAGCATCAAACGCGAGAGTGCGGCGTTCGAAAACCTCATACGCACGAAGCAGCATATGGCTGTTCCCGCTGAACAAGAGGGTTGGACCGATTCAGAGAATCCGTTGCCGTTGTCGTTGCCGAGCTCGACCGCTCGACATCGAATCGAGGAGTCGCAAGAGGCGAGTACGCGTAAAGGAGGCAGATCGCTCACTATTCGTTCGTCTCTCGAAGTCATAGTGGATATGCGTGAGTTCATGTCTGCGCTCCCTTGCGTGTTGCATTCGGCAGGTTTCAAAGTGCGCCCGACGACGCTAGAAGTGGGCGATTACATCCTCTCGCCCGATATGTGCGTCGAGCGCAAAGCCATTCCAGACTTGATTCAGTCCTTCGCGTCTGGGCGTTTGATAGCACAAGTCGAAGCGATGTGCAAACACTATAAGACACCGATTCTACTCATCGAGTTTGACGGCTCAAAAGCGTTCGCTCTGCACGCAGAAGCCGACCTTCCTCGTTTCGTCGGGCAGCAACATCTCATCACGAAGATATGTATGCTCATCACACGTTTTCGAAAGTTGCGTCTTATTTGGAGTCGATCGATGCACATGACGGCTGAAATTTTCGCAGAGTTAAAAAGGCTTGAGCCTGAACCCTCACTCGAAACTGCGCAGCGAATAGGCGTTCCCGATGCCGACGGTGACGTGCACAAACTCGTAAAGGATAACCTCAACGACGCTGCCGTCGATTTGTTGCGCAGGCTACCGGGTATCACCGACGGCAATTACCGACGAGTCATCGCACGAGTTGAAAGTATCGAAAAGATGTGCGACCTGAGAGAAGACGAACTCGCGGATATCCTTGGCGACGCACGGCAAGCGAAGACGCTCCACACATTTTTACACGCGCCGTTTCCGAAAGAATTCATGTTTTAGCGCCGAAGATGTTGTGAATGTTGAAATATATTGAGCTTCTACTTCTAGATGATGCGACGACGGCGCTTAGGCGTCTTTTGCCGGGCATGCTCGGCCTCATCGTCATTAAGCGGACGCTGGGTTCCGTCTTTGTACGCCACGTACGGTTCGATGTTTGTGTCGCCGAGAGGCGTGACGTGCAGCGCGTATCCACCCTCGGGCCGCGGCGGCGCGCTTGCACGCCTACTAACGCGTCGCAAACCTTGTCCGCGTTCACCCACGTTATACTCCAAGCGTTCGAAAAACTCTCGAACCAAAACCCGCTCTTGTTTGCGCGCCAATTCGCTCGCCTCGACGAAACGTTTCGGCTTGGCGTCTCGTCCGTGATCAAAAGCGCTCACCGTTTGAAACTGCGGCATCGTCGGCACGTCCGCGACGTGTCGCTCCCCCGTTCCGATGTCCACGCTTCCACTCGCTCGCTCCATCGCCGCCTCCGTGTCGTGAAACAGCGTCCTATTCGCCTTGACAGCCTCCTCCTCTCTTCGTTTCAGCGCCAAAATCGCCCCGACGCGTTGCTTTCGAACGCGATACTTCGCCGCCAACGCGTCCACGCTCCACGTCACCGGATCTTCTCCGTGCATCGCGTACATCTGCGTCTTCGCTCGATCGCTCAGCCGCGCGTTCGCTTGATTCACCCACCGTTCCGCCGTCTCGCCGCTCTCCGTCAAGTCGTACACCCAGCCCCAGCTCTCCCCGCGCGCCCCGCCCGCGTCCGCCGCCTCCCGAACCTTTCGCGCGCCGTCCCGCATCGTTCGTCGCGCGCGCGCCTCGGGCGTCTCCGTCGCCTCGCGCGCGTCCGCGTCCGTCGTCGTCGCGAACGCGCGCGCGCCGTCGCGAACGCCGAGGGTAAAGATCGATCGCGCCTCCGACGTCGCCGCGACGCCGCGCGCGGACGTCGACGCGCGGTCGGCGACGCGCCGCGCGAGGCGCAACATGGCGCTTCGCGCGCTCGGGACGCCGACGCGCGACGTCGCGCGCGCGCGTGTGCCGGCGCGCGCGCGAATCGAACGTCAATCCTCGACGCGTCGCTCGCGACGCCCGCGCGCGCGATGGGCGACGACGCGCGCGACGCGAGCGACGCGCGCGCGAGCGCGTCCCGCGACGACGCGAACGACGCGAACGACGCGAACGACGCGACCGACGCGAACGACGAAGATTTCATGGCGCTCATTCGCCGCGCCAAAGCCATCGCGAACGTCGCCGAGGCGGAAAAGCGCGACGCCGAGCGCCTGCGACGAGCCGAGCAGCGCTGGGGACAGGCGATCACGCGCGACGGACGACGGTACTACTTCGATAAGATCGAGCGCGGGACGGTGCAGTGGGAGTGCCCGCGCGAGCTCAAGGGGACGCGGACGCGAACGCTTCGCGCGGACGTCGTCGAATCCCCGACGCTGCCCGACGGCTGGCGCGAGCTCAGGAGCGAGACCGCGGAGAAGATTCCGTATTATTGGAACATGCACACCGGGCTCGTGCAGTGGGAGCGGCCGAGGAACGAGGCGCTGGCGGTCGCCGTCGTCGTGCCCGCGCGCGCCGCCGGCGCGGCGTCGCGGTAGTCCGACGACGGCGGTCCGTCGTCGTCGTCGCTCGAGCGCGCGTCGTTCGATCGTGTAATAACATTGCGTGTAGATTAGCGTCGCGCGTCGCGTCCGCGCGCGTCCGCGCGCGTCGCGCGTCCATCGTCCGCGGCGGCGCCGTCGGCGCCGAGAGATTTCGCCAAATGATGGCGAAAACAGCCGTCTCGTGGATAACGCGGATCCGCGTCGCCATTCGCGCGCGCACGCGTCCGAACCGCACTCTTCAGTCGCAGCGCGCGCGCGCGCACGCAAACGATGCTCGCGCACCGCTCACCGACGTCCGCGACCGCCGCGATCGGTCGCGCGCCCGACGCGCGCGCGAATGGATCGCGAATCAAGACGCCCTCGACGCGACGCGCGACGACGACGCGCACGAACGCGGCGCCGAATCTGCCGTTCGACCCGCGAGAGTACCGCCGTGACCTCGGACGAACGTCGCAGTACAGCCGAAAGTTCCTGAACGACGAAGAGGCGGCGACGAAGATGGCGAACGATGGGATCTCGTACAGCAAGACTGGGTTGGTGGCGAAGATGAAGGAGAACGGGTTGTCGTACGTCGAGGACGGGATCACGTTTAAGCTGGCGGACGCGTACGGGTTCTGCTGGGGCGTCGAACGCGCGGTGCAGATGGCGTACGAGGCGAGGAAACAGTTCCCGGAGGCGAAGCTGTGGATCACGAATGAAATCATTCACAACCCGACGGTGAACGACCGGCTGAGCGAGATGGGGGTGAACTTTGTCGAGGAGACGAGCGACGGAAAGGATTTCAGTGGAGTGAAGCGCGGAGAGGTGGTTATTTTGCCCGCGTTCGGCGCGAGTGTGCACGAGATGAAGTTTCTGGCGGATAAAGGGGCGAACATCGTCGATACGACGTGCCCGTGGGTGAGCAAGGTTTGGAACGCCGTGGACACGCACAAGCGAAAGGACTTTACGTCGATCATTCACGGCAAGTATAGCCACGAGGAGACGGTGGCGACGGCGAGTTTCGCGACGACGTACTTGATCGTCAAGGATATGAGGGAAGCGAACTACGTGCGCGATTACATTTTGAAGGGCGGCGATAAGGCGGAGTTTATGGAAAAGTTTAAAAACGCCATGTCCCAAGGCTTCGACCCCGACGAAGACCTCGACGGCGTCGGCATCGCCAACCAGACCACCATGCTCAAGGGCGAGACCGAGGCGATCGGAAAGTTGTTCCAGTCCACCATGATGGAAAAATTCGGCGTTGAAAACGTCGACCAACACTTTGTCGTCATGGACACCATTTGCGACGCGACGCAAGAGCGTCAAGACGCCATGTACAAGCTCGTCGACGCCAAGCCCGACATCATGCTCGTCGTCGGCGGCTTGAACTCCTCCAACACCCAACACTTACAAGAGATCAGCGAAGACAAAGCCATTCCGAGCTACTGGGTCGACACCGCCGATCGCTTAAACGCCGACACCAACTCCATCTCCCACAAGCTCGCCCACGGCGAGCTCGTCACCACCGACGGTTGGCTCCCCGCCGGCGACGTCGTCATCGGCATCACCTCGGGCGCGTCCACGCCGGACAAGGTCGTCGAGGACGTCATGGACGTCGTCTTCGCCACCAAGCGCGCCCTCGAGTCCGCCGTCTCGCGTTAACGCGTCGTTTATAATATAATCAAAGCCGCTCCGTCGCGCGAAATATCTCAACCGCCAGCGTGTCAATCGCGCGGTGCACTTTTTCGCGATCGCGCCCTCGCGCCGCGCCGCCGCGTCCGCACTCCGCGCCGCGCGCGCGAATCGCCGTCGACGACCGACCCGCGTCGCCGCCGCGTCGCATGAGTCCGACGCGCGCGCGCGCCGCCGCCGCCGCCGACGCCGACGCCGACGACGCCGACGCGCTCGCGGCGTGTCGCGTCTTTCTCAAGCTGCGCGCGCTCGCCGTCTGGGACGATCTCGTCGGACGCGAGTGCGACATCACGCTCGTGGGCGATCGCGAGCCGTGCGCGAACGCGCGGTTCGCGGGCGTGGACGCGCGCGAGCGAGCGTTCGCGATGGAGGCGCTGCGAGGCGCGCTCGGGACGCACGCGAGGGCGCGCGTGCGGTGCGAAGACGTCGTGTCGCTGTCGATGCGGCGACGCGATCGAGAGAGCGCGGACGAGGACGAAACGCGGACGATGACGTGCGATTCCGACGATGAACGCGCGCGATGAGGACGGCGGGCGCGCGCGCGGACGCGGACGCGGAGACGCTCGCGGCGACGAGACGAGCGAACGAGCGGCGACGACGGCGACGGCGACGGCGACGGCGAGTGTATGATGGTTGAGGATTAATATGTGCGCGCGAAATGCGCCTGTACTTTTTATGCGCGATCGACGCCGAGGCGTCGGTCGCACGACTTTTGTATGAGTATGACGCTTCTTCTTGTAAAACATGGCAAACAATTTTCCAAACGAACGCCCGCACACCGCCGCGCATGGCGCGCGAGTTCCCGGGAAGGGTTCCCGGGGAGGATGGAACGTTGATCGCCTACCGCGGTCGCCGTCCGGGCGCGCGCGCGTCGGGCGTCACGGTGTTCGTGAACGGGCTGAGCAATGAAAATTTCCAGCTCGTGCGCCTCGCGGACGAGTGCGTCGCGCGCGGGCGATGCGCGCTGGAGTTTGATTTCAGAGGGCACGGGTGCAGCGAGAATCCACGCGATTACGCCCTCGTGAGCGCGAAAGCGTTCGCGAAGGATGCGTGGGCGTGCGTCGATGAGTTTTGCTCGAGGAGCGGCGTCGAGCGCGAACGAGACGTCGATTTGGTGTCGTACTCGTACGGCACGCAGGTGGCGCTCGAGATGATTCGATGCAGACCTGCTGTCATTCGTTGTCACGTGAGCTTGCTGGGGACGCCCGAGCGCATTCTCGACGGGCTCGTCGGGCGTCGAGGCGCCGACGTCGTCGTGTCCATCGCGAAACGCGTCGTCGGTTTGAAAGCAACGAGCGCCGTCGTCGGGGCGTCGCTTCGCTTCGCGGCGACGTTTCCTCGATTTGTGTGGGCGCTGTCGCGAGTGCTGGGCTATTTGAAGAGTTCATACGCGGCATTCGCGCCGTTTTTCGCGCATTTGAGCCGCCTGGACGCCGAGTGTTGGGTGCACTGCGTCGTGGACGGCCACGAAAACGGCGCGATGGATGTTTTGAAGGATGCGAATCGGACGTGGTATTGCGGCATGATTGAGGGTGACTGTGATTTTGCCGCGCCGCGTCGCGTGGTGCGCTCGTGGGAACGGTATTGTGATTTTTTCGTCATCCTTCCGGGCGTCGCGCACGACGGCTTGCGCAGTCACGGCGACGAAATTGCGGCGCTCGTTCGCGATGTTTTCGAGCGCGCCGAAGCTTCTAAAGCTAGTAGCTCTAATATGTAGTCTATCGCTAGTTTCTAGATTAGATGATGTCGCGGCGATACGCGAGGAGAAGCGCGTCGAGCGTTCCCGAACGAATCGCATTCTTCATATCTTTTCGGTCCTTGTCTACGAGCGACTTGGAGTTGCGCACCGGGCCCCAGCGAGGTCGACCACGCTCGTGAACGACGGCGCACGATCGTCCGTCGGCGAGATTGAGCACGCCAAGTGTTTCGCTCATCATAGACTCTGCGAGTTCTGCGTCCTCCACCGCTCGCGGATCCGCCTTTACCGCGGCTTGAATTTTCTCGACGAACTCACAGTTTGAGTCGTCAGCCAACCAAGACTCGAGCTTGTCGATGCTTTTACGAGCCTCGGCGACGCCATCTGCGTCGAGTGCGTAGAATTCGGGCGAATGATTCGCCAAAACTCGCAACGACGTTAAACACCGCGCAAAGCGATACGCGTCGCCGTCTGTCGCGCCAACGCGCTTCAAGTCATTCAGCATCTTCACGAGTGGCCGCATCGCGTTCGACCTAGCCTTCTCCGTGTCGCTCAAATCTTCACGAACGAAAGCGTAGAAGATGGGTGGTTCGCACCATCTCGCCGCGCGTCGCTGAAAGTACAACACTTCATCCATGTACGCCAGCGAAAGCCGGCGCTCTTCACACATCACGCAGTCGCGTACGGTGAGCACACAGTGTATGATATTGGGAGGTGATAATAAAGGTGGCCCTCCAGCCTCGAGCGGAGCGACCCAAAACGTTGGACATGGATCTTCGGCGTCGTCGCTCGTCGCGGCGCCGTCGAACGCCTTTGGCGACGAAACGTCAAGCGGCGCGCTCGATGGGTGGCACATCTCGCTCGCCGTGGGATAATAATGATCCGGCGTATCGAAAAGATCCAGTGCGCAATTTTTGTAAGATTTATTCATCTCTGCGTCTTGCGCCACCCACGCGTAGTCTTTCCTCTGGGCGAAAATGAACAACTTCACCACGGGTTTCCCCGTCGGCCCGAGCAACACGTCCTCCGCCGCCTCCCCCGCCTCGGGCAACCCGACTTGACACACAAACTCCCCACAGTCATCCAAGTGCCACCACGTCATCGCCCCTCTCGCGCTCACGCGCGTCGCGTCGTCTAAAAGCCTCCCCGGCGCGTCTTCGCCTTCGATTCCAAAAAATTCCTCCTCGCTCGGCCACTTCAATTTCCTCGACAACACCGGCACCGCGGTGTCCTCGCGATGAAACATTTGTAAATTCAGCGGCTTTTCATTCGCCGGGTCGACGACCTCGGCGAACGACGTCACGATCGTCATGTCTCGATTGCTCAGCACGTGCGTCCCCGGCGCGCCCCAACCGCTTCGCATGGCCACCTTGCCGCGCTCGGCGTCAAAGTTTGAGAAACTCGACCGCGTCGCCCACGCGAGGCCGTCGCGCGCCGTCCCGATCGCGTCGAACACTTCGGACGCGTACTCTGCGCTCGCGCATATCACCGGCTCGCCTCGAGCGATGCGCGCGCGCTCGTCGTCCTTCGTTCGACACACCGGGACGAGTCGACACTTTATTCGACGCGACACGCCGGCGGTGTTTACGACGTCGCCGAGGTTCCATCGCTCGAGCAGGGACTTGAGGGAGACTGGGGCGCGCGCGTCTTCCTCGGAGACGCGCGCTCGAGGCGTGGACGCGTCGGTGGCGTCGCCGCGGGGTCGTTTGGACGCCATGCTGTAACGCGCGCTGCGCGGGGCGAGGGAATAACATTACAAGGTTGCGCGCGCGTCCGCGTTTGATTTGATTTTCTCGCGGTGCTTTTGCAAGCGACTCGCGCATTGGTCTCGCGTGACGTCGTGCGCGGATAACGCTTCGGCGAGCTTTTTGCCCGTCGCCGCGTCGACGCCGCCCAGGCGCTCGACGGCGACTTCGAAGTCGGCGACCATCTCGGCGGTCCAGCGCCGCCGGGTTTCGCACTTGGCTCGCTTGCGCGGAAGACCGCGCGCGGTGAAAGCATCGTCGGCTTTCGATGCGACGATGCGCGTGGGGGGTGGAGACGCGAGTACCGCTCGCGTCGGCGGCGGTTTTACGGTTTTCGGCTTTGGAAGGACGACTTTCGGCTTGGGCGGCGGCGCTCGATTGACGGCGACTCTGTTCACATTGGCCGAGAAATCTACGCGCGCTTTCGCGGCGTCGTTCTTGGTTTGTATGCCGTCACCGAAGAACAGTGCTTTAATGAGCTCGCGAAGTCGTGAATCAACCACGCGAATCTCTAAGGTTCTCTCCCCCGCCGCGCAATCACAAGCGTCCATGGCGTGTCGAAGGCATCGCACCGCCGTCGGTAGACACTTGCATCGCACGACGGAGAGAAACGGCATCGCTTTGCAGCGAATACAGCACGCATCGTCGTCCTCGTTAGGTGCTTGAACGATTTCTATGTTCAATCCACGACGCACGAGGGAGGCACGATAAATTTCTTCATCGCTCAAAATCGTTTCGAGCTCCTTGCGAAGCGTCGATACGATGGCGCCCATGGCTTTACTCTTCACCAGTCGAGCGTTCTTACCCAGAACTTCGACGAAGGTTTCGGCGGCGCGCGAAACGAGGCGATGATGTGCAAACACGGCGTTGCGTTTGAACGATCCGGTGCTGTACACGTCGATGGCTCGACGGCCGAAATCGAGCCAGTTGACATGACCGAAGTTCACCGCTTCGGCGACGTTGAAACCGTGGGAAAACCCGGCGTGGTAAGCACGAGGGAACGTCACGACAAACTCCCCAGGCTGTTGCACCGTGTGCACGACCTTGACGCCATGATCTACCAATACTCCAGGTGGGACGATCGTGACGATTTGATGTAAAATATCTGGCGCTTGCTCGAATAGGCGCGGCACCGTCGCCCGAGCGCAATTCTCGAACGCCTCCGCGTCGCTTCCTGGCACACCGTACCACGTCTTCGCCGCCCCGCGATGCAAATAGTTAAGCGAACACAAGAAATGATCCTCAACGTGCCAGCAAAACGTGGCGAAAAGCATGCCAAGATACAACCAAGGCTTGGTGAGTCCCGGAATGTCGTGCTCGACGACGCGCAATAAATTAAGCGGATGCGAGTACAAATGCTCGAAATCCCACGGATGCTTCTCCCCGTTTTCGTCCACCCCGAACCCGGTACCGAAAATCTTGGTATCTAAATCATTCCCGTACTCGACTCGCGCCTGCTCGCTCCGCGTCTCCACCATATCCCAAAACGCTCGCTCCAGCGCGTTCGCGTCGTTCGCGTCGACGTCCGGACGTTCCTTCGCCCACCGTTCCTCATACGCCTTCGCCATCGCCTCGTACTCCCCTTTCGCGTACTCCTTCCCGAACTGAAACGTCCTTCCCTCGCTCAGCGAGTGTACGTTCTGCAATTTCGTCTCGAATCGCGCGTCGTCTCGCCTCCACGCCTCGCCGTTCCACCTCGGCGCCGCGCCTCGCGGCGGTATCACCTTGCATATCCCCGCTTCGCGCGCGCGCGCCTCGATCGACGACAGGTACGCGATCGGGTCCGCGAACTCCTCGAGCGTCGGACGGAACGTCGGCGCGCTCGCGATGTCCGCCGTCGTCGTTCGCGACGGTTTTCTTTCGGAATCCTGCCGTCGTCGGTATCGCGCGTCAGTCGACGGTTCGCGCGCGCGGCGCGGCGCGGCGCGGCGCGGACTCGCGCGGCATCGCGTGGCGCACCTTTTCGGACGTCGACGCGTGACGCGCGTCGACGTCGCGGCGCGCGCTCATGGAGGTCGCGGCGGCGTGTGCGGCGCTCGACGCTCGGCGACGTAATCGACGCGGCGAAATTCGCGACGGCGCCGACGCGGACTCGAGTCACCGAAGGCGTCGACATCATCCATCGGAATCGTCTTCGATCGCGCTTTATCGCATTACATTCGCGCGCTCGCGCCGCCGCCGCGTCACGGCCGGATCCCCCCCGCGTACGCCACCACCACGATCAGCGTCACCCCCAGTATGACGTTCAAGAAAATGTTCGACGGCATCGGCTTCTCCGGCAATCCTCCCAGCCCGACGCTCTCGCCCAGCAACTTTTTCCGCATCTCCGGCGAGATCTCTCCCGGTTTGCGCTCGCGCGGCGCGCTCGCCGGCGCCGGCGGCGCCGCCGCCGGCGCCGCCTCGGCGGGCAGCATCGCGTCCAGCGCCCCGATCGTTCCCGTCGTCGTCGCCGTCGTCGTCGTCGCGCCGGTTTTTTTCGTCCACGCGTCGATCCATCGCTGCGCGTCGTCCGCGTTCGACGCGCGCGTCGTCGTCGCGCCGCGCGTTCGTCGTCGTCGAATCGTCGTCGTCGTCGCGCGCGCGCGTCGGCGCGGCGTCGCGGCGACGCGCGCGCGCGCGGAGAGCGTCGCGGCGCGATCGAGCGCCGCCGTCGGCATCGCGCGCGTCGATGAGTGGCGCGTCGACGCGCGGCGCGGCGTCGCGATCGCGGGCGGATCGCGAATCGCGATCGGTGCTACTCTACGAGCCGCGCGCCATGATCGCGCGACGCGACGCGCGTACACGGCGTCTCACTGTATGCGCATACACCCGCCCGACGCGGTCGAGCCGTCCGCGTCAGCGCGCGCGCGCGACCGTCACACGCCGCCGCGACGCCGACGACGACGCGACGCGACGCGGCGACGAATCGAGCGTAAATCTCGCCATGGGAATCAACGACCACGACACGTTCACCGGGCTCGCGCCGCTGCACAAAGCCGCGGCGGACGGCGATCTCGAAAAAGTGATCGCGCTGCTCGACGACGGCGCGGATGGGAACATCAGGGCGTGCGGAGAGGTGCGTCCGAAGCGAGGCGCGCGCGACGCGATGGTGGATGAATTCTTTGATCGGACGCGGGCGTCGGGTAGGGGCGGAACGCGTCGCGGGGGGGGAAGAAGGGGGAATTCGATGCGATGGTGGACGGTTGGGGATTGGAGATCGCGGCGCGCGGCGCGGACGCGAGCGAGACGGAGGCGAGCGATGACTGACGGACCGCGGTGTGGCGGTTTAACGCGTGCAGAGTAATGCAGGGAAGACGGCGGCGATGTTTGCCGCGAGCGGTGGACACGTGGACGTGCTGAAGGCGATGCAACGCGGGCCGTCGTTGCTCGATCTCACGGCGGAGGACGGCGGGACGCCGGCGATGAGCGCGGCGGCGCACGGATTCGGCGACGTGCTGCAGTTGATCATCGATAAGAAGTGCAACTTGAACGCGCAGGATGAGGATGGGTGGACGGCGCTCATGTACGCCGTGTGCGCGGGGAACGTGGAAAACGTCGCGAGACTGGTCGCGGCGGGCGCCGACGTCAAGATTAAAAACAAGGATGGCGACGACGCGAAGAAGCTCGCGACGGGGAAGAACAAGGATAAGCTTCTGGCCGCTTTGAGGGGTAAACTTGACTCTATCGGTGAGGGTAAGGGAGGCAAGAAGGGATGCGTCATCATGTAATCGACCGATCGGTTGTCGACAAACGCAGAGACATTCGTCGAGCGTCGATTCGATCGACGCAGTCGTCGCGCGCCGCCGGCCTTATTATCGTCGCGACGACCCACACTTACATTTCAATAACCATGCACAGACGACTGTTGTACTCGCAAAATATCTAATCTTCTAACGTTAATATCACAATCGAATGTTACGCCGCGAGCGCGCGCCGCGGCACTCTTCTGGGAAGCGCCGCGGAGAACGCGCCGTCGTCGTCGGGTTGTCTCTCATGCACCACCGGCTCGTTCGGCGGACGAAACACTGCGCTAAGCCCGAAATCTGGATCGGAATCGTCATCTTTGATGTCGGCCGCTCGCTTCGTCTTCGAGGCCTCCCGGGCTGTTGGCGCCTCGCCCGCGGCGGCGGCGCGAGAATCCGGAGACGCAGTTCCGCCCGCGGCGACATCGTCCCCGAACGAGAGCCTATCTAAGTCGCGCGATGAACTCTTGGTGTCGCGTATCAATCCGTGCGACAGAATCGACGCTTGCGATTTGGCTAATACCTCGGCGGCTTTGTCGCCCGACCGCGACGCGTCTTCGCCGCCTCGCCTCTTTTCGATCACCACCCCCGGTGACGACTCGATGCGTTCGATGAGAGTATCCTCGTACTCTTCTTCTGCATCTTTTTCCTCGTCGCGCACGCCGAGCTCGCGGTGCGCACCTTCAACGAATCGCTGTACGTCATCCTTTGCCGACGAGCGCGCTCGGCGCTTTATTTTTTCTATTTCCCGCTCGCGTCTTCGCCATGCCTTCGGCGCCATGGTGCGCAAACTCGGGTCGTTGAAATCAACGCCGTACTCGTCACCGTCGACATCCAACGCGCGTGCGTGCTCATCGCTGTCATCACCGTCGTCGCCGTCGTCGTCAAAGCTATCCTGCGATTTCGGCCCATCCGCGAGAGAGAGCCCAGCCCTTGAGACGTCTGTGGAATCTTCTGTGGTCGTGGGACGCTCGTCCATCTGATTTGAATCTATCGCATGCGTCTGCGTCGAATCATCACGAGCGTCGACGCGATCGGCGTTCGATCTCCAATAATTAAAATGCACGTCGTCCCCGAAGATGATACCCGCGCACACGATGACGACGAGCACGACGATCATGAGAATCCACCAACACCGCCTCTGCGTCGACCGCGCCTTGAGGACTCGCGCGCGTTGCTTCTGCTTATCCTCTTTCGCCGCTCTTTTCGCCTCTTTCCGTCGTTCACGCTCTTCTCGCTTCGCCCGTCTCTCGCTCTTCTCGTCCTCCGGCTCAACACCAACCCGCGCCGTCGTTTCTTCGAGCAACGGCCTTCGCTCCGCCTCGAGCGCGCGTTTCGCCGCGAGATGATCACCGACGCGTTTTTTAAATTTGTTCGGATCAAACTTCGGCTTCCCCGCCGGCGTCGTCGCCGTCTCGTACTGCGCGCGCGGATCGTCCTCAACCTTCTCCGCGCCCGAATCATCGCTCGCGTCGCGTTCGTCCCCCGCGCCGTACTGAACCAGATTTCGCAGCGACTTCGGCGCGGTGCGTTTCGTTTTCGTCGCCGAGACGTGGCGAAGCGAGTTGGGCGCCGGCGCGCCCGCGTCGTCGCTCTCGTCGTCGCCAACACCCTTCGGCTTCGACCCGCAGCACGGCGCGCACGCGTTCGGCATGGCGCGCGCGGCGGCGGTCACGTCGCGATCAGTCGAACATTTGCGTTGTTGACGCTCGAGATCGCGCGCGGCGGCGAGCGAGGGCGCGGCCTCGGCGAGGGCGCGTGTGAGGACGCCGCGAGACGAGGCGATTTCAAAGCGCGGCGGCGCGCCGCGGGCTACTTGCAAAGGCTAATAAGACTATATATAGGGCGCGCGACGGGTCAGGCGGGTTCTTCGTCGGACGACGAGTCTTCGATATCGAGTTGAAGTCGTTCGGGGAGGAGGGAGCTCGGTGCGGGCGGAGCGTCGTCGTCGGGCGGCGGCGCGGCGACGGATTTCGACGAAAACGCGTCGCGTCTTTGTCTGTCGCGATATTGGTCCTCGATCTCCATGGATGCGTCGAAGTAATCGGCGGGAGATTCGAAGTCTTCTCCAATCGACATTCCGCCGTGGAAATCGGCGAAGACGCGTTCGCACGCCGCGCGTCGGTCGCCCGCTTGTACGGCTAACTCGACGGCTTCGCGGCCGTCAAACGAGAGCGCTTGGTACCAATCCCGCGAGTTCGATGACTGACGCAAATCTTCCACGGAACCGACGAAAGGGCACGTGCGCACGCCTTCCGTGAGTTCTGCTAACGAATCGCACTTGTGCGGGTTGTAGTCTTTCATGGCGCCCTCCAAGCCGTAGTGGTGTCGAATCGCGTACGTGTGCTCGCCTTGGTACGCCTTCATTCGCCCCTTCGGAAACACGCCGCGACGCCAGAACTCGAGAGCTTCGTTCACCGTGAACCCGATGCCCTTGAAGAACAGGTTGAGTTGAAACCTGTCGTGCCACTTTAAGTGTGCATCTCGGCGTAAATCTTCCATCTTGTTTCGAATGCACGGAGGAAACGGTCTCGTGGCGACGTCGCGATTGACGTTTGAGTCAAGCGCTTTGCGCGCGCGACGCAATTCCGCCCCAGGTCGCGTCTCGATGATCGCTTCGACTTCACCGTCGGCCTCGATCGCAATAGCGTGTTGCGCCACGCCACCCACACGCTGCGCGCGACGTCGCTCGCGCCTCGCCTTTGCGAAATTGAACCCGTTGGGTGCCGATATTTTCGGCAACTCGCTCGCATCCGGCTGATACGTGCGCACGATTCGCAGCGCGTTCGATCGACACTTCGGATCGAACGCCATCGGCGCCTTCCCCGTCGCCAACCACGCGTGCATCTTCCGCAACACCCGATCGCAATCTTCCCGTATCTCTCGCGCCACCGCCTCCGCGTACGTCTCCGCCAACTCTCGCTTCGGCACCAACGCGTACCCGTCTCGCATCCGTCGCACCGCTCGCCTCGCCACCGCCCGCCCCGCCCGCTCGAACGTCATCCACACGTCTCCCTCCTCCTCGATCGCGTAGTCGCAATCCGGCTTCAAAAACCGCGCCGGTATCTCGCGTTCGCCGCATTCGACGCGCGCCTTCGTCAAGTCGCGCTCCGCGCGCGCCAACCACTCCGCCCCGTACTCCCACCGCTCCAGCCTCCGCTTCCGCTCCACCGCGCAGAACGCCATCTTCACCATCGCCAGCGACGTCCGATCGCCGACCTCGTCGTCCGCGAACAGCCCGCGCGCGACCTCGGCCGCGTCCGCGTCGCGAATCGCCCACGCGTCGTCGCCGTTTGCCCCGTCGCTCGCGCGCGCGTTCGCGCGCACGTGCTGAATCCCGTACAGCGCGTTCAACCGCGTCTTCGCGCGTCGCACGAGCGTCTCCACGTCGACGTCCGCGCCCGCGCGCGGCATCGCGCGCGGCGCGCGCGCGCGCGCCGAGGTCTGCGGCGAACCCGCGCGCGCGTCGATCGACGATCGCGCGTCGACCCTCGCGCGAGGTTCGAACGCGAACCTCGGATTCGGGTTCGATCGCGGGCCGACGCCGTGGATAACGATCGCGCGCGCGCGACGTCGCCAGACGACGACGCGCGAGCGCGCGCGCGCGATGCGAGCGATGCTGTCGACGCGGACGACGGCGACGCCGAGAGCGACGCCGCGCGCGGCGCGGCGCGGCGCGACGGCGACGCGCGGGCGCGCGATGACGCCGACGATGGCGACGGCGACGTCGAGGATGACGACGACGGCGGTGGCGACGACGCGCGGACGACGACGCGCGCGAACGGCGGCGTCGAACGATGACGACGCGAACATCAAGGCGGAGAACACGGCGGAGGACGTGACGACGACGGAGCTCGGTGGGAACGTGAGACAGCTGCTCGGGTTCAAGGGCGCGGCGGAGACGGACGACGTGTGGAAGATTCGCGTGCAGCTGACCAAGCCGGGGACGTGGGTGCCGCTGATTTGGGGCGTCATGTGCGGGGCGGCGGCGAGCGGGCACTACGAGTGGAACCTGGATAACGTCGGGAAGGCGCTGCTGTGCATGACGATGAGCGGGCCGTTTTTGACGGGGTACACGCAGACGATCAACGATTGGTACGATAGAGAGATCGATGCGATCAATGAGCCGTACAGGCCGATCCCGAGCGGGTTGATTTCGGAGAATGAAGTCAAGGCGCAGATTGCGGTGCTGTTGGTCGGTGGATGGTTGTGCGCGCTGCAACTCGACCGATGGTGCGAACACGATTTTCCAATCGTGTTGGCGCTGTCGCTCTTCGGGTCGTACATATCGTACATTTACAGCGCGCCGCCGCTGAAGCTCAAGGCTGAGGGCTGGAAGGGGTGTTACGCTCTTGGCTCGTCGTACATCGCACTGCCGTGGTGGGCGGGTATGGCGACTTTCGGGCAATTGACGCCGGACGTCATGTTTTTAACCGTCCTCTACTCGATCGCCGGTTTGGGCATCGCCATCGTGAACGATTTCAAGTCCATCGAAGGTGACCGAGAGCTCGGCTTGCAATCGCTCCCCGTGGCGTTCGGCATCGAGAAGGCGAAGTGGATCACGGTGTCTACGATCGACATCACGCAGCTCTTCGTCGCGTGCTACCTGCGCGCCATCGGCGAAGAGACGTACTCAAACGTCTTGTTTTGCTTGATCTTCCCACAAATCTTCTTCCAGTTCAAGTTCTTCTTGCCGGATCCCATCAAGAACGACGTCAAGTATCAAGCAAGCGCGCAGCCGTTCTTGGTGTTTGGTCTGCTCACGACGGGCTTAGCGTGGGGTCATCACATCAACGCGCTCGGCATGTAAGCGTCGCCTGCGATTCATTTAAAATTTTTGTAATCGATGTTTTCCATCGAGTGCGCTTAAATTCATCCTACCTACTGTTCATCTAAGGTGTACTAGGTCCTCGCGTTCGAGGGGATACCGTCTCGCGGAATCTCATGTCGCTTACTCGGTCGCGTGAAAACTTTCGCCGAAGCGCTTCGCGGTGCGGCGGCGTCGTACGGGCCCACGTTCGGGTTCGCTGAGAACACTACGGGCATTTTGTCGCTTTTTGCCGCCAAACCGAGCGTTCCTTCGCGTAAAACCGCCCGTTCGTACGGACCACGATGTGTTTCGTAACCTTTCTTCTTTCGCGCCGATCCACCCGCGATTATAAAGTCCTCCGCTTTGGCTCGCCACCCCTCGCGATCAAGTTCGTCATCTCCGAAGCTGTCGACGTCAACAAACTTAGCGACGATAGGCTTGTGATTTTCTCTATACTCGCGCCACCGCGCGCGATGCGGCGCGATGTTCACGCTCTCAAGACTGTCTTGGGCGTCGGTTGGTGTCGGCGGCGATTCCTCTTCCGCGGGCAGCGTCTGCGTTTCAACCACCCTCGAGCGAGGGAAATCCGCCTTGTGATGTTCAACCTTTTGTCGAATCACCTCGCGCTTCTCCGCCGCACTCGGCTGCTTGTTGCGCGATAGCAAATACTGCATCGCCGCAGGCTCGGTTTTCACGAGGTGATCGAGCGTGGAATCCGCAAGCTGCGACGCCCCTATCGCCCGACTGAGCTGCATGTCGCAAAGCGCGGCTACGGCGCCGCTATTCACAAAGACGAGCCAGCGCTCGTGGGATCCGGGGAACGAAAGCCGCTCGTCGACAAAGATCGCTGGGTTTTCTTCGCTTTTTTCCGGCATGGCTGATGGCTTAACTGATACCGCATCCCACGCGGCGCGAAGCATTCGCGTGGCGCCCAAGCGTATGGACTCTTCTTGTTCCGACAGCCCTCTGCTCGCCGAACGCAGCACGTCGTCCGAAAGCAAGTATCGCACCGTCTTCGTCAAAGGCCATATCTCGTTTTCGTCGATCGAAACAAAAGCGCGCACGGTTCGCACATGTTGTACGAACAAGTACGCCATCCACGAAAGCGTACTCGCGCGTAGAACACTGTCGCTACTGACGAGCATTTCAAACACTCGCTTGCCGACGCTCTTGTTTTCGCAATTCAGCGTCGCTTCGTATAAGATGCGGCTCGCGTCTTCTCTGATGATTGCGTCCGTCTTGTGCGACGCGAGCACCATCAATCTTCGGTCTAATTTGAATTGTGTCACTGAAAGCACGGCTTTGTCATTTCGTCGCCGTATGGCTTCTCTGTCATCTTCGTCTTCTTCCTCGCGCTCGCTGGCTTCGTCTCCGTCAACGGTGCTTTCATCGGTCTTCAACACCCAACGCTTGAACAACATTACGACGGTGCCGACGCACCCGGGGCCACGAACAGCCTCAGTCCAGTCCGAACCCATGAAAGCCTCCACGGGGTCGAGTGCGGCTAAACTCGTTTCCGTCGCTTTCGACAAGCGCTGCGCCGTCGCGTAAGTCGATTGATTCACCAACGGGATGACTTCAGCCGAGAAATTCACCGTTGATAACAACGTGTCCAAGGCGCTCAGGGCGGCGTACAACACCTCGGGCTTGTCGTCCGGTCGACTCAAAACTTTAGACAACGACTCTAACGCGTGCGTCTCATCGCGAAACGTCGGCGAAAAGTTGGACTGTAATGGAAAAAACACCTGCCGCGACAAGTACTTGTCAACGGCTTCCCCGGATGCCTTGAGTGGTAACGACGTCGACGTCGCGAACGCCGCCAAGCACTGCGCGTACGTTTTATACCCAAATGTCCGCTTTATCCTCGCTAGCGCCATCTTCCACTCCCACGTCCGCACCGTTCCCCAGGCCTCTTTCAACTGCGCGTCGGTGCTGCACAGTAATGCGGCGCCGAATGGCGTCTTCGCCAATTCGCTCACCGCCTCGCACGCCCCTCGTCGACAATCCACGTCCTCGTCGCTCATCAACCGCCGAAGCGCGCTCACCGCCCCTGGACTTCGCATTATTTCGTATATTCCACGCTTCGTGCCCGCCATCCGACGCACCGCCGCGCAGAATCGTCGTCGCCGCGCCGCCGTCGTCGCCGCGCCTCTCGCCGCCGCGCTCGCGGTGATTTTCATCGTCTCCCACTCGCTCTCGTTCGACAGATTATCGGCGCTGACGGTGACGCGAGACACGCCTTGGCGCAACGGCGGATCGCGCGCGTTGCGATAGTGCGGCGCGGCGTCGCCATCGCCGTCGCTCCGTGACGATTCACTCCATGACCGTTGCGACGTGCTCGCATCGCTCGAGGCGCGACGCGACGACGCGCGACGCGACGCGGACGACGAGCGGTGCGAAGACATCGTTGCGCATCGACCGGGACGTCGAGCGGCGCGCGAAGAGGGTCGACGTCGAACAGTGCGGCGCGTTGAGCGAGTTTGAACGATACGCGCTACGTACAAGTTGTATTAAAGCTCTACGCGGGGACATCCGAGGACGCGGCGCTCGCGCTCGAGGTCGCCTCGATGTCCGCGTCGTCGTCCGTTTGAACGTCTTCCAAGTGTTCGGTGGAGATGATGTCGCTGGTGAGCTTTCTCAAATCTTCCACGGCGATGGTTCCGTCGTCCTTGATGAGACCGCTGAGAATGTTCACCAACTCGATTTCGTCGCGTTCGTCGATTTGATCGGCGCCGAGAACGTCGCGCACGCGTAACAGCTCCTGCATGGTGATCTTACCATCGCAATCCGCGTCGAGGACGCGGAGTTTGTCGCCGATGCGCTTCTCCACTTCTTCAATGTCTTTGCTCGCGGATTGCAACATCTTGTCCACGCGAGCGCTGACTTGGTCGGCGAGCTGATGCGAGAGTCGAGCCTCTTCGTCCACTTCCGCGGTGAGGTGCTCGATGGCGCCCTGGTCCGCGGCGATTTCTTCAGCGGCGCATCGCGCTTCTTCGACGCGGTCGGCGTATGCGTCTACACCCTTCTTGACGAGCATCATCAACTCGGTGCGTTCAACGCAGACGGATGACGTGTCGGAAACCATGGTTAGCAAACGCGAGAGCTGCGCGGCGCGCTTTGCGCGCTTCTCGCGTTCGTACGTCGCCTTTTCTTCATTGCGAATGGCCTTCTCTTCATCATCGCCTGATGCGTCGGCGGAAGGCGCGGCCGCTTGCTTCGTCGAAGGCGCGCCCTCCATCTCCTCCGCCGCCTTGTCGACTGTTTCTGTTTCCGTCGTCTCCGGCGCCGGCACGATTTCTTCCTGCACGGCTTCCGTTTGTTTTTGCTCCTCCGCGATGATTTCTTCTTCGCGCTTCAAGAACTCCATTCTCTTCGTGTAATCTTCCTTCTTCGTTGGCGTATGCGTGGCCAAACCTTCGTCAACCGCCGCGGAAGTGATGACGTCCTCGGGCAACGAAGCCAAGGTGTCGGTGATATCTTGGAACACCTTCGTCTTGGCATCCTCGCCGCTGGACTCAGCTGTGATGACAAACGCACGCGAAAGAAGTAGGAGAGTCGATGGGAGCTTATTCTTCAGGCTCAACTCGAGCCAATCCTCGAGTTGCTTGATTAAATCTTCCCGCTCGCACTCCCATCGCATCCCGCGCGAGCGCGCCGCGCTTCGCAGTTCGCTCGTCGTCATATTGCTCAATCCCTCGAAGTAGATCATCTTATCGTCGTTCTTGATCTCACGAAGCTTGTTTCGAAGCTGAAAACGCAAGAAAGTATCGGTGCCGTACGGCGCGATACCGACAAACTTGCACATGTTCACCAACTGCGCGCGATTGACTTGGTACAACGTGAATTCGTCGTTGAAGAGCTTTGAAAACTTCAAAATGTCTTCGTTCGTCACCTTGGCGCCGGAGCGAATTTTCTTCATAAAAACGTACAAATCATCGGCGCGATCGCGCGTGACACCGTCGCGCGAGTGCTTCAAGCCTTTGGCCATCATTCGAACCGTGTCTTGTAAAAATCTCGCCACCTCGAGCTTCGCCTTGAGCTTCTTCTTCAACTCTTCCTCGTGCTTCAGATCGTTTCTAAACGTCGTGGGAAGCATGTTCGGAAACAGCTTCAGAGCTACGGGTAAGAAGACTTCCATGAATGGAATCAACACGAACGCCGCGAAAGGCACCAAACGAAAGACGTCCGCCGTCGTGCGCGTCAGCTGCTTTCGCTCTCGCCTCGACAACTCCGATCCGCTCATCAACCGCCAAGACAACCGCGACGCGATCTTCACTTCGACCCAGAGCAGCTTTGCGCCGGACCAATAGTGATGCATCTCATCCTTGACGTGTCCCCAGCTGTGCTTGATGCCACTCTTCCACTCTGCGCGCGACATTTTACTCAGCGAAACGAACCAAGGCCCGAACGACGCCGCGTACGTCACCCCACCCACCGCCGACGCGTACATGCGCTCCCACGCCTTTAGCTGTCGTTCTCTGTGCAACTTCGATATTTCCGCTCGCGCGCGATCGAGCGCGGCGATGTCGACCTTGACCTCCTCCGTCGGTTCGTCCTCCGCCGCCGACTCCTTCAACGGCTCCGCCGCGAACCCGCGTCGCGCCGTCACCGTCCACGCCTCGCGCGCGCGTCTCCCTTCGCCCGCGCGTTCGACGCGCAGCTCACACCATCCATTCCACGTCCGCATCGTCGTCGTCGTCGTCGTCGTCGTCGTCGTCGTCGTCGTCCCGCTCGCCGCGAACCCGCGCGTCCCGCTCGCCGCGCGCGTCTCCGTCCCCCTCGCGCGCGCGCGCGCGTCTCCGCCCGTCTCGCGCGCGCGCGCGACGCCCCGATCGCGCGCGACGATCGACCATCGCCGCGCGTCGCCGCGCGCCGCCGCGAACGCCCCGCGATGCGCCGCGCGCGTCGACGCGGTGCCGAGCGACGTCGCCGCGTCGACGACGTTCGCGACGCCGCGCGCGTCGCGCGCGCGCGGCATCGCGCGCGAGCGACGACGACGACGACGCGCGCGCGCGTTCGCGTCTCGCAGACGCGCGGTCGGTCGGCGCGCGGTCGACGTGTGACGACGACGGGTCGAGGGATGGCGACGACGCTCGAGCGGGACGGCGCGGCGCGGCGCGGCGACGACGAACGGAGCGGAATCAAAGGCGAACGAGGGCTGGCGAACGCGAGTGAGACCGCGAATGAAGATTTGCGTTACTGATGCGTGAGCGCGTCGTGAATGGCGCGCTGGTGCCTGGTGGCGATGGACTGCGCGAGCGGGGCGAGGACGCCGGATGCGTGGAGCGCGCGAAAGCCGCCGACGACGAAGGCGCGAACGTCGATGTCGTTCACGGGATCCTCGGCCTCGTCGGCGTCGTCGGGATCGAACGCGTCGAGACCGCCGCGCATGAGAAGACGCTCGAATAAGTCGCCGGTGAATTCCTTTTCCTCGCCGGTGAAGTCGTCGTCGTCTGCGGCGTCGTCGGGGTCGTCTTCGTCGTCGTCGCGCTCCTCCTCCCATTCGTCTTCGTCGTCTTCGGCGCCGGCCATGCCTTCGGCGTACTCGATGAGGACGTCGGCTAAGAGTTCGACTATTTTGGCGGAGAGTGGGATTTGGGTCCAGACTTCTGGGCCGTTGGCTTGAGCGCGCGCGCGCGTGCGAATGCGGCCGCTCTCCGCGGGCGTCTCCACGAGCTGGCCCTTGACGACGACGGCGTGCAACGCTGGACTCTGCGTGTTGAGAAGCAAACCGAGCGCGGTCGTGGTCAACTTGATGTCAAACGAACCGTGTACATCGCATTGCTTCTCTGACCACTGTCGCATGACGAAATCGAACGCGTTCGGCTCGTCACCGCCGCTCGGAAGCGACATCAAGAGCTCGATGAACGCGTTGGCGTCCACGTGCACGATGCGCGCGAACACCGTCAACAACGACGCCGACAGATTGGGCTGCTTTGAAGAGCGCAAGCGCGCCACGACCGCAGCCGTGATATCGCGAAGCACCGGGCCCACCTTGGTCGGCAAACGACGAAGCATTTGACACAGCAAAGGTGCCGCGTACAGACTTGCGCTGTCCTCCAAATTTGGATCCAACAAGCGCGACGCGGCTTCAAACATCGCGCGCAACACGTCGCCACCGCCCACGGTCGGGTCACCACTACCCCACTCGAGCATGTTCTCTTTTCCCGCGCGAAGAAATGCGCGTAACGTCTCGGACGCACCCTGCATCACGCCGGCGTCGTCGCTCTGCATGATGAGACCGCACACGTACTTGAAGCACACGTCGTGCGTAGCCTTGGCCGTCTCAGGCGACGCCGGGCGAAGAATGATTGTCAATAGATCGAGCGTCGCCTCCACTAACATTTCAGGTTGTTCGCTCGGCGATGCGAGTATGTGCGAAAGCGTCGGCACGAGCATGGTGTGCAACTGCGCCTGGCACGCAGGAATCTCCGCGAGCGCCTCAAACACCTCGGTGGTATCTGCGCTCACCAAGGGATCTCGGACGTACTCCGCCCATATTTTCACCACCGCCGGCGCGAGTGCGCTCAACCACGCCGCTGCAGCGTCGGAGTCAGCCTTAATGAGCACGAGCATGGCTTCTAAAATGAGATGCAGAGTCTCTTCGCCGGCGTCGACGAGCAAATTGCCCAAGCCTTTGTAAATTTCACCAATGTACGGAGTCGTCACTTCCTTCTTCGCGATCGGTAAAAACTCAGCGATCGCGCGGCACGCACCAATACGCAGTGGTGGCGCTAAACCGGGCGCCAGCGAACTTACCGAAGCTCTGAGAATGGCATCCGCCATCTCCGTCGGCACGCCGCTCGATAGGCGAGCCGTGACCCACAACGCTCGGCCACGCAAGAACGGCGCCGACGCCGCCGTGCTCTCGTGCAAATCGTTCTCAATCACCGTTTTCATGAAAGCGGCGATGTCGAAAGGTGCGGGTTTGCCCTTTTCTTGCGCGCGCTCCAGGCTCGACAAGACGACCTCGTTCATCGTGCCCACGGCGAGGAGCGCCGCTTCTCGCGGTCGCCACCACATCGAGTCACCGGTTTGTTGCGCCGATATGGACTCCGCCAATCGTCTATTTGATGCGTTCCAGAGCGCAGCGACCGCCTTTACGCCGAATCTTTCTCCGAGAGAATCAAGCATGAGACCGCACGCGGCACGCACATTGCCGAAATCGTCGTCCTCGTCCGCGACGAACTGGTTCGGATCATCCATCCACATCTCCTCTTGCGATGAGCTCATCGTCATGTAACCCATCGTGACGTACAACGTATCCGCTAAATTCGGCTCGAGCAGCTTATTCAACTTAGGCTGCTCCGCGATGTTGATGACGAGCTCCAGGAGTTCTGTGACCACCGCCTCGAAACTCACCGTGTCGCCGTCGCTATCCATGCCCGGATCCAAGTGATCCGTCTCCTCTGAGTATTTCGCCCAAACTGGCGCTATGGTGTGAAACATTATCGCCCCACGGGATAAAGCCGGCATCAGCGCCTCGCCCGCGGGCTTGGTAAAGTACTGCACCGCGAGCGCGAGACTCGTGAGCGCCGCCATGGTCGAAGCCAACGCGTCGAAATTGTTCGGATTCGGCATTCCCTCCAACGCGATCGCTACGGTCTCCAACCACGTGGGCAAATACGGTAACAACATGTCTCGCATTTCCTTTTGCTCCGTCCCCGTGAGCGTGGTCAACGCGCTCACTGTCGACGAAAACGCCGTTTCCGCTCGCCTCCGTAGCGCGCCGTCCTCTCCGTGCCTCGCCAGCGTCAACAACTCTGGAAACAACGTCGGCCCCACCGTGGCGACATCCTTCGCGTCAATCTCCCCCGCAATAATCTCATAACACTTCAAGCACCCCAAAACCTCCGACCTCGATCGTTTCGCTCGTATTCCTTCCACCAACGTCGTCGTCAGCTCGTCCCAAATCGCGCCGTCGCTCGCCGCCGCCTGCGCGATCCCCGCCGCGAACGCCGTGCGCATCTTGCTCGACTCATCCGCCAGTCCCTTCGGGAGCACTGTTTTCAACCCTTGCTTCTCCGCTTCCGTCAATTCCGGCGCGACGAACCTTTCATCCAGCGCGTTCCAGTGTTCTCGCACGTGTTTCTTCAGCAGCACCGCGCTCAGCTGTCTCGTGCTGATGTCCACCACCGCGCCCTCGACGCCGCGCAGCGCGATCGACGCCAGCGTCTCCGCGAACCCCGGTTCGCCTCCCATGCGCTCGATCGCGCGCTGCGCCTCGGCGCGCGCGACGGCGTCGGGCGAGAGCGTCTCGGCCAGGCACCGCGCGACTTCATCCGCCCGCATGTCGACGTCCCGAAGCGTTCGCGTCGCGCCTCGACCGAATCGCGCCCCGCGCGCGCTCGCGAACGCGCTCGCGAACGCGACCGATCGTCCCGAGCGTCGCGATGCGCGCGCGCGGACGCGCACGCGCCGTGGACTGCCGCGCAGTCGACGCCGTTTGAACGCGTGGAGTCACTTTTGAATCTTCAAACGCGTCGCAGTGCGCGACGCGCGACGCGCGCGGACGCCGCGATGGCGCGCGAGGCGTCGAGACCGAATCCTCGACTGATGGACATCGCGGAGACGTACGCCAAGGCGTGGTTCGCGCGTAAATCGACCGGGACGAGGGATGAGCTGGTGGCGGATTTGACGCACGCGCTGCGCGCGTTCACGCGCGCCGCGGGCGAACGCGCCGAGCGCGCGACGGAGAGCGAGGAAATACCGCTGCCGGACGCGCGCGACGTGGCGCTGGAGGATTTCTCTCGGGCGCTGGACGTGGACGCGCTGCGGGCGACGAGGGAGGGATTGGCGGCGGCGGGCGCGCCGCCGGCGAAGCGCGGCGAACGATGGACGTTCGCGAAGGCGACGCGACGCCATGGCGACGAAAGGCGCGATGGCGATGGGAGCGGTGGTGATGATGCGTTTTACGCGCGCGTGTCGGCGATGGCGGAGAGACACGCGGAGTCGATGACGTTGGCGCGAGAGAGGCGCGCGGCGAGCGAAGCGGAGGCGGCGGCTTCGGAGGCGGCGATCGCAGCGAAACGCGCGGCGCGCGCGGGGAATCGGTTGCGGCGATTGAACACGCCGAAGTTGGTCGAACCGACGCGCGAGGAGACGAAGAACGCGCTGAGGAAGGTGTACGAGACGTTGGCGGGTGGGTCGTCGGCGACGACGGTTTGGAAGCCATCCTTCGGCAAGGCGCGCAAGGCGGTGGAGACGATCATGGACGAGCTGTCGGCGAGCGAGCGCGCGACAGTGATGGCAGAGTACGCGATGTTGCATATGGGAGGTTCGAAGTACCGCGCGAAATGTTTTGAGGAGGAGGTAGAGAAGGAGGAGGGCGCAGACGTCGTCGACGAGAGAGCCGACGAGGACGCGCCGGCAACGAAGCGCGGCAAGCGAGAGCGCGCACCGAGCGTGAGCGTCGTGCGCGTCGACGACGAACCGGCGGCGCGCGAAGAGAACGCGTCGACGGGAATTCGTTTCCGGGTCGAGGATCGTTACGAATGGGAAGGAAGGTTGCGCGCGCCGAAGGAGGCATCGAGCCGAGGCGAAGACGCGATCCCAGGCGTCTCGCGTTTCGTACCTTGGTGGGAAGAAGTAGACGCGTGCGATACGCGCGCCGTCGGTCGATGGGGCGAAGCGCTTGTGTATCAATACCTACTCGCATCGTACCCCGCGCGAGAGAATCATCTCGTCGAGTGGTTGAACGCGGAAGGCGAGACGAACAGTTTTTACGACATCAAAGTCACCGACGTTGCCACTGGGCGCGTGACTTTCGTAGAGGTCAAGTCGACGCGTTTCGACGATAAAAACGCATTTGAGATTTCACCTTGGGAATGGGATTTTGCGACGAAACCAAGCGTGGATTATCATATATATCGCGTGTATAACGCCGGAGACAAGAAGCGCGTGCGCGTGTGCGTAGTTCGAGATCCCGCGACGCTCTGCCGCGAGCACAAGATTAGCATGGCGCTCGTCATCTGAAAACTCACATGTATCATGTACAACATCAACACCTACGTACCATTAGTAGCCTAAACGTTTTGTAAAATCAGTCGCGATTATCAATTGCGATTAAGAGCTCTCCTTTTTTGGAGTTTTTTTGAACTTTGACGGATCCTCCCCACAAGCTTCAGCCAACTGCTCGATTGTCCACGCGTCTTCCACGTCAAACTCACTCCCGATCTTTGTCCTGCGAAGCGCCGTTAAGTGACCTGTCGTGCCGAGACTTTTACACAAATCGTACGCCAACGTGCGCACGTAAGTGCCCTTGGAGACGTGTGCGGAAAAGTGTACGATTTGTGCGTCCTCCGCGTCTCGCTCGACTTCGAATTCGTGAATCACCACGTCTCGGTGCTTGCGCTCGACCTCGACACCTTCTCTGGCAGATTTATACAGACGTTTTCCGTTCACCTTGATTGCTGAATACATCGGTGGTAACTGCTTGATCGCGCCTGTGAGTTTGCGCGCGCCCTCACGTAGTTCGACGTCCGTGACGTGTTCCCAAGGTTCGCGTTCGTTCACTTCTTCGTCCGCGTCCTGCGACGGCGTCCCTTCACCCAACTTAATGGTACCAGTGTACGTCTTATCCATCCCCGAGTACTCCTCCACGCTCTTCGTCGCCTTGCCAACGCATAAAATCAACAATCCGGTCGCCATGGGATCGAGCGTGCCGCAGTGTCCAACTTTCTTGACCCCTCTCTCCCTGCTCAACCGCCGCACGCGCGCCACGACGTCAAACGACGTGTACTTCTGAGGTTTATCCATCAAAATTGTCATGTTTTTCCAATCTTCATCCCCCGGCGCGGCTGGCGGCGCCGCGAACACTCGAGGCGGCGGGTCCGCCGTCCCGCTCGCGCACCTCGCGCACCTCGTTCTCGCTTTCAGAGACGTCTCCGCGCACCGCGCGCGCATCGCCGCGACGACCACGCGCTCCGCACTCGCGACTCGACGCATACTGTTCCAACCAGCGGTTTTTCGACGGCGACTAACGCGTCCCTCGAGCAATTGCTCAAAAAGCGCTCTTCCTCTTCTCCACCCGTTCGCGTATCACGCGCTCGAGGTCCAGCTTTCGGCAATCTTTGTACGACTGAAACAATGCGTCGCACGCGGACTTATTCTCTGGCGGCTGACTAGACGCGCACGCGAGGGCGAGCTGGGACTCTTTTCGACACGCGCTTTGCTCCACTCGCTGCGTCGTCCCCTTCGTTTGCATACGTGCCGCACCTCGTCGTCCCTCACCACGCCTACAGTCGTTCGTTCACTCGCGTTTCAATCTATTCTTGCGTCGTTTCGATCGTCGTCGTCGGTCGCGCCGAGTGCGCGCGTCGCGGTCTACGGCGTCGCGAACGGAGACGCGTCGTCTTCCCTCGTCGCCGGTTTCGCGAGCTCTTGGAAATGATTCTCGCAAACGTCGCAAAGCAATATTCCAGCGACAAAACACACCGCAAGGAGAGCCACAAACGTTATCACGTCCTCTAACACTCGAAGTCGCGCCTTCCAACGCTCGAACACCGTCGTCGTGTCTTCGCGTCGACGTCTCGGGGACGTTCGCGTCGGCGGCGACTTTCGCGGCGACGCCAACTCTTCGCTGTCGCTCTTCGACTCGCGAACGTCCCCGTACATCGCATCGTACTCGTGCTTCACGATGCTTTTGAAGTGGGCGCTGTGCTTGAACGATTTCGCCGGGACTCGCCCGCTCGCGCCGAGTAAGCTCTCGCCGAGCTGCGTGAACAACGCCTCGTCGGTGAACTCGTCCAACTCAAAAATGCTGTCTATGTTTCGTTCAAGACATCGCGCGCGCAATGCCCTGGCGACGTCCTTGGCGTGTTCATGCTTTTCCTCGCGCCAAGTAGACGCGTGCGCGCTCGTGGAGACACTCATGGGAACGCGTCGTGGTTTGATGTCCCGCGCTCGGCGCGGCGTCGTCAACACCGTCGGCTAAACACACACACAGCGAGGCAAACAAACAGCAAAAGAAGCGCGATGACGGAGATGAAGCAACAAAAATGAGCTCTTTGATGGTAACACGCGGTGTTTACTCTTGGTAGTTTACTGGGTGGTTGATGGGCAGTGGTGGGGTCGGCGTTCGACATGGCGAGGTGCGATGTGCGGCGCGCGAGTTTTGTTCAATACGGTGAGTCATTGTTACATTCGCGACCCGCGCGTCACGCGAGATCGGCAACTTTTTGGCGCTTATTCGCGTCCGCGGGGAGATCGACGGCTAATTCGTGGCCGGTGTTTATCTCTGCGAGCGCGAAGTGCGACGCGTCGGTCAGTGTCGTTTCATCCTTCTCGATGCGAGTCCCCATCGCGATCTCATTCAATTCGGCATCGGCGGACCGTCGATGTCTCCATCGAGGTGACCAGACTTCGCATCATTCTCGCGCGTAAGATGTCCCTATCTGTTGTTTATCCTCATCTGCCGTTTACGCGTTGCGTCGCGTCACTTCTATGCGGTCGACATCGCTCAACGTACCTCGCAAAGCGTCCTCCTCGCGCTGCGATTCCTCAATCGCGGCTTGCTTGGCCGCCTCCGCGGCTTCGCGCGCGAGCGCGCGTTCAGTTTTCACCGGGATCGGGCGACGCCGTCCGGTCGTGCGCTCCAACTCTTCGATTCTAGTTCGCATCTTCATGCCCCAGGCGATGAGGGTGTCCATGTCTGGCGACTTGATGGCGACGAATTCGTCGCGCAAATCAGTAAACTCGCTCATCCAGTGACCGACGAGTTTCCACACGTGGCCACGAATGTAACTAAATGACGTCGTGTACGACTTGCAGATGTCGAAATACTCAATCATCAAATCAACCGCCGCGACGCCATCGAGCGGGATCGGGGCGTATCCGTCCGTCGGCGCAGCGTAAAACGGGGGGTCGCTAAAGAGCGCCGGATTGCTCAAGAGGGGTTCGGCGCTCAAGACGCCATCCGCGCCTGTAGCCTCAAGACATGCGCGTGCTTCGGCAAGCGAGCGTATGTCGCCGTTAGCGAGTACTGGAACTTTCAGTGCGTCTTTGATGGCCCTGATATACGCCCTGCGAAGGAAGAAGGAAAACATTCGGTCAATATCGGCGTCGCGCGATTCGCGGACGTTGTCGCCACGTAAAAAAGTCACGATACTCGCGGCGGTTCCTCAGTTAGTGGTGCATGTTTTTGTCGTCAAGATTTGTTCGGAACAGATCTATGGTGTATTTTTATGTTTTGTCGTCACCGGAACCGCCAAGTCGTGAGAATCGCGAGTGGAAAGAAAAATCACGTAAGCGGTGCATTTGCACCGAATGACTTACCAATTCGCTCGAATGTCAGCGCATCGCTTCTGCTCGCGCGTTCGTCCGTGCACGGCAACAATCTGTGCCCCGGCAGCTTCAACCATCTTGGCGTACTTCAACGTTGTCTCTAAGTCATCGTACACGCGAATCTTCGCCGTGACGGGCACGGGCAACTCTTCATCGAGTTTACGAATCAACGCCTCCACCGTCTTCCAATCGTCCATCAAAAACGCCCCATAGTTCCCTCTTTTCGCGATTCTTTGCGGACATCCAAAATTAATATCAACCCCATCGCAATACGGTGCGATCATGGTCGCCGCGCGAAGCAATATCTCGGGATCGTTCGCGCAAAACTGTGCCAACAACGGCCTGTCGCGCGTCGACGTGCTAAAAATCTCCCGTCGATACTTTGGAGACTCCACGAACAAACGAGCGTGTATCATCGGCGTGTATCCCAGCGTCGCCCCGTATCGTTTACACAACTCTCGAAACGCGAGTTCGCTCTGATCGACCATGGGCGCGACGTGGTATCGGGGATTCCCGAGCGCCTCGAAGAACGCAAACCCTCTCGCCTTCGCCGTCGCCCCCGGGGGCGCGCGGCGCGCTTCGTGCGGTGGTTCGTCCGCGTCGTCGTTCACCGCACGGAATCGAAACTCGCGCGGGAGCGTCGCAGACGTCGATGCCGCGTGCGCCGCCGTCGCGCGCGCGTCCAGATCGCCGTCGTTCGTCGTTTTTGTCGCGTCGGCTTCGGGCATGGCGGCGGATGAATTCGCGCGCGCGGCGCGCGCGCTCGACGGCGTCTCGGATGACGACGACGCTCCGAAGACGACGGACGCGCTTCGCGCGTGTGCGGCGCGAAGTCGAGCGAGATGCGCGCACGCGAGAGACGCGCGACGCATTCTGAAGTTTCGGTGTGGCCGTTTTCAACGATGTATGGGCTATTACGTTTGCGGTGGCGTGATTTGTGTTGGGTCGTTACGCGGCGTCGACGTCGATGGCGCACATTAAATCGCCGGCGGCGCACGTGTCGCCTTTGACGACGCCGACGTGCTTGAGGGTGCCGGCGACGGGAGAAGCGACGGTCGTTTCCATCTTCATCGCGCTCAACACGACGATGGGCTCGCCCGCTTTAATCTTTTGACCGGGAGCGACGAGGACTTCGACGACGGACCCTGACATCGGGGCGCCGACCGAGCCCGGGTCGAGTGGATCGCTCTTCTCGCGAGCGACTGCGCCGCCGCCGCCCTTGGAGGCGCTCTCGAGAATCTTTCTGTCGTGGATCTCGACGACGCGCGGAATCGCGTTGACTTCAAAGAACACTTCGCGGTTGCCGCTTGGCAACAGCTCACCGACAGCCTTAAGCTTGATGTTCGTGCTCACACCGCGATCGGTGGTGACTTCGATCTCTTCATCGATGTCCAATCCCTTCAAGAACGCCTTGGTCGGGAGCAAACCGACCGGCCCGACGGTGTCGCGCTTCACGACGTACTCGTCGAACACCTTCGGGTACAAAGCCGCCGCGAGCGCATCCTTGTGCGTGATCGATCGACGGCCGGTGTGCTTGATGGACAGCTCGTTTTGTAACTTGTTGATGTCCATGCTGGGAAGCGACGCCCCAGGACGACCGGCGATGATTTCCTTGTTCTTCACCACTCGCGAGCGAAGCGGTTCGGGGAAGCCACCGACGGGTTGGCCCAGGTATCCTTGGAAGTACTCGACGACGGAAGTCGGGAAGGACAACGTGTCAGCTTTTTCCACCACGGAGTGCTCATCCAGGTTGTTCGCGACGAGAAATTGCGCGAAATCACCGACGACCTTGGAAGACGGCGTCACCTTCACGATGTCACCCAAGATCTTATTCGCCGTCGCGTACGAATCCTTGATGCGATCCCATTCGCTTCCGAGTCCGTTGGCGTACGCTTGGAACTTCAAGTTGGTGTATTGACCACCGGGCATCTCGTGAATGTACACATCTGAGCTTCCGCTTTTAATACCGCTCTCGTACGGAGAGTACAGACCTCTCGTTTGTTCCCAGAACAAGTTGAGCTTGAGCACTTCATCGATATCCAATCCGGTGTCGAGCTCGGTGCCCGCGACTGAGTTGATCACGGCGCCGATGGCGGGTTGGGACGTCGTGCCAGCCATGGCGTCCATGCACACATCGACAACATCCGCACCTGCCGCGGCAGCAGCGAGCATGGAAGCCACGCCCGTTGAAGCGGTGTCGTGGGTGTGCACATGGATGGGCAAGTCGGGAAACTTGGCGCGAATGGCGGAGATCAACATCGTCGCGGCGCGCGGCTTCAACAAACCAGCCATGTCCTTCACGGCGAGCACATCAATACCGTGCTCAACGAGCTTGGTCGTGAGGTCGACATAATAGTCCAGCGTATATTTAGTCTTCTTCGGATCGCTCACGTCACCAGTGTAGCAAATTGTCGCTTCAACGACGCCGTCGGCGTTGCGCACGGCGTCGATGCCAAACATGAGGTTATCTTCGTAGTTGAGCGAGTCAAAAACGCGGAAAACATCGATACCAGACTTGCGCGCTTGGTGCACGAAGCTTTGCACGACGTTGTCCGCGTACGAAGTATAACCGACCGCGTTGGCGCCGCGAAGAAGCATTTGAAATGGGATGTTTGGCACTTGCTCACGAAGAAGCTCGAGTCGCCTCCACGGATCCTCTTGCAAGAATCGAAGCGCGACGTCGAAGGTGGCGCCACCCCACATCTCAAGCGAATACGCGCCACTGAGGGCGCTTCGCGTGAGTGGTGCCGAACGACGAAGGTCGTGCGTCCGCACGCGCGTCGCCAAGAGCGACTGGTGCGCGTCCCGCCACGTCGTATCCATGATGAGCAAGCCCTTGTGCTGGCGAACCGCTTTGGCGAACGCCGCCGGACCCTCCTTGTCCAAAATAGCCTTGAACCCGGTGTCCTTGAGCTGCGCTAAAGACTTCTTCGGTTCGGGAACTGGCGGTTCCGCGCACGTCGGCGCGGGACCGACCGCACCAGGGTGCGACGAACCGTTCACGGCAACGTCACCGAGGTAATTGAGAAGCTTCTGCGTGTCATCGATGTACGAGTCCAACTTGAACAAGCTCGGAGTGCTATCGATAAAGTCCGTGGCAAAGTTCGCGCTCAAGAACGTTTCGCTGGACAAAACGTTCATCAGGAACGGAATGTTTGTCTTCACGCCGCGAATACGGAATTCATTGAGCGATCGATACATCTTTTGCACGGTTGCTTCAAAGTTCTTCTCCGAGCACGTGAGCTTGACGAGGAGCGAATCGTAGTTGGGTGACACTCGCGAACCGACCACGACTTCACCATCCAAACGCACACCCATACCGCCCGGAGGACGGTAGACCTCAACTTTGCCGAAATCCGGAGAGAAGTTCATGGACGGGTCTTCGGTGGTGATTCTGCACTGCATCGCGAAGCCGCGAAGCTGAATGTCGTCTTGGGACTTGATACCGATGTCGGACAACTTTTGACCACCTGCGATCAATATCTGCGATTGCACCAAATCGATCCCAGTGACTTCTTCCGTCACAGTGTGTTCTACTTGGATGCGCGGGTTCACTTCCAAAAAATAGTGACGCCCTTGCTTATCAACCATGAACTCCACCGTGCCGGCGTTGCGATAGTTGACATGCTTGGCGAGCGCCACGGCGTCGTCAAATAATCTTTGGCGAAGCACTGGGTCAAGGTTGGGCGCGGGCGCCAACTCGACAACTTTTTGGTGACGACGTTGCACGGAACAATCGCGCTCGCCCAAGTGAACGACGTTACCGTAGTTGTCGGCTAGAATTTGCACCTCGATGTGTCGCGGCGCCTCGACGTAACGTTCCAAAAACATTCTCCCGTCGCCGAACGCAGTCTGTGCCTCGCTCGAAGCGCGCTTGAACGCATCTTCGAGCTCGGAGTACTCCTTGACAACACGCATACCGCGACCACCACCGCCCATCGCGGCCTTGAGCATGATTGGCATTCCGAACTCCTTGGCGAATTCCAAGGCATCGTTGACGTCCGCCGTCGCCTCTTCAGTCCCCGGCACGAGCGGCAACCCACACTCCTTCGCTTTCGCCTTGGCGATCACCTTATCGCCCATCTCCGTCAACGTTTGCGACTTCGGCCCGATCATCACGATCCCTTCTTCCTCGCATCGTCGCGCAAAGGCGGCGTTTTCGCTCAAAAATCCGTAGCCCGGATGAATAGCCTGCGCCCCGTTCTCCTTGGCGCAGCGAATGATGGATTCGTAATCCAAATACGCCGCCACCGGCGCCTTGCCGTGACCGACCTCGTACGATTCATCGGATTTGTACCTATGCGTCGACTGTCGATCGGCTTCGGCGAACACCGCCACGGTTTGCATCCCCAACTCGGTCCCCGCTCGAAACACTCGAACCGCGATCTCTCCGCGGTTCGCGCACAAAATCTTCGTAAACCCGCTCTTCGATCGCAGAATGCTCTCCAAGCTCGGTCCAGCGTTCGTGACGTTCACGGTGCTCTTACCAGCCTTCGCGACGACCCCCTCGCGCGCCGCGGCGCCCGCTCGCTCCGTCGCCGCTTCGTCGCTCGCCGCCGCCGCCGCGACGTCGCGCGCGTCTCCACCGTTCCGTCGCACCGCCCCAGCGCGCGCGCGCGCGCGCACGTCCACGGACGTCACCGAGTTCGACGCGCTCGCGCGTCGTCCCGCGGCGCGCGAAACGCGTCCAGCTCGCGCGACGTCGCGTCGATGGTCGTTCGCCCACCTTTTCGTCCCGATCGCGGCGGCGGCGCCGCGCGGCGCGCCGACGGCGTGCGGCATCGCGCGCGCGGTCGACGTCGACGATGTGCGCGTGTCCACGTGCGCGCGGGACGCGTCGAGGACGGTCGTGCGCGCGCGCGTGTGCTGGCAGGAGGCGCGATGGTCCAAGGGTGAAAGGGTTTCCCGAGAGCGGCGCGAGGGCGTCGGCGAACCGGCGAGCGTGAGCGTGCGTGCTGCTCTAAACTACATGATGACGGCTATACACGGTACAACAGCGTACAAAACGGTGAAAGGGAATCGCGCGGGATCGGGGAAGGTCGAAGTCGGGGCTCGGGCGTCGCCGCGGCGAGCGAAGAGCGTTGGACGATATCACCGCATCGAACGCACGGCGCCGATTTTTTCGTACGAACACTCCGCTCGAGCGACGACTTTTGACGTGGCTTTGGATTTGATCTCGATCTCGACGACGACGCGGAACGGTTCGCGCGCGTCCTCGACCTCGAGCAATCGCGATCGTAACGTCAAGGGCTCGCCCGGACCGACCAAGTCGACGACGCTCACCGCGAGCGATTTCACCGCCACCAACGGCGGTCTCGGTAGGATCGCGCGGTCCATCAGCGCGATCGACGCCGCCCAATTTCCATGCGCGCTCGCCGCGACGCCGTACATCGCCGGTCCGATGATTCCTGGAAACTCTTCGTACTGCGACGGAAACTTCAAGTGCGACTCGAGCACGTTTTCCTCGTTTTCGCATCGATACGACACCAATCCAATCTTCCCCGCCGTGTCGTGCGCGCGTCCGCACACGAAATCGATACAATGCGGATCATACGCCTCCTGCAGGCTCCTTCGCGTGCGTCCGGCGTCGAACGCCGTCTGCACTCCCGCCAGCGCCGCCGGGTGTTTCGGGCTATTGCACGGATTCACGTCCACCCCCCGTTCCGCGAGTTCGCTCCACTGTTCCACCGTGCGCGACGCCCCGAACGCTCGCGACGCGTTGGCGTACGTCCGCGGTCGCGTCTCGAGCGCGTTCGCGCGCTCGCGCGTCGCGCCAGCGCTTCGATCGTCATCGCGGCTCGAAATCAACCACCGTCCGATCGCGCCGCGTTCCGCGCGCGTCGCGCCGCGGCGCATCGCGCCGATCGTCTCCGCGCACGCGCGCATCGCTCGTCCGCGCATCGCGTCCGCGCGCCGCGCGCGCGTTCGTCCGCGTTCGCGCGCGCGCCGTGTTGTGATGTCGCCAGTGGTCGTCGCGCGCGGAGACGCGCACCGCGCGCGCGCGTCGACGCGCATGGCGACGTCGCGCGCGGCGCCGCGCGCCGTCGTCGTCGCCGCGCCGGTCGCCGGTCGCCGCGCGCGCGCGACGCCGCGCGGTGCGCGTCCGCGCGCGACGCCGCGCGCCGCGAGCGACGACGACGACGACGCGTCGACGTGGGCGCGCCCGCGCGCGTTCGAGCGCGCGCGGGCGACGCCCGAGGGTAAGAGGACGTGCGCGGCGTGCGATGGATTCGGGACGCGGGCGTGCGCGCGGTGCGAGGCGCGAGGGCGGGAGAACGCGAGACGGGACGGCGAGGTGCAGGCGCGCGGCGCGTGGCCGCGATGGTGCGTCGACTGCCGAGGCTCGGGACGAAGCGTGTGCATGGATTGCCTGGGAACGGGGGCGCATCGAGACCCGATCGGGTTTCGCATGGGAGAGGACTGAGAGATGGGCGAAGGCGAGCCGGGGACGCGCGTCGCGAAGCCGTCGCGGGCTATAGACTCTAGAAGTAGATTACACGGTGCGCCGCGAAGATGGACGCGCGTTGCGTCGCGATGCGATACGATACGACACGACCGAACGCATCATCGATCCTCCGCGAGCGCGGCTAAGATGCCGTCGATCATGGCGATTCGATCCATGACGATGGTTTTTTCGACGCGGCGATTCGGCGAGGCGACGGTTCGCGTCTCCGCGGGCGTCTCCGCGTCGAGGCGTCGTGGACGGCCGCGCGCGGCGTCGCTCCGAGAGTCGGCGAGTAAGCTCGCGATCTCGCGACGCGCGCGCGCGATCTCGCGCAGCGCGCCTGATTCGCCGCCGTCGTCCTCGAACGCCTCTCGCGACGGTTCGTCTTCGTCGGCGTCCGCGTCGCCGACGTCGCCATCGTCACCGTCGACCTCGTCCCGCGCGAACGAAAACGACCGCACGACACTCATCGACGTATCTTCCTCCTCGCGCGCCGTCGCCGTCGTTCGACCGCTCGACGCCGGCCTCGCGCGTTCGTCGCGCTTCGCGTCGACGGTTACGCCGGGTCGCTCCGCGACGGCTTCGTACGCCCGCTCCGCCGCCAACGATCTCGCCCGCGCGCGCTCGCGCGCCGAGCTTCGTCCCGTCCAAACCGTTTCCCGTCGCACCGTCGCCTCGATCGCCCGCGCGAGCGCCAACGCGTCGCACGCCTTTTCAAACGCGCGCTCGAACCGCGCGGCGTCGCCGCGCGTCCCGCTCGCGCCTTCCTCGCGCGTCGCCGCGCCTCGCGCGCGCGCCGTCGACGCGTCGACGCGCGTCCCCGAGCCCTCCGTCGTCGCGTCGTCGCGCGTCGTCGTCGTCGTCGTCGTCGTCCTCGTCGCGTTTCGCGCGCGCGCGTCCTCGCGCGTCGCCGGCGCGTCGCCGTCGATCGGTCGCGCCGTTCCCGCGGCGAACGCCGCCGCGCGCGCGCGCACGCTCATGCGTCGCGGTCGTCGTCGCCGCGCGCGCGCGCGAGGCTCGCGCGGCGTCGCGCGGCGTCGCCGCGTCGCGAACCGTCGCGGTCGATTGTGACGACCGAAGCGAAGCGTCGCGTCGCGCGCGCACACCGCGACGCGCTCGATCGCGACCGAGACGGCGAACGCGCATCATGGTGCGCGCGCGCGACGCGCCGACGCGACGCGCGCGCGCCGACGCGACGCGCGCGCGACGCGAGCGCCGGATAAACCGACGGCGACGACGGCGATCGGGACGTCGCGACGTCGCGACGCTTCGGCGGCGCGCGACGGCGCGGAGGACGACGACGACGACGCGCGCGCGAAGCGAGACTGACGAACGATCGCGTCGCGCGATTCGCAGGCTGATTTCGTCGGGAAACAGTTCGACAAGGAGGAGGTGGGGAAGATGGTGCTCGAGCAGTACGACGAAGCCGAGCAGCGACTGTTTTACACGATCGTCATGGGCGGTGGTGGTGACGATATTCACTTTGGTATCTACAGAGACGCGAAAGATGGGGTGCGCGAGTCGAGCGCGGCGACGACGGCGTGGATGATGACGCAGTTGGACATGGCGCGACCGATCGGGGCGGGGGATAAGTTGCTGGACATCGGAAGCGGGCACGGCGGCGGATCGCACGCGTTGGCGAAGAAGTACGGATGCTCGGTGATGGGATATAACATTGGACCGGGACAAAACGCGCAGAACATCGCCAAGGCGAAGGAGCTCGGCCTGGGCGATCTCGTCGACGCGGTCGTCGGGGACATTAACAAGCCGTTTCCGGCGGATTGGACGAATTCGTTCGACGGCGCGTGGTCGTGCGAGGTGTTGTGCCACGCCGGCGATAAGCCCGAATTATTCAAAGAAGTCGCGCGCGTGTTGAAGCCGGGCGCCGCGTTCGTGTTTTCGGACATCATGGGTGCCGACGGCGCCGATGAAAAGACCCTCAAGGGATTCACCGATCGCAACGCCACCACGGTGATGGGTCGCCCGTCCACGTACCTGCAGTGCATGAAGGATGCCGGACTGGATTACGTCACGTGGTGGGACGGCAGCAATCACTTGGAAACGTATTTCCGCGACATGATCAAGCAGATTCACACCCATCGCGAAGAGATGCTCTCCAAGGGTTTGACGGATAAGTACCTCGACAATTGGCTCGAGTCGCTCACCGAGCGCGCGGACACTCAACGCGATCACGGCGTCTTCGCGTGGGGCGTCTTCGTCTGCCGTAAACCTTTAAACTAAACCGACACTAACTCAAGTCGTTTCACTCGCGGAAACGCGCTCGAGTTCAAATTATTTTTTCAAATCTTCCGAGTTGTATTAACCATAATCAAACGAAGCCTCTCCGAGCGACGCATCGTCTTCGCACCTCGCCCACCCCGTGCGCCTCGCCGCCGACGGTGAACGCGGCGAATTTTCTCGTCGGCGCGCGCAGTGGTCGCGTTGGTTATTATACCAGAATATTGATGTTATTGAAATGGTTATGCAACGATGTGGTTTTGATTCAATATGCGTAAGTTGCGTCGAGCGAGCGCACGAGTCAACGGGACTCTTTTCATCTGCTCGCGTGTGCCGCTTACATTTCACCTGGCAAAAGAGTGTCTTCGAGATCGACCGGGCACCCTGCGTCTGGGACGTCAACGTGCGCTTCCCCGACGAGGTGGCCGACGCAGCCCTTTTCGCTGGTGAGCTCTTCTTCGCTCTTCTTCATGCGCTCGCGAAGCCAGTCGTTCACTTCTAAACCGGGAACGATTTCGTACGAACCATCGCCCTTGGAGCGGCACGGGAAGGAGTAAACGATGCCGTCTTGGATGCCGTACGGGTTACCGTTACTGAGCACGGCTGTGGAGAACCAGTCGCCCTCCGGCGTCGGGTTGACCAAATTTCTGATGTGATCGGCGATGGACACCGCCGTGGACGCCGCGGAAGAGCGACCCCACTTTTTGATCAGCAACCCGCCGCGGGTTTGAATCGCGGGAGTGAAGTCGTTCTCGAGCCAGTCTTGATCGGTGATGACTTCGGTGGCTTTCTTACCGTCGATCTTGGCGTTGACGAAATCCGGCACCTGCGTCGTGGAGTGGTTGCCCCAAATGACGACGTTACTCACGGTTTCGTAGAACACGCCCGCCTTGAGCGCGAGTTGACACTTTGCTCTGTTTTCGTCGAGCTTGGTCAACGCGTGGAAGTTGCGCGGATCCAAGTTGGGCGCGTGCGACAGCGCGATGAGCGCGTTCGTGTTGCAAGGGTTCCCGACGACGATGACCTTGCACGTCGGCTTCGCCACCTCGTTCAACGCCTTGCCTTGATCGACGAAAATCGCCCCATTCATCTCAAGCAAATCTCCGCGCTCCATCCCCGGTCCACGCGGCTTCGCCCCGATCAACAGCGCCCAATCCGCGCCCGCGAAGACTTTCCTGCAGTCGATGCCGATGTCGACCTCGCGCAACAACGGAAACAAGCAATCCTCCAGCTCCATCGCCACCCCCTCCAGCGCCTGTCTCGACCGCTCGCTCCCGAGCAATCTCAACACCACCGGCTGATCGTGTCCGAACACCGACCCACTCGCGATCTTAAACAACAAGTGATTCGAAATCTGCCCCGCCGCGCCGCTCACCGCCACCGTGACCGTCGGCTTCCACGTCTTCGGTCGATGCGCCTCGTCCATCGAGATGTCGTACTCCAGCCTGAACACCCCCAGAGGATCGTCCGCCTTCCTCCCCACGCCCGCGGGCGTGTTGTACCGCACGCACGCGTCTCCGCGTCGTCGCGCGTTCGGTTCGCGCGCGCGTCGTCGACCTATCGCCGCCCGCGTCGTCGTCGTCGTCGTCGTCGTTCGCGCGCGCGTCGTCGTCGTCGCGCGCGCCGTCATCGTCGTCGTCATCGTCGTCATCGTCGTCGTCATCGCCGCTCGCGTCGTCGTCGTCGCGCGTCGCGCTCCGCGGTCGCGCGCGGCGTCGGACGATTCGCCGCCGATCGCGCGCGCGCGCGCGCCGTCCTAACGACTTTTGATGGGCGTTTTCGCGCGTCGTGTACGAGACGCGCGATCGGGTGTTTAGAACAATGTCTTAATGGGTCATGACTCACAAAGAGGGGACGCGCGCGCGCGGCGCCGGCCGTCGGACGATTCGCCGTCCTAACGACTTTTAATGGGCGTTTTCGCGCGTCGTGTACGAGACGCGCGTCGTGTACGAGATCGGGTGTTTAGAACAATGTCTCAATGGGTCATGACTCGTAAAGAGGGGACTCGCGCGCGCGGCGCCGGCCGTCGGACGATTCGCCGACGCGAGCATGGACGCGCGCGGCGCACACGCCGGCGCGAGCATGGACGCGCGCGCGGCGCGGTGTCGAGACGCGATCGCGCGACGCGATGGACGCGCGCTCGCGTCGTGCGTCGACGCCGGCGCGTCGACGACGCGCGAGCGCGACGAGGACGACGCGACGTGGACGCGCGCGTGCGGTTCGGATTGCGACCGCGCGGCGACGCTGATGCGCGAGCGAGGCGTGCGCGCGCCGTGGGACGACGCGATGGGGGCGTTCGCGTGCGCGCGGACGCTGGCGGGAAGCGGGAGGGACGAGGACGCGGTGCGCGCGTACGAGGCGCACGCGAGAGGGGTGAAGGATTTCGTGAAGGCGTACAGGGCGGACGAGGACTCGGCGTGGACGAGCGAGGCGTGGTACGTCGCGGTGGACGACGCGAGAGCGTTGGCGCAGCGCGCGGATGAGGCGCTGAAGCGCGGGGGGGAAAAACCGAGCAAACTCGCCGACGCCGGGTCGACGCTGATGCTGGTGTACAGAGCGGTGTCGCAGACGTCGACGGCGGAGAAGAAGGCGCCGCAGTTGCACGTGGTGAATAATCTATTCAAGGTGTACTTCAAGCTCAACGCGCTGCATTTGTGCAAGAACTTGATCAACGCCGTGAACTTGCCGACGTTTTTGCCGTTCGATTCGTTCCCAAAGTCGGAAAAGGTGACGTATAACTTTTACGTCGGGCGGTTGGCGGTGTTCGAGGACGCGTACGAGCGCGCGGCGGAGCATCTTGAGTACGCGTTCGCGCATTGTCACGCGCAGAGCGCGCGGAACGTGCGATTGATTTTGCAGTACTTGATCCCGGTGAAGTTGATTTTAGGCACGCTGCCGTCGCGAAAGTTACTGGAGAAGTACGAGTTGCGAGAGTTTGTCGACGTCGTCGAGGCGATGCGCCGCGGCGACGCGCGCACGCTCGACGCCGCCCTCAGCGACGGTGAATCGACTTTCATCAAACAGGGCACGTATCTGATCCTCGAAAAGCTTCGCATGTCCGTCTACCGCACGCTGTTCAAGAAAGTGCACGCCATTCACGGCGAAACCGCCGACGCGGCGAAGGCGAACCAAGTCTCGCTCGCCAAATTCCAAACCGCCCTCGCGTGGTGCGGCGCCGACGACGTCGATCTCGACGAGGTCGAGTGCATCGTCGCCAACTTGATCTTTAGAAAGTTCATCAAGGGCTACATATCGCACAAGAACCGCGTCTTGGTGTTGTCCAAGGCGGATCCTTTCCCGAGCTTGCAATCCGTCTTCGCCGACTGAGCCCGTAGCCTTGTAGTCGAGCGCAGTCTCCGCCCCACACTTTCGCGCGCGCGCGCCTTCCGATGCCCGACGCCGCTCGCGACGTCACCGCTGCGCTCATATGCGCCACGGGTGCCGCCGCGACGTTCGCGGTCGCTAAGCTCGCGCCCTGGTACGTTCCGTCCCGGCGTCCCGCGTGGCTCTATCCACTCCTCCAGTACTGACCGACGCCGCGTGTTCTCCACGCAGGATCGCCTCCGCGTCCGCGCGCGCGTTCGCGGGGTTGAAGCCATGGCAACTCGTCACCGCGCTCGCGTACGGCGTCAACGTGCTCGCGGTGAGCGTGCCGGGCAGAATCGACGGGGAGATGCAGCGACGCGCGCAAGCCGAGGCGCGCGCCGCGAAGGCGAAGGATGAAAACGCGAAGGAGAAGACGCACGCGATTCCGCTCGATAGCGAATACCGAAGCTTGTTCACGCCCGCGGGATGGGCGTTCGCGATTTGGGGGGCGATTTACGCCGGAGAGTTCGCGCTGGTGGCGCACGCGTTGGCGTCGGCGAGCGGAGGCGGCGCGAGCGAGGCGGCGACGCGCGCCGTCGCGCCGAGCTGGGCGCTCGCGTGTGCGTTTCAAGCGTTGTGGTGCGCGGCGTTCAGACCGTGGGCCAAGGCGCCTAGACACTTTTGGGTGTCGAGCGCGTTGTTGGTCGCCGAGGCGGTTGCGCTGGGTTCGGCGCACCGAGCGCTGCGCGCCGCGGCGAGCGCGGCGAGCAAGGCGTGGTATTGGACGACGCACGTTCCTCTGTCGATGCACTTCGGTTGGATTTCATGTGCGGCGTTGGTGAACTTGAACTCACACGTCGCGAAGACGTGCGCGCCGGACACGCAGCTCGCGACGGCGTTTCTCTCGGCGTTCGGCGCGGGCGGTTTGGGCGCTGCGGTGACGCTCACGACGGGCGATCCTGTGTACGCACTCGTCATCGCCTGGGCGCTCACCGCCGTGGCGAGCGACGGTGGGAAGCGCACGACGGAAACGTTGGCGGATGTCCCGCTCAAAGCATTGACGAAGGCGGCGCGATGGGGCGCTCGCGCAGCGCTCGCGAGCGTCGTCGTGAGTCAGATGCCCGCGTTCGCTGCGTGATTGATTCAACACGTCTTCTCGCTTATCGTTACACGCAGTGCTGTTTAGATTAAGTAGATGCTTTCGTTTGGAATAGATAAAATCGGTGATGATGACCACGGACTTCTTGTTCAAATCGTCCGCGCGCGGGTCCCGGGCGCGTCGATCGACGTCGTCGGGACGAGTCGCTCACTTTCGCGATCTCGAGCTCGATCTCGAGCTCGCACGCTTGGGCGTCGCCTTCTTGGCTGAAGACGACGACTTCTTGGCCGACTTCTTCTTACCACCACCGATCTTCGGGATCGGTAACGCGCCGCCGTACAACCCGTACGCGAGCGCGCCGGCGCACGCCTGCGCCGCCATGAGCTTCGTCGGGCAGCACGAGCTCCCGCGCACGTACACGTCGAACAGGGAGAACGCATGCATAAGTAACATTACCTTCGCCAACGCTTTCTTCGTCGAACTCGCCGCTCCCGCGGCGATGTGCGACACCGTCGCCAACGTAAAGTCGCGCACGACGCATCGCGTAATCTTCTTCGCGATCGCCTGCGCGCCGTCTTCGATCACGCACGACACCGCGACGAGCGCGATGACGAGCGCTTGGAACTTGAGCGTTTTACCCAACATCTTTCTCGGTCGTCGTCGAGCTCGTCGCGCGTCGGAGTGCGGGACGCGCGCCGTTCGACGAGGGGAATGAGGAAAAAAGTCGGTTTAAGTTCCGCTTCGTTCCCCTCGGCGTCGGCATCGCCGCACACGTCGACGCGCCTCGCCCTCGGCGCGCGCGCACCGCGCGAGGCGATGACGCACGACGTCGAGCGAGACGTCCACGACACCGTGCGCGTGCTCGTGCGCGTGCGACCGCCGAACGCGAGAGAGATCGATGCCGGCTACGCGCCGTGCGTGCAGACGCACGGGACGAACGCGCTGACGCTCCAGCGCGGGAGCGTCCGCGAGAGCGTCGCGGGCAAGGCGGCGCTGAGTTTCGCGTACGACCACGTGTGCGATCAGTCGTCGGCGCAGGAGGAGATTTTCGAACGCGTCGGACGCGACGCGGTGGACGGCGTGGTGGAGGGGTATCACGGGTGCGTGCTCGCGTACGGGCAGACGGGCGCGGGGAAGACGTACTCGATGCAAGGCGTGGATTTAGATCGCGACGACGACGTCGGAGGGTTTGAGGGTGACGATGATTGCGTCATGATGTCGCCGGGCGAGGCGGGAGGGGCGGAGGGGGACGCGCTGGACGCGCCGAACGCGGGGTTGATTCCGCGCGCGCTGAAGCGATTGTTTGAGCGATGCGAGTCGGCGAGGAACGCGGCAATCGAAGCGGGCGGGGCGTGCGAAATCGAAGTGAAGTGCTCGTATTTGGAGATTTATAACGAGACGTTGCGAGATTTGTTGATGAATACCGAGCACGATGGACCGGCGCCGAACGTGCGGGAAGACGCCAAGCGAGGCACGTTTGTGGAGAATTTGCACGAGGAGCGCGTGCACGGGGCGGAGCAGACGTACGAGACGTTTTTGCGCGGTGCGGCGAATCGTAGGGTGGGTCAGACGAATATGAATGCCGATTCTTCGCGTTCGCACAGCGTGTTCACGATTTCGGTGGAATCGCGCACGAAGGCGCATCCCACGGCGCCGACGACAAAAAAGAGCGCGCTTTTGCACTTGGTCGATCTCGCAGGGAGCGAGCGGCAGAAGAGCACGGACGCGGCAGGTGAACGTTTGAAAGAGGCGAGCGCGATTAATAAATCGCTCAGCGCGCTCGGGAACGTCATCAAAGCCCTCGTGGACGTGGCCGACGGCAAGGAACGACACGTGCCCTACCGCGATTCCAAGTTGACGTTTTTGCTCAAGGACGCGCTCGGCGGACGCGCGCGCTGCACGCTCCTCGCGTGCGTCTCGCCGGCGCATGTGAACGTGGAGGAGACAATGTCTACGCTGAAATTCGCCCAGCGCGCCAAGCTTGTGAAAGTCCGCGCAGTGGCGAACGAAGAATCCGTCGGATCAGCGAACGAGCTCGCGGCTGAGGTTGGGCGTTTGCGAGCGCTCCTCGCCGAGGGTGGCGGCGGCTTGAACGACGTCGACGCTCGAGCGAAGATTGTCGAACTCGAAGCCATCATGGCGAAGGCGAATCGCGCGGCCGCGGCTGCGGCAAAGGATAGCGAAGAAGAGCTCGCGAAGCTGAAGAGCAAACTCGAGCACGCCAAGGATTTATGCACGTGTTTGGACAAGAATTTGCAATCCGCCAAGATGGTGATTCGTTTACGCGACGAGGCGCTCAAGCGCAAAGAGTTAACGCCAGAGTCGGTGAATGCGGAGATTGAAGAGCTTCGAAAGCAGAACGAACACCCACCCGAGGTCGTTCGCGTCCGCATCGAACTCGCGGCGTTGCAAGAGCGCGCCGATCGCCTTCAAGCCGAGAATGAGCGCTCCGCCAATCGCGGACGTTTAGCCACCGCCGAGGAGGAATTGAAGGATTTGCGCAAGCTCGTCATCGCTGAGGGCGAACTTACGGCCAAAGCGCTCGACGAAAAAGCGGCTGCCTTGAAATCATTGGATGACATCGAGGCGCAAAATCAAGTTCTCCAAGCCGCTGCCGATGCCGCCGAGCGTCGCGCGTTGGCGAGCGAAGAGACTGCGGAAAACGTTCGCGCGGCGCAACTCGCGGCGGAAGTTTTGGAGAACGAGCACAAGATGGCCAAGGAATCTGCGGAAGCCGACCGCGCACGCGTTCAAGCGACGTTTGAAGAGAACAAAGAAGTGATGGAAGAGATGTTTTCGAAGCTCGAAGTGCTCGCGGCGCACAAGGTGCAAGCTGACAAGGATAGAGCCGAGCTCGAGGCGCGCGTCGAGCTCGCCGAAGCCAAGGCGGCGGGTGCGAACTCGTCGTACGAAGAAACGACCAACGCGCTCGCGGCGGCCAAGGCGGAGTTGGAAACGATGCAATGCAAAATAGATTCAGCGCTGAGCGCTCAAAAGGCTGAGCACGACTGCGAGCTGGAGAAGAAACGAGCTGAATTCGAAGCTGCCGTAGGCGCCGCGACTGAGGCGGGCGAAGCGGCGATGGCCGAGCTTAAGACTGCGCACGTCGCCGAACTGCAGGTTCTTGCGCGCAAACACGAAGAAGCGCTCGCGAGTGTAAAATTCGACGTGGAGGGGGGATTCGAAGTCGAGCGTGCAGCGCACGAGGCGGCTTTGGAGAAACAAGCGGGCGAACTCGAGTCGAAATTCGCGGGTGAGTCTGCGACGGCGCGAGCAGAGCACACTCGTGCGATCGATGCGCTCAAGGAGGGCCACACTCGGGCAATGGACGCGTTACGCGAAGAGATGGCGAATGCGAAAGTCGAGCTTGTAGACGCGCACACGTCGAAACTCGCGGCGCAAGCGCAAGCGTTCTCGGAACAGATTGAGAAGATAAACGCCGCGCAGGCGGAAGCCTTGGAGGCACTCGAGCGCAAGCACGCAGAGGCCATGGCGGACGTGGAAGCACGTCTCGCGAACGCGCTCGAACAAACAGAGTCGACGTCGGCAGCGGACGCGCACGCCAATGAGTTGGCGGCGTTGAACGAAGAGCACACGAAGACGATGGAGGAATTAGAGCGCGAGTACAAGTCTCAAATCACAGATCTCGAAAACGAGCTCGCTGAGATGAGAAGGGCGCGTGCAGAGACAGAAGACGCCGTGCGCACCGAGCTGGTCGAAGAACATTCCGTCGCGTTAGAAGAGCAGAAGAGCCTGTTGAGCTCAGCTTTCGCAGCGGACATTCGAAACGCCGAAAAGAAACTCGCTGCGGCGCGAGAAGAGATTTCGCGAGCGAAATCTGCTGCGTCGGCTGAGTTCTCCGCCGCAGGGACCGCACAAGCTCAAATTCGTAAGCTACACGAGGAAATGGAACTCAAGGACGCAGAAATTGCAAAGTTGGAGCGAAAGCTCGCCGCGAACGACAACGCGACCGCAGATGGTGACGCGCACGCGAAATCGGATGCGCGTTTGGACTCCGCCAAGGCGGCTCGCAAGCGAGCGGAAGAACGCGCGCAAGAGATGGAGGCCAAGGTCACGGCGCTCATGCACGACGTTGATGAAGCAAACAAGTCTTCGCAGGCTACGAGGAGCAAGTACTCCACCGCGCGATCGCGCATTGAGTCTCTCGAAGTCGCCTTGCACGCGGCCAAGACTGAAATCGCACAACTCAAGGGCATCGAACCGCCACCGAGCGTCTCGAAGACGACCGCGCGCACGCCCGCGGTGAAGCGACCATTAGCAGGTCGCACTCCTGGGAAGACACCGGGAACCATGGGCACAGCACGGCGCATCTTGAGTGATGTCAACGCCGACGAACCGCCGTCGAGCCCATCGCTCGCGCGACCGAACAAGCACATGCGTTTCGACACCAGCCCACCCGCGGGCGAGCGCGCGAAACCAATCACAGGCAAACATCGCGCCGAGCTCGAGGGTATACGCCGCGGCACCGGTCGCTTATTATCCAAGCCCGCCATGCGCGTGCAATCCGCCAAACCCGCCGACGAGTAGAGACGCCGCGCGCCTTTCAATTTCTACAAAACATGTACACTCACAACACCGCTACGAGACTACGCTACCCTACGCTACCCCAACCGCTCATGACTTCCCCTTCACCTCATCCAGATTCGCAAACACCGCAGCCGCTCGCGACGCGTTCATCGCCTCCGCCGCTCGCGCCTCCGCCTCGTACGCGTCCCTCACGTGCTGTTCCGACACCGCTCCCAACCTATCCGTCATCTCCGTCGTCACCCGCTCGATCTCTTCCATCGACGACGCGTTCTCCCGCATCGCTCCCGCGCTCCACTTCGCGAACGACGCGAGCGCGCGCTCGTTTTCAGCATTTTTCTCCGTCATCGCCGCGATTTCCCGCTGCGTCTTCTCCAGCGCCGATCTCTCCGCGCGTATGCGCTCCAGCGCGCGCGTCTGCGCGCGGTACACCTTGACGTAGTTCCACAGCGTCTTAAACACCATCGCGCGCGCGTCGTCGCTTCGCGTCGACGCGCGCCGACGACTGACGCCGACGACGAGCGTTTTTAAATTTAAATTAAATTTCAAACTCGCCCGCACATTTGAACGCGCGACGCGTCGCGCATCGCCGCCGAGCGCACGAAAACGCGCGCACACATGGACGCGCCCACGCCCGACGCCCCCGCGGCGACCGCGCCGACGCCCGCGCCGGCGTCGCCGAGCGTGAAACCGAAACGCGAACGTAAAAAAGTTGAAGTGTTTCAAGTCGTCGACGACGCGCCGAAGAAATCGCTCGACGTCAAGCCGGGACGCGGGACGAAGCTGTGCGAGATCCCGAACGTGGCGTTCAAGCTGTCGAAGATCCCGCGCAAGGAGGAGCTGTTGAAGTTTGTGTATCGCATCCTGTACAAGGGGGTGGGCAAGCAACAAACCATCAAGCGGGACATCGGCGAGTTCTCGGGATGGACGTTCGAAAACGACGGCGAGCGCGCGGTGAAGGAAGATTTGCTGTCGAGGGCGTTTAAAGACACGCTGCACGATCTTCTGGACTTGTTCGAGCTGCCGCGAGGAAGCGGGGCGGAAGGGAAGAAGGAGGCGCAGGTGGCGCGTTTGATGACGTGGTTGGACGCGCCGAAGGCGAGCGGGAAAAAATCGTTGGAGGAGGCGGAGGCGAAGAAACGCGCGGCGAAGGAAAAGAAACGCGAACGCACGGCGAAGAAGACGGCGGCTAAAGCAAAAAAGACGGCGGCGGCGAAATCGTCGGCGGGTGGGTCGGCGAAGCAAGCAGCGTTGATTAAAAAGTTGAAGGCGGAGAACGCCGCGTTGCGCGCGAAAATCGCGAAGTTGACTGGAAAGGAAGAGGAGCCGGCGGAGGAAGAGGAAGAAGAGGAGGAAGAGGAAGAGGAAGAGGACGAAGAGGACGAAGAGGACGAAGACGAAGACGAGGAAGACGAAGAAGAGGAGGAAGAGGAAGATTCAGACGAAGAGTTCACGGAAAAGCCGGCGGCTAAAAAGCCGAAGCCGGCGCCCAAGCCGGCGAAACAACAATCTCCGTCGCCAGAACCGTCGCCGGAACCGTCTCCAGTGAAAGCACCGTCGCCCGCGAAGGCGCCCACGCCCGCGCCCGCGCCACCGGCACCCAAGACGGAACCGCCGAAACCGGTCGAACCGACGCCGGCGCCTGCGCCTGCGGCGGAACCGACCAACCCGCCACCGACGGCGGCCGAGCTCGGTAGCGCTGTTCGAAGGTTACTAGTAAACGCCGACATGGAACAAGTTTCTATGAAGAGCGTTCGCAAGGATTTGGAAACCAAATTCGGGATGTCTCTGTCCGATCGTAAGGAGGAAATAAAAAGACTTGTCACCGAGTTTCTCGAATCGCGATAGACGTCGTTGTTTGTCAAACATCTCTTTGTTTATCCTTCTCTTTGTTACACGCTATGCTAATGTTCTAAGCCACGGCGACAACGTTGACGCTCAAATATCCGAGACGAGCGCCGTGAGGTGATTCTTCAACGTCGCGTCGCTCGTGTTTGTCGCGACGCGCTTTGCGATGTTCATCCAAGGTTCTCGAAGCGCCGGTTCGTTCGTGAAAAACTCGTTTAGGACGTCTGCGCGTCCTAAAAGAGTAGCGAGTAGTAAAGACCAGTCGGTACAACCCGCCTCGCGCGCGGTGGCGAGAAGCGAGGTGACGTAAGTGGCGTCGCTTTCGACTTTCGATCCGACGGCGCGCGTGGGATCGACGAGAAATAAACTCTCTGTGCGAGAACTTTGACTCGACGCCGCTCGTCGTAATTTTCCTTCTCGTAATCGCCGCGCTGCTAACTCGATACTGCCCGCGAAATCGGAGATGTACGCTTCACCATTCTCGTCCGTCTCGTGTTTCAAGTAAGCGACGCCGTCAAAGGACGTTTCGCTCATAAAAGCTCCCATCGCCGCGACATCGCGTTCGCGGCCCAGAGAGTCGACGTGCGACTTCAATAACAGTTGTTCTGGTTCACCAAGCGCAAGCTCACGATCTGCGCGCCCGCCTAACGCAATTACGCTGTTTGGCGGCGGAGCGATGACTTCAAGCACGCGCTTGAAGATTCCAGGCTTTTGATTTTCCTTCGCCGCTTCGTCTGCTGGCTGCAGTAAAAACTTGATGAGGTCTTCGACGAGCTTGTACTCGCGGGCTTCCAGCGCGGCTCTCATCACGCGCACGGCGATTTCACGTCCCATTGTTTCGCCCTCAAGTTTATCGACGACGAGAATGTAGCACGCCGCGATACGAATGCGCTTTAATTTCAACGCCTTGACACAAAGCTCGCTTGGTTTACCGGCATATTTGAAGAGCGATTCCCATCGCGTGTTGTCTGTCTTCCGCGCCACGCTCACGATGACGTCAAGATAATTTGGCAACTCCGACAGCAGTGCAATCGATTGCTTGAGTACTGTTTGTGACGTGATTTCGCGATTCGAGCGTTCCAGCGCTGTGAAGAGCAACCATTCGAGCGCATGCATGAAGTGCGGCGTCTGTCGTCGAGCGGCACGCGCATATCGCAACGCGGCGTCGTGCTGGCCAGAACTCAAAAGCTTGCGCAAAATGTAAGGCACAATTGTGTGCGATTTGGGTGCGATTGTGAAGTATGGCATGTCTACCGCATCTGCGAAGGAAAACTTTTGCGTCACTCCGATGATGCGATTCATATTCAGGCTCACGCTCATCGGATACAATTCTCGATCAAACTCGAGTTCTGGATTGTTCGCCGCGCGCTCAACGTCACACGACGTTGCGCCGTTGATGAGGATTTGTCGTAAGTCGCCATTCGGAAAGTAACATATGCGCATCCCTTCGGCACCATAGGCAAATACGCATCCCCCGTCCACAGAAAGCGAATCTCTCGCGTCGCTCTCAAAGTCGCTGCTTTCGTCCCCTTGCATCATCATTTCTTGCGGTGCGTTCGCGCTTCCAACGACCCAGAACTCCGCGACGTCATCAAAGAGCTTCACCTGATCGTACTCATCCGTCAAGTCTACGACGAAGAGTTCGCCAGCTTCTGTCAAAACTACGCACTCGCTCGGCGCTCGCTCGGGCGCCGCCGCCGGCGGCACCGCGCACATTCCTTGCACGCGCCCGCCCGCGTTTAAGGTTGTTTTCCGTCGCTGTCCCGCATCCTCGCGAACGTGGTGTGCGGAAATCGCTCCCACGTTCGATGACATTTCTTCCACCTCGTACACTGCTATTTCGCCATTCGAGAAGCTCACGAGTAAGAATTCTCCGCACGCGTATGCGCCCGTCGCCTCGGATGGTAGCGGCATCGTCATCAAAAGGTCACCCTTTCCGCCGTCGGCGTAAAAGCTAATGCCGTACGACAACTTGATAGACTTTGTAAACATCCTCGTTCTACCTAATCGAGCGACGATGGCGAGTACCGGCTGCAACACGCTACGCTGCCGCCCCGATGTCGGCGGTGCCGGTTGCATCCAATCGAACGCGATTGCCTCGAAGGAGTTCTCCTCTTCCACGTCTCCTAACTGACTCCAGCATTCACCGCGCGTGTCAAACACGACGCATCCTCGCACGCCTCCGACGGCGACTCGATCGCCGCTCGGGCTCATTCCCGCCACGCACATGGGCCACTGACGCTGGACGTACTCGCTCGGACACACTTCCTGTCGCGCGTGAACTCTGGTGCTCGTCGCGCTCGAGGCGACGATGAAAATACGATCGTCACCAAGAAGCAGTGATGCATCATCGTGATCGCAACCGCCATCGTATGATCGAGGGGCGACGCGACTGTTCGACACGCTCTTCGCGAGCGCGTACTCTAAAACTTTCGAACCAGACTCGGACCGCACCGGGACGAACAACGCGTAGTCGCCGACGCCCCACGCGGGCGGGGCCAGACAAGCGCCCATCTCTGGCACTTCCTCGTCACCCGTGAACGTCGCGCGCGGCGAAGACGATGTTCCCACCGCGCTATCGCCGCCGCCGTGATGTAAAGTACACATGAGCAAACATCCCGATTCGCTCCACACGCTCACGCCGCGCCGACGCCAACCGACGGCGAGCGCTCGCCCGTCGTTCGACCAAGAAGCGTGCGCTAACGCGCCAGTGTCTTCCACGCCGAAGCCCCACGGACTTAACCCGAAAACATGTCGCGGTTTCGCGGCCTCCGACGTCATCGCGTCGTCGTACACGCGGATTTCGCCGTCGGCTGTGCCGAGCGCGAGCCGCCGCGAGCCTCGATGAAACGCGGCGCACGTCGCCGGACACGGGAACGCATCGAACCAGTTCCTTCGCCGCACGTCGCCCGCCGCATCAATCTCCAGCGCGCACACCGCTCCCGCATCGAACCGCACGACCACCGTACCGGTATCGCGGCACCACGCCACGCTCGTCGCGCCGCCGTCTCGTTCGCTCCGCGCGCACGTCGCGCTTCGCCCCTCCGACCCCTCCTCCCAGCACAAAAACACCACCCGCCCCCTATCCGTCCCGACCACGATTTCATCGTCATCGCTCGCGCAACACGTCGCCCGCTCGCCGTCGTCCAACGTCACGACGCGTTCGATCTCCAGCGTTCCCTCAAACTCGCCGTCGCTCCGCGTCGTCGCGCTCGCCCTCGATATATAAACCTCCCCATCCGCGCTCACGCTCACGAGCGACGTCCCCAACCGTTCATCGCGTCCCTCTCGCCCATCCTCGACGTCCCACCCCCCCCCCGCGTCCCGCGCGCGCGTTCCGCGTCGCGCCGACGCCTCGCGCCAACCGCACGCGACGACGCGTTCGCCCCGCGCGCGCGCGTCCGTCTCGATCCTCCCCACTTCGCGCCCGCTCCGGCCGTGCCGTCCGATCGCGCGCGCCTCGACGCCGCGCGCGTCGAACGCGGCGAGGAACGCGCCCTCGCGGTGCACCGCCGCGCCGCACGCCGTCGTCGCGTCGTCGTCGTCGGTGGCGTCGGTGTTCGCGTCGCCATCGCGCGTCGTCGCGGCGTCGCGAGGCGTCGCGCGCGACGCGCGGTCGTCGCGCGCGCTGGAGCGCGTCTTGGGCCACGCGTGCGCGAGCGCGCACGGCATCGCGCGCGTCGCCGTCTCGCGCGCGTCGGTCGCGCGCGCGCGTCGGCGTTCGAGTTTTTATCGTAGTCAAGACAAGTTTTCCATACTTCTATTTGTAGACGGTATACGTTTCATCGTGGACGATCCTCTGTTTGATTCGGACATACGGTGCTGTAGAATGAGTGAGACGTAGGAATTGAACGATACGCTATCCGCCATCCAGCGCGGCGTCGCCGCGGCGTCGCGTCGACGGCGACCGCACAGCGACGCGACCTCGCGGCGACGCGCGCGTCGACGCGACGCGCGCGTGCGCCGCGCGGGACGCCCACCGCGACGCGCGGCGCGCTCCGACGCGCGCGATGCGCACGATCGCGATGACGCCGACGGCGACGTCGACGGCGCGATGGCGACGCGCGACGACGCGCGCGCCGATCGCGGACGCGCGCGCGGCGCGCGCGCGCGCCGACGCGCGCGCCGCGGGCGCGGCGCGCGCAGAGACAACGCGCGCGACGCGCGCGCGCGCGCGAGGGCGAGGGACGGCGCGCGCGGTGCGGTCGCCGTCGGTCGACGAGGACGCGCGCGAGGCGGGAAACGGCGGGGAGACGGACGCGAGCGAACGCGGACGAACGCGGGCGACGTCGGGGACGCGCGCGGCGGCGCGGGCGCGAGAGACGCGCGCGCGAGGCGGGGAAATGCGCGGCGAATCGGAGATCTCGCGCGCGCGCGCGCGACGAGGGCGAGGACGCGGCGCGACGGAGGCGCGCGTGCGCGTGGATTTCGCGGTGATCGGAAGCGGGATCGCGGGACTGTCGTACGCGCTGGACGCGGCGGAGGTGGGAGAGGTGGCGATCGTGACGAAGGCGCGCGCGTTCGAGGCGGCGACGACGTACGCGCAGGGCGGCATCAGCGCCGTGGTGGATACGCTCGATTCCGTGGATGAGCACGTGCGGGACACGTGCGTCGCGGGTGGGTTTTTGTGCGATGAAAATGCGGTGCGCGTGATGGTGGAGGATTCGAAGGCGGCGGTCGAGACGCTCATCGAGAGAGGCACGCGGTTTACGCGAGACGACGCCGACGGACGCCTGCACCTCGCGCGCGAGGGAGGGCACAGTCGGCATCGCATCGTGCACGCGGACGACATGACGGGAAAGGAGATCGAGCGCGCTTTGCTCGAAGCCGCTAAGGCGAACCCGAGGATTACGTTTTACGAGTATCACTTCGCCATGGAGTTGCTCAAGACGCGAGACGGCGAACGCTGCGCCGGGGCGCTCGTCGTGGACGAAGCCCGAGGTAAGACGATAGCCTTCGTCGCGTCGTCCACCGTGCTGGCGTGCGGTGGCGCCGGACACCTATTTCCGAGCACGACGAATCCCGTGGTGAGCACGGGCGACGGCATCGCCATGGCGACGCGCGCGGGCGTCGCGGTGGCCAACATGGAGTTTATGCAGTTTCACCCCACCGCGCTGTACACGGGCGAAGGCGGCGCCGCGAAGCTCAACCAAAACGAAAATGCATTTTTAATCACGGAAGCCGTGCGCGGGCACGGTGGTCGGCTGTACAACGCCGAGGGCGAGCGCTTCATGGCGAGATACGACGAGAGAGAAGAACTCGCGCCGCGAGACGTCGTGGCGAGAAGCATCGATAGCGAGATGAAACGCACGCGAGCGCCGTGCGTGTTTTTGGACATCACGCACGTCGACGGAGAAGAGATTCGACGCAACTTCCCGGGAGTCGCCGCGGAGCTTGATCGTCGAGGATTGGACATGACGAAGCAGCGCATTCCCGTCGTCCCCGCGGCGCACTACATGTGCGGCGGCGTGAGCACGAACGAAAACGGCGAAACCTCCTTGCGTGGATTGTTTGCGTGCGGCGAAGTCGCGTACACCGGCGTGCACGGCGCGAATAGGTTGGCGAGTAATTCTTTGCTCGAGGGTATCGTCTTCGCGCGTCGCGCGGTGGTGTCCGTAGCAAACGAAATCGACGCGTTGCGCGCTGAGTTACCTTCGCTCGACGTCGACGATGAAGACTTGCGTCGCTGGCTCGACGAACGATGCGACGACCTCACGCGCGGCGACGTGCTACGAAACTTCACGGCGGAGCACGACTCGTGGGAACGCGACACTCGTCGCGAAATTCAACGCACGATGTGGAACGCGGCGGGAATCGTTCGAACGACGGCGGAGATGGAAGTCGCGCTCTTAAAGCTTCGAGAGCTCGCCACCGCGTGCGAGGAACGCCTGAGTGTGACGAAGGGCTACACCATGCAGCTCGCTGAGGTCATGAATCTGCTCGACGCGGGTGAGCTCATGTTGCGGTGCGCGCTCATGCGTAAAGAGTCTCGCGGCTTACACTACACCTTGGACTACCCCGAAGCCGTGGATGACGAAAAGAAACCTACCTTTATCGCCGACGGCGCGACTCGCCCGTCTCTCACTCGTCGGCCCGCGCCCGCGCCGAGATAAACTCCTTAGATTTATAAATGTAACGACGCTGTATTTAGAAAATTTAACACCACGCGGGAATCACGGCAGCTCTACATTAGTTTTACAGGTCTAGTTCGCGCTTGCAGTGTGTGTGAAAGAATAATGAGTGAACGTTTAACGCGCCGGGGCGAGTTCTTTTTCTTCAACTGCGACCGCCTCTTCTGTCGTCGTCACGGCAGACTTTGCCATGGCGGTCGCGTCGCCGGTCTGTTCTTCGTGTTCGAAGTCTGCATCGGTCAGGCCGTAGCAGTTCTCCATGTGGAATTGCCCATTCTTCACGCGAATCACGTGCGTCGGGTTCAGGCTTTCGCAGAACGCCTTGTTGTGAGACACAGCGAATAAGCACCCGTCCCATCCGCGAAGACCGTCGGTCAACGCTTGAACGGCGCCGACGTCCAAGTGATTGGAAGGTTCGTCGAGGAGCAAGCAGTTACGCGGTTGCAAAACGAACGCGGCGAGAGCGACGCGAGCTTTCTCGCCACCAGAAAGGCTGCCGATTTTTCGCAAAGCCATCGTGCCGGTGATGCCGAGCGCTCCCAAAGCTTGCCTGCCGACTTGCTCAATCGTTGCGGGGTCGTCTTCGCGCGCGACATCGAGAACGTATTCGAGGCAAGACTTTTCCTTCGGCAAGTATTGCGCGAGATCTTGCGAAAAGACACCGAGCTTGACGCGATCGTCGGTGATTTCGCGTTCGCCCGAGATGAGCGGCATGGTGCCAGAAATGCTCTTCAACAATGTCGACTTTCCGGCGCCGTTAGGGCCCAAGACGACGACTCGCATCTCACGCTCGAGCGCGAGGGATCCACGCAAGATGGGTGCGTCAGCGCTGTAACCGAGAACGCCATCCGTGAGTTTCAGCTGTACTTGGTTTGAAGGCGGCGGCTTGGTCAAGCGTAAGTTCATCTTTGACGCGTCGCCCGCGGCGCCGTCCGAAATGGTCGCCGTCGCCGCGCTGACAGTTTTGCGCATTTCCTTTTGAAGCTTATCCAAAAGCTTTTGACGCGATTGCGCTTGTGTGGATTTACTCGCGTTCGCGGAGAAACGGCGAATGAAATCTTTTAATTCCGCTTCCTCCGCGAGTTGCTTTTCGTAAGTCGCCTTGGCGATTGAGATTCGCTCTTCGCGATCCTCCAGGAACTTGGTGAAGTTGCCCGTGTACCAGTGAAGGCCCTTACCGCGGACCTCGGCCATGTGCGAGCACGCACCGTCGAGAAGTTCAGCTTCGTGGCTGACGATGAGCGTCGTGCACGGCGAATCCTTGATCCACGTGGCCAGCCATGTCTTCGCGGCTTCGTCGAGGTGATTCGTCGGTTCATCAAGAAGCAACAAACCTTTCTCGCCCGAACCCGCGGGGGACAACAGCAAACGCGCGAGCGCGACGCGCATCTGCCAACCACCGCTTAAGTCATCGCACTTCACATCCCACTGCGAGCGAGCGAATCCCAAACCGTCCAACACGCCGGCGATGCGCTTCTCCGCCTCGTACCCGCCCGCGGCGTCAAACTCAGCCAAGCAATCCATGAGCACATCCGCCGCCATGCACGCGTCCTTGTCGTCCTCTGTCTCGCACGCCGCTTCCGCCGCTCGCAGTGCCTTCTCCGCGGCGTTTACTCGATCCATCCTCGCGCGCGCCTCTTGATACACCGTCTTTTGGCTCCCAGAAACCGCCGTCTGTTCGAAATAACCCACCTCGAGCTCTTTCGAGATCGCAATCTCCCCATCCTGCACGCTCCGCTTCCCCGCGATGCACTTCAACAGCGTGGATTTCCCGCATCCGTTCCCACCGACGAGCCCAACGACTTGGCCCGGCATGACCGCGCACGACGCCTCGCTGAGCAAGTCGACGTCTCCGACGCTCAGCATCACGTCCGTGATGCGCAGCGCCGCCCCGCTCGTGTTGCCGTACGGGATGAAGTTATCACCATCGTACCCAAGACCGCCGTACGACGCCGCCGGCGCCGCCGGCGCGCTCGAGGCGTCGTCTTCGACGGGTCGCGATGCGACGACGTCATCCGATGGCGGCGGCTTCACGACGCCGCCGGCTTTTTTACCCTTGCGCGCGGCTTTCTTGGACGCGGCGCAGCGCGTGGAGGCGCGAGAGAGCGGTCGCGCGTGCGGTGCGGCGAGCGCGCGGGCGGCGCGCATGAGATCCGTCGTCGAAGCGCGGAGTGCGGCGGGGATTGGCGATAAGGAGGCTCCTTATCCACGGAACGCGTGTCCGTTCGCGTTCCGGGGACGCGACGAGACGAGAAATTTATTTTATCGTAATCGTGAGTATTTGAAGTGAACGAGGAAAAATGCGTAGAGTAAGTACGCGCGATGCATGCGGACCGGTTGGCGTGGAGACCGCCTAAAGTCGCGCGTCGGCGGGAAATCCGCGCTCGGCTTGCTTCACGCCGAGGTCGGCCATGACTTCCTCCGAACCACCGAGGATGGCGGAGAACTTGGCCGCGCGGTTAAAACCTTCGATTATTCTGCCCATGCCCGTGCGCGTGATTCCGCGACCGCCGAAGATTTGCGCGCTCTCGTCGGCGAAGAAGTTGGCGACGCGGGTGCACAAAAACTTTAACAGCGCGATGGGACCGGCGAGCGCCACGGCTTGTTGCGCGTGCGTGAGCACACCCATTTGGTACGTGATGGACTCGGTCCAGCACTCCACGGCCTCGAGTTGAGATGTCATTCGTGCGAGCTTGTTGCGGATCACCGGTTGCTCGATCAACTTTTTCCCAAAAGTCTTGCGTTGGTGGGCAAACGTGTAGCATTCCTTGAGCACGTTGCGCATCGCGCCGTTCGTACCGGCGACGATCATCCAACGCTCGTGGTTGAAGTTGTGCATGATGAGCTTGAAGCCATCGCCTTCGCGACCGAGTAAGTTTTCGACCGGCACCTTGACGTTTTCAAAGATGATGTAAGACGTCCCGGCCGCCGGGCTGTACGCCGTCTTGATGGGGTTCGTCTCGACGCCCTCACCGCGCTCGATGAGGAGCAAAGACAGCGCTTGCAAGCCTTTGCCACCGGTTCGAACGGCAGTGGTGAAGTAATCGCAGAACGTACCGTTCGTGATCCACTTCTTGACACCGTTCACGATGTAGTGCTTGCCGTCGGGAGTCTTCGTCGCCGTGCATTGAATCGCCGCCACGTCGCTTCCCGCGAACGGATCACTGATCGCCAAACAGATGCGCTTCTGGCCCATGATGCACTCACGGCCAACCTTTTGGCGCACTTCTGGTCGCGCAAACATGAGCACCGGCGGCACGCCGATGACGAACCCGGCGCCGATACCGTCGCAGTACCCCGGCACGCCCAACCGTCCGAGCTCCTCGTGCGCGATCATCTCGTGAAACGTGTCGAACTTTTCCGGCGTCAGCCCGCCCGGAAGCGTCATCCCACAGTTATCGACGCAATCCTTCATCCACGGCCCCGGCTGCAGCCGAGTCGCGAACATCCCAGCCTTCCCGAGCTTTTCGTACAGCTCCTTCGACGGCGGTTGCCCCGCGATGTCCTTCTGCACCATATCCGGCCGAACGTGCTCATCATAGAACGCTCGCACCGCCTGTCGAAACCGCACGTGCGATTCATCGTAATACGGGCTCGGCGCTCCCTGAAACGCGCTCGGTTCCGCGTACGGCACCTTACTCAGCGCCCCTCGCGTCGGCGCCAGCGACTTCGCCCCCGCCAGCGTCCCTATTTTATACTTCTTCGCCGTCTTCTCCAGGATCTCGCTCCGGTGCAGCGCGTAAAACGCCTCCGTGGCGTCCTGTCCCGCCGCCGCGACGATGAACGACGCCCCTCCCGGGTGAAACGCCGCGAATTTCGTTAAATCGTACACCCCGTCGCCGATGACCATCCAGCAGTCGTTCGCCGTCGCGTGTTTCGCGACGTCCGCCATCGCGTACGTCGCCATCGCGCCGTCCCGGTCGCGCCGTCGCGATCGCGCCTCGTTCGCGCGTCTCGCGCGTCTCGCGCGTCCGCTCGTTCGACGCGCGTCGCTGTGCCGTCGCCGCGCATTCGCGTAACGAACTCGAGCTCGAATCGCCGACGCGACGGCGCGATCGCGATCGCGCCGCGACACCTCGCGACGCGCGACGGCGCGATCGCGCGCGCGACGCGATGGCGCGGACGACCGCGGCGACGCGCGACGCGACGGCGCGGTGCGCGACGCGCGACGTCGCGCGAACGACGGCGCGACGACGCGATCGAGGGCGACGGCGCGCGACGACGCATCGCGCGCGCGCGAACGCGCGGGACGCGATGGACGCGGTCGTGGACGCGGCGACGCTCGATGCGATCGAGGTGCCGCGAGATCTGTGCGAGATACGGGCGTTCGTGCGATGGGAGGAGGCGGGAAAGCCGAACGACACGACGAAGGCGTGGCAGGAGGAGGAGTTTCGCAGGGCGACGGAGGATTTGAAGCGAGAAGTCGCGAGCGGGACGACGCTGAACGCGATACGACGGCGGTACGGGCGGGCGCCGGTGGAGGGGGACGATGAGGCGTGGCGAGCGCCGGGAGTAGAGGCGGCGGAGGCGAAACGCGTGGCGGAGGCGGTGGCGTTCGCGGCGAGCGCGGATTTGGCGGACGCGACGGAGGAGAGGAGAGAGGAGCGAACGGCGAAGAAGGCGGTGCGGAAGGTTGAGTCAGTGGTGGCGCCGCCGCCGCCGCCGCTGCCGGCGTCGGATCGTCGACGTCGAGACTTGCGCGCGATGTTGCCGCGACGCTCGAACGCGGAGGACGACACGAGTCGGGTCGCCAATGCGGCGGAACCGTCCACGGTGGCGCGCTGGCGCGAGATGAAACCGGACGAAGACGGCCGCCTGCTGATAAGCGATGGCCTGTATCCGCTCGCGGACGGTGAGCTTCTGGTGCAAGTGTACGAAAACGGCGGCAAGGATGAAGACGCGATGAGCGCGCCTCGACGTAAAATCACGGGCCGAAGCGTGGTTCTCACCACCAACGCTCTCGAGCCGCTCATCTGCCACTGGGGTGTCGCCAAGGAAGAGCCCGGGGAATGGGTATTGGCTCCAAAGCTCGTGCATCCCGCCGGTACGGAGGCGGTGTCACACATGAGCTGCGAGACGCCGCTCGAGGAATTCACCGGTTGCTTTCCGGCGGATCGCGTATCGTCGACACCGTCCATGGATGACGCAGATCTGTTCGACGAGTGCGCTTACATGCAAAGACTCGAGTTCAATCTTCCGGGTGATGGCCCAAACGAGCTCATGGGGTTGCATTTCGTCTTTCGCAACGTTGACGGGACCGCGTGGTACAAGGACACGTCCAACGGCAACGCCAATTATCACGCGTCGTGCATACGAGTCAAGGAAGAAGATCGCGTCGCGGATGAGCTCGTGGATACCATCACGCGCGCCGAAGCTGGAGGATCGTGGTGGTCGCTCATGCATCGTTTTAATCTCGCGCGATCGCTTTTGGAAAAATATTGCGTCCAGGGCGAAGACTCGGCCAAGGCGCAAAGCGCGGCGGCTAAAATTTTTGTATGGCTTCGATACAGCTCCATTCGACAGTTGACCTGGCAACGGAACTACAACGTCAAACCACGAGAACTGTCGAGCGCGCAATCTCGTCTGACGCACATGCTCGCAGAAATTTACGTCACAAAGCCGCATTTACGCGATATGGCGCGTCTCATGCTCGGCACCGTGGGCAAGGGCGGCGAGGGTGGACAAGGCCAACAAATTCGCGACGAAATCTTGAACATTATGCACCGAAACAACATTAAGGAGGTTAAGGGCATTTGGATGGAGGAGTGGCATCAAAAGCTACACAATAATACTACTCCAGACGATATCATTATCTGTCAAGCCTACTTGGACTTTTTACGATCCGACGGTAATTTGGGGGCGTACTGGCATACTCTCTCCGAAGGCGGCGTCACCAAGGAACGGTTGGAATCTTTCGAGCGTCCCGTGAGAAGTGAACCGATCTGGCGACCAAATATTAAGGATAATCTCATTCGAGACTTCGAAAACTATTTAAAGATTCTCAAATCCGTGCATAGCGGTGCAGACTTGGCGGAGAGTTACGACGCGTGCCGCAGTCGTTTATCCGACGTCACGCGAGGCGCAGTCGAGTACGTCATCGCGCAACAATCGAGCGGTGATATCTTTCCCGTCGTGAACGCGTGCTTGGAGGCTCGACACGGTTTACGTGATGCTGGTTTGGGCGATCCTTCGGATGCGCCATGGTGTCGCGAGTTGCTGTATCTCGACTTGTCCATCGCCGACATCAGCAATCGCGCGATTCAGCGCGGCTCGGACGGCGTGACGGATACGGAGGGTTTGTTAGAGCTGACGGACATGGTCCTCGAAGATTTGTGTCTGTCTCTACCATCTACAAACGATGACTTGCTGTATAGTTTGATGAACTGGCGACGCATCCGCGACTTACAGCGCGCTGGCGACGCCGCCTGGGCGCTTCGAGCAAAGGCGACGGTCGACCGCGTTCGTCTCGCCGTCACCGAACACGCCGTGGCGATTTCGGATAGCATGCAACCGGCGGCGCATACCATCGGCACTCGATGCGATTGCGATAAATGGGTGGTCGATCTCTTTTCAGAAGAAGTCATTCGCGGCGGTCCGGCGTTCGCGCTTTCGCTGATGCTTACAAGACTCGACCCGTACTTGCGCCGCGAGGCGAACATGGGCGATTGGCAAATTATCTCTCCCGCGACGTGCGCCGGAGTTGTTGCGCACGTGAAAACCCTCGCAGAGGTGATGAACGAAACATTCAAAACCCCAACCGTGTTGGTTTGCGATCACGTAGGCGGAGGCGAGGAGATACCTTCCGGCGCAATCGCCGTGCTCACGGGATCCTCTGTCGACGTGCTGTCGCACAGCGCCGTTCGAGCGCGCAACGGCGGCGTTCTGTTCGCCACTTGCTACGATCCGACTCTCTTGGACAAGTTTTCTGGGATGAACAAAAAGGCAGTCAAGTTACACGTCACCGCGGACGAGTGCGTGGCGTTCGATGAGATTGCATTTGAGAACATTGGCAAGGAAAACTCGGCAGACGGCGCCTCGCACAACGGTGACGCGCAGCGAATCAACATTAAAGCCATCGATTTCGCGGGCGATTTCGCCGTTTCAATGGAAGACTTCCGCGAGGATCTCGTTGGCGCGAAAGCGCGCAATACGAAGGCGCTGCGCGACGCCTTGAAGAATGGCGGGATTCCCGATTGGATCAACCTCCCGGTGTCCGTGGCGATTCCGTTCGGCACGTTTGAGCACGTCCTCGCGAGACCGGAGAATGAAAAGCAAGCCGAGACACTCAACAAGCTTTTGAGTGAAATCGATGACACTACTGGTGTGACGCTCTCCGCGTCACTACGATCGTGCCGTCGTTGCGTTCGCACCATCGTACCCCCCGCTGGGATGCTCGAAAAACTCGCCGCCGTCATGCGAAGCGGCGGGTTAACCCCTCCGGAGGACGACGACGCGTGGGAGCTCGCGTGGAAAGCCATCTGTGACGTGTGGGCATCAAAGTGGAACGAGCGCGCGTTTGTCAGCATGCGTAATCGCGGTCTCGATCACAATAATCTGCGCATGTCTGTGCTCGTGCAACCCGTCATCAACGCCGATCACGCCTTCGTGATTCACACCGTGAATCCGAGCACGAACGCCGCCGACGAGCTCTACGCCGAAGTCGTCCAAGGCATGGGCGAAACGCTCGTCGGGAACTATCCTGGGCGCGCGCTGAGTTTTACGGTGAAGAAGACGCCCGACGGCGACGTCTCACCGCCGGAAATCGCTGGATTCCCATCCAAGAACACCGTCCTTCGCGTCCCCCGCGAGACGCTCATCTTCCGCTCCGACTCCAACGGCGAAGACCTCGAAGGCTACGCCGGCGCTGGCCTGTACGAATCCGTCCCCATGCACGCCACCGTGGAACACCACGCCGATTACGCGTCTGATCCGATGATATGGGACCACGACGCGAGCCAGGCCACGCTCGCCGCCGTCGCCCGCGCCGGCGCCGCCATCGAGCGCGCGCTCGGCGCTCCCCAAGACGTCGAGGGCGTCGTCCGCGACGGCCGCGTCTTCGTCGTCCAAACCCGTCCGCAGGTCTAGCCTCCTGTATTTCATCGCCTCGCGCCGTCCCCGTCTCGATGCTCTCCCCCCTCGTCCGCGATCTCGCCTCCGCGCTCGCCTCCCCTCTCGCCTCCCTCGCGCGCCCCCGGCGACTGATGAAAAAGCGCAATTCCGTAACCGAATCGGTGGGATCGCCGCCACTCGCCGCCGCGCGCGCGCCCGCGGCGTCGCGCGATGCCGCACCCCGACGCGACGCTCATCCCGTGCGCCAACGCCCCCCTCGGCTTCGACCCGGACGACCTCACGCACCGCGACGCGTGGCGCCAAGTCGGCGACGGCTCGTTCGGCAAGGTTTACCGCGGCGAACTCCTCGGCGAACCCGTGGCGATAAAAGTCACGGCGAACGCGCGACCGGACCGAATCGCCGGCCTGAAGCGCGATCTGTGGTACCTGAACGCGTTCGCGCACCCGAACATCACGCGCGTGTACGGGGCGTTCATCGAGAGGGGCGATTGTCACATGGTGATGGAGTTCGTGCCGCACTCGCTGCGGAGCAAGCGAGTGGTGAACGAGACGAATCGAGTGAAGGCGCTGGCGGACGTGGCGAGAGCGCTGACGCGCGTGCACGCGGCGGGACACGTGCATAGGGATGTGAAGGCGAGGAATGTGCTGATATCCGAGGTACGCGTGGGATGGGGACGAGACGAAGAGACGCGACGCGAGACGCGAGGCGACGCGAGGGGGAGAGAAAATATCTCGACTGACGGTTTCGGCGATTTCGCGCGGCGGTAGGATTATCAAACGGCCAAGCTGACGGATTTTGGACTCGCGCGCGTGCTTCCGGGTGGGACGACGTCCGCGCGAGAGGACGTGAACCCGCGGTTGACGCCCAAAATTGGACCGCCAAAGTATCGCGCGCCCGAAGTCGAGAGCGGGGCGCCGTACGACTGTTCGAGCGACATATACGGGTACGGAGTGATGTGTTTTCAGCTCGTCGAACAGTTGCGACGACGAACGAGGAAAACGAACGCCGACGAGGTTGAGTTTATTCGTGAATTAGGTCGATTAGCGACGCAGACGAATCCAGCCAAGCGCCCGACGGCGCGACAGTGCCTCGTGATGTGCATGAGTTGGTTGCGCGGCGGCGACGACGTCATCACCCCAGACATCTACCCCGGGCGTGACACGTTCAGAGAGAAGTATTGGGTGCACGATCCCATGGACGGGGGCACGTGGAAGCACGACGCCGAGCCTTCAAAGTCACCGAGCGATTCCGACAGCGAAGACGAACCGCTTTCGCCGAGCGAACGCATCGTCGTCGACGGCGACGAGTTCGCGCACAACAATCGATCCGTGGACGCGCAGCGCGGAACGAAACGCGATGAACGCGAAGGAAGCGACACGCCGGTGAGTGCACCTCCGATAAACTCAGCTAAACGCGTGAACTCGACGTCCACGGACCTGCACGTTCGCGGCGAGTTGGAAGCCGTACGTCTCAACGCCAACGGCGTCAAGTGACGAGACTTGTTTTTTTGCCCGCGTCCGCGATAGCTAGCGCTCGCGAAAGCGACGCCCGCGCGCATCAGACGCATCACACGACGACCGACGCGCATTGTCGATCGAATAAGCCGCGGCGCTTTTGTACATTTAACTGAGTATTACCAAAACAAAAACCGACTACGCGAGGGTATCGCCTCGCCTCGCCTCGCCGAAGTCCTCCTCACCGCCCCATCATAGTCTCCCGCATCGCCTTCACCTTCTCCCGCAATTCCTCCACCTCCATCTGCGCCCCGTCCAAGCTTCCCAGCGCCGCCCGTTCCCTCGCGCTGTTCGCCGCCGCCCCGTTCGCCGCCTCCGCGCCGTCCCCGTGGCCCTCGTCGCCGTGGTCATGCTCCCCGTGGTACTTGTGATGATGATACGTCTCCAACCCGAACGCCAGCACGAACACGCCCACCTATCGCGCGCGCGTTCTTCCGTCAGTCCTCGCGCCCTCGCGCGCCGTCGTCGCGTCGTCGTCGTTCCGCGCGCGCATTCATTCGAACGTTCGCGTCGCGAACGATCCCTCGCGCGCGTCTCTCGCGCGCGCACCATGAAGTGTTTCAGCGGCGCGAACTTCCCCGTGGCGATGAACTTGTTCCTGTACGCCTCCATCGCGCGCGCGACGTCGAGCCCGCGATCGCGCGTCGGCGTGTGCCGCGCGGTCGCGTGGGCGTCGCGTCACCACATCGGCTTACATGGGTCCACGATACGAGCATTTTCGCGTACACGAGCGCGATGGATCGCCATGTAACGCGCGCGCGACGTCGGCGCGACGCCGGCGGCGGCGGCGGCACTCGACGTCGCGCGCGTCGCTCGCGTCGCGCGCGCCGCGAGGACGTCGAGCGACCGACGCGCGATGGCGCCGTCCACCGCCCTCGCGGACGCCCTGCGCGGGCTCCAGGAGCGCGCCGGCGCGCACGAGCGACGCATCGGAAAGAACGCGAAGGCGTCGCTGCTGTACGACGTCAAAGACGCCGCGGACGTCGATCGCGAGACCGCGCACGCGATCGGCGCGCGAGGATTCGAAGAGCTGTGCCGAAGGGACGGGCGGTTCGAACTACACGCGAAGACGCTGTTCGCGCGAAGCGTGGCGGAGGGGAAACACAGGGAGTTGGAGACGGCGGAGGAACTCGCGGCGACGAGCGCGCGCGTGGAGGGATATTTGCGGTTGCTGAGCGGGTACTTTAACGAACGGTGCGCGAGTGAGACGCTTGAATACTTGATTCGGCGGTTTAAGATACACGTGTACGACGTGGACGCGCTCATCGCGTGTGGATTGCCGTGGCACGGGACGGCGGCGTTCGTCAAAGCGACGCAGACGTGTCAGTTGGAGAATAGTAGGCATTTTAAGTGGTTGGGTGGGGTGAAAGAGACGGGCGCGGCGCCGCCGAGAGATGCGTTGGCGGTGCGATGTTCGAAGGATAAGGCATTTTTTACGTTTTGTGCGCAGAGTGCGACGGAGATGGCGACGGCAAAGGTGCGTGACTTCGAGGCGCCGGCGACGACTTTTTTGTTTGTTTTCCACGGCGATTGGATCGTTTAATCACGCGCACGAGTACTCGTGAAACTAACAATATATTTTTCATTTCACAGGGAAACGTTGGAACGACGTCGGCGTTCTACGCCGTGCTCATCACGGAGGCGATAGGCCTGATGAAGGAAGTCGATCCAACGGTGACGACGCGCCTTTTGCCGTATCTCGAAGCCGGCTTGGCGTCGACTGCGAATTCGGAGCAATTTGCGGGCGCGCTCATGGTTGCGACCCAGCTCGCGGCTCGCACGAAAATGGGTGAGCCGCTCGTGGAGGCGCTACTCGAAGGAATCGCCAAGGGTACGCGAGTACCTTTGCACTCGCAGGCTTTGCAGGCGATGCTGGCTCTGTGCCAAACGCAGCGCGTCAAGGCTTTGCCCGAGCGCGCGTTCAAGCATTTGGTGAAAATTCCCGAGTTGGAAGAATTAGTCGCGGATTTGGAACACAGCTATCGTGCGGATGCGTTTTCAATCCCGCTCATGCGTTCACTCGCCGAGTTTGCCGACGTGCACTCGAATTATGAACGCGTCTTGCGAGGAGTGATTGAAAAGGTTCCGCTGACGGGGAAGCATTTCATCGCGGCGTTGCCTGTACTGTTGCAAACTGCAAAGAAAAGTACAGCCGCGGCAGATATGGCCAAATCGGTGTTGAAACTGGCCGATCAGTGCCGACCTGTCGCCACGAGCGAGGCGGTAGATTTTATTTTCCGCGGTGCTGCGGCAAAGAGCGGAAAAGACAAGACATCTGAGAAAGTGACGAAGAAGAAGGAGAAGATGGTTGCTAGCGAAGAAGATGCGGCTTTCCTGCGTGATGCTTTGCTCGGTTCGGCTGCTGGGCCCATGATTGGACACGCGATGTCAATTCACGCTGCGCTTGATCACCCCAACGCTAGTTTGCGAGAAAACGCGATTGCGCAGCTGGCGCAGTTGAGCAAAGATAAAGGCGACGGTGGGGAGGACGTCCCGTCATCACTTAAGAATGGGTCTGCGCTCGGTCCAGCTATGCTTCGACGGGTGTCAGATGACGATCCGCGCGTAGCTGCGGCGGCGATGGACCTCGATTCGTTGCGTCGAATGGTTTCCGATGACGTAGCCTTGTTCGCCGCCGCCAAGGCGCGATTGAGCGCGGCGATGACGGCGATCGTAGCGGGCAGTCCGAACAGCGACGGCGAGCGCCGCTTAGCAAAGAGGGCGCTTCGTCTGACGATTGGCGTGCTTTCGAAATCGCTAGACCACACTGCGCCGTCAGCGCTCGCAGGTCGAGCTGCTGCGCTGGCTTATGAGTATGTTCTCTTCTCCACGACGCCGGCGCTTCGAAACGTCACCAAGTCGGCGTTAAATGCCGCCAGAAGTTGCCCACATCCCGCACTCGACGGAATTCGCTCTGATTCTCTTAAATCCGTCGCCGAGGACAGTAAATCGAGCAAAGACGGCGACGAGCGACGCATGTTTGAGGAAAAGTGCAATCAGGCTGTTTTATCAGCGCTCGCGGAATCTTTAGCGAGCGATTGGGGTACGGGCGGCGACGAACACACGTCACGCGTGCTGTGGCTTCGTGAAGTGTACAGAGACGCAACTGGGATCGGTAGAATGACGTTCTTCATTGCATGTAAGCTTGCCATAGAGAAGACGTCCGGGAAGTCGACCGCCGCGGCTTCAGCGCTTCGCGCGGCTTCGTGGGCCATCATTCGCGACTCGTGGAATGAAGGTGGCGTGGGACAGGTGCGAGGCGTTCAAAACGACGAAATATTTCCTGCCGACGCGTTGCCGGATTCGGAGACTTTGTGCAAACTCGTGTCGAGCGATTCAGCTGCTCGGAAGTTTTTACCGTCGTGCCATCGATCTGTCTTGCGCGCAGTTCTTGCGAGTACTTCAAAGAAGTCGAGTGTTGACGCCGACGAGTACTTGAGCGAGTCTTTTGAGCTTCTCGCCACCACCGAAGCGAAGGATACGAAGACTGGTCGTATGGACGATGCTTTTGACGCCCGAATCGGCGAGCTTCTGCGTGAAGTACTGAATGCGTGCGATCGTTGCTACGGTGCCGCGGGGTCTAGCGCTTTCCTTGCGTCCAAATTCGCCTCTGATCCATCGATTGAAGACGCGCGAGTGCAAGTCGCCGCTTTGGAGCTCTGCACCGCGTGTTCTAAGTTGCCGCCAATCGCACCAGTAATCGTTGCCGCCGCATCATCCGCGTCGCCGGTGCGTGCGGCGGCCGCGGCACTTCTTTCGGCATATGCGCGCGACAAGAAAGCGAGCAACATAGTCAAATCCGTAACAAAGGCCGCCGAAGAGATCGCGCTGAAGGGTGCCACAGCTTTGTGCCGCGCTATCGAAGACGGTGTGAACGCCGCCAAGTCGCCATCGGATGAATTGGCCGCGTATTTGGAGCCGGTACAGGAAATGACGAGCGAGACAAGGCCGGCGATGGATGCGTACGGTGCGAGATGTTTAGTTGCGACGACTCGCGGATTGGGCGATGCGACGACGAAGGCTTCAATACTGTTACCGGTGCTTTCATGGTGCTTACAAACGCTCGAAGACGACTCTAAAACGGCAAAAGCGGCGTTGATGGTTGAGATTATGAACGTGTACACACCCGAGCTCGCCAAGTCGTTCGGCAAAGATGGTGGCGAGGGATGGGCAATTTTGTCTAGGTGCATGGTGGCGCCTTCACCTTCGGCCGTTCGTACTGCGGCGTTCAACCTGATATCTGGTGAATTCGTCGCCGCGTTAAATAGCGGGCCGAAATCACAGCTGCTCAAGATTTTGTTCAGCGCCGTGAATGCCGATACTGACGACATTTCGAGACGTGAAGCGCAAAATGCCGTCGACGCGCTGACGATTGACGCCAAGGATGTCGTTAAGACGTTGAACGCTGCGTTAGCTGACGCACCGACAGCGCCGCCGTCAAAGAAGAAAGGTAAAAAGGCGGACGATGACGCACATTCGAGTCTCTCGCTCGGCTCGAGCGAAACTACGCAAGCAGCGGCTACTTCGCTCGAAGTGCTGGCGTGGAAGCTTGACAAGACTGATAATCTCGACACGCTTGTCGAGCCGTGTCAAAACTTTCTAGAGGCGATGATGAATGATGCGGCTGCGCGAGCTAAAGCTCGCGAGACGATGGACGAAGACTCAGACTTTGAGGAGTCAGACGACGACGAGGCAGGTGTTGCTGCAGGAGGTTATCTCGAAGCGCTCGCTTTGCGTACATTGGAGTCTCTCGCGCTCGCAAAAGTCGGTGGAAAACAGTGGAACGTTCCGCTTATCATTCGCGCCGTTCGCGAGGTAGACGAAGGCGCTGCGCGAAGCGCAGCGCTTGCGTGCTTGGCACAAATTGCGCACACGAAACCGGAAGCGGTCCTGAGTCATGTGTTTGACATCGGATCTGCTTTATCCGCTCGTGCCGCTGCGAACGACGATGTACTGTCTCAACGCGCTTTAGAGAGTGCGCTCGTTGCCGTCGTTCCGGTGTGGTTACAAAGTGGTGAATCGTTAATGAACGTCGTCAGCAGGCTCATAGATTCGCTGCCTCATGCGCCCACACGTCGACGTGCTCCCATTTGTGCGGCGCTTGTTCGTGCGGCACCCCCTGGCGAGGCGCTTCCGGCGATTATCTTGAATTTGATACGCCGTTCAAAGTCTTTGGAATCGTCTGCTCGAGAAGCGCGAGCTCCATACGCCGCCGCAGTGGATACCTCTGACCTACCTGTTGCCGATGACGATGCATGGGTCGCGGAATTACTCGACGCGCTACTCGTTCGCGAAACCCCGATTTCTGCGGTGAATGCACTCGTGGACGCGCTCAAGGTACGTATGACTCGACTCGCAAAACAGTTTTCAGCGCCGCTCGTGTCGTGTTTGATTTTCGATGATGAAAGATTCATTGTGTCAGGATTCTGATTCCATTGATGAGACATACGAATCTGCTGCTTTCCTTCTGAGAAATCGCTCGTACGCGATTTGCCACGAGCGTGACACCATGAAGCCGCGACTAACCTACTTTTTCGACTTGTCAGGAATCTGCTTCCGAGGGAGGGCGTATTGTGCGCATGTGCGCCGAGTCCGCCGCCAAGCATCTCTCTTCGCCTCGATTCGTTCGTGCGCAACAACGTCCGATGGATCAGGATGAGAAAGCAGGCCTTCAAAGGGGTTACGCCGCGTTAGCTGAGTCCGCTATTGTGCTCTTGCAATCGGTGGGAGTTAATGATGGCACGCCGTCAGAGAAATCAAAATCTCCAGGTAAATCTCCAGCGAAACTTGCGGCAAAGGCGGAGGCGAGCGGACAAAGTCTGTTGAGCGCGCTCAACGGCTTGCTGGCTTCGGGTCCATTCTTGAGCGCGTTGACACCATTACTCGATCATAAGGAAGGGCGCGTCCGTCGAAAGGCGCTGACACTCGTCACCGAACGTCTACAAAACGCGAGTACCGAAAGTACGGAAGAAGATGATGTGGAGACGCAAGCGGGTATCGCGTTGATCGAAGAGCTTTCAGCGTTGATTCAGTCCAAGAGCGTGACGACGTCACAGGCAGCGCTCATGGCTCTAGAAGCTGCTGCTGTGCGTTTCAGCGTCGCACAAGCGGCGACGAAGCCCTTGTTGTCTGTGGTTCCCGCCGTCATCTCGCAGCTGGAAGGGGCGTCAGCTACGCTTAAAGCGTCCGCGGCGCTGTCGTTGGCGACGCTTTCAAAGATCTTGGGTGTTCGTATGGTCGCTGTCGTCAACACTGCGATACCAGCACTTCTTAAGACTACATTGGCGAGCGCAGACGCGCTTCATGGCAACAGCGATGTGGGAGAGCTCGTGCTCGTTGCGCACTCGTGCCTAGCTGCGCTGCGCATGTTCGTCAAGCACGTAGCCGGATTTATTTCACCCTTTCTCGGAGACATCATCAAGGTCGCGTTGCACCCAGCAATGGTGCCACAGTGCGATGGCGAAGCCGGCACAGAAGCGGGTGAGACGAAGGCTTTACATGATTTAGCGTTGGAGCTTCGCGGAGAATTACCAGACGTCGTCGAGCTCCGATTGCTCATTCGGCCACTGGTGGAATCTTGGGACTCGTGCTTAACTTACGGCGGCGAAGACGGCGCGGCGTCGTGCGCGGCGCTCCTCGAAATCATCGCCGCCGCCGGCGATTCTGCAAAGGCGACGAACGCACACAGACAGCAATTATTCAGCATAGTACTACGCGCGCTCGATATCAGGCGTGATGCGCCGGTGGGCGCCCCCGAGAAGGCTCTTGACGTCATCGAAGGTAAAGCCGTCGACGCTTGTGTCGCCTTGGCGCTCAAGTGCACCGAAAGTGAATTCTTGCCGTTTTTCCTGCAGTGCGTCGAGTGGGCGCGCGCGCGTTCTGGCGAAGCCGATGTCACCCGCACACGTCTCGCCGCGCTCTTCAGGCTCGCCGCCGCGCTCGCGGACGAGCTTCGCGCCGTCTTCGTGCCCTTCTTCCGACACTTGCTCGATCTTGCGGCTGCGGCGCTGGACGTCGCCGCCGATCCAACGAGCTCGGGGAAAAAGAAGCGCAAGAGCGTGAACGCCGAGAGTTTGTCAGAACACGATATCTGGCGCATGCGAAAGTGGACGCTCGCCGCTCTGAGACGTTGCTTCCAGTACGACAACGTCGGATTCATCGAGTCGAACCGTTTCAACTCGCTCTATCCGATGGTGGTCGAGCAGCTCAAGGCGGCGCCACCGTCGGATTCCGACGAAGACGACTACGACACGTTCATGCGCGAAGGTTCTTTCGGTGTTGAAGCAGTCGGTGCGTGCGCGTCGCTCCTCGCCGCGGCGCCCGATGACGCTCACTGGAAACCGTTGCACCGCGCAGTGCTCATGTGTTCGCGCGACTCGAAGATCCGTACTCGCGTCTTGAGCATCATGACGATCGAACAAATCGTCGACAAGCTCCAAGAGGAATACTTGCAGCTCTTACCGGAGGCCATTCCGTTCTTGGGCGAGCTCTGCGAAGATATGGAGCCCGAAATCGAAAACCTCTCCAGGGCGTTGACGAAGAAGCTCTCGAAACTCAGCGGCGAAGACTTGAAGACGCTCATGACGGATGGTTTCACCCCGAAAGCGAAGAAGAACGCCGACGAAATCGCCGACGACGAACACGACTCGGACTAGACCACCGATTCTCTCACCTCCTAGCTTCCGCGGCGATGTAAGCGATCGAACAAACAACCGCGCGAATTCGCCGCGACTCGAGGCGCCTTTTTGAAAAACCGTTAACGATGTCTAAAGTTAGTTCGCGGCATTACGCCGACCGCGACGCCATCGCGCGATGGCGCGCGTCGCGCGCGCGCACGAGAACGCTTTGCGGTTTGACCGCACTCGCGCGTCGCCCGCCCCGCCGCGCGCGCGCGCGTCCCGACGCGCGCGCCGCGTCCCCGCGCGCGCGACGCACGCGGGTGACAACGCTGGCGACTTGCACGAGCGCGCGCTTTGCATCAAGCAGCGCGCGTTAAATCTCGCGCGGAATCGCGTGCGCGGCGGCGATTACGTCAACGACGACGTCACGCAGATGCGCGGGCGAAAGTTCGAGGCCGAGGCGCGCGTGCGACGGCTCAAATCCGACCTGAACGCGCGACTGTTGCTCGAGCGGTTCAGCGAGGCGCGCGAAATTTCGCGGGAAATCGAACGCGCCGAGGATGAGATTGATAGAATTCAACTGGCGATCGCGGCGGAGCAAGAACGCGCGATCGAACGGTTTGAAGACGCGTGAATGAATAATGCGCGACGAGCGATGCGGGCTCGTCGCGCCGTGTACCTAAGACCGCTACTGTTGTAATTACCTATGAACGCTACTGTACGACGAATGCGCTCGCCGTGGTTAAAATTCCATGTCGATGGTCGCGCCGAGATAGAATTCGTTGAAATCGACGCGTTGGATGAAGCCAACCGCGGTGTCGGAGGAAGTGATGCGCGCGCGGAAGCACAGTTGCGTCATCAACGCGTGAAATTTCGAGTGGATTTGCTGCGCTGCGGCGCACGCGAGACCATCTTCGAGTAACGATTCGGCGTCGCTCGACGCGAGAAGAGACTTCAACTCTAGGGCGAGCTGTAAACCATCGTCCACCAGGGCCTTGAGCGCCGTGTCGATGGGGCGCAAGAAACACGCAGCGTACGTGCGAGCGCAGAATTCATCAAACACGTCGCGAAGGGCGTCGATGTTGCGTGGGAGGATGTTCCCGCCGTCGTCGCGAAGACTTGCAAACAAGCGTCCTCGCGCGCCGACGTGTACGGCTTCGAACACATGCCCGTGAAGAGCATCGACGAAATGCTGAAAAGATGACGCGAGCAAGGATAGTTTGCGCAATCGCCTCGCACGCAAATCCAAATTTGTTTGCGTCGAATCCAGTAAAGCTCGCGTTCTTGAGCTCGCGTGTACCAACGCCGAAACATCTTTGACAGCACTCGCCGCGTGCCGTATTTGCAATAGCGCAATTTTCGTGTGCGCGAGCGGGTGGTCGTCTCCCGCATCCGCAAAAATAAGGTTCAAGGGCCAGGGAGCAGCGTACGAACACTCGACGGCGGCGGATAAATTCAAATTGTACGGGTCAACAGACACCAGCGCATCGGCATTCTCGCATAAACGTAAACGCTTACTCATGTGGTCATCTCGCAAACCTGTATCGTCGATGGCGCCCTCCAATACAGTTTGCATGACACGCGCGGAGCCTTGTGTCATTCGTTCTCGTGCGGCGACGCATTTTGATTGTAGATTGTTCAGCAGCGCGTCCGCGAAGCCGAGTTCACCTCCCATGGTGAACCGAACGATGGCGTCAAGATGAAGTTCGAGCGCGAGATGATCCATAAGCACTGTCGTGGTGTACCGTCCCAAAACATCGGATTGGCGTGTGATGATTTCGCGCATTTCTTGTTCCAACAAAAGTGGCAAAGGCGTGCCGAAAGCTTCACCCAAATACGCTCGAGATGTGTGGTCGTGCGTTTCAAGATCTTTTGCGCCGTCACGCATCTCGTCCATGTTGTCCGGCGCCGAAACAGTTTCCACGATGTCTTTCTCTTTTATATCCACGCTGCGCTCATCGTCATCTGCGGAATGTAAGGATAAGACTGTCGACGGCGACGACGTCGCGGATTCGTCGATGAACATTTCGGAAGCGTCGGCAAAATCGTCTGATGCGATGTCGTCTTCTTCGATAACATTCACCTCTTCGGCTTCTTCAATCATCACTGTTGGCGTGACACTCTCGAAGGGCTCGATGAAGAGGTCGTTCGACGGTGATGGCGACGTCGCGAAACCTAAGCTCATCGCGTTTGCGAGCGCGGTCACTGCTTCTTCTTCTTGCACTGATTCCATTGCGCGCACGAAGGCTCTTCGCTTATCATTAAGCACCAGACGGCTTTCGTGCCATCGAAACCACGCTAATTTCGCATCCTCTTGTTCAAGGCGTAAGCGCGTTTCTTCCATCTTCTTTTCCACTTTTTGTTGCTCAAAGGCGCGCTGCTTTTCCTCTCGATCTTCAAGCCATGCGCGCTCGTCGGCAATCTTTTGCGCGCGCGCGTCGCGACGTTGCTTTTCACGTTCGTCCAACTCTTCGAGCTGCCCTTTACGCTCCACTCGCTTCGATTCGTCGATCTCCTCAAGACGTCTTAGTCGCGTTTTTTCGCGCGCCAGTATTTCGGCGCGCGTCTTGGCGACGAATGCTGCTCTCGCCGAGTCCAACTCTCGCGCTCGTGCGGCGCGCATCTCGTGCATGCTGTTCGTGCTTTCTCGAGCCAGCGCGACGACGCGCGATTCGAGCAAGCGCACTCGATTGAGCCACTGCCTGGCATCGCGCTCTGTGTGCGCTTGAAACGCCGAAATTTTGACGAATGCATCTTTCACAGCGCGTGCAAACCCGCGCGTGTGCGGCAATCGCTGTAAAATGCGAAGCTGCAAACCAATGCGGAGGACTTCTTTCGCTCGATCGACCGCCAGAGCGGGGTTCACACTCGACCGAACACGCGCGATGGTGAGCGTATCGGTCTCCGCGAATTCGTCTTCGCCATCGTGCGCGCGGCCGCCGAGCCAGCACGGCGGCGCGCCTCCTCGCACGGGACTTTCATGAAATGTAGAAAGATTTGACCACGTTGGCGAGCACTCTATGAAAAACTCTGACTTCGAAAACGGCGGCGCCGCAGCGTATATCCAAGACAAGGTGTCGTCGATGATAGGTTTTGCCGCTCGCGCATACAAGTACTGAATCATCGGTGTTTCTTCATCCTCCACGTGCGACAGCGACGTCTCCAGACGACGGATCAACACCGGATGCGGCACCAAAGAAGTATCTAACGACCGCTCGTCGGTGATGAGGTTGAAAATAATATCCACTTGACGACGCAAACGTTTCGTGTGCACGGTGACCTCGAGTAACGTGACGTCGCCTACGTCCGATTGCGTTTCGGTCAGGTCGTCAACAGTATCGCGCTCGGCGAGACGCCGTTCCGCCGTCGCCTCTGGCATGGCTTGCAACGCTGCGGCGTGGGCGCGAAGAATATCGCGTATCGCGCTCGCCATCGGTCGCATGTATGGCGTCGTCATGCGGCTGACGGCGTAGTCGAGCTCGCATCGGCGCTCCGCCGCCGACGCCATAGTTTTCAAAGCGTTCCTAAACGCCAGCGTCGAGCTCGACGCGAAACGCATGCGTACACCACTACCTGTGCTTGCTGCCGCCGCGACGAGTATGTCTGCGCTCGTTTGACACCCACTGAGCGCCATTGCGACGACGTGCGCGCAATCACGCTCGCTCGCGATGACGGGCTCGGTATCAATCCCCTTCACCGGCCGAAACGCGCGTCGATACGCAAGATCAAACGTTTCCGCGTCGAGCGCACTCGAAGTCGCACGCGCACCGGCGTTTCGCGTATCCCAACACGAACGCAACGTCGTAGTCTCGATATCCGCCGCGGCGGCGAGCCAAAGCGACGCAGAGTCGCCTGACCCTCTGTCTAACGCGAGCGCCTTGTCCGCGACGCCGGCGTCGCGTCCGCCGGCGTCGTCATCTTTCGCGCTATCTATTTCACCACTCACAACACGGTCATCGTCGTCGCCGTCGTCGTCGTCGTCGTCGCCGTCGCCCTCGTCCACGACCGCCCGGTCGAGTCCGAACACCGCACCGTGCCGCAATCCCGGCACGCGTCTCGCCGCCTCCGCGCCGTCGTCCTCCATCGCGAACTCTCGCGTCGTCGCCGCGGCGATTCGCAACCGACCGACATCCGGCACCGCGCTCCAATCCCGCCCCGCGCTCGCGACGACATCGATCCTCTCGAGCCCCCCCGCCCCGCTCGCGCGCTCGTTCCCACCACCACCGCTTCCCTCGAGCGCGAACGCCAACCTCTGAATCGCCGCCGCGTCTTCGCCCGCGCTCGCCTCCAACGCCGCCAACATCTCATCCATCGCTCGCGCTCGTCCGTCGTCCCCGTCCCGCTCGCACAATCGCACGTACATCTCATCCGCGCCGATCGCGCGCGCCTCGTCGTCGTTCGTTCGTTCGTCGTCGTCGCGCCTTCGTCGCGTCTCGCGTCTCGCGAGCGCCGACGCCGCGCGTCCCGAAAGCGTCCGTCGCTCCGCGCCCAGCGCGCGCGCCCACGCCCGCGCCGTCATCGCTCGCACCAGCGCGTCGTCGTCGTCGTCGTCGTCGTCGTCGCGCGCCGCCGCGCCGTCGCGTCGTCGTCGCTCGACGTGCGTCCGCGCGAGGCGTTTGAACAAATCAGTCAAAGACGGCGCCGTCGACGCCTCGCCGTCGCGCCGATCGCCGTCGCGCGCGCGCGGCGCCGTCGACGACGTCGTCGCGCGCATCGTTCGCGGCGCGCCGACGTCGCGCGCGCGACGTCGGCGACGCGCGAGGCGATGATTGACGCAACGACCGGCACTGCGCGACGCGCGCCATGTCGAGCGACGGCGCGGGCGACGACGGCGGCGCGGGCGAGGCGCGCGCGGCGCGCGCACCGCCGCCGCCGCTGCCCGCGCTGCCGCTGCCCGCGTACGGGCTCCACGGCGCGCGCGGGGAAGGATTCGCGACGGCGCCGCATCGGGAGGCGAACGGGCGCGACGACGACGCGACGACGCGCGCGAGCGACGACGCGACGACGGCGCGACCGACGCTGACGGTGCACCGTCGCGCGAGACGGTCGCAGCGGAGCGCGCGAACGCCGGCGAGGACGCGGATGAAACGGTTCGGGTTGGCGCGGCTGCGGCCGCGGCGGATGAAGCGGCCGCGAGCGTTCGAGCGGGGCGCGAAGAGGTTGGCGAGAGAGCGCGATCGAGGCGCGGAGTGGCTCGCGGGCGTCGGTGCGGTGGTGGGAAGGGCGACGTTGGGAGCGGTGGGGGAGTTTAAGCGCGCGAGCGCGCTCGGGAAGGTTGGATTCGGGTTGCGCGCGCTCGGCGGCGCGGCGAAGGCGTTCGGATGCGCGGCGGCGAGCGCGACGCTGCGGTGCTGGGCGCCGAAGGTGCACGGAGTGGTGACGGCGGTGATCGTCGCGGCGGCGTCGACGCGACGCACTGGAGACGCGTCGCCGATCGTGCGATTCGTGGAGCGGAAGATTCCGGGACCGGGAGGGCGGGCGTGCGCGCGCGCGCTCGCGGCGGCGCCGGCCAAGGCGAGGGGGACTTTGAGGCGGTGGGCGACGTGGCAAGGCATGCGGCTCGTCATGCGCGTCACGGCGAGGAAACAACAGAGGAAGATTGACTACTCTATGCGCGTGGCGCCGGTGATTGGGTCGTATTTGATCGCGAAGAGGCGCATCGCGAGGATTCGCGACGCCGAAAAGCGCGACGAGGCGTGGGAGCGACAGCATCAATGGGGGGCCGAGCGCATGCGAGACGTCATAGAAGATTTCGGTGGATTTTATAGAAAGGTTGGACAAATCGCGGGCACGGCGAAACAGATGATGCCGGCGCCGTACATTGAGTGCTTTTCGAAAACCATGGACAACAATCCGCCGGTTTCGTTTCGCGAGGTGCGAAAGACGTTGGAGGAATCTCTCGGTGGACACCTCGGAGAGCACTTTGCCGAGCTCAGTCGTAAGCCTGTGGCGACGGCGTCGATCGCGCAGGTGCACTTCGGGCGTTTACTCGACGGCCGTGAAGTGGCGGTGAAAGTGCAAGCGACGGACGCGGCGATGATGATCGGCGACATCGAGAGCATGTTGCAAACCACCAAAGCCATGCGTTGGCTCGGTCTCGACGAAGGGCTAGATTTCCCGACCATTTTTCGCGCTTACTTGGACGTCGTCGACGAAGAGTTCGATTTCACCATCGAAGGCGCGAAGACGGAAGAGTTTGGAAAGTTGCTCGACGCGGCGGGTTTGGCGGATCGCATATCCGTGCCGCAAGTCATAATGTCGACGCGTCGCGTGTTGATCATGCGACGCGTTCGCGGGATGAAACTGCTGACGCTTTTCAATCGCGCGCGGGCGCAGAACAAAATTCCACGCTGCCCCACGCCCGTGTCCAAGTGTCACGGCGCGGGTGGGTTCGGCTGGCAAGGCGTGTTTCACTCAATGTTCACCGCGTGGGGGGTGATGATGTTGAAGCACGGTCACTTCCACACCGATCCGCATCCAGGAAATTTCATGGTCGCTAACGATGGAAAGCTAGTCTTGCTCGACTGGGGACAAACCAAGCGCGTGAGCGAGGTAGAGCGCATGCACATGTGTCGGTTGTCGCTGTACATGGCGAACGAAGACCACGTGTCCATCGCGCGGGAAATTAGCGAACACGGCACCGTGCGACTCCAGCGCCCGACCACGGAAGCGTTGAGCGCGCTCGCGTACGCATACTTTGATACGCGGCCGTCGCCTTTGGCGGAAATGAACGTCATGGATCTAAAGAACTCTCCATTCGTGCAGAATAAAATTGTACAAAACACGCAAGAGGGCTTCTTCGCGATACGAAGCGTCTTTCTCTTGCGCGGTATGCTCAGCACGTGCGGCTTGCGCATGTCCATGGTCGAGGCGTGGGAAGCCATCGCGCGCAACGCGCTCGTACTCAACGGTGAAGTCCCGCCCAGTCGATTTAGGTTGAAGACGAAACTGCTCGTGAACCGCTCTTTGCTTGGCTTGCAGCGCAGGCTAAACGTCGGCGCGGGAAGCCGCTTGAACGCGGTCGAGGACTACATGTCAAACAAAGAGGACGAAGAAGACGGCGCGCCGAATGGAAGAAGTCTTTGGCCGAGCAGTTCGAGTCTGTTCTAGCGATGCTTACACTTTCTACTAGCGATGTGATACACGACGACCTCACGACGAGTCGCCCTCTTTCGCCGCGCCGAACACGTCCTTGGCCAAATTACACTTTTTAAAGTACCCCCCCACCACACTGCGCCGATACGGTCGCGTCGCCAGGCACGTCACCACGTCTTCCGGCTGTTCTCTCCACAGCGCGTGTTCGATTCCGTCTCCTTTCAATTTTTCGCTCAGCGCCGTCAACTGACTCTCATTCTTTATCTCCAGCACCACCTTGCGCATGTTCGCCATGTTTTCCTTCGAACAATACTCTCGCGTGTCCTCGCGATCGGCGTACGTCCACACCGCGCTCACCGCCGCGTGCGCGCACTGCGCCGCGAGCGCGCCGAGCGGCCAGCGCAGCGCGCGTCCCAAATCTTTCCGCAGAACGATGAACTGGTACAATTCATCATCCGTCGTCTTCGTCGACGCGGGCGCGCTCGCGCTCGCGTCGACGCGTCGCATGCGCGTCGTCGGCGCGCGTTCGCGCGTCGCGCGCGTCCAGGACGCGACGAGCGGGCGCGCGGTCGCGAGAGACGCGCGCATGAGTGCCGCCCGCGCCGCCTCGGCCGCCGGCACTCGACGAGGCGACACACCGCCGCGCGTCGCGCGCGCGCATGCGCGCTCGACCGCGCGCGAACGCGCGCGCGTCACCGCGCGCCGCGCGCGCGCGCGTTCGCGCGCGGTCGAGCGCGCGAGGCGCGCGAACGAAGGCGATGTCGGCGGAATTCATCGAGCGACGGACGCGCGAGTGGGTCGACGCGTTCGTCGTCGACGGCGCGCGCGTGTGCCCGTTCGCGAGCCGCGCGAAGCTTCGAGTGCGCGTGTGCGAGGACGCGAGCGAAGCGGGGGCGTGCGAGGCGGTGGTGCGCGAGGCGGCGGCGCTCGCGGCGACGGCGAGCGACGACGAAGGCGGCGGCGGCGCGTGGACGACGATCGTCGTCGTCGCGCCGCGCGTCGACGCGTTCGCGGGGGATTTCGGCGCGATGTTGGACGCGCAGGAAGTGATCGATGAGGCGCTCGTCGTGTCGGGGTTGGAGGGCGAGGTGCAGTGCGTCGCGTTTCACCCGTCGTTCGTTTTCGCGGGCGAATCGCCGGACGCCGCGGGGAATTTTACGAATCGGTCGCCTTGGCCGTCGTGGCACATCTTGCGCGAGATCGACGTGAGCGATGCCGTGGATGATTTCGCCGTCGACGCGCGCGAGACGCCGGCGAGAAACGCGCGGAATTTGCGCGAGATTGGATACGACGCGTTGGCGGAGGCGCTCGTTCGATTTCAACGCGAGTAGCTCGGCGTCTAACGCGCCGCTAAATGTAATTTTTGTAGGAGTTGATCGATCTCGTCGTCGTCCGTCGCGCCGCGCGCACCAGCGGACGCGCGCTCGCGCTCGTGTTCGAGTTCACGCTGCCACAGTACGCAGTTGTTTCGCATGAGTTGGACGATCGCTTCCGCGTCGGCCATCGCCTCGCCGACGTCGGCGACGTCGGCGACGCCGATGGCTTCTCGAGCGGATTCGAATGCGCATACGCAGGCGTTGGAGATGGCGATTGCGCCACTGTGTTTCCCGACGATCTCGTAAAGAAAGACTGTTTGGTTCAGGTACAATCCCAAGCGTATCGGATCGCACATGGTGAGCCCAGATGTCGCGGCGAGTTCCACGCCGACTTCGTACGCGTCGGTACAATGCGCGATGGCTTCGTCCCGCTTGTCGGCGTCGATGTCAACTTCACACGTGTATCGCCAGTAATCTCCCAGAAGCTTGAGGTAAAACACGCGCGCGTGCGCGGAAGATTCCGTCGGCGTGGACAACCGTCGCTCTATCGCCTCAATCGTCGAAGAGCAAAAACGCGAGAGCTCTGCGGACAGCTTCTGCGCATAACCCTTCGCGAGCGCCGCCCCGTCGTCGTTCGCAAGCTGTCGTTCCCGCAGTTCCATCGCTTTCGCGACGGCGATGCTCGATCTCAGGGATTGAAGCACGTTCTTCAACGCCACCGAAAAAAGATTTCGTTCTTCGTCAGTGAGCTCTTCGTCGCACGTCGCCGCGAGCGTACGCATGCTTCCGAGCATATCCTCGTCTCTGCCGCATTGCTGTGATAGCTTCGCGGAGAACACCAACGATTCTCGAGCACTGCTCATTCTCCGGACCGCCGCGCGTGAGTGACGTGGCGAATCGAATCTTCGTCGTCTTCGTCGCACGACGTCGTGACTATGGACACTCAAGTCGCGTCGTCGTCTGCGTCGTCTGAGTTTCGCCGCTCGAATGCCGCCGCAAACGCCGCCGCGCGCTCTTCTCGCGTCTGCGGCTTTGGTCTCGTATCTACTCCACGAGATGCCGACGGGGCTTCATCTGCCGTCGCGGGTGCCGCGGGCGTGGTCGCCGCCGCGGGCGCCGCGCTTCGATTGGCCGTTTCGGTGAATCGGCGTCTCGCCTCGCGCGCCGCGTTGGACACCATCGCCGCCACACCTTCGACGAACGAGCTCGCCGTTGAGCTAGAATTATCGCTGCTACTATCGCGCGAGTCGACGGGCAACATCTGCCCGTTCACCGCGACGTATCCGGGCTGTCGGCTCGCGAATCGCAGCGCGCCGTTCTCGAGCTGCGCCAGCGTACCGTCGCTCGCCGTCGCCCAAACAATCCCATTCGCCGCCCACGCGTTGCCAACGTACAAGCACGCCAGCACTTCGAGTGGATTACACCCTCCCAGAAACACCAAAATCACCGCGGTAACGTACGGCGCGCGTTTCGCCGGCATCGCGACGCCGAACGGCGTCGCCAAATCCGTGTTCGCCGGCGCGCGCGCAATTTCGCGCGTAAACAACACGAAGCAACTCGTAAACACCCCCGTGCCTCCTAAAAAGTTAACTTCAAACACCGCGGGCACGAACGCGCCCACGATCGTCGCGAAGCACGTCGTCGTGGCGTTCGCGAGAACCGACGCGGCGACGGCGTCGCTGAGCGTCCTCAACGTCCCTCGCGAACGCTCCCAGGGCGCGACGACGCGAAACGCCGCCCACGCGACGAGCAGCGTGGAGAACGCGCCCTCGATGTACAGCAACGACGCGAACACGCGATGGAACTGCGCGCGGCGTAAGATGTCGCCCGGACAAAACGCGACGAAATCATCCAAGCTGAACAACGGGTTCAAAACGAAGCCAATGACGAGCGCATAAGGGACGAGCGCGCGCGCGCAGAGAGGAAGTCGCGCGTACTCGTCCACGAGCGACGTTGAGGCGTCCATGGCTGACGAAAATCGACGCGGGCGAGCGTGATTCTGAGGCTAAGGCTACTTTGGATTTCAAGGCGAAGGCTACTTTCGGAGTCGTCACGCCCACGACGCTTCGATCGTCGGGTAATCCCAAAAAGACACGCCGAAATCGTTCCGTTTAACGGCGTCGGAGTCGTCGGAGTCGTCGGAGTCGGAGTCATCACCGGAAACGTCGACGAAGACGCGCTCGCCGACGACGCACGCGAGTCGGCGAAATTTCTCGCTCGAGCCCGCGACGGCGCACGAATACGGATGAAACGAAACCGCGTTCACGCACGCACCGTTCGGGGATACTTGCGTGCGGCCGACCTCTTCGCCCGTGCGCAAATCGAACGCGCGCACGAATCCGTCGACGCCGCCGGTGACTAAGTGCGCGCCGCACGGCTCTAAATCAAACCGAATCCTTTGATTCGTCCCGTGCGCCGCGCGTTTCAGCGCGTACACCACACCGAGCGTATTTCTCACGTCCACGCACAAAATGTCATCACTTCTGCGACTCGCGGTGTAAATAAAATTTCCATCGACGCTCCATCGAACTTGCGTGACGCCGCCGCCGCGCGCGGACCAACTGCACGCGCGACCGCCCTCCGCGCGCGCGTCGTACACCCCACAATCGATCGCGTCTCGCCCTCCCGCGTACGACCCCGCGCAAAACAAATGATTCTCCGTCGGACACGCGTCGACGCACGACACCAATCCCCGTTGCCCTCCCCCATCTAAATCGTCCCTACTTCGAGTCTCCGCGCGCGTCGCCGGCGTTCGCCCGGGCCTCGTCACGTCGAACACATCCACCGCCCCATCCACGCCGCACGCCAGCATCGTCCCCCCGCACACGTATCCCACGCCGCACGCCGATCGCGGTTCATCGCTCCGTCGATCGACGCTGACGTACGACGCGACGATTTCCCCGTCGCCGTCGGCGCGCCGCGTCGTCGTCGGCGCGTCCCGCGCCGTCGCCGCGAACACGTCCTCGTTCGGCGATATCGCCGCGTCGTACGCGCGCTCGCCCGTCCGCGCGCGCGTCACGCCGACGCTCTCGTCGTCGCGCTCGCGAAACACGGCGAACGCGCGTCGCGCGACGTCGTACGACATTCCGAACCGTCCCTCGCGCTGCCACGAAAATCCATCGAAAAACGACTCCGTCGCGTCGAGCGCGTCGCGGCGCGCGTACGCCGTCGTCGCGGCGCGCGCGGTGTTCGCGTTCCAATCGCCCAGCGCGCGCGCGTCGAGCGTCGCGTACGCCATGACGCGCGACGCGCGGAAAAGTGCGGCGCGGCGCATCACATCGCCGCGCATGCTCCCCGCGCGCGCGTACGTCGTGAGCCTCGCCAGCCTGCTCGCGGGCGCGAGCTGCGTGCACCGCGTCGCGTCGCCCGACCTGACGATTCCCCGGTACGGCGCGCGCGCGACGACGACGCGATGACGCCGCGCGGGGAATCGCCGTCCGACGACGACGTCGACGACGCCGCGAGCGCCGAGGCGCTGCTGGGACTCTTCATGCTCGTCAGCGCGCTGGTGTACGTCGATCGAGGGATCGCGAGCTCGGCCGCGGTGAGCGGGGCGCCGAGGAGCGCGCGCGAGCCCGCGGGGCGAGGCTTGCAGGGCGCGCTCGGGTGCTCGTACGCGGCGTACGGAGCGCTGAACGCGGCGTTCATGATCGGACTGCTCTCGGGCGCGCCCGCGTTCAGCGCGATGGCGAATAAAGCGTGCGCGTTCAGATTGATCGCGATCGGGCTGGCGATGGCGGCGGTGGGGGAGCTCGGATGCGCGCTGGCGCCGACGTGCGGGTGGGCGTTCGCGGCGCGCGCGCTGGTGGGCGCGGGAGAGGCGAGTTTTATCGCGCTCGCGGCGCCGTTCATCGATGATAAAGCGCCGAAAGGCGCGAAGACGATGTGGTTGGCGATGTTCTACGCGTGCGTGCCGTTCGGGGTGGCGTTCGGGATCGCGTTCGGGGGGGCGGTGACGCCGGCGATGGGGTGGCGATGGGCGTTCGGGTTGAACGCGTGCGCGATGGCGCCCGCGGCGGCGTACTGCTTCTGGCGTCCGGCGGTGCGCATGCGAGGCGTCGGAGGCGATGCGAATGCGCGCGAGGCGGCGGCGACGTCGACGGTGGCGTCGTTGACGCGCGCGTTCGCGCGAGATTGTAAAGAGTTGTTCGTGCGCGAGACGTACGTCGTCGTCGTGCTCGGGTACGCCGCGTACACCGCCGTCATCGGCGTGTACGCGGCGTGGGGACCGAAAGCCGGGTTCGCGATATTTCGAGATGAGTTACACACGTCGACGAACGCGGACATGCTCCTCGGTGCGATCACCGTCGTGAGCGGGATCGCGGGCACGCTTCTCGGCGGCGGCGTCGTGGACAAGTTGGGGAGCTCGACGGCGACGGCGTTGCGCACGTCCGCCATCGCCGCCGTCGGGGGATTCGTGTGCCTCGAGCTCGCTTTCAGGTGTCAAACGTTCGCATCGTTCGCGGTGTGCTTGCTCATCGGACAAATGTTCGCTTTCGCGTTACAGGCGCCGATCAACGCCGTCGTGCTCTGGAGCGTCCCCGCGCGTCTGCGCCCGCTCGCGTGTTCGATGACCACCGTCACCATTCACCTCTTCGGCGACGTCCCATCGCCGCCGCTCTTCGGGCACTTCCTCGAGCGCGATGGCGCCCCCACGCCCGAGCGCTGGCGAACCATGTGTTCGACGTTCACGCTCTTATTCGTCGTCGCCGCGGGCGTCTTCGCGACGGCGGCGCGGCGAGCCGGCGGCGACGCGCGCCGACAACGCGTCTTAGACGACGACGACGACGACGACTCGCGCGACGTCGACGACAGGCTCTTACCGACGTAGCTTTAGATTTCTTCAACGTGCACTGTACATTATTTCCGCCCGATCGATCGCTCGAGCGTCGCCGAAGCCGCGTCGCCGACGCGTCGCGGCGTCGCCGTCCCGCGCGTCCGCGCGCCGTTCACACACCCGCGCGCGCGACCGCCGCGCGCCGGCGTCGAACGGCGCGAATGACGACGACGGCGCCGCGCGCCGCCGCCGTCGCGTCGCGCGTCGCGTCGTGCGCGCGCGCGTCGACGTCGACGTCGCGCCGACCGCTGCGCCTCTCGCGACGGCGCGCGGCGCCTCGACCGCGCGCCGCGGGCGACGACGACCCCGCGGAACCGTTGCAGCGTTACGCCGACGTCGCGCGCGCGTCGCCCGCGGCGTTCGGCGCGGTGAGCGCGGTGGCGCTGCTGGCGAACCGCGCGCTGAGCGGCGTCGCGCCGGTGGCGGACGCGTCGAGCGCGCAGTCTCGCGCCGACGTCATCTGTCTCGCGATGTCCGCGTGCTTAGTGCTCACCGGATTGACGTGGATCGCGCTGAAGACGAAACCACCGAACGTGGTGGAGTTGGTGGGGACGCGATTGGAGACGCCGTATTACGCGGCGACGGCGACGAAGGCGCTCCGGGACGAGTTAGCGTGGGCGTGGGACGCCGCGCGCGAGTCGACGAATTGTGACGTCATGGCGGTTTTCACGAAGGATGGACGACGCGTCATGCAAGCGGGGATCGCGGCGAACGCGCTGCGCGATCCCGAGGCGTTGACGCGAGACGTCGAGCTCGGTCCGATTTGCGCCGCCGCCGCGCGAGACGCCGCGCCCAACTATCTAGCCAATCTCATCCTCTTCCCGGGTCGCGTCGAGTTCGAGCGATTCTTTCCCGTGAACACGCAAGCCGTGTGCGTGCGTCCGATCGGCGACGGCGCCGTGCTCGTCATCGGCTCACGAACGCAGCGCGGTTTGACGCCGAGCGACCAACGCTGGTTCGACGTCGTCGCGCAAAAGCTCGATCGCGCCCTCGAGCGCGGTTTGTGATCGCGCGCGCCGCGGGACGTCGTCGGTGTAATTTAGTTTTCACCTCAACGCGCGCGTCCGCGCTCAACGCGCGCGAAATCCTACCTCGATTGCCCGCGTTCGCGCTTCGGAGCGACCGGCGCGGACAATTCAAAAAATCCGCCTTAACCCTCTCCAGCTGTCGCTACGGTTTCGTCAAACCGCGACGCGCACACCGCGTCTCGACGCCCGCGCCGCGTCGCATCGACCGGACTCGAGCGCGCGCGCGCGCTCGTCGCGCGCTCGTCGCTCGAACGCGCCGCGCGCCGACGCGACGCGCGCGAAACGTCGCCAATCGTCGACTGATTTTGAATTCAAAATCAGCCGCACGTCATCGACGCGCGCGCGCCGTGCGCGATGAGCGGGAGCCGACGCGCGGGCTCGTCCAAGGCGGCGAAAGCGCTCGCGGCGACGGCGAAGCTTCGCGAGCTGCGCGAGGGCGGCGGGAAGCGATCGAGAATCGATGAGGTGGACGCCGAGGCGGACGCGATCGAGGACGTGTACGAGGAGTTGGACGAGGAACAATATCGAGCGTTAGTGGCGAAACGACGCGAGGAGGGAGCGGGATTCGTGGTGAACGATGATGGCGAGGGATACGAGGATCTGGGGGAGGAGGAAGATTGGACGGCGGCGAATGAGAATTATTCAGACGACGAAGAGTACGACGCCGACGGGAGAAAGGCGCAAAAGGCGGCGCCGGAACCGAAAAAGAAGCTGAGCGCGAAGGAGAAGGCGAAGAAGGCGAACGCGAACGCGAAGAGTAAGGCTGGGATGCTCGTCGGTGGAGTGCCGAAGAAGAAGAAGTTGGATGATTTGGCGGCAGAAGCGGATACGGACGCGATGTTGGAAGATATTCTCGCCGGCGTGGACATGGACGTCGGGTCGACGGCGCCGATGGTAGTGTCGGCGCCCAAGCCGAAGACAAAGCCGTATGTTCCGCCTGTTGCACCGCGACGTTCACCGCGTAAGGCTGTCGCGGCGTCTACCGCGGCGACGATCGCGCGTTCGCCGGCTAAGACGCCCGGGAGCAGCGCGAAGAAATCAGTTCGATTTGAAATCGAGGAAGAGGACGAAGATTTGCCCACGGGAGATGTCGGCGCATTCGACGACGAAGACGACGGTGCGATTGAAAATGATGACGTCGATATAGATGTCGCCATGCCCGAAGCCGAGCCGTTGAGCGCTGAAACGAAGAAGTCGGTGAAAATTGTCAAAACCGACGCCGGGCAACGGCCGCCGGAACCCGAATCAATTCTCAAAACGCTCGACGAAGACGAAGAGCCAGAGGATGTCGGTCCCGTGACGCAAGATGCCGGCCCTGTGACGTTCAATGGTGCGGAGCTCCCTAGAGATTCGGACGGTTCGACGCCCTTCTTCTTCATGGATGCGCAAGAAGAGCGCGAATCCCCCGGCACAGTGTTCCTCTTCGGTCGTGTGCCGGTGTCGAGCGATCCGCAGTCGGAGACCATCAGTGCGTGTGCGGTGGTGCAGAACATGCAAAGATGCATGTACATCGTTCCGACCGCGTCTACGTTCGCTGATCCTGATGGAGAGTTGGAAGCGCTGGGGCAAATGATGGAGGAAACGCGGCGCGAATTCAAGTCGTGCGCGGATTCGGACGACAAGAAGGAGGAAAAGAGAATTGCGGCTCAAAAGGCGAAATCTGATCTCATGAAAAAACTCGTGCCTTTGTCCGGTGACCTTCGCGCCGAAGTCAAAGAAGTCTTGAAGGCGCGAAAGATTGAGAACTCGAAGATCACCATCGTCCGCCGACGCTATTGCTTTGAGCGCAAGGACATTCCGCAAGGTCCGTTGTTCGTGCTCAAAGTGAAGATCCCGGCGACTTACGCAGCGTTTCCGAGCGATATCAAGGGTAAGCACTTCGTCGCCGCTTTGGGCACGCAGGCTCCCATGTTGGAACTTCTCACGCTCAAGTCTAAGCTCAAGGGCCCGAGTTGGATCGCGCTTCACGGCGCCGCCATCGTTCCGACGGAGAAGCAAAAGTCTTGGTGCAAACTCGAGCTCACACTGCCGAACGCACACAAGAGTGTGCGCCCTTGTCTCGAAGCCATCGCATCGCGCCCAGCGCCGCGTCTCACCGTTGCTTCGTTGAACCTGCAGACGATCGTCAATCAGCAAACCAACGTGAACGAAATCGCAGTCGCCTCGGTGCAGTACATTCGCGACGTAAACTGCGAAGGATCCACAACGGCGGCGCAACTGAAGACCGGTTTACGTCATTTTACCGTCGTGCGCAAGCTCGATGGACTGGAGATGCCTCCGGGATGGCAAAATGCAGTCGCGCACGAGAACAACACCAATGTCATCGCCAAGCGTACAGGCTCCGTCGTCCTCGCCGCGCAGAACAACGAACTCGGTTTGCTCAACTTTCTTTTGGCAAAGTTGCACCAACTCGACCCGGATGTCATCGTCGGTCACAACATCGGCGGTTTCAATCTCGAAGTGTTGCTTCGCCGATTTCAGGCGAACAAGATTGGCCATTGGAGCCGCATCGGTCGCATGAAACGTACGCGCATGCCAAACATCAACGGCTCTGGAGGTGCTTACGGAGGAGGTGCGTCCATGGGCGCGTTGCAGTGTCTCGCTGGAAGACTTTTAGCGGATACGTACTTGAGTGCGAAAGATTTGTTGGGCAAGGAGGTGTCTTACACGCTTACGTCGCTCTCTGAAACGCAACTTGGCGTACGACGAGAAGAAGTGCCGAGCGCCGAAATCCCCAACCGTTATCAAGACACGAACGCTCTCATGCATTTGATCAAGTGCACGGAAATCGACGCAAAGTTGAGTTTGCATCTGATGTTTAAGATGGAAGTCGTCCCGTTGACGAAGCAGCTGTCGAACATCGCCGGTAACCTTTGGAGTAAGACGCTCGGGCACACGCGCGCTCAGCGCGTCGAGTACCTCTTGCTTCACGAATTCCACAGTCGCAAGCACATCGTCCCCGATCGTTTAAGTGCCAAGGAACGTCGCCGCGTCGCCGCGGCGAGCGGTGAAGAAGAGGATGATGGCGGTAAGAAGGGTCCGTCTTACGCGGGTGGCCGGGTGCTTGAGCCGAAGAAGGGCCTGTACGACACCTTTGTCCTCGTCCTCGATTACCAGTCGTTGTACCCGTCGATTATTCAAGAGTACAACATTTGCTACACCACGGTGCGGCGACATTTCGACGCGGGCGAAGAAAACACCGAAATTGAACTACCCGCGCCGATCTTAAGCGACAAGGACTTCGCCGTCCTGCCGAAAGTCATCGCGAACATTGTGCAAAGCCGTAGAGAAGTGAAAGGATTGATGGCTCGCGAAAAAGATCCGGCGCGCGCAAAGCAGTATGATCTTCGCCAGCTGGCTCTCAAGCTCACCGCAAACTCCATGTACGGTTGCTTGGGTTTTAGTCAGTCGCGCTTTTTTGCCGAGCCCATTGCGGCGTTGATCACGGCGCAAGGTCGTAAGATTCTTCAGCGCACGGAGGATCTCGCGAAAGCGAAGTGCGAGCTGGACGTCATTTACGGCGATACGGATTCCATTATGGTGAACACCAAGTCTCACGATTTGAATCATTCTAGGGCGCTCGGAAACAAACTCATTCGTTTCGTCAACAAAGAATATCGGAAATTGGTTTTGGAGGAAGATTACATCTTCCGATCGATGTTGCTGTTGAAGAAGAAGAAGTACGCCGCCATGAAGGTTGTCAACGGACCGAATGGAACCAAGGCGACGAAGCTCGAGATGAAGGGTCTCGATATCGTTCGTCGTGATTGGGCGCCGCTGGTGAAGGACGTTGGTAAACAAACTCTCGAAGAACTTCTTGATGTGGATGGTGAACGCGAAGAGCGCGTGAACGCGATTCACGACGGTTTACGTACGATCCGAAAGGACATGGTTGAAAACCGCGTGCAGTTGTCCAAGTACATCATCACGAAGCAACTCACGAAGGCGGTTGAAGAGTACCCCGACGCAAAGCATCAGCCGCACGTCATGGTAGCCAAACGTCGATTGGAGGCTGGTAAACAAGATGGCGTCAAGGCGGGAGAGACTGTGCCGTACATCATCGCGCTGGAAAGCGAGCTGCCGCTCGAGGACATCGCCGCGGGAAAAGCCGGCGCCTCTGGTGGAAAGGGCTTGGCCGAGCGGGCCTATCATCCCGACGAAATCCTCGAGAAGGGTTTGAAGGTTGATTTGCACTACTACTTGTCTCAGCAAGTCCATCCCGTGATAACTCGTTTGTGCGCCCCGATTGAGGAAACCGACGGCGCCGCGATGGCGGAATGCCTCGGGTTGGACTCGAACAAGTTTAAAACGCAAACACGCGATGAGGACGAGTACGACGACACGTTTGGCGGTGGTAGATTCGCGTTGGATGACGAAGAGCGCTTTGCCAAGTGTAAGCCTCTGAAGCTTCGCACGCGCACAGGCGTCGAGTTTGATTTCCGTGGAATTCGTGAAGTCATGGATGACAAGATGTCCGCGACCGAGGTGTTGGCGCCGCCGACGCCCGGCGCGGGCAAGGAAAACGCGCCGGCTCAAGGCAAGACGGCGTTGAGGACGGAAACGATCGATGCCGCCTCATTGGCAAACCAGGTCAGTCTCGCCGTTCGCGAACGCATCAAGGAGTTCTACGCAGCCCCGCTTCGATCGGACGACGACGTCGATGCGACGGAGACGCGCAACATCACGCTTCGTTGCCATCACACCAACGCGGAATTGACAGGCACTTTGAGCGCTGACCCGATGTCCAAGGGCACGATGGAGAAGAGCATCCCAGAGGACGAATTGTACAACCAACTTTTATATTACAAGCGATTGCTGTCCATCAAGGAAGCTGAGCGCAGTAATAAGAGCAAGGATGAACGCGCCGAGTTCCGTAAAAAGATTTCCGAGGCGCCTGGGTTGGAAATTGCATTAGACGGGGCGCACGAAAAGCTCGAAAAGATTATGAACAAGAGTTCGTACATGTGGATTTCGCTCGCCGACTTGTTTAGCGTCGCAAAGGCGTAGAGTTGTGGTACTTAGAAGAAGAAATGTAATCAATCGCGTTTTCAACGTTTCTAGGCGAGCGATGCCGCATAGGACAAAACTCTCGAGAGCGATGCTGTAATGGGTAAAACTCTCAAGCGCGCGTCTAATCAAACGGTACGCCGATCGGTCAGAAAAGAGAGAGCTGCGACGCGCGATCGGTCAAGGGCACGTAAATCACCCCCATCTCCGTTCGCCGCTTAAAGGTGCCATCTTCGAGTCGATCGATCACCTTCAACGCCTGCCCGCTCGAATCGCCGACTGGAATCACGAGACGACCTCCGACGGCGAGTTGCTCAAGAAGCGCATCCGGAACACTCGGCGTCGACGCTCCAACGTGAATTGCGTCATACGGAGCCTCGGGTTTGTACCCATTTCGCCCGTCTCCCGCGAAAAGCATCAACCGTTTCGTCTCCAACAATCGACCTTTACCGTCCCGCTCGACGTTTTTCAGACTGTCGACCACCAATTCCTCGATGTGCTCGATCCCGACGACGATTCCCTCGCCCGTTTCATCCTTCTCCCCGTTTCGAAACGCCTCGCTCGTCACCAACTCCGCGAAGCACGCGGCGAGATACCCAGAGCCCGAGCCGACGTCCAACACTTTCGCGCCTCGTCGCGTCGCGTCGGCTTGCTCGAAGAGTTCCAAGCACGCCGCGTGCATGTGCGGCGCGGATATCGTCGCGTGGTACCCGATCGGCAGCGGGTGATCGTAGTACGCTTCTTCTTTTTCCTTGTGTCGCGCGTAGTTCCCGCGATCGACCGCGCGCATCGCGTTCGCGACGCGCGGCGACTTGATTATCGCATTCTTTTCCAGCGCGCGAACGAGCGAGTCGTTGTCCACGCCGTGCGAACGCCACGCCATTCGGAGCGACGACAGCGACGACGAGCCGACCAAGGCGCGGCGGGTGATCGAGCGCGCGGCGTGGGCGCGTATGATGGCGCGCGGAGACGTCGCGCGCGGGCGATTGTGAGGAAAAGATATTTTCATTTCAACTAACTCTCGGGACGGGACGGGACGGGACGACGCGCCGAGTAGCGGCGCGCGACGACGACTCGCACTAATGCGACACCGTAATAATGAATGTAAACGACGCGTAAACGACGATCGCGCGAAAGCGCGCGATCAGGGCTCGACGCCGGCGCTGCGGAGTAACTCGCGAAGGCGCTCGCACTCGGCCAACGCGGCGTGCTTTTCGCGAATCGTCGATTCGAGCTTCGAGCGCAAAGCGCGCTGCTCGTGGATGGATAAAGAAGCGTCGACGTCGTTCGGTGAGGACTTGGTGGTCTCCCGAACGAGGGTGTCGATGATGCTGGCGTGCTTGACGGCGTCGGGATCGGTTGGATCGACGGCTCGAGCGTTCGGTCGTTTCGATCGCGCGGCGTGCTCGACGTTTTCGTCGTGACGGCGGCGCAGCTCGGCTTCGACCGCCGCGAGCGCGGCGGCGTCCACGCACACCGGCCCGGGCGCGTTTCGCGGAATTCCTCGAGACGCGCGGTCGCGCCCGAGGTCGAGCGTGCGGACGACGGGCCACGGAACGTCGCCGTTGACCCAGGACGCGAGTTGCGCGCTCGGATCGATCGTCGGCGACGCTTCGATCCACACCTTGACGCCGCAGTCGCACGTCAGCGGAATCCACGTCGATTGCTGCGACGCGTCAACTCCGACATCTTCCGAACGACGCTTCGTCGGCGTCGTTCGCGGCGCAGCTCTCCGTTCGGCGAGCGTCCTGCGCGACGCCTCGAATCGATCTCGGCGTTCGCGCTCGCGGTCGACGAAACGCGCGGCGCACTCGTCGTACGAGGGTTGATACCGCCTGATGCGCTCCTCTCGAGTCTTTTCGCGCATCTCGCGACCTTCGTCGTCGTCGTCGACGTCGAAGGCTTCGTTATCGCCGCCCTCCGCGAACGCGTCGACGTCCACCGTCGTCGCGTCCATGGCGTCCGTCGAGCACTCGTCGTCGCCCGAAGACACCGCCGACGGCGAGTCCATCGCGCGGGACGGCCGCTCCAGCTCCCTCGACTCCCCATCTCGAATCAACAACCAACACTGACGCGCGCTGTCGAACTCAAACGTCGCCCCCGTCGGGCGCTCGGCCAACCGTCTCGCCTCGCCGCCCGCGAACGCGCGATACCCCGGCTTCCTCCCCACCGCGTCCACGCCGCGTCCCTCGCCCGCGGGCACCATCGTCGTGTCCCATCGCGTGATTTTCCACCCGTCGCCGTCGCTTTCCCTCCCCCCCCGCGATTCGTCCAACCTCGTCCCCGCGCCGCTCGCCGGCGCGAACGGATCCCGCGCGCCTCGTCCCTCGATAAATCTATTCTGACACGTCGCCCCTCCCGGCGCGCCCCCCGCCCCGCCGTCCGCCTCCCTCTCGCCGTATCCCACGCTCGCCGCGTTCGCCTCGCGCGCGCTCGCGTCCACGTCTCCCGAGAACCACGACGACGATCCCCAGAGCGTCGACGCCGCGCGCTCGCACTCCCCCGGATCCTCCACCGCGCTCGCCCCGTTCCGAAACGCCCGTCGATCGTCGTCGTGCGCGCCGTCGGCCGGCGTCGTCACGACGGCGCGCCCGATCGCCGGCGCCGCGCCCCACCGCCGCCGTCGCGGGTCGCACGCGTCGCGCGTCGCGCGCGCCGTCGTGACGTCGACGTCAACCGTCATCGCGTCGTCGTCGTCGCGTCGTCGCGTCGTCGCGGCCGCGGAGGCGTCGACGCGCGAGCGATGCGACGCGCGCGCGCGATGCGAGCGCGCGCGCGCGCCGACGATCGATCGTCGCGGCGCGCGCGCGTCGAGATGCGGCGCCGCGGCGATCGACGGCGCGAACCGACGCGACGACGATCGCGCACTGATGGTCTCGTGTGTATACTGTATACGACACCAAGTCATGTACTGTGCATGTATATATACCCATCATTACACGACAGCGCCAACGGCCGCGGCACCGCGAACCGACGCGACGACGATCGCGCACTGATCGTCTCGTGTGTGTACTGTATACGACACCAAGTCATGTACTGTGCGTGTATATATACCCATCATTACACGACAGCGCCAACGGCCGCGGCACGCCTCGACGCGCCTCCGAGACGGCGCGCGCGACGCGCGACGACGCGCGCGACGACGACGCGCGCGCGAGGACGCGGATCGACGGCGATTCGCGACGACGTCTCGGAGGCGCGCGCTCGACGGCGACGACGGGTCGAGCGCGCGCGAGGCGATGGACAACGAACGGGGCGACGACGACGCGATCGACGCGGCGACGGCGACGGTGCGCGGTTGGTTGTCTCGCGAGCGCGAAACGTCGGAGGCGTCGTCCGAGTTTTCGGCGGGACGGCGCGATTCAGACGGCGGCGACGCGCGGGATGGCGCGAACGAGGGCGACGACGCGGCGGAACGGCGCGCGGCGGCGGACGCGGGGAGCGACGAGGACGAGGACGAAGACGGCGAGACGGCGTTCGTTCGAGTGGAAGGCGCGGAGATTCGCGACGTCGAAAAGGATGCTGAATTCGTGATGCGAGAAATATTAGCCATGCAAAACGAATCCGAGCGCGTCATCGCGGGGAAGATTCAAGAGAGGGTGGAGCGTACCAAGGGCGCGGCGGCGAGCGTCGAGGCGCGACGCGCCAAGATGTTGCAGAGCTTGCTGTCCAAGTACTCTCGAGTGGATACGAGCGAGAATTCGCACACTGGGGCTATTGTACGAGAGACGACGTCGTCCAATCCCAAGTATCACTTTTTTAGAGGCACCGAGCCGGGAAAGACGCACATCGAAGCGACGAACGTCGGCGTTCGTTTTCGATCCGTCGACGCGTACGTCAAGGCGAAGAAACGCGCCGAGGAAGACAGAAAGGAACGCATCGCTGCGATGTTTCGAGACTAGATATCTAGGACTTGTATTCTAACGTTAGCTACTACTGTACATTCACGGATTCGGTGGAGGCGCTTGCGCCGCGAGGCGCGCCGCGATGGCGGCGGCCGCCGCCGCCGCAGCAGCAGCGGGTCCGACGGGCGCCGGCGGCGGCGGTGGAGGCACGGATACCATCGCGGGCGCCTGTAGCTGCTTCGCGATGGCCTCGGCTTTCGCGCGCGCCTGAGCGATGATCGCAGCGGCGTTCGGCACGGATACCATCGCGGGCGCCTGTAGCTGCTTCGCGATGGCCTCGGCTTTCGCGCGCGCCTGAGCGATGATCGCAGCGGCGTTCGGCGCTTGTGGTTGCTGCGTTTGTGATGGCGGCGGTACCGCGGTAAAGTCGGCGCTCGGCGCGGGTCTCGCCGCGCCGCCGCGGCCACCGCCGAACGCGCCGCCGCCTGCGCTCGGCCGATGGTGCGATGTGAAACCAAGTCCCCTACCGCCGACCTTGCCGTGCCGAGGTGCGTCGCCGCCGTGATCACTTCTAGGGCGTTTGTTGTACGTGCCGCGCGCGAGCGCCTTCAAATCGAGCGGCACCGGTTGGCCCGCGGCTTCCAAATTTTGTTCCAACTGCTGCGCGAACTTTGCAGAATCACGCGCGGTGAACAAGGTGTACGCACGGCCATCGAGCGCACCTGCGCGACCGGTGCGACCGATTCTATGCACGTGCGTCGACATATCGCGCGCGGGGTGGAAGTTTACGACGGTTTTAATCGCCTCAACGTCGAGTCCGCGAGCGGCGACATCCGTCGCCACGAGCACGTGCGCGTGCTCACTCTTAAAAGCCTTCATCGCGAATTGTCTTTGCGCTTGATCCAAGTCGCCGTGCAAGGCGACGGCTTTTATTCCGCGCGTCGCGAGCTCGTTCACGAGCTCTTCCACGGACGACTTGTGATTGACGAAGACGATGGCTTGTCCTTCGTCGACGGCGTCGCCGAGATTTTCAAACAACCAAGCCGCGCGGCGAGCGTCGTCTTCGAAGACGTACACGACTTGTCGCACGTCCTCATTCGCGCCTCCGACGTTACCGATGGAGACAGTGACAGCGTCTCGCGCGAGAACGTCGCGAGCCAATCGCTGCATGGCCGCGGGCATCGTGGCGCTAAACATCACGCACTGCCTGTCGGGACGAACCGCCTGACAAATCGAGCGTACGATTTTTTCGAAACCCATGTCAAGCATTCGGTCGGCTTCGTCCAGCGCCAAGTACGTGACGCGACGTAAATTTGTCGAATTCTTCATGCACAGCACGTCCACCAAACGCCCGGGCGTCGCGACGACGATCTCCGCTCCCGCGCGAAGCTTTTTGAATTGGTCGCGCTTGGAGACGCCGCCGAAGATTGCGCAACATCGCGCCCCCGATACGCCAAATTTCGTAAACTTGTGCGCCTCGTTCGCGATCTGCGACGCGAGTTCGCGCGTGGGCGCGAGCACGAGCGCGATCGGGCCCTCGCGCTTCGTCAACGGCCTTTGCCTGGAAATTTGCGCGTACGCCGGCAGCAAAAACGCCAGCGTCTTCCCCGACCCCGTCTTCGCCATCACCAACGCATCGTGCCCGCTCCAGATCACCGGCAAGCACTGCGCCTGAACCGCGGTCGGCGATTCGTATCCCATCCGCCGCAGCGCCCGCAGGCAATCGACGTCCAACGCGCCGCCTTGACCGAACCGCGAGATCGGCGCGACGTCCTCCGCGCCGCCGCTCGCGCGCGCGTCCGCCGCCGCCCGCGCCGCGCCGACGTCCACGTCCGCGAGCTCCTTCGGCGCGACGTACGTCACGCGCTCAAACTTTTCGTACTCCTCGCGCGCGTGATCGACCTCGCGCAGGCTGTCTCGTCGTCCGCGTCGTCCTCGCGCGTCGCCCGCGTCGTCGTCGTCGTCGCTCGCCGTCGTCGCCCGCGCGTCGTCCTCCTCCTCCTCGTCCGCGTCCGCGTCCGTCGCGCGCCGCGTCGCCGCGCGCGCGCCCAGCATCGCCATCGACAGTCCGAACGCGTCGTCGTCGTCGTCGTCGTCGCGCGTCGTCGTCGCGCGCGCGTCGTCGCGCGTCCCGCTCGCCGGCACGTCGAGCGTCGCCATGAACGCGTCCAGCGGATCGACGTCGTCGTCGCTCGCCATCGCGCGCGCGAATATCGACGCGCTCGTGCGCGTCGCGTCGCGTCGCGCGCGCGCCGAGCCGAGGGCGCGTCGGCGACGCGTCGCGCGCGCGCGAATGTCGCGCCGCCGGATGTCCCGACCGCCGGCGTCATTTCGGCGCGCGAGCGACGCTGACGCGCCGACATGCGCGTGCTCGGCGTCGCCGAGGGCCTGCTGACGAACGTCGAGGTCCTGGACCTGCTGCGCGAGCGCGCGGGGGAGCCGGGACGGCTGGCGACGTACCCGCAGCCGCACGACCCGTTCCCGACGGAGATGGAGTGCTACGACGCGCTGCGCGCGGCGCCGGCGGGGGCGCAGGACCGCGAGAACGTGCGATTGTTCATCGAACACATCGCGGCGATCGAGCTGACGCAGGCGGAGGTGGTGCAGCTGATCAATCTGAAACCGACGGAGCGGGTGACGGTGCACGCGGTGGTGGAGAAGTGCGCGCGGAGGCTGACGGAGGACGAGGTGGACGATTTGTTGCACTTGTGCGAGAAGTATCTGTGAAAACGAGGCCGAGAGGCGAGCGAACGAACGAGGCCGAGAGGCGGTCGTCGGCGCGCGCGGAGGGGCGAACGCGGGAAGGCGTCGACTCACGCGTACTTGCCGATGGCGGCTAAGAGTTGTTGCGACGCCGCGCGCACGGCTTGTTTTTTGGTGTCGGCCTCGGCGACGAACTCTAACGTGCATGCGTGGGAGGCGAGTCGCATCATCGCGACGAATAGAGGCGGCTGACCCGAGCCACGGACGTTTTCGCAAGACACGAGGTGAGCGCCGAAGGTTTTGGCTTCGCCGAAGGCGTTTTCTAAACGCGCGCGCTTTTTTTCCGCGCGCGCGCTTTCGTCCTCGTCGCCGGCGTCGACGGATTTGATGATGTGACCGTAATCGGTGAGCAACAGCAGCGAGGCCTGTGCCTCGGCGGCTTTTTTCGACTTTCCCAAGGCTTGCCTTTGGAACTTGGGCTCGCCGCTCGTCTTCGCCGGCCAGATTGCTTCGGCGGCGAACACGGGTTCGTGATCCGCCGTTCCCGGCACGCGCTCGGTGATCGTTTCACCGTTGAGCTCTAAGAGTAAGCCTTTTGGGTTCGCGATCTGTTGCGCTGTCATTCGACGCTGCGCCAGCGCGCTAAAACAAAGAAACTTTGCGAGCTGCTTCAACGCCGATTCGCCGCCGCGCAGTCGACTCACGTCGTACGCCGCCGCCGCTATGATCGTGCTCGCCGCGTTCGCGCGTTCCTTCTCTTGCGTCCACGCCCCTCGCCGCTTGGCCGAGTTCGGATCGCGATACGGAAACAACTTCGGGCACAGATCCGTGAACGTCTGCGCGCTCGCGATGTCCGAGAAGAATCGTTGAGCCTCTCCGGTAGTCGCCACGAGTTTGTTTGTAAACATTTCCTCCAACACGTACCGCCCGACGATTTGCATGCCAATCAACGCGCGCAGCTCTACGTCGCGAGATGAGCTCTCCGTGAGGCTCAGCTCGCACAACCGCGTGGGGAGCAAACCGTTGTCCACCAATCTCCCGCACAAGTCGTGCCACTCGTTGAGCGCCGGTTCGTCGTCGCCGTAGACCTCTTGAACTCTACGGCGAAACGCGTGCGCGCCGCCTCGAAAATCATCGGACAAGCGTCGCTGTGACTTTGCCGAAGGACCCGTTCGCGGCGGCGGGTCGCCCATGCCGACCGACCGAAGCGTCGAGAAATGGCTGTGCGCGTGCGGTCAACGCGACGTCGGTCAACGCGACGAATCGACGCGACGGCTCGCGACGGATCATCATCCCGCGTACAAATCCGCGCGGAACGCTGGAAACCAGTATAAACGCGCGTGACCTGGATCGTTGTTCTGATCGTCCACGAGCGCGACGCCGAGCTTCACGGCGGCTTCGAGCGCGTCCTCGGCGCGAGCGCGCGACCACGCGAGCGATTCCTCGAGCTCCGCCGTCGTCGCGCGTCCCTCGGGCGTGTCCTTCGCAAACGCGAGCGCGGCGTTGACGTCATCGCTAAGCTCCATGGGCACGCTCCGAACCATCTTAACCGCGCCGTTTGGGCGTCGCGCCGAGTCACCGTTTGATTTCGACGCCGTCCCCGTCGATTCCACGCGCCAACCGCCGCCGAGCGTCGCGAGCGCGCCGATGGCGCGTTCGACGTCGTCCGCGCTCACCTGTCCCACCGCGCTCGACCGTCGACGATTCACGCGATCGACGAGGGCGCTCAATTCGCACAATCCGCCGTCGTGCGCGCGCGAGGCCAAACAACAGTCGGCGACGCCCACCGCGAGCTCGACGTAAAAGTCGCCCAAGCCCAAAATCTGTCCCCACGCGCTCTTCCTCGACGCCAGCGGGTCCACGCCCACGGACGCGCACATGGCGTGGAACGCGGCGCGGAGCTCGGGGTCGGCTCGAATGCCGTCGCGGTGCGACGCGGCGAACCGTTCGAGTTGCGAGGTGAACTTTTGCAACTGTTTTTGCGTCTCTTCCTCGCGGAATCGCGCGCGCTCGACGCCCAAACGACGAAATTTGTCGTCGAGCTCGTTCGCGTGCTTAATCGCGCTCACGCCCGCGCGACGACGCATCGCGAGCGTCGAGGCGGCGCGCGCGGCGACGAGTGCGGCGACGCGCGCGAGGCGAGCGGGACGCGCTTCGCTTCGCTTCGATCTTCTCATCGGTCGTTCATTCGTTTGTTTGATTGTTTTACACACGCTAGAGAACACACCGCCACACCGACCGCGCGTCCATCACGACTTCGCCATGCTCGGTCGCGTCGAGGCGCCCGGCGGCATCCACCTCGACGTCGTCGGACGCGCGTCCGCGTCCCATCCTCGCACCTCAGCCATGATCGCCTTGTCGTTCTCTTTCTTCGCCGTCCACGCGCGCACGAACCGTCTATCTTCCTCCGCTTGTAAATACGGCACGATCACCGCTCGCGCTAAGATCTTCTCCTCCTTGGCCTCTCGCCTCTCGCGGTTTCCGACGCCGATTTGATAAAACCCGTACGTAAACATCCCGGCGTACACCGCGAGCAGCGCCGCGCCCGTCGGTCCCGTGCTCGGAATTCGCCGTCCGTATCGAATCGCGGAGTATCCTCCCGGCGGCGGTCCATCCTGTTTCCGAGCGCGCGCATCGCGCGTTCGTCAGTCTCCGGCTTCGCGCGCGTCTCGCGCGCCGCGTCCTCCACCCAACCCACCGCCTTCGCGCGCCATCGTTCGCGCGCGCGCGCGCCCTTCGCGACCGCGCGCGTCCGCCACCGCGCGCCGTCCGCGACGCGCGAAAACTTTTCGCATCGATCGCCGCACCTGCACGATCGGTAGATCGCGCACCGAGCGCAGGCCCGGCGTCCCGCGCGTCGTGACCTCCGTCATCGCGCGCGCGCCGGCGCGCGCGACGAATCCGCGCGCGGCGTCGCCGTCGAGCGCGTTCGAGCGACGAAACCGCGCGAAACGGTGACGCGAAACGCGCGCGAGCGAACGCGCGCGGAACTGGTCGCGGGCGCGCGACGCGCGTCGCGGTGTGCGGCGACGATCGCGCGCGCGCCCCTGGACGATCGCTCGAGCGGTCGCGTCGGCACACGGCGACGCGGACGCGCGGGAGAACGATGTGCGTGCGACCGCGGGCGCGCCGCGCGGGCGAACGACGCGCGCGGGCGAACGACGCGCGCGGGCGCGGGCGAACGACGCGCCGAACGACGCGACGACGTCGATCGCGACGACTGACGACGATCGCGACGACGACGACGCGACGACAGGACGGACGTGGAGGACGACGACGACGAACCGGTCGATCACAAGCCCGAGGTGGAGGAGAAGTGCATGCCGAAGTGCGAAAAGTTCGTCAAGCTGTACGAGGCGTGCGCGGAGAGGATCAAGGGAGACGAGACGGGGGAGGCGCACTGCACGGTGCGCGAGGCGAGGCGACCGAGAGACGCGAGAGACGCGAACGAGCGAACGAGGACGGCGACGACGCGCGGAGACTGACTCGGAAAGACGATGGCGCGCGCAGGGGCAATATTTTGACATGTACAAGTGCGTGGATGAATGCGCGAAGGACGAAGTGATGCGACGCACGGCGTAGGGCGCGGTCGCGGCGCGCGCGCGACGGTTCGCGCGCGCGTGGGCGGGCGTAAATTTTAAGGGATCACGTTGTAATTGAAGCGCATGCGGTGCGTACGAATATTTCGCTGTGGTGCCTAATACATGCGTGGTCTAACTCTAGTGTGGCTCGTCGGCGACGCCTCGACGCGCCGCCGCTCGTCCAAATATAATCAATCAATCAATCAATCAATCCGCGCGCGCGCTACCCGAACAGGAATCCAAACTTTCGCGCGCCTGTTCGTTTCTTCCGTCTCCCCGACGCCGCGGACGGCGGCGGCGGCGGCGCCGCGAGGACGGCGCCGCCCGAGGTCGCCGTCGCGTTCGCGTTCGCGTCCCCGAACACATCTATATAAGGCGCATAAAACGGCCTTCCGCTCGCGAGCGCGAGCGAACCGACGAACAACGCTCCGATGCACACCCTCGCTCGTCGCGTGCCGCGCTTGAGCTCTAATTCGCGCTTGTGGTCGCGTTCAGACGGCGGATGTCCTTGGTGTAGGTGATTCACCCGCTGTCCCGCGCCCGTCGTCCCCGCGCCGCTCTCGCGCTCGCCCGACGCGGTCGCGGTGCCATCACCGCCGCCGTCGGCGTCGCCGCCGCCGCCGTGCGTCGGTCGCCGGCGCGCGCCGATGCACCAGGCGTTCATGCGTCCGGGTGTGCGGCGGCAGTGCGCGCCGGGCGTCATGGCGACCGCGTCGCGCGCGCTTCAGCACCGCGTGGGCGCGCGCGGACGTCGCGCGGGGCGCGCGCCGCGCGCGCGGACGCGCATCGCGCGCGCGAGGGCGGCGGAAATGCTCGGAGAGGTGCTGACGAAGGATGACTTGCTGCTGCGGTGCGCGCCGTGGGGGAACGTGTGCGTGGTGTACGGCACGCACTACGTCCCGATCGCGCTGCCGAGCATCGTGGGATCGTTAGTGCTGTTCGCGCCGCTGGTGTGGGCGGTGAAGGAGGTGCGCGCGAGAGATGTGGAGATTTTTAAGTTGAGAGAACGCCTGGGCGAGACCGACGACGAGACGTAGCTTTCGGAGACGAACGCGCGCCGCCGGCGCGAAGTGTGTTGTACATTGATTTATGATTAAGCCAACTCGAATACTACCCTACGCCGCGGCGCTCTTGGATTCGCGCTCGTTGATCTCCGCGTCGCTCGACTCGAGACGTAAAATCAAGTCGGCTTTGTTGCCGCCGACTTTGCACCCGCGCGCTTTGAGTTCTTTCCTCAATTCTTCCCCAGTCATGCCGAAATACGGCCCAAAGTACGGCATCGCCGCGCCCTCTTCGCGGTCGACGACGCCTCGGTCGGCGAGCGCGGCGCGTACGCGAGAACACAGTTCGTCTTCCTCTTTCGCCGCCGCGCCCCCGTCTGCGACGTGCCCGTACGCGGCGATGAGCAACGACTCGGCTCTCCCGTGATCCTTCTTCCGCTTCAGCTCGCCGGCGATCTCGGGAAAAAGCATCTTCGCCATCGCGATCGAATCATCCTTCGTGCTTCCCTTGAACTTCAACCCCATCGCCGCTTTCCACGCCTGCGGCTTCACCACGCGCACTTCGAATTCCTCCGCCGCGAGCACGCCTCGCCACAGCCCGAAATTATACCCTTGCACGAACGCCGTCTGCGCGCTGAACCCGAACTCGACCCCGCCCTCTTCCAAATACACCCTCGTGCCTTTGGGCACGCCCAGCGCGCGCACCGCGCCGCGCATGGCGTCCGGGTCCAGTCGCAGTCGCGCGCGTCCGTTCACCGTCACCGTGCTCGTGGGATTGTCCCGAACGTTCACGCTTCGCACCGAGCCCACGGACGCGCCCGAGATCACGCACAGCGCGCCGTGGGCGTCGGAATCGCACCCGACGACGATCCAATCGTCGCGCGAGCGCGCTTCGGCGTCGGCATCGTTCGATGAAGACGCGCTTCGCGAAGCGCTCGAGCGGGACGACCGACGACGCGTCGCGAGCGCGTGCGCGCGGCGCAGCGGTGCGGACGCGGGCGCGGATGAAGACGCGCGCGCGGTTCTCGCGGTGGCGCGTCGCGCGGCGTTGGCGAGACGCGATGCGAGCATGGTGCGCGCGGTGGCGTGTGAGGAACGGCAAACGGCTTTTTGGCGCTCGAGCCCGGACGAAAAAAATGCGACTACGTCGTCGCGTCGTTCGGGAGGCGGAGACGGGCACGCGGTGTAAACGCAGTTGAAGACTCGTATCACAAAATATTAAGCGTACTTGTCGTCTACGAAAGATCGATCCTTCAAACCGAGTCGTAAAATGACATCCGCGTACCTATCGCCGTCGGTGCGTCGGAGGTACTTTAAAAGCTTCTTCCGGCGCTCGAGCATGGCCATGAGCCCGTGACGGCTGTGCGTGTCCTTTCCATGTTCACGCAAATGTTCCGTCATGAGCTTAATGCGCATGGTCAAGTTGGCGATTTGTACTTCGCTCGACCCCGTGTCGTGTTCGTCGCGCGCAAACGCGGCTCGCTCTTCGGCGAGCGCGCGCTTGTTCACGTCTCCCCTCGACATGTTGGTCTCACTCAGATACTTTTTCACTAATTCGGGTTTGATTTCACCAGACTTTTGATTCAAGTCCAGCGAACGTCGGCTCGATCGACCCTCAGCGGCGTCTCCGGCGGCGACGGATGTCGTCGAAACAATCGACTTCGCCCAGCGCGTCGCCGGCGCCCACTGGCTGCCTAACTCACTACTCATCAAACATCCTCTCATACTCTCCAAACTATTAACAGCGAACGACCGCACCGCCGTCGCACCTTTCAAACGATTTCCGAAAACACTAATCATCTTCTCGTCGTTTACGCTTGGTTAGAGTTCGGCGAGCGCTTCTTGCCAATGCCCACGACGACGTTCACGAAACGACGGTTGTACTTGATGCGTTGGAACGCGCGGCCCTTGGGCTGCTTCTTCTTTTCTTGTTTCGCGACCTTCGGGGTTTGACCACGAACCTGATCAACGCGTAAGAAATCGCTTCGTCAGTCTCGCGTTCGCGCGCGTCTCAGCCCTAGTCCCTCGCCCGCCATCATCCATGGATCGCCCCGTCGCCCCGCGCCCCCACGCCGACGCATCTCGCGCCCCGTTCCCGCCCGCGCGCGATGTCCGACCCCATCCATCGCGCCATCTCATCGCGACTCCCCGCGTTCGCGCGTTCGAAGCGACGCCGCGCGTCGATCGCCGCGCGCGTCGTCGATCGCCGCCGTGCGAAGCCCTAACGCGACGATCCCACGCCGCGCGCGCCGCGCCGCGCCGAACGCGCGCCGCGCGCGCCGCATCGATCGAGAAGAATATCGTGTACGTACTTTACCAGCGCGAGCGAGCGAACCGTGGACCTTTCCCATGGCTTCGAGACGATGTGTGACGCGCGCGGCGTTGGCGCGTCGAGGCCGAAAAACGTTTGAAGCGCCGCACGCGTGTGATTTTTGACCGAGTCTCGAAAGCACCGTTCGTGACTCATAAGTAGCGATGATGGCGCTCAAAGTATCTTAAATGCGTCTCGGCGGACGCGCGGGTGATTTTCCGCGCGTCCGCCGAGAGCGCGACCACGAGGCCGGCACGCGCGTCAGGCCGGCACGCGCGTCATTACTCCACGCCCGCCGACGCAAAACATGTCGCCTCTCCCGCTCGCCGAGCCTTTGCTCGATGAAAACGACCAACGGTGCGTGAAGAAAAATATTCGCGACGCGTGCGCGCGCGCGACGGCGTCGATGGACGCGCGCGCGCGCGGTGAGGGACGCGCGAACGATGGGGCGCAACGTTCGAATTTGAAATCGCGCCGGTGCCGGGAATCGTTTCGCGGGGCTGGACGCGCGCGCGACGCGCGATGGCGCGGTTCGGGGGGCGAAGACTGCGTGAGGGATTTCGACGCGCGCGTCGGCGCGGGCGACGGCGCGCGCGAGGCGCGGGTGGTGTGGGAGGTTGGGGAAGATGACGTCGTGGATGATTTTCGAGTCGTTTAGTTGAAAAAGACACTGACGGAGGTTTCGCGCGCGTTTCGCGGTCGCTCGCAGGTTCACGATGTTCCCGATTCAGTACCCGCAGGTGTGGGAGATGTATAAGAAGGCTGAGGCGTCTTTCTGGACCGGTGCGTGCGCGAACGAGCGCGTGGGGTGACGTCACGTCGAACGCTGCGCAAAGTTTGAAATCGCGCGGCGCGCGAGAGAGCGAAGGGCGAACGGGACGCGTGACTAACGGTACATCGACGCGATCGCGCGTGCTTTTGTGCGCAAACAGCGGAGGAAGTCGATCTGTCGGACGACATGAAGCACTGGGAGACGCTCACGAAGGATGAGAAGCACTTTGTCTCGCACGTGCTTGCGTTCTTCGCCGCCTCGGACGGCATCGTGCTCGAAAACCTCGGCGTTCGTTTCATGGGCGAGGTTCAGATTCCGGAAGCCCGCGCGTTCTATGGCTTCCAAATCGCCATCGAGAACATTCACTCCGGTACGTCGAGAGATGCGCTCGATTCTTGCGATTGGAGAAGGAATTTCCACCTCGCGCGCGCAAACGCTCTCGAATTCAAACCGACTGACTCAAAACGCTTTCTTCATCGTTCGCAGAAATGTATTCTTTGTTGATCGATCAGTACATCAAGGATCCGGTGGAAAAGGACCACCTGTTCCGTGCCATCGATACCATCCCGTGCGTGAAGAAGAAGGCTGACTGGGCGTTGAAGTGGATCGACTCGAGCGACTCGTTTGCCGAGCGTCTCTTGGCGTTCGCGTGCATTGAAGGCATCTTCTTCTCTGGTTCTTTCTGCTCCATCTACTGGCTCAAGAAGCGTGGCTTGATGCCGGGCTTGACCTTCTCCAACGAGCTCATTTCTCGTGACGAAGGTTTGCACCGCGATTTCGCGTGCTTGTTGTTCAGCATGTTGAACAACAAGCCGAGCGAAGAAACCATTCGCAAGATTGTCACCGAGGCTGTTGAAATCGAGAAGGAGTTCGTGTGCGACTCTCTTCCGTGCGCGCTCGTGGGCATGAACGCCGGCATGATGAGCGACTACATTGAATACGTCGCCGATCACTTGTTCTGCTCTTTGGGCTTGGCCAAGGAGTACAACACGACGAATCCGTTTGATTGGATGGAACTCATCTCTCTTCAAGGTAAGACGAACTTCTTCGAGAAGCGCGTCGGCGAATACCAGAAGGCGGGTGTCATGAACTCTATCGGGGGTGGCAACGCGAACGCGTTCTCCCTCGACGAAGACTTCTAAGCGTAACGGGCATATGAGGAAGTTATTCTATGATTTTAGCGAGAGCGAGGCAAGAGTGTATGAGTTATCAGCGACGTCACGACGACGCGACGGTATATATTCACATCACATGTATCAACCGGTAGAGGGGAGTATCTTATAGCCACTCGAATGGGCGGGTTCGAGGTCGGTCGTTCACGATTTACGAGAAACGACGCGACGTGTTTTAATGAAAATGACGAAACATCAATAAAAGAGTCTTTTCATCGCGACTCGTCTACGCGTGCGCCACTACATGTCGTGCTAACGCTATGTCCTACTTTGTGCTACTTGAACGCGCGCGAGGAGTCGTGAATATTTCGCTCAAAGCGATGTACCGATCGCCGCACCACCGCCGCGCTTGGATCGCCGAAGTCGACGCAGCGCCACCAAGGTGAAGAACGCGAAGGCCAACGAAATTGTCCAAGGGAAACGGCGCTGTTCATCACCAACTGCGAACGATGAAGATGACGCGACAGCCGGCACGACGCTTTGATGTTTGAAATTTATGTCGGGGTGCTGGTCGAGCATGGATACGAGCGTGATGGGCGCTCCGAACCACGCTTCGACGACGGCGTCGCGCGTCTCCTTCGTCGTCGGGTTGAACGCGCGATGACAATCCTCGAAAGGCGCATCGAGATCGCCGTATATTTCCCACGTGTACACCACGGGCACCTTCATCTTTTCGTATATGTAATCAGTCGCCGTACCGTGCGCGAGGTACCCCACGCCCTTCCCGCCCGAACCGAGCGTGCACTTTTTCGCGCAGTGCTCGGCGTCGATGACGCGCGCGAAACGCATCATCGCCTCCGCCCCCGCCCCAGTGGGCTCGCGCGCGACGTGATCATACGGCGTGAATATCGCCGACATCCCACTGTGCCAATTCACCACCGCGTGCGGCTCGAACGACGCGACGAGATCCCGAAATATCCGACTCTCCGGCTCGCTAAACGGCGCCGTCCCCGGAAACTCCTCCTTGGGATCGTAATCCGGCGCCTTCACCCCCCAATTCACCCCCCAATTCCTATTCGGGTCCACCCCTCGCCCATTCTTCCGCTCGCACGGATCCCCCCTCTCCACCAGCTCCCGTCCTCGCTCGTTCTCCATCGGCACCACCGCGAACGTCGTCGCTCGAAGCATCGCTCGCAACCGCGTCTCGTCCACACCCCTCCCGCGCGCCAGCGCCACCACCGCGTCCTCACCCTCCGCCATCGTCTCCAGCAATCGCACCGCCGCGTCCACGGGCACCAATTCCCGTCCGTGTTCTCCGTAATTCTTCGTTCGAGTCGTCGCCGCGCGCGTCGTCGTCTCGTCAGTCCCGCCCGCTCGCGCGCGCCTCTCCCCTTCCCCTCCGCGCGCTCGATCTCGCCCTCGCGCGACGCACCAGCAGCACGCGCAATTTATCGCCGTCCTCCCTCGCGTCCGCGCCGCTCAGCCGCGCGTACACGACGTCCACGCGCGCGCGGTATCCATCCGTCGCGTCCTCGCGCGTCTCCGTCGTCATCGTCCCCGCCGCGCGTCCGCGTCGCACCGCGCGCGCCACGGCGTCGCGCACCGCGCGCGCGTCCATCGCGGTGGCGCGCGCGCGCGCGTCGCGATGGACGCGGTCGCGATGGGCGCGACTCGGAGTGTCGAGGGGAATGAACGACCGCGCGGCCGCGGGCGCGTCGTCGCCACTCGTCGACGCGCGAGCGCGCGCGCGCGCGAGCCCGGACGCGCGCGCGACGGCGACGATGCGCGCGCGCGTCGTCGGCGACGCGGCGACGCGGAACCGCCGCGCGACGCGCGCCGAAGCGGCGGAATCATCGCCGACGATGCGTCGGGCGAACCGTCGGCGACGGCGCGACGGCGCGACGACGGCGCTGACGCTGACGCTGACGCTCGCGCTGCTCGACGCGGCGACGGCGATGACGATGCGCGTTCGAGGGACGCTGGAGACGCTGACGCGGGCGTGCGCGACGAGCGAGAGCGCGAGCTTTGAGTTTACGCGGCGGGACGGCGGCGCGACGACGCGGTGCGTCTTCGCGCCGTACGACGTCGTGCGCGAGGCGGAGCGCGCGAGCGCGAACGCGACGGCGATGAAGGCGATATTCGTCGAACGCGACGCGAACGCGGAGATATTCGCGCAGAACATGGTTGGAATCGACGACGACGGGGTGGCGGCGGCGCTGGCGGCGAACGCGAGCGCGAGCGCGGATTACGAACGCGCGAAGGCGGTGAACGCGAGCGCGCACGCGGCGGTGGAGGCGGCGCTGGCGATCGCGGATAGTGGGACGGCGACGCAGGTGAGCGCGAGCGGGAGCGAGGCGACGTACGGGTGCTCGATACCGGCGGGCGCGGGGGGGGTGTACGCGGTGGTGGCGGCGGCGGATCCCGCGGGAGGCGTGACGGACGTCACCAAGCCCGACAGTTCGAAGACGATTCGAAGGACGAGTCTGCGCGATTATTCGCCGAAATCGGGGCCGTCGACGGGGGGGACGGTGGTGACGTTTAGCGGCGACGGTTTCAACGACGTCGCGGGGTCGACGATGAATTGCTCGATTAGCGACGGCAACTCCGTCGTCGTGCAGCGGGCGACGCATCTGCCGGACGGGACGGTGACGTGCGAGATGCCCGCGCAGTCCGGGGTCATCGACGTGAAGTTAGTGTACCCCGACTCGTGCTACGAAACGGCGCAGTTTCTGTACTATCAGAATCCAGAGGTGCTGTTGGTGATTCCGCGACACGCGCCGCGTTTCGGGCGGAACAACTTTAGCGCGTACGCGACGAATACGTATTACGCCTCGCAGTACGGACCGGGCGGGAGCGACGCGACGCACGCGGGTAAAGTGAACGTGACGTGCGCGCTCGGAATGGGGACGTCTTCGAATCAAACGGCATCGGCCATCGCCGTGGTTCCGGGAGTGGTGTCGGCGTCGGGGCAAGCCATCACGTGCATGGTTCCCGACATCACGATTCCTATGGGAACGCACGACGTTCGCGTATCCTATAACGGTCAGCAGTACATGCTACCGAATTTGGTGCTCACGGATCCGTCGAAGGTGTCGATCGTCGCCCGTGGTCCGGTGCTTCGGACGAAGCATTATTACTCCACCGCTCAAAACGGTAACGAAGACGCGCGCGTGATCGCGGTGCCCGTGGAGCTAGAAGGCGTCAATAGAAGATTAGTGAGCGTTGGGGTGAATGTGACGTACGGGGGCATATCTCAGATGCCCGGAACGAGCGGTGATCAAGCGTTGGTTCAAGTAACGCACGCGAGCGCGAGGGACAACGCCACGGACGCGCGCGGCGATTACGACTTTAGCGTCAGCCCGACGACGCTTCACTGGATGGCGGGAGAATCGGGAGAAAACTTCGTGTACGTTCGAATCAGGAACGATCGCGTGCACGAAAACGCATTGGAGGCGCTCACGCTGACGCTCGTCGACGCTATGAACGCCGATATCGAGACTGATTTCAAGAATAAATCAGCTGTGGTGACCATCGCCGACGACGACCCGGCGCCGTTGTTCGGCGTTCGAGCCCGCAATGTCGCATTTCCGCCGTTATATCGTTATTCACAGGAAACCGTGAAAATACCCATCGATATAATTGGCGGCGGTAATTTCGCCCTGCCCGCGGTCATCGATTACGAAATTGTGACGAGCGGCGCGGCTTCATCGGCGGTGGCGGGTGTGCACTACGCCGCCGCCACGGGACGGCTGACGTGGATGCCTGGTGATTACGGTAAGACGCAGCACGCTGAAGTCGTACTCGATTGGAGCAATATCCCTTCTGAGGCAAGCTTACGATTACACGTCAACCTCACCGCCGTCAGCGAGTCACGGGTGGCCGCTATCCCGTCGAGTTTTGTCGAATCTGAAGATGCGGCGTTGTTCATATTTGGCGTTCCGCCCGGATCTTGTCCGCCTGGTACGCGACGAACGGATCCAACTACGTACGTGGCGCCGCCACCCGTTCCTCAGGCACTCAGCCCTCCTCCGCCATCGCCACCACCGCCCTCAGTGAGCGTGGATTCGGCTATTTTGTCCTTGTCAGTCGTCGCCAACACCACCGTGGCGATGTCGAGCGTGTTTCCTTACGTTCCGGATGGCATCGCCATTCAGCCCGCGTTTGATCCGACAAGACACACGTACACTGCGACAGTCCCTCATGGCGTCACCGGTGTGCAAGTGTTCTATCAGTTTCGACAGTCGACGACGTCCATCACGACGACTCTGAGCGCTCGACGGCGATTGCTCGCGGCGAGCCTCGTGAATATGAAGTATTTCACGTTGAACCAAGGCGACAACGTGATTCGATTGATCACCACGTCACCGAACGGGCAATCCAGTGAGACATATCGATTGACTATAGAAAGGCTGGCGATGGTGGCGAATCCTCCCTCACCGCCGCCGCCACCACCCACGCCGCCTTCTCCTCCTCCGCCGCCACCTTGGACCCATCCGTCGCCACCACCACCCGAAGGTGCTTTACAGGCTCCACCAGCGCCACCGGCACCACCGGCACCGACACCACGGCCGACGGAACCGCGAGATAACGCCACGTGCACGTACTGCTCCGCGGGATCCTTCGCCTCCGACATGAACTCGCTACAGTGCCAGCTGTGTCCGCCTGGTTCTGCATCGCCGAGCGTGTTGACTAAGGCGTGCGTACAATGCCCACAAGGTATGTACATGGCCGAATCTGGTGCGACGCAGTGTTTGCAGTGCCCACGCGACGCGTTCGCCAATGTGACGGGCGCGCGCTTGTGCACGCCTTGCCCGCGTCAGGCGACGACGTCGACAGCCGGATCGACGATGTGCAACGTATCCACCGCGCCGGTGGATCGCGCGCATCCCGATGTCTTTTACGTCGATGTCGTTTTTGGTGTTTCATTCCATCAAGCCGGAGGTTCTTTGGCAAACATGGCGGCGAACATCGGCGTTGATGCAGATGCAAACTCTGCATTCGTTCGCGCGATGGAAATCGACGTCGCGACAAAGTTCAACGTCACCCGCGGTTCGATTCGTCTGGATGTCGCTCAACCCGGCGCGACCGCGTCGACGCCAGCGGGCCGAAGAAGGCTCTTGCAAAGTGGCTCGTCTGTTTCAGTGACGTGCTCGGCTTCTCAAAATTGCATTCGCGCCGTCGTAGTCACGGTGACGATGCAAGCCACGGAGATGTTGCGATTCGGCGTCGTGCGCGATTACGAAACTACAAAGGCGGCTATCGACGCGACGCGTGCGCAAGCGGCGGCCATATTGCTCACGCTTCGCAGCGATCCAGTGGCATTCTTTTCGACGACCACGGCGGGAATTGGTGGCGTGGTGCAGGGACAATTGTACGAAGATCCTAGCGGGTCGCTTATCGTCGAAAAAGAGCCGACGCCGCCGCGCGGAGTGCCAAACGTCTTCGGTGATGTCAACGTCGCTCTCATCGTCGTATCTTGCATCTGTGCCATGTTCGCTGCGTTTGTGGCGTACACGCTCCTCCGTCGCACGCGCGCGCGGCGTATGCTGACGAAGATTGAGAACGAAGTGATTGAGAGTGAGAAACGCAGAGTCGGTGTGCGTAAGGTGAAGGATTCTTCAAAAGTAACAGCCACCGTAAACAAGGCGACGTGGAAGAAAGTGTTAGCGCAAAAGGATGCACCAGACGATGCTGAAAAGGGTCAAGTGAAGAAGCAAATTCAGATGCGCGAACAGAGTCAAATTACGTTGGCGCACGTTTCGAGGTTTAAGCAAAGTCGTGAGTCGTCGGCGATTGAGAAGATGTGGCAAGCTCGAAACGAAAGAGCCGCGATTGGCGTCGGCATCCAACGGGTGAAAAGGTAAGGATTGTAACTTTTGTAACATTCACACTAGTCAAATCTAGGTTTTCGCTTGAGACGCCGCTCGTTTGGCATTCAACTTGGCGCGCGAATCGAAGTACGCCCTCGCCGTGTTGAGCATCTTGAACGCTTCCGTCGCTTGAGGGGAATTATCGTGCTTGTCTGGATGCACGAACACGGACAACTTTCTGAACGCATCTCTCGCCGCCGCATCGCCTTTACCATCGCTCGAGAGGTCACCTTCCCTCGCGGGTTTCACCGCGCATAATTCGGGATCTTTTGATCCGAGGCGCGCGCAAATTTTCGCCGGCGGCGCCCCGAACGACATTTGCCTGTTCAAATCTTTTCGCGCGGCCAAAAGAGAATCACACACCTTGGAAGTACGACCTTCGGCCTTCTTACACGCCGCCGTCAGGTGAGCGTCCACTTCGGCTTCAGTCTTTCCTTTGTTCGACGCGTCGAGGCGTTCGCGCAACGCCGCGAGGAAATCTGCACATACGCCGCACGCGGCGTTAGCTTCTTTGGACAGGCCTTTACCATCTTGACCGAAAAGAATGCAGCGGTGAACACCGCCCTTCTTGACGCCATCTTTCAAGGTCCCGTGCACGCCGCATCTCAACACGCGTTCAACGTTTTGGCGAGCGTTCTCTCGCCACGCCTCGGCCGCCGCCTCCGCCTTCATTTTGCGTTTCAGCTCCGCCTTCGCCGCCGCTTCCTGCTGTTTCGCCTTTAGAATCTTCGCCTTTTCTCTGGACTGTCGGATTTCTCGCCACTCGCGCAACTCTCTCTTCGCCCCCGCGAACCAAAAGTGACCGACGACGAGCGCGAACAACACGACGCCGACCGCGACGAGCGCGCCCCACAGGAGCGCCGCGCGCTTCTCGCTCGAGCGCCTCATTTGCTTTTTAATTCGCTCTTCCTCGTGATTGACGGCACACATCGATAAATACGCGACGCGCGACACCTGTCTCGCGTCGGCCAGCAATCGCGCGACGTCGTCGTGCCCGTACTTGGCCGCCAAGTCCGCCGCGGTGGCGCCCGGCAAGAACCCGCCTCGCGTCCTCGCGCGCAACCGCGCGCCCGCGTTCGCGAGAGGCACGACGACCTCCGGCTTACCCTCGATCGCCGCCGCGTGAAGCGGCGTGTGTCCCCGCGCGTCCACGCACTCGACGTCCGCGCCCGACGCGCACAGCGCGACCACGGATCGCGCGTCCCTCGCTCGGTGCAGCGCCGTCCGCTTCGACCCGTCTCTCGCGTCGCAATCGACGCCGCACCCCAACAACGCCTCCACCGCCCACCCATCCGCGCGATCGCACGCCAGGTGCACCGCGTTCGATCCATCGCCCCGTCGCATCGATCCATCCGCGCCCTCTCGCAGCAGCGTCGCGATCATCTCCCTCGACGTCGCCTCCAGCAGCGGCGTCGATCCCGCCGCGTCCCGCGCGTTCGCGTCCACCCTCGCCCCCAGCGCGCTCGGATGCCGCGCCCCGTAATTCCGCCGCGCGTCCAGTATCGCCCGCGCGCACGCCCCGTCGCCTCTCTTCGCCGCTTCGTGCAGCGCCGTCCGTCCTCGGCCGTCTCGCGCGTCCGCCGCCGCGCCGCTCGCGAGCAGCGCCTCGAGCGCCCCCGCGCGTCCGCGCGCCGCCGCCGCGTGCGTCGCGCGCCGTCCCTCGTCGTCGACGCAAGCGCGCAAGAGTTCAGGTCGCGCTTCGGCGTCGCGCAGCGTCCCGGCGACGTCGCCGCGCGCGACGCGTTCGCCGAACGCGCGCGCGTCGTCGTCCGCGCCGAGCGTCGCGCCGAGCGCCGAAGCGCGGCGCCGAAGCGCGCCGGCGTCGTCCATCGCGTCGCGGCGGTCGTCGCGCGCGTCGCCGCGCGCGGCGCGACGCCGAAGCGCGCGCGCGTCGCGCTGCGCGGCGCGATGGAGGACGGGACGTAACGGTCGCGCCGGGACGTCACAATGGCGCGACGCGTCGGCGTCGTCGCGCTGTGCGTCGCGCTGTGCGTCGCGCGCGCGGTCGCGGCGGGCGACGTCACCGCGGTGGACGCGTTCGCCGAGCGCGTGCTGCAGCAGGAGACGCGCGACGCCGTCGTCGTCGCGTTCACGATGGCGCGGTGTCCGCACTGCGCGGCGCTGAAGCCGCACTGGGAAGCGCTGCGCGACGAGTTCGCGGTGCGAAAGCGAACGGTGGACGTCCTGGAGATCGACTGCGGCGAGGCGCGGGAGGTGTGCGCGTGGCAGCGCGCGACGCGGTTTCCGACGATCAAGTATTACGTCCCGGGCGACGGCGACGAGCTGGGACGCGAGTACGGGACGAGCCGCGCGGCGACGTACGACGCGCTGGCGACGTTCGTGGAGCATTATTTGGAGAGGGCGCGCGATTGATCGAGGGCGAACGCGCGGTCGGCGAACGCGCGAGGCGACGATTCGCGACGTCGGGCGACGAGCGCGAGCGACGATAGGGCAATGCAACGCGGCTACGATTTCTTTTCGACTTTCGCGGCCGACGCGCCGTCGGCGGCGGCGTCGACGTCGCGCATTAAACTGACGAGCGCGCTTCTCCCGCCCCCGCGCGTCGTCGGGAGCGAACAATCCACCGCGAACGCCGTCCACATCGACGTCCCGAGCGCGGCGTGCGCCAAACTCGGCGGCGCGAACCGCGTCCATCCCAATCCCGATTCCCGCTCCGCGCGTCGGTTCAGCATCGTCAGCGTGACGTCGCACGCCGCTTTCGCGCCCTCGATCGTCCAAACCACCCGCGCGACGTCGCTTCGTCCGCCTCGCGACACCGTCGATTTCCACCACGCGCCGTCGTCGGCGTAGTCGTCGCCGAGCGCCTCGCGAAGCCGCGCGTCGTCGTCGATCGTCGAGCGCTCGCGCGCGAGCGATTTCGCGACGCCGAGTAACACGTAATCGTCCAGCGCGGCGTCGCAGGCGTAGAGCGTGCAGCCGGCGACGAACGCGCGCAGGGCGATGGTGACGGGACCGGCGCGGGGCGACGACGTCGACGGCGCGCCGGCGCTCGCTCGAGTCGAGAGCGCGCGCGCGGCGACGCGAACGCACGCGTCGGGTCGCATGGGGCGCGAAATCGCTCGGTCGAGCGCGGACGACGTCGCGGGCTTCGACGCGAGGCGCGAAGTGGCGACGAGCGACGACGCGCGAAGGCGAAGGCGGCGACGTGGCTACGACGTTTCCGATGGACTAAAATGCTAGGGTTACTCGTGTTCGTACACGTGCACGGCGTGGTCGTCGCCGGCGGAGGCGAAGACGGCGGAGGAGCCGGGACGCCACGCGACGGCGCGCACGGCGGCGCCGTGACGATCGTTCGCGGACGCGCGAGACGACAACGTCCAAGACGCGGCGTCGGCGGATGCGACGTGGACTTCGATCCCACCGTCGTCGAAGCCGATTGCGATCGCGAGTGGAGCGTCGGGGTCGGACGCGAACGCCATCGCCGTCGGCGCGGCGGTGAATTTGGGAAGCTCGCACGCGGGCTCGCACGCGTCGTCGACGACGCGCCAAATCTTCACCTTTTTGTCCCGCCCCGCTGTGGCGAATAAAGCGCCGCACGGCGCCCAAGACGCGGCGTATATCTCGCGATCGTGCGCCTTGAAGCGCGTCAGCAAGCGCCACCCGTCGTCACCGAATTCTCCTCGAGGCGCGTCGCGCGACGACGGCGCAAACAGGCAGACGTGCCTGTCGCGGCTCGCAGCGAGAAGGTAATCTCGCGCGGCGTTTCTCGGCGTAAACTCTAACGCGGTCACCGTGAGTGTCGCGCCGCTGAGAGTTCCGAGTGGCTTCCAGTTCTGTCCGCGCGACCAGACCCAAATAGCCGCCGAAGCCGCCGTGAGCGCGTTCGACGCCGAAGCGATCAAATCGCCACTCGGATGCGCGGCGACGGCGCGAATTTCGTTGCCATGTCCGTACAATTTTCGCGTTTCGGGCCAAAGCGTCGCCTGTGCGAGGACTTCTTCGAGTGGCGGGTGCGTGAGCGCCTGCGGTGTGATGGCTTCGACGCCGCGCGCGTTGTATTCCTCGATTAAACCTTCCTGCTGCGCCGCCTGCGCGCGAAGACCCGCGACGTCGCTCGGCAAGTCCTCCGCGTCCGCGCCTCGAAGCGCCTTGTTCGACAACCCGAGCGCGGGAAGTTCGGCGCCGAGCGACTCGAGAGAAAGGTTCTTCGCCTTGGTCAGCGCGGCCGCGGCGACGGGGTCCGTGTTTCCTAAACTATTGATCACGGTTCCTAAGAACGTGCCGGGGGCTTCGAAAACTCGCAACACCTTTTCATCCGCCCCGCTGACGTACGTCGTCGTCCCCGCGTCGTCGTGCATCGTAGCAAAACACACGATGTCGTGGCCGTGCACTTGCGGTCGAGCGATTTGGCGCCAACCTTTCGGACCGTCGCCGTGCCACGGCGCGTGCACGCGGACGGTTTGATCTCCGCCGCCGGACATGAGCCATCGACCGGCGGTGTCCCAGCGCAAGCACGTCACGCGCATCGTGTGTCCAGACGTTCCCGGAATCGCACGCCACGACCCATCGTCGTCGCGCAGCCACTGGTGTAGGGCGCCGCCGTGACTGTTGGCCATTATCGCGTCGCCGTCGGGCGAAAACGACGCGCCGTAGTACCCCAAGCACACCGCCGCCGCCTCGCCCAAGGACGTCGAGCTCATCCAAAGCTCGCTGCCAGCCTCTTCGCTCGTCCACGGCGCGCCCGCCGGAGACCAAAGCACGAGCGAGCGATCCATGCTCGCCGTCATCAAAACCATCTTCGACGCGTCCGGGTGCCACGCCACGGACGTGACCCAATCCTCGTGTCCGATGAGCAAGCTCTCGAGCGACGTCTTCACGCGCCGGCCGACGAGCACCGCGCTCGGTGGCTCCGGCGGCGCGGCGAGACGCGCGAACGGCGCGGCGTCCTTCGACGCCCGCGCGCCGTCCGCGGGCACGGTTTGCACGCGCCACACCCTCGCGGTGCGGTCCTGACTCGCCGTCGCTAAGAAGACGGCGTCGTCGCGCCTCGTCGGCGCGAAGGCGACGCCGCGCACCCAATCCGCGTGCCCGTCCAAAACCCCGCACGCCTCGAACGTCACCGCGCCCTCGTTCGTGAAATCGCACGCGTACACCCGCGTCCGTCCGTCGACGCACCCGACGGCGAGCACGCGTCGCTCCTCGACGCCCGGCGCGCGCGTCACCGCCGCGCACAGCGGCGCGCTCGCGCTCGCCATCGTCAACCTCCCAATTTCTCTCAATTCTTCGCCGCTCTCGTTCCTCTCCGGCGTCGCCCACGCGATGACGTCCCCGTCGTCCGCGCACGTGACGAAGGTCCCGCGCGTCGCCGCCGCGACGTCCCGCACCGGTCCTCGCGCGTGCCTCCCGACCGCCCCCTCGCCCCCGTCCTCGCCCGGCGCGCGCGCCCGCACGCGCCCGAGCGCGTCGCCGACGACGATTCGTCCGTCGTCGAGCGTTTCGACGCACGTCGCGCGCGCGCCCGCGCCTCGCGTCGTCGTCGTCGCGCCTCCGTCGTCCATCGCGCGCGCGTGCGCGCCGTCGCCGCCGCAGTGCACCGTCGCGCGTCCGCAGCGCGCGAACGTCGCGCATCGCGTCCCGCGGTTCGCGCCCGCGCTCGCGTAGTCGCGTCGCAGCGGCATCGCGCGCGCGCGGAACGAACGCGCGCGGCGGCGAGTGCGGGTCGCGACACCTCGGCGCGCGACCGATCGTTCGACGAGTCCCGACCGCGCGACCGCGCGACGGGAATGACGACGACGCGAGCGCGGCGTCGGCGCGTCGCCGACGCGGCGCGTCGCCGACGCGTAAAAGTGACGCTCTCGATCCGTCGCGTGTACCCCGTGCGTCGTCTTCGAGTCATCACTCATCGTGTGTGCGCAAACAGTGCGACGCGCGTCGCGGCGCGCCGCCGGGCCGATTCCGCCGCATTGCGCGGCGCGCGACGACGGCGCGGAACGGCGATCATGGTGCGACGCGACGCGACGCGAGACGCGAGACGCGATGCGCGACGCGGCGGTGGGAGACGCGGCGCGCGAGACGGCGCGCGAGACGGCGACGCGCGAGACGGCGGTGAAACGCGCGCGAGGACGATCGCGGCGTAAACCTCCGCGGAACGAAGACGCGACGGGAGCGCGCGATGCGAGCGCGCGCGACGCGCGCGGGACGATCGGAGACGCGCGGAGACTGACGGAGACGCGCGACGCGCGATCGGTGACGCGAACAGGCGCAGTTCGTGCTGTTCGAGTCCTCGTCGGGGTACGGGTTGTTCGAGACGCTGGATTTGGACGTCGTGGGACAGGCGCTGGAGAAGGTGCAGGAGACGACGCAGAGCGCGGATAAGTTCGGGAAGGTTGTGAAATTGCACGGGTTTAAACCGTTTACGTCGGCGGCGAACGCGCTGGAGCAGATTAATTGCGTGTCCGAGGGCGTGGCCTCGGAGGATTTGCAAAACTTTTTAGAGCAAAACTTGCCAAAGTTGAAGGATTCTAAAAAGGCCAAGTTTCAGCTCGGCGTCGCGGACTCCAAGCTCGGGAACTCGATCGTGGAGACGACGAAGATTCCGTGCGTGTGCAACGATCACGTCGGTGAGATTATTCGGGGCATTCGCGCGTATTTCACAAAGTTTGTCAAGGGTTTCAAGGGTGGCGACTACGAAAAGGCGCAACTCGGCTTGGCGCACTCGTACTCTCGCGCCAAGGTCAAGTTCAACGTGAACCGATCGGATAACATGATCATCCAGGCCATCGCGCTGATCGACACGCTCGATAAGGACATCAACACCTTCATCATGCGCGTGCGCGAATGGTACGGTTGGCACTTTCCCGAGCTCGTCAAAGTCGTCAACGACAACTACATGTACGCGAGACTGGCGCTCGTGATCAAGGACAAGGCGACGCTCACCGATGAGGCGATGCCGGCGTTGAAGGAAATCACCGGGGACGAGGACAAGGCTAAAGAAGTGATCGAGGCAGCCAAAGCGTCGATGGGTCAAGACATCTCACCGGTGGACATGATCAACATTGAGTCCTTCGCCAAGCGCGTCATTTCCCTCGCCGAGTACCGAACCAGTCTTCACAACTACTTGAACAACAAGATGAGTGTGGTAAGTATTTCGAAGCGCGCGACGAACGCTCGTACCGATCAATCGCCAATGATTCTCTCGCAGTTCGTGGGGTTGATGATTATGATACACCAATCACAGACCTGATCTGAATTACCTTGTTGAAACAATTCATGCACCACTCTGACTCGCGTCTGTGGGGAACAACGTCGACGCGGAAATTTTTCATCAAAACAACCCGAACGAAGACACTGACCATTTTTATCGTTTTATCGTACTGGCAGGTGGCCCCGAACCTGGGCGCGTTGATCGGTGACATTATCGCCGCGCGTTTGATTTCGCACGCCGGTTCGCTCACGAACTTAGCCAAGTACCCGGCGTCGACGGTGCAAATTCTCGGCGCCGAAAAAGCGCTCTTCCGCGCGCTGAAGACCAAGGGGAACACGCCCAAGTACGGTTTGATTTTCCACAGCACGTTCATCGGCAAGGCGAACGCGCGAAACAAGGGGAGAATTTCTCGATACTTAGCCAACAAGTGTAGCATCGCAAGCAGAATTGACTGCTTTAGCGACTTCCAAACCACCTTGTTCGGCGAAAAGTTGAAGGATCAAGTCGAAGAGCGATTGGCATTTTACGACAAGGGCACGGCACCGCGTAAGAATATCGCCATGATGCAAGAGGTGATCGCCGAGATCGGCCCGCAGGCGGGCGGCGGCGGCAAGCGAAAGGCGACCGACTCTGCGACGGCGACTCCGAAGAAGTCCAAGAAGGAAAAGAAGGACAAGAAAGAAAAGTCCGCCAAGAAGGCGAAGGCCTAGAAGGCGAATAATCGATCCGATATCGATCGAATTAACGAATTTTGTGTGTAACATTACCTCCGACATCCATCTTCTATCCGTCCGACCACCTAACTCGCGTCCGCGTCGACTGGCTCGTCTAACAGCGCCTTTATCGCGTCCTCGAACTCCATGGGCCGCGTGTGCGGAGAAAAATACCCGCGCACGCGTCCTTTTCTATCCACTAAAAACTTCCCGAAATTCCACTGCACGCGCCTCACGCGCTGCGCGCGCTTCAGCCAACGAAACACGTGCGACGCCGCCTTGCCGTTCACCTTGCATTTCTCAAAAACGGTGCCCTTGAAGCCACGCTTTTGCGCGAACGCGCAGATCGACTTCGAGCTCCCGCTCTCCTGGAACAAGAACTGATTGCACGGGAACGCCAGGATGACTAGATCGTCGCCGAATCGGTCCTGCAGAGATGCGAAATCCGCATAGTTTTTCGTCGTGAGCCCGCAAGCACTCGCCACGTTGACGACTAGGGTGACCTTATTGCGCGTCGATTTGAAGTCGAAGTCCTCGCCGGTGGCCGTGCGCGCGCTCGGGAGTTGATCTAAGCTTTGCACGTCGTCCACGTCGGGCGTCGGGGCGGAGTGGGAGGCTCCCATGGCGGCGCCTCGGAATGAAGTCGAGACAAAAAGGAATGCTTTTTTTTTTGTACAAGACTGATTTAGTAAGTTAGTTACCACGTAGTCGCCGCCGTGAGCGTCGCTCACATGGCGATCTCGTGTCCGCTGGCCAATAGAGCTTCCGCCTCCTTCGCGATGGCGTCGGCTTCTTTGGCGTCGAGCGACATTGCTTGGACGACGTCGGCCAAATCAAAGTCGTCGTCCGCGGCGTCCATGGCGCTTGGCGACGCGCCCGGTTTGGCGCTGTCCGAGCGCGCCAGAGCGTGGACGCCGCCGGCGAATCGCTGTGCTTCTTCGCGATAAGCGCCCAGTGCGTGCTTGGGAAGGGACTTGGAAGTTTGGAAACGCGTCTCGGGACCGCCCTGCTCGAGCGAATTGAACTTATGCGCCATGTCCGAAACGCCGCTCGGATAGTCAAACCCACTCTTCTTTTCGTTGCCCTCGTACTCGCGCTTGGCCTGCGGATGATAGTGTAGAATCTCCTTGTACAGAAGCTCGCGAACTTCTTCGCGAGACAGCTTCCGAGAGTCCCAATCAAATTCATCCTTCGGCAACGGTCGTCGCGCCGGCTCTCGCGAGACGTCCGCTAAACCGTCAAAGTACGGATCTGCCAGCGCCTGCGCGGCGGTGGGGCGATCGTCCGGATCAAATGCTAATAATTTACTAAGCAAGTTCAGCGCCTTGGGGTCGACGCCAGGGAATTTCTCCGATAGCGGCACCGCGGGTTTGATACGCATGTTTTGTAAAAACCGTCTCGCCTTTTCATTGCGAACCTTGGCGATTTGCAGCGGCGTCGGCGTCCCGAGTAGATCTGTGATGATTTCTAACTGCTTCACAACGTTTTTACCCGGAAACAGCGGCTTCCCTCGCAAGAGTTCGGCGAAAATGCACCCGACGCCCCAAATATCGATCGCCGGCGTGTACTTGGTGAAGAAACTCCCGCACAACTCTGGCGCGCGGTACCATCTCGTCGCGACGTAGTCGGTCCAGAATATCATCTGCGGTCCAGCTTTAGCGGTCATCGCCCGCGCCAAGCCAAAATCACAAATCTTGAGCTTACAGTCGCTGTTGGCCAAAATATTCTTCGGCTTCAAGTCTCTGTGAAAGACGTTGGCGCTGTGCATGTACTTCAACCCGCGCAACAGTTGATACAAGAAGAACTGATAGTGTTCGTCCGTCAAGTCATCGTTCGCCTTGATGACTTGATGCAAATCCGTCTCCATGAGCTCGAACACGATGAAGACATCGTTAAAATCCCTCGGGTTCGGCGGCAACATGATGTTCAACACCTCCACAATGTCGGGGTGCTTCAGGTGTCGCAACAGCGTCACCTCTCGCAGGATCCGCGTCGCGTCGCTCGCGTGATCGAACGCGTTCTTGACCTTCTTTATCGCGACCCTGTTCCCCGTCTGTCGATCGATCGCCGCGCACACGACGCCGTAGCTCCCCTTTCCGATGACTTCCTCGAGCTCGTACCGCGCCGACTCGTTCGACGATTCGCGCAGATTGGCGAAGAATTCCGTCGCGTTCGTCGGTTTCGTCGACGACGACGCCGCGCGCGCGTCGTCGGCGGCGTCGTCGCGCGCGCGCGCGTCGCTCATCGCGTCGTCGCGTCGTCGCGCGCGCGCGATCGCGCGATCGAATGGCGTCGGGCCGACGCGCGCGCGGCACTTCACCGCGCGAGAGGAAGCGACGACGCGCGGGCGACGACGGGGCGAGCGATGATGCTTCGGTGCGCGCGCGCGCGCGTCGGCGGCGACGCGGGCGCGGTCGCGCGCGCGACGCGACGACGACGAGGGACGACGCGGATGGTGACGACGCGCGCGACGACGACGACGACGACGACGACGACGACGCGGGCGCGACGAAACCGCACGGACGACGACGCGGCGGTGACAGAGACGATGACGACGACGCGGGCGCGAGGGAGCGAACGGACGACGCGGCGCGCGACGGACGCGCTGGCGCTGAGCGCGGCGGCGCTCGCGGCGACGAACGCGGGCGCGGCGTCGGCGGCGCAGCTGGTGAGCGAACTCGCGCTCGATCCGGAGGGCGCGAAGACGGCGAGCGCGGTGCTGGGACCGTTGTTCGCGCTGAGCACGATTTTGTTCATCGTGCGCATCGTCATGACGTGGTATCCGAGCGTGCCGTACACGAAGTTGCCGTGGGTCTTGGCGTACGCGCCGACGGAGCCTTTGCTCAAGCCCACGCGCGCGCTCGTGCCGCCGGTGGGGGGGGTGGACGTCTCGCCGATCATCTGGGTCGGGATGATTAGTTTTATGAATGAGATTTTGTTGGGGAAACAAGGATTGTTGGTGTTGTTGGCGAATAAGCAGCTCGGCGGATAGCGCGGCCGAGCCGAGGCGAACGCGACGTCGGGTCGCGCGCGCGCCCGCGCGTTCGCGAGTCATCGCGCGCCGCGGACGAGCGCGCGAACTTTATCTTTGATGTATTAATTCATTCACGCTCGGTCTTTCGACGCGACGAAATCAACTCTTCGACTCGTTCGCGACGCGTCGACCGAGCGCTCGTCGCCGCGCCGACTGACACTCGCCGACGCATGTCGTTCGGCGCGCGCGTTCGCTCGAGAGCGTTCCGTGATTGCGCGCGCATCGCGTCCGCGTCCCGGGCGTCGCCTTCGTCGTTCGCGCGCGCGACGCGCGGTGAATTTGCGCGCGCGGTGCGTGCAATGTCGACCGCCGGTGAAGACGACGACGCGCGTCGAAGCGCGCTCGCCGCGGCGCTGAAACTGCGAAACGCAAATTTGCTTCGTTTCGCGGGCGCGAGCGCGACGGACGCGTCGCGAGGCGCGTCGCGCGCGAGCGAAACGTTCGAGGTGAAGAACCCGGCTACAAACGCGACGCTCGCGACGGTGCTCTCCACGCCGCGCGCCGCGATTTCCGACGTCTTGAGGCGAAGCGAAGACGCACAGAAAGTGTGGGCGACGGAATTCAGCGCGCACGCGCGAGGAAAGGTGATCAGACGATGGTTTGAGCTCGTCGAGGCGAACGCCGAGGACTTGGCGAGAATCATGACGGCGGAACAAGGCAAACCTTTGATAGAGTCCCGGGGAGAGGTGGCGTACGCGGCATCGTTTTTAGAGTGGTTCGCGGAAGAGGGGAAGCGCGTGTACGGTGATGTCGTGCCTTCGTCGTCGACGGGGACGAGAATCATGGTTGTGAAGCAACCAGTCGGCGTGACGGCGGCGATTACACCGTGGAATTTTCCTTTGGCGATGATCACGAGGAAAGCTGGTGCGGCGCTCGCGGCGGGGTGTTCGATGGTCGTCAAGCCGAGTGAAGAAACGCCGCTGAGCGCGTTTGCGCTCGGGGTGCTCGCGGAGCAAGCTGGGTGCCCGGATGGTGTTTTACAATTCATCGTGGGCGATCCGAGCGCGATAGGCGCGGCGCTGTGCGAGTCTCCCGTCGTTCGAAAAATTACCTTCACCGGAAGCACGCGCGTGGGAAAGTTATTGATGAAGCAGAGTGCGGACACCGTGAAGCGCGTAAGCATGGAGTTGGGTGGTAACGCGCCGTTTGTGGTGTGCGCCGACGCCGACGTGGACGCCGCCGTTCAGGGCGCGATGGCGAGCAAGTTTCGTAACGCGGGTCAAACGTGCGTATGCGCGCAACGTTTCATCGTGCACGCGTCCGTGGAGGCTGAATTCGTGCAAAAGCTCGCGGACGCTGCGAGCGCGCTCGTTATGGGCGATGGCTTGGAAAATGAAGACGCCACGCAAGGCCCGTTGATCAACGCCGCGCACGCCGAAAAAGTCGATTCGCACGTTCGCGACGCGATGAGCAAAGGCGCGGTGTGTCACACCGGTGGCAAGCGCGCGCACGGTAGCTTTTATGAACCGACCGTGTTGTCCAAGTGCACGGAAGACATGCTGGTGATGCGCGAAGAAACGTTCGGACCTGTCGCCGCGGTGACGACGTTCGTCGACGACGCCGAAGCCATTCGCATCGCCAACGCCACCACCGCCGGTTTAGCGTCGTACGTGTACACCTCTGACGTCAAGCGTACGTTTTACTTTAGCGAAAAGCTTGACTTTGGTATCGTGGGCGTGAACACGGGCGCCATATCCACCGCCCAAGCTCCGTTCGGCGGGACGAAGGAGAGCGGGATCGGTCGCGAGGGCGGCAAGGACGGCGTTCACGAGTACGTCGAGCAGAAATACGTCTGCGTCGGCGGCCTTTAGCGAGATAGACCTAGCTTTAAATAAATCAAACATAGCGATTCGCGCAATTTCGCTACGCCGGCGCGTCCTCGTCCGTCGTCGCCGGCGCGTCCTCGTCCGTCGTCGCCGGCGCCGGCGCCGGCGCGCGTTCCTCCCTCTTCGCCGACTCCACGATCTTCACCGGTCCCGGCGTGCACCTATCCACCCTAAAATTCCTACTTCCCTTCCTCAACAACCGTTCGCACGCCTCTCGCGACTCCACGCGCACGCGCACGTCCTCGCACAGTCCGAGCGCCTCGCACCGCTTCAGCACCCACAACCGCCGGTTATTCATGCTGTAGTACCTTCGCACCGTCCTCGACCTCGTCGTCGCGCGCTTCCCTCCGCGCCGTCGCCCGCCCGAGCCGTCGTCATCGCTCGCGTCGCTCGCGTCGTCGCTCGCCCGCTCGACGTCGTGCGTCACCACGGCGATCGTCGGCAGGTCGTCGACCGCGAGCGCGCCGTCGCGAATCTCTCCGAGCGTCTCCTCCAGCGTCCGTCCGCACCCGCTGAAGCGATCGCGCACGCGGGCGAACGTGTACCATATCTCGCTCGGTCGCAATCGCGTCGCGGGCGCGCTCGAGGCGGCGGGCGCGCGCTTCGCGCCCATGGCGGGCGCGGTCTGTCGGTCGCGATTCGAAACCGCACTCGACGGCGCGACGCGCGACGAGACATGGCGCGCGCGGACGCGACGCGAGACGGCGACGCGTCGGATGCGAAGCGACGCGCGCTGCGCGACGCGTGCACGTCGAACGCGATGCGCGCGATGGACGAAAACGCGCACGAGAGCGCGCTGCGATGGATTTCTCTGGCGCTGGCGCGACACGAGATGGACGACGGAGGCGCGATGCGCGCGGCGGGAGGCACGAGCGATGGATGGCGACGAGACGCGATCGATTTCGTCGTCAAGGGGGACGCGCTGATGGGGAGAGGAGACGTCAGGGGGGGGGCGGCGGCGTATAGAAGCGCGCGAGCGCTCGCGAGACGAGTCGAACGCGCGAGAGAGACGACGAACGCGTGTGGAAAGTTCGAATGCGTGGACGCGGATGAGGTGTCGATGAAATTAGCGCGCGCGTTGGTGCGAATCGGAGGCGCGGAGTCGCTGAAGGCGGCGATGGCGTGCTTGGAGGAGACGCCGGCGGCGAAGCGAACGCTGGAGAATAGACTGCTGGCGGCGAAAATCGCGCGGAGCGAAGGGCACGATCGAGCGGCGGTGATGGCGTACAAAGAGGTGCTCGTGAAGTGGCCGTTCGCGATCGAGGCCGTGGTCGCGCTGGCGGAGCTCGGGGTGAAGGCGGTGGATACGCGACACGCGATTCGCAAGGCGGCGGCGGACGCAGAGGCGGAGGGCGAAGATTTTGCAGTTCTGGAGGCGTACACCACGGCGTACGGCGCGTTAGAGGCGGAAGATTACGTGACCGCACAAAACGCTGTGGCGCAAATGACGCGCGCGTTTCCATATGATCCCTACGTGGCGGGCGTAAAAGCGCGCACGGACGCCGCCGATGGCAGAGACGTCGACGCAGCGATTCGCGAATACGCCGCTATACGCGCGATGGATCCACACTTCGTCGAAGGAATGGACGAATACGGATTGATTTTGTACGACTTTGGTGAGAAGCGCGCGTTGGAGGCGTTGAGCTCTGAGATGTTACGATTGACGCCTCACGCCGCGGAGTCGTGGACGTGCGTGGCGCTATACTTTGACACCAAGCTCAGCGGTCGCGAGCATCACAGCGGTCGCGATGACGCCCTCGTCGCGGCGGAAAAGGCTGTACAAATAAATCCGCGCTCGCATGTCGCACATTTAGTGTTGGGATCTCTTTATCTCAAAGGTAACCGCTACAAGGCTGCCGTCCGCGCGTTTAATCAGTGCAACGCCATCAAGGTTTCGATGAAGGCTTACCACGGATTGGTCAAGTCGTATCTTGCGTTGGGATCGATGGCGAACGCTATGATGTGTGCCAGACAGGCGCACAAGCGAAGTCCGCAAAACGCGGTCGCGTGGAGCTTGCTCGGGGACGTCCACGCGAAGAACAAGGACCAGTACGACAAGGCGATCAAGGCGTACGAGCAGGCGCTCGCGTACAATCCGCGCCTCGTGCGCGCCGTGAAAGCGCTCGCGGCGTTGAACATCAGAATAGGCAAAGTACACGTCGCTCGGGCGATTTTGCAGCGACAGCTCGACGACTATCAACCTTCGGATGAGGATGAACTCATTCAGCTGTATTGCCGCCTAGCGCAGGCATTGATGTTATCACGGCAAACGGCGGAGAGCGTCAAGTATTACACGCGCGCTTTGGCGATTCGACCGGATTGTGTCATCGCTCAAAAGGCGTTGGAAAAGTTCGAGCAGACTAGGAACCCAGAATTTGCGGCGACAATGTCGGACGATGAAGATGAAGGCGATGAGGCGATGGATGAAGACTTGCGAGACGACATGTCTCGTGGAAGCGGCGGGGACTGGATGGAACGCGAGGCGGCATGAAGAAGATTCATTCAATCACAACGGTCGTTGACTACTAAGACGTAATTAGAAAGCTAGCACGTTTAGAACATGCTCGCACTCTCCTCGTACTTGTAAAATCTAAGGATGTTCTTCAACGGATCCTTGACGCAAATGTACGAGCCGTCTTCAAACTTGCGGCACGTATCGAGGAACAGCTTGAGCGAACCCCACATGTTCGCTTCCTTGATGTTGATTTGCTGTGCAAAGTCCTTCGTATTGTACGTTTGCGTGTTCAGGATCGCGTGCGCGTTCGGATCGCGCGGGTGCACGCGCGACACGAAACCGAGCTTCATTTGTTCGGCGCCGGCGAGCACGGCCATCGCGGTCCACTTGGCGAGCTTATTCGCGTTGTTCTTGAGCTCGTTGGCAACCACCGCACCGCGCTGCGTCTCGATCTTGAGTCTCCAGTCAATCCCTGTGACCTTGGAATCGAATTCGTTCAAAGCCTTCACGAGCGTGGTCAGCGCTTTGCCCTTGTCCATGCCCTTGGATTCGCTCACGGCGTTCAATTCGCATCGGCACACGAGCTTGGTGGTGTCGTCGACGTTCCATTTGCGGTACTTATACGCGATTGAGTCGTTATCGTCTTCGCCGAAGAAAGGCACGGGTTCACCGAACTTGTACGCATCCTTTTCGACGGTGAGCGATTGTTCGACAAAGGCTCGGTTCGCCTTGGTACCCTCGGCGGAGAGCTGTTGAACGCCATTGATGTCTTCCGGATCGTCCGGAATCGGCTCTTGCGCGGTTTCGGACACGGTGAGCTGATCAAAGTTACCATCGGGGCGCTTGTCGAGGAAGATCTTGCCGTCCTTCTTCTTGATGACGATGTCCCAAGAGTAGTTGGAGCGCGCGGCGCACATGACGGCGGCCAAGACGCCGTCGGTGGTGAACACGTTGCCCGTACCCTCGGCGGCGTACTTCTGAATGATCGGATCTTCGCTCGCCGTGACGTTACGCGGCGGTTCTTCCGTGCGTCTTCGCAGGAGTACTTCGGACTTGGGCGTCACGCGATCGTACGACTTATCGAACCAACGCACAGAGCCGTACGTCGCCAAGTCCTCTGGCGCCGCCTCGGCGAGCTCCAAGGACTGCTTGATGATTTCCGGGAACGCGATTTGTTCCACGACTTCCCAATCCGGACGAATATCCACGGACGCGCTGTAATGCACCTGCTGCTGCTGCCTGTTGTACGCCCACGTGTTCCACTGCTGCGCCTTTCTCGACTGAATGCGCGCCTGGCGGTTGCGTTCGCGCTCCGCCCCGACCCCGAGATCTCGCGCCGCCTCGTCCATGTTCCCGCGACCGCGACCGCGCCCACCGAACTGGTTCCAACGTCCGCCACCGCGTCCACCGCGTCCACCGCCGCCACCGCTCGACCGCGCGTTCGTGTTATCCACCAAACTGAAACTCTCCTCCTCCCCCGCGTCGGCGACGAAATTAAACACCGTCTCCACGCCTCCAATCCCACCCGCGGACGCGCTCGCGTCTTTCCCCTTCCCCTCTCGCTCCCGATCCTTCCTCTCCCGTCGTTCGTCTCTCTGTTTATCCCCTCGTCTCTCCCGTCCCTCGCCGTCCCGCTCGCGCCCGTGCCCGTCCCGCTCGTCCCCCATCCAATCCGCGCACCTCCCAAACTTATCCGTCTTGTTATACGGCGCGTAGATCATCTCCGTGATCTCGCTCGTCACCAATCCCTTCCGCGGCGGCCCGAACCCATCGTCGTCTCGCGCCACCGTCGGCAGTTCGAACGCCGGAAGAGCCGCCATGCGGTCGATCGTCGATCGCGCACCGTCGGTCGCGTTCGCCGCGTTCGCGTTCGCGCGTCTCGCGTTCGCGCGTGCTCGACGTCGCGTTCGCCGCGCGTCGTTCGGTCGCGTCGCCTCGCGCGGCGCTCGGTCGACGCGCGTCGCGATCGGGCGTCGTCGCGCGCCGTCGCGAAGACCTAGCGGTCGCGCGTCGTCGCGGAGAGACGCTCAAACACGGACCAATCGGCCCGCGTCGCGTCGGTCCGTGTTGAAAAACTAAACTTACGGGTCCGTCGACGGCGCGCGGACGCCTCGCGACGCCTCGCGACGCGGGACGACGGCGCGATGGACGCGCCGGCGCGCGCGCGACGCCCGGGACGCGGACGCGGGCGCGGACGGCCGGGACGCGGACGCGGACGACGCGGCGGGACGACGATCCCGCGGGACGACGCGCGCGAGACGCGCGAACGAAGGAAAATCGTGATACGAAACCTGCCGGCGACGCTCGCGCGAGAGGCGCTCGAGGAAGCGCTGCGGCGGGATGGGTTCGGCGCGCTCGATGAGACGTTCGAGTGGTGGGAGTACGCGAGGGGGAAGGCGCGAGGGGGGACGGGGGGGGCGACGACGACGACGACGAGACGCGCGACGACGCCGTCGAGGTTTTACGCGACGGTGCGGCGCGGGGAGACGGTGAAGGCGCTGCGAGAGAGGTACGATGGGGCGACGTTTCGCGTGCGCGCGCGGGACGAGGAGGGACGGGCGATCGAGGGCGGGGGGGGAGAGGAGACGCGCGCGCGCGTGGAGTACGCGCCGAGTCAGTGGACGCCGCGAGAGTTCGGCGAGCGATACGCGACGGCGGGAGAGACCGCGCCGGCGGAGAACGCGTTGGAGGGAACGATCGAGGAAGATGAGGATTATTTGAAGTTTTTAGGCGCTCTGGAGGCGAAAAAGAAGGCGAACGGGGCGACGACGGGGGCGGCGACGCCGAAGAACGCGGAATCGGCGCCTCGCAAATCGACGGCGCTCCTCGAGTTTTTGTGGCGACAACGCGCGGCGGCGGAGCGCGAAAAGGGTGCGGGGAAAAAGTCGTCGAAGAAATCTTCGAAAAAGTCCGGGAAGGCGTCGCAGTCTAAGACCGGCGCGAAGACGGCGGCTCCCGCGGCGCCCAAGACGGAATCGAAGAAGAAGAAGAAGACCAAAACGCCGAAGCCGAAGCAAACGGCCGCGCCGAACCCGAGCGCGCGGGCGAACGAATCGAAGAAGACGCCAGAGATCAAGATTATTAAGCGCGCATCGATGCCCGTGCCGAAGGCGATTAGTTAGCGAAGATTTATGTAGCATTAGACGAGGCCGACGAGGCGGCGACGAAACAAACGCACACATCTGCACGCGACAAGCGCACCGATGCGCACCGTAAAGCCTTTCACGATCAAATTCATTCGCCGCGCGCCGCCCGCGCGCGCGAGCGCGCGCGCCGCGAGCGCCCCAGTTTTCGACCCGCAACCCATGCCGCTGACGGCGATAGTGAACCACGACGGCGTCAAAGCTGCACTCCTCGTAGCGGCCGTCGATCCTGCGTGCTCATTGATCGTCAGCGGTCGACGTGGGACCGGCAAATCGATCTTATGTCGCAGCGTGAAGTCGCTGTTGCCGCGACCGCGCGTGATGGGTGCCGACATTGGAGCGCCGAGTTTCGTCAGCGTGCCGCTCGGCGTCACCGAGGACATGGTTGCGGGCACGCTCGACATCAATGCGAGCGCGAAATCTGGTTTAGCGGTGTTTCAGCCTGGATTGCTCGCTCTTGCGAACGGTGGGGCGCTCTACATCGATGAAATCAATTTGCTGGACGATTCCATTTTGGCGATGATTCAGTCGAGTCTCGCCGAAGGCATCGCGAGAGTCGAAAGGGAAGGTTTGAGCACTACGATGCCTTGCGAATGTCTCGCGCTCGCGAGTTTCAATCCCGCCGAGTCTGAGCTACGGTCGCACGTCGTGGATCGATTCGCGATGATTTGTGGGACCGACGACGACGAAGGCGCCCTCGCGCAGACGACGACGCGACTCGCGGCGATCGACGCCGCGATGGCGTGGCAAGATGATTGGCGTCGCGTCGTCAGTGATTCATACACAGAGCAAAAGGCTTTGGGAGAGCACATCGAGCTCGCACATCACGTCTTTTTACCCGGGGTACAAATATCGGAAGCCAACGTGCGGCGATTGGTCAAAATAGCCGTGGACTGCGCATGCCAAGGTCATCGAGCGGAGCTCTTCGCCGTGAAAGTCGCACGCGCCTCGGCCGCGCTTCGGCATTCGTACGAGGTGAACGATCAAGATGTGAATATGGCGATTTCTTTGAGCATACTTCCACGTGCGACTCGTGAACCACCAGACGATGCGTTGACGCCGCCGCCGCCGCCGCCGCCGGCGACGCAGAAGAACGAGCGCGAAGCAGAAGAACAACAAGATCAGGAAGACGAAGAGCAAGAGGAGGAAGAGGAGGAAGAGGAGGAAGATCAAGTGGAAGAGATCGAGCCAGAAGTCCAAAGAGCCGATGAAAGTGGTCTTGATGTCAATTCACTGCTCAACGCGTTTGAAAAGGCAATGTTGAGAAGCTTCGCGGAGAAGAAATCACGAGGCTCCGTGAGCGGACGGACCAAGCGCGAAAAGGTGTTCGATTTAATGCGAGGCAGGTACGTGAAACCAATTTTCCCGAAGAGCGGACAAATGAGAGGCAAAATCGCCGTCGACGCCACGCTTCGAGCGGCGGCGCCGTACCAAATCGTTCGTCGGCAACGGCGCCTGAAACCGGGCGAAGTCTCACCGAGACGCGTGTTCATCACGAAGGACGACGTGAGGCTAAAGAAGCTCAGTCGACGAAGCGCATCGCTCACGATATTCGTCGTCGATGCCAGCGGCTCGATGGCGATCAATCGTATGTCCGTCGCGAAAGCCGCAGTGTTCAAGCTCCTGGAGGTTTCGTACACGAAGCGCGATCTCGTGGCGCTCGTCGAATTCTCGCACGACGCCGCCGTCGTGCTCCTGCCACCCACGAGATCGACCGTGCTCGTGAGCCGACGGCTCGCCGTGATGCCGTGCGGCGGCGGTACCCCTCTCGCCCACGGGCTCTCTGTCGCCGCTCGCTGCGCTCTGAACGCGCGCACATCCAAATTGAAGTCTAGCGTCGGCTCCGTCCGCGAAGTGATCTTGAGCGACGGACGCCCGACGCGCAGCCTGCGATGGTCCGAAGACCCGCGTTGGCGATCCATGGAGCCCGCGTTAACTCGTAAAGCCCTCCGCGACGAGGTTCTAGAAGTTTCCATCGCCACGCGTCGGCTCGGCTTCCTCAAGACGCTCGTCGTCGACACGGATTCCGCCTTCGTCAGCGAGCATTTCTGTCTCGACATCGCCGACGCGCTCGGCGCCGCGTATTACGCTCTCCCAAAGCTCGAAGAATCCGCATTCGCGGCGTTCATCGCGTCCATCGCCGCGCGCTAGCTGTCTGTCATCCAAATCCGGCGCCTCGCTCTCGGGTTTGTCCCTCGCCGCGACGTGGAAGTGGATAACACATCCACCGCGGCGCGTCACTTCACCTCGCGTCGACCGCGCGCCATGATCGCTTCTGCGCGCGCACAAGTTATCCTGCGCACGTCTTTCGCCGGCGCGCAGGGCAAACGCCGCGACGCCCTGCGTTTGCGCGCGCCATCCAACGGCGCCAAGTGCACCGCCTTTTTCAATCGCTTTCGTCAAGATTCCACCGCCGCTGGCATCGTCGGAAGCCAAGGACGGGACGATTACGACAAGGATGACGTCGAACATTACTTCAACTACATGGGATGCCTCGCGGTGGAGGGGACGTACGACCGAATGAACGCCCTCATCGAAAGCGGTTTGCATCCGGTGGATATCATCCTGTTGTTCGCGAGCGCCGAGGGCGATACGCCAAAGATTGAAGAAATCTTAGCCGCGGGTGCGGATAAGAACACGGTTGATTTAGATGGTAACTCCGTGGCGGATCTCGCGGGGAAGGCGAACCCGGACAAGCGCGATGCGGTGTTGGAGTTGTTAAAGTGATCGCGGCGAGCGAGAGGCTCGCTCGGAAAGTCGTAGGCGATTGTAAAGTCTTTAAATTTTTCGATTGATATTGATTGATGTACACAGCGCGCGCACGTCGCCCGATGACTCGATTCAGTCCCCCGCGGCGCCGTCCTCGGAGGCGACGATCGGGGCGTGATTCGCCCAGTACGCCACGGAGGCGTCGTACTTATCCTTCTCGAGCGGCACCCCCGAACCGCCTTGCTCGCGACCTAAAGCGTTCCGCATCATCGTGATCGGTTGCATGGGCGTTTCGTAATCCTCGCTCTGCGCCTTGACGCTGATGATCCCCCACGGCGCGTTCGGCAACGGCGGTCGCTCGCTCTTACTCGGCACCGCCGCGCGTTCGAGCTCCAACTGCTCGCGCGAGTACAAAATCACATCCAAATGCGTCGCCTCCGGCGCTTCCACGTCCGACGCTTGAAACCATCGCGTGAGAACCGCTAATTCCGCCTCAGATCGCGCGCTGTATCCGCTCTTCAACAGGTGTTCGTTCGATTTCGTAATCTCCACGTTGCCGACCTTGGCGCCGACGAAATTTTCCACAAACACGTGTTTGCAAAACGGCGCGTACCCATCCACCAACGGCGACTTCCCGCTCTCGTGCGCCTCTTGAATCTTTCGCACGAAGTCCGCCTTGTCGTGCGCGATCCGCGTGCCGCTGTATCGCTCGTCGTCCCACTGTCGCACCGCGAAATCGTCCAAGAAGAATGTCTCCGTCACCGTCGACGCGTCGCCCGTCGACGCCATCGCGCGCGATCGCGCGCGCGCGACCGGCGAGTCGCGCTCGCGCCGAATCGCGCGTCCGCGGGCGAGACGAAGCGCGCGGTGAGCGACGCGCGCGATGCGCATGCGCGATGCGTCGCGGACTGGCGCCGCCGCCGCCGCCCCAGAGAGCGACGCGCGCGCGCGAGCGTCGAGCGCGACCTCGCGACGGTGCGCGCGCGCGAGCGTCGACGCGAAGGCGCGCGATCGATCGCGAGGCGCGAACATGGACGCGCGCGAGCACAACGCGCGCGGCGACGCGGGAGGATTCTTCGCCGCCGGTTTGGGCGAGTACCGAAAACTTCCAATCAAACGCTACGCCGCGCGAGCGAAGCGAGAGACGGGCGAGGGAAGGTACTGGCGAGAATATAAATCCACCGCGCTGAGCGAACAGGTGAACGCGGTGACGAGCGTGTCGTACGGAGGCGCGGGGTCGTCGGGGGGCGAACGCGGCGCGTTGGCGGCGACGAGCGGGGCGAGGGTGACGCTGTACGCGCCGAGCGGAGCGAGAAAATTGAGGACGTTCGCGCGATTTAAGGACGTGGCGTACAGTGGTGTGCTGAGAGACGATGGGAAGGCGCTGGCGGTCGGAGGACAGGCTGGGGTGGTGCAGTTGTTTGATTGCGGGTCGCGAGCGGTTTTGAGAAAGTTTACGACGCACTCCGCGGCGGTTCGCGCGGTGCGATGGAGCGCGGATAAGCTGCACTTAGGGTCGGCGAGCGACGACGCGACGGTGCGAATATGGGATATTTCCACTGGGAATTGCGTGCGAAGGCACGATGGGCACACGGATTACGTTCGAGCGCTCGAGCGGAGTACGGTTTCTCAAGAGATGTGGGCGAGCGGGTCGTACGACCACACGGTGAAAATTTGGGACGCTAGACAAGGACGCGAGGCGGTGATGACGCTCGATCATGGTTCGCCCGTGGAAGATGTCGCGTGGTATCCCAACGGAAACTTGCTCGTCTCCGTCGGTGGCGAGGACGTGTGCGTGTGGGACGCCATCGGCGGCGGCCGGTTGCTTCGTCGGTTGCGCAGTCACCAGAAGACCATCACCACCGTGCACGTGCACCCGGACGCGGGCCCGCCATCGTTCGCATCTGGATATGAGATCGGTAGCGAAAGCGCGCTCGAATCAAACGCGCCTCGCATGATCACCGGCTCCTTGGACGGCTTCGTCAAGATTCACGAACTCGACACTTTCACCGTGACGCACTCGATCAAGTACCCTGGACCCGTGCTGACGTGCTCGCTCTCGCCAGACGCGAACTGCCTTGCCACTGGACTAGCCAATAAAGTATTGAGCGTTCGCAGACGAACGAAACCTCGTAACAGTGACGACCCTTCGGGGTATCAAGGCGTTCGAAGTAAAAAGAAGGGCTTCACGGTGAAGAAACCTCGACGACTGGATGCGAGTCATTGGCGGTACTTTATTCGAGGTCAAAACTCTAAAGCGGCGGCAGACGCCACGCGAGTGCTTCGTCGACGACGTGTGCACTTGGCCGCGCACGATCGAATGTTGAAACAATTTAGATACGGAGACGCCCTGGACGCGGCGTTGCACGTGGGTAGGGCGGAAGTTGTCGCCGCAGTCATAGAAGAAGTCGGTCGAAGAGGGGGGCTTCAGAAGGCACTCGCCAACCGCGACGACCAGTCGCTGCTTCCGATTTTGGAGTATATAGAGAAAAATATCTCCAAGCCGCGCCACACGGCGCAGATGGTGAACATTGCGAACCGAATCGTCGACTTGTACGGTGGCGACGTCGGCGCGAGTTCGGCTGTGGACAACGCATTGCGTAGAATCCAGTTGAAAATCAAAGCGCAACTGCGACTACACGAAGCATTGACGCAGTTACAAGGGATGGCTTTGACGATAACGGGACAAGGACTGTAGAGAAGACTTTTAATCAAAGATGTCTTTTGTTTTCTAAGGCCGACTAACGTAGATAACTTTGACGATAACTACGACTTTAATGGCAAAGTTATCGTTATTGGACTAAGAGTAAAGCGTTTTGATAACTTTATGCCCCGAGTTATGCGTAAACGACTAAGAGTCAATTTTCATAACTTTTTCATAACTTCGACCCCCTCTAATTAACTCAAGGATTGACGAGTAAAAGTTATTGACAGACCTTAATTTTGACGATAATTTGGGCAAAGTTATCGTCAGATTTACCCTAAATTGCGTGCGGGCAGATCGCGTCGTCGTCGCCGTCACAACGCGAGTCGTTCCAATAGAGATGGCACCCTCTCCTATGGCATGCGTTGCCCCTCCGGCGCAACAAATGTCCGCGTTCGACGAACATCTCGACTCGAACGGGATCCTTCTCAAGCAAAAGACCAACGAGTGTTGTCGCTGCTTCGTGTGCCAGCCGAACATCCATTGGACGATTGCGCATCAAGTCCCGAGAGGCGCGGAGATCGATTTCGACCAGCTCCAAGAGGGGGAGTTTTGGATTCAGGAAGACGCCGGGTATTGCGGTCGCGCGTGGAGCTGCTGGGCGCCTGGGTGCCGGGCAACCACGTATCGCACGTTGGATCGGCGTGAGTGGGAGGACGAGCACGGCACGGCACCCGATAGTAAGTCGGTATTGACGCATCGTAAGAATCAGACGTGCGGACAGAATGTCATTGTAGGTTGCAGCGAAGACGGGGCCGTGCGGTGTCCGATGTGCTGCTGTTTGCCTTACATGGATAGCTTCGACGCGAATGGCACGAAGCTCGGGCGAACGCAGTACATGTGCGACCTACACTTGTTCGTTCCCAAGTTTAAAGTACTCGACGCGCAGAACAATCTCATGTACATGATTCGCCCGAATACGTGTTTCGGTGGATGCTGCGTGCAGTGTAAATTCGATGGCGTCAAGGGCAAGTGCTTCCGTGTGCCGTTTTACATTCGCGACCCAGAGACCATGGAGGCGCACGACGGCGGCGAAGCGGCCATCACCGACCTCTGGGCAGGGTTCAAAAATGAGTGTTGTTTCAAGAAGAACGTTTACAGCGTCAACTGGCCCGATAAGTCGAACAGGGCGATGCGATCGACGCTCATCGGTTCCGCGCTTCTCATCGACGCCGCCCTTTTCGAGCAAGAAGGCCAGTGATGGCCGCAAATTCTCCGTTATATTGGTATACTCCGGCCTGAGTGTCTTTTGCGTAGTTGATGAAATACAGAAAAGCGAGGATAGAGCTAGGGTGTCACCACAAACGCGCCTAAACGGCATCATCAGGGAACAGCCAAGCGAAACATATAAAGCGGAAACTAAAAAATCACCACACAACTTTTGTAATAACTGTACTTTTTCCAGTAAGAAATCAGGCACGCCGAGCTCGACGTCCTGTGTATCGGCGGTCACGTCTCTAGTGCACTCGAAGCACCTGACATGGTGACATCGGCCGACTCAAGCGGAGTCCGCGAAACGTAAAAGTAGACCTACACTTGTAATCCAAAAAAGCGTCCCGCCTCGTTCATGGTTCAATGTACATCCACGCCTTGCGTTCAGAGATTCCATTCTGAAGAGATCTTAAGCGAAAGTGCCGAGATCTTAAGCAGAATATTAAGCAGATATAGAATATCGTTATTCTATGTCGCGCGACTGTGCCACGTCACCCATCTATATTTGTGTGTCCAACTCATCTTCGAGTCTCCGCCACCCCATTCTCCTATGCTTTGTCCGAGCACGCCTTATCACTAGTCGCATACCCCACGCCAGGAGCCACGCCAAGAGCCACACCGAGAGCCCTGCGCCCACTGCTGCCAGTAGTTGTAACAAAGACATTGTGACAAAGACGGGAAAGTCGTCGCTTCCTGATGACAGTGCCTTTGTATATTTCTTACGGAGCGCCGCACAGTTCATCGCGACTATGTGCTCAAAACGCGGTCCTAACGCGGTATTGTGCCAGTTTTCTTGATAGGCGTCTAAATCATCGAGGTTGGCTGGCCATACATCGATGAGTTCGAGATCAAACTCCTCGTAAAGTTTCTTCTTCTGGACTGTATTCGTATCATAATCTGACTGACCTTCCATACCCCAAAATCAACTTATACGTTTCCTTTTGGCGTCAAAACAACGAAATCAGGGACCATTACTTTGTCGCTCTCGGGGAGGTGCACTTCTAGCTAACCACTGCTATGACAATCGAACGGCATGTCTAACTTATCGACGGCTCCTTTCAACGCTAAGGCGAGCTTATGATGCTCGCTCACGAACCACGCTCGGTCGAGGGTGAGCTCTAAACCGCAGAACTCGTCCGTCAAATCGCGCGACATGGCGTCGGCAAGCGTCTCAGCGACAGTGCCGTCAGGTGGTCGCACCAAACGCGCGAGGGTGGTGTGAAGAATGAAAGCGTCGCTGACGAGCTGCTTCGTCGGTGCTCGTGGTAGCACTTCGCGAAGTCTCGCGCGTAAGTCGCTCGGTTCGCCCAACGACGTGCGTTCAACGTTCCAACCGGCGACGACGACGCCTCCGCTAGTCACTGTCACGCGCTCCAGCACGGCGCGAATCGGACAAAACTTGCGCGTCACGGACCTGATCGCACTTACCTCTTCCCGGAAGCCCACCTCACTCACCGCGTGTTCTTCTAGATGATGCGACGCGTGAAATACGCTGAAATGGAACATTTCCGGGTTCTGCAAGTACACATTGGTTTCATCCACGAAGCCGAACCTTCGCAGATGCTTCACCGTGCCTTGGTGTAGGATTTGACTGACGGCACCCACGGGAAACGGAATCACGATCGCACGCACCGGTACCTCGAGAACCATTAGGTTGGGGGAAATCTTTCCATCTACGCCGATCTTAAACATATCGTCGAGCCTCAAACCTTGCGTCGCCGCGCTCCTCCCGTCTCTCGCGCCAAACACCTCGATTCCGCGTTCACGCGCCGTTCGGCCCATCTCAACGTACGTTCTCGAGCGTGACCGCGTGGGCATGTCTACTGGCAACGATCCTGCTAACCGTCGTTGGCACTTCAACGGCATGTCCGCCCACTCCTCCGCGAACGCCGCCGCAGACGTCCAAGGCGCCGCGAACGCTTTGTGCGTCCACAATACCACCCCCTCAAACACCGTAGCCGACACGAACGCAACCGCGATCAGCGCGACGAACCGTCGAATCACCCGTCGCCGTCGCGAAACCTTTCGCTGCTGCGTGTGTGGACGGGAAACCGTTGACATCGCGCGCCTCGCCGCCTGGTTCGGCTCTCCACGAGCACCTCCCTCACAAATTCGTCAACGCGTCCACTGGCGCGCGCAACGCTCGCTCGACAACGGACACAGCGCTAGTGCGTATCCCCTCGTCGCCGTCTACGACGTCCTCGCCGCGCAGCGACGTCGATTTCGCCGCTTTATCGCGGTGCGCCCGGTACACCTTCCACACCAAAGTTTCCAGCTCTTCGTCGTTGTCCGGAGACGCCGACGAGGACTGCGCGTTACCGTCGACGCGATGACGTTTTGCGTGCTCGGACGTCGCGGCGGCGGCGCGCGGCATGTATGCGACCACGCGCGAGACGAAGTGTGAAGTGTGGTTGGTGGAACTAAAGAGTATTATTTGACATCACGTTTGGTCGCGATCTAAGGTGAGCTTGTGCGAGAGTTCATCCTCTTTCCATCTTGCGCCCTCGTCGCCCTCGCCGACGTCGATGTGCAGAGGCTCGTGGGGACGAATGTCGCTCTCGGGCCCCTCCGCATCGCTTCCATTTAAATCTAACTCGTAATAACACTGACTCGGCGGTCGAGGCACGGCATCGAACGACGTCGGCACTGGATCGCAAAAGTTCGTCGCGCGGCTCAGCGTGACGAACGATGCGAGGTTGTTGTGGCGCAAGTCATCGACTTCGATAAACTGCGGGTAGTTGGGCGCGCTGAACAGCGTGCACAATTTCCCGTCTTCGCCAAAGTCGTGATCGACGCAAAAACCGCTCATGATGCTCGGCATCTCCGGTCGATCATGTCTCGCATCCGGACCTTCGTGTGAACGAATAATTAGCTTTAAATTTTCGTTGCGCAAGAATTCGAGTGTTTGCGCTGGCCCGAATTGAATGCCGATGCCCCGGTTTTCGTTGTGGTGCAAACCATCTTCAGGAATGGGGTCGCTCCACAATACGTCTCCCGCAATCATTGAGCGGCCTTCACCGATTGGATCCGCGCCGCCTTTTGATGCCTTCTCTAATTCTGCCAATGTCCCTAATTTCGGGTTCGTCGCCGCCTCCCTCTTCGACAACGACGCGCTTCGAAACAATCCGCCGTGTAAAATCAACGTGGCGTCCCCCACCTTGCAAGCTAACGGCAACGCCGCGCACAACTCTAAAAACATTGGATACAACCGCCGTCCTGCGGTTTTCCCGTATTTGACGCTCAACTCACGCTCAAATCCGTAGCACTCCGTGCAAAATTCCGTCTCGTGGTTCCCTCTGAGTAAAATTACGCGCTCCGGCGCGAGCGCCTTGCGCGCCAACAACAACAACAACACTTCCACTCCCCAGGCCCCGCGATCGACGAAATCACCATTAAACACGAACATTTTCTTCTTTTCGGGCTCGCCCGCGAGCTCGAAAAGTTTCAAGACGTCGTGATACTGTCCGTGGGTATCGCCCACCACGACGACTTCGTCAAAATCGTCGTCGCCGTCGCCCCTCACGCGCACCAAAGTTTTCTCCCGTTTCAGCACTCGCGCGACCGCGGTGAACAGCTTTTCAACCTCGGTGGCGGATAGAATTTTAGATATCCTTCGCGGCACGCTGCAGTGCGTGTTCGCTTCCATCGCCGTCGCGAGTTTCCGCACCCATTCGTTCGTGAGCGGCAGTGCGATTTCCATCGCCATCCCTCCCCTCGCGCCGCGCGCGCGTCGTCTTTCGCGGTGATTCGAGCGGCGCGCGCGCACGAGTGCGACGTCTAGCTCTCTCCTACGCGCGCCTCGCTTGGACGCGGCGATGGACGGCGCACCACCGCGCTTGAATGTGAGGTCGGTTTACTTAATGTGAGGTCGTTAAGTAAACCTCAAAACGTGACGAATGTCGCGCCGCGCGGCGCGCGTCGCGCTCGTCGCGCTCGTCGCGCTCGTCCAGACATCGTTCGCGAGCGCCACGACGTGTCACGCCGCGCCGATCGTCGCGAGCGATCGTCGCGCGTCGCCCAGCGCGACGACTTTGACGTTTGCGACTTGGAACGCGAAGTGGTTGTTCGACGGCGTGAACGACGTGGCGGCGTCGCCGTACGCGAACGGGGACGCGGCCGCGGCGTCGGCGCACGCGGACGCCGTGCGCGCGGTCGTGCAGGCGGTCGACGCGGATTGCGTGGTGATCGTGGAGAATGAGACGTGCGAGACGCTGGCGCGCGCGGCGAACGCTTCGCCCGCGTACGCGCGCGGGATGGTCGACGGAACGGATAGCGCGACGCAGCAGGAGGTTGGAATGCTGACCAAAATCGATTTCAGCTCAAATCTTGTGCGGACGGAAAATCGAGCGACCTGGGACGCGTCGCAGTCGTCGTGCGCGTACTCGGGAAGTAAGGAGAGCGGCGTGTCGAAACATTTTTGGACGCGGATATCCGTGAGCGGTCGATACGTCAGCGTCATCGGGGCGCACTTGAAAGCTAATCCGACGCAGCCGAGTAGCTGTGCGCAGCGAGAAGCGCAGGTTGAGGTGTTGCGGGCGATCGCGCAAGCGCGATACGACGCCGGAGACGCCGTCATCGTCGCCGGGGATTTGAACGATTATTCCGATCGCCACGTCGACGCGGGAAACAACTCGCCGACGAGCAAGGTGCTGAAACGATTGCGCGATTTCAACGACGACGGCGTGGACGAGTTAGAGGAGGTTGGTGGGCGAATCGCGCAAGTCAGTCGGTACACGTGGCAAAGCGGGTCGTCTAAGGCAAAATTAGACTACATTTTGACGTCTCGAGCGGACATCGAAGTCGTCAGCGCGGCGATTCGCCACGACCTCGTCACTTCAAGCGTGAGCGATCACTTCCCGCTCGTCGCGACGTTAGATATCAAGCCCCGAAACACCAGTTTGCTCGGCACAGTAGGTGCTAATAGCGTGACAAACGCGACGATGGCGACGAGCGTCGCCGTGGGCATCGCCGTCTTTGCGATGACGACTATATTCTTCAGATAGCTTAGGGCACAGTAGGTGCTAACAGCATGGTTGTTTTAATTCATGACGATTACACTAGTAGCGAACTCGATCAACTACTGCACTACTGCTGCGGGCATCCGTTTGGTTCGGCGTCCTTGGGAGCAGTCGCACCAATCAACGCGGCTTTGTCCACGGGCGTCGGTTTCATCTTCTTCGCCTCTGGAGCGGCAGCGGGCGCGGACGTTTGCTGCGGCTCCACGCGCTTCGCCGGCGCTTCTTGAAGCGGTGCGACCTCGACGCGGCGAACAGGCGCGGGTAATACGCGGCGAACAGGCGCCGCTTGCACGGGAACGCTCGACGTAAGCGTCGGAGCGGCGAAACCGGCGCTCTCCTCCGGCTCCGACGCACCCGGGGGCGCTGCACCGCCGATCGCCTTGAACGCCTGTCGGAGAGCTTCGCGCGTGGAGTTGTCCGCACTGACGAGCTCTTTCAGCTCGAGTTGGCGCTCCTTCAAATCGGACGCCACGCCCATTATTTGCTCCAACTCGGCGATGGCAGCCTCGGGCGAGACGACTTCATCCGCGTTCTCGCGCGCACCCTTGCTCACGCGCGCCGTCCCAGCTTTGAGCTCCGCGATTCGCGCGTCACAGATTTCGATCGCGCGCGTGTTCGCCGCGAGCGCGTCGTCATTCGCCTCCATCATTTGATTAGCGATGGAAATCGAATACAGCGCGCTCGCCAAACGCCTATCCGTCGCTTCCAAGTTTTCTTCCAAGAGCTTCAACGCCGACTTGTAATCCGACAACGCCGTATCAAATTGCGACTGTTCCATGTTCAACTCCCCGATCGTCTCTAAAACATCCGCCAATTCCAACGCCGCGTTCGCGTCCTCTTCAAACATCACGCGCGCCGTCTCCAACATCTTCCACGCCAACTCCATATCAGACTCTTCCTCATCCTCCTCGCCCTCGTCCTCGTCATCCGCGGCTTCCTTACCGTTCTTCTCGCCCTCCGTCGCGCCCGCTCCTTCTTCCTCGTCTTCCTCGCCCACGTCTTCGTCCTCGGGCGCGTCCTCCAGCCTCGTCCCGCTCGCCTCCGCGTTCGCCCGCACCTGTTCCCCGAACACCGTGTTTTGCGCCTGCGCGCCTCGAAACAGCGCCTCTCCGTACACAAAGTGCGCGCGCGCCGTCTCCCGTCGCACGCTCGCCTCGTCCGCGTCCGCGTCGTTCGCGATCTCCATAAACTTTTCCAGCGCCTCGCCCGCGAGTTCGATCGCGCGATCGCCGTCGTCCGGCCCGCTCGCGCCGCGCAGCGCCGTCTTCGCCGTCTCCAGTTTCGCCATCGCCGCCTCCATCGCTCGCGATTCGCGCGCGCGCCGACGTGACGCGCCGACGCGCCGCGGCTGTCGCGTTTGAATTCGCGCGCGTGGTGCGAATCAACACGCAAACACTATCGTGATGGTTTCATCGGTCCGAGTGCTTCTATATAGTCTCAAACACCGTTTCTATGCGACGCGCGCGTCGTATAAAAAGATGGCTGCCGACGACGCGCCGAATCGCGCGACGCGCGCGCGCGCCCGCACACGATGGCGACGACGACGACGACGACGCGCGCGAGCGCGCGCGTTTCAGCGCGAGTGACGCGGACGCGCGCGCGATGCGTCGCGCGAGCGCGCGCGAATCGACGCGCGAAGACGCGAGAGGGCGACGCACGCGGAATCGCCGCGCGCGAATCGCGCGACGCGCTGAAACGCGCGAGCGGTGCGCGCGCGAGAGAGACGCGCGCGGTGAGAGACGGCGGCGCGGATGGAGGCGTGGACGCGTGCTCGACGTCGTCGACGCGCGGGAGGGAGGAAATCGCGCGATGGGGGACGATGGGGGGGGCGCTCGCGCGCGCGCCGGCGTTGGCGCTGACGTTGGCGAGACGACGCGCGCGGGGACGAAACGCGCGGTCGAACGCGGTGAGCGATTCCGAAGCGTCGAGGAGTGAGAGCGAAAAAAACGTTGAAAGTAATCCGGCGATGTCGCAGGACGTTTCGGCGTGGTTGTTCGAGGAGGATAAGAAGATTCAGTCGAACGCGAACGGGGCGAATGGGGTCGGGGACGCGGCGGAGGGCGCGCAACGCGTGCGAGAGGGGTCATCGAGGCACGAACGACACGCGGGGCATTATTTATCGAAGCCCTATGCGGTGTATCGCATCGATGCCGCGGGACAGCGCGTGCCGTACAAGCAAATCATGACGCGCAGGCAACTGTTGAGGGACACGGATTTGTCGCCGCGCGATTTGAGACGCATCGACCCGACGCTCGGGCAGACGACGAATACGCCCGCGGTGATCGTTCGCGAGGATTCGGTGTTGGTGAATTTGGGTGTGCGTATCATCATCTGCGCCGAACACGCGCTGTTGTTGGAACCGGACACGATGATGTCGATGAACTTTCTCGAGGCGTGGACGCAAAGACAGAACAACGCGTCGACGCAGTCCAGCAGCGACGGCATGGACGTTTTGCCCTTCGAGCTCACGATGGTCGAGGCTGCGCTGCAAGAGACGTGTGCGCAACTCGAAAATAGACTCGAACACTGCGCGCGAAGGTACCGCGCGCTCGAGCGCAAGCTTCAAACCGGGATCGAGAAGACTACGTTTGACGAGATGCGCTTCATGAAGCAGGCGCTCGTGCAGCTCGAATCGCGCGCGTCCGCGGTTCGAGACGAGTTGCTGGAAACTTTAGACGACGAAGATGACATCGAGCGCATGACGCTTTCTTCCAAAGCCACGGGCGAGGCCAAGGCGGAAGAACAGGAGGAAGTCGAAAACTTGCTCGAGTATTACGTGCAGCAAACGGAAGCGGTGCACGGAGCCACCGAGGCGTTGCTCGAAAACACGAGAGATCTCGACGAGTCCATCTCCGTCACGCTATCGGCTCGACGTCTCGAGGTGAGCAAAATCGAGCTCATGCTCTCCATCGCGAGCTTTGCCGCCGCGATCGGCGCCGTCGTGACTGGTATTTTCGGTATGAACTTGACGTCGACGTTCGAATCGAGCGTCAAGGCGTTTTACCTGTGCACCGCGCTGTTGATCAGTTCGTGCATCGGCATGTCCGCCTGGCTCTACCGTCTGTGCCGACGACGTAACATTCTCTAAAAATTGCACTCTCGCACTCTCTTCTATCATCGCTATCGCTGTACATGGATTTTAATTAAAATGTCTCGCTACCAGTCGCGCTCGTCCCGCGACGGTTCCGTCCCGTCCCTCGCGCGCCCTCCCGTCCGTCGCGTCCACGCCTCCAGCGCCGCGCGCGCGTCGACTTCCCCCCGCCTCACTTCCGCGCGCGCGCGCTCGACGTCCACGCCCTCCTTGGGCGGCCACGCGAGCAACGGTCCCGGAAACACCTCGCGCACGACGCCGTCGACGTCCCGCTCGTCGACCGCGAAACGCGCGTCGAATCGCGCCTTGACGCGTCGCGCGCGCGAACGAGCGCACCGCGCGAGCGTCGCGAGCGCGTTCGCGTCGAGGCGCGGCGGCATCGCGCGTCGCGCGTCGCGACGCGCTCTGCCGCGCGCGGCGCGCGTCGATTCGATTCGACGCGTCGCGCGGTCGTCGCGCGGTCGCGTCGCCACACCGCCGCGCGCGTCCGTCGAGACGCGCGGAAACGCGCGCGGTAACGCCTGGAATGGGGCTGCGCTCGCGAGACTCGATCGCGCGCGCGAACACCGCGACGAACGAAAAGAATGCGCGACGCGGATTGTCCGCGGTGAAGACGCGATTCGTGAAAACGACGTCGACGAAAGCGACGGCGGTGGAGATGACGACGATGCCGACGACGGAAGCGACGACGAGTGAAGTGGCGAGCGATGGGGCGCGGCGATCGTCGACGGGAAGGCGGCGTCGCGATCGGGTGGCGCACATTCGATGGCAGGACGAGGCGAGCGAGGACGCGCCGCGCGACGAAGAGGAGCGAAACGACCCGTCGACGAGCGGAAGGGATGAAAATCGGCGTAAACGGCCGTTGGAGATGACGATTGAGTACACGCCGAGCGAGAGCGAGGAAGGGGAAGGTGGGATGTTTGCGCGTTTGCCGAGCCAGGGCGCGGGCGCGAACGCGGGATTGTACGAGTACGAGGACGATAGCGATAGTTCTGATGACGACGTGCGACATCCGAGAGCGAGGGACGACGCCCCGAGTTGTTGCTGCGTCATTACTTAGTCGTATGTATTCCGCGCGAGCGAGCGAGCGAGCGTTATTTTCGCTCGCGTTTCGCGCGCTCGCGCGACTGTTGTAACAGCGTTCGTCGGCGGCTGCTTCACTCGCGCGCGCGTCCTCATGCTCGCGCGCGACGTCCGCGCACACTACACGCGCGCGACGCGATTCGCGTCGCCCTCGTCGCGACACGCGCGGCACGCGCGGCCGCGCGCGTCGTCCGACAGCACCGGTTCGACGGAAGTGGAAGTCGTGCGGTTCGGCATCGGCAGAGGCTCGAGCGCGACGTATTCGCCGAGCGCGACGACGAATAAAGATGGCGTCATCGATCCCCGAAGCACGACGTACGCGGACGGGGCGCTGGACGCGTTGGCGATCTCGTTGTTTAACGCAAAGCTCGCGGCGGTGGTGGGCGAGGAGGCGAGCGCGAGCGCGAACGAGAAGCGCGGATTCGAGCGGCTCGTCGCGCTCGCGGACGCGCTGGCGGACGGACGAACGGTGGTCGAACAGCGCGCGGCGGTGACGCGAGCGCTTTTGTCCATCATACCCGCACCTGTGCGGTTTTTGTTTAAAAAAATGATAAAGCCGGCGCCGTGGGTGGACGAGATGAACGCGTACATCACTCGCGAGGCCTTCGCCTGGCTCGTGGGACCGTGCGAAGTGATGCCGAGGGAAAGCGATGGGGTCATGGCGCAAGTGAAGCTGCGTAAGTGCCGATATTTAGAGCAAAGTGGGTGTTCAGCGAGTTGCGCGAACTTTTGCAAAATTCCGACGCAGCGCTTCTTCAAGGAAGCGTTCGGCGTCGACGCTCGGCTCGATCCGAATCACGAAGATGGGAGTTGCGTGATGACATTCGGTGTAAAGCCGGACATAAATGACGCCGCATTCGCGGCGCCGTGTTATAACTCGTGTGCGAAGGGATGTGGAACCCGCGACGCGCCGTGTCATCGCTTGGGCGAACAACCCGAGTTCTAACCGACTAACGCCGCGCCGGTGTCGAGAGAGATGTATTATTAGTCAGGAAATCATTGTTGTAATTAAAAGAAGGAGGAGAAGAATTGATGAATGTTACGTCGCGCTCGCTCACCACGGGATTTGTAAGCCGTCCTCGCAGTTGATGAACATGCCGTTGTGTTCCGGCGTCATCAAGCTGATTTCGTGCAGCACGCGCTTGGCGCCGACGGCGGGATCGACCGCGCCTTCGACTTCCCAAATCTTTGCGTACTTGGCCGTCATGTCCGTCTTGTTGAACCCCGGGTGGAGCACTTGCACCATGATCCCCTCGTGCTTGAGCTCTTGCGCCAACAATTTCGCCCCCATGTTCGCGGCGGCTTTCGACATGTGATGCCCGTAGTCGCCGCCGCTCGGATTTTGCACCTCTCGCCACGTCACCGACCCTCCTTGCGAGGTCACCATGGCGATCTTCCCGCCCTTGGTGATCTTACCCGCGTTATACAGCGCGTTCGACACGCGCAGCGGTCCGACGGCGCAGATATCGATCATCTTCAACTCCTCGTCGAACGCCATCGACCCATCCGTCACCTTCTCCACGGGTTCGTAAAAGTATCCCGCGTTGTTGACGACGATGTCCAGCGTCCCGCCCACCGCCTTCGCCATGCGTTCGCAGCTCGCCGCGTCCGTCACGTCCACGTCCTCGATCACCTCCTTCGGTTTCAGCGCCATCAGCGCCTCGCTCGTCCTTCGACACGTCGCCACCACCTCCGCGCCTCGCCGCGTCAGCTCCTCGCACAGCGCCAGCCCGACGCCGCGATTCGCCCCCGTCACGAGCACGCGCTTCCCCGCCAGGTACGTCCCGTCGTACACCGCGTCGATGTTCATCACGCGCTCGACGCACTCCGCCTTCGCCTTCGCGAATCGTTTCACCTGATCCGCCATCGCGTACCCCTCGGGCGGCGCGTCCGACGCGAACGGCGACGACGCCATGGCGACGACGCGTCGGAATCGAAATCGCGAACGCGCGCGCGGACGTCGCGCGGGCGCGGTCGACGCGCGCGTTCGCGCGGCGCGCGACGGAATCGCGAGACGCGACGGCGCGGCGCGCGACGCGAGCGACGCGAGCATCGACCGCGCGACGCGTCGACGACTGCGGATCGATCGATCGATCGGCGCGATCGATCGATGCGAATGAATGAATGAATGAATGAATGCATGATGGATGGCTGGGTCGGTCCGTCGGTCTGTCGTCACGTCGCGACGCCGCGATGCGATGGTTCCCCGCGGTCGCGCGCGTCGACGCGTTCGCGCGCGCGGCGCCGCACCTGACGAAGCGAACGCGCGCGGGCGCGTGCGTCTCCGTCGTCGGCGTCGTCCTCGCGTGCGCGCTCGCGCTGGTTGAGATAACAGATTTTCTCACGCCGACGCGCGCGAAGACGCACGGCGTGGACGACGCGAGGAACGCGACGCTGCGAATAGAGATAGACGTGACGTTCCCGCGAATGCCGTGCCAGTTGCTGTACGTGGACGCGTACGATGAGAGCGGGAAACACGAGGTGGACGCGCGAGGACTGTTGCTCAAGACGCGGTTGGACGCGAGCGGACGCGCGATCGGGGAGTACGAGAGCGCGGGAGGGGTGGATTTAGGAGGATTGGTGTTGTTTCAGCGACGACCCGAACACGCGCACGAGGTGCGGGAGGCGAAGGCGGACGTGGAGGGGTGCCGATTGCACGGGGAATTGGAGGCGCGGCGCGTGGCGGGGACGCTGCGCGCGTCGACGGGGCCGGAGAGTTATGAGTTTTTGAAAGAGATTTACGACGAACCGTGGGAGATCGACATGCGGCACGCGGTGAAAACGTTCACTTTCGGGGCCGAGTTTCCGGGGGCGGTGAATCCGATGAACGGAGTGCGGCGGATGGAGACGAAGAGCGGGATTTACAAGTACTTTATGAAAGTCGTGCCGACGACGTACTCTTCGACGCGAGCGCTCTTCGGTTTCATACCTTGGACCGTGCGCACGCGAACGAATCAATACAGCGTCACGGAACATTTCATCGAAACTCCACATTGGGGTGCGTTGCCGCAGTTGTTCTTTATTTACGACTTATCCGCCATCGCCGTGAACATAACGGTGACTTCGAAGAGCATCGTGTATTTTCTCACCAAGACGTTGGCGACGATGGGTGGCATCTTCGCGTTGACGCGAACGGTCGATAGATACATCGACGTCGCCTTACGCGTGACGTCGTCGCACGCCAAGGCGAAATAGTCGACGCGCGCGCGTGAAGCATCGCATAGTACATAGAGTTATTCATAAAATCATTCGTGCGGCGAGAATTCACATCGGCGCTTCGCGCGATCGACGATACCAATCAAACATTTCGCCGCTGGCCATCGAAGACGCGCGAACGTCACCGCGCGTGCGAACTCGAGATCATTCAAACAACGTGTATCACATTTCATCACTCCGACGCCGACCCTTCGGGCTGCCAATCACCGTCTTCCTGGGAATCGACGAACGCGCCGGCGTCCTCCGGCGATTCGAAATCGGAATCGTTTTGCGCGCTCGAGTCAACCTTGGTGCGTTTCGCGTTCGGTTCGATCTCCGCCTCGACGTCTTCGGGCTCTTGAGACGTCGCGCGTGAGATCTTCACCGCGCTGTCCTCGACCGCGACCGCGGGCGTGACCGGTGTCGTCGCCGTGACATCCGTCGTCGTCGTCGTCTCGGCATCCTTCTCGGAAATGACGACTTTGCGCGTCGTCGCGACTTTCTCCTCGACTTTAGGCGTCGCGGCGCGGGCGGTGCGGGTGGTGGCGGTCATGGAGACGTGTCGCGCGTGCGTGTCGTCGGCTTGCGTTCTTCGCGGCGTCGGCGAACGGGGTGCCGTGCGCGTCGTGCGTCGAATTGTGACGCGCCGGGTGGTGCCGAGTTTCGTGGAGGCTTTTTTGGAATCACACATCACGTCATCTATCCTACGCGCGGGCGTCGTGTTGCCGGAGCAAGACGCGATCGCACAAGTGTGCATACATCGCATTCGTTGCTTCCACTCGTAATCCGATCAATCGATCGCCATCGCAGGAGTTCACTCGACTGAAGGCGACGCGCAAGTCGCGGTCGAATTCAACCGTCTCCGACGGCGGCGAGGCGCAACAACCGCCGCGCATCTCGACCACGGCGAATTCATGGATGTCATTCGCCTTGGTTTGCAGAACACAATCCAAATATTGAGATTGAAGCGCGATTCGATCATCATTTTCGGTGTCAATCTGCGAATAGCGAGTGTTTCCACACTTGGCGCAGACGGAGTCGTCGCCGCAGACTTTCTTCGCGCGTTGCTTGAGAGGCGAGACGACATCCAGGACTTGTTCAGTCGGTGTCGTGCTCTCTACCTTACTCATCGTGTGCGCGGTTTGTGTCGCTTGCACGGCTTGCGCCATTAGATCGTCGTCGTCTTCCCAATCCTCCCACTCGACACCGTCGAGAACTTGCGCGACATTCGCCTCTGGCGATAACTCATGGTTGTCCGCCATGAGCGCGTCAATGTCGACGTCAAGCTCGTCGTCGTCCGTGAACACTGGCGCCTCGTAGTCACCGATTTGGTCATCCTTTGTCTTTTTCGATGGCTGCTCGATGTCGCGCATGAGAGGATCTGAATGAGTCGCGTTGCTCGTCGACGCCTTTTGAAAGAAGCTCGTGATTGGCGTATTACGCATCGCCTTTCGAGGAGACGTCGCGACGATGGACACTCTCGCTCGTTTGCTATTCTTCCGTTGGTCGCCTGTCTTGCTCGCTGGAGCGTCATCGCTCGGTGGATTCTCGGCGTGCGAAACGAAGAAATTTTCCAAGCTTTTCACTTGGTCGCCAAAGCGAGACGCGCTCTTCTGCATGGCGGGACGTAACCATTTCGGCAGCGCCTGGATGTTGCTGTTGTTGAAACGCGAATCGACGAGCATGATTGCGCCGTGATCGTGACGATGCCGCAGGCATCGACCGACGGCTTGATTGAGCGCCCGAAAAGCCTGCTGATCGTACCATTTCGAGCCACTCAGCAAACCTCGATGCGCTCCTTCTTCGTTGTAACTTCGCTTCGCCGCGACGAGCGCGTCTTTGATGTTTGGATACGGAATCCCAACACAGATCACCGCCCGCGCGTTAGCGTCGGCGAAGTCAATACCTTCACTAATCTTGCCTCTACACACGGCGAAGAGAATGGCACCTCGACATTTGGCGTTCGCTGGAGCCGGAGCGTACGGATGTTTTGCTGCCTTGACGCTCGTCGCCACCGCGGAATAGTACTTTTCCAACACCGTCTCAAGCGTCACCGGTTTTTTACCGTACGAGCATGATTTACCCGGTTCTTGAAAAATCTTCTTGCCGCTCGCCTGCTCTATCGCGCGCAGCAGTCCCGTTTCGCGCCATCGTCGAACGATGGTTTCCAAAAGACTGTACGATGGGAAGAACATGAGCAAGCCGTGAGGGGTGACTTTCGCGACGTCTCGCAAACACGCGCCGAGTTCGTCTTGAAAACTAGTATCGCCGCGAGACTTGTAACCGGCATTCAAAGCTATGTTGCTCGGACCGGCGGCGACGATGCCGCCCCAGACCTGACGATCCATATCCACGCAGTGCGGGGCTTCCATGCGGATGGGAAACGGTACGCCGAGCTCGCTCGCGAACGAATTGAGCGGCGCGAGAGTACCAGACGTGAGCACGACTGAACGCGCGCCGCCGTTTTCGCTCACGAGCTCTCTGAAAGCCAGCGCTGGATTCAGTGCCCAAAAGTTAATCTTCACCAGTTCTTCCACGGGTAATCTATTCAATTCAGAGTTCACTCGTTGCGTCGAAACGACTCGATCGCTTTCGCGCGTCTTTGTGAAGACGATTTTGTAATCGCGCGCGGTGACTTCGCCTCGCGAGAGCAAAAACTTGATAGGATTCAGCACTTTTTCACAGGTGTTGAAAACGCTGCCCGCGACGCGCTCTTTCGGATCTTTGTTCTCTTGATTATACTTGGTGATGACGCCGAGCGCTCGCATGACTTCTAAAACGCTCTCTTCAGTCAGCCCGGCTTCCGCCAACGTTTGTAAAATCTGCTCCCCTCGAACCATCGCCGATAACGCTTCTTGCGCTTGCTTCAGACCGTAACTTGGGCTTTTTTCGTCGCAAAATCCAATGAACCAATCGTAAACGCCCTTCATGCTCCTCAACACCAATTCGCACTCGCTCACGTTTGCCGTCGCGCGCCGCCGCATCTCGCTCAGACGATCGATGGCGTTCGCGACGTCGTCTAAAATTATTTCCTCACTCGCCGCCTCGCGCGCGGTGTCCTCGATGTTGTGCGCCTCATCGAAAATGATGAGTGAACCTTCGATATCGATGTCCATGGCCGAACGCGTGCGCGGATCCAAGAGATAGTTGTACGGGCAGAAAATTAATTCCGCGCTCTCCGCCATGATTTTCGACGCAAAGTACGGGCATCCCTTCTTCGACGTCCCCATCTTCACCAAATCCTCGATATCCAGCGCGTCGGGATGGTTTTTCGCCAACGACGCCAACTTACTCGCCCCTTGTCCGCTATAAAAACACCCTTTCCCGTCCCCACCCGCGGCGCCGGCATCCATCAACCTTCGACACTCCGCGTTGACGTCTCCGCCCTTTCTCGCGCTCTTATTCACGCAATAATGCTCCCTCGACGCCAACACCACGGTGTGCGGCTTATACGCCGTCCTCGACAATTCACCGACTATTTGTGCGATCTGCGCGTGCGTGCGCGTGGCGTAATAAATCTTTGGTGGTTTACCGTTTCCGATTCTCTTCGTCTCGCGTTTGCGCGCTTCGTCCTCCTCCCCGTCTTCGTCGTCGTCCACGCCCACGTCTTCCCTGCGTTCGCTCTCGCTCTCGCTCCACGCCAGCGCCGCGCACAGCAGCGCGAGCGTCTTCCCGCTCCCCGTCGGCGACTCCACGAGCGCGCACGTTCCTCGGCGCGCCGCTCGAACGACCGCGCTCATCACTTGCACCTGCGACTTGTACGGCGTCAACGGAAATCGCACCTCGCACGACGCGATGGTGCGTTTCCACGCGCTCTGCGTCGACGGACTCGGATCAGAGGACGCGCGTCGGCCGTCGTCGGTGTCTGCGGTCGCGCGCGCGTCGTGCGCGCGCTCGAGGTGCGACATCGAGTCGACGAGCGCGACGCGATGTGGAGGCGCGGTGGATTTTCGGGGAATCCGTTTCAAGAGGGGTGCCGGGATTCGCGAACCGACGGGAAGAAAAAGGATCAGGGAGACGACGACGCGCGCGGGGGGTGGTCGAAACGGTGTGATGCGCTCGAAACTGTGTTACACGCGCGCGCGCGCGATGCGAACGGACGCGTGGTGCGTCACCGCGCGACGACGTCGCCGGCGACGACGTCGCGAGCGACGCGATCGGCGTCGTCGCTCGCGAAGATATCGGCGATGACGATGGACATGTCGCGCTCGATCGTGGCGCACAGCGGCGTGAGGGGTAAGGTGGCGAACGGTTCTTCGATTTGGATCCCGATCTCGTCGATGCCTAGGATGAGATAGGCCAAGGTGAAGATGGTGGGCACGGACATCCAAGACATGCTCGGGACGAGCACGAACGGGAGCGTGATGAGCCAAATGATGAGCGATCGTGCCGAGTGACGCGAGAAGCTCAGGGGGATCGGCGTGGCGACAATGCGCTCGCAAATACCTCCAGATAAGCCCATACCGCTCACGGCCTCTTCAATCTTCCAATGAATTTCTCTCGGCGCCCCCTTCTCGAGCGCCAGCTTGAGCGTCTTCGAGATGAGCATGAGCGTGTACAAGCACCGATTTCCCGTCTTCGCGGAAGCTAAGACCTCATCCGCGAGCGCGGGGTCGGTGACGCATCGACGGACGGCTTCGTCGGGAATGTCTCGGAACGCCGTGGGATCCGTGGGATCGGACCGAGTGCGTCCGCTTCTCAAACGCGTCTTCAGCACGTACGCGTACGCCGTTGTCAGTTCTAGCAACCGTCTCTGCAGATTCTTGTCGGGAATGTATATCGCCAAGCGCGCCACATCACGCGCGTGCTTGATGAGCGACCCCCACGCCGTGCGTCCGTCTACGAAGCGGGCATAGCTAGAGTTTGTTCGGAACACGAGTACCAAACCGCACAGCGTGCCCAGTAACGAGTGCGCCGACGCCGGCAGCGTCAAAGACTGCATGGCAAAGTTCGGAAACGGTAACGCCAAATTGAAATACGCGCACGCGTACTTCAACACGCTCGGAAATGCCACGACCACGGCGGTGTACGCCGCCAGCACCGCGCACGGTCTGAACAAGCGCAAGAACACCGTGCTCTGGGGAATCGACACCAAATCGACCACGAATCGATCCACCATGCGATGACGCTCCCACTTATCCTGATCGAACAACTGCGATATGCTCGTTCCGGACGATATCAACGTCTGGTTCAAACCCGGGTCGCGACTGAGCAACAGCTCTCGCACTTTCAATCGCTTCGCCGCCTCCGCGTCCGCGACGCCCCCCCTCGGTTTTGGTTTCCAAAGTTTGTACGCCCCGTGCCACCCCTCCACGCCGCCCGCGCCCGCTTCTTCGTCGCCGTCGTCTTCATCTTGATCGTCTTCCGAAATTTTCCCTCGCGCGCGCACCATCCGTCGCCTCGCGCGCGCACCATCCGTCGTCGTCGTCGTCGTCGTCGTCCCGCTCAAAAACACCCGCGCGCGCGCCGTCGCCCCCGCGCGCGCCGCGCCGTCGCGTCGCGTCGACGCGCGCGCGTCGACGCGCGCGCGTCCTCCGGTCGTCGATCGTCCGCATCGCGGCGTCGCCCGCGCGCGCGTCGTCGTCGCCTGCATCGAGCGCCGGCGCGTCGTCGTGTGTCGACCGTCGACCGGCGTAACGACCGGACCGACGACGACGACGACGCTCGACGCCGCACGCGCGCGCGCGAAACGACGCGGGCGACGGCGGACGCGCGAGGGAAGGCATGCCGCGCCTCGGCGTCGCGACGACGACGGCGCGCGCCGCGACGACGGCGCGCGCGGTGGTTCCGGAAACCGAACGACGAAGACGACGACGACGACGAAACGTCGCGCGCGCGAAACGACGCGGGCGCGCGAGCGAGCGGGGAGACGAGGACGCGGACGACGACGACGCGCGCGTCGAGCGCGGACGCGAGGCGACGGCGCCGCGCGCATCGCCGTTCGGCGCGCTCGCGGCGCTCCGCGAAGCGTTACCAGAGGCAAAGGCGAAGACGGCGCCCGCGACGGCGCGCGAGGACGAAGACGGCGACGCGGAAGACGACGCGATGGCGAACAAGGGAAAATTACCCGTTCGCGTGCGCGCGACGAAATCTGGACGACGCGGGAAGACGGTGACGATCGTCGACGGCGTGTTGTACGCCGAGGCGCGCGCGATGTGCGCCGAGTTTAAGCAAAGTCTCGGCGTCGGCGGCTCCATCGACGCCGTCGACGGCGACGCGACGCTCGCGATGGTGACGATTCAGGGCGAGCACGTCGACTTTTGCGTGCGCGATCTCGTCGGTCGAGGGTACGCGCGCGCGAAGAAGGCGTAGAAGTCCTTCAGTCCTTCGCCCGGCCAGCCCGGTGCCGAGACCGCGGCGCGGGCGCGGCGTCACTCCGACGCGTTTCGATCGACCGCGATGGCGCGTACGAAACAAACCGCGAGAAAGTCCACCGGTGGCAAGGCGCCGCGTAAACAGCTCGCCACCAAGGCGGCGCGCAAGTCCGCGCCGACGACGGGAGGTGCGCGACGACGCGACGACGCGCGACGCGACGGAATTCCCGTGCCCTCGCGGAGGCGCGCGATCGACGACGACGACGCGCGTGGCGAGGGCGAAGACGCGTCGAAGAACGCGTCGACTGACGAATCGGAAATTGCTCGTTCGCGACGTCGCAGGGGTGAAGAAACCGCACCGCTACCGCCCGGGTACGGTCGCGCTTCGTGAGATTCGGTACGTGGTGACGACAGTGAAGATAGGGTTTTAGACGCGCCTCGCGCGCCGCGAGGTTCGGACGACGCTGAGGACTGACCGGGAAACATTCGTACGACTCGCGCAGTAAATACCAAAAGTCTACCGAGCTCTTGATCCGCAAGCTTCCGTTCCAACGTCTCGTGCGCGAAATCGCGCAAGACTTCAAGACGGATTTGCGCTTCCAATCCACGGCGGTTTTGGCGCTTCAAGAGGCGTCCGAGGCGTACTTGGTCGGCTTGTTCGAAGACACGAACTTGTGCGCGATTCACGCCAAGCGGGTGACCATCATGCCGAAGGACATCCAGCTCGCGCGTCGCATCCGAGGCGAACGCGCGTAAACTTTCCGTCCTTTTGAATGAAACGCGACGAAGAGGTTAGAGCGGCGGAGCGCTGGAGCCACGGACGACTCGACGTCTGTAAACGACGCTCACGGGCGTTCGTGGATACCGCGGCCTGCTCGCCTAAATGAATGACGATCACGCGAATTGTGTGTCTTTACTTTGTAACACGAATACGAACAGAAATAAAAACGCGCCTTCCTAATAAAATATAAATGAGTTGTCTACGCGAACTCGGCACCGAGTGCGGCGAGTCGAATGTACGCGTCAACGAAATCGACGAAGAAAGCGTCCTGATCGTTGGCATATTTCCGAATCCACTCCATACTTTCGGCGTCTTCTCGCATGTACTTATCGCTCGGTAAACCGATGTGTTCAGCCATCTCGGCCTCGTCCTTGGTCATGTTCGCCTTGTGCCAAGGGTCGGCGGCGAGGGTGGCGTAGTACGCGTTGTCGAATGTGTACGCGTCGCCGAAACCTTTTCCTCCGATCGTGTGCGCCCCCGCGAGGGCAACCATATCTCTGGTCGTGATCCCACTTCGTGCGAAATGTTCGCGCATCTCTTTCCCGCCCAAAGTTTGTTCCGGCATTCTATTTTCCGGATCCGCCGTCTCGACGTCGATTCTACCGAGCGGAACGCGCTCCAGGAAAGCCGGTCCACCCGTGAACTCCACCGCGTACGCCCCCGCGCACGCGATCATGTCCGCGAACGATACTTTGCCGGCGGCCGCGGTGTCATCCAAGGCGTCATACGCGCTCTTCACCACGTTCAATCCTCGCTTCAAACCAAACGATTCCGGTCGGTTGAGCTCGTACCGCACGCTCGCGTTCATCCCTCCATCCTTCGCGCTCGCCAAGTACGTCCCCGCGTCGTGAAACACCAGGCGCAACACCGCTGGACATTTCGTTTTCTGCACGTTCGCTTCCAGCGCGGCGCGAATCGCCCTTCGTACGCTGGGCTCGTCGTCGCCGTCGCTGCGTTTGCGGAAACCGAAACCGGCGCGCGCGTCAGTCAGTCCGCGTGCGAAACTTCCGAGCTTTCGACGCCGCGAATCGCTCGTTCGCGCGTCACCGTCGGCGAGCGATGCGCGCACCTCATCGCCCGCGCGTCTCGCGCGTTTGACTCCCCCACGAGCGTCCCCAAAGTCGTCCCGAGCAGCGTCAGCCCCAGCTCGCGTCGGGACACCGCGCGCGCGGTCGTCGTCGACGGCGCCGCGCGATGGCGTCGACGATCGCGCGAAGACGACGACGGTACGGGCGAGCGAACGATCGCCGGAGCGATGATCGCGCGCGCGGTCATCGTGCGAGCGTGACACTGGCACGACGACGCCTCACACATGGACTCTGCTCGAGCGAGGACGCGAAAAGACAGCGCCGAGTACCTGGCGAGCGTTCGCGCGATGGCGGCCGGAACGATGGGTAAACCGTCAAAAGAAATTTTAGAGCGAGGGTTCACGAAAGACGACGCGCTCGGTGAACACGAAGGCGTGGCAGAAATTTTGGGCGAGTCGGCGTCGCGCAGAGACGCCGCTGCGAGAGCGGTGACGCGAGCCATCGACGCGGCGATAGGAGCGGACGCGGACGTCGACAGTGCGAAAGCGATGTCGACTCAGCCGATGCCACTCGACGCTAACGCCGAGACCGAGGATGAGGCGCACGTGAAGTCGGTGAAACTGGAGGTTTTCCCCGCCTTGTCTCGTATCGGACGCTTCGTCGGAACGATCGCGTCCACCTTGATAGGAATTCCTACGCAGGTTTTCGTGACGTTCGTCTCGCTCGTTTTCATCCCGAGCGTGCTTCACACTCAAGTCGTATTCACCGTGATGTGTTTTTGGGCAATCGTACGTTATCGTTGATTATGTGCGACATAATCTTCTCGAGACTGACGCCACCGTCGTTTTCCTCGGCAGCATTCGGCGACGTCGATCATGAATTTCGTCAGGCCATTTGCCGGTGGTAGCGTCGGATTGTCCGCGCTGTACGACCATGTACATCACGAAACTAAAATCTTCCGGGATCGCATCACATTTTTGTTTCCGACCTCACCGAGTACGAAACATTCGTCAAACGTACTCAACAACGCGTTGGCGTGCGCGGAATGCGCCGAAGCGTTGCGCTCCATCCTGGCGCCCACGCGTGCGCCGTCGACGAATCTCACCGACGACGAGATAAACACGTTAAAGCGGGCGCGAGAGCTACTCCGAAACCTCAACAATCACGGTCACCACGACTAGGAACGCCACTGATTCCGATTCTTCTTGCAACTCATCGTCGGCGCCTTCGCGCTTCGCTACTTCTCTACTTTGTGAAAGTTTTAATCAAAACTTTATCGCCTTAAGCGGCGGTGCCCTGGTCTCCGATAAATCTAACTCTGCATCTAATTCTTCATCCACCGGTCCCACGAGCGCACTGTTCGTCGCCACGCAATTTCTCGTCGTCAGTCCTTCGCGTCTCTCGCGTTCGAGCGCGCGCGCGCGTCCTCGGTCCATTCAATCCCTCGTCCCCCTCGACGCCTTCGCCTCGCGTTGACGCACACATTATCTCCCCGTATCATATACACCCCCAACGGCGCTTCCTCGACGCCGCTCTCGCTCGAGTACACGCGCTCGGCGCAGTCCTCCAAGATCACGTTCGTCACCTGGTCGAACCCTCGCAGCGTGCCGACGATGTGTCGTCCGTCGTTCGTGATGACGCTCACGCGCGCGTCGAGCATGTTCGTCAGCGTCGGCGCGCTCATCGCTCGCGCCGTCGCCACCCACGGTCGCCCTCGACGACGCCCGCGCTCGCGACGGCGACGAACGCCCGCGCGCGACTGCGGCCAACGACCGGGGCGACCGACCGACCGACCGACCGACGCGCGAGGTGCCGAGCGAATCTGTTCGTTTTCGTGTGATACTACACGGGCGTTCGAACGCGTGGTATACGTAACGAAACCCCGTCTCGAGACGAACACGCGACGACCCGCGACGCGCGCGCGACGCGCGCGCGCCGCACTCGTCGAGTCCTCGTCGCGGCGCCCGCGGGAGACGCGTCGCCGCGCGCACGTCGTCGCGAGCGCGCGTTCGACGCGAACGGCGTCGATCGAGGCGAAGGAAAAGTTTTGCGAGCGTCGCGCGCGGTCGACGCGCGCGGTCGACGCGAACGACGCGGACGCGAGGCGCGAGACGACCGTCATCGCGCGCATCGTGCGAATCGCGGCCGGTTTTCGAATCGCGACGTTTGAAGGCGCGTCCTCGAGCGTGCGCGCGTGCGATCGGGCGTGAAACGGGACGACGCGGTCGTAAAGAAGGCGCGCGCGCGGTGCAGCGCGCGATCGCGTCGAATAGGACGTCGCGTGCGCGTACATTGCGCGGCGCGGATCGCGGGTGGCGCAGCCTCGAGGGGGTCTGGGTCGAGTCGTGACTCGTACGAGTGATTTTGGGTTGACTCTGGCGGGCGCGGCGTCGCGTAAGCCTTCACCGACGCGCGCATTCGCGGTCGAAACTCTCCATACTGCGAGCGCGAAGCCGTGGTATCGTTTGTCGAGAAGAGCGATGTGTCGTTAAGCCTCGTCGAGCGAAGTGAGAGAAATCAAAGGCGAGGCGAGCGACAATTATCCTCGACGCTCACGCGCGCGTCGGCGCGATGGCGGACACTGAGGAGGGAGAATTGACGCACAAGACGGCCGTAATGCGAGACGAGGAGACGCAGGTGAACGGGGAGACAAAGATTGAAAGCGAGTCGCCGGATGGGGTGAATGTGCAGGATGAAGGATTGCGCGAAGCGTCGCCGACGCGTCGCGACGCCGACGAGGTCAACGCGCGCGCGGAGGACGATCCGCCGTCTCAAGAAGAGGAGGAGCCTGAGGAAGAGACGACGAAGTTTGTGGAGTGGGATCCAACCGGACGCTTCGGGCGAACCACTGAACTTCTCGGTCGTGGGACGTACAAGAACGTGTACAAGGCTTTCGACGAAGAAGAGGGCATGGACGTGGCGTGGAACCAGGTCAAAGTTCACGGTTTACCCGCGGTGGAGAAGCAGCGCTTGCTCGGTGAGGTTGAGATCTTGAAGAGACTTGATCACAAGAACGTGTTGAAGTTTTATCATTCGTGGAACACGACGAACGAGAAGACGGGAGAGGTGAGCGTGAACTTCATAACCGAGGCGTGTGCGGGGACGTTGAACAAGTACGCCGCGCGATTTAAAAACAATTTGGATATGCGCGCCGTCAAGAGCTGGGCTCGTCAAATTTTACGAGGTCTAGAGTACTTGCACTCACACGAGCCACCGATCGTGCATCGTGACTTGAAGTGCGACAACATTTTTGTCAACGGTAACGCCGGGGAGATCAAAATCGGTGACTTGGGTCTCGCCGCGATGTTGGATCATCAGCGAACGCACAGCGTGATCGGAACACCCGAGTTCATGGCCCCGGAGCTGTACGAGGAAGACTATGACGAACGCGTGGACATATACTCTTTCGGTATGTGTCTGATCGAGCTCGTTACGTTTGAGTGCCCGTACAACGAGTGTAAAAATCCGGCGCAAATTTACAAGCGCGTTTCAAGTGGGATTCCTCCGGCGGCGTTGGAGACCATCAAAGAGAAGGGTGATGACATTTACGAATTCATCTCTCTCGCCATCGCTCCCGCGGATGAACGCCCGACGGCTCAGCAGCTGTTGGATCACGTTTGGTTGAAGAAGAAGGAAAAGAAAACCATGGTTCCGCGCGCCGTCGTCGAAGAGGAACCAGAGGTGCCGAGACCGATTGTCAAGGAAGAGGAAGAGGAAGAGGAGCCACCGCGCGTGGCTCAAACGAGAGGGGATAATGGTAGAAAGATTGTGAGAGTCTACTCTGAGGCTGACACGCTCGAGCCACCGGAGCACAGGCGAGGGGCTTCGCTCGACGTGCGCGTCAAGGGGACGTTTTTGGAGGACAACTCGCTTCGGTTGCGTTTGAGAATCGCCGACTCGTCGGGTCAAAATCGAACCGTGGAGTTTCCTTTCAACACCGAAACTGACAGCGCGCGTTCGGTTGCGACTGAGATGGTGGAAGAACTTGGATTGGAGATGACCGCGGTCGAAACAATTGAGAGAGAAATAGAAAAGGAGGTGAAGTACTTGTGGGACGAGAAGAAGGGCTTTTGCGAGCGCCCTGAGAGCAAAAGACATAGCGCCGAGAACAGCGGTGGATCTAGCCCTGAAGAGAAATTGCGCGGGCGTCCTGAATCCAGTCGAGCGGGTGCAATATCTGCAAGCGCGAGTCAGGAACACTTAGCGCAGAGTCCGAGCCAGATCGAGATGATGTTGACGCAGTCGCCGTCGACGGAGTCGCTTTCGGAAAAGCCGCGAATTTTGGTGGATGACCACGCAATTTTACCGGAAAAGTCTCACGCTGTGCAGCACGAAGAGAGTCTTTTACGACCGCAAAGCGCGTTCGCCGCTGTGAAACCTCAAGAACAGGCTCCGGTCGCCGCCGCCGCGGCGCGGGGCACGACGAGTGGCTTCACGACGCCGGGCGACGCGTCGCCTCCTCACGCCACCCCCGGGATTTCGCCGGTTCGTTCTCCAGCTCCGGTGCAGCCCGCGGAGGTCGCCCGATCGCTAGAGCAGTTTGATCTGGCTGCGCAGAAGCCACCTCGAGCTCCAGTCGCAAACGCGCAGCCGACATATTCCGAAAGTGTGATGCAGGACGTGCAGCGCGTGATCGAGGGTGGGTCGTCAGCGACGGTGTCAGAAATCGGAGATAGAGGTTCAGACGCCGGATCTTACGCGAACGAAGAAGAACAGGAAGAGATGGAGGAACTTCGTTTGCTCGAAGAACTCGAGCTTCAGCAACAGCAAGAGGAAGCCGAAATGAGGCAACGTCACACGACTGAGCGCCAGCAAAAGCTCCGTTCGCTTCAGAAGAAGCGTATTGAACGTACGGCGAGCAAGATGGCCTTGCTTACAGGATCTGATACTGGGTCCGAGTCCGCTCGTTACGAACGCCCTCACACGCCTGCGCTGGCGACACAGACAGTACCGCAACAAGCGACGCGCTTGATGAATGTGAACAGTGCCAGCAATCTGGGTTTGCCGCCACAACCTCCGCAACCGATGGCGCCGCAACATAGCGCGCCAGGGTTACCGCCACCGACGGTGCAAACATCGCCTCCTCCCTTACATCATGTTCAGCATCCCGTCGCCATAACGAGCGCCGCGGAGCAGCCGCACTTCGTGCCCGCGACGGAGCCCGCCGTGGTGCCGCCGCAAGTTGCTCAGCTGCAAACGGACAGCGCCACGATTAGTAGAACCAATTCTCAGCGCTCGATGAAGAGCGACAGCGACGCAAAGTGCGTCGAAGATCCCGATCTTCCTCCCGAAGAGCAGGCTCGTCTCGCGAAAGAGAAGAAACGTATCGAGGCGTTGGCGAAGATGCAAATGATGGAGGAAACGTCGCTTCTGTCGCTCGACGTGTCGAAGTCGAAGGGTGCGAAAGGTAGCATGATGAGCCTCAGCTCTCAGGCGAAGAAAGATTCAGCAGATGAGCTCCAACAGCACGCGGAGCCGCACTGATAGAATGTTGAAGACATACAATTTAGTTAGCCACATCAAGATTGATGCGATCTTAATACGCAAATACGCAATGCCTGTAAATTCGCGATAAAAAATTTGACAAAATCGCCGCGAAAAAATGTCTTTTATTCATAACGTTACAAGGTTTAGGGCGTGCGGCGCGTTCGATCGATCGACTGATTAGCCCACCGATCCCTCGAGTTTGAGACTCATGAGCTGGTTGACTTCGGCCGCGAATTCTAAAGGTAGTTCGTTGAAGACTTCTCGGCAAAAGCCAGAGATGATGACGCCGACGGCTTCCTCCGGAGAGATGCCACGTTGCTGGAAGTAGAACAATTGATCCTCACCAATCTTGGATGTACTCGCTTCGTGCTCGACGCGAGAGCTCGGTTCTTTGACTTGGATGTATGGATACGTGTTCGCACCGGCCTTATCGCCGATGAGCATCGAATCGCATTGAGAGTAGTTGCGCGCGCCGGAGGCGTTTGGACCCACTTGCACCAAACCTCTGTATACGTTTTTACTCTTACCGGCGCTAATTCCCTTGCTCACGATGCGACTCCGCGTGTTTTTACCGATGTGAATCATCTTAGTCCCAGTGTCCGCTTGCTGTGCGTTGTTCGTCAAAGCGACTGAGTAGAACTCACCAATCGAGTTGTCTCCCGCGAGCACGACGGACGGGTACTTCCACGTGATGGACGAGCCAGTTTCGACTTGAGTCCACGAAATCTTCGAGTTGTCCCCCTTGCACAAGCCACGCTTCGTGACAAAGTTGTAAATGCCACCCTTTCCGTCCTCATCACCCGCGTACCAGTTCTGGACCGTCGAATACTTCACTTCAGCGTTTTTCCCCGCGCTAATCTCGACGACGGCGGCGTGCAACTGGTTCTCGTCATACGCCGGGGCCGTGCAGCCTTCCAAATAGCTCACATAAGAGTCGTCTTCAGCAACGATGAGCGTGCGCTCGAATTGACCCGAAGATTCGGCGTTGATGCGGAAGTACGTCGACAGTTCCATCGGCGATACGACGCCCTTGGGAATGTACACAAAGGAGCCGTCGCTAAACACCGCGCTGTTCAGGGCGGTGAAATAGTTGTCCGCCACCGGCACTACCGATCCGAGATATTGCTTGACTAATTCCGGGTACTCGTGCACCGCCTCTGAGATGGAGCAAAAGATCACCCCAGCCTTGAGCAAATCTTCCTTGAACGTCGTCCCGATGGACACGGAGTCAAACACCGCGTCCACGGCGACGTTCGTCAATCGCTTTTGTTCGTTCAGTGGAATTCCGAGCTTGTCGAACGTGGCCAATAACTCCGGATCGACCTCATCTAAGCTCTTCTTCTTCTCCATCGACTTTGGCGCGCTGTAATACGACGACGCCTGGTAGTCGATTTGCGGATAGCGATTGTCGCTCCAATCCGGCTCCTCCATCGTCAACCACTTACGGAACGCCTTCAATCGAAAGTCGAGCATCCACTCGGGCTCTTCTTTTTTCGCAGAGATCATGCGCACGACTTCTTCGTTCAATCCAGCGGGAATCGTCTCCGTGTCGACATCCGTGCTGAACCCCCACTTGTAGGGCTTATTGAGCATGTCTTGAATTCTATCCACCTCCTCCTCCTTGGCCGTGAGCGCCTGCACTCGCACCGCGCGTCCGCCGTCGGCGTCGTTCGCGCCATCGCTCGCCGCGTTGACCACCGCGCGGACGGTCCCGCGCGATCGCGCGCCGCGCGCGACGCGCGCGCGTCCGGCGACGCCGGTCGCACGCACCCCCTCGGCGGCGCGTCCGCGGGCGCGCGCGCGCGATCGCGCGACGGCGGCGCGCGGCGAAGGCGCGGACGCGCGCGCGGACGTTCGCGTCGCGTGCGTCATCGCGCGCGCTCGAGTCGCGGACCGCTCGAGAACGAACGCGCGAACGCGGTGCGCGTCGCGGAATGACGTCGACGCGACCCGCGCGGGGCTCTCGCCTCGTCCAAAGGCGAGACGGACGCGCGAGGCGACTGACGAGTGCGGACCGAGAGGGCTACGAAGCGCTCGTGCGATTATGATACACTACGGTGACGCGTCCGCGTTCGCGCGCGCCTCGACGAGGGCGCGACCTCGCGCGGCGCGGGCCTCGCGCTTGGACTTGGCGTCGTCGTCCTCCTCGCGCGCGGACGACGATTCCAGCTTGGCGCGGACGACGGCGGCGGCGGCGGCGGCGGCGGGAGATTGCGCCGGTTTTGCGGTCGCAGTCGAAGCCGCGGCGCGCGTGTCCGCTTCCTCTCTCGCGCGGCGGCGTCTGGCCTCGAGCGCACGCGCGGCGGCGCCTATGGGGGCGGAGACGCGCGCGATGACCGGACGCGCCGCCGGAGGAAAGAGGGCGGCGAACGCGAAATCGTCGCTGTCGTCCCCGCGCGCGCCCGAGCCGTGCGGTTGGAAGAAACGCAGATACACCCACGCGGAATACGCACCCCATATATCGAACAGGTACAAACCGACGTGATGATGCGCACCACCGCTCATGAAGGCGTACGCCGCCGTGAAGCACAAGTACGCGCCGATCAAGTGCTTGTTTCGCAGCGCCCGCAGCGAGGCGACGACGCCGCTCGTGCCCGCGCCCAACGCGCCCTCACCGGCGAACACCGGTTCCTCCGGCGACGTTTGCCTGAGCGCGAGCAACAGCGCGGCGAGGACGCCGTGAAAGCCGGAAAATTTCGCAAACAAATAAAACTCGTCCCCCGCGCTCAGGGCGTAGAGCGCGCACATGGACAACCACGCGAGCGTCGTCGTCGCCAAATTCACCCCGACCACGAACCTCGTGAGCTCTTTCGCCCCCCACACGGGTTCTAATATCCCACCTATGTACAACAACCCCCAACAATCGACCACCAACGCCGCGAACGACCGTTCGACGTACCCCGAAGTCACCAGCGTCCACGGCTTGCGCGTCGTCGCGTACGCCTCGAGCGCGAACGCCGCGTCGAACGTCTTTTCCCCGATCACCATCTTTCGCGCCGCGCACCCGAGCACCAGCGTCGCGCACGTCATTTTCGTCGCCGCGCTCGACGTCGCGCACGACGCGCTCAGCTCGCGCTTCGCCGCGCGCGCTGCGGGCGATCAAAAAAATCAAACGCATTTGAAAGCCGTCGTCAGTCGCCCTCGGTCGCCTCGGTTTCGCGCGTTCGCGCCGTCGCCGCGCGCGGGACGCACCGAGCCCGCGGCCGAGGCGCTCGAATCGCTCGAGCCCATCGTCGCCGTCGCCGCGCTCGACGTCCTCGCTCGACATCGCGCGTCGACGCGTGACGAACGAACGGACGGCGCCAGGGCACGCACTTTTTGATTTCGCATCGCGTCGTCGCGGCGTGTCGCGCGATTCCGGCGACGACACACCGCGACGCGACGACGGATGGCGACGCGATCGAGCGGCGACGACGGCGACGACGGCGACGACCGCGTGCGCGCGTGCGCGCGGACGGGGACGTGCGACGCGTGGCGAGGGACGGCGAAGGACGACGACGCGGGATTTCGAGAGCGCGTGCGCGAGGCGCTGCGGCGAGCGATGACGGCGTTCGGGGACGAGGCGTTCGGCGGCGAGCGAGGCGAGGGCGAGGGCGAGGGCGACGAGGGCGAGGGCGGGCGGGCGACGAAACGGGCGAGGACGACGACGGAGACGGAGACGGAGACGGAGGAGACGGAGGAGACGGAGGAGACGGAGGAGATAGCGAGCGCGGCGACCGTGGCGGCGATGCGACGGGCGTACGAAGACGACGTGGAGAAAATTTGTGGCGAGTGCGTGTCGGCGTTCGACCGGGACGCGCCGTTCACGATTCAAAGGATTTGCGAGTTGGCGTGCGAGCCGAGCAAGTATTACTCGACGCCGTATAAACTGGCGAGCGCGTTGTTCAAGCTCTTCGCCGTGACGCAGACGGTCGATCGCGCGCGCTCGAGCGATCGCGAGGCGACGACGGCGACGAACGCGAGCGAGTCAGCGGCGAAGACGACGACGCCGGCGGCGACGGAGGCCATGGTTCGCGACGCGAGAGACCCGCGCGCGGCGGAGCAAAAGGCTTTCATCGGCGCCGCGTTCCGCGAGACGACGCCGGTAGATTTCGAAGAATCGATTCATCCGCCTCGTCCGCCGTCGCCGCCGCAGCTCTCGGTGTAGGAACTCTCGGTGTTTAATGAACTCAAACTCTACGTGTTGGTACAACTCCTATAGTCCTCCGCGCGCCCGCTATTTGCAAAACTTGTCCGCCTTCGTCGCGCTGCGCAGATCGAGCTTTTCTTCTCTCGTCATCGCGCTCGCGGGCGTGTCTCGCCACTTCCGCGAGTACCCGTGCAACGTCTCCGGCGCGGCTCGATAATTCGTGCCGAACGCCACCGTTCGCCCTCGCCCCTCGGTCGCTCGCCGCGCTTCCTCGGGAAACTCGTCCTCGTACGACTTCGTCCCGCCCGCCGTCGTCGCCTCGCGATCGGCGCCGTCTCGTTTCTTCGCCTTCTTCGCCTCCTTCTTCGCCCGCTTCTTCGCCTTGTCCTCCGCGCGCGCCGTGAGCGCGGCGCCGCCTTTGAATGTAAATTTCTTCGTCACGACGCGCGCGTACGCGTCGGCGGCGGACGGCGCGGACGACGACGTCGGCGGCGCGCTCGGCGCGGGTTTCCCCATCGATCGGCGCGTCGTCGGGTCCTTTTTTCGCGTATCGCCCGGCGCGCGCGCGTCCGGTCGCCCCGTCGGCGTCGCCCCGTGGCGTCGGACGACCGACCCGGTTCGCGCCGTCGCCGCGCCGGGGACGCGAACCGGCACACGTCGTCGCGTCGTCGCGTCGTCGTCGGACGCGCGTCGGAAGCGCGTCCGTCGCGAGGCGAAGGGCGAAGGACGCGCGCGCGATGCGATCGAGCGCGCGCGAGGACGCGTGCGCGGCGCTGGCGAGGACGCGCGTGCGCGCGTGCATGCGAGCGATGACGCGCGCGACTATTTTAAGCGCGACGGACGACGACGACGGCGGCGCGACGGCGAGCGCGACGGCGACGACGCGCGACGACGACGACGACGACGACCGCGTCTCGGACGCCGACGACCGCGCGTCGAGGGCGACGGAGGAGGCGCGCGAAGACGACGACGACGAAGACGCGAATCGGCTCGGACGCGCGCGCGAGGACGACGAAGGGGCGTCGAGCGTCGTCGACGCGAACGATGACGCGCGCGCGCGCGCGCTCGCGGACGCGCTGAGCGCTGAGCGCGCGACGCGTCAGGGCTTAGAGGCGGCGATGGAGTCGCGAGAGGTGGCGCACGCGACCGAGCGCGAGACGCTCGAGGCGAGGGCGAGAGACGCCGAGGCGGGACGCGTCGCGGCGGAGGCGGAGGCGAGCCATTTGCGCGGTGAAATAGCGCGCGGCGAGACGGTGATCCGACAGGAAGAGAGCGTCATACGTCTTCGTCTCGAAGCCGAGCACGAAGTGCGCGTGGGCCGGTTGGCGACGGAGTTGGATCGCGTGCGCGGCGAACTCGAGGCGCGTTCGAGCGAATTGCGCGACGCGAGAGCAAACGACGCCAAGACGTTCGACGCGCTCAATCGCGTTCGAGAAGAGCTCTTGGGTCGACTTAAGAGCGAGACTCAGAAATTGTTAGGGACGATAGATTGCGTCTGTGACGCCATGGATTCGGCGTCAAAGAGTTTACACCGCGACGGCGTCGCGGCGACGCCTCGCATTTCGCAAAGCGTACCGTCTAGGCGCGAGCGAACGCTCGTCGTCGACACGAAACAATCGCGAGGCCACGGTGCCGTGGGTACGCCTGAACCAGGTACGCCGATGTCGTCGCAGTCGCGTCATCGAGCAGTCGCGTCGTCCTCGGTGGCGCAACAAAACGCGCAGCGACGACTGCACCTCTCGGCGCAGTCGGATAGACTTCGGAAGCCGATTGCGTCGCAAAAGGGGCTCGTTGGGTACGCAAACATATATCAGCACTGACAGATGCTAGGACGAACATGTAAAAAATCGAAAAACTCACGCCGTCGCCGCGTCGACGATTTGCGACGTCGGCGCTTCGTCCGCCACGCCGACGGTGAACGAGTTGCGAATGCGTTTGACCGAGTTCCCAGTCACGCGCCACTGCGCGGGCGTCGCATCCAAGCTAAGCACGTAAAGCACACCATCGAGCACGGAGGCGGAGATGAGATAAATATGTTCCGGGTACAAGCACCCAACGGCGCTCGGACACGACTTCGCCGGCGGCGACGCCACGAGTTCCCAATCGTAATATACTTGTCCCGTGCTCGCGTCGACGCGCTTCGCCGCGCCGAGCATGTCGGCTCGACGGTACGAATCTTCCCCATCTAGTCCCAAAACCTTGGCCACCGCCACGTTCTCCGGCTTCCCTAAATCATCGATCGACTTCACCCCAAAGTCTGGCGTCGCGAACGCTCGAGCGCCTTGCACCGCCTCCCCGTTCACCGGGTCCACGATCGTTCCCCACTCCGTCGTCATCGCGTCTACCACGCGCGCACCGTCGACGCGCCACAAACTACTCACTTCAAACGTGCACGCTCGAACACCCTTCGCCTTATCGCTCGAGCGTAAACCAATCTGTCGCACAAACGTCTGCTCGCCGCTATTCGTCTCCATCACGCGCTTCATGTTCGCCTCGAGCTCGGCGAGTTCTTCGTCCTCGTCGTCGGCGCGCGCGGCGAATTCGGTCGACGTCGACGTGAGTGAGATCGCGACGCTCAGCGACGCGCACGCAAACGCGCCCAACGCGCGTCGACGCGACGATAAAGACGCAGTATCGACGTTGACGTCGTCACCAAACTCGACGCGCGTTCGGCACGACGACGACGGAGCTGCGGATGAGGACGCCGACGCCGCGTGACGGCGCGCCGCGCGCGTCGATCGAGGCGTTCGCGCGTTCGCGCGAGCGGTGAACGCGTTCGAACGGACGGCGCGCATGGCACGCGCCGTTCGCGATGTGACGCTCGGAGGCGCGACTGGAGCTGTACAAGTTTGGGAGTTACAAGAGTTACCATCGTCTACTCGTTCTGGCGCTTGGCGTACTTGCTCGGCCCGGTCGGACCGTTTAAATATGAATCCAAAGGATCGTTCATTTTCGGTAACGCGTTGAAACCGCCTTGAGTTCGCTGGCGCGTCTGCGGCTGGCGCGACGGTTGGCGAGACGCCGCCGACGCGCCGCCGCCGAGATGGCGGGTGTCGTGCGAGCCAATTTGACGGTCGCTGAGCCCGAAGTGCGCTCGAGCCTCCTTGCGAGCACTGCCATCTGATGTATGCCCCGCATTCTTACTGTCGAAAATGTTGGGCATCCCCGGGAGCGCCTGCATGCCGAGGTCGCCACCGGCGTTCATGTGCTGCGGGTTCGTCGGGTCGCCGGTGGCTTGGTGTTCTCGCATGACGTGATCCTCGGCTTCGCGCATGGCTTTCTCCATGGCGGTGAGTTCACGCTCGGGTTGTTCTTCTTTTTCTGAAAAAGCGATACCGGGCAAGTCCGGGCACACCGCCACGCGCGACTTCACGGCGTCGGTAGACGCGGACGAGTCGGTTCGCTTGCTCATGAGCGAATCGTAGGATTCGCCAATCAACGTCGTGAGTTCGTCGTTCACGGCTTTCTTACCCACGACGAGAGTGAAATCAGCGACACCGAGACCGAATCGCGCGCGAACGGCGTGCATGATGGCCGCGACCAGTCGATGCTGATGTTGCGCTCGGCAGTTCAACGCGAGCACGAGCGTGGTGCCGCCGGCTTGTTCGTCGGCTTCATCTTTGCCGCCGCCAGCTTCGTCTTCGACAGCGTCGAGTTGACCGATGATGGTCTTCTTGAGCTCGTACGCCACTCTACCGATGCGACGTTCGCGCATTTCGATCGCTTCGGCCGAGTCGTCTTCCGTGTCGTCCTCGTGGATCGTGTGATCAAACGTCTTGTGCGCGTACGCGTGCTTCTCTTCCTTTTGTCGCTCCAGAACCGTGACCACTTCGTGCACCTTTTGTCGAGTGAAATAGTTTGCAATGCATTCATTGCGCGCTTTACCCGTACCCTTGAACTCAAAATCGTACGCCGCGACGAGTTTCAAAGCCTTGGCGCGAAGAGACAAGAGAGAGTGCGGAGAGTTGGACTCTTCCGCCTTGGCGCCGACGAACGTCGCGATGGCATCGCGAGCCAACTCGTGCACGTGATGCCAAATCGTAAAAACCGCGAGCCCGCCCGTGGAGCCACACGTGGTGTCATCCTCGGTAAAGCTCGCCGCGCCTTCGAGGTTGTGAACTTCTTTCACCTTTGATACCCATTTCTTTTGCTTTTCAGTCGGTTCGCCGTACAGCGCCTTCAAGCGATCCTTCATCTCCTTTTCGATGATGGCCAACGCCTCCTCTTCCGAAAGCTCTTCCTCCTCGTCTTCCTTCGCCTCGCCTTCGCCCCCTTCGATCTCTTCTCCATCGGCTTCATCCGCTTCATCAGCGCCCGCGCGCGCAACCGCGGACGGTTTCGGCTGTTTCTCCGCGCCGACGCTTCGCGTCGGCGCGGCTTCGGACTCGAACGCCGCGTCCGCCGAGCGCACTTCCTCCGCCCCGGCGCCTTCGGTGATGGAATCATCCGCATCTTCTGCGTTAACATCCTCCACCGTCGGCATCGTCGTCGTCGTCTTCGCCGTCGTCTTTGTCGTCGTCGCTTCGTCGTCCACCGTCTCCACCGCGTCCTCGTCGTCCACCGTCTCCACCGCGTCCTCGTCCTCGTCGCCCTCCTCCTCCGTCCGCGCGTCTTCGTCGTTCGCTTCGCTCGACGTCGTCGTCGCCATCGCGTCCTCGGTGTCCGTCTCGCGATTTCGCGCGCGCACCTCGACGTCGGCGCGTCGCGCGCCCGCGCGTCCGTCGTCCTCCACCAACACCCCCGTCGCGTGCGCGCTCGTCGCGGCGCGCGCGACGGCGCACAGCGCGAGCGCGACGACGACGCGCGCGACGGCGACGCGTCGTCGAGGCGCGCGCGTCGTCGTTCGCGCGCGCGTCGTCATCGTCGGCCCGTCGTCGAATGAATCGCGACGCGCGCGCGACGCGGGTCGCGCGCGCGTGCCGAATGTCCGATCGTCCCCGAATGTCCGATCGTCCCCGAATGTCCGATCGTCCCCGAATGTCCGAATGTCCGAATGTCCGAATGTCCCCGAATGTCCCCGAATGTCCGCGCCGACGTCGCGTTATCTCGATTCGATTCGATTCGATCCGTCGCGCCGCGAACGGGAATCCGCACGTCGCGCCGCGCGATACGACCGCGCGCACCGCGACGACGATGACGACGGCGATGGCGACGCGCGCCGGCGACGCGCGCGCGCGCGCGACGACGACGACGCGCGTTCGCCAGGGTGTGCGATTCGGGGCGCGACGCGCGGCGACGGGGCGACGTCGCGCCGTGAACGAAGCGCCGCTCGAGACGGCGACGCGGCGACGCGACGATGGGGCGAGCGCGCGGCGCGTGTACGACGGCACCGTGCTGTTTCACGTGTACGACACGCTGGAGGCGCCGATACCAATCTTTGGGACGTTCCTGGAGGGCGCGCTGCACGTCGTCGAGGTGGCGAGGTTTCATCCAAACTTTGTGAGCGCGCACTTTCACTACGCGCTCGGGAACGGGGAGGAGAGAATAGACGCTCGAGAACCCAACGCTTGCTTCAATTGCGCGCTGTTCGACGACGTGGCGCCGGAGGACATGTTTGCGGCGTTTTCGGATTTCGTCGACGCGGTGGAGATGGGGCATCTGAACCAAACCGAACACGCGCTGGCGTGCAGAGAAATCGCGGCGTACGCGCCGAGCGACGCGGACGGGGCGTCGGCGTTCGCGAGAACGCGCGCGAAACGACGAGAAATGATCGAGGCGGCGGAAGGCTCGGACGCGGTGGTGCCGGTGTTTGGTTTCGACGAGTCGAACGTCGTCATCTTCGTCGGCGTCAAGGCGAACGCGGGCGGCGTCGACGCGAATGATTGGGCGACCACCTTCGGCATCACGAGCGCGCAAGCCATCGTCGGCGCGGGTGCGTTTCAAGACGCTTCGCTTTTCGAAGTCGTCAAGAGCTCCAAGGCGAACGAAGTCGATCACAGGTTTACGCACGTCGCTCGCGTGAGCCTCGGGCCGGTGGGCCAAGACGAAGCGCTCGTGAGCGCGGCTGAGGACGTGATTCGTCGCGCGTGCGCTGCGATCGATCCAAGCGCTCTCATCGCACCGTACGCGTGCGTATATAACATCGGGAAGAAAGGCACGCCGCCGGGCGCGCTTCCAGCTATGCGTGAGATTGCAAAGAAGAAGAAGGAAAACGACGAAATGTCGACGCAATCGACTCGTACGACGGCGGATGTGTAATTATTTGATGTAAAAACAAAGACATTTTTTAAAGCTGTCGCGATAGTGTCGCCTAAGACACCGCGCGCGCGTAGCGCACACTTTGCCAATCGATCGACGCTACGGATAGCGCCACGGCGCTCACGGCGACGAGGACGAGAATCACCACGAGCGCCACGGGGCCGAAGACGTCGTCGTACCGCGTGCTCGCCTCACGCCTGGCGATTCGCCTCGCGCGAACGATGTACGTCCAAAGCGCATATAACATGAATAGGATCGAAATTGGCGCGATGATGATTCCGCAAATCGCTCCCGCGAAAGGGCTACCCAGCGTCGTCGCGGACGCTCGCGCGTTTGAGCCACCGAACGGAATCGCGTTCGAGCCACTGGATTCGATTGCCAGCAACCCGAGAGCGAGAAAGAGTAAGAGGATGGACATCGAAAGCCATTGCAAGAGCGTGCGCTCGTTGGCGAAAAACGTTTTCGGTTCCACTTTCACCGGCACGTGCCTTTGAGTAAATCTCATCGCCGGCGCCTGCTCGACGTCCGCGTCGCCGACGCCCAAACGATTGACTCGCTTTTGTTCATTCCTACGAAATCGGAGCGTCGCGACCGCGGCGCGCATGAGTTCGGTAAACGAGCTCGCAGACTCCGTGCGCTCGATATCGTGAACCGTGCCGTCGTGATCGAGCGGGCGTTCGGCGTCGCCACGCGACGACTCGATCGGCACGTCGACGACGCATTCGTTCGCGTCTGCGCCATACCAATGAGGTAGCTTCGGTAACGCCTCGTTCGGGTAAAACAACATCGCGCATCCGTGTAGAAACTTACTGAACTTGTATACATGCGTCACGTTGAAGGAAGAGATGATATTTTCGATCCATTCCGGCGACTTCGCGTCCTCCGTCGCTAATTTGACTTCGAGAATGGCGAATCGAAACGCCGCCGGCTCGCCACCTTTGAAAGCTGCGTTCGAGAGCACCCCAGACCCTTCGCCGCGAACATCGCGCCAGCGTAAATCCGTATCGAACGATACTCGAAGTTGATTACCATCGGACCTCTGGAACGCCGTGCGTCGGTACTGCGTCAGGAGCGTCGGTTTCACGCCGCGTCGCTTGATTTCTTGCGCGAGTACTTCGCGCGCCAAAGTCAAGTTCTTTTTCGACATCGACAACGCTTTCGGCGGTGTCCCCTGCAAAAGTACCACAGCGTCTTCCCTTCGCATGCTGCAACGCTCTTTCACGCTCTTTTGCGCCGACCAGGATTCATGATGTGTCTTTCGCTCGATGAAGACGTCGTCCGAGCGCGCCGACCCTCCGTACCATCGACATCGAGCGAGAGTGGCGCCTTGTTCGCGAGCGAGCCTCGTGCGATAAACGTCAAATTGTGGATTGTCGAGATATACCGAAGTTATGAGCGAGCGGTCTTGGTCTTCGTCATCTTCAGCGCGTGGTTCAGCGTCTTCGCCGCCGCTGAACTCGAGAATCGGTAGATGTTTTAAAATCGCGAGCTGCACTGGAATGGCGTCGCGAGGGTCCACCCAATACTTCACTGTGCGACGCTCGAACGTGCTCGGCGGACACCATCGCTTCGGCGACGTCGCGCCATCGCTTCCACGAGATCGCTCGAAAGCCGCGCTCAAGTCAAGCAAGATGGCGTCGAAGTCGCGTCTCGTGTCTCGTTCGTCTTCTGCGATCGCCCCCGCGACGAACGGTTCTCGATGTGCCTGTACGTACTTCCAAACTAATTCCACCCGATTACACTTTCCTTCGAGTTCACACGACTCGAAGCTTCCCGCGCGCTCCAACTCTAACGCTCGCGCGGCGTAGGCGCGCGTCTCCCTCGACGCCTCCTCCCTCGACGCCGTCCGCGCGACGATCGGTGGAGATCCGAGCTTGCATTCGTACATCGTCTTCATCATCGCGCGCGTCGCTTTCATCGCTTCCGACTCGCTCGAGTCCTCTCTCGTCGCCATCGCGTCGTCCTTCCCGCGTACGAGCGCTGTGAAAGATGAACCGACTTTCGCTTTCGACGCACCGAGAAGCCGCGCGTGCGCGCGCGCGAGAGAGAGCGTGCGAGCGCACGCGCGAGCGAATCGCGCCCCCGCACACTGCGACGTTTGATGACCTTTTCGTGCGGTCTTGTGTCGCTTGCCGCACCACGCGCTCGCGTCCACCTCGACCAGCATCACATGGTGGGTCCGACGTGGGCAGACGTCAACACGCCGCTTGCTTGTCGGGCGCTCGATATCAGAATTACGCGTAGTTACAATAAAAACAACTATCTCAAAGCACGACGTTTCCCTCAGCCGTGGCATTCCAACCCACACTCTTCTCCGGCGTGCCGTGCTGTCCACCGAGCGCGGCGTTCGTCGGCACCCACTCACTCGGCGCGAGAGCAGAGGCGTAAAACACCTTCATGCGCATCGCGGCGAAACCCAAAAAGTCAAAATCGATGGCGCTATACTTGGCTTGAATCACCGCCCAGAGCGCCCAGAATGCGTGCGTCACGGGCGTCCACGCCGCGACTTCCGCTTCGAGCGCGTCAATCTCCGCATCGACCGTGGTGTGCAAGTACGCCGAGTAAAACTCGCGGCGAAGTTCGCACGTCGGAAACTGATCGTAGTTGCACTCGAACCCGGCGAATTCGCAAAACAGATTGGCCATGTCAAACGCACGGGGACCGTAGTCGGCGTACTCGTAATCGATGAGCGTCAGGTTGTCCGTCTTTCTGTTCAGCAAAAAGTTACCGGCGTGAATGTCGTTGTGACAGTACACTGTCTGACTGTTCACGGCTTCGCACCTCGCGCGAATGACTTCGAACAGCATTTGACGCGATTCCGAATCGATCTTCAACGATGCCAAAATCGACTCTTTGCGCGCGTCATTCTTGAAAATGGTCGGATCATTGGCAACACCGTACGCCAAGTCGAACCACAACTGAAGCGTGTCCCAGATAGCGTTGGCTCGGGCGCGCGCGATGGTCTCGCCAGCCGCGGCGCGAGGCACTAAATCCGGCGCCACTTCCTTGTGCAAGCGTCGCATCTGCGCCGCGACTCGTCGAAGCAAAATCCCTCCGTTCGCCAACTCCTCCGGAGCCACACTCTCGGCTTCGATGAACTCTTCAACCAACCCATTTGAAAAAACGCCGAGCACTTTTGCCCCGAACCCGTGTTCGTTCAAAACGTGCGACGTCTCGCCTTGTACTTTGCGATGAGTGATGAATTGATCGGTACCCTTGCCAAAAACTCTCACCACCACCGCGCGTGCGATCGGATCCTTCGTCGTCGTCGGCGCCGCGTCTTGCGCCAGACGAACCTTGAACAGCGCGTTCGTGATCCCGCCTCGCACCGGGCTCACCTCGAGCGCCGCGTTTTCGACGTTTGCCCACCCTCGCACGGTGTTTCGCACGATGGATTTCACGCCTTGATACTCATCGCGTTGTTCGCGATCGACGTCGAGCTCGACGTTCAATCGTCCGGGCGCGGGCGTCGCGCTTCTCGACGTCGGCGCGTCTTCGTCTTGAAAGTCTGTCGTGCTCGCCCCCGAGTTTTCTTCGCTCGCGCTCGAGTGTCTTCGGTCGGTGACCATATCGACGTCGTTGTACGCCACGGTCTTCGCCTTCGTATCCGCCGTCGACGCCGTCGTCGTCGTCGCGCGCGCGCTCGTCATCGTGTGGCGACGTTCCATTCTTAGCCGCCCGCGCGAGGCGGGCGAACGTTCGAATTGGCGCCAAAAACGTCGGGCGGGGGGCGCTGGGGTTTACTTTTTATTTCGAGTCGATGCGAGATTTCATGGCGTTCGCGTGCCGTCGAATGCGTCAAACGAATGGATAAGCCAGAATCGCGCGTCGTCGTCGTCGTCGTCGTCGTCGTCGTCGTCGCGGCCTCGTCGGCGTCGTCCGTATCCATCCGCATACCGCGCACCGCGACGCGTGCACGATGATAGCGTCCACGAGCTGTAACGCGAACGCGACGTGCGCGACGACGACGACGACCTTCCGTCGTCGCGCCGCGGGCAAGTCGCACGCGCGCGGCGTCGTCTTGGCGCGCGCGTCGTCGGCGTCGACCGCCGCGGATGCGTCGGCGTTGTATCCGCGACGCGAGCTCGCGCAGGTGAGCGCGAAGAAGGTGGCGGCGGCGCCGGTGGCGAAACCGTCGGTACCGTCGGCGCAGATCGCGGTCGGATCCGCCGTGGCGATCGCGGCCGCGGCGCTCGCGATCAAGGCTTCGAAGTCGAGCACGATCGGAGGCGCGTCCAAGCAAAAGAGAATCGTCATCGCCGGTGCCCCGGCGAGCGGGAAGGGAACGCAGTGCGAGATGATCGTCAAGAAGTTTGGCCTCACGCATATCTCCGCCGGTGATCTCTTGCGCGCGGCCGTCGCGGCCGGTACCGACGCCGGTAAGAAAGCGAAGGAGTACATGGACCGAGGCGACCTCGTGCCCAACGAAGTCGTCGTCACCATGGTGAAGGATCGCTTGGCGCAACCCGACTGCGCCAAGGGTTGGCTGTTAGACGGCTACCCAAGAAGCGAGGAACAGGCCGAAGCGCTCATCGAAAGTGGGATCGACCCGGACTTGTTCCTGTTGCTCGACGTGCCGGATGAAATTTTAATCGACCGCGTCGTCGGTCGTCGACTCGATCCGGTGGATGGTACCATCTACCACATGACCTTTTTCCCGCCGCCAACGCCCGAAATTGCGGCGCGCTTGACGCAGCGCAGTGACGACACCGAAGAGAAGGCGGCCAACCGCTTGGCTGTGCACCACAAGAATGTCGACGCCGTCGTCGGCAAGTACGAGAGCATAATGAAGAACGTGGACGGTAACCGCGCCAAGCAAGACGTGTTCAAGGATATCGAACGTCTCATCAAGGCTATGTAAGTTATCACGAACGATATTCGACACGCTTCGACAAGTTGCGTTGCTTCTTTACATCCGACGACGAGACGCCGTCTCTAAAGGTGGTCGCGGTCAGTCGGTCGCGCCCGTCGATTAGGAATGAAGGAAATTGATCCCCTTTTTAATGCTAGCTTCCAGTTCTGGTAACATGCTCTCCAACGCGTCGATTACGAGAACTGTGAGAACGATGGCCGGAACAGACGTGATGGCGCGACGATCATTCATTTTATGCGCTGTCTATTTCTTTATCAAAAGTCGCTCAGTTCCATGCTCGTCGGTAAAATGTTTTGCTTCGCGGAGTCGCGCTGCGGCGGTTGATCGTAAGGCGAGTCGTCGTCGTCGTCTGGCGGATGTTGATCCAGAGGCATGTACTGCGCCATGATTTGTCGAATTTCCCGATCCATGTACGAACGCGCGCGGTACTGGTAAAACGCGTACGACGCGCTCGCAACGCCGAGGATTGACATCAACACGCTCGTGAACACCAAACTCGCGCCGCCGCTGCGATGCGTCGACAGACAAATCCAATCATCGACAGGCTCGGGTTGATACGTCGCCGCGTATCCCGCAGAACACGTACAGTTGTAACTTCCATACGTGTTGACGCACTTTGCGTTCGAGTCTTTGCACTTTGTTTTGCACTCGTCAATTTCCACGCACGACGTCGTTCCGTCGCCCTCAAAGCCCTTCGGGCACTTGCACACGACGCTTGGTACCTCGTCGGGATTTCCCCCCTCTCTACTCGCTTTGCGTTTTGCGTCAATATTATCGACGCACGCGCTGAACCCGTCCTTCGCCCAGCATCCCCCCTGAGACGTGGCGGCTCGCGAAAGAGGCTCGTCGCACGCCGTGGCGGCTTCGGTTTTACACTGAAACTTTCCGTGCTGGAGATTCGTGCACACACAACGGTCGCACGAGCAGTTCGCCATGTCGTGCATCGCTTGAGCGCACATGTTAACGGATTCGCACTTTTCCGTGCCATCGTGACCGACGACGCTTTGGGAACCTTCCGGACACGCGCACTCGTAATACGGAAACGATCCCGTCTCCTTGCACGCCGTCTTCCCGTCGCCCTCCTTATCCGCCGCGCACGTGACGTCTCCCTGTTGACCACGCACGCACTCTGCGTGCATCAAACCGGCATCGCTACACATGGCCGGAACAGATGCCTGATCGAAACCGGCGCAAAGTGCCGTCAGCACCTCGCCGCGCGCGATTTTTCCCGAGTATCGCTCGCCGTTGATCAAGATGGTGGGAAGAAGCCGGATGTCGCGCCGAGAACTCCCCGCAGGTGGACTCTGCGCCGCGATTTGCGCTTCTAGCATAGGATTCGTGTGATCTCCGTTAGTATCACCCATGCAAGCGTTGATGGCGTCGACGTCGATGCCGATGTTCTTCGCTACCTTCTCCGCGCAAGAGCGCATGGCGAATTTGCCATTGCCCATCGTGCACTCGTCAGAGAAATCTGAGACGTAATCCCACCACATCCAGGGCGCGTTGGATTTATTCGCGACGTCAAAAGCACAAAGCGCTCGAAGGTTGTCGATGACGATGTCAGCGCCAGAGTAACCCGCGTGAATGTCCGCGTCTGGATCCGGCGCGCAGTAGCGGCCTACATTTATGCACTGCGCCTTACACGCCTCGGTCGTGGGCGGATTGTCGATACATTGCCAAGTGATGTAGTGCGGGGTAAACTGCGTGTACCCTCCTTGCTCTAAGCTCTTCGCGATCGGTGTAAAGTCACGCATGAATGCGTTCTGTTGCTGACATGTGTGTCCGCACTCGTCGTTTGTCTCCGCCCAAAGTTCCCATTCGACGCGTTCGTCGGGATGCGGCAAGACGTCGTGCCAATCCATCGTCCCCATGACGCGCTCGTTGCGTGCGATTTCAGCTTCGAACTTCGAACCGTCCACTTTTCTCGCCAAAGCCGCGGGAATCGTGATGTTGTCGACGTACGAACCCGTGCCTTCGTCGTTTGCCGCGTCTGGAGTCAATAGCGGCTCGTCCCGATCGTCAACGATGATGACCGCGTCCGCTCCCGCCTTCTGTCCATTCATCACTTTCTCTGTAAATGCGCACGATCCGCGGTCGAGCAGTAGAATCACCGCCATGCGCGCCGCTTTGACTGATTCTGGAATATCTATCGTCGCGCCCGCGCCGCAACCCAATCGCTGCCTCGCGTCGTGCGGATACGTCAACGCGCCGCTGAGCGATGCGCCGTAGAGCGTTCGCCCGAAGTTGGCTATCGCGATGTCATACTTCCCGACCACGCTCGCGGGCGTGGTGATGGATAAGTGCGCGATCTCAACCTTGAACGACGCCCCGAGCGTGGGTGTCGACGGATGATTGCCGTGACGATGCGTTCCATCATCTCGCGCGTCGACGTCGTCGTCGCCGCGCGCGCGTTCGACGACGGCGAGCGCGAGGACGACGGCGAGCGCGAGCGTCGTCGTCCACCGCGGTCGTCGTCCCATGCCGATCGCCCGCACCGCAAACCGACGCGGTGCGAGTGGTTGTGACGACGCGTCCGCGTCGTCCCGGACCGTTCCGCCGGTCGTCACACGCCCGCGGGCGGTCGAGGTCGAGACGTCGCGCCGCGCGAGTTCGGAGGAGCGGACGCGGGTACGGGCGACGACGACGACGACGACGACGACGCGCGACCGATCGCACGCGGCGACGCGCGCGACGACGGCGACGACGCGCGTTCGTTCGTTCGCGCGCGCGTCAGAGTCGTTGCGCTCTGAAGGCCGCGGGGCGTTCGGCGTCGCGAGATGGCGTTGAGGGACTCGTTAGAGCGCGCGCGGGCGACGATGATGGGCGAAAACCTTGACCCTGGTCGTGCGATCGCGCGGACGCCGGCGACGGTCGCGTTCACGAGCGCGCGTAAAGAAGACGTGGACAGAGAGTTGCGCGTTCAGCGAGACGAACGACGAAAGTCGCAACCGACCGGGAGAATCAACGAAGAGGACGTAAGGAGAGGCGTGCTGGAAACGCGAGCGTCGATATTTAACGTAGGTGCGGCGAACGAGTCCAAAGCGCGCGGTTCGTGGCGCAAAGCGCTCTCGAGCGTGCGCTCTGCGAAGCGCGGCGCGGCGCTGAGCGACGTCAATCCGCTTGAGTGGACAGACGTCGACGGTTTATTCGCGTACTACGATTCGATTTATTTCGAAAGCAAACTCAACGGCCGCGTCACGTTTTCTTGGCACGCGTCGCCGTCGCATAGAAATGACGATGAGAGTGAAGACATGGGCGAAAAAGCAAAACTCGACAGTCTATTCAAGTATTGTTTGTGCAGCGATGTGCCGAAGTGGTGGCACGGGGCGAACCCGAGGCAGTTATGCGTCGGGGTGTGCTGTGTCATCGAGAAACGGGCGTCGCAGTATTCACGCGTGGCGCATTTGCGTATGCCGGACGTTTTGCGTCGCTTCAAAATGACGCAAATGACAAAGGAGGCGCTTCTTCACGGCATGACGCATGCGTACTTGTTTGTGACTGGTCATACAAAAGAAGACGCCGCGTTCAACGCGCACGACGAGGAGTTCAAGCGTTTAACGTACAAGCTGAATTATGATTTCATGATCGCCGATGCGTACAGACCACAGGATAAAGGGTACGCGATTCGTTGGTTTGATCGAGCGATTGAGGCGTCCGCGGCCGCGACGACGTCTTCAGATCCTCTCTCGAGCTCTATGGCGGTAGCATCAGCCCGGCCAACGAAAGATGTGGCTTCGTCAGTGAAGAGTCAACTATTCAAGAATTCGGTGGTAGACGTTCTCACGCCGGAGCACTACAAATTGTTGTACTTTATTAGCAAGCATAGTCGATTAGCTGAGAAGGCGACGGACAAGGAGCGTTGGATTCGTTATCTTCACATCATGGTTCTAGTTTACGAAGCGATCTTGGCTGGTGTTTTCGACTACGATTACTCCCCATACGGTGAAGAAGTCGGTTCAAAACGAATGATGCTGAATATCTCCCAAGAAGCGAGAGATAATCTCGACGATTTAGTCGAGGCGGGGATGGTACGTTCGTTAAGGATGTCGACGTCCAACGGGAAATCTACGATGGCGTATCAACCATCGAAGAAGGGATTGGAATACATGCGACAAGGTTCGATTTCTCGGGAAGATAAAGAGCTGTGCGATGAATTCATGTATGACCCCAGAGGTTCATTGCTCAAGGTTGTGTTTGAAGAAAAGACGGAAACGTTCAAGTTGGTTTCCGACGAAGGATTCAACATCGATAGCACAGTGACGGAATCCGAAGATGTCTCTTACGTCTGTTCGCCGTACCTTTGTCGACAGTTCATGAAGAGCGCGTCTCGGCCGCTTTCGAGCTACGCGTATCGCGCCTCAGAATCCATACGAGGTTTGAGCAGTATAGCGGACGATTTGGACGTCCAGCTGTCCATGAGTCGAGTCATCGTGTTGATTGGCGACTGGATCCCCACGAGTTGTACGCAAATCACAGAGTTGTCGCAAAGTTTGGGGGTTTCTGATCGAAACAAAGGTGGCTATTACAGCTCGGAAGTCGATCGCGCGAGCACGGATACGTGTCTCGAGATCCCCGTTGGACTCACGAGAATTAGCATCTCTTCGGCGAATGCGGCGCAGTATTGCAACGTGGAGGCGGAAGTCGAGTATCCGGAAGCAGCTGGAATTACGCAAATCGAGTCGTTTGGACTTCGCTTCGCTCGAGAGGGTGACTTGGTTTGCGGTATGAAGATTGAATCCGTCATGACGAAAATTCTCAACGACATTCCAGTCGATTGGCTCAGTCGAGTCGTAGCCGACTTGCAAGTCGATAGTTCCAAGCTCACGGCGAGCATGACGTCGCTCTATCAGAGAAATGTACTTGAGACTGTTTACGATGGAGATTTTGCTAACAGACCAAAGTTTGCGCTGTATCTGGCAGAGACAATATCGCCCAAGCTCAGCGCGCGGCACTACCTCGACGGCGATTCAATCGAGGCAGAGGTTAAGCAGCTCATCGGCGATACGCACTACGCGCTGGATGTGAGCGACAGTGACGTCATCATCATCGGTGCCGGTGGTATAATATTTGCTGGTCCCGATTGCGCTCGGCATGAGACATTATTGATGGCCTTTTGCCTTTTGCGGGCGAGGGAAAATTTCTGCACCGTTCTATACCAAAAATTGTCCACGATGAAGGAAGAGCTAAGAAATTTACAAATGATTTTAGAGCGCGTTCACGATGAGCCCGACACGTTGCGTCGCGCTCAAGTCAGCTTGGCTGAGACGAATACGAATTTGTACCGTCTAGGTGAGGCTATACGACACATGGAGGTAGCAAGCGAGACGCCGATTATTCAATTCGGCGAATCCGTAGAACCCGAAACGCCCATCACGGGGACGACGATGTACTACGCGCTGAACACGAAATCGAGTAAGCGGCTGCAACACGCGCTGGCGATTGATGTGCTCGAGTCGACGATTGCGAAGAGAGTCAAGGGATGTGTCAAGCACTATTCGGCAAATCAAGAGTTTTTGCGTACTTTGCAAGCACAGGCGAAGGAAGTGATGCGAGACAACCGAGCAAAAACAATCGCCACGACGAGGGCGACGCTTGACCAAAGCCGCGAGTTCATGGAGCACGATGCTGGCGGCGATAGACAGAGTCAGCGCGTGTTATGCGCGCTCTTCATTGGCTTGTTAGCCTTCCGTATCCTCGATCGACTCGTCGGGTCGTCGTTCACAATCCCCGAGAGCGTTTCGTTCGTCACGAAGAACTTTCGCTACCCACTCATGTGGGATATGAACGTACCCTGGATACTCTTGAGCCTCGGCACGTGGCTCATGATTGCGGCTGGTTGTGCTTTTGCACGGCGAGTGTACGTCGACAGACGCGACGGGTTTATCGACTCAACGACGTCTTCGACGCGCCGACTTTGCGTCAACACTCTCCTGAGGTATCTCAAGTTGAAGGAAGAAGTGACCTATCAGGATATCTTTGCGACCGAGGGCACGCAAGTGACTCAAATCACGTACGTCGAGGTGCCGTGGGGAATATTCGATACATATCGCGCGAACATGACGCTCACGGTGGACACCATGCGCGGCAGACTCCTTAAAACACGCATTCGCATCTCCAAGTCAAAGTCGTTGCCCGGCAAGCTGTTTCCGAACGAGTTACACGAACTTCTCGTCGCCGATCTCGAGCTCAACGGGGTGATCGTTGACGGTGAAGGCAACGAAAAGCGCCGAAAAGCGGCGCAGCACAGGACTAAGCCCAAAATTTTGTTGGTGCAAGCCTTGGGAGAAGTCGGCGTGCGCGAAATCACGCTCACGGACAGCACGTTGGAAAGTTTGCGGGCGACCATCGCGGCCAAGTTTTGCTACAGAATGAAAAACGTCATTCGCATGTCATTGGTGCAGCACGTGAGCCCGAACGTCACTGATGAGGAGATTATCACGACGAACAGCGCCGTAGAACGCTTGCGAGAGTACGCCAGAATCAATGTCGTCTTCTTCGGCCGACCAAAACCAAAGATGGCGCGATACCTTCGCCAGGTCACTGAACGCGCCGAACGACAGCGCTTTCTCGACGAACGAAGACGACTGTTCCAAAAGAAGTTCGGGAGGAGAAGAAAAAATATGGGGACAGTCGCGGAGAATTACCCCGAGTCAGACGACGAAGCGATTGACGGATTCTGAGGGGACGCGTTGAGAAGTGCCGAATCTCGTCGAGAAGGAAAGGAAGCAGAACTACAAACATCAATAAATTACATCGACCAAGTCGTGTCATCATCGAACCGCGGCGTCGTGCCGCACCCCACTCGAAACCGCAACCGCCCGTCCTCGCCCACCGTCGTTCGACAGCCGAGCACGACGTCCCGAGGCGCGCCGTCGCCGTCGCCGTCGTTCCCCAACGCCTCCATCGAGCAAGTTCCGCACCGCCCTTCGAGACAAAAGTCGTCGTTCACCTCGATCGCCCCGCACGACTCCGCGAGCGCGAGTACGTTCGTCACCCCGATCTCGCCTCGCCCGACGCGCTCCTCGCCCGTCCAAGCGTCCACGAACGTCACGGTGACGCGAGGCGTCGCGGCGTCGCCACCCGACCCGGCGTCGTCGTCGAACGACGCCCTTCGCCGCGAGAGTCGCCGCGCGCGCGACCTGCGCGACGTCATCTTCATCGATGCACCGCCGACGACGACGACCGCGCGGGACGACGGCATGCGCTTCGCGGTCTGACGTCGTCGCCGACGTCCCCGCGAGAGTTCGTTACGCCGAACGAAAACCGCCCGTCGAATCGAGCCCGTCGATCCGCACTCGTCGCCTCCGCGAGACGGCGATCGATCTCCAAAGACACGGACGACGCGTGCGAACGCGCGCGGCGATCGTGCGATGTCCAACGCCGTCGGTGCCGCCGCGCGTCGCGTCGGCGCGTTGCGCGCGCAAGTCGTCGATCCCGCCTCATCGTCGCGGCAGACGCCTCAGGAAGCGCCATCCGCGCGCGTCGGGCTCGTGGATTGGTTCTTCGGTGCGTCCGGGATCGGTGGTAAGCGCGCGTCGTTCACCGTCGCCGTCCTCGGCGCGGCGGGCGGTATCGGGCAAACGCTCTCCGCATTCATCAAGGCGAATCCAAAGGTGGCGGAACTGCGACTCTACGACGTCGCGCCCGTCGTTCGAGGCGTCGCCGCGGACGTCTCTCACGTGAACACGCGAGCGAAGGTGAGCGGATACGTCGGTGATGACGAACTTGAGGCGTGTTTACGAGGATGTGACCTCGTCATCATTCCCGCGGGCGTGCCGCGCAAACCGGGCATGTCGCGCGACGACTTGTTCGGCGTGAACGCCGGGATCGTCCGCACACTGTGCGAGGGTGTGGCAAAGACGTGCCCGAACGCGATCGTAAATATCATATCCAACCCCGTGAATTCAACGGTTCCCATCGCGGCGGAAGTGTTTAAAAATCACGGTTGTTACGATGCGCGCAAACTTTTGGGCGTGACGCACCTCGACGTGATGCGGGCGAAGACGTTCGTCGCCGCGGCAAAAGGGTTCGACGACCCGACTTTGGTGGACGTCCCGGTGATCGGTGGACACGCGGGGACGACGATTTTGCCGTTACTGTCTCAAACCACTCCGCGTTGCTCGTTTACGCCCGAGGAAGTGAGCGCGTTGACGAGTCGAATCCAAAACGGTGGCACCGAAGTCGTCGAAGCGAAGGGAGGCGCCGGAAGCGCCACGCTCTCCATGGCCGCTGCCGCGGCGGAGTTCGCGGATGCGTGTCTCAGAGGATTGAGCGGTGAGTCTGGAATATGGGCGTGTGCGTACGTCGAGAGCAAGGCGACGCGGGCGCCTTTTTTTGCCACCAAGGTGCTCCTCGGACGAAACGGCGTGGAGCGCGTGGCGGGCACTGGAACGCTATCATCGTACGAGAAGCGCGCGTTGGAGAGCATGTTACCAGAACTGGAAGCTAGCATTAAAAAGGGGATCAATTTCCTTCATTCCTAATCGACGAGCGCGACCGACTGACCGCGACCACCTTTAGAGACGGCGTCTCGTCGTCGAATGTAAAGAAACAATGCACGTCAAGATGCGAATGTGTGACCGAACATGTACGATCGCGCTCTAGAAAGCTAAGGAATAGGAATACGAAGCGATTCACCCACGCCATTACCGTCGTCGTCCCGCGTCGTCTCCCAGCGCGTCGCCCCTCGAACGCGCCTCCCTGAAACTAGGGTTAGAAACTAGGGCTGAAAACTAGGGTTAGCAGTGTCTCTGGAACATGACGCTTTTGCCGCCCTGAAAGTTGCGCGAGTAAAGGGGTCACCGAAACCACTACACTGGCGGTCGACGACGCTGGAATTTTGCGTACACGCATGAAACACGCATTTGCATCTGTGTACGCGCGCGTTTCGCGGCACTCTGGGTGCCGGCGGCGACCCGGACCTTTACGTCGTCGCGGGCGTAGGCCGCGGTTTGGGTTTTTTGGAAACGTGTGATACTGGTTTTGGGTTGAGGACTACGTTAGTGAGGGCGGGGTAAACTAGGGTTTGGAGGACTAGGGTTCGAGTTTTAGGGTTTAGGGTTTAGGGTTTAGGGTTTAGGGTTTAGGGTTTAGGGTTTAGGGTTTAGGGTTTAGGGTTTAGGGTTTAGGGTTTAGGGTTTAGGGTTTAGGGTTTAGGGTTTAGGGTTTAGGGTTTAGGGTTTAGGGTTTAGGG